CGAGCGGAGCTAAATATATACTTAACTAAAGTAGCGATTATATATTCTAGGTAGTAGCCACGAAGTAAGGGATAAGCGCGTGCATAAACTAGTAAAAGTGAACTAGAATCTCGAGTTCACCTATATTAAGGATAGTTATAACGTTATAGGAACTTAGTTATAGATATATAGGTACACGATAGATTATAGAGACTTAGGATTATATATACTTAAGTGCTTCGGGGCGAAGCATAAAAAGAAGAAGGATATTATTAGAACGGGAACGATAATAGACCTATATAGACTATTCTAATCCATGTAGCCACGTAGTGGCTAGAGCTAGATTAAGTTAGCTAAGTTAAGCGAGGTCACTATATAAGTAGACCGCATAAACCGATTCCTACTCGTTAGGAATCAACCTCGTATAAGAGTAAGATTACTCTATAAATACATTCCTATATCTCTCTATAAACTATTAGACTACTATCCTACGTCTTCACTCTTTACACTAGTTATATATCCTTCGGATTAAATTAACTATCCTTATAATACTAAAGTACTCTACTAACGCGTAATTATACTATTCCCTTAAAATATTAATTTATAAGCCGCCTTCTAGCACATAGAGTCAGCCTTAGAAGTAGATCACATCTAATCATCATTTCTACCTTAATAACTACAGCAGATCTATAGCACTTCCTTTTATACTTATAACTTTCTTTACTAATATATTAGAATTCTAGATAGATTTAATTAAGTCTTTAAGGGTTTTCTTAGTTTCTTAGACGTTTATTTAGATTACTTAATACCTACTCTAATTCCCGCGGAGAATCGCCGAAAGTATTCTAGCTTCTAGTATTCTATTAGATAACTAGTCTTATAGTATCTAAAGTATAGTATAGTCTAACTTATACCGACTATCTACGTCATTCTATAATAATTTCTTATAATCTTTACGCCGCGATAGAGGATTAGCTTTATTCTCTCTTCTAGCTTTATATAAGATTTTAAAGTTAAATATTAATATCTACTTAGCCTAACGTACTTATTAGTAATTAAGAACCTTAGTTAATATAAAGTAATATAGATTTACGTAATCTAATAATAATTTAATCTAATATATAGAGCCTTCTAAATAATATCGCTATTACTTAAAACTCTTAATAATTATAAGTAGTTTCTAGTCGTACGTGTTATAACGCGTCTCTATATCTACTATTTTATAGAAAAAGAAAGCGACCGGGTACTATTACACCTTATCTTTCGTGTCTTTATATAGTTAACTAATAATTCTAGTAATTATAAATTCTAACGCGTTAGTTTCGACCTAAATATACTTCTTAGAATTAAAATACCTAAGAATCGGTATAGTTATAAAGTAATTCTTTAATGATCGGAACGTATCTCGCGCTTCCGGTATTAACTATATCTTAACCGACTTAGCTTTATACTATACTCGCCTATCTATAGAGATTTTACCGCTATTCTCTATAAGTTTATTAAGCGGCGCCGTAATTCGTAAGAAGCCTATAATAAATTTATAATAATAGTTTACGAAACCTATAAATATTCTAATTTAACGTATAGTAGTAGGTTCTAGCCATTCTATAATAGTCTTTATACGCTCCGGCTCTATTTTTAGGCCGCTATATATTATAATAAAGCTAAGAAACCTAACTTCTTATTAGTAAAACTCGTATTTAGATAATTTTATATAGAGTTTATACTACCTTAGATGATTTAGTACTAATTTTATATATTCTTTATAATTCTATATACTATTAGAGTAAATTAGTATATTATTAAGATAAACTACGTAAATCACGTTAAGTAATCCTATGAGTATAGTATTAATATATCCTTAAAACGCTCCTAGCGCATTTATTAGCCCGAATAGTATAATAGTATACTTAAAATAACTATATCTAGTCCGAAATGTAGTTTTCTACTTATCTCTACGACGAATTTAAAGCCGGTAATATATATCTCGTAAATCTAGCTTTATAAAGTACTTTACCTTTATTAATTAGTCTAAAGATTTACTAACTAGCGGTAATAGATAACGATTCTTCTTAGTTACCGTATTTAGTACCTAATAGTCGACGTATAGATATAAACTTCCGTCTTTCTTCTTTATAAAGAGAATAGGTATACTAGCCGATAACGTACTATAATATATCTAGTCTCTTCTAAGGTATTCTTCGATATATTTATAAAGAACTTTAAGTTCTAGTCTTAAAAGTAGATAAAGTAGGCTATAAGGGACGTCTACTCTCTCTTTAAGCTTAATCTTTAGCTTATACGGCCCGTAATTAGGGAGAAGTAATATATCTTCTACCGAAAACACATCTATATACTATAAATATATATCGGGTAGCGTGTCTTCGCTCTAATTATTACTATTATCCTCGTCTTTATTAATAATTAATAAGGATATAAGATAGATTAGTAACGATTAGGTCCGTACGGCGAGGTTCTATGCCTCCTTACTAATAGTTATAATTTACTAGTATAATTTACTATAGTATTATTAGAATATTAATATCTCCTTCTAAAAATTAAGAATAGAGTTTAGGTATCTAAGCTAAGGTATCCCTAGAATCATATTCTATTAGCTAATATTAGCCACGATAAATTTATTAGACATCTACTATTTTATTATCTTTAAGTTATGAACTTCGTAATTCGTTATAGCTTTACCTAAAGTTCTAACTTTATATCTATTAACTATAATAGTTCGGCCAACTTTACTAAGATCGTATAATAATCTATACTCCTTTATAAGAATTAATAAAATATAGTTATCTTCTATACTAGTATCTATGAGAGCCTATATAGTTTTATTACTATTTACTATAGATAATAATACTTTTAGTAATATTAGATCTTTACTCGCCGGAAGGCGCTATAGCTCCTCCTAAGTATATATAATTTAGCTAAGAACGTGGTTAGATCTCGTGTACTAGTCTATTCTTTTTTCGGATTCTTATAGTTAGGTAAAATATATTCTATTTCTCTATACTTATAGTAACGAAGTACGCTATAATTCTACTATTTTATAATAGGTATTATATTTAAGCCTATATCTTATTCTTTTCCGCGTTAAGAAGTACTACCTTAATTATTTTAGTATCCTCTTAACGCGTTTCTACCCTAATTTATACTCTTCTAGCGCTAATCGCGGTAAGGTTACTCTTAATTAAACGTATTTAATTAACCTCGTTTCTAACCCGTATAGGGTTCGTTAGTTTTACCTAGAGAGCCGCGTTTCTTAAGGATATAGTAGTATTTATTAGCTTTCTTCTCTAATTTATATAGATAGTTAAAACTTAATAATACTATTTCTAGTCTTTTGCGGATTAACGGAAGTAGTACTTTACGAAACTAGAATATATAAATATTTTCCTATAGTATAGGGATATTATTCTATAGGTTTTAGAGGTATTATAGTAGTTAAGTAGATATCTAGTTCGGTTATTATACCACGCTTCTTAACTTAGATAGTACCTTTCTTTTACGTTCTCTATCCGTTCCGAGGGTATTTAGTATAAATATAGCTAAATATTCCTAGGTTATCGTAGATAGTAGCTATACTTCTTTCTATCTATTCTATTAATTATAGGATTATAAGCCTAGATATTATTCTCTAAATAAAATATATTATACTTTAGTAGAAAAGAGTAGAGGGTTATTTAGGAAGTACTTTTCGTAGTCTCTCTTCTAGTCTTTCTACTCCTTTTAGTTCTTCTCTATAAATATAGTCGGGTCTTTAGATTTTAGTATACCTAGAGAAGGAGTAGGGTAAATCGGTAATGAAGCGGCTAGGTATATAGTAGATTATTATAACTCTAATAGTAGGTAAACTAATTCCGCCTAAATTAGTATAGAGAGTCGTCTATCTACTATCGTTTAGCGTAGTTCTTTAAGAGACTCCTTAAGTTCTCGTCTCTTTATAAGGAGTTTTACGCGTTCTATCTATTCTTTAAGGGTTTAAATCTCTTAAGCCTAATTTATAACGTATTCCTAAAGTTTAGTAATAGTTTATTATAATACCTTACGTGGCTCCGCCACGACTCGTTATCCGGCTTTATATTATTAGAAGTTACTTAGCGTATCTACTATTTCTTTATCTAAAAGCTCCGTGATTTAGTCTAATATTTCTACTTCTTAGTTAGAAATAGCTAGAATTAATACTAATTATAGAGGATCCCTATTATTTAATATAGTATTACTTATCTCTATAGTAGATCATATCGACCTTCTTAGTTCTAGTTAGACTATCTTAACTATAGTACTATATAGAGAGTAATTCGAATATAAGAATAGGGTTATTAGATAGTAGTATAGTTAGATAGAATAATAGGGTATATTCTATTATAGAATAAATTACTACCGAACTCTTTTAGTAGAAATCTAAGAGTATATATATAAAGAGACGCCGATCTATCTAGTACGTAACTATTTACCGCCCTTCCCGCTACCTTCTAACCCTATTAGCTAAGGTACGTGCGGATTAGGTTATACCTAAGGCTAAGTTCTAATAGATAGGCTATATAGATATATAGACGTAGACATAGTAAAATTTAATATATTAACTTAAATAGGCGAAAATCGAGTATATATATAATCTTATCACGGACGGCGTGCTTACGTAAGGCTAATATAAAAGTATACTCGTGAGTTTCTCTACGGATTCGAACGATTTAGCTAATATAGAGATAGGCTATATAGATATATAGACGTGGATATGGTAAAATTTAATATATTAACTTAAATGGGCGAAAATCGAGTAAATTATACCTATTTTTAAGACTTTTAGCCACTTCTACGGATATACTTTAGTCTAGTCTAGTTTAACTTTAATTCTACTACTAGGATTAATAGTTTAATCTAATTCTACGACGGCTAGGATTAAAGTACTTTAGTCTAGTTTAACTAGAGGCCCAAAGTTGAACTGAACTAATTGATAGGAAGTCTAGTCTAACATTCTCGAATAAAAATCGTACCTTACTGGGACGAATACCGTTCTAGTCGCTGCTGATCTAGGCTAAGTTATCTGGGGACCTGTATCAAGCAACTGAACCGAAAAAAGGGGCTGTGCATGATACTGAAAAACAACAAATCATAGATCACCTCAAGAACATCGCCTTTGCACCCTGTTAAGAAATTGAGATATACTAAAAGATTCTGTAATAGTCTTCTGTATGTTGTTCCATTGTTATTGCTGGGCATAGATGGGGACCTGATCACCCCTGAGTCTGAAATCTTCGCTTGTCCGCCCTCGAGAAGTTCACCCAGGTACTAAGTTGTCATGGACAAGGAAGTATTTCCCACAAGCGATACAGAAAATGTTTGGTCTTGTATCAAATTCTGGTATATAGCTGAATGCTACAGCGCAGCCAGGCATCTGACTTTGCTTTGGAGGCGACTTCTCAACTCGTTGTTGGTTCTAGCCAAGCTGTTTACAAGCTCGACGTCAAAATCACCCGTGTCACGCATCACTTGGCTGAATTGGCCATCTTTTGCTAGAATCGTGTCGATATTGCGCGTAACAATGTCCAAGACGATGTCGCGCAGTGCGCGATGATGTGCGGGTGTAGAAGTGTACACGAAGCGTACAGATTCGACAAAGGACGGCGAATTCCATATCTTACTGGCGAGAGACTGGAAATTTGTAGTTGCGAGCAGACATAATTCCCCAATGGAGTATTTGGTTGCAACTGCGAAGACGGAAATATGAAGGAAGGATGCGGCAGGTGATGACATATCAAACGTATAGGTCATAGAGTAGAAGAACTCCAGCAAGGCCTGAATAGCGAGCGGATCGTCATTCGGGAGGTCGATCTCGTCAGAGACATACTAGGTAAAAATTTCGATCAGTAAAATGATACTATGGAGCTCCGAGATGATTACCGCCTGCACCCAGTCTTACCTCGACATTGGCCAAGCAGAGGTCCGCAAAGTCTTGACATTGACTGCATACGATAACCTTGTGTACGTTGAAGATTTTGTTCTTACAACGGATAGTCAGATCTGAATACTGCCCAGTCGTGAATGTCCTGTTGATAGAGTCTCAGCTTCGTGATCGCAAGACGTGGAGTCTGAAGAGTTGGTGCATACGTGCTGATCTGTGCAAAGCCATGATCCATAGGACTGCCTTGCTGCATAATCTCAGAGCCGACCAGTCAAAGGGAACTCCGTAATGATCGAGTGATGGAGATAGGATATCGGGGCCGTACAAGAATGTTTCGGAGCATACGTCGATCAGGGCAATATGTCGTCAGACCCAACCTGTATCGATAGCCTGATGCCTGGCAATGTGGGCGGCCCGAAAAAAATTCCCTTTGGCGCAACGACAGATGATTGCAGCGATGTGAAGCGAGGGCAGCGATCGTAGGGTGGTCGTACACGATGTGATTCGACCTGAGTATCAGAGCTAGTCTCACCGGGGCGCAGGTATAGTGTGAGTGATTTGGGAACGAGGACGTCGTAACCTGAATGGTGGACATCCGGTAGCAGTGGCGACATGTTCCAGAGAACGGGTAAGGGACGGGTCCTATTTCAGCCAGGCTCCATAAATACAGCGCGTCTTGCCCTGCGTCTTGGCTGGAGATTTGGTCCGGCTGTACAATTCGTGCTTGAGTGGGAGAAGCATAAGCCGGATGTGACAGCGGAATCTTTGAAAGTACTGAGTTCGACATAACGATTTGATGCTCGAGAGAACTAGATTACATGACCACGAGAGAACTAGATTACATGACCACGATGTCGGACACGGAATTCCTGATTGACCTGTATATCCATTGTGAGTGGCAAATATCATATGGCACCGTGGATCATGCAGTAACTTACGCAAATAGTAATCGTGTGCGAGGAATTCAGCACGCAGCAGCATTGAAATACTGGACCTGGAAAAGGTACGAGGCGCACATTTCAACAAGAATGAGGTATGACCGGTGGTGTTAGTTACGGTATTCTTTAGTCGTGACGTTCATATACGGCTTCTGGTCGCAAATGAGCAGCTACGAGACATGCGAGAGGCCCCTGAATGAAGTCTAGACTTTAGATGGCAGGCCTTGAAAGTCAGTCGAGGTAAGGTGTAAGGTAAGTTGTAGCAACATCGTAGCAAGCAGGTTTATAGACAGTGCTCATAGCGACGTCGAGATATTGTCATAGGCATAGCATGGTGGATCCACATGGGGATTCGAGCGTATGAATAGCTGTCGGAGATGACTCCAGGGGAACACAAGCATGGAACACAAGCATGGAAGTAAGACAGCTATGACCTGCAATGAGGGGCATATGAGGGCACTTTGCATGAATTTTGCGGAATGGATCGCTTGGACACATGTAGAGACCCCAGCTATTCCTCGAGTTCTGTCTTGCAGGAGCGGAGACATGAAGGCTTGTTGACAGCCGTTGCAAGTCTTGCGCAAAAGTCGTAGTGGAGCAACATACCTGTCAAAGTTCACGAGCTTTCGCGTCGCAACACGACGGAAGGGGAACCCTCGCACGTCAATACTATATCACATACTCGATGCATGATTTCGAAAGTGCTGACTACGCATCATGATAGGAAGGAATACTTCCAACGATATAATTGAATGCACGGGAAGGTTGTTTGTATAGTTTGAGTTGGTAGACAAAATAGACAGAAGACTCGAAGATTGTAGAAATATGAGATGTAGCATGAGTATAGTTGGCACTTCGAGTGGAGTGGGATGCACATGTATTTTGATACTCAATGGTGGAGATAGTGTGTAGTAGGATGAAAGAACAGGTAGACTTACCACAGTAGCTGAGGCGACGGCCTGAATACATGAATGTGGTGTGGCTTTCGAAAGAGTCTAAGACAAGAAGATGGCATTATGTTGTGGGTGTCGAGACGTACATAGTGCTAACTGGAAGTGTGTATGCCCCCAGGGTTGGACGTATTAGACGGAGTGAGCGTGTAATAATGTTTTGTTTGCTGGAAGACGAAAAAGATCAGAGGAGTAGCGTTAGCGTGCACGTGCATTTCGCTTCACGTGCAAAAGCAACATACAGTGACGCTGCGGTAAGGTGCACGGATGGAGCTCACCAGACACTAGACTGGAAGAGGAAAAGACTGTGTCTGACGTCACTTTGGCGTCAGCACTCTGGTACATGAAAGTGATGACTAACTACTCTAGTATGCATGTTTAGAGATAGTAACGAAGCGTACAGAATGCTTTGTCAAGTGTAGCCTACGTCATATAATGGGAGAAAGGACAGCATTGTGCCTTCATTGCCCAGTAGCCCGACAGAGCACAAAGTTGTTTCGTATATTGACATTGTTTGTTAACGACGTGGAGCAGAGCAGAAAACAGACACAAAGGAGCAGAAATCGAAAAGGCATCATCACGGTGCGAGAATGGATGGCATTTCGGCAGAATGCCCCGCCCGTACCATCGACTTTGCTCGGATGTTGCATGCTGCATATCCTGGCCGGGGGTCTATTACTGTTACTGTGTACTGTGTGAGTATAAACGACTAATTGCATCCCTTTGATTGGTTATCAAGTGCCTGCAGCGTCAACGCCCTTCTCACTTGTGTGGTTTTCATCTTCGATCTCTCCGTCATGACATGATTTATTCCTTCTCCCTGTCGCCACTACTGCTTTAGCTGCCTCTCCAGTATATGTACTGTCCTTTCTCCCGTCTCTCCTCATTCTACACCCCTCCACCATTCTTCAAGCTTCTCTCAATCACACATATTCCCCCCTCACATCCCGTCATTATGGCCTATACTGCCGAAGGAAAGAAAAACGGCGACCTGTTCCGTGATTACGCCGATGACCGAAACGCCTCTTCGCAAGATACTGTGTATACTACCAGCAATGGTGTCCCTACCGCCCACCCCTATGAATCACAGCGAGCTGGAGAGAGTGGTCCTCTACTGCTACAAGACTACCATCTGATCGATCTCCTGTCGCACTTTGACCGTGAACGTATACCTGAGCGTGTCGTCCACGCAAAGGGCAGCGGTGCTCATGGTTTCTACAAGACCACGGACCCCCTCGACGATCTCTGCATTGCCGACATTTTCAAAGCCGGCAAGTCATGCCCGGTCACTGTCCGTTTCTCCACCGTCGGTGGTGAAAGTGGCTCACACGATTGCGCTCGCGACCCACGAGGTTTTTCTGTCAAGTTCCGCACCGAGGAAGGAAATTGGGACATGGTGGCCAACAACACCCCTGTCTTCTTCTTGCGAGACGCCGCCAAGTTCCCTCACTTTATCCATACTCAGAAGAGGGATCCATCTACTCATCTTACCCATGCCGACGATTCCACTCATTTCTGGGAGTATGCGTCTCAGAACCCCGAATCTGTTCATCAGTTTATGATCTTGATGGGCGACCGTGGTATTCCTGACGGATACCGCTTCATGCATGGCTATAGCGGACATACATTCAAGCTTGTCAACAAGAACGGCGACTGGGTCTACACTCAGATTCATTTCAAATCAAAACAAGGCACCAAATTCATCACTCAAGAAGATTCTCACAGCAAGTCACCCGACTACTCCCAACAAGACCTGTATGAGGCTATTGAGAAAGGCGACTTTCCCGGATGGGATGTCTGCGTACAGACCGTCACCCCCAAGGAGGCTGAAGATATGTGGGAGAAGCAGAAGATCAACGTCTTCGACCTGACCCATGTCTGGCCACATAAGCAATTCCCCCTGCGTAAGGTCGGCGAGTTTTTCCTCAACGAGAACGCTCAAAACTACTTCGCCGAAATCGAGCAAGTTGCTTTCAGCCCATCCCATCTCGTTCCCGGCATTGAGCCATCTGCCGACCCCGTCCTGCAGAGTCGTCTCTTCTCCTACCCCGACACCCACCGCCACCGCCTCGGTGCTAACTACCAGCAACTCCCTGTGAACGCCCCTCGCGTGCCTTACCGATTCGCAAACTTCCAGCGTGACGGCCCCATGGCCTTTTACAATCAAGGTGCACGACCAAACTACCTCTCCTCCATCGACCCCATCCAATTCCGTGAGCGCCAAGTCGACCTCGACAAGACTCACGGCCATTTCCAAGGCCGTGCCGTAACGTTTTTGTCCGAGATCCGCCCCGAGGACTTCAACGCTCCACGCGCTCTTTGGGAGAAGGTCTTCGACGAGCCCGCACGCGAGCGCTTCATCAGCAACATCTCAGGCCACATGGCAAACTGCAAGAAGACCGAGGCTATCCAGCGCCAGATTGGCATCTTCCGTGAGGTGTCTGAGGATCTAGCGTCACGCCTCGAGAAGGCCACTGGCGTCAAGGGCTACCCTGGCATCGCCGGCCTGAGGTTTAATGGTACTCACAATGGCATGGCCAAGGACAAGTCGCTCAAGGCTGCAAATGGTGTGAAAGGCCTAACGACGCAGAGCCAGCCTGATAATAATGGTGCGCCGTTGAAGGGCCAGCATGCGCCATTGGCTGCGTCGGGTGCAAATGGGGTCAATGGACATGCTTGACGTCGTTACTAGCGTTCTTTGGGTGTTGTTTTTACGACATGAATCATAATGTATCAATAAAAACTCTTTGGCAAAATATCTACTATCAAACTTATATCATGCTACTGTTGTACCGAACTGTGAAAATGTCTTCATTGGTGTGTCAGATGTTTGCACTCGCAATGTTATGAATTACACTCCTCTATTGATATCTCAGCAAGTACAGCAAGCATTTCTTAGGTATCCGCTGTTCGACTTTCAAACCCTTCCTCTCACAAAATATACAGTCATGTCTACCCCTACGGGCCCCATATTTAACTCTCAGGCCTTTTCTTTGTATGCAACGCTGCTCGCCTCCTTAGTCCCACTCCTTCCCATCCCAGATTCCACCAAACTCCTGATTCCCGCGCCAAGAACCCAGATCCATCCATGCAACCCCTGGGCCCTATCCAACCATCACCGTCCGCACATTCCATCCACAAAGCTCCAGTCGGGCGCGAATACTTTCATGACCATCGGTTGCACTTCCACCACCCTCCCACGGAACATCCACCCTCGTCGTCCCCACGCGCCTATACACCCTATCCCCCTCACCACCATTCTCACTCGCACCATCAAGCAACAACCCCATAACCGCAATCCTGCCGCGCCGTGAATCTCCAAACGCTGCTATTGCAAGCGCTACAAGGCTGTCTGGGTTTTCTTTCCACTTTAACGTCTGCGCGTCACAGGTGTCGAAATAACATAGTAGATCGGGGGTAGTGTTACTTGAAGTATTATTACTATCGTCCCGCACTACAGCTACTGTTGATGATGGTGCTGGTGACGGTGATGATGCGTGCAGGCGTATGCCGTTGTCACTATAGCCGGCGGGTAGAGCGGACGAGACAACGTCGTAGCGGGCGCAGGGGATACATGGCGCGGATATGCGCAGGGCAGCCAGATGCGTATGAGACGCGACATGGCGAGGCGACGTGAACGGCCAATATGCATCGCTACTACCACCACCCTTATCCCCCTCTCCATCGATGCCGACGCTACGATGAAACTCGGCAAGGCAGCCGTCGTGAGCAGGACGCATATGGCGAGGAAAAAGCACTGGCCCGTCAACAGATGCCCAGCTCCATGAGGGTGCACGGTTCGGGACGAGAGTCAGGGGGATGCTGAATTTGGGGCGCCAGAGGAGGTCTTTGTGCAGGTTGTCTTCCCATAGACCTGCGTAGTAGCCGTTTCGTGGGGAGCGTAGACGGCGCTGGAAGGCTTGGGCGGCGCCGACGAGGGCGGGGAGTTTGTCGGAGGGGAAGGTGAGGGAGCGTCTTGTGTAGTCACGGACGATTACGGCCCATTCGGCGTAGACAAGGAGATCAGGATGTTTTCTGGAGTGGTTGTTGGTTGAGCGCGAGGAGGCGAGCCGCATGAATGATTTGCCGGCGGTGAGGTTGAGGGTGGTAAAGTTGCGAAAGGGGTTGCTGAGAGACTCGGAACGGCGGTGGGTGCGGCATTCCCAGAAGACTTGCTGGCGGCCGTAGTGCAGGGTGCGTTGGGCGAGGAGGTCTTCTTGGAGGATCCAGCCGCGGGTGTATATCGAGCTTTCTCTCTCTCCAAGGACGTACTTCCATGCCTTGAGGCCTTTGCGTATACGGATCCAGGTTTTTGTATTACCGTCGGGACTGTTCCATGGGAACGATAGAATGTCTTCCGTAACGCGAAGTCCCAGTAGTCCTGCATCACAGTTACTGGCGTTGTCTGCGGCCAATGTGAGATGCGCCTGCTCAAAGATGCTGCCCATCTTTGGGTATTCGGCAAGCCAGTCTTCGGGGTCGTCCTGTACGATACACTAGGTGAGCGAGATGAGTACTAATGGTAGTATGAAATGACTATACTACACTCACCAGACTGTCTATCCAAAGGTGTCGTAGTCCTAAACGTCGGGTAGTCGACACGGCGTCTTGGAACGTACGTGGGACGTCATCAAACAGGATTTCCTTTTGATGAGTATCGAGATTGAAAGACATAGTTTTGATAGGAATACTATTTCCCCAGCGATGGCTCAGGGCTATCCAAGCGATTTCCTGTGATTCATCCCGGATATTTAGTACGAGTCGAGGATTTTCACTTCCATCCGCAGGACCGACATCAATAGTCCGTGAAGGAAGACATCGCTCGGCAAGTCGAGTTCGGCAGAGCTCATGTTTCTCGCTACATTCGGATACCCACGATTTGATGAGATCTACATGCGCAATGGATGTCGGATCTTCGACTACTACTCTTCCAAAGATTGACCCAGATAACGACTTGTAAGCAACCGCTACAGACCTGTCAGCAGATAATCCAGCCAATGAAAGCTAGGTGTCTTTCACATCTATCTACAACGACCTCAAAAAACTCGTCCCATCCATGTTTGAATAGATCAAAGCTTTTCTTCCCGTAACGGCTCCTCACATCAACGCGCGCGAACAACGTCGAGCTACCGCTGTGATGGTTGGTCTGTGCCCCAGTCGTAAGGATCCCAATGTGCAATCTGAATAGAGAAGACTCTGGCAATATTTTTTCCCGATGCTTGTTGTTCTGCTCCTCATCGATCACATTGGCGATGTGTTGTAGTAGAAGCTGGCATAACTCACAGCCAGAACTCACAGATTTTTGTAGTTGCGAGAAAGAGTCATGCAACAGACATCCATGCTGCTTCCCTGTGTCATAGATTTCCAGGCGCTCAGGGCGTGCCCATATCGTCCTGCAAGGCTCGCAGGTCATCTAGTGATTCAACTGGTCCGGCCCTATTGTTGTAAACCTAGGATTGAACAGGGACAATTTAGTGGTTCAAGTGAACAGTGGAGAGCTTCCATCCGATATCTCATGTACTGAGAAATCCAGCATCCTGTCCAAAGTTGTGACAGTGACCAGCAGATGTAAGAGTCGAACTTTCCTCATTCAGTAAGTTGCATGGAGTCTGGCGTTCTTCCCGTGGAGTCCAGTGCAGAAAGCTGGAGGCGTTGCAGGTGATTACGTCATTTCTCCCCTCCCCACTACCTTAGGTACCCAGCACCTGACCGCGCGACCGTTTTTCGCGTCTCGCGTTCGACCGATAAAACTAACCTTCGAGCTCGGCCATTCCTCAGGAAACACTTGCAATTTCGAACAAGCCCAAGTCATTCAATATGAGCGAAGCAACTCCTCGCATAACCGCACCCTACCTCGAGAGCTTCTCAGGCAAAGTAGTTCGCATAACCGGCAAAGTAATCCAACTACGAGGCGAGAACGCGACAATCGATGCTGGCGGCCACATCTCGATCAGTGTACCCAAAGTGAATCCCATCGCACTCTCAGCTACTAAATCCATGCTAATGATCAATTGATAGGATGCCCATCTTGCGAAAGACCACGCCGTCGAGCTCGTAGGGAAGGTGTCGCCGGACTTGACTGTGAGAGTTCTCACAGCGACAGATCTGGGTATGGGGATCGGTGAGTAATGAGAATGCCATGAATATTGGGGTGCAATACTAATCGTACGCAAGATTTTGCAGCTGTCGATGCCGTTGTGGATGCGACACACCGGTATAAAGAGATCTTTTATGGCGAGGAGAGCGGCTATTGACAAAGGCGACCAATGCATACGAACTTGCATAGGGAGTATATTCAAGATGGGGACCAAGCCTTGAGAGTTGCCTGATCATGATGCTTAACGATGCGTGAAGCCTAGCGGGACTTCGCATACGAGTCTATGGGCGAGACTGAGTGATACGACGCCTCCTCCAACAACATGAAATGAACGCCAAAATTTCGTTTCTCTACACCCGGTGTGCGACGACCTTCCCAATGTGTTTCAAAGTCTACTCCGCACAGCTTCCAGCCTGAATTTGACATCTTTCAATGCCTTGCTTGTTGGCTTCCAGGCTTCAAACATGCTCAGCAACTCGTCCACTTCTTTTCCCAGTTCGCGTCTAACAAACTCTTCTTCTAGTAGTCCTCTCATCGCCCAAGGCAAAAAGTAAGGATTGGGGTTGATGCTACTCGTACTGCCTTGGAAGTCTTTGATAATAAGCGGTACGGTATGGGGTATATTAGTGGTTTCGAGGATGTGTGAAACCGCGAGAGAATACACAGAAGAATCCTCATGAATGCGGGAATGGCCTTCACCGGAATAGAGAGAACCTGCCAATGCTGGCGATAGCTCATGGATCAGACCATGGTCGGGAAGGCCCAAGTTCCTAAGCTTCAATACAAAGCCTACTAGGTGTGTCATACTTTCTACATTAGCCAAACTTCGTATTGTGTAGAGGATGTAGCACTTACAAGTCCGGAGCGTGCAATTTCCCGTTAACGAACACTGCGCGGTAGATATAGGGGTGCGAGATGTTAGCGAAGGTGGAGGATTCCAAAGAAACCAGCTGATCGTCCAGGCTACCGACGTACACCAACTTGACGCCAAACTTAAGTACTTCTTGCATAGCGTTCATGTAATTGGCTGATTGAGTGCTCTTTGGGTTGGAGAATTCGAACAATTCTGCAGCGGTGCTGCCCAGATACCTCGTCCTGTATTCGACAAAGGGACCAAGATTGATTCCCGCCATAGCGCATACACCTATCCTTGCCATTGGGCTTATACATCCGAATGATATCAGCTTCGCGATCAGCATGATCGCAACAGGCACGCCTTGAGAATGGCACGCTACCATGATGAGGTCGGCATTTCGGACGTGTTCAATCCAATTAAGCAGCAGCTTCCACAACGTATCTACTCGATCAGCTATGAACCCTTCACCTTCAAGGGCAACCTTCTCAATCTCGCAAGAATAGCCACCATGATGGTGCGTCCACTCTGAAATTGCATTGGCTGCACAGTTCGCGAACCGGATGGAGGTTCCTGTTGGTTGTCCAATCATGGATCGTATGAGTGACGTAGGAAAGTAGCCATGAATACCTACAGCTAAAGCCTTCTTGACTCTAGGTGGTGATGGAAGCAGTTTTATATGGGGAGTCTCTTCCTGGTCACCCAACAAGTAACGACGTATTTGCTGCCAGACTGAGGGCGACTGGGCAAATTGATATGTACTTCGGAAATCAGGCAGAACGAAATTTGTGCACTGCTCGACTTTGAGTGGCGGTTGAACTGCTGTATCGCTGTCTTCAATTGGTTTTGGCTTCATTCCCCGGTTCGTAATAGAGGGAGTGCTGCTGGTGGCGGATTTCTTCACGCTATCCTTTCCATGTGGCCTAGCCTTAGCTGGTGTATGCTCTTGAGACCGGGGTTCCTCTCTTTCATTGAATTGAGCAGCTTCCGGATGGTTCTGTGATGGTGTGTCGGCAACAGCTATCTCACCAACCTCCCTGTGAACAGAGTCTGTGTCATCCTTCGCCTTGGGATTCTCTCTTGACCAGAACGCCCACCCGGTAGATTTCGTCGACGGACCTTTAGGCGTATCAGCCTGGACTTGCTTCGTCAGGGATTCTGGCTCAAGTGGCGTTTGTATGCTTTGCTGTTCTACCACTGCAGCCTGGGCAGAGCCGGTGATCTTGGAACCATCCTTGGTAACGTCTTTAGACCGAACTATTTCTGGTTGAACCTCGCCATCATGGTGTATGCTCTGCGATCTACTCCAAAGCCAGAACCACGAGGACCGATTTTGTTGTTGTTGCTGCTGCTGTTGAGATTTTTCGCTTGCAACCACATCTGAAGATGCTTGCCCCTCTGTGGCGACAGTTGCATGCTCGCTATCGGTAGGCTCTTGGGTTTTCAAGTCCTTATCTTCTGCTTCTGACTCACCCACCGGCGTGTTCCCTGGTAACGGTATCCTTTGTGCTTCAATTGACTCAACTGGTCTAGCTTTTACGGTCTCGTAACCGTCAGGTCTTGACCACCAGCTTGTGAGCATAGACATCCCAGTGGAATATCTATTTGTGTTCTCTGCGACTATCGTATCTTCCTTCTCCTCTGTGACTGTAGGGTCTGGTGGAAGTGGAGGTTCCTCCATAGTATCTTTTGAAGGGGCACCCGAGTTGGTGGATGACACTGGTATTCCGTCGTCATCTCCATTTGATGTAACATGTACTTTGGTCATCGAAGCAGCAATAGGGTTTCCCTTACTCGGTCGCCTTTTAGACAACAGTGTTGCGGGAGAACCTGAGGCAGATCTATTTGATTCTTTCGGAAGCTCTTGATTTGGCCCTCCCAAGGCCCCCACATTCTCTCTTGCGACTTGGGCTACGACTGGGGACGCCTTGGATCTCCAGCTGCCACCATACCAGCTTTTCTGAGTACTAACCGACTCTTTTGTTGAGGTTGTACTGCTTCTTGGGAGGATTGATTCTAGGCTGGTCGAGGAACAAGACGCTGGAGACGGCTTTGATGACGCAGACTGTGCTGGTTGCGCGTCTCTCGTTAACTGGGGCTCGGACGCAGGAGCCTTATCGTTGAGCTTCGACTTCTTGCTTGGTCCCATGGGTAGGTACTCGCCCAGCCTCTTCAAGTTCGATAGGCGTTGCTAGGGAATATATGAGCTAAGATACAGAGGACTGATATGCGTAGGTACCTTGACGCTGGGCGGTGGGGAGGCAGGAGTAGATACAGCGGCGCTGCTCGATTTCGTCATGTGCAAGGCGCGTGAAACTGGAGACCTGCGAGCTGGGCGGCTAGGTACTAGCGGGGCCTCAGCACCTTTTTGCGGGTCATCCCACGCGGGGAGTTCCCATGCCCGAAGAATTTCCATCGTCTTGCTACAGGATCTGCGTCGTGCCAATTTTTTTATTTATCGTTCAAGTATTTGTTATACAACAGCCCGTAGCTCTCGCGCCACTGGCCAGAATGGCAATCCAAAAGAAGGCAAGTACTGATTTATAGACTTCATGGCCTTTGTGGCTGACTTATTTAGCACGGCAAAGGTCGTCTCGATAAATGGTATCGTTTGGCAAAAGAGAAAGGCTATCGTGCGCGCGCGGCGTTCAAATTGATACAACTGAATAAGAAGTACAATTTTCTGGAAAAGAGCAAAGTGCTAATAGATCTCTGCGCTGCTCCAGGAGTGAGTCGTGTTCACCGCACTAAACCCTAATACTAACAAGCACAGTCATGGTGTCAAGTTGCCGCAGAGGTCATGCCCAGTGGCAGCCTCATAGTCGGTGTGGACTTGTCGCCCATCAAGCCCGTCCCAAGATGCATCACGTTCCAAAGCGATATCACAACCGACAAGTGCCGCGCAACGTTGCGGCAGCACCTTAAGACCTTCAAAGCAGACACTGTACTTCACGACGGAGCTCCGAATGTTGGTACGGCTTGGGTCCAGGACGCTTTTTCCCAGGCGGAGTTGGTCCTACAGTCCATGAAACTAGCGACGGAATTCCTTTGCGAGGGTGGAACATTTGTGACCAAAGTCTTCAGATCAAAAGATTACAACCCTCTGCTTTGGGTTTTCAATCAGCTATTTACCAAAGTCGAGGCAACAAAGCCTCCGTCATCTCGTAATGTCTCCGCCGAGATCTTCGTTGTATGCCGGGGCTACAAAGCACCCAAGCGGATAGATCCTAAATTCCTCGACCCTCGATCTGTCTTTGCAGAACTCTCTGATCCTACACCGAATAACGAGGCAAAGGTTTATAATCCAGAAGTAAAAAAGAGGAGGAGAGAGGGTTATGAAGAGGGTGACTACATCCAATTCAAAGAGGTTCCTGCCAGCGAATTTATACACACTACGGACCCAATTGCTATGCTAGGATCACATAACAAACTTAGCTTCGATCAGAAGCCAAACGGTGACATTGCTCTTGCCACTCTCGATAAGCTTCCTGAAACAACGCAGGAGATTAGAGACTGCTGTGCGGACTTGAAGGTATTAGGAAGAGCAGACTTCAAGCGCCTCCTGAGGTGGCGATTAAAAGTGCGAGATATATTTGGCTTCTCAAAAAAACAAAAAGATGCACAGGCTGCAGAGCAAGATGAAGTTGCCGAGGTAGAGCCTATGGACGAGGAATTGAAAATGCAAGAAGAAATCCAACAGATGAAGGATAGAGACAACGCTGTGAAGAAACGAGAAAGAAGAAGAGCGAATGAAAAGAGAACGAAAGAGATCACTCGGATGCAAATGGGCATGACGACGCCTTTTGACATCGGCCTAGAACAAGAAGGCCTCCAAGGAGCCGACTCTGTCTTTGCTCTTAAGACTGTTGACAAGGCTGGTGGTGTGAATAAGATCGCCAGAGGAAAGATGCACACTATCTTGGATAGTGACGATGATGAGCATTCCAAGTTGGAGGCTGAAGACGAAGATGAGGAGAGCGACGATGAGCAAGATGCTCTTGAGAGGGAGCTTGATGCTGATTACGAGGCGTACCAAGAGCGACGAGCAATGGTCGATACAAAATACCGAGCCAAAAAAGCAAGGCGGACTTTCAAGGAAGACGATGAGGAGTTTGAAGGCTTCTCGGATCGGGAAACAGGTGATACCTCGGATAATGATCACATCATGCGTGATGAAGACAGCGGATCTGAGAGCGATACCGATGAAGATGGAGAGCAACATTTAATCACAGACCTGGACGTGGAAGCCAAGGCTCCAAATTCTCTCAGCAAGCGCGCGCATATGTTTTTTGATCAATTTGAAGGTATAGACGGCCTGGATGATGAGGAAATGGACAGCGGAATCGACGTAGACGAGGGCGACGCAGAATCATCGCATGCAATATCGGCTACACAATTGCCGTCTAGGCCAAAGAAGAAATCAGAACTAAGATCGACAATCCAAGTAACGAAGTCCGAATTAGACCAGACAATCGAAGCGAGAAAATCACAGACAGAGGATGACGACTGGTCGTCTGATGATGATGACTCGAATGGCTTCGAAACAGTCAAACGCAACGAGACAGAGTGGGAGGCAGGTGCGACTCCCATGAAGAATGGACGGCCAGATATCGACATCATCACAGCTGAAGCCATGACTCTCGCCCAGCAGCTTGCCACTGGCAAAAAGTCAAAATACGATATGCTCGATGATGGTTTCAACAAATATTCCCTTCGCGACGTTGACGGCTTGCCCGAATGGTTCCTCGACGACGAGAATCGCCACTCCAAACTCCAAAGGCCCATCACGGCGGCAGCAGCAGCAGTAATCAAAGAAAAGATGCGCGCCTTGAATGCTCGACCAATCAAGAAGGTCCGGGAAGCCAAAGACCGAAAGAAGTTCAAGGCTGCGCAACGACTGGAGAAGCTGAAACAGAAATCTTCCATGCTGATTGATGACGAGGGCATGACGGAGAAGGAGAAAGCTTCCAGCATCTCCAAGCTGATGGCCAAAGCAAAGAAGAAGAAGCCAAAGCAGCAAGTCAAAGTCGTTGTGGCAACTGGTAGGAATAGGGCGAATCCAGGGCGACCGAGTGGCACGAAGGGTAAATACAAGATGGTGGATGCGAGGTTAAAGAAGGATGTCAGGGCGGAGAAGAGATTGGCGAAGAAAAGGAAGTAGTTTACTGCGTTTAGTGGCACTGCTTTGGCTCGCGTGGTGAGGTGTTCAGCATTAAGTGAAAAAGTTTATATACTATAACTGTGGTTCTCGATGAATCCTAGGAATAATTCATGCTAACGAATGATTCGACTCTTCTTCGCGGAACTTTCTATTTGTATAGCATCTTTGACCTGGCGGTCGTTGAGACCTCTGAGTAGCTAAGGCAAAGCATGCCTTAAGTCACGATTCCCGCAATCTTCGATTGGTACGAGCATATGGACACGATTTGATTGAGCGCTAGACTGTGTACATGCGAGTAGATTACAATTACAATTGACAATTTTTTGAAGTACAATCCGGAAGAAAAGCAAGGCACTCTCAACGACTGACGCTTTTCGCTTTAGTGAGCGCAATCATGATGCACCAACGTCCTGCACAATGCCCTGTAAGCTACAGGCTCATTCATGCCTTCATCGTCATTTTCTTTTGTCCCTTGCGCTGGCTCTTCTCCCGCTCCTTCTCCAAAAACTTCCTCTGATCCTCAGCGCTCAGATTTTTCAGCGAGGCATCACGCTTCTCCTTCTTTTCTTTATCCGCCTTGAGTTTACGCTCTTCGGCTTTCTCCGAGTCGTCAATCTTACGAATCTTCTTCATTTCGTCTTCGCGTGTTTGCTTCACACGGCGTAGGGCTTCGGCGCGGAAGCGACCACCTGAGACTAGAGAATCCACTATGCGGATGGCAGATTGAAACAGTGGTAGGTGGGCGCTGTATTTATCATTGGAAGGAATTCGAAGGGACAGAGTAGTGCGCTTCTTGGGCACGAGCTCGTCGAGCCTACATTATGTCAGCGTGCACCAATGGTGCAAGGGGTTAATACATACTTCTTCGGTTGGTCTATTGGCATGTCTGTGATAATGATGGCTTCAAAATTCTCTTCGCCGGCCGTTTCAATGGCTTTAATCAAGTCCGCGGTCAATAGTGTGTCTGTGATTTCCGCGCTCTCACTCATAACGGTTGCCCAAGTAGGTAGCTTCGCATTATCCTTAGTGGTTGTGAGGGAGAGGTCGTAGCGATCGTCGCGTAGACGCTTCATCAGATTCTTGTGGACGACGGCGAAGACGAAGCCATCGTAGGTTGAATTACCGGATTTCTTCACACTCTCCGCGGAGGGTACTAAACTGGACTCGCGGCCGTCGAAATTGTATATCGAGACTTCCATGCGCTCTTCTGAAGCAGGCAAACTCTCAAAGAAGAAACCCAGAGCTATCTCTCCATATCGCAAGATAGGATTATATCGCTTCACAAACGTAAGTTTGACGTCCATAAAAGCCACGTTCTGGCGACCAGTCGCGTATGTTATAAATTCGTTTGCAGCCTTCTCTTTGAGTAGCTGCTCTGGTACAACCATATCAAACGCCATGCCTGCCAGGCCCTGGGAGGCAGCTTCGTCAATGTTCGGGGTCTTACGTGTATCACCGAATCCGATCACTGCGAACTCTTGCTGCATTACAGGCGCATGCGCCGTTGCCCAGCTCTTTGCCTTCCGACGATTGACCCGTATTCCATAGAAGTGAAATAACAAAATAAGCAAGATGAATGGCGCAATCATCATCTCCAGATAGAAGTCGGACGCCTGCGTGCGTTCCCATACACGATACCATTTTGTGAAAGGTTTGGCGGTACCGGTAGCAAATGGGGCTGATGGTATCGATGGATCTGATGCTATGGATACCGGAGATGGATCAGGGGCTTCAGCAAAGTCGGCAAAGTCTGTAGAGGGATAATTGTCAGTCAATTGATGCTTCAGTGACTTATGAACAGTGGACTGGCGTAGAACACACCGGCATCGGTTGCTGGCGCGTGCGACGGAGTGCTCCCACTACCGAAGAATTTATTGAACAAGTCAGCCATCTTGTAGACGTTGTTGTAGCTATAGCGTCACTGGATTGTGCCCAGGAACTGGTAAGTTGATGCAATTGTCGCCGGTGATGAACGCGCTGCGCCCGGGCAAAAAACGGGTGAGGTAATTACCTGCCCATGTATGTCGGTATCGAAACTAAGCAACAGTGGGGCTGAATTGAGGATCCTAGGCAGCACAGCATCGAATTTCAAGATGCCCAAACGTCTGTGACATGACTAATGTGTACTGTATATACTTCATTATCGTATAAATATTGTGTGAAGACTAACTTTGCCAAAGTATCAAGACAAGAGAAAGATCAAATACTGCTTAGGCAAACACGAACTCCATGGGTACGAAGGAGACAAGAAGTCAATACAACAAGTTCCACTTAGTACACAAAAGGCATCATTGTAGTGCCTGGTTTACTCTATTGTAGCTATACATGGAGCTTTGTCATCGCATTACAAAGAGGAGTTGGTCCTTGATAGGTTGCTGTACTCGATCCGTTAGAACCCTAACCTTCGCCGAACCAAGTCTTGTGGCCCTGTTGTACTTGTTAGCTTTGTTTTGTTGTGACTATCCTTAAGTGGTATGCGGAAGCACTGGATCAGGGCGTGCTAAGGAGCTCCCATTTTGAGATCGCACACGTCCTCGAGAGGCGCAAAGCCTCCCTGATGATTCCACATTGAGATCTGATCTGATCTAGGAGTGATGAACCTACCAATACCATGCGGCACATGCAGTAAGTGGATGCTAATAACATTAGCACTTGCAATAACTGGCTTCAAAGGAACAGCGAGGTCGAAAGGCTTACCACCGAAGGAGCCCCACAACACTGCGTAGTATGGGTAAAGCATGTATTTACTACGGGGAGTCTGATGCAGTCCAAGTCAGCAGAGATTCCATGTCTTCCACTTTTCATCCATGTGTTGTCTTTGTGGCACGAGGTGGGTGGGACGCGTTTGCTTCAAGGTCGACGTAGACGCCAGCTGTGTAAGCGCGTATAGCATCTCTACGCACCTTGTTCCATTGTCTGACTCCGTCGTTTTTCTGGAATAGCCTCTGGTAGTGAGGGACGTTATTTTGGCGATAGATAAAGCTATGCAAACCGTCAGCGGGAAGTTGCGAGAAGAAGTAAGTCGAAGCATCTCAAAGTCGAAACCGACAATGAATCGACTCCTCGGTTCGACGGAGAACGTACCCTGCAGCTCTACGAAGTGTTGGTTGCATATTGAGTGGAGATGGAAGTCGACGTCCGGTGTCAATTGAGGTTCGGCGTTGCAAAGACTGAGAGGTCTCAGGGTGTGAAGTCAAATCGCGATACCGTAGGTTCCTGCCTCAGGCCTCTACGCTAGGTAGCAATTAGTGTCTGTTCCTCCGCATTTGGATTTGTATAACTGGGTTTAACACTTTGTCATTCTGAGAGTTCTGTCTGACAGAGTCTGCCATTCTTGATCGTTCAACCATCTTGCGCCCATGCCCACGGCGCTAGAGAGGCTTCTCGTCCGATCGACCACCTTGCGACTACTACGTACAATCCTTACCCGCGCGGAAATACTTTCTCTACATACGTTGAACCTACATCAATGCTGTCGAGCACAACTATACAGCAATGCGGTGCGACCTGATACCAAAAACCAATTTCCAGTACTTCAGTCCTCGACCAAACAGCAGAGAACAGGACCTTCTGAAGATGGCGACATCGCTGTCAAAAACAAACAGCGGAAACGCCCGAACCAAAGAATACGGAAGACTGAGACGGACTCCTTACTGAGGATCCGAAAATTCGTTACTGTCTCGGACGTTCCTACCTTATCACACTCTGAATCTTTGCGAGCGACTGCCAACGTAGACCAACATATCGATAACGAATCGCTACCAAAGCAAAAATGCGGGCAGGACGAGAAACACAAAAGCCATCAGTTGGACGAGAAGCCGAGTACAGTTGCAACACCCATAATACCGCGACTATTGTCCGCCGTGCCCCTGCCAGTCCGGCGTATTAAACCTAAGATACGAAGTCCTTCCGTAAGGCATATTGTGCGAAGTCGTAGTGTACAAGATAATATGCAGAGTGTTCGCGTGCAACATGACGTACGCAATCGTCGGGCAATGTACAGGGTGAGGAATAGTATCCGAATCCGCCGTATAACCGTTAAGGCGAGGCATGATGTGCGCGTTCGTGGCGTCAAACACCTGTTGCGTAGTAGACAAGTGAGAAAACACACCTGCCTATCGTCGGTTCAAACAGACATCCGGGACTTTGACGAGTCCCCTCTAGGTTCTAAGGCTTCGCTAGATGGTCAGGTAACACCTAGGCCCGATGATGGCATTATTTCTGGGGCGAAGACGATTCCGAGACGTTCACACCCTCTCAAAGCCCCTGTCGTTCAGGAGAACCGTAGAGAGAGCTCTCTACAAGTAGATCTGCTTCCCGATTATAAGACTTGGGCACAACTCCTGAAGAAAGGTCGAGGACGCATTGAACAGGGGGCTCTCAGGGATATTTGGGACTCGATGCAGAAGCAGAACATCAGCCTCCCTGTAGGTGGCCGTACATCACAGATCATCTGGGACACTCTTATGATGGATTCTACTTTGACGGAAGCGATTGTTCAGCATGCTTTGGACGTCCAAGAGAGGCGAGGTGAAACACACCCGTCGCTCTACGAACAGGCTATTAGGACCCATCTCGTCCAAAACCCTTCCAGAGCAAGGAAGCTGCATGAAATGATGCTCGGCCGTTTATCCGTGTCCGAAACCTTCCTTCGAACCATCGCTCCGTCACTACCTGCTGATAGAGAAATCCTTGCCGTATTCCGAGACATATACGAAGATACAAACCAGAGCGATGTCTATGATGCGCTCATGCCAAGATTGCTCATGTCTGACGCTCAAGATCTCGCTATCGACTGGCACAGATATCTTGTCAATAACGATGACGTACCTTCGAACGCTGTTGCGGAACGCTTCGGTATTCAGGGTGGTCAAGTCCGACTCCCCCGTGCGCAAGCAAGAGAGACGTCTACTAGATGCATTTCTCAGCATCAAGATAGCGTTAGCTTCCAGCAGGCACCTGCCGATCACCATCAGAGTTTACATTCGGATCCTCGCGCTCCCATTGTCCAATCGACTGGCACAGACAAAGGCGATACGATATGCGCAAAGCTATTCGCTACCAAGGTTATATCCGTAGATACAGCCATCCATGGCCTTGCTGCGTTTGGTGTTACAAATATTGGCTCTGTTGCATTTAGAGAATTAGCTCTCCGGCTTGAATCATCCCGCGAAATCCTTCATAGGATGGATGACCTCAAGAGCCATAGCGTCGCAGTCCAAAACAGCGTGTTCGTTAATGCCGTGACTACTTTCGCGCAAGCAGGTCGTGACGACCTCCTCAAAAGTCTCTTGAGGAGCGACCAGCATCCAGATGTGCTTGAAGACACTGAGCTTCAATTCAACTTGTTGTCTCATTACTTGGTTCGGGGAGACTGGGAGCAGGTGGAGCGCACTCTTCAAGTACTTACACTCGGGCAAGAGAACCGACCTGTTACAGCGTGGAACATTTACCTCCAGGCCCGCATCCGTCATAGCAACATCACGGATCTGGAGCCTGTCGCAAAAGTAATTGAATGGATGTTTTTCTACCGTATACCCCTTAACAAAGAAAGCCATATCCAGCTGAGGAGCATTCTTCGAATGCGTAACACAGGCAGGAGACCAGAACCTCTGCCAAGCGGCTACAGAGGCATGGGTCCCGATGTATTACTAGTCACTAATGTCTATCGGAGGCTGGCTGAGTCCGGGGAATACGTCAGCCGGACCGCGTGGTTGGAGCTGTTGAAACGAATCGGCATGTGTGCTTCCTTAGCAGAGCTACAACGCATATCCTTTTGGCTCCTGGATTTACACGACCGCCGCGAGTACTTCCGCGTCTTCCCCATACAAACCATTCGCGCATTTGTCACTTGGGCGATGCGCAAATCATTAACATGGGAAAATCAAAACCCACGGAACTGGTCTGACGGTATAAGAACCCTTCGTAGACTCCGAAATCGCGGGTTACATATTCCCACGTCTGCAGTGAAAGCCGAGTTACGACATAAATTCACTAATCTGTTTGCCCGCTCCGTGCATTCAAGGAACGAGCACCCGAGGCGCAAGTGGGCGCATTACGCTAGAGCGCGGAATCCGTTCTCATTGAAGGAAATGATTCGCGAATCTGAACTGATATGGGGACGTCCCATGTTCCAGCCGTATGTGAAGAAAGGCAGAAATGACAGCCAAGAACATCCAGGTGCGAGGGGATGAAGTGTAATTAAGAGAATATTACACGGGTAACAATCGAGTAAGTTGTCTACAGTGGACTTAATCTCTCTATGATTCATCTGTAGAGGCAAATGGAAGTGACGAGCTCTGGTGCATGGCTAGGGGTTAAATACTGCGGGAAAGCGACAAACAAATATAGCCACAATATACCACCATCACACGCACCATCCAGTTTCGTTCGCATAGCCCCTGAAGCGTACGGATAACATCAACGCACAGTCGTGCCGCATCACGCACAATATCGCCATACATAACAAGCCACGATAGAGCGAAACATAACTTTTGTACTGGAGTCTGCGGGTGTGAAGTATCCATACAGATGGAGTTCGTTCGCTCTGAACACTGCCGGTCCAGGCGGCAAGCCTTCAGATCTACTAGAACACAAACGAGGACATGCCACACATAGCTAGAGTGTGACCGTGTATGTATGTAGTGTGATCAAAGTCGCTCGTCCGCTCCGTGTGGAAGGTGAACCTGATGTATTATGGGGAAAACCTGAAGGCAGGTCAGCGCAAGTATAACCGTCGGTCAAGCTCACCATGCGCTAACGCTAGTGACTATCATTGTCATGCAAAGGGACAGAAGACCGTACCGCTCGCCCTGAAGCCACCGCCAGGCCCAATTTCCCTGGTCGACGCACGATAATAGGACATAAAAGTTCAGACCCTGATATGGGAGATTAGGCTCCCAGGGCGGAGCTTGAAGACAGACATCAGCAGATTTCGCTGGTTGTCAGCGCAATGCTGTGACTGCTATACAGGAACAATGGAAGAAGAAAAACGGCAAGGGGATACTGGCTATGGACTTGAGTGGATCTATAGTCGAGACTGTCGGGTAGGCCTATGGCCTGTAATCAATGAAGTAGCCGCCTGTCTTTGACCAAGAGTCTGTCAATGACTAGTAAAGTTGTGAAACAGATCTGAAGTACCGCCTGATACACGCCACAGGCATTGTTACTCTCGGTCAGATCAATAAAGATGCCGTTCACACGAATGGTAGGCAACGAAGGGAGAGACTTTGGCTATGCTTACAATCAACGACTTGTTTGTCCGGTATTCTGAGCACTCTATCCCACAATGGTCGATTGTCCTCACCATCCGCTGACAAGTTGGGGGTTTTCTAGATCATGAACTCAGAGTCGGAGTGGAGTTGCGATATAAAAAGCTGATTGAAAAGAAATTGTGCATGAGGTCAGAGCTAAGTACTCTCGTCAAGGTGCTTTCCGGCGATCCGTTGTTCCGTCATATTCACTCTTGCAAATGGGCTCTCACTCAGGGGTAGATTGTCTGGAAGAGGTAAACACAGGGCATCAGGGCGCCTTGAGAAGGTCAAGAGTCATCATGTCATATCTTTGTGTCATCGAATACAGCTTATTCGATAGCTATGCCTGTAGCTAAATGCTTTGGTCTTCCTATCAACTCTGGTTGGCTTCTCTGTATAACAAAAGTTCACGCAAACCACCACCCTCAAGCTGCGAGCTACTTGAAAGCTTGACAGATACATTGCAAGATATATGCTACCTAGCCAGCAGTCTATCTAGGGTTTCATACTCTGTTCGATCACCTAGGGCATTCGGGATTCGCATCAGCACACTGACTACAACCACAGTGTCCGTTCAATGGACAACCACGCGATACTCGAGCATTAATGGCCTTGAATAGTTAGATAAGCAACTTAAGATAAAGCTAGGAGACTTCCACTCTGTTGAAGTTTCCTCATATCAATGAAACCATCTCATCTTACTCCAAACAAAACAAATCATGACAAGAGCGCAAAGAAGAGCGAAGAAGAACAAATGAGGAATACTTACAGGCGACGAGATAATAGACCAATGAAGAGATGCATGACCCATGAATGCTCTACAAAGTGTATAAGCCAGTCAAAGTGGAAGTCGCCTCCAACTCAGTATGAGTACCTCAAACTAAACAACGCTATCTCATTTGAAGGTATGTCAGGATTTTAGCGATCTCGAGACGCCCAATGATCGCGTTTCGATATCGTAGAAACACTGCATATCTTTCTACTTGAAATAAACGCCAGCTATGCAATACGTCGAGAACCAGACGGCATCATCCGAAACCATTCTCGTGGAGCACTGCACTGCCTCTATACACGGAAAAAGCCTTCTTACGAAACGCAATCCAACGTGGCATAGCCATCGCTTCACGAGAAATCAACGATACTCGGCAACAGACCTGGCGCCGAGAGTCTGCTATATATCTCTACATTACGAGGCTCACTTACGAGTCCACGGTGGACTCGAAATATCGTATCGATGTAGCAAAAGTCGAACAATCCTGCAGAAGCTAGACTGATTCGATTATGATTCCGGACGACCTTCTCATCAAATATAATGCCAACTGTAAAGCGTTTTGTGGCAAATTCGTTATCCTCCCTAGGACGATGAATGGGCAATTCCGACTAACATTCTACTGTATAGACTAATGTATAAGAATGGTAATAAACCATATAAGTCCAGCAAGGGCAAGAAAGAGACGGGAAAAAAATCAAGCGCCAATAGTAACACATTCCAGTTAAGTAACAGTTCAAAGCGATATTTCAGATATAGTGTTACACGTCTCGCACGACACATAAGAATGCGTTTGCTCAGACCTGACCTTTCCAAAGCTGACGTATCAAATAAATAAAACCATGCATCCATGAAGGAGGCATCAAGTAGGAAGTTTCAAGACCACTAACATAACTAACCTGGCGCAATAAGTGGACGAAAAGGACCCAACTCCACATCTGGCAGAGCCATATATATATAGCATATATACAACCACGCCTTATCAATTCCATCTGTCTCACACCACACCAAAGATAAACACCCAGCAACAAATTCCCGAAGCAACCATCCCACACCCAACTGTATTCACATTCCTAGCGCACAGACCTCTCCTCCCCTCTCCCACCCTACGAAGAAAACCATAAAATTCAAACAGCATCGAATCAGATCAGCCATACCTTCCCTGCTTCTAGTAACCGCAAGCTCAGGCAAGAGATCTGAGACGAGCTATGTTTGTGCTGTATTTCTTCTGGGTGAATTGAATATAACATATGAGCAGGAGATCAGATGTTCACAAGGCACCACTACCGCGAACAAGGTAATATCGAATAAGAAGAACCAAAAGAGTGTTATAAATTCCTCTAACCCAATAACCCAGCCCACAAGTCGTGCCAGTGATACATACGTACAAAACATCCATGAAACCCTGCGGAACACATAGTCTGAATAGTTGTATGTACCACCACGACCACTTCCACCACATTCTATCCGTCCGACCCCTCGCCTGCGCACCAAACACTAAAGTAGAAAAAAAGAACGTTCAGAAACAAAATTTATTCGCACCCAACGATCGAAACCTCACATATCGCATATTTCCACCTCTTAACCCCTTTATCTCTCTTTCAAAAGAACGTATATATTTTACCTATAGATACCTTCCATACCGATCCTCCTCTTTCATAAAGATCCATATATGTCCATACCTATACCTAAACACACGTTCTGTCGCAGGAATATATATCCCAATATGGAATATATACCTCCTACCCCTCTTCACCTAATAGGTGTCCATCCATTTAAAACCCCGTCTTTTACATGACGACGCAGGAATTGTGATTACCACCTACAGGCCCGCCTCGGGGGCGGACAGCGGGGGCGGCAATGTCTTCGTTGACGTCTGCCTCGTTGACGGAACGAGTGACGGATTCGATGACTGTGAGGGGGTCTTCGGGGGTGCGTTCGTGAAGGCTGGTGGGTGGGTGTGTCAGTATGTCTACTTCGAAGGTGGGGACAAGGAAGCAAAGAGAGGAGGAAGGGAGTCCACGGTGGAATCTAGGTATCCGAGGTGCTTCATATTGGATAGTTTGATGATGTGATGATGTAGGCTATGCATATCCCTTGGATAGTAGGAGGATAATGATAGGAAAGAATACATACTCTGCAATAGGGACATCAGCATCGACAAGGTCCCTGGTAGAGAACGGCAGAGCGTTATCGAGGGCGGCGGCCTCGACAGCACGAACGGCGTGCGAGGCTTGAACGGCGGGAAGATACATGGTGAATAATTCTGTTCTTCTAGTCGTCGTGGTATTGATAATTGAAGCGGGGATGTTGAGATACAGAGTATGATATCTTTCCTCGAGAGCAAAGAGAGAGAGAGAAAGAGAGAAAGAGAGAGAGAGAGGGAGAGTCGGAGAAATAGAGATAGAGGATGAGTAAGACAAGATCTCGAGATCTAGATATAGAAAATTTGTCCGCGTGCTTGTTTGAGCCAGCCAGAACAAGGACCCGTCCTTTGCAGCAGTTTTAATACCTTTCTTTCAGAGAGAGAGAGAGTGGTTCTGTACCGTCTCGATCCAGATACGGAGCTGAGATCGTGAACGGATCAAGATTGGGATGGGTTTGGAAAGGAGATCCTGAGATCTGTCTGTAATCTGGGTTGAGGAATGGGAGCCAGGCCCAGGGGCTGCCGATTTTCGACCCATGCTCTATGCTCTACGACTCAATACCTGCGACCCTGGCGGCGTCAATACTATGGTGGCAATCTGCAAACATGCTTGTGGATCCGCAGAACAATACGAAGAGGTCCGCATGAGCCTGTTATTGTTGACTCGAAATTGACAGTGGCGAAAGGCAAAGTATGAGCCCGCTGTCGACACGGAATGAGTGAGGCAGCATATGCAAATGCGAGGCTAAAAGATAAGTAACGATCAGCCTTGTTGTTTGGGTGATACCACCAATAATGTCTGTTTCGTAGAAGAGTTGCCTTAATCAGGCGTATCAGGCTCCAGTACCGCAACTAACGCCATACATCCTAGTGTTGAGCTCATTAGTCGAGAATGAAGGTTGAAATCAGCGTGAGGAATGGAGGGTGGGATGGTCTGGTGATTTGACCAAGGCCTCATCGTCGTCATGGTTCCATCCTTTGGATGTTGTTGTCAAGCCCGTTGGCTCGAGCACCGTTCTTAGTATTGTTCCCCATGTCGCCAACACCACACTAGCCCCAATCCAGCAATCAGATGCTGGTATGCTCAGTCGCATAACATGCAGAGTCGAGGATGTGATCTATAACGTCGCATAGACTTCAAGGATTATGTGTGATTTGATGTGGGTATTTGTGTATCTGCTACTCGTAGACCATCAAGCCAAGGATGGCTGCTCCAGCCAGTCTCATCATGTGTCAACGTCGGCCTGCCCAACATGCAGCATGCTTTCCACCATTTGGCTCAAGTATAGACCTCTTCGGTGAAGGCATTCAAGCCGAGACCTTCCTTGGCAATGTCCTCTTCCTTGAGGAAAAGTAATGGCATCTCCACCAACGTGCCCTTGATCGTACTGAGAATCTCCTTGACTTCCTTGACACCCTGTTCACCAGGGGGGAATTCCTCCGCCACAACATGTCCCCACTTGTACTTACTTGGTTTCTTCTCTTTGTTGTCACCGTCCTGTTCGTGGAAGAAGCGTTCGTAGTACTCATCATACTGCTTCCAATTTCGGACCGAGTCGCTAGGCACGGGGTGGAATACGCGGCCAAAGGCATCAGTATTGGCCCGGGCGCGCTGGTTCCAGAAATTCAAGAACTCGTCAGATAAGGGATCAGTCACCAAGATATCTTCGTACGAGCCCCAGTCGTAGATGTTTGGGACCCCAATCGGTTCATAATTCTGATCCGGGTGATCCATGACTTGTGGCTTAAGTAGTCCAAGATGCTTTCGGAAGATCTGTCTTCGCAGACTTGAAGCAAAACGCGACCCTCGCCACGGCCTGCCATCCATGAGTCCCTCCACTGGAGTTGGATCGTTGACAACGATTGCAATTTCAGAGTCATGATCACCCAGCTGAGAGCGATCGTTAAGATTTGCTGAGCCACAAATGACAATTCGGTCATCAGCGATGAGGAGCTTTTTACATGTCAGCTGGCCAAATCGCCTACAAAGCTGGTAGAGACATACCTTGGAATGGACGTAGAGTTCTTCGCTCACGAATGCGTCAATCTCATCCATTGCACCATGTTCCCATGGTACATTGCGAATATCTTCACCACCAAGCATGTAGCACTCAGATACGCTGTCCCACCTGCCACCAGCCAAGCCCTTTCGATCAGAGATGCCCTGAGCCCCTTGTTGATACTGCTGGTATGCGTCCCCGCCCAACCCGCGCGAGCAATTTCCGTCCATTTCATGGACATTACCAGGAATACTAGCCGGAGCCTGTGACTGGTAACTTTTGTAATTACTCTCCTGAGAGTATTGCGCCGGCCCAGTATGGTCAGATCCGTTTGCAGGCATTCCTGGTCGATAAGCTTGGTATGTTGTCTGGTTGTCTGATGCATAAACGCCTCCAAAGGCCGCGTCGTGCTCCTTGCGGGCGTCTTCATACCTGACACCGCTCTGTTTCTCAGCTTGCGCCATGACGCCGCTGACATTGATTCGATCATAGCTTCGAAGGTTGTAGAATCTGATGTATTCCATCGGGTTAAATCCCTGTTGGGCGATCCTCTCGTAGATACTGTTTCCCCCTCGATTGATCGAATCATACTGAAACTCCATAATGGCCCTCGTGCTCAATGCATCGTCGGACTTGAGATCGCCTGCAAAGGCAGGGACTGCTGGAATGACAATGATCATTTTGTACTTTTCACCTTTCCTTGCTGCTCTGAGAATACGTTCGACCATGGCTTCACCAATCTTGTTTTTGATGGGCCTCTGTTTGTCGCCAGTCGCAGTGATGAAGAATTGGTTCTCAATATACACAAAATGCTCGCTGTTACGAATTACCTCGCAATAAGCGTTCTGAATGGAGTGCTGCGACGTGTCAGTAAGTGTGACATGGCCTAGATAGTATACTTACCTCGAGGCCACCGCCGTGGCTCCATTTGGCGCAACTTCTTGTGATCTGACAAGATGTCCCGCCTGGACCTTGAGAGCTTGTTGGCCGTGAAACGCCATAGTGACTTCCGATACGGTGCTCGACATGCTGGAAGCCCTGATTCAAGCGATCCTGAAGTTGCCCACGCAGGCCGCCTTGATCCTGACCATGACTCTGTGCGAGGCCGAAGATGCCACGTTCACCTTCACCGCCGAAACCGCGTTCTTCGCCTTCGACGTCTCTTTGCTGCCCTTGAGGTGTAGCGCTGACAGTTGTAGCTCTCTCCGGAAGGAGAGCATAACGAGGATCTTTGTGGGAGTACTTCTCTTTGAACAAAAAATTCCAACGCTGACTGAAGTGGCTTTTCAAATCTTCCACAGCGGGACCTGTCAAGCAAAGAGACACATCGGACCATCCCATACGCGAGCTTTTCGTACGATCCAATTTATTGTTCTCCCAATTCACAACGTCCTGGAAGTCCATGATTCGGGCGTTGTTATAGTCCTGTCCAGGGAAGACGATATTGTCTAGATCCCCAGGGTGGGCATCCGATATTGGGTGCTGGTTAGTGTCCCAGCGACCGTAGCAGAGGTCAAGTCCACCCATGAAGGCAGTGCGGCCATCGATAAGGCAAAGTTTCTCATGATGCGCCCAATAGAGGACTGTGCCTTCGTGTACCCCATATATTCCTTCTATGGTTTGTCCTGGTAGTTTTGCTATTGAGGCTGCTGAAAGAGAGAGGTTCTGCAGTGAGCTTAGAAAGGACGACGTGAGAACCTTTTGGTCCGGTAGATGGTCGGGGTGCCGGAACACAGCAATGTTGGGATGCAAATCTTCGAGTGCATGTTTGGTATGCGATGAGGACACTGTGAGAGGGGGAGCTATCAGCGGATTGTCCTTCTCCCATTGTTCCAAGGAATTGAATATGACATCCAAGCCCACCCGCGATATGAATTTAGTAATACGATCGGTGGTTTTAGGAAGTAGGGAGTGGAGGTAATCGGGCAGCGTGGGATTCAGCAACTTACGGGTGAGAGCTTGGGTGACCTTTTAAAATGATTAGCATACACAACTTGGCGGGCACTCGTTGACTGACCTCTTTATAGACTATAATGTTGACTTTCACACCTCTTTCTGCGGCCGCTTTGAGCATGCGGTCTACCCGGTATTGCTGATTCTTTGCTGGAGGGCGTCTGAGATATAGCTCAGGTGAGAGCCACCCTGGAAATGTCAGCCATTGCATAAGTCCTATTGAAAGGTAACCGACAATCGAGAATCCAGATTGATTCCCTAGCACGTTCCAGAGCCACCGAAACTGCCCACATGTAGCCACAGCCGTCAACATACCACTTTATATCATTTCCGCCAGTTCGCTCCGGTGCAAAACTGTTGAAGCGATTGCCCGTGGTCGAGTCGGTGCTGGGGTTAGCAGGTGCTCCGCTCGTTGGCCTTTGTTGATTATTAGACAGTCTCTCTTTCACTTCTGAGCCTAGACCATGGACAAGGCCGTGGGCTTTGTCAAATAACGAGGACATGCCTCCTGAAGGTTTCTCTGGGCCTGGCTGCTCGCCATATGCTAGGTGAGGTTGGTATTGCTGAGTGACACTCTACATAGCATCATCGTAAGCATTGGGTCATTGTTGACGTTCAAGAGCGGTTGCAGCATACTGTATCGCCCTGCTGAGGCTTCTTGCCTCCGCCGAAGAAGCGTCTTCCCACATCACCGATAAAGCCTCGTTCGCCGTCCGTTGACTGGGCATCTCCGTGGAATTCGCCATAGGCCAGATTATCATCATGATCGCTGTGTCGCGACATGATGAGAAAGTCTTGGCGTGTATAGATAAGGGCTTATTGAGCCATTGAGAGCAAAGCGCGGATAGAAAGTCGGGCACGCTTGAGGAGATCGGTGGTGGACTAGTTATCAAGGTTGCTGGTGATGGTATTGCGAAGATGAACTAATTACAGTAATCACCTAGTACCTCTAGACGCATGCCTGGAAGGACGGACAAGGTGCCAGCGAGTGCCACAAGCTGAACTGCCCCTCTCTGCCCCGCCATCAAGCAGCTATCAGGGTGCCCAAAGTCGTCGACATCAACACCATACTGGCTCCATCCACATAGACATACAAGAGATTGCAACATGCATCAATCACTGACGTTACCAAGTAGTTACATAGGTCAATAGCTAACCAGTAGACGAATCCATCATTGTGACCGGATCTCATGGATCGTGATAGACAGCTACGTAGGCAGTCAGTCCCTCTTCTCGTCAGCCAAGCGGAGCCACGCCCAACTTCGCTTCGTTTTTGCCTATCATCGCCGTCATTAATACCGCTTTGCTACTTCATGGCTTGAGGGGAGATCGTTGAAGATAATTAGGTCGTAGTCACAATCACAGTCACAATCACCACTCATCTCATATCAATCGCGCCGTTCTCGACTAATCGAATCAATCGATTGACTTGCAACCTGTAGCACTTAATTACTGTAATCAGTTATATCCCGGATAAGTCTTTCGTTCGACCCGCTCGGCCGCTTCTCGACTCTATAAAAGTCCTCCACTCCTCCATTGTTACCACGATGCCTCTCTTTACCCGCTTTGCATCTCATTCCTTGGCTTCGTCATCTACTTTATTCATCAAACAGGCTCCTCGTATCGTCGCATATCAACCCTTTCGCCGCATAGTCACTCAGCCTTCTTCCAACATGGCCGACGCAACAGCAGCTCCTGCACTTGCTACCCTTGATGTGGCTTTGCCGATCCCAAGCTCAAGTGACCATGGAAGCTGACAATTCACATAGGCTTCTCTCATCCCTCGTCTCCCCGTATGGTGCCCAACTGTTTTCGAGGCCAAGAAGAAGCTGAATCTGTCGTTTGCCGACATTGCCAAGGAAGTCGGCCGTGACGAGGTTGCCATTGCTGCTCTTTTTTACGGTCAGGCCAATGCCTCGCCAAAGGATATCGAGGTGCTCGCAAAGGTCCTCCAGATCCCAGAAGCCATCCTCCAGGATCAAATGAGTGGTCTCCCAGATCGTGGCAGGGCTGTTGACATGCCTCCCAAGGACCCTCTCATCTACCGTCTGTACGAAATCGTTCAGAACTACGGTTACGCCTACAAGGCCGTGCTAAACGAGAAATTCGGTGACGGCATCATGAGCGCCATCTCGTTTTCAACAAAGGTAGAAAAGGAAACTGATGACAAGGGCGACTGGGTCAAGATTACCCTCAGAGGCAAATGGTGAGTCTGCTTAGCCTTCGAATGAACTTTACTGAGCAGCACAGGCTTCCATACACCAGATTTTAGTTAGATATGAGTTGTGAAGGTTGTTTAGAACAACTTTCGTCACATAAAAATGTAGAGCTATGACCACTTACCAGATTTTATACTGTGTTAGAACTAGTAAACGTCCCGGCTTTTATATTCTTTTATTCGTCTGATCCCCCTCTGTTTGTGTTCTTCACGTCGCCTTTTCATATATGTCTAGAAGTGTTATTCCAAGTTAGTCTAAGCGCTGTTTTCGTTTCTGGAAGCTCTTGAATGGAGCAGCAACAACTAACATCCTCTGTTGTTCACTTCACATATCCAGTCGTATCACTCATCTCTCCATATACTTACCTATCCTAGTTGCCACGTTTTGAGGTAGCAGTATCTATACGCACGTCCCATGTCCCATTGAGACTGGCTGATAAGCTGTCGTTCATACAAAGATGGGTGTCCCTATTGATAGCATCCCTCTTACAACCTTTTCCCCTTGTCTACTATTGTGATATCTGTAACTGAGAATATCATTTACAAATGGAGTTCAACGCATCCAGAGATGGCGAACCAGGCCTAAGCCGTCACAGGACCAATACTATGTCTACCGACGATACCTCGACCACCCCTGGCTCTCCCTCGTATCTATTGTCGCCGTCTTCGTCCACAAGCTACTTCGACCTCCCTTCGTTCCCACCAACCAGACGAATCTCCCAGATCGGCTGGGGTGAACCTGACAGCCCCGACCGTAGCTTCGCGTCCCCACGCTTCGCCGGTGGTGAATGTGTTGCGACCATGGCTGAACGTAAGCGCGCAATACGCGAGAGACTACAAGCTGAATTCTACACCCGGCCAAACGAGTGTAAGTCGTGATCAAAGGACAACCATGAATGTGCACTTAACCAATTCTACAGCTCAAGCTTCGTCCCAAGAGTGTCTTACAAAGATTACCACGAGCGAAAGCCCCGAACAGCACCACGGTGAAGAAGTCACTGAGCAATCGCGTCGCCGCAAGCGCAAGGGCAGCTTTATTAAACTTGTGAAGAAACTCGTTACTGCTGGCACGTCGCCTAGACATTCTTCCATATCCATTCACTTACAATCAACAGCGGCCACAAGCACCCGCGAGCCACTCCTCTGAAGTCACTCTTGCTGAGGGGATTATTGTGATGTAATCACACTGTCATCGTATCAAAGATGCGCTCTTCAAGAGATAAACTGACGGGAAGCAGATCTGTCGAGCCCCAAAATCCTTGCCATGTATGGCTTCTCCAGCCTCCATAACCACTTCTATATCGCATATTCCGCCGGAGTGTCGAGAATATCTCGCGTCACATCACATTACGTACAACCACGTCTTGCAACGCTATACTTACCCTATCTGTACTCTCTATTTGGGAAAAAATTACTCGTCTCATCGAGACGTGCTATATGAAAGCTTTATCTACCCTGTTTGGATCCATGGTTAGTAGTAAGGTAGTTGCTAACGTCAACCTGGACACAGGGCGGTAGCGCCCCTCTACATACGTGTTGAACACTTTGGTATATGGAGCTCAGGGGAAAATCCACATTAGTTCTATTGCGTTCAACTTTCAAGGTGTTTCCCTTGGTCATTCTCGTTCCGTCTTATGCAACGTGCAACTAAATTTTTGACATTCGTACTCTTTGTTCACGTCCATAACCGTGAACATCTCAACTCAATTTCAAGTCTCGATAAGTAAATTTCGAACATACTCCGAGTTCCTTAGTCTTAAGGTTAACTTAAGTAAGGTTAGAGGATTCATGTAGACCGAGACAGCAATGCCTTCGTAGCATAAGATTGTCGCTGTTCTTTAGTAGATTACAAGGTGATAGGTACGCTATTGTGCATCGTTCTTTATAGCCTCAATTCACTCCTAACTGCTCGGTATCGATTCAAGTTGTGACTCTGGAGCTTACATGGGCAACAACGAACGACACACTGATAACCCCGCACTTCGAACTACTATAGCCTCAAGTTTGTTCACTCTCAATCCAGGATCGAGTCAAACACTGCCTAGCTGAGCCCGTGCACGGTTCAAGTCTTTCATATGTTTTCCAGTCTTAACTCACACCAAGCCCTCCTACCTCGTTCATTTGACGCCTTATCAACATATCAGCCCCCGCGAGACCAATCGGCTCCTCAAGTTACCATGAAGAATCCAGACAGGTGTGACGTCTGCTCATGTGTGTATGTCCATGTGGATAAAGGTCCACCTTGCAGCATCTGCGCCAATGGCTCTCACATTGCTCACCTCCACCTCCCGACGGATAAGCCTGACAAGTACACGAGATGGGAATGTCTTGTTGCCAACTGCACGGTAAAAGACGAGCTCAAGTTCTTCGAGAAGCACATGGAGAAAGATCACTTCTACTGTCGAAAGTGCCACGCTGCCTTCAAAGATTGGGAGACGCTTGTAAAGCATCGAATCAGTTCTCCCCTGCACTACGCGTGTAACTTCTGTGGTATCGAGTTCAAGAGCATTCATGGCATCAAGAGGCATGTCCAATTGGTAAGTCAAGATACCAATCCGTATCCAACATAAGATATTTCATACAGTGCCTCACTGATAATTGGCCATCAGGACCATCCTCCGAAGCAAAACCTCAAGTGTATCGGTTGTGGTGACATGTTTGACCGAGCTGCCTCCATGGTCAATCACCTTGAGCAAGGCCACTGCGCGGTTATAACCCCGCAAGAATTCGCTGGTCACATGCAGCAAAAGATGATTATTGATTCAGTCTTGAGAGACAAACCTAGTGTTCTTCCAGGGCCTAACCACATTCTAGCAGCTGTAGACTTGGACGAAGGAGGAGGTGTCTGCCTTCTACAGGGACACAATATTCTCGAAGCAGATGAAGCTTCTGGACATCCCAAAATTGCCTCGTTGCAACCAGAGAAGAAACCAACCTGCAATAGTACCCGATCGCAGTATCCCTCTCTTCAATCTTCGACTGGGACTTCTGGTCTAGACAGCTTTTCAGGCATGTCAATTTCGAGCAGCGCTGCCCTCTCAAGTAAAGCTGCTTCTTCCACAGTTTCTACCATCGATGACGACGATGGTTCTCAGAAGCCCTGGGGTAGCCAGACCGGTGCATCCAAAACGCTCTTTCCGGAATCAAGACCTACGCCAGTCGACCATGACTGGCTTGAAGGTAAACGACAGGCGGATATAGGCTACGCTCGCCAGAATGGATCCAATCTTTTCAAGGACCGTTATTGGGATCCGTCAAGCGAGCGGTTCAAAGCTGAAGCATTCTTTAATGCTGTGATGGAGTTTTATGAGTGCCCATTTAACCCATGCAACCATAAGTCTTACTTGCCTAGCGATCTGGTCCATCACATCCAGACATCTCATCGAGCGATTGAATACCGATGTCCTTGTTGCTTCAAATGGTTCAAGACTGCTGCGGCTCTTATGGGCCACGCCGAAGCCGCCGGAACTAGATGCAGAATCTCGAAGACTGAGAACTATCGTGAAGCAGTTAACCAATTCTCCGCAGGTTTTATCCAAGCCAACGAGGGAAAGCACCCGGACATACCTGTTCAAAAGGTCGTGGGATATTCGCTAGACAAGGACGATGAGCTCGTGCCCACGTCGACCGAGAGCATCAGACACAACGTCTGGACCTACGAAAGCAGCAAACCTTCCGACTGGGAGTCTGGTCAAGAGCAAAGGAAGGTGGAATACGAGAGAAGCCAGCTCACGGATCCATTCGGCTATAATCAGCGCTACGCTCACATCAACACCGCCACTCATTTTGAAGGTGGCCGGCCTAGTCTGCCTTCAATGATGCATCACGGTAGTCTGTTTCCTGAGCGGGATATTATGGGTGGATCTTCGAGCAAGTATTCCGACGGACTTCGTACACAGCAAGAAGCTCTTCAGGGGTACACGTTACTCGACCCCCAGAAGTTGAAGCAGCAAAAGAAGCGTAATGCTTGGTCGAAATTTGCCGCCGGCATTGAGAGTGTGGACAAGTACAACGAGCTCATCAGTGGTTCTGATGGAGGTAGTATCAAGGTCGATGGCTTCGACAGCGAGGATGAGGGCGAAGCGACGGAGACCGAGTAGGTGTTTGACGACCTAACACCAATATCCAACCCCCTCCTTGGAAGTAAGCATACAACATTTGTGGAGATGCAGACGCAGCTGAAGTCATGGATCAATGACTACTTGGGCAATAAGGGGTCAAACACTGGAGGACATCGCAAATTCCCTGGACGATCCATACATGCTCTTAGCTTGTCCATCAACCGTAGCCCCATTGCATTGTCGTCTTGAACCTTACTCGTTTGCCTCATATTTTCCTCCAACACGTGATTAATACCGATCTAATTACCTTTATAATGCTCGTCATATCACCCTGACCACTCTATACCAAGCTTCATTCCAACCAGAACCGCACCCAAACGTCTCTCTATTGCAACACCATCTGTTCTCATCATTCACAGACTTGGAGAGGAAAGAAGCATAGTTGCCTACTCTTTCGTTCTTCCTTCTCCATTCTTCTTCTTCTTTTTCTCTCCCAACATTCTTGTCTCCTCCACAGGCTATAAAGCCCGCGACAAGGCACACTATATGCACAAAATGACGGGCTGACAATGTGGGAGCAAGACGACCGAGAGAAGACCAAAGTAGAGAGAGGGGAGACAGAGGTAACTACGCAGGAGTAAAGAGCAATGTGTGGTTGGAGAATTGCAGATCTTTAGTAGGAAGAGAAAAAGAGAGCCGTACATTATGCGTCCTCCCTTTTTTGCCCCTTGTCTCATTGACATGGACTACATATGACAAGAGTTCTATTAACATTATCCAAGGGGGCTTTTTCCCGGGTATCAAATATGGACACGGGAAGTTATCGTCGTCGTCGTCGTCGTCGTCGCCGGCGAACACAACTATCGCCTTCCTTCCCCCCTTTTACCCCCGCCAACCCCTTGTCCCTCTCAAACCCTTCCCTACCTTCCTCTCATGTTCTGAAGAAAATCTTTTCCAGCCGTGATAAAACGCCCCTTGTCAAAAAGAAGACACCTGCGCCCTCGTCTTGTGGGCGCCAGCCAAGCGTTCCGCGTTCAGCCGTTACAGAAAGTCCGAGATTCCTCATAATATGTATATGTATAATATACTCCTGAAATTAATTGAGAGCAACAAATTCAGACAGCGCCCTATGTTATTTATTGATTGCCGAAAACGAGAAAAGGCCCTGAAAAAGCCCTGTGATGATATACGAAGAATTTGGTGGTTGATGGATATGTCATCGCGTAGAATGGTAGGCAGGAGGGGTCTGAAGAAGAAAAGACGCTAATTCGCAGATAAAAAGTTCCGTTCTGGGGCGTGGTGGATCTGGTTATATGTCTGGTCGAAGAACCGGTTGCCGAGACTTGCTTTTATGGTTCGGGTCATGATATGTCATGTGATGTGATGTGATGTAGGCTGGCTGTATGTGGAGCGCTTTAATGCGAAAGACTCTGTCCGGAACAGACGACAAGCGCGGAAGAGACGCGCGCATGCCAGGTTCGGCGCGGCCGATATTGTGTGGATGGGAGGCTCTGACTTAGACTCGCAGCTATTGAAGCCGATACTGTTCAGCCTGCGATCTTCCTTTCATCAGATCATCAGGGTCGTTGACCAGCGTCAGACACACCCGTATATACTTCCAAGATCCTTTTCGAAACGAGGGGTTGAGGGATCAATACGTCTCTGGTGTCTCCCACGTTGCCTTCTCACAACCTGTTGCGCCTTCTTCTCTAAAGTCGAAGCCCATCTTCTTGATCTTCTTTATATCCCACCCAGATAAGAAATGCTCGCGCTTGTCCTCTACAGCATGCCCGTATTTAATACCCCATCCGAACCGACATCGTCGCATTGTGTATGACCATTGGAAGCAGTTGAAATCGTTTTCGCACGCAACCCTGCATGCTACGGATGACGTGTGCCCGAGGCCGTTTGGAGAATCCGTGTCGGACAGGTTATCCCAGAAATCGCGGGTGCTTTCCTCGAAAAGCTTGCCCTGTCGGTGATAGAGTAGGGTGGAATGTAGAACAGGCTTCTATATGCAGTATTAGTTGGATGGCTGGGGCAAAAAAAGTAGCGGCGGGCATACCTGGTCATCATATCTCGTTCTCTCCCAATGCCATGTGTCGTTCATCTGCTGACTCGACAAACGATGCATCGCCAGGAGCGGTACACACCAAGTGCGCCGATCAACTTGCACCTTGATGAACTCCTCTCCATTAAAGGTTGGCCATAATCTTTTCATGGTGACGCCTGTCCTGTCATATATCACGTTGGCCAATATAATGTCCCCGCAGCATTCTTCTCTGGCCCATTGCTCATATTGTTCGCTTGGTATCGATCGATCAAAAATGCTTGGACGCAAATACTTCTTCATGAGCCCTTTCGACATGACGAAGCCGGCGCCGCCATAGGGGAAGTGGCCCGCCTTTGAGCCCGCGACTGGGGCCCCGATAAGATGCTGGTCGGTAGGATCATATTGCGACAGAAGTCGAAACATAGTATCCCAGAAGATGTAGCTGTCCGTCTCGATAAAGATGTACCACTCCGCGTTTGGCTTCAATGCATGTGCCTTCTCCACCATCGGCAGAAACTTGAATTTATCCAGCTTCCAGCCTTCCCCTGTGTATTGCATCTCTTCTCCGGCTTGTGCAGCAGCCTTCTGGAGGGCATATGCGTCAAAGTCAGGGTTGTCTACACGGTAGGACTGAGGGAGGTCAGCGAGGACATCGATAAAGTCGTGCTTCCCGCGCCGCTCTTCAAGATCAGACACGACAATAAGATTGTGGATACAGGAGGAGACAGTCGTAAGCTGAGATGCAATCCGTTCGTGCTCTCCAGAACCTGTCCGTAACACGATTTGGATGCGGTCGAGTAGGTGCGAAGGAAAGTTCGAACAGAAGTCAGCATTGCTATTCTCGACAGCGGTAGGGGATAGCGGTGGAAACAGAGCACGAGGCTGCCAGTCGTAGAATGGTATCCGGGGCGGTGGAGGGTCTCTACTCCAGAACAAGAAGAGAACGGTCGTGGAAAGTATGACGAAGACGACAAGAATGAATCGTGCAGGCCTTCGAGCCATGCGCGAAAGAGCGCCGGACAGGGCCGGCGTTGGTGTGAAGGTAGGCATAACGAGTGTCAAGGGTCAAACGACAGCATGGCAGAGAAGTATGGAAGAGGAGAAGGGCGAGTCCGTACTGGTTGTAGTGTTTGGAAAGCTGAAGACGGACAGATTATTTTTCAATGCACCCGAGAGTCTAGAGAGATGTCAATCGCGTGGTCCTCCTGAACCTGGGTCAGGCCAACCCAAAGCAGCCTAGCCGTTTTCAGCCCTTCCTTTACCTGCGGGATGTCAGGGGGAATGGATTGTCAGCTCCGCAAACGGCGTCAGGCCCGCTCCTTAGTCCTTATGGCGTCTGCACTGTTTACTTGTCTAATGCCGATTTCTTGGCTAACACACTTCAGCTTCAGTCTTGGATGCCAAGCCGAAATGGCTGTTGAAGCTACCTAGATCAACAAAGTATCACCATCAGGTATGCGCTTTCTATGCGACACTTGCTATTTGATCAAAACCGAGAGTCAAGCCTCTCTCTCTGCTTGCACGCCTTGGGGCAACATAAGCACTTGGATGAGCAGATACACGCGATTGGTCGCCACTATGGCTTTACCTAGTGTCTTATTGGCGGCCTGCGATACGTCCATCTAAACCACAGTCTTAAAAGCTCCGCTCCGACTGTGGTCAGCACAGTAATGCGAATACTGTCCCATTCAGCTTCATCATCATGGCAAGCAATGAGAGCCTCGTCCGAGCGGCGCCCTTGCCAGACATCCTTCCAACCATCGGCAGCTTCTTCAGGCAAGCTGTAGCATTGTATCCTGACCATGTCGCACTTTCTTGTCCTCACCAATCGTCGGATCTCTTTGGCATGTGCAGCATTCCTTTGGACGCCGACGAGTACCGCGAGAAGCCTTGGCTACGTTGGTCGTACACAGTCTTCAAACAATGCGTCGATAGATTTGCGTCTGGGCTCAGAGCCCACGGAATCTCCTGCGGAACCTCTATCGTAACCTTTCTTCCAAATGTCGCTGAATATATGATTTGTTTCTGGGCTGCTGACGCGTTAGGGTGTTCTTTTGTACCAATCAACCCAAAAAACTTGACCAATGTGGCGGAGGTGAGTAGTGAAGAGCTCTATTTTCAGAGCACAAAATAATACTTATGGACCAAAGGTTGATCACATGTTACGAACAATGTTATCTGTAGGGCCTAGCTCTGAAGGGGCAGTCATAATTGCGGGGAGTGACACGATGGAAAAGGTCGACGTGCTCGCCATCCCTGAATCAACTTTGAAATGTGTAGTCGGAGTGTCAACATCGTCGGATTGGGTGCCATTCGAACAACTGTGTCAACCCAAGTAAGTCGATCTCTAAGATGAATCAGTCACTCGTAACGTGACCAGTGCTGGACCGGGAGCTGGACTCAACAAACATGATGACGGCTTTGAATCTTCAAATCTGCACAGTCTTGTCATGTTCACCAGTGGAACTACATCCTTACCTAAAGGTCAGTTAGTGACGACGGTGTGAAGTATATAAATGACACAATAATCCAGGCTGTTTGCTGGACCAAGATATTCTAAGAGCAACCTACATGCAATGGAAAATAGGTAACGAGGTAACCCATAGACCAGACACTATAGTTTGTCATGCCTTGCCAAACAACCACATGGCTGCAATGCATTATATGCTTCATACCCTAAGCGAAGGTGGTATGATCATGCATCCTGGACCTAGTTTCGATCCCGATCTTCTTCTTAAGATGTCGACTATAGAGAGATGCACGCTCTTGTTACTGGTACCGGCAGCACTTCAAGGCGTTGTTGCGGCCGCTGCAGGACTTCCAAAGGTACATTCCCTGGAATCTATCACATTGGGTGGTGCTGCTCCGACTATCAGAGATATAGAACTGGCCTATAACGGTCTGGGAACTCCAAACGTCGAACACGTTTTTGGGATGACCGAAGGCGTCGTCACATCCACGGGTCGCGTTTCGTCATCTGCCGACATAGTGAGAAATGGACTGACGACGTGTGGGAAAGCCAGACATGGCAGTTGTCTTAAGATATGCGCTCCTGGGGAGCGCCATCCAGTTCCCCGGGGCGTCCCTGGAGAATTGCACGCGAGTGGTCCTTACATCGTTCGTGGTTATATTGGCCTCAACAGCGACTCTTTCTACAAGGACTCTGATGGAAGATCTTGGTTCAACACTGGAGATCAAGCTTTCATTGATGATGAGGACTTTTTATTCATCTCTGGCCGGTACAAAGAAATGCTTATTCGTGGCGCCGAGAACATTTCGCCCGCGGCAGTCGAAGCTGCTATTTCAACAGTACCTGATCTTGCTTTACGTCAGATCCAGATAACTGGGGTACCGGATGAGGCTGCTGGGCAAGTGCTGGTGGCTATTTCAGCACAGGTACTAGATTCTGCGACCCAGAAACGTGTAAGGAATGTCATAATCGACCGCATGGGTACTATGTTTGTTCCCGAGACGTTTTACCACCTCGAAGAGCTTGGCTTGGCAACTTATCCGACGACCAGTCTGGGAAAGATACAGAAAATACCGCTCGCTGCTATCATCGCCCAGCATCGTGGGCGTAAGCTCAGCAGTGACTACACATTCCCAACAGACAACAGAGAAATCATGGGTCCAACTATATCATTGGCTAAGCTCCAAGATACTTTACGGAAGACCTGGGCTCGAGCTGTCGGATTAGACGTCGTTGATGTACCACTGAACCTTTTAGTAACAGAATTCGCGGACAGCGTAACTGCAATGCGTGTCCGTAGTATGATTCGGAAGCAAGTTGAACGTGACATCACACTTGTCGAATTGACAACCACGACCATTGAGCAACAAGCGCAATTGCTCCACTCACGTCCTCCATTCAATGTCAGCAACGCCGTTATCGCCACGAAACAAAGGCCTGGTCCTCCGTTGGCCGATGATATGACACATTTAGCTGGACGTGAGGAGTCTCTTGAGGACACAAAGCAGCTCGTTGAACGAACTTTGACTCCTTTAGGGCTCAGCTGGGACGATGTTGAGGATGTTATACCTGCTTATGACTTTAATCAAGTTATTTCAAAGGCGAGAATCGTCGATTCGCTTACATGGAACTTTGCTATACTACCAAAGAAGTTTCGGGCCGCCGATATTGGAGCAGTTATCGAGAAACTCTTGAAAGTACATCCTCTATTTCGTTCATTCTTTATACGGGATACAGACACTCTTAATATGGGACGGCTGGCTCTTCACATTATTATGCGTCCAAGACCATCACTCCTCAGTCGCATTATACTCCAGGCTGGTTCTGTTAAGACTGTGGCGGACCTCGCAGCTATCGTGCACAATTACCCTACACCCTCTCATGCCATAATTCCCGGCCCAATGGCCGTCTTCACCATCTACACTATCGAGGAAAGTGGTCTAGCAGGCTTCATTCTGCGTGGTAAGCAGCTTCCCTTCGCTATAACCTTGAAAACTGTTTTTCCTATCGGCGTACTCGTCACCCTTGACTAATAGCTATCAGCGAGCCATACCATGTTGGATGCTTCATATGGCCGTCTATTACTCGAAGACATTGAAAGAGTCTGTGGTGGTCTTTCACCCAATCCCCACGTCGATTACAAGCTATGGGCCGACTGTTATTATTCATTTCGTGACTCGCCACAAGCCTTAGCCGCTACCAAGTATCATATACGACAACTTGCTGACCTTAGTGCTCATCGGAATGCACTATGGCCCCCTCGTTCGTCTTGGATGTATTCCCGCGCTTCTCATGACGGCTACAGATACGCGTTCGATTGTCCCGGTATCATCACTCTCCGCAAACGGAATCCCGTGTTGACCCCATCCGCAATCTTCAAATCAGCGTTGGTACTGCTCAACGTATCCCAAACTGGCCACAGCCATGCATTGTTCTCAAATATGGAATCCGCACGAACAGCTTTCCCGTTCCTTCCAGCCTCCATGGCACAGCTCCCCCAACTTGATCCCATAGAAGTAGCAGGACAATGCATGACCAGTGTCATCAACCTAATATCTTTACGTGATCATGAAACACTTCTCGCCTTCCTAGCGCGAATTCAAGACGACCAAACCAATTCGATACGCTACGCTGAGGCGCCCTGGCACGGAGTCATGGATGGGTTGAATGACGCTGGACATTTGCTCCCAGAAGTTCTATGTCACCAGATCTTTAATTGGGTGCCTGAGTTACTGACGTTGAACGATACAGATACATTCGACAACTTTCGCGTCGTGGACACGTTCAACGGTCCGGTGATTGGCTTGGGTTTGACCGCAGCTTTTGGTGGGAAGACTGGGGTTGCGGCAGCAATACACCTGAGGGGCATAGGAACAAGTTTAGAGGAGAAGAAGAGACTGGCAACGAAGTTCGAAAGTTTGTTGATGTGGCTGGTGAATGAGGCAAATTGGAGTAAAGGGATGGGAGAGGAGTGGAAAGAGTGCCTCTAAAGGTCGGCATCTAAAGTGATGTTCATGGCGGATCATGGACTACATATCTACTGTAGGACTCAGGAAATTCTTGCAGTAAAGTCACAGTCGGCTGTCGCCACTGTGTTGACGAGTTTCAACTTGAACGGCTATCAGCCCTATGAACAGTTCCGTTTAGTTCAGTGGTCAGTGACATTCAAAATAGTCCATCTAATCCATTGATATCCCAGTAAAAAGATATCTGGATACTCAACAACACGCTACTAACCCTAATTTATTATAGCCTAATCATTTTATCTCCTAACACGGGTTTCGTGTGGGGAAATGAACTGACCAGAATATTCTGCTACGTCTCACTGTACCCTCTTGATGGTTGACGCCAAGCTGTGTCAACACTCTTCATATATCTGCCTTCACTCGAGACTTTCTGCAAACTTCGAAATATTACTCCCCACTGTCAGTCCGAAAAATCTGGCGCGCCACTCGTCACGATCGGTAACCTCAACTTTCCGCCCTCCCTCATCCGCCTCTGCGAAGCTCCCTATTCTCGTTTCCACACCCATACATCTCCAGAATGCCTCTCACACCACCCAGATGCTTGGCGGACTCTACCCAATACTCCAACGCCCGCGGCTCAATCGTATTTGGGTTGTAGTACTCTTGCTTGACTAAATATCTCTCATAACTCACGCTCCTTACGTGCGATGAGCATCTCGGGCACATGCGGCACGGAAAAAGAGCCAAGGTGCCAGCATCACACGCCACGCTTCTCAATTTGCGCACTCACATTCTCCAGCGTCGAGAAACTGCTCTCCCAACACCCAAACCCGCTCAACAACATCTTCCAGAATCTCAGCCTCAGCACCCAGTCTCTTCATGTCACCGCCACAGCATGTGCGCAGTCTGCGCCGCGGTCTTCGCCATGAAGGTCGAGCCGTGACCGGCCCAGCGAAATCATCATTTCGGCCATGTCGGCGGCTTTGGCGTCACTGTCGTACCCGTCGGTGCTAGGGGGTTTGTACATCTGGTCGAAGCCGCGCAGATCCGACGCAAGGACGTTGAAGTGAGGTGTGAGTGGAGGGAGCACATAGTACTAGTAGAGCTTCTACGCGGTACTTCTGCACAGTTTGTCGACGGAAAGTATCGCGTAGCTGCTCTCTTTATATGTGCAGTTCGCGGCCGAGTATGCTAGCACTGCGCGCTCATTTGTCGTGAATACGAGTTGGAATACGGTTGCGGCTCTCGCGCATGCAGGGATCGGGGCATTATTTGTGCCGTGTCGTAGACTTGTGTATTTGTAGAAAACTGCGGGGACTGAGAGCGAAACTCCAGGCGACGTTGTGGATGCAGCGCGTGTATGAGGCGAGGCAGCAATTTTGTAGCCACGGAATGATGATCAGTGGGCCCGGAGGAGGGCTTGAGGGTTTGCGAGTAACTTGAGGTGAGAAATGGTGAGGAAGGAGGTTTGGTTTTGGTTGGACAAGGAGGTGAGCGAGGCGAAAAGATTTAAAGGGGTTGTGAGAATCGAAGGATCCATGTTCCTCGAAATCGAGACGATTGGGGTGAATATCAAGACCTATTCACGAGAGCCGTATATGTTCAAGTTTGACCTCAAGTCAAGCTGTCAAACCTGATCCGAACCTCAGGCTAGATGAGAAAGAAATTGCATTGTTCAACAGTGTTCGCGGCTCAATACATTCAAGTACGCGCACGTGCCTTCTTCCACCGACTCACCTACCCACCACAACAACAAGTGCCAGAACGACAAAATATAGGTTGCTGAAAGTTTGGAACTTTCGGCGAGCTGTGATGGCGCAGTGGCATAGTGTCTGAGCTCGCAATCAAGAAGTACCCTCAAGGAACGCTAATCTCCTAGGGCGCGCGGGTTCAAGCCTGGGCGTGGTAGTAGTATTTCCTTTCTGTGTTTCCCTTTTGCTCTTGACTCCGATTTTTGGTCTCTTTCGCCGGGGAGCTGCGATCGGAGCCCCTGAGCTTTTTGTTGGCTGTCTGAGCTTACGCTGCTTCGCTTTTTGATGCTTATTGTGAGTTTTTCGTGAGTTTGTCGCTTTGTGTATACATGGAAGAGCGGCTCGGCGAGTTGAACGCGGCTCAGCGAGTCTGCCCAATGAGGGACCCGTGTCGACCATGAGTCTGAATGTGCAAAAGTAGCAACACAATAACAGTAATCCTATAACTTACTTACTCCGGCCAATGCTGATGCTTATGCTTATGCTAAAATAGATTACCTCGCTGGTCCATAACAACAGACAAGTATTATAAAACTGGCTTCTTCTCCTCAAGGCCAGACTCGCCGCGCAATCTCTGCACAACAGGTCCGAACACAAACTCCCCCTCCGCGTCCTTCTTTAGACACGGACTATTACGAATGGGCAAGAACCAATCGACGTATGAATCTCCCAAGACCTGCTTACAATTTAGGAGCGGTCCAAGATCCCACACGTTCTCTCCCGGGGAAGTGTTCTTCGCTACCCGATCCGCGCCCGTTCCAATCGCCAGCCAATGCACAACATGGCTCTTGTTCAGAACTTCAATCGTGGTGCGATTCGCAAGGAGCATGGGGATATGCGTGGCCAACATTCCGAAACAGAAGAAGCCAAATACGGCAGGAAGCACAATCGCGACAACCCATTGACCTGGTATGCTGCCAGTGACTCGCTTCCTCTCCGCCACCAAAACCGCTGAAGTGATTAGGCAGAACAGGCAGTCTAGGAACGCATATGCTAAGAACTGTATGAAGAACTTGTATGTCGTTTCCCCAAGACACCCGCCGACCCAAGGACAGAAATGATCCATTTTGCGCACGCAACGTCCTAGCTCAGAACAATGGTGGGTGCGATCAGGTTTCCAGTTTTTGCATGTATAGCACCATATCGGCAGTTTTTCGTCCACCGAGACACAGATGTAAGCAGCTTTATTGTAGAATTCGTCCAGGCCGCCGCGGTACGAAAGAGGTGAGGCATCATCGGGACCGAATGGTATCAGCCCAGGGTTGGTGCCGAGGGTCGAAAGGATACGGAAGTACGGGAGAAACCATGCAAAATAAAGGATAACAGTCACTACGATGATAGCAATGGCAGGGCCGTCACGACCTTGTCGGAGGAGATAATTGGCTGTGTGGATATAAGTTAGTATAGGTGTCGCGGACAGACGGCTGTGCTGCAACCTTACCTGCGAATTGTCCGATGAGAAGATAGCTCTCGTAAGTAGCGATACCAATAACGAGAAATGGAACGACTAATGCAGTCCAGACCACAATGCGCGAAGCTACGCGCTCGCCTTGAGACATGATAGGGGGGGTTTCCATCCTTATAAGCAGGCGATATCGTTGTTCCGGCTTTCGGGACGGTACTAGGCGTTTCAGAGCTTGCACAGGCTCAGACAATTGCTATATCGACGTCCAGAATGCATGGAGATGATGATCAGAGCAGTTTGCCGAGCAACTGAATTGTCTCCGAAGTGGTGGAGTGGGATGATAGAAAACAACGTGAATTAGGGTTGCGCCAAAGCAGGTAATAATGCGCGTCACGAATCCGGCCGAGATCTAGATTCATTCAAGCTTACGCTTACCTTTTCTAGTTAGTGGGCTGAAAGGAGAGGCATCTTTGTCCACTCTAATATGCGCTCTATACCACTGTGCATATAACACTCAATTACTGAGAGATAGAGATGCGCGTTTTTGCCTACGCTAGTACACTCTTAGGAGATTCTTGTGTCGGTCGAAGAGACATAAATGTCAGCCTGGCTCCGCAGTACCACCATTCACTCTTACATCTTATTATTCTAGCATTCACACAAGATCAGTCGGTTTGCTTCGGTACAGAATTATGAGACCTAATCACCCTCCTTCTTTTTAGCTTTCTTTTTCTTCCTGCCTTCCGCACCACTACCAGCTCCAACTCCAATCTCGACCTCCCCCTTACTCACGCCCCCCACCGGCCGACTTGCACCCAAACTGATTCCTTTGAGCCCATAATTATCCTTCAGATGATCCGGTGTACCTCTTGACCCCGGCCGTGGGCTTGGTGTCGACTCTCGTGCTCGCTCCACGTCTGTTCCGCCTATCTCATCAGACGACCACCAGCCTGCTGTCTTTCCAGTCAAATGCGACGCAGCCGGCGACTGTGGTTCTTTCGCAGATGCGATCACCCGATCAGTTGTGGATGTGGGAGTGCTTGGGATTCGGGAGCTAATGCTAGGCAGGTTTTCCGAAAATTTACGGCTGGCGAGCGGAGAGGTAGGCGAGTCATACGCGTCCTCATCGGTCGTATATGGTGCACTAAATGATGGTCTATTCATGAGTTGTGCCGGAGGTTGCAACCGTTGGTGGGTGCGGCGCTTCTCTGGGTCGGTGTATGTGTCGAGGGCCTGGAATACATGCGGGAAAACAAGTTTATCGACAGTTGATGCCCAGAGGAAGTCCAAATGCTCGTAGTGTGAAACCTCCTTTGCAGTGGTATGCGCCGGAAGCTGTTGCAACATGACATTGATGTCGACAAGCGAGTCAGACCCTCCGTAGACCAGAACAATTGGAGTCTTGATGTTGCGGGTGGGGAACTTGGCGACCTTGTAGTATTTGCCGCCCGTGCTGAAAGAGAGCGGTCCTTGGACTTCGTCATCGTACATCTGGAACTTTGCATTGCGCATGATCTGGAACCAATGCACCACACTCTTGGTGGAGGTAAAGGAGTAGAGGTGTGGATATGCAGCAAGCTTCTGATGTGGCGAAATGTTTTGACCACGCCAGTTGAAAAGGAAAGTAAGAGACATGTCGATAAGACGAACAAATATGGGAGGATACAAGATAGCCTGCCACATTGTAGCGGAGCCCAATATAGCTCTTCGTCCAAATGCAAGGAATAGAAGGTTAGGCGACGCTTTAACGAATGTGTCGACAACGGAACTGAAGACACCTTTCGGGCTCATGGCAGGTGCCAGGGCGATAAATACATCGATTTTATCGTTGAGTGGCGGACTGACGGATAAAGCTGCAAATGCCTGAGCAGTCCCTTGGGAAAAGCCTATGTAGCTGAGAGACGATTGGTGTGTTGTTTCGAGAATGTAGTTGACCGAATCAGGAATGTCGTGAAAAGCAAATTGATCCATGCTGAAATTCCAAAACTTGACATCCGCAGGGGAGCAATTAATACTCTTTTTCGAGTACTTGTTCCCTCGATTGTTGCCAAGCTACACAGATTAGCGATCCACCTTTCTCTACAGACAGCATCAGAACGTACCCAAACATCATAACCCTGCTCGACCAACAAGAACGGGAGTACACGCTCTTTCTCAGTTATGCAAACCCAGACATCGCTGTTCATAAGCAGACCATGGTGCATATAGACGACCTTCTTCTTCAGACTATCCGGTCCGCTATTAACCCTGACATGCTCTTCACCTTTCCTCCAGCCCAAGCGGTGCAGACCTAATAAATACCCGTCCCCAGTCTGCACTATATGTTCCTCTGCATAGTATCCATACAATGCACATAGCTCCACAAAGTCCTGAGCCTGAGCGATGGGCGAGGAAACGTTCTTTTTCTTATTGCGACTGCGTCGGCCTGCGGGAGATGAGAGGTGATTGAAGGCTCGACGGGAACCGCGATAGAAGAATCCGATGATTGGCGTGGGCAGTGCAAGGGTAATTATGCTTATGATGGACTCGACGAATATAAGGACCATGGAGAGCACGAGGGTGACAAACTCGTAGGCATGTAGGCGACCGATGAAGGGAAGGGGTTGCATGTCGGAGACGCCCGAAGGCACAAGCGACGGGCCTTCTACGTCGTGATTGTAGGACGTAAGGACACAAGAATCGTCTGCCCAGTGGCAGAGGCTTGGCTGCGTTGACAGTAGTGAGAGTCTTTTGAGAAGAGGAAGATTGCTATGCTCCGTCCAGACATAAGTTGTTGGTGTGGAGCATTGAGCTGTGGGCAGGGAAGGACCCTGAGCTAACGTGCTGAACCCGTTGGGAAATCGGCATGTGAAAGCGTTGGTTACTGCAGATGAGATGACGTCGCGTCGTCAATGCTGCCAAGACTGAGCACGTGCCAGCGGGTGTCACGACCGTGCTCTGAGAAATATTGACAACTACAACAAAAGGTGATACGAGAAAGCAAACGCACCTCCAATACCTGACGATAGCCTCCGTCTCAACACTCGCACGTTTCGTCCAATGATTAGGTGACACGACGTCCACAAGTTTGACTTGAGAACCCCACATTGCCATCATGCCGAGCTCATGCAAAGATATCCGTACGTCTTCCAAACGCACTCCGTCAAACATATCTGCAACCAGTCTCAGGCGGGCCTGTGTCAGTTGAAGACATTCACATCAACTCACTAATTATATTATCGCTCCATAGGCACAGCCCTTGCGGCCTGCCTCCAAGAATCCGACTGCGTAATGGTGTCCCGCAACAGCGCCGCCGACTGTCTCCGCGAACCGCTCGTCAACACTCTGCCGCCCAAGTGCGTACAGCTTAAACACACATTCGGCGAGTGTAAGCGCGGCCTGATCGACATGCGCAAGCGCTTTCGAGGCAATATGCCCATTAGCGTGAGCAAAGAGCTGGAAGGAGGCGGCGCACAAGAGGGAAAGATGTTGTATGCAGGTCGGCCAGCATATTCATCGAATGAGGGTGGTGGTGGCCGGGAGAAGGGACCGATGAGTGAGAGTGATGCAGAGCTGATTGAACGCGAGCGACAGATCAATGCAGGGACGTTCAAGGGAGATTTGAGGGATAAGGAATAGGTGTCAGGGCAAAGGGGTGAATGGAGGCGGATGATTGGAGGTAGAATACACAAATGAAACAGTAGGATGTTTTGAGGACGTGTCTTGCGGAACACGTATGTACATATCGCTATAGTGCGTCCATTTCCATAGCGTTCGCAACGGGCCGGAATCCCAGCGTGTGCAGCCAGAATTTTGACAGGACACAAACATCAGAGCACGCAAATGTGCAAACTAAACTCCCAGCTTTTCTGCAACCCCTTTTTGCCCGTGGCTGTGCATAAGGCAGAAGCAGCCCGGTGGTGATACAGGTCATGTGACACCTGACATGCCCCAACGGTGCAGCACTGCAAGCCTCACCCCTTCCACTGCTCAGGCAGATGTCAGACGTATCTGCATCACCAACAACAAAATCTAGTAACCGGCCAGGATTGTACAGGGCACAGACGGAGAGCCGCTCTGCGTCAAAGATCACAAGGGCGGATTACAATCTTCCAGAAGGTCTCACTGATGCAGCAGGGGGGCCTGATGCCTGTTCAGGCAAACGACGGGGCGGAAACATATACTATCTAGGGCACGAAAAGGGCGAACGCAGGTGGACGCGATGGGGCTGATTGCAGAGTTGCGTAACGAGAAATTCAGCGACAAAGGGGATCGCAGTGGAGGGAACTGAGGGTTAGTCGCACATGGGCGGAATTGGATTCACCCTTTGACACGCCCTAGATATCGAGACATTGAGTGACGTATGTAGAGTTTCTCAGTAATGAAGTAGCTTGAGTTGTATGCTTAGAAGAACATGTAGAAGACTGAACCTCGAAGGGAGATAAAAAACACAGAAGGCTTAAAGTTGCTAACGACTAAACAGAACAGGGAGACCGAGAAATGACAGAATGCTCTAGCACTATGAAAGTGTCTTTGCGTCAATGTCTAGATCTATGGTATTTGCGAGAATGCTGCAAGTGTATACATGAATATCGCGTTACATAGTGACATGATTTCGAAACCAAAATGCAGGAAAATGGCAGGGCGGAATAAAACGTGGCGTGGCAGTTCCCCAAGAAGGCCGAATCACTGGCAGGGCTTCGTTAGCGGCTGTAACTTAGAGTGATGAAGTGTTTGTGTGGGGTGTACACACTCTCAAGCCCATTATCTAGGTCCTACTGAGCCTTGACCTTGGTTGCGATGCCCCTGATGGTCCGGAGACTGAGCCTGTTGTGGCGAAGGTACCACGACAACTTGTGACCAATGAGGACATTGATCACACCTTTGGTGACCACAATTGAAGGTCATGCAGGCCGGATGCCAGCCAACCCTTCCCCAAAATTGCATGCAGAAATGGCATCTCCAGTAGTATTCCTCTACTATCTGTGGTGGCTGGACAACAATGGCTGAGCCAGGATTCTGTTGTTGCTGAGACATAGAGTCGGCGTTGTAGAGTCTTTACAGAACAGGAGTAGTCAATGACAGATTCCAACGGAGGCGATGAATTGTTGCGAAAGCAAGATGCAGAGATATTGTGGAGTGACAATGCTACGCGTGTGGATATGTTACGCTGTGGAGAGATAAGGATAGACTATAAGGTGACTCCTCGAAAGGTTTGAAGTTTCTCAAAGATTGAGGTAAATATGTAGGTAGACACGAGTAAACTTGATCGAGTGAAGTGGTGTTTAGAAAGAATGAAGACGACGTGAACAGCAGCGACGATGCTAGATATAGACAGATTCTGAAGTGCGCTCATATTTAGATAGCTCAGATGTATAGTAACTTAGAAGGCATACACACCGCGGTGCTCGCAGCGACACCTTCGACACGTCACTGTACTGAGCAATGGATAACAACACAGCCCGGGCAGATTCGGGCGACTTCTTCGACGCAATTCCGGGCTCGTTCAAGGCGTGCTCATCCCATCTTTTCGGTCCCTCCGTTCCAGTCAAATTGTCGTCAACGTAGAGTGGATCAGCCACCAACGTGCGTCCATGTAGGTCCACGAGAAGGGCAAGTTGTTCTGTGCACCATCTTCGGCTGTGCAGGGACTGCTGTCTTTCTGAAGACAATGGCACCGCATTTCAAGATCTAGGATCCTCCATGATGTCCGGGCGCGATACAAGCATTGGGCAACATCGCAGCCTCGGGCTCAGACCAGGAGTTCGCCGCCCCTAGGGCACTCTACTCGTCTCTTGGGAGCTTCTGGAATAAGGGCAGAGTAGCCGGTAGGAGTCATTGGGAACTGACGAGAATATAGCTGTGCCCCCGGTTTGGCTTGCCGCAGCTATGGCCATCCGGAGTAATTAATGTGAGGACTATTTGAGATGGTTAGTCAGAACATGATGAGAGGTGGCTGGAAGTTCTTGAGCTAGTAGGCAGTGTTCCTTGGTTGTGGGTAATGACTTTGGGTCTCGGATTCGGGGTAGAACGCATGCAGGTTTGTGCAGTTTTCTCTGTTCAGGCAACGGGCTCGGAACCCAACGCAAGGTTACATTACACACTGGGCTTGTTGCCTTCATTGAGAATAGCATATGAGGTAAGACTTCGCATAAGAAGAGTGAAATAGGTCGTACTGCCTGAGCGAGCGATCTCCAGATGTTCGACTATTTGTTTGTTTTAGGATTTAGAAGTGAGAAACAAAGATGTATATAGTGATGACCCTTTCCAAAAGGAATAGAAACTGTCCCTTGTACTAATATGCGACGATTTTATGGAGGCCAAAGTTCACATTCTATAGATAATCGAAGTTTGAAGGGGAAATGTATGATGCGACAACAAACTAGACTTGATCCAGATCTGACCGGCACAGTCAGCCGGAGATGACTTCCTAAGAATAAAGAAGAGACCATAAATACAATGTGAACTGTGATTTGACAGAAAGGGAAAATGACTACAGAAATTGAACATGCAAAAAGTTGCTGGAAAAACTGGAATCTGCTAGGGGTATCTCATGCACGCATGGATGGAAGAAGCGGGTGACTCTATTCAATGATCAGCTACCAGCGCAGTATCACTTTGAGCAGCACCTACCAGTCGAGGTCTCAATATCCGGAGCGCAGCAGCCCTTCATCAGGTCTGATGATAGACAAAGGTACAGGCAGGGCAGCATGGTCGTGTACAAAGAATACAAGCCTTGTGCAAGACATAGTCGTGGGGACCATAGCCACAACCGCAACAGTACCAGTATGTGCGCGTCTCTCCGTCGGCAGCAAGAGCACCAGGGCCATACGCTGTCCCAAGCAGATGGCATGGCTGGTCGTGGACAGGTACGTGCACACAAGGTGTTGGCCGGGAAATTTGTACCGAGTCATCTGCCCCAAGACTTCGGCTGCACACAATGCTTCGTGACCGTGGAAGGTCGATGGTAGTCTGTTGTTGCATGAGCTTACGGGAGCCTGACGGTATTGTGCAGTAGCAGGAACGAACTTCAGGGACGATCGATATCGTCACTTGTCTGTCGGATGGCTGGTTGTCCATGTTAAGAGAGTAAATGCAGATTCTAGGTAGAGGTATATAGTATATGCTCGTTGTATGAATTCCTTGGAACGAATTGCCGTCTCGCTCTGGGCAGAGAACTTAGACATCTTATATCTTCTTCTCATCAGTGTCCCACTACCAATGTGGCAGTGACTCTTGAGTAGCATTCTTATCCTGGATGATTGTGAATATACTAGTCTAGTGCACACACGAGCGTGGCCAGCGTTGCCCTTGCCCTATTGCGAATGGAAAGGCGAGCGAACGACAGTGCGACGGTCTGTTTGAAGCCAAATGGTTATCCGGAAGGATCACTCCTCAGCCCTTTCTCCTGCTTTATGGGCCATGACACGAAACCTAAAAAGGAAAGAGTCTTGAACATAGCGCAACATATAGTAGGGCCATACACAGAGGCAGAGCCCAGACAGTTCGAAGATGTGTCTGAGGTTGACATAGGCGGATCGAAGTGCCAAGGTCCGAATTGCTTCAGCGGTGGAACTTTTCAAGGCTGGGGCTTCGCAATCTGGATTCGTTCGGCGGAGGTCCGCGGTGAGTGTTCCAATGCTTGCAACGCTGTCCAAAGCACAGTAGAATTACCGGTCGCACTGTAGTGCGCGGTCGCCCTATGTGGGACTGGTCTCAATCCAAGGTTATATGGGAAAGCGTGGTGACAAGTCATCTCGTGTTCCCAGACGGGCCCATTCTGTTATGACGTACCTGCAGCATAGCCCCCCCGTCCTTTCGGTCAGATACTAGTTTGATTACGCATAACAGGCTTGGAAGAACGCTGACGAAGTTCATATTACTCCGCACAGAGGGCAATCTGATGTGAACAGCATCTGCGACAGCAGTTACTAGATGCAAAGGTCTATAATCACGGAAGGGCATATACAGAATTGTAGCACTGCAATGAGAGCATTGCACAGTGCGGTTGTCAAAGTGTTCTCCTACACAGAATCGCGCTGCCCATCTGATTTGCTGAGGTCTTAATTCTGATAGTAATGAAAAGATTTCATTGTCGTAGCGTCTGAGAAATGATTCCGAGGATGAAACTGTAATGTAAGCGAATGAATAGTGAGCACATCCAAAACCAGATACAGATGGACAATTTATGACCCTGTCACCGTTGATTAGAACGCCGGCTTCCCGCGCCTCCCACACGGGCGTGCCATGATCCGGAGTTGTCATAAGATTGAACGGCGACAGAACCCAAAGGAGTAGCGCAGGACCAAATTGGAAGGACGTGCTCGTGAATTGATATCTAGGGATAGCAGTCAGCCTTGCACATTTTAGTCAATCGTCAGTAGCTACGCTCAGTAAAATTTAGGTTGCAACTCAAATGTAAGGTATGGAGACTAGACAGGCCGTGAGAATCTACATTGCCCTAAACAGTAATTACCAGATCCGGACCTTGTCGATGGCACTGAAGACCTCATGGGGCCACATTCGTTCTTTGGGCAAGGAAAGTACATAACGACCCAGTTGGTGAAGCTTCATTTTGCCTCGTTTGCAAGCCTCATCAGCACATTGGATGATGTAGCTTAAAACAAGAGTGGTAACGAATGTAGAATTCGAACTTTTGGAGGTGTGCGCCTGGTTTAAGTAAGTCCTGCTGGAGGCTCAACTACGGCTGTACAGATTATGCCCGCAGATTCTACTTTGCATCAGCAGCATGGCTTCAAAGACCTCTTGAGAGGCAGGTTAAACGGCAGGCTTCACCACGGAGCTACTAGAGGCTAGTGATGAGCAACATCTCGCGTGAGCAGGAAGTTTCCGTCTGTGATAGGTCAGCCTAGCCCTCCTGTCAAGGATATAGAGAGGAATATTTGCCTTAAAGCTATGGCATAGGAAGTGACCAGTCCTGATCGAACGAGTTATACTGGCTCGGTAAAGTTCATGCAGGCAAACGACAGCATGAGGTGAGATATGTAGAGTCTTGTGACGATCGATATTCCATATTTGCTTCACCGGCGATGCATGCAGCCATCTGAGGGCTACTGGGGCAACAAGAGGCCTGCAAGTAAGCTGTTGTGAAGAAGCACTGGCCAGTGAGGGAAGAGTGAGGTTGCGACCAAGGAAACCCATCCATTCTGGTTGTGGTACGTTGGCAGGCAGCAGGCAACAAGTGACGCGGGTAACCATACCCGATTAAGTTGAGTGACGACGACCTGTGTTGCCTAATCCATGGATGCGACGCCGTCTTATGAATGCCGCGAAAGAAGACAGCTCGGAAATTTTCATGATGCTCAGTCTCATGATCTATTATTGTTGAAGACTGTAAAATCTCAGGCATATAGACAAAATCAGATACGAGAGGTGGTCCACGCAGTATCTTCAGTTCCGGTTGCAGTCGTCTCTAGCTATAACGAACTAATTACTGCAATATTTACGGATGGAGGGATTAAGTATGTGACATTAATGAAAGAACAGGTTCAAATGGCATTCATCGATAGGCTTTCTGTGATTAGAGGCTTCGTGAAAGATTCAAACTGGAGTCGAGGCCTTGGAAATAGTGTATGTCACCGACCGACTGCAAACTTAGGTGGCGCGCTACTTCGATCAATCGTGCAGGGCTTCATGGTCCGTAAAACGTATTATAGTCAACACGCGACTCGAAGAGGCTGATACAGACACTGAGAAAGAACATTCGGAGCGTTCAGAGATGTACATGCTCTGAGAAGAATAAGTCCTCGTATATGGTTATCACGTGTTTCACTATAATAGGACTAGTCTGAGCACAACCTTAAGCTGTCGTCAACGGTGATGAGCTATCAATCAATTAGGCTGGCATCAGGTCAAAAAGGTATCAAAGTGGATTTGGACCTTGGAAGCCAACCAAAAACATGTCTTGGGGCGGCGGAACGTGTAGTGCACTTCGTCCAAAGACTAAATTTCTCCCAAACGGACGCAAAGTCCAAGGATAGATGTCAACTTAGCATGAACGGTCATGCCACCCGGGACCAGATGGATCTAGCCAAGCAAAGTAACCTGCACAGTGTATGGCATTCCCTGCACGAGTAGCAGAATAAGATCTTTATCTGATTTATGCTTTACTTCTATAGCAAAGGATGGCGGTCTAAGCGGTACAGCAGGTGAGCGTTTGTGGAAGGCTGCATACACGTTGTCGGAGGTACGCATGCGACGTTGAACGACGGCTTGACCTGTAAGCCCACGTTACGATGAGATAGGCAGTGCTATTCTCGTGGTGGCGTGGTGCAGCGCATAGCGCAGGGACAAAAGGGACAAGGGATACGCGTGTTTCGAGTTACTGTAGGAGTGGAAGTCGCTTAACGGTCGCTGAGCCTGGTACTACTTGAGTGACATTGAGTCGTTTCACGATCGGAGCAAATATTGTGATATAGCTGCAAGCGGTGATCTATTTAGGATCATGGACATGCAAACCCCGATTGTGGAGTTGAACGAACGCACGAGCATTCGACAACATGGGCCGTCCATAGGAGATCAGACCCGCGTTACGGAAGTCCTGTCCAAAAGGCTAGTATGTCGAGCTTGATTGATCATTGAGTGTATACCGCGACTACATTTAGAATGACTCGTATACAGACGTGTGAAACAGAGGCTTAAGCACCTCAGCATGAGCGGTATTGCGCATTGAGGTGCGACGAGCATTTTCTGAAAATGCCGATACAGATTGAGTAGAGCCTAGAGAGTTCGAGTAATATCGTTTAAGCTGGTAATAATGGCAGAGGAATATTTGACTGTAGCAGTTAAGGTATAAGATTTAGCGTGCTACACAAGCTGCCGTGAAACCGCATGGCACTATGGAGGATGACGAGGAATGAATGAATGAATTGCGTCGTTCCAAAGCCTTTGCATACGTGCAGATAATTAGCCGATGAGACTGGTCAAGTGAGAGGGAAAGATTGGATAGACATAAGTGTAAGGTATGGGGAATCGAGAAGTTGTATAGATCCGCTCAAACCTCCAGAAGAGGAAGTTGCTCCTAGACTCGGGTGTCAGATCCCAGTCGGGAGCGACAGCATCCTCGTGCCGAACCGAGACCCTGATGAAGGAAGTTATAGGTGGGATGGGATGTGGGATTGAAGGGTCGGGCTCCTATGATAATGCTGGGAGTGGAGGTGATGTGCCAAGGTGCGCAACAGTAGCAACGTATTTGGACGGGGACGGGCCCGTAGGAAAGGTGCACCTGGCTGGCTGCCCTGGCTCGTTTGGCGAGTCAGCAAGCCGAACGTGGCTGCGGATCAACACCATTTCGGATCGCCACGACTAACAAAAGCGTACCATAACCTTCAAGTGCCAAAGCGTACCAGAGCAGGTACCAGAACAAGTAATACTAGAGCAAGTACCAACTCGCTTTCGTACCTGTTTTCCGATCGCTGCCGAAGCTCGTACGAACACTTATGCAACATCGCTCGGGACGCATTAGGGGCTTGGGGCCACGAGAGGCTGCAATCGCGTCTTTTGTCGTCTAGGTAATACGGCTGGCTGTCGTGGTATGAGAAAAAGGACAAACAACAAAAGGAATGGATACGGATGGCTAGATGGGCCACGTCAGATGCACCTACCAATGCCCTGATGCCATTCGAGCATGGCTTTAGTTCAGAGTATGGCGATGCAAGATCTTGTAAGATGACGCTGATCTAGTGTCTGTTGGCTTCACCCTTGTACATCCCCTCACTCTTTCCCCGCTGCAAACAATTTGGTTCGGTTTGGACGGCTGCAATGCAGGCATTTTCTGCAAGACTGGGTCGCTCGCTGATGTACCGAACGTGGGTCAAGACCTCTCGGACCAACCCATGATTCATGAGCAAAACCACATGGCAGGGAATGTCCCATGGTTTTTATATCTTGCTAGGACCAGGGTAGCTGCCGGCAGGTATTGACGCCAGCGGCGAAGAACATGCCCGTGGCTCCGCAAACCACTGCTCGACAATGTCGGAAAATTCCCGTACCTTCGCAAGGCTGCATCATATCGCATTGGTATGTTGGTAAGACAATGATATATGCAAGAGAGGTGCATACGATGAATCACAATGTGAACCAATACCAATGGAGCTGCAGCAGCGTCAGATACAGCGTAATGTCTTCTTGGCGGCTTATGATATCGGCCTCGTAATCCTTGCCTGTTGCTACGCCACCGCCCACAAAGGCCAGGGGTAGGGCAGTTGTTTACCGAACAGAAGAGTATCAGACTGTGGGACTGTAGAAAGGTGGAACTTTCATAGCAAGGATATCCTAGCATCACGCAGAAAGAAACACGGGTCCGTGTATGCTCGTGCCTTTTTTCCAAACTCTGAAAGCGCAGTTTGTTCCGACCATATCTTCTGCTCATGGTATGGAAACAAGTTCTGCACAGGCGGCCACCCATCGGAAGCTGTCATTAGGGCAGCTGGTATGTCGAGTTGTCTTTCGAGAAGTTTGTTGTACATATCCTCTCTATTTTGAAGACCAGGGCCGAGGCTGGCGTCGTGGCACCCTTGTGCAGCGCCAAAGATCTGCACTGGCATCCTGTTCTGTTGTCAGACTTTATCTTGTCGGCTCGCAATATGCCTCCCCATCAACCAGCATTCCTCCCTTGGTCATTCAAGATCTACCCCTGCTCTTCCTGTGATTTTCCTTGGCAGAAAGCCGATAGCCGCGTTCATCCCACGCACCAGTCCTACCCCGGGGCCGTCCAACTGATTGGAGACATTTATCGACCATGCACTGTTGTGTATAGAGGTGCAGACCCAAAAGCGGTTCAAATGACAGGGGCTGTGCATAAATCAGGTTGCTGTCAAACTGTCAGGCGTACCGAGCCAGCCCAACCGCAATTTCGACATGAAGCGGCGGACCGTGACCTCAAGCTTCTATCACGCTTCGAAGAACAACATGAAACTCACCATCACACGCTTAAATTCAAGGTCGCGTCCACACACTATTGACTCGCCAGGCTATTGCGTCTTCAGATATCATTCAAGTCTACAGCTAACCCATCTCTTGCCGTCACCGGACTGGCCTGGAACGAGCCGCGGCCTACTCGAACATGGTGCAAGCCGTACAACAGTGCACAACACAATGCTGCAATAAATGTGTTTAGCAGCGTAGGACCACCAATACCGTTCCCCAAATGACTTCACTACTCATCAATTCTTGGTGGCGGTCATCGCTCCGCAAATCGCCAGCTTTTGCTTGTGCCGATCGCTTGCCGCCGCACGTCCACATCCATTTCTAGGGCGTGCCATCTTTCTTCTTTGCCGCTCTAATGCTCATTCCATAGACCCTCCCACTATGCATCCGCCCCAAAAGGTTCGCAGGCCCATGCGCCGTCTTGGCCTGTTGTTTTCGTCCATATGGAAAATCGGTTCACGTCATTCGCGTTGGCAAGCTTCCTTTTGCGCAGTAATGATCCTGCACGGCCTATCTCTCACATAAATCGTCCAATAAACGGTCCGGCTTCTGTTAACCTAATTCATAGTATGCTTTCGTTGCTTGTAGAAAGGGGTCTTGATGATTTAGCAGTGCGGCATAGCGAATCAACGGACCTGTCAACATGCTGTCCCTAGGCCGCCACATCTCATTCATCTCGCTGTCTGTATCTTGTACCATGGTTCCCTTGTCCCGCTCATGGCTGTGATGATTTGACACGTGCATGCACGACCTGGACACTGCAGGGCTTAACGCTGCGTTCCATTTCTGACCTGGTTTATATTTCAAAAGAAAAGGACCATGACGGTGTCACCCCTGATATTCCCAGCGCCACGGTGCCTTTCGGGTTCTCAGCCTGTGTAAGTGTTCACCTGCAAGGAGACTTGTAGGACCCATGCTGACGGGCGAGTGTAACCCATCTCGTACAAGCACAGCATGAAAGTGCATCTGGCAGCCGCGTGCCTGCAAGATCGAGCGAACTTTTTCCAGACTTGCTGGGTGACATGAAGATGTCTCCTGCGCGGCGCAGCAAGATTACTTACACCCACAGGACATATTTATCATGGTTCTCGACACGCCTCGAGCGGATTCTGTAATGAAGAGGCTTTATGTTGCGTCGGGAATTCTAGGCCTGTTAGGTTAAGCACACCTATCGCGAGGCTGATTTAGTTCATAGTGGAAAAACATGTGGCTTCGGCTTCGGGTGTAATTACCCTCCAACTTTAGTACGCCATACATCATAGCCTGGCAATTCAATGAAGAATTGGATGCTCTCATGGTCTAATGATAGACAAACGGTAGAAGTTTTAGTAGACATAAACAGATATGGTGGAACAAGTATGGTGGTTGTATTGATGTAGGCGACATGCTTCCTCCCATCGAGGCTCAACAGACAAGCGTGCACAGAAAGAGCTCGTGCACTCTGCTGGAATGTGGACTGTGGACTATGGGCCAGCCTGTCGGAGAAAAGCTAAACTATACCGTGAACGAACCTTATGTAGCACGCTTACCTGTCAACGCTCAGACAGCGCCATGACCACTATGCACATCTGATCGCCCTTTCGTCTGCGTTGCCAAGTCCATGGCTTAGTTGGTTGAAGGACGGGCCGTTGTGCTTTAGACTGGGGAGTGCTGTAAGCACTTCTCCCGCACCACCCAAAAAGAGCGATGCTCGTTCTGACTATTATAGTCTGCCTGCCCTTCATAATCTGTCAATTACCTGCGGCTTTCTATGCTGCTGAACACTGTCACCATTCCGCCGAGCACCCTCCTTAACATTTCATACGTCAACAAGATACACCCCTTGACACTTGCACTGTCAGTGTCAGTGTCGGCACTCAAGATTCTTGTATCTTGTATTCATTCTCTGGGATTGACTATCGTCTCCGTCTCCGCTTCCTATACCCCACACTACACTAGGGCAGCTCTTGGGGACCACGATCAAGACAAGGCTATCAAGTAAGTCACTCACAATGAGCGTTTTTTTCTTTTCTGTCTTTTAGCGATGGAGGCTCTACCATACTTTGTAAAGAAGATTTGGCTACATTAGGTAGCGTGTCCTGCTGCTTGAGTGATAACACTTGAATCCTATGTGAATTCTTCGATTCGAATTCAACATCGACTGGACAGCAGAGTTCGAGACACTTCCCAAACACAGCTCGCCAACCGACTCTGAGCACATATACTAATTTCAATTATCATCTTAGGACTGGTCTTGGGCAGATAACTGAGTTAATATATGGCTTCCATCGGTATCAAGCCTCGTTGTCAATCTTATTCTTTCCCTATGGCCCACGAGAGGGAGTCGCGAACGGCGCTCCCAGGGATTAGCACGGTAAAGACCTCTTCTCCTGTGTCACGGCACTCCCATCTTTATGCTCCTCCGTCTCCATCCTACACCGCCTCGGACGGCCAAGAGACTATGGCCTCTCCTCACGATCGAAATCGCTCACCGTCATCACCCTCGACCGACTTGAAGGATCGAAAGTATAGCAACGATTCTGCCGTTGACTTTGACGATTACCATTACTCTACTCCCGAATCGACCCTACGACTGCCGAGCATTCAGAACGTACGACTTCCTCGATGGGGATGTTTAAGCTGAGTGACACACGCTGACTCTTTCAATGGTAGCTCCTTCGTGAGGTGGCTCCTGCTGCACCTCCAACGCCTGCTAGTAGCGCGCCTTCTGCTGTGCCATCACCAATCGATCCTCTCCGCAGTCAACACAGTCGATACGATGCAGAAGAGCCCATGTTCGACCGACGCCGGAGAATGGACGACCGAAGCGCGGGATATGCCCGCCTAGAAAATCCTCACCAAGATCCTCGCCGATCAAGCGGCGTTTCTGACTACGACAAGAGACATACGACAGTGTACAACTCCCCTCAAACTGTAGCGCCGCAGTCGCCGCCCGTTGGGCCACAGTCAATGGCTCCCACACAAGCACTAAGCTTCCCACCTGGTCAACTACCGATGCGACCAACTCATCAGCCTATACCCACACTTCCGCCACTTCCCAACCAACACCCACTGCCACCGTTCGGTGCCAGGGTGGAAACGCATGGCCACACGCCAAGATGGTATGCAGAAGCTCCAGTCATTTCCTCGCGCGAGTACGGATATTCGCGGGACCCCACAACTGGGCAGTATGACGCGCAATCACCGTGGGCGTCCGGTCCCGAGGCATCCGACAGATATCTCGCATATGGTCACCCACGTCCGTACGATGGACATTATGGGTCCGGTCAAATAACGTTTCAGCCTGTCGGACCACACGGAGATGGACAGATACCCAGGAAACGGAGAGGTAACCTACCAAAAGAAGCTACAGCAATCCTGAAGGCTTGGTACAATGAGCATATCGACTCGCCTTATCCTACAGAGGACGACAAGTTGATGTTATGCAACCAGGCCCACCTCAGTATCAACCAGGTATGCACTTCCGTGAATGAGATTTATGTTATGCAAGACTGATTGACTGACGAACGAGAAGGTTAGCAACTGGTTTATCAATGCCCGAAGGCGGGCTCCAGGGCGTGAGGGAAGAGGAAGTCAATCTTCTAAAGGCAGTCCTCCAGCAGTGGCAGGAAGGCCAGCCTAAAATCTATCGCTGGGTTGTTTCTTTTAATGCCTTACAAGCCGACTTCCCGACGAAGACGGATGGAATACACCAGATATAATTCGCACACCTTTCGCACTCACACAAGGCACGATAACGACAGCTATAATAAAAGTAAAAGGGGGGAGGGAGGTGAGCCGATGATGGGACATGGGACATTGTGGCACTAGGATGATATTTCAGGCTACTCTTTTGAGCTAAGCACAGTTTGAGAGCTTGGATCCAGGTAGCCGGAATGGTACGGCTGGAGCAGAGGTGGTACCTAGACTTGAACTGGGGGCATTGGATCTAGTGACAGAGCTTTGATGTGTGGAATTGGGATCGGTGACGTGAGAATGCGTCCTACACAGGGAGAAGGACTATGGAGCTTTTTTTTGTTAAATTCTGCAATTGGTTATCGATACCCCCAGGTTTAGTTGCGAGATATAGGCATATTACATACAGCAGGTCCGGAGCTTGCGGAACAAGCTCAGAGTAGGATCAGATAATTAGCATTGTAATTACTAATAAGACATAAGTCTATTTGGTAGCATTTGCATTTTCACGTGAGAGAGATTTTGGACTCCAAAGAAGGTAACATTTACGATCTAAATCCTCAACGACTCAATCAGGCCCAACGGTAGTAGCGCCCGTCATGTTAGTCTAGTCTGCTGGACTGACATCGGTCAGCACCACGGCAAGGGCTCGGCCCAGCATCAGGTTTACAGTAAGGCGATCTGATCTGGGGACGTGAGGGTGTGGGCGGTTCATTGCAAGGAGCTAGAGCAAGAAGTCAAAGCAAGAAAGGAGACGTCAAGCGAACGACAAGCCAGTCACGATGCTTGTTTTGGGACATCAGATGTGTTGACGTTCCCAGGAGAGTAAGCTGAAAATGGGGCTAATCCCAAACCGGGTAGACGGCAGCCGCAGCCGCAGGTTGATCTAAGGCCAGGACCGAGAGAGGCGAGCGGCGTGTTTCATCTTTCATTTCCAATCCATTCTCTCATCTCGTTCCTCTCTCTCTCTCCACTATCTCTCTCCACACGTTTTCCCGCCTTGCCGTCATCGCTGCACAAACACGTTTGTCTTTCTAGGTCTTGTGTCACTAATTTCTCCAGGGCTCTGCAGCGTCTCATTTGCTCATGGTGCGAACTTGGCCCCCCTGCACGGTTCGGCCTCTTGTCCGCATCTTACTTCTTCATGACTGACGGATGCTGTCACAAGTGCGAACCCCCATCACAACCCACTTTCCGAGCGTCGCATCACATTCCGCCATCCGAGCTTCGCATTACATTGACTGCACATGGAATGCTCTGTATGGACAGCAGGCGTCAAGTCGTTGTCTGCCCTGAGTCAGTCAGTGTAGAGTCTTGTCGACGGATGTGCGATCCGCGGTAAACAGGCGGCCCTTCCCGCTCTCGAATGCTCGATTCAATGTATAGTATTAGTCTCTGTCTACAACAACCCACGTACATACTGGCTCTAGCAGCTGAGTGGAGGGCCTAGTCAGCAGTCGCTTGACTCAGGCACGGGTCTACAGCACAGAGCTCCAGATTCGCTGTCAGTTCGTTCTTTGGCGTTGGACAGGACGCCGAGATTGATCTATTACCGCTCTAGCTTACACATGTCGGTGGCCTCGACAGCACCACTAATACAGTCATGTAGGATTTGACAGCCTGCGACAGCTCACGTACGGCGTGGTGCCGTGTTGATAGACAGACACTTGGCCAACTGGACGCCCCGGACGCTATTCCCGAAGCCTAGGCGTTGTCCACCGCACAGATGCATCATCCTGCGGCGGCTGTCACCTTTCCATGGCGGCATTGTGGATGGCATATCAAGGAGCCGGTGAGTGCCGGTGTCACGATTGGAACGTTCTCGGCATCTGCCATATACCGCACTGCTTTGTGGGCACGAGCCTCATTGACAAGATCGAAGAGAGTGATTCGGCGTGTTGGGAGTAGCACTTGACACTAGAGGACATGATTCAACGCATGCTGGCAACGGGTCGAGTAGACTTTTCTAGAGCAGGAGCTAACGGATATCTAGAGTGATGGCATCGTGGTGTGGGCACATGGCCGATTGCGACGTCAATGGGCAGTAGGGCGATGCATGGGACGACACTGCATTGGCGTTGCAGGAAGCCAGTATGTATTCTGCAGTTTTGCCACGCGTCTGTCTCGAACAGGCAACGCAGGTCTAACAGAAAGGACGTTTTCTGCAGTTGCCAAGCGATGAGGATAGCAAAGCATGGACACGCCACTCTACCAGGCCTGATCAGTTGCCGGGCACGAGGGCACACACGATTGGCCGTTGTAGACCAGAAAGATGCAGTCGGATGGCGAAGCAAGATTTGCGTAGCGGAAGCTTTTACTACGGTGGTGGAAAGCGAAGCGGCACACCAATGTTCAGTGCTCACCTCACTGCTCGGTGGCCTCGGCCGAGGATGGAGAATGGGAAGGGACACGATAAGGTATTTGAAGATGGTAGGGGCGAGAATGTGCGGCGTAATGAGGTGTAGCAGACAGGTGAGATGCCATGAAGCCGTGAAGCCATGAAGCCATGAAGCCATGAAGCCATCCATGATGAAGCCATGAAGCCATGAAGCCATGAAGCCATGATAGCATGATATCATGATAGCATGATAGCATGATGCCATAAAGCCCTGATGCCATGATGAACAATGGCAATCACAGCAGGCAAGCAGCAAGTGCACGCGAGAGTATCTAAGCAGAATAGCTGGGCTAGCTAGTCACAGTAGTGCATCATGGTAGGGCGTTGGCGTGCGTACGTGCATGAGGGACGATGCATCGAACCTTTTTGCAAAGACGAATCGGCCGCTAATTAAAGCGCCAGAAGCTGCAGGTGTGTTTTATGTATGTAGACTGATTAGCTGCAACGGGCGCATCTGAAGGTTCCAAAAAGGCGCCGCGATTTAGCGTGCGGCCGCCACTACTGAAGAAAAATGTCCGATGTTCTCTGGCGGGCTTGCGGGCGTGTGTGGGCTGCCCAGTGCCTGGCTGACTGACTGGCTGGGCTGGTTGGGGCTGACTGGCTGGGGCCTCCTAGGGGGTCACTGTCCTACTGGACTGTACATGACACTCTACTGTGGCTACAACTAAAAGGCAAGTTTAGCCTCTTCCACCAAGCCAAAGTCTTAACCTGTGTTGATGATGATGATGATGATGATGATGATGATGATGATGATGATGATGATGATGATGATGATGATGATGATGATGATGATGATGATGATGGTGATGATGGTGATGATAATGAGGGTGATGATGAACTGGAACCCTGGGCTGACCTGGCTGACCTGACTGACCCAAGTCACAGTGTGCCACTCTCACTGCCAGGTGCCCACTACTACCTAGCTAATTACATGACCTGAGTGCCTGCCCTGCCGCCGCCCACTACATCATATGTTGCTCGTTGTGTCTCGTGTCGATTGTGTGGTGTCCCTGGTCCCAGTCTCAGTCCCGGCCATCGAGGCCTTCTGATGAGTGCATATGGTGCGATCATCATCAGCCATGCTCCAGTCAAACATCTGCCTTGTTATTCTGATGTGCGTATGTTAGTAGGTGTTAGCAGCAGCAGTAATAGTAGTAGTAGTAGTCGTCGTACCTAGTCGCGATAATCTCTATTTACAGCTAAATGACTAGTCTCTCCCCACTACATGTGTATCTACAAGCTACCATGTACTACACTACCACTACTACTACTAATTACTACTACCGCTACTGCATGCATAACTAACTGCACCGCTACAGCTGCATGATTCCATCGGCACTAACTTTAGTACTACGTCGGGACATTCGTACTACGCTAATCCTAATCTCACATCCAATCAAATTGCTTCGTCGCCGCCCTTTTCCTGGCCCGCAGTATAGCATTTTCGGCTGCTCTCCGGTTCCTCGCATCACCTCTTCCACTAATTCCTGCTATCACTACCACCACCACCACCACCACCACCATCACCACCTCCTCGGCTCCGGTCTGCGTTCATCCATCATGTATCATTTACTGCGTACTTGCGACCATCTCAGATCGCTCATCGTGCACCAGACCCTTCATTTCGTCTTGCCGCTAGCCAGAGCCAGAGTAAGATCCAGCTCCCGCTCCAGCTCCAGCCCACTGAGCTGTCAGCCGTGTAGGCCGGCCGGCACCCCCCCTGTCAGCAGCCACAGAACCGCGTTTTGACAGCAGTCATCGCCAGCCTGAGACTGACAGTGACAATCTGTCAATCTGACTTTGACCAGGAACCAGATCCAGATCCAGATCCAGTCCCATAACCAGATTCCACATCAAGATCCTGCTGCTGATGCTGCAGAAGCCGTGTCGCCGCACTGACGCCTACCAGGTTTCCCCGCCTCTCCGCATAAATGAAGCTCCTAGAAAGCCTGAGCCTATCCTGATCCTGGTACACAATTTTCCCCATGGGAACCCAGTCCTGAATCTCACATCCATGCCCTCACAAGCTTACTTTGACAGCAGCTTAACCTCCACTATTACAACCTACCTCTGTGCTGAAATCGAATGTCGTTAAATAAAAGTACCCCCAAAGCTTTACGCGCTAGCGAATCCTGAAACAATAAAGACGTTGACCGTCCAGTAACGCTCAGATTGCGCCCTCACCCCTTTCAAGCCTAGCAAACTTTACCAAACCCTACGAATGCTTATCAATGTTGCTTTTTAACTACCTCACCCCGACCACACCTACATCCTTCTGGACGGACTGCCTCCGTAGACTCACTTCGGTCGCTCTTCGTCACATCACTGTCATATTTACACCGAGGCATCCGATGGGATCTGCAGATCAATGCGCCCCGTGCGACAGAAGCCGTGTAGATCGCCACTACCCATACGACGGTTCATTAGAGAAAGATGCTTCACCGTCTTATCCATCGTGCCTCGAATGCCAAGCTAGGATACTGCATTGCCAACACCACGCACAAGCAACGCACTCACTCTGTTGGGACTGGGAACAGCGCCTCGGCTAATCTGAATATGTGTTGGCACCATTGGTCTCTCCGGAAGGAATCTCTGCCGTTGATTCACTTCTCAGCTTCAAGCAAATGGACCCTGATAATTAGCACATGCGACTAAATGCTTTCCACCACTAGCAACCTCCTCTGTATTGCAGAGCCCGTGCTGCTGCCTTTGACATGAAGATCGCCCTTTGACTTCTTGAGTCCCTGGCGCGCGCGAATCGCCTCGCTTTCTGTCCGAGGCAGGAATCGCCTTCTACCGCTACCCATTACTACGTGGTGCACACGGCCTCTATGATCTTCTATCGTGTTGTGAAGCGCGTCATGTTTTTATTGTAGGGGGTAGACTCTCCACACGTTGAATGCGGAAGTATCCGTCCTCTGAACTTAGATGACAGCTGCGGAAACGCTCCTGACTCGACTCGACTCCAACAAGACATAGAGGCCAGGTGTGGTCATGTCCGAAAGACATGCGTAGACGTGAACGATACAAAACCTCCATTACTTACTGAAGCCCGGTTGCTTTACAATAGGTCCAAAACGTCGCTGTTACACTGATCGGAAATGTAGTTGATGGGTCACCAGCACAACACCAAAACACACAGCCTACAAGTCACGGTCACAACAAACCCTCCCACACTCTCCCACCATTCCCCCAATCCTCGACCTGTATCCTGTCTGTCCAATCCATCACATCTCAGCCAGCACTCCATCCCAACCCATCTCCGAAGCCCTCCCACCATCACCACTCACTCCATCCGCAACCGCGCGCCCCTTTTCACACCACGTATTATCTATCACCCAAAACAACTCCATCCCATCCGCCCTCCGACTCACCTTCTCCAGAAACCAAAGCTCTTTAGCCTTACCGCGCTCGTCCCATTCCCTATATATACATATATATCCAGTCGTTAGGAGCAATATATAGTTCTTGCTCCCCCCTTCGCGACGTGGACTTGTGAGTCTGTCGTTTTGATACTTGTTTATTTATACATATATACGCACATGCGCGCGCGAGCATCGAGACTGTGTAGTTGTGGTTTGTGCGAGCACGCTGTGCGGGTGTGTGCGTGTGCGGGTGTGTGCGTGTGCGGGTGTGCGGGTGTATCTATTACGCAGTGGAGGGGGTTGACCTTGAGTATATACATGTATATGTATGTGTATTTGTTATATTGGCTATATAGTAGAATCAAGAGAAGGGGAATAGTAGAGATTGTATCTGTCTACCCATCCATCTATCCATCTATCCATCTATCCATCTATCCATCTATCCATCTATCCATCTATCCATCTATCCATCTATCCATCTATCCATCTATCCATCATCCTCATATCAAACCCACACCCAATCCTCCTACAAAAGCATAAAGCAGTACCTAGCAAAACCAGCAAAACCAGCACTTTGACGTAAATGAAATTACACCACCATGAGTAACCCCCTTGAGCTGGCGAGATATTATCGAATATCTACATATATACGTTGTGTTTATATATCTTGTAGAGGCGGTAGGTGGAGTAGTAGTTGCTTGGTTTGGTATAGAGGGGGGTTGGTTGGTGTCTTGGTTTGCATTATTTGTTCTTATTCTTGTCCTTGTTCTTGCTCTTGCTCTTGCTCTTCTTTTTCCCCTTCTTCCCCTCCCCCTCCTCCTCCTTCTTCTCCTCCTCCTCTTCTCTATCCACCCACTACGCCCTCCGGTAGACTCAACCATCTACTCCAACAACTATATCCCAAGTCTACACCATCCCATATACCCTCCATTCCACAACTCATAATCATTATTTTTCTCTCCCCTTCTAGATCTATACCCTATATCCCTGCTTATATATTCACTCTATATGTTCGTTTATATATCTTGTGTTTTTGTATTTACTATAGGAGCAGTAGATGTAATGAAGGTAGTAAGTAGTAGATGTATAGTCTGTATGGGTGATAACCGGAGAAAGAATCGTGTTTATGTAACGTAGCTGCATCTCTCGCCTTATGAGCGTCTTGATCTGTGCTGTCCCATTTTATTCTATCCTATCCTATCCTTTCCCATCCTATCCCACATCGTTGGCCAACCTCAGCAGCAACCTCAGCAGTAACCCTACTAACACGGCCCCTTTTTCATACTATTATATCCAAGAGACAAAGCAGAAGAACCACCTACTACGAAGGAATTAGTGGAAAGGTAAATATTTCGAGAGCGGATATATCTTAGTCTAAGATACGAGTGAAAAAAAGGGGGCTAGATTGGGCTGAAGAAAGGGGGATAAGAATAAGAGATGGGAAATAGGAAATTGGGAAATGGGAAATGGGAAGTTGTAGGTGGAAAACTAGAGATGATTTACATCGAGAATGGGTGGATGGATGGATGGATGGATGGTTAGTAGGATTAGCAGGATAAGCAGGGTGAGCAAGGTAAGTAAGGTAGAAACGCAGAAAGGGGGCCAAGTACTTGGTATAATAAATAATAACGACGAGCAACGAAACATAGCACAGCGCACGTAGCACGATGCAACACTTCATAAAAGGGTATAGTCGAAACCCGGGGAGGTATCCTCTTCTATTATCTCTTTTATTCAAATCTCATCACACGTATCGCCATCTATGCATCCTACGCTCGTCCGACTTTGAACGATAATATCTGCAGCACAACGACACCCAAACGTCAGCATACCTCTAATATAAAGACAAAAAAGGGTGAATAAAACTGAAAGCAAACAAAGCAAGGCCAAAACTCACGTCGTTCTTGCCCACAACAACAACATCATCCTCAGCCACGCGCTGCCCGCCAGCCGTCTCGACATACGCCATCGGCGCATCGCCCATGACCTTCCTATACACATCGCCCACCGTACTACCCCTGCCCACAAGCACACAGTCGCGAAACACCGCCTCCTTGCCCCCCGACGCCGCAGCGCCAAAGCTATGCACGTTGCGCACGGGAAAGACGGGGACCAGACCGAGCAAATCCGCGGCGCGCGTGAGCAGCTGCACCACGCCCGTGCTGCCAAAGCGGTACAGGACCATGTCCTTGAGATTCTCGATGCGCTGCTTGAGCTTCTCGTCCATCTCCTTGAGGCCGCCGCCGTCGTCCTCGCCGCTCTCGAGCAGGTCGTCGCGCGTGTCGACGAACTCGCTGCCCTCGGTGTACTTTACGAAGCCCTGCTTGGCCAGTCTGCGCAGGAAGACTTCGGATATGGCGCTGCACAGCACGATTGTCTCGGGCGGCTGGGTTTTTGCGATTTTGGCAATGTTCTTGTCTGCGTCGGGGTGGTCGATCTTGTTGAGTGCGATGACGGTGGGGAATTTCTCGTCGATGAAGGCGTTCACCACCGTTTCGACGGTTGCGTTGCTCCAGTCTTGAAGGGGCTCTTTCAGGGCGAGCTTGTCGAGGGTGCGGGCGACGATCTTGGATGTGCTGCCGTAACCCGAGAATTGGTTCTGGAGAGTTTCGACCGCTGTCGCTTCTGGGTCAAGAAATTAATGATGCTTCAGTGTGGACGAGAAGGGGGCAGACTTACTCACTGCGATGTGCCGTCGTTTTATGCTTCCCCTGCGTACCATGAGCGCCATGCATATTCCTCTCTCCTCTCTCTCTCAGACCTACCATTTCTCCATCAGATTCCCCAGCACCCAGCTGACAATCTCGCTCCTCAACCACACAATGTCATTACTCGGATCATATCCCCTGGTTGCCTTGCCCTCCTCATCCGTACAACCGCTCACATCGACAACATGTATAAGCGCGTCCGCATGTCGCAGGTCGTCCAAGAACTTATTCCCCAGTCCTCTACCTTCGTGTGCGCCAGGTACCAGTCCCGCAACATCGAGAAGCTCAATGGGCACGCTACGCCGGCCATCAACGCAGGACCCGTAGTTCGGGCGGCAGTGAGCAGAGAGATCGTATCGCGCGCAAGCGCAAGGTATTTGGAGATAGCCTATCGCGCGCTGAGGATCGATAGTTGTGAATCTGGTGTGCGCATTTTGGTCAGTCAGGGTGTTGCAATTGGGACACTGGACAGAAGGAAGTAAAGATTCAGAGCACGCCCAAGAAAGATCAAGGGCACTCGAGAGAGACTTGGGGAAGATGCTTACGGAAAGTTGCCTACACCCCATTAGCCCTGCAACCCTCTGCATCTCCGCGTATACACACCTACTTTGCTCGACGCGTCGGTCAAACTGTCGCGCTTCAGCTTCCCTTTCGCTCAAAAATGTGCCTAGCAGAGTCGTACCTATTGAGCGTCGTGCTCTTGCCTGAGGACGGCTTACCGACCAATCCAATCAGTGGATCACGGCCCATGGTGCTTGTGAGGTAACGTAGGCAGAGGAGAGAAACAAGACAGTGCGCAAGCGGTTGTATTTGACTATCAATGTTGCGTAGGAATGCGACGCTAGTGGGGTTGCGCCCAGATGTCATTATTTCTTTGATGCTGTCGTTATCGATAGCTGCCTAAGGCATAAAGATTGGATGCCTTACCAGAATCCTAGCGGTCTACACATGTCTGGCTCGGCAACAGTGCAATAGTGCATGCAGTGTACGAACCATACCTGTCTTTAAGCTCTTCAGTATTGAGCCATTTCAAGACTTCACATGCTCTTCGCACCACGTGGGGTTAGTCATATCGTCAAAAGACGGAAAGAGTTGTTTGACATGAAAGAAATCGTATTTGTCTCAGTACGACTATGTGTATAGTTACAGTTTTGAGGGGCCCAGGACTGAAATTTGCAAAGCTTAGTATCGAACTTCCAGTTCATTGCATGCAACGCCAGGGAAAACAACATGAATGGCTCCAGATATGCTTGGTTCGCAGCCCACGACGACCCACAGGTCCAGCTGTTAATCATGAAAGTGTCATAACACGACGCCCCTGATATCCACCTTCACGTAACACATAGACTTGCTTAGATCAAGGAAGCACCGAAGAGAGTGGATACAAGGAGAACAGCTCCGCATACAAAGGGAGTTGCAGTAATCTCAGGAATGCGGAGAGATGATGCAGCACCGGCCGAGTTAGATGCGTTGGATGAGTCCCCGCCGACGGTACCAGTCCCAGAGCCAGGGTCAGCGGTAGGATGAGTGTCGGGGCCAGACTCTTGAGAACCACTGCCAGTGAGACCGGCACCGGAGCCGGCACCCTTCTCCATGTAAGCCTTGGCCTTGTCAGGAAGAGCAGGAAGAGCATCGCTATCGACATTCCAGTGGTCAGATTTGGCTGGGCATTCGGAAGCAGAGCCATCGCTTTTGTAGCCACCATCATCAGATGGTGCAGGAGTCTTGGCGAGTTTGTCCTTGAGAGTTTTGTAATCGTCCAATTCTTTGACGCTACTACCGTCGATCTCGACTAGACCGTAGCCTTTGTTGGACTCTTCGTATGAGTACTCGTACACAAGACCACCAGAGTAGACGGCCTTCATATCATCGCCGTAAAGCGAAGCAATCTCGTTAAATTCACGAGTGTTGGTGATGCATCCGTACTCGGAAAGGAATAAAGGAATGCTATAGTTGGAGTATGTCTTGACCTTCTGGTCCCACCCAGAGGTGGTGAAGCTGGAAGGATCACACCAGGAGTAGTCGTTGAAAGCGAAAAAGTCACTGCGCTCATCATCGGTTCCACAGTTCATGTACTCCGCAGTGGACTCACGGTTCTCCTCAACATCAGCAGCAGAGTAACCGACGGGAATCTTGCGGTACCCGCGGGAGGAGATGTACGACTTCATGTCACGGGTGACGGCCTTGATGTAGGGTGCAGTGTCGGTGGTAGCATCGTCATTGATGACTTCGTTGCCAGAGAAGAATAAAAGAGTGTTGTCGTACTTCTGGAAGACATCAATCGTGGCGAAGATGTTTTGGAGGTATACCTCATTGTACGATGGAGAAGGCTTGTCGCGACGCAGGGAGTACTTTGGGGTGTTGACGTCTAGGGCTAAGTAGATACCAGCATCGGACAATGCACTCATACATTCATCGTGATCGGCAGTGTTATCGACTGTGTAAACACGGACTGTGTTGATGCCTAGATCCTTGAATTTCTCGACGTCACGCTTGCAACCGTTGGCGTCGGCGATAGGATCGGCTACATTGGATGAGCCGCCTGGTTGATAGTCGACTCCGCGAATGTAGAAGCGCTTGTCGCCCGCGAAGAACGCTACATAGAATGAGTCACCGGAGTTAACGAGGTTTACAACAAGAACGTACCGTTTCCCTTGGTTGTGACCTGGGGGGTGTTGCTGCTAGCCCTGTATTGAAATTTGGCGGGCGAAGCGACAACGGATGTGAAGGCCGCGGAGGCGGCAAGAATAACACCAGCAGTTTTCATTGCGAATTCGATTACTGGACTTGCAGTATGTATCGACCGGAGTGTAGTAAATACTTCGTGGCTGGAAACAAAGCTTTTCACAAGCAGTATTGCAAGCTTTGAGACGGGAGTATGTATAAAAGCCTGTTGACGAGCTCCGAAAAGAGTGAGGAGGACTCGAGAGAAGGTGGTGAGTGAATTACAAGGAGTTGTAGAAGGGGGAAGTAGCGAGAGTGAGTGCGATCTAATAGACACACACAAAAACGAAGGTTGAGAGTCACAAAAAAGAGGTTGGCAAGTGGTGGGTAATAGTGAATGATATTTGGGGAAAGGGGCAGCAAGGGGGGGTGGCAGGCGCAACGTGAATGACCCACTAGGCAAGTGCATTCATATCCCGGTATAACAGGTGGGACAGTCTGCCGCCGCTCCAGCAGTGCATGTAGTCAGGCCAGGCTCAAACAGCCAACGAATACCACATTTCATTCCACTTTTGCTGAGGAGACGCCTGCAAATCCCAGTTTCAGGCTCCACTCAAAGCGATCATCCTCATCTTCACACGACTCTCCGTTTCCGTTGCACTGACCGCGCTGCATCAGAGGCCTCATTAACGGGGCTATTTTCTTGAGCGTTTGGAGCAGTGGCAAGTCAATGTGCGGTCTATTGGATTACGCGTCACGAAACCCGGAACGGGAAGGGAACCTTGGGAAGCGGAAGCACAGTGACGTGACAGCGCCGAGACCTACCAAGCACTCTTGGCTCCGCAGATGAGGCACCATGAGGTAAGGAAATTGGTCTTGGTATTGCGCCGGCATCCTTTTGCGATAGCTGTTATCAGAACCAGAAAGCTTCTTTACACCTCTTGAGCAAGCTAGCAGTCTGCTAGTGGAAGCGTCATCATATGGGGATAAGTTCCTCTCCGGCCTGGAGGAGGTCCATAGCTTGATTCGATGATGATATTGTGAATTATGATCGACCCCTATTGCAGAAGTCTCCTAGCAGCTCATTGGTCAGGCTGGCTGGGTTTGCTGGGCTTGCTGGTACCGCTAGCCAGTACGTGCAGCAAGGTCGCCCCTACCCAAAGTAAACTTGTGCCTGCTCCTGCCTGTCATCCATGATCTGGCTCAACTACATACCACGGATTGCCACCGCTTTGCAGACAAGCCCTCAGCTTATTCACTCAACGCCAGTTTCGAGGTTCAATTTGTAAACAGTTCATAGTGCCTTGCTGAGTATTTGCAAGCGCCCCCTCCAAATGAATGTGTGCTCCTTGTCGTTGGCGCGTGCCTCGTTGAGGGTGTCGTTATGAGTGCCCTTACCCTATTCCGAGACCAACGTAAGATGTGGCCGCAAAATCGTGTAGATGAACGTCGAAGCTTTAACCGTCCACAGCAGATATAAGCCCTCTACGACGTACTGCCTTGATCATGAACTATACCAGGAATTGATATTACTGATTGAACGTCAGAAGCAGCATGGCACCACTCATAGGTGAAGAATGTTGGTACAGTTGTTCTAGTGTTTGCCCCCATTCTACACTAGCCATCACCTAGTATCACGTGCCTTAGTGAGCCACTGTGGCGGATGTAAACGCCAAGCTCGACCGCTACCGCTCTAGGTAACAGGGTGTTTTGGAGGGGCTCGCGAACACATCCACTTTTCTCCTTAAGTGAAAGTTGCCCCTCCACGACTTTTCTCTCAATCTTGCTCCAGGATATCAATACCTCTTACACCGGACTTATTGAGATTCCTACCTCAGACTTCTAACCTTCAATCAATCATGGCATCGGAACAATCTGGCCCAGGCCTCACCGAGCCTAAGCTCGCCGTTGACGAGACCAAGAAGGTTACGGATGGCACTTCTGCCAGCACCACAGAAGAGAAGCCACTCACCCAGAAGGTTGTTGAGACCGCGTCAGCCACCGCTGGCGAAGTCACTAGCAAAATCTCCTCCATGTTCGGTGGTGGACAGAAGAAAACGGAGACGAGCAAGCCGGCGGACGATGGTCAACCAAACGATAACTCTGGCTCAGCCAAGTACATCAAGGACAAAGAGGCGGCCGAAAAGGGCGATGATGTATGCCCTACGAAGTCTACTTGTATTATGTCTTTCGGATACTGATAAGCTGTGTAGGAGGATAAAGTTGAGGAACATGAACCTGACGCCGAATTTGCACCTGTCGTCCACTTGACCGAAAAAGTCGAAACTGTAACGAACGAGGAATCTGAGGAACAGACTTTCAAGATGCGCGCTAAACTCTTCAAGTTTGACCGTGACTCTAGGGAGTGGAAAGAAAGGGGCACTGGCGAAGTCAGACTTCTCAAGCACAAGGAAAACGGCAAGACACGTTTGGTCATGAGACGGGATAAGACTTTGAAGGTCTGCGCTAACCACTACGGTGAGTATGCATCTCAATGCTGTTTTCCTAATGCTAATATGTTGTAGTCGTACCCGATATGAAGTTATCGCCAAACGTTGGTAGTGACCGTTCGTGGGTCTGGAACGCGACCGCGGATGTCAGCGAGGGAGAGCCCGAAGCCCAGACTCTGGCCATCAGGTTTGGCAACAGCGATAGTCAGTAGCACGAATCATCATACCGATAAATACTAACTTGTGTGCTTAGACGCCAACTTATTCAAGGATGCTTTCGTCAAGGCCCAGCAAGAGAATGAAGCCCTCTTCAAGGCCGCAGAGTAGACGAAGCCAATCGGACCATCTACAGGAGAAAGAGTTGAGAGCATGGCATATCATGTAGAAAGTGAGCAAGCACAGAGGTGCGAATGAGAATGGCAGCGCCTGTATTTTGCTATGTGAGCTGGGACTAAGTCGCAAAAGGAGGCTGGCGATTATCATCTGCTCTATGGTGGCAGTCTGCATCATTATTGAGCACTCTCTCGTTCATAGGCATAGCATTAAATATGAACCCCATACATATCGAACAATTTTAATAGCGCGATTTTAACAAAGGTCCATCGACTTTGTGGCCTGGGATGCAGTCTTGGCATCCCCGCGCGCGCCTCCCGTCGCGACCTTCTGTTGTCCGCCAGAGCTCCAGACTTCACTTCGAAACCAGCTCCGTCAACTTGCATGCTGGTCGCAAGCATACCCAATAGTCAAAACTCAGGGCGGCGATCTTCTATAAACCATTTACCTCTCTTATAACCTGTGACAGCAGCTCGTCTCGCACCTGACGCTCGACGCCTCCGTCATTTAGATACACTCCCCTGCCTTCACATCATGCCCGACGTACGTATAAGCTACAGCGGTAGGCGACATACGACTGACAGATCCATAGGTCAAGCGAACTGTAAAGCTCGTCACCCACCAAGAAATCATGTACGCGCACCTTCATGCACGACCGCAAGGTCCCGAAGATATTAGCTAACAAACACATAAGAGATGAGGACTCAGGTCAAGAAGGTTTCCCCATGAGGAAATGGCATATCGAGATTTACCTCATAGATGAAAACGGTGCGGACGTCACGGCCAACATCTTTGAGAAAGTCATCTACAGACTTCACCCTACCTTCCCGAAGCCCAACCAGAGTCCGTACAACCTTGAGTCTTGACATTACGATTACTTATCAGCTCTTTAGCATTCAAGAAGCATCCTTTCCGTATCGAAGAGAAGGGATGGGGTGAGTTCGATATGCAAATCGAGCTGCACTTAGCTCATAAAGGTGGCATCCATACTTTGGACCATGATCTCAATTTCCAGTCTGAGCAATACATCGCCAAGCATGACATTGTAATTACGATGTGGCCGTCTTACAATTTCCGTACTGATTCGTGGCAATAGACGATCAAGAACCCCAAGGCTGAGCTCCTGGCTCTACTTCAAGAGTCCGGATCGACCGGCGTGAATGGCGCTCGTGGAGGCAAGCGCGACGATGCGACCAAGAAGCGCTCAAGCAGAAAGGACAAGATGGTGAGAACCAAGTAATATATGGGCATCAGCAAGTGCTGATATATGATGCTCTAGGTCGACATGGAGAAGCTTGCCGATGGCCTTCAACGTCTCGGTGAGGAAGATTTACTCCAGGTCGTGCAAATGATCCACGACAACAAGACGTCGGACACCTACACCAAGAATGACGTCGACAGTAAGTTCCTTGCATCTAACCGGATCAAAAACCTATAGGCTGACATTGATGGCAGAGGGTGAATTCCACGTCGATCTCTACACCCTCCCCGACCCTCTCGTAAAGAGCCTGTGGGACTTCACACAAGCCAAGACTGATCTGTGAGCGTGTCTAGCCTCACTCACGATCTCACGAAAACAGGCAATCTCCTTTCTCTTGGGATGTAATATACTGATGATATGACGAAGGATCTACGTGATCGAAGCGATTGGAGAGTGCGTTCGCCGGCACGAGTGCAAAGACGGCTTATCTTGATATGCATGAGTTAGGGCTCGAGACTTGGTGCGTGATATCGACTCAGCGCTGCGATCGGCGTGTGGCCGCTTATAGGCAGCGCGACGAAACATTACCGCCACGCTGTGGGTATGTCCCTAGTCTTCTAGGCATCAGACAGCGCAGGAGTTTGGCGGATAAATTGATCATTTGTTCACACATATCCGTCGTGCACCTTGGAATATGTGCTTTGCTACACGTTGCTCCCCATGCGTATCTCCCTTGACTTTTTGGCATTCTCTCCGCTGGCTTTCTCTGACTGAAACTGAAAGTGAAACTGAAACAAGAAACTCCCATATCGCATACGCCTGTCTCCCGTGCCACCGTCCGCCTCAACACGTTTTATTCACCCTGATAACCCCAGAATCCTCTCTCCCTTGCTCACTTCTCCTTCTTTCAGCGAGCAATAAACTTGCCAAACCCACTAGCATAAACAACGCGCTCAACAGCAACAGCAAGAGCATCTTTACCTCGGGTCAGACCATTCCTCACGAGGCCGGACCTAAATAACAACAATATCTCCGTCCCGTGTTCTTCCTCATCCTTTTGTGTCTTTTGTTGGTGACATGAATAGTTTATTTGCGACGATACGATATGTACTTCCAGGTTGCAATACCCGGGAGCGAGCCAGGATTGCTTTTGAATAGAAATAAATAGCGTTTTCGAGACTCTTCAAGAGCTATTGTTATTATGTTTGAATTTTTATATTGTAGATAGATACTCCATTTTCCTGTATCATATTATATCGATAACATACACACAAGCCGATGAGAAGAAGAAAGAAACAAACTTGAACGAAAAGCAGGGATTAGGCATACGCGCGGGCTATCTGCACATTGCCTTTTGATGTCCCTAATCTTCCTCCCGCATTGACTGACCCCTTTCAACGCCCCCAATCATGTTCATTGCAGTGCCCCATTCCCACGACTTATGTGGCGCAACTCACTGCTCAGGCACCAAGAGCCGCCTCGGCCCCTCTAGCCCTCTCTACCGTCTCCGCCACAGTCCTGCTCACAGGCCCCGGTTTCCTCTCTCCGAAATTATGCAACCTTTCACCAATCAGGTAGACCTCGTCGCGAATCAAACCGCGCCACCGCGTCGTCGCACTGAGCAGTTCTCTGGTCATCCAAACGTTCAGCACAAGCGCCAGTACGGCCGGGAACGAGAAGCGGAAGATAAGGCTCTTGACGCTCTCGCTTTCGCCCGCGAAGATGCTGATACTCAGAAGTGTGGCTAGCACTGAGGGCAGGACGAAGGCCGTGGCGAAGGCCAGGAAGAGTGGGAGGACAAAGCAGCGGGTTGCCAGACGTGCGTTCGGGTGCGCGAAGCCGTCGCGCATGACGGCCTGCATGACACGGCCGGAACGCGATGTAGTATCTGCAAAGAAGAATCGGTATATGATGCGGCCGAAAAGGTACCCAAGCGTCCAGTCTTGAATGAGGAAGACGACGTGGGTTTCGTCGGGTCCAACATATGTGTGGATAGGAATGAGTATGTAAACCTGCATGAGGAGGGCGAGAGCGATGGGGAGTACCACAACTAACATGCTGTAGACGTAGATGAAGCCGAGAACTTGGATACTGTGATCGCGGAGCGCGAGCACGGTCTTGGTAAATGATTCCTGCAGAGTCACGGCTGTACGAGTTTTTAGCCATTGGTATGCGGATCGGATGTGTGTGGCGGCGTAGAGGAAGCCGCCGAGTGTATATGCGCCGAATGAAAACGCATATATGTCGTTCATTTCAATATCGCTGGGTATCACAAGAGAAAAGAATTTGCGACCGAAGAGCAGCGGAACGATCGTGACGCCGACGCCTGTGGTAGCTGCAAAAAGCCATAATGAGGCGATGAAAAGAAAAATTCGAAGTTTGAACCAAGGAGGGATGTACACCACGGTCACCATGTCTGGTTGGCGACCATGAACGGTCTTATCTTCTTCCTTGCCGTCGAGGCGCTGGTTGTTTTCGTCAACCTCCACGAAGACACTCTCGCCCCTAGGAATGCGTACTTGATCTGATGCCGGTGCGCGGACGAATCTCCCATCAACCAGTTTTCGGGGCACACTTGCCGAGTCCTCATTGTACATATCGGAGCCGGACCAGAAGTTCCAAGTACGCTTGAGACTTGGGTGCTGTTCATTCTTAGGACTACCACCGAACAAAAAGTCTGAGAGTCGCAGCAATCTAGCGCAGGTTTTAAACCACCACTGATAGACCGAGTGTAGAATTTCCGATGGTCTCAGAATCCTGATGACGACCGGTGTAAGGAAGTTATAGAAGAGAAGGTCCAGGGGGAATTCCAGTGCAGGCTGGTTCGTAGCCCATCGAATCGGAAGCACATGACTGAAATTATGATCCAATGTCCATATTACTCCGCCTAGACAAAAAACGATGAGGACTCCGTAGACGATGGCGCTGAATGTGATTTTTCGTAGTTGCGTAGTGACACTGCGCTCTAATACATCTCGCACTGGGTGGAAGGTCGGGTCGTCAGGGTCGCGGATGAAGTAGAGGACACCTTTCCGCATAATTTTCCGGCACATCGATACGAACAAGGCGAAATGAAACATGTAGCATGTACCGACAAACCAATGCACAAATCCTGCTGTCCAAGGGCTGCTCCGAGCATAGCTGTATCTGGAATGTAGACTGGTTCCTGTGAATAGCGGTAATAGTGCAACATCTAAGAGGATACCACAGTAAAGGGGAAAAGCAATCATTTCAATACTGATTATCAGTATGACCTTGAAGATTCCTCCAGCTTGCTGCAAAATATCCGTGATAACAGCTTCGATCTTGCGGCCTTCGCGACCTGAACTGATGGGTGTGCCTCTTCTGAGATATGTAGCGCCAACCAAAGCTAGGAAAACATACCCAATTAGAATAGCAGTCACTCGGTCCCATGCCCCCCAATACAGGAGAGATGGATCTTCGAATGCTGGGGATTTGGATATGTCAAGCGACATGGTTAGGCTCCTGTTTTGCCACGCCGCAATACCAGTCTGCTTTGTAGCGACGAATAGAGACTTCGCCAAGTCGTGTACGTGAGACTCAACGGACGCTAGGGTCTGTCGGATGTAGGCAATTCTGGTATCGCTGGACATGGCTGTAAAAAAATCGCTAATCTCTGCATTGATGGCAATCATTATGGTTGAGAAGGCCTCCTCGATGTTCCGGAGAATTACGTGTGCCCTCAATGATAGCCATAGTGGGTCGATCTCGAAGAGTTGGCTCGAAGTGTTGGTGCTGGCATAGGTCGGTAAGATGATTCCCAAGACGCGGTCAATTGACGATCCGGCCGTTCGCCAGGTTGAGTCCTTGGACGTTTCAAGAAATCGTTTGAAATGTGCAGCGGGTGAAAGGGTCTCCAAAGGCTTGAGTACAATGCGCAAAAGAGTTGTGGCAGCGTAGCCAACTGATCCCACCACCACAAGGCTTATATCAATAATGACATCCGCGAAACCGGACATGAAACGTAATGGGATCTTGAAGAATACCGAGAAGGGACTGCCGACGAATAGTAAGACGGTTTTTCCCAGCAGAAATGGTACAAACACAGCCAGCGTTAACGTTAGAGCGATCAGAAGAACGCTAAAGGCTGCATTCTGGACGAGTCCCATAATAGGACCTTGCTGTCCAATGAGTTCCATAATCCCTTCCATATCTTCTGCGTCTTCAACAGCGTCTTGGTTATTATTATTTAGACCGTCCGCTCTGCCAACTTCGGGATTTCGAACTGCGGCTCCGGCCACACCCAATTGAGGTCTAAAATCTTCATCATCGACCTCACTATCGTCATCGTCATCATCATCATCATCGTCGTCGTCTTCAGCCTCGTTGGCTATCCGATTATTGTCAATAGCAACAAAGGGTGCTTCGTCTGCAAGATCACGGACAATGTGTTCATCGCTTGGTTCTGTATCGTGCACTATGGGGTCTGCTGGGGCGACGTCACCCCAGAACCAATCGCAGATCAGATCGATCAATGGACGTGATGGCTCCTCGACTGCAATGTCTGTCCCAGGTTGGGGGTGATCCGGAGTTGGCTGCCCCTGGCCAAAAGAGGGCAGGTCATTGGGTGTGAACAACAACTCTGCGTCCTCGGCAGCATCCATTTGCATACTTGATTTAGCTTCCGATAATGGAATGGTATCAAATTGCTCCAATGGGTTGTTGGAGCTGCTGGAGCTGTTTGAAACTAGTGGATCTATAGCCTCAGAGGCTCTGCGTTTTCCCTTTTTATCAAGCTCCTGTTGCGGGTTTGTTTCCGAAATAACTGCAGAGCTGTTATCGCTGTCTTCAACTGTATCGTATATAGACGGACTGTCTGTTATTTGGCTCCCAAGAGTACTCCTAGAACGAGAATTTGAATTTTCCTCGGCAGAATGGACATAGATGCCCTCGCCGACATATTCGTTTTGGTCGTCTTCGTTCCTTCCAAGATCATGCCAGCTTTCAGTACTCCCAGAATTCGAGTCAGGAAACTCGGATGAAGTCTCTTCGATTAAGCGGTGAATCTCGGTCGCGATCGAGTAACGATCTCGACTTGGCATACTCGGTCTTTGACGTAATGTTTCCGCACTATTTGCGGTATGAGCGCTGTTTGGTGAAACTACAGGTGGCTCGGGGAGTGCTTCAATTTTTGCAATTTGCGATGGAGGCGCTGAAGCTTGACATGAACTTTCCCCATTCTTGGCTAGACTACCTGTATCTGCCTTCTTGTATGCACCGATGTTTTTGTCGAATATGAGCCTTAGCTCTTGCCGCATTGACGCAATGGTCTGCCCATGAGTATTAATCTCTTCTGGAGTTAGGTTTCGTAGAAGATAATTCATGGCAGCCCGGTCCTCGCGGAGTATTGCTTCTGACCAAGCGTTCTGCATATGAGGCGGAAAATGAACTGCTGAATCCATCGCCCGAACCACGTGCGGAGGCATTCTATCTCTATGCGCTGACTTATTATGAGCGTATTCCTCATCGATGTCCACTTCATCATCAGGAAGGCCGTCAGTGTCGCTAGGCCGGATGTCACTATCAGTGGGTATATCATCATCGGATACAGCACCCTGGTTGTCCACGCCCTCATTGGCATTCAACTCGTCTCGGGCTCGTTCTGGAGGGGGCTCATTGGGTTCTTCAACATTTGCTGCCGCATCAGCTTGGCCTCTATCTAGACGGTCGGCTCCGAATGCTGCCATGTTGATCATGGGTTGTTGCTGTACGACCCACTCGCGTATAAGGAAGATCAGGATGAAAGCGGCTACCACCATCAAGGTGATTATTTGACCCTCTAGAATATCCAATAGGATCCGATTCAGGTTGTCCGAAGCAGAGAGAAGTTTGAACCAAGTAACATCGGACAAGAGACTAGTGCTTTGATCCAGGGCAGCCTCAAGACCAGGGTTGAACGTGCCGCTGGAATTACTGCCTGTGTCGACCGGAAGACGCATACCGAAGATAAGCTTCTTCACGGCCATAAGCATCGAGGGTTCTTGTGGATCAGCCAATGATGTGCCGGTCAAGTTCGAAATGCCTGATGATATGGCTTGGTGAACCAGTGTTCGACTAACGCCATCCGGACCAGCGGTGACTGTAATGTTAAAGTTGTGGTCTCGCGGTCTTCTCAGATACGCTTCTCTTGCCCATCCTGCATCTCCGATCCAGAATATCCAGCGCCACGTTATCCTAATAAACATGGGGAGACAAACGAGCCATACGAATGCCACCAACACAGCGCGGCACCAGGCGACGACATAGCTCAGCAGGTGAACTATTGCACGGCGACAGAATACGGCTGTCGGAAGCTGACTGGGCATTTGTGGGTGATATAGTTTCGTGAATCGGAAAGGTGTCTTGCACAGCTCACAGTACTTCTTCTGAGAATGTGACAGCCACTCCATCAGGCACTCTTGATGGACGAACTTGATGCTTCCACTGCATTTGCAAGGATAAAACAGTGGCTCGTCCGAAGTCCCTTCACCTCTACATATCCGGCAAGTATCAACCTCATCATGGCGTTGGTCTTGCAATTGTGTGTTTGTATCGAATGCGGGGTCGTTCATGACATCTGGAGATGAGGGTGCGAGTGGTCCTCGATGGGTTGCATTGGCGGCAGCTGTGACATCCATGATTGTTATAGGTGCACAGCTCGAGTTCGTTCGTATGTACCCGAGCGCATTCACCGCTTCAAATTGCGCAAGATAGCATGAGGCAGGGGGAGGTCTACAGTCGATAGATTGGCAACAGTGAATAGTTTGAAGAACGGCGAGATAGCATAGAGACGCAAGAGCAGCGTGGAGGTTCGAAGTAAATGTGGAGGGAAGGACTGGAAGGGAGAAGGAATAGTTAAAGTGTAGAATACACAGTTCAAAGGCACGATGCCAACAACAAAAAAGTGATTGTATTGTATGAACAGGAAGCTTGTGTTGGACTCCTGGAGAGAGACGTCTGCCCAGGATGATGCAAGTGGCCGCTATTCCAAGTTCGCGACACGTGAGCCGTGATCAGATGTACACACATCCTACCCCAAGGGCTGTCGAGGTAGGTATAGACAGACACTACTTATGATGAGAATAACTACGGAGTACCTCTACAAGATATCTTGACTCGGATTGCCTACAGTGAGGTAGTTTACTAGTATAGTCATGTTGTACGGTGCCTACTCAAGTAACTCTTTGGTCGCGACTGTCCGTGTGTAGCTGATGGCCAAGACGGGTATGACGAAACCAGGCGGTACCCTAGCTCCACTCCACTGAGTATGAAAGCAATCACTGAAACTCCTGTTATCTCAAGCCACACACGAGAACCGTCCTCTTTCATTCCACCTCAGAATTACTTCCTGTGATTGAGAAGGATTGCTCGTCCGCTCTCTGAAGATCCCCTCTGCCTTCGGATATCTTTGCCAATTCCCACAAAAACGAGAGACGCACTTGAGCTACTAGCAACACTCTTATCCCGAATTGGCAGCGTTCCTCGCTGCCTCCTTCATCATGGCCACTAACGGCTATTTGAAGAATTCTCAAGCAAATGGCAATGGGGATGTCAGGATGAACGGTCACTATGGGAAAATAGAGGAGGTCAGAAATACTAAGCATACGCGTCGGCACAAGCGGACGCTCAAAGCCTCCATCGTCAGCATATTTGCGAGGTAATGTTGGAACTGAAAACAGTAGACTTGTGGGTGCTGATGAGATGTCAGGTTACTATTGTGGTACACCATCATCACCACTGCTTTCCGATGTCCTGTTTCTTTGGTGAAGCTCACGGACACTTCTCCTCAAATCTGCAAACCTTACATCCAGCTACGATCATACCTTACGCCCTACGTGGAGCCATACTATGATACTTATCTCGCACACCATGTCGATACAGCGCGCCCCTATGTCGATACATTCAACCAAAAGCTTTACACCCCAGCTGCTATCTTCACCCAACATAATTACCACATATACGGCGCGCCTCGCGTCCAGCAACTCCAATCATACACACAGAGAGAATGGGATAGGACTGTCAAACCTCAACTTGATGTCGCGAGATCCAAGGCAATCGATCAGTATAACGCGTATCTTCAACCTCATGTTGGCACATTGACAGATTCTGTCAGGCCGTATTATGACGACATTAGAGATATTGCCATAGAGCAATACTACTCGACTCTCCTTCCAAGCTACAATCTTGTGCTGCCCTACGTACAGCAGGGATATGCCTTTGGTCATCTTTACACTACCAATATCATAATCCCTTATGTACGTTGGTCTGAGGCCACTGTCCGAGGATTTCTGACACGTATCATCTGGCCTAGACTTCGTGTTCTATATGGCGACAGTGTTGAGCCACAACTAATGCGAATAAGCGAGAGACTAGGGCGGTATAAAGATGGCAAAAGCCTCGAAGCTGCAGTTGATGCCGTGGATAGGTTAGCAAACCTTGATGTTCAGCCCACATATACAGTTACTGACAGGTACAGCTCACCAACTGCCCCAGCCTCTAGCTCTGAGTCTATAGTCTCTTGGGTAGCACAATCAGTTACAGTAGCAGACGAGACTGTTGCACCTTCTTCCACCGCTAGTTCGGAAAAGGCCAGCTATGATCCTGAAGAGACCAAAGAGAAGATCGCAAATGATCTCCGTAAATGGCAAGAGAAGTTCGCTACTGCCGCGGATAAGGGCTCCGATGATCTGGAAGAACGTGTGAGCGAGATAACTGCAGCACAGATCGATCGTCAAGCGAATGGAGTTGGTCGCGCTTTGGTGATCGAGCTTGAAGAGACTTCAACTTCAGCACTCAAAGCTGTGAAATCTAGGATCATTCATATTGTTCAGGATGTCCCGCAGGATCCAACCGAAGCCCTCCTCGAGTCTGCGTTGGATGAAGCCATCGAAGCCATTCGATCTGCCGGAGCTATTGTCAAAACAAAGGCGATGAATGTTAGAAATTGGAAGCAAAAGTACGATGAGGAGACATATAGCTTAGTACATGCGGCCGCAGACTCCACTCTTGATGTCATCGATAACATCCGCGACCTTGGTCTACAGGAGATTGGTATGCGGTGGGCATGGATGGATGGTGTTACATACAAGGATTGGCAAAAATATCACCAACTCAAAAAAACTTGGGACGAATGGCGGAACGAGGTACAAGCTAGAGCCTTCGAGCACGCAGGTCTACAAGAAGCTAAATCTCAAGGTCAAAAACAAGAGGATGATGCGATGGAGGTGGCGAGAGACGCTGCTTTTGAACTCGCACGCCTGAAGAAAGTTGCGAAGTGGAAGCTATGGGCGGAAGATTCCACCGATGATTTTAGTGACAATAAGGTCCCCGAGCGCGTCTTCAGGGCTGCTAAGAGCATTGAAAGTAAGCTGAGCGAGGCAAGCGAAGTTATCTTAGGCACTCAACAAGGTTCTATCGAGTCCGTGTCCTCGAAGGCCTCCGAAAGCATCGCCAATATGTCTTCTCGTCTGTCCTCCGCGGTTGTGGGCACAAATACTGATACACCCGAAAGGGTTGCGTCCGAAGCTTCCAAAGCTATCGTTGCTTCTAACGGCAGCATCAAGAGTCTCTCCTCAATAATTAGCAAAAGTGTGGAGAGTGGTGTCTCAGCAGCCATTTCGAGCGCAGAGAGTGTCGCCTCAATCGCCAGTGAGCAGGGACATGGGGCTGTTATGGGGGTGTCCTCAGTGTTAGTGCCGCTGCACGATGCAGTCGAAAGCATGCACTCCGGTGCCAGTGATAAGGCTTCCAGCGTCGAGGCGAAGGTATTATCCGCTGTCGGTGGTACTCGAGATCCCGTCAATAGCGCTGCCTCTATGGCTAGTGAGAAAGTCACAAGTGTGGCAGCCAAAGCTTCACCCGCCATCGTTGGATCAGAAGAGCCGATCGACAGCGTTAAATCCGTGGTCGGCAATAAGGCACACAGCGTGGTCTCCAAGGCATCATCAGCCGTGGCAGGCTCTCAGGATACAGTGGAAAGTATTTCTTCGGCTGCAGCAGACGTCATCTCTCAAGCCTCTTCGGCCGTCGTTGGGTCACAGGGAACTGCAGAGAGCATGACCTCTGTGGCCAGTGAGTATGCCCAAGGAGTAGTCTCTGCAGCTCACAAGAAAATTGAAGATGCAACTGAGGCTATCAAAGGCCACCCCCCGCCTGCTGCCTCGCAAGCATCCTCGAGTTTAAACTCCATAAGTGCTGCAGTATCCGAAGCCATTGACAATCCGAAGAAGGTTTGGGGTGGTGCAGCGGCACAGAAAGTTAGCGCCAGGACTCCCATACTAGACGACCTTTTCGATGATGAAGATGAAAGTTATTCTGATAAGATCCATAGACTTGTCAGCGACGCCGGATATCGTGCATCTGATATCACAAAAGCCATTAACGAGGTGCTGGGTGGAGCTACCATGACCCAAGGATCAGTAGAGTCTGCCACTTCTATCGCAAGGGAGCAATACGAAAAGGCATTCTCGGCAGTCTCCAGTGCACTCTACGGAGCTCCTCAGGGGCCAGGTGAAAGCCTCTCCAGTATAGCATCAGAGAACTATGCTGCGGCGGTCACTGCGTAAGTCTCCTCACCCTGAAAGTATCACAACATGTGTTGAATTTTTGAATAGGGCGTCTTACGCAATTTATGGTACACCGACTCCTATCCTGTCATCCCTCTCTTCTCAGGCGGAAGCTTCTTACAGCGCCGCTCTCAAAGCCGCCCAGGCGGAGTATGAGAAGGCAAGCAGCGCCATATCATCGCAGATTGGAAAGGCTACAAAAACCAAACCAGTTCACGAAGAGATGTTATTATCGGCCGAGCGAGTGTACTCTGGCTCGATTGCAGCCGCAAGCCAGAAATGGCAGGCTGTATTGAAAGCGGTAGTGCCAACTCAAGCGCCTCTGGAATCTGTGTCATCATTGGCCGCCTCCAGGCTATCAGAAGGACTTAGCATTGCTTCCGCACAGTACACAAGTGCCAAGATCGCCGCCGGGCTTCAGCCAACCCCGGCAACACAGCATTACCTTGATGAAGCACGCAAGAGGTATTATGAAGGTATTGGCATGGCCCACGCACGCTACTCGGAATTCTTGGAGGAAGCGTCCAGTGCCGTGTACGGCACACCGACCCCTGCTTACGAGAGTGTGCTGTCTGCTGCGCAGAGCCAATATTCAGCCGCTATCGACGTGGCCTCGTCTAATTTACAAAGCGCTGGCGATGCTGTTGATGCCACTTCTCGTTTCAATGAAGCTTATGCTGCCGCAACTGCTGCATTGTTTGGAGCATCCGCAAAGGCCAGCGAGGCTATCTATGGCTCTCCACAGGGCGCTGTTGAATCTTTTGTATCGCAGATTTCACAGAAAGCCGACTCCATCGCTTCCGTTGCTAGCTCTACTGTGATCGGAACCCAGACGCCGTGGACAGAATCAGTTGCATCTCAAGCTTCACAAAACTGGGAATCGCTTGTCGCCCGAGCCAGCGAGCAAGTCTATGGGCAGCCCACACCATTTACACAATCTCTTTACAATCAAGCCGGTGAATATGGTGCACAGGCTACGGAGGCTGCCGCTGCGCAATATGCATCAATTCAAGCCCTGTTATCCGAGCTTGTGATCGGAAAAGAAGCAGATTTCACCGAGAGCGTGTATGCTCGCTTTAGCTCCGCCTACCATACTGATGTCCCAGGTGTGATATCTCAGGCTTCATCGTATGCCTCTGTGGCTTACGACTCCGCTTCTTCTGTGGTCTCCTCTGTTTTTACCCCTCCGCCAGCAGTCGAAGCCATCATCGACCAGGCTAACGACCAACTTAATGCTGCCGTTGATGCTTTAAGCGTACAGATCTACGGTACCGAGAAAAATTATCTAGAGAAGGCTACTGACGCAGCTGGCTCTGCATACGCCGCTGCTCAAACACAGGCCAGTGAGGCTATCTACGGCACCGAAGCCGCATACGTCGAGAAAGCTCAGGCATCATTCGCTGATGTCGCCGCATCCGCTCAATCTGCCATTTCTATAGCTATCTACGGCACTCCCACGGGTGCTGTCGAATCTGCCACCAATGCCGCAGGTGCAGCTTATGAATCAGTTCAATCTGTCGTCAACGAGAACATTAAGCAAGCTGGGGAAGTCGCGGGAGACTCGTACGAGGCTGCTCGCGCCAAGATCAGCTCAGCTATCTACGGCCCTGAGGTAGGCGCTATTGAAAGTGCACAGAATCGTGTAGCTACTGCCGTTGAGTCAGCTCGTGCGAGGCTCGACGAACTTGCGAAAGCGGGTGGGGAACAAGCGCAGAAGGCGCGCGAGAGTGTTGTGGAAATGGTCTCGAGCGTCGCTGAAGCAGCCGCAGGTGTCACGGGACGAGTGAAGGATGAGTTGTAAATGTCACTCATATTGATTGAGATGCATACAACCAAGGGGATGTGTAGGGGTGGTAATGTCAAGCGTCATGAGAGTTTTCGCACATGTGTTATGGTGAATGATTTACGAGCGAAAGATGGTCCTAGTTTTCTTATGGATGAAATTCGGTGAAAAGTGGTACAAAATACGGTGGAACCATCATCGGTGCTACACTTTTGCTCCTATTCCTTCTCAAATGCTCTCTCCTTCCGTCTCAGTTGATTGATTTTGTTCTATTCCTTTACCACACGATATCCCATTCCAGATCATGCATTGGTCTGTTTGTATCGAGTTATTTTTCCAAACCGAAGTGCGGCAGACAACAAGGGGTCAGGGCCTTGTAGATGTTATGAGGAGGCGGGACTCAATGAGCTCATTCACTATGAATTGAACTAAGATTAACGATGTGATCACTACGATCTTGCTCTAGCGTCATTCTAGTCACAATTTATTTGCAGTCGCCCATTCCATTCACTAAATGGCAACATGGCTCCAGTAACAACAGCGATACCTTGGCACTGTGGCCTTTGTGTCAAATAGGTACCAATTTATATCCTTGTTTGTGCTACCTCGTGGAATAATGAGGCTTATACCACCACGATACGTGAATATCTTACACGCTGTCATTTTACTCATACTCGTTCCCAATTGTGATCGATGTCCTGGACGCATAAACTTTAGAGAGCTTAATCCCGACAAGGTACTTGCCCGGCTCATCACCATCAGATACAGTCTCGGATGCCACAAATATTGAATTCATCAACCCTTCATACCTCGAACTCCCACCCTGGAAAGTAGCCGTGAGAACTTGTAGCTATCAGCGAGATGATTCATTGGGAAAGTCAAAATGGAAGCAGTACAGACCTCGATAGAGGGTACCATAAGGCACTTCCCGACGGGACCTAAAACAATTATTCTCACGCTCAATATCCTTCTGCGTCTGGTTGGCACACGCGTTCAGTTGGTCGGATGATGGAGGTTTGGAAATGATGGACTTGATCATTTCATCGTTGAAAAGTATGCCACTCATCTCTAGCTGGAATGGCATGGAATTGTCATCAGGAACGACCGTTCCTATGAAGCGTGGGTGCGTAATGGACGGGTCTACATCAGTGATGGAGTAGTCGTTTACATTGGAGATCGTTGCTTTCAATTGAACCTCGAACTGTTATCTTAAGCGGTTGTATCGACCACAATCCTGAGAGAAAGGGTATTGCTTACTCCAGGTTCAGACACAAGCGAGATTGTTTCAAAGTGAAATAGCCCGAGACTGCTTCCCGATGACAAGTTCCCCAGGTCCAACTAGATCTTCGATCAGTATTCTGTTCCTACATCGGATGTTATTGTGTACGAACTGCACGATCAACGGTCGCCTAATAGTAATGTCAGCGATGCAAATGCGCGTTTGGATTTTGTCTACACGTACATTGAAAAACAAGGCTGGCACAATGTAGTTGAAAGGCTGCATATTAGAAGACGAATGACAACTCCCGTGTATAATCCTGAACTGACCCGATATCTGGCAGGAAAAATGAGAATCTATGGCGTCCCTGCCTCTATAAATGTACGATTAGTCCAATCCAAAATCCAAAAACACGTCATGCATCACAAGGCCCTTCCCAATGAACGTAGTGTATTGCAAGCGTAATCACTGCGTGCAAGTGGATGTCTCGACTGTGGAGTCGCGCACTCGTAGTATGCATGACCATGTAGGCTGATGTGGGTACAGTGTTCAGTAGCGTTGCTGCTCTCTGTAACCTTATGGTAGCTTTTTATCACGAAGAGAGACAGTCCTCTCCACAATAGGAGAATATTATGACGTCTCAAATGGCTGTTATAACTTCAAGTCCTGCAGACAGAGTCTGACTTCCATGTAGAGAAGTGTGTTGTGACGTCTTCTATGCGTATAGCGCTCAGAGTCATGCGGACGGACCTTTTTCATGCATAGGAGAATTTCATGACGTCGTATGTGCTTATTATCGATTATGGTAATGCAAATACAGCCCCCTCTTCACACATAGAACCTGACGTCTTTTATGTCGGACTTCTTATCTTGATTCTACGGTCGCTCGTAGACCTCTGTAGACATCTGTAGCCCTTGTCAGCCGAGCAACTCTATTCAACCGCTTTCCAGTGTGAGTGTTATCGCAATCTAGAGTAGTTGACCATATATTCCATTTGAGCTCGGTATGTTTTAGTAATAGATGCAGTAGCTAAGCGATTAGTATCATAATATTGCGAGACCACTAAGGCATTAGCTGGGTGGAAATAATTTAAGTTATTAGATCTATGAAACCTTAGCCAATGTATGGGAACTATATGATAATATCAGTTTTAGTCTTATTACACACATGACTCTACTACTTATCCGTATAACTGATTGAATTATATAAATCCAGTACACATTATAGTAGATACGTTAAAATAGTTCTTTGATATATTTACGATATCCAGAAGTATAGTACTTACACTGATAATCAAATATCTAAAAACGAGAAAGGTGAAGATTGTACATTGGTTGAGTGAAGATTCTATCTTGCCCCTCAGAGTGTGTGATTGTTCTGTCCTATCACCGCCCGTAACACCCTGAATTTGTGCTACCTAGGTACTCTATGAGCTGCCACCTCATCTGACCACCCACCTCATGCGGCACTTCCAGCAGAACAAAGAACATCTTTTCGCTGCACTATGAGAGCAGAACCAGCAGCGATTTTATCGGCGTTGCTCCGTCCCCACGCGGGATACTATCGAGGTAGGGATCACTCATAGCTATAGCCTTGTCCGCTTCAGCTGACCTCAAACTTGTAGAGGGCTTTTCCACCGATGGCGTGGACTCTAACAATGCAGTGGTGCCGACAGGCTATGGAGGAACAGTTGATTTTTTAAGTCAGGAACCCGACACAGCACTGATTTTTCATTTACTAAATTGTGATCTTAGATGCGGTCCCAATCGCTAGTGTCGAGCCTGATGTAGAGGTTACCTATGATGACTGGGTCCACCCAGAAGACCTACCTCCTATGCCTCAATGCGTGGCAGAACAAGACCAATCAAGCTTGCTGAATATCATGTCGAAGTGTACGAGTAAGAGATGCACCAAACGAGTTGGTTTTTGCTGGCGTCATCAATGGCTGACTGATACACACTGTCTTGGCACGGAACTCTCTCCTCAACTCTTCAGTCAATACTTTGACTATTGCAGTCGATCAGTTCTCGCCAAGGCGCAGTTGTATCAATGGGTCCAGAAAATTACAGGTCGCTCGTGGCTTGTCGACGTTGGTGACACAACCGACGTGCTAGAACTTTCGCCTTCCTCCTTAGAAAAGGGTTTTGCAAATGTCAAGATCACAAATCGGGCTCCAAGTTGCCTTACAGATGCAACGAGTGCTTCGTCCTCGGAGCGTTTTGGACATGTATTTACATCATGCAGGTTCACAGATTCGACACGGCATACAGGTAATGTCGAACGTCCATGGGAATATAACGAAGGCATGAACGCGCTACTTAGCCTCGATACCGAGATAGCCGGTTACGATCTTACGGGTGGCAGCATCAGCAACGGAGACTACTTTGATATCAAATGTTTCTGTAGCACATACGGCTTAGACCTTCAATCCACAACCTGTTCTGGCCTTGATACCACGCGAGAATACCTGTGGATGAATGCCATCTGCGGGCCAACGTCACTTCCCGACAATTGGAAAGATTCACTCATGACGACCGACTATGCATACATACCTGTCGAAGACTGGAACTGGCCAAGCTGCGTTACCGATATGCCCGTTGCAATCACGGAACGTCCCCTGCAGTGTGAGACTGACGCTTGTGAGGTCGATCCCGATGGATATTGTGAAACTACGCCCTCAATTGACAGAGCTTGTTTTTGCCAAGGTATAAGCTACGACTCCTGTGGCGGTTCATGCCACATCTTCGAGACGAGAATCGAGTATTTGGAATGGCTCAATACAACATGTGGTCTACTACCGGATTGGAATGGTCTACCAGATGACTGGCATCAGCTCATCATTCCTACCAGTCTTGATATGATGCCTTGGAAGTGGACCGTTAAGTCGCTCCAGAACTCCAGCAGTGGACCCTCAGCACCAGACAGACAGGATGAGCAATGTGCTTCCAATGCATGGAAATTGGGTAGTTTCATTCTCATCAACATGGCAACATTGCTCGCAACTATCGTGAGTCAGAAAAGGGGCAGAAACGACATGCCGTACGATATACTATCCACAAACAATTCCCAGTCTTGGTTCCTCAGAGGGCTGTTACTTACCGGATTGTCTCTCTGCGCAATGGAACTCAACGCTTACCTCGTCACATCGACTGCCGGCTATGAAGCCGTGCCAGTGATTGGGCTCATGCTCTTGTGGTGTACCATGCCTAGGCTAACCTGGATTACAACATTCATGGCGTGGAAACGTCCACTCGAAGCGATGGAGTGTTCCATTGCTAAAGCCGCACTCCTTATGGAACTCGTTCTCCAAGCCTTAGCGTCGAAATACATGCTGAAAACTCTCACGTACGGCGTAGAGCACGGCTTCTATACCAATGGGTCCGGAAGATTGCCAGGGTCGACCTCTACGCAGGCTATGTACGCAGGAGCATTACTATGGGTCGTTGTTGCTACCAGTACTATCTTTGTTCTACTCGTCAGCTTACATCTGCACCTTCGCTCTCATAGTATGGAAAGAGCGAGCACAAGCGGCAACTTGGAACAAGAACCGCTATTGAGCCACCATGAGGCCAACTCCGATACCACATACAGTACAATCCCAAAGGACGCCAGTGACTTACCACAGGAAAAGGGCTTGACTCCACAGGAGAAGAATACGATCATGATATGGTCTGGGTTCGCAAGCGTTGTCATGCTCTTCCTTTGGGTCGCACAATGGCTCTTCTGGGCGGGATTCATTGGTCTGGCGTTGACTGAGTACGTGACAACATTGAATCATGAGTCATAACGCGAAACCCCGCTGACTTAAAGCAGTTTCTGTCCGCCTAGATTAGTATTGCTCACTGCTGTGTGGGTTGCTACGACGTTACTAGGAAGTCTTATATAGCAAACGGATTTTACGTAGGGGTTGAGGGCGTATCGGGTGATTGGACATGGTCTTTTTGGTACAAAGATGGATCTCGCCATGGTTCAATGATAACGAATTTCTTTGGACAGACAGACGACGGGTGACAGTATAGCCATCTCTTTGCAGCAGCTCTCGGTTCGTAAAGATCAACAAAACTTTGTCAATTTCTTAGTATCTGATGCTACAAATTGCGTATTTACCGGTATATCAGAGATTACACGTATGCCGAGGCCATAGATAGGCTATAGCTTAGCCAGTAGTCCATTTTGACGATCCCCCCCCCAAACCGACGCTATATCTTCTAGCTGATCGATATCATTGAGCATTGCTACGGACTGCGTGACATAAGAACAGCCAGTTTGAAATGCTTGAAATAATTGCAGTCCAGTCGCAAATGAAAGATCTCTCGAGGTGACGCCAAATGATATTCGCGATTGCAAGTTTTCAGACAGATTTTTGAAAGTGAAGTCCTGGTTCATGCCAGGATTAAAAAGGCGCTGATATGATACTACACGTGTGTTGTAGGATATGAACAGCTAAAAGGATCTAATATTACGACATCGTATATCAGGTTACACTGATGAGGCCTATCTTTTGATCGGAGACATGAAGGCTCGAATACACGTCGCGCAAGACTCACTCCATCACTGAAGACTCCGCGACAGCATCGAAGCTTCAACAGCTATGTAAAGTTATACCAATTGCGACCTACACCAGTCATGACATTCACCAGCTCTGAATGAGTACCTTAAATTAACGATCAATTCGAAATAGTCATATCTCATAACCGGTATCTCAAGTTTCATAGCCCCAGGAATACGTATCCCTCCCTCTCTTCCTCTTTCCATCTCCCTTTAACAACCACCTCCACCACCCCCACCGCCGCCATCTCCACCACCCCCTCCACACGAGGCCCCGCCTCCGTCTCCCCCAGAAAAACCCCCGCCTCCGTCTCCCCCGGAGTAACCTCCGCCGCTGAAGAATCCGCCTGTGTAGCTTGAACCACCATGACGACGAGCCTTCCTACCGCCATATGACTGCTGGTTGTACTTGCCGACCTTGGTCACGGCGACGGGCTTGCCGCTGTAGCTGTCGACGTATACCACTTCGGGCTTGGACGAGTGGCAACCCATGGTGATATTTGAATGAATGAGTGCGTGTGAGGTTGGGAATAAGACTGGCCAGAGGCCTAATCGAAGACAGGTTGTGTGAGGCGGTATGTGTGATGTGTGATTGATTGATTGATTGTTTGTTTGTTCCGAAGAATCTGTGTTGTGTCGTGGTACGTCTGTCTTGAACGAGCAAGACAGTCAAGGTGTAATGTGAGTTCAATGGGTGCTACTCATCTCTGTACTAGGACTGTCGTTATATATATATATGCATCCTCGTAGATGCACACACCGCGTGACTACCAGTATACGACATGCGACATCATTCCAGCCCCCGCGCGCAGCCGCAGCTGTCAGCCCGTGCTAACGGTACACCACAAGTCCCTCAACCACTCACCTTGCGCCTCTCACGAAGAATTCCACCGTACGGAAGCGAAGCAGGGAAGTCGCAAGGCTGAGCCCCAGTAGCCACCACCATCGGGCCTTATCTTGTTCCCCTTCGCAGCCTAGCGTGCGTCAACGAAGCCTTCTAGAAACAGGGGTAGATGCGATGCGCTCGGCCGCGCACTGGTGGATCGAACTTTGACTCGCATTACGCGGATCTTGATCTGCCTTGTTGGAAGCCTAACACCATCCGGCCTGTTGTTGTGGGGCGGTAACTGGTTCTGTAATTATGTGCTCAGATCCTCGTGAGCATTGGGGCTGTGCGGGCTGACGTCAAATCCGCGAAATGCGAGTGGTCTGTGCGCGGGCTGTGACATTAGGTCGGTCACGTGTGAGAGCGACGGGGAGTTCAGGAGTCCGGATAAGTGACTGAAACGAAAGTTTTATATGTTATGATAGATATCCCAGATTGGGTCATATTTCATGGACTGGATCCAGCACTCTATATGGCTCGTCTTGTCCTCACAGTGGACACTTTTATTCAGAACTGTTCAAGTCCAGGAAATGCTGGGCAAGCGATATTAGCAACACAAATGCAACACCTTTCGAACAGAAAGGGACTCACCCAAGCATGATACCGGCGCCTGCTGCGATAGCTGCAAACTGTGTGATCGTGTTCTTAACTTCTTTCTTTCGGTCCGGCCCCGTCTCCAACATCTCCGGTACGACGGCAACGGTGCCCACATACAAAAACGTCCCGGCGGTAAATGGTAGCAGTAAGTCTCCCCACATCAAGCTCGTCCCTGCGAGCCCGACCCCCTCGACCGCGTTCTCCCCCGAACTACTCCCTCCAAGTTCTTGTACTGTGATGCCGATTAGCGTGCCGAGAAACGCGCCTGCAGCGGTGATGAACTGCGCGCCCATGGCTTTGCGCTTCGAGAAGCCAGACTGGATGAGCAGGGCGAAGTCTCCTACTTCATGCGGGATCTCGTGGAAAAAGACGGCGACAGTGGTGGTTGCGCCTATGGTAGGCGAGGCGTAGAAGGAGGAGGAGAGGGCAAGGCCGTCGGTTATGTTGTGTGTGAAGTCGGCAATGAGATTTAGGTAGCCGGAGAGTTTGACAGAGGGACTGATCTCCTTATTGGTCTCAGGGGCCGATGAAGAAGAAGTAGTAGTACCGTTGGCTGTGGCGCGGGATTTGAGGGTTGTTGTGTCTGCAGTCATTAGTGCAAGGAAAGGGCGAGTATATTCGATATATATGGAGACGAATGCTACAATCAAATGAGCGAGATATTTCATTACCTTTTTTCTCCATGCCACTGGCTTTGACGACTTCAGTCTTCTCGTGCGAGTGCCCGTGATCGTGGTTGTGAGGATCCTGACCTCCAGTTGCGATCCGCAGACTCTTGTCCATAAGTACAAACGTCAAGAACCCAACCATAATGGCTGCGCCCAGTAAAAGATTGCGGTTTGGCTCGACCATCACAAACTTGACCTCATCAGGGGCAACTTCACCCAGAAATATCTCAGGAAGTAGATGGAACAACGTGTCTCCGAGCAGTCCACCAACAGCAAAAGCGACCATTACGGAAAGCGAATTGGGGTCTATGTTGGGAGGACATAGTGCTAGAAGAAAGTTTGGAGGCCCGGAGATGTACAGAGTCGCGAGGAGTGCATTGACTGCTGGACTACCAGGAAAGAGTACGGCGAAAAGCTTGGCCATGAAGCCTGAGGCCAAAGGCGTGGTAGCCTTTTTGTGGGCATTGAGTTGCTGGACGAATTCACATGACTGTCTCGAGGTTAGCAATAAGAAATTGCCAATTGGAGGGAAGAAGACTGTAATGGTGTTTTGTTCCAATGGATCATACCTCAACTTGTTCCTCAATCTCAGGTACCGTAAGTGAGCCTAGAGGTTTTTCGACTGTAGCTTGAACACCATTGCTGTAAATAGCTAGCACTAAGAAAATCGGGATAGCCACGCGGCAGAGGCGTAGCAAATAGGATCTGGAAGTCATCACGGTGCCCTGATATTGTAGACCGTCGAAATATTCAGATTGATAACGCGTCAGGGGCGCTCTCATGACAGATGTTCGGCTTCTGAAGCCTGCCAAGTCTCCTTTCCCGGCTGAACCACGGCCACGGCGTTTCTTACTTCCTTCTGCCACTAAAGATTTCGAATCTGGATTTTTTGACCGCACGGTACTCACCATTCACACCACCTTGCTGGCTGCAACCCCTCACACTTTACCCCTCTCATCTGCATACAGGCGACTACCTACATATAAAACCCGTTATCATGGGCCGTGAACTCCAGAAGAAGAAGAATCGGTCCAGCAATCCGAGAGTACGGCAGAAGCCGAAGAGCAAGAAGAAGATTCTCACAAACCCAATCATTGCTGCGAATTGGTATGCACTCCAACTTTTTCGAAGTTTATTATAGATAGGTCTTGCAAGGGCCTCCCGACCTAGCATTTCTCGCCCATTTTCTCTTACCAATGCTCACCACAGATCCATCACAGGAACCAAAAAGAAACCCTCACCCAAAACTACCGCCGCCTGGGCCTTGTTTCCAAGCTGAACAAACGGACCGGCGGCATCGACAAAACCCCCTTGCAATCTACATCCGCCGCCCCGCAGTCTACCGATGCATTCCTCATAAACGGCCCCGGTAGCACGCCTCTGAACCCTAAATCTATAAATCCTGCTGAAGTCTCTGTGACTCGTGATCCTGCGACTGGCCGCATCATCAGTGTTGACACTCCAGTTTCTTCGAACCCGCTGAACGATCCTCTACATGGACTAGATAGTGATGACGATGACAATGAGGAGTGGACAGCGCATGAATTTGCGCATGTGCCGGAGAAAAAGGGGGGCGAGAGCGGAGTTGTGAGAGTATTGGAAGAGCAGGCGAGAAGTGGGAGGAGGAAGACGCCGCGAAAGCAGAGCGATAGGGAGCAGGAGTGGATTGCAGACTTGGTGAGGAAATACGGGGAGGACTACGCGAGGATGGCGAGAGACCGAAAGTTGAATCCGATGCAGCAGACGACCGGAGAACTAAAGAGGAGAGTGGAAAAGTGGAAGAAGGATCAAAAGGTGGCAGAGGAGTGAAACGAGGGTTTTAAGTGGCCCAGCATATCACATTGGCGTTATGGGAAATCTCGGGCACAACGGTCGATGTGCTACTATAATCGCTGAGAGGTACGTATTCTCTCAGTAACAAGATTGGCACATAAGGCCCTCGGGTTGTTACATGCCAAAAATCCACGACATACACATATAGAGCACGAGCCAGTAAGAGCTTGGACCTCAACAATTTGAACTGCATCGATGTGTTCACATTACCGCATAACACCCAAGTTACATGCGTACTGCCTTTGGCTTTTTCAACTCCCAAACCCCAGCGCCACCCATCCCTTACAATCGGCTGTAAGACCCCCTTACCAAGTCAGCCAGGCTCAACAGTGACTATACAGCCGGCGAACGTATGATCATATGAACAGTTGCCAGCTTACAACTTCCTCATGTCAACAACGCATCGAATGCAGTCTCCGGCTTTCATGTCCTGGAACGCCTCGTTAATGCCACCCAGGGGTTGGCGATGGGTAATGAACTCGTCGACCATCAGCCGGCCTTGCATATAATCATCGACCAGACCAGGGAGTTGGGTGCGGCCCTTGACGCCACCGAATGCGCAACCACGCCACACACGGCCTGTTACGAGCTGGAATGCTATATCTATGTTACTCGCGATCTTACTCGAGCAAATCATTTTGGACTTACGTCGTGTAGCAATCTCCTGGCCGGCGGCAGCAACACCGATAATGATCGACTCTCCCCAGCCCTTGTGGCAGGCCTCGAGCGCCGAACGCATGACATGCACATTACCCGTGCAATCGAACGTATAATCACACCCGCCATCTGTCATCTCAACCAACTTCTCCTGGATACTCTGATCGCCAATACTCTTTGGGTTGACGAAGTCTGTTGCGCCAAATTTGTGCGCCCACTCCTTCTTCGCATCATTCACGTCAACAACGATGATTTTGCCTGCACCGTTCTTCACCGCACCTTGAATCACACTCAGACCAACACATCCGGCGCCAAAGACGGCCACGTTGCTCCCTTTCTCGATACCCTGGCCCTTGTTGGCGGTGATGATGGCTGCACCATAGCCAGTGGTGATACCACAGCCTAACAAACACGTGCGGTCCATAGGCGCCTTGTCAGTGATAGCCACGACGGAAATGTCTGCGACGACGGTATACTGCGAAAACGTCGAGGTGCCCATGAAATGCAGCAATTCCTTGCCCTTGCACTTGAAGCGACTTGTGCCATCAGGCATCACGCCCTTTCCCTGCGTGGCGCGGATCTTGCCACATAGATTGGTCTTGCCGGACTTGCAGAACTTGCATTCGCGGCACTCTGGTGTGCTGTTACACAGGATCAGCGGTGTGTCCGGAGAGCGGTGAAGGACTTACTAGAGAGCAACGACGTTGTCACCAACCTTCACGCTTGTCACGTCCTCACCGACGCTCTCAACGATACCGGCTCCTTCATGTCCCAGGACAATGGGGAATGCGCCCTCAGGATCTTTGCCGGAGAGCGTGTACGCGTCTGTGTGGCACACGCCGGTGTAGTAAATTTGGATGCGCACTTCGTGGGCTTTTGGAGGTGCGACCTCGATATCTTCAATCGTCAAGTCTTTTCCTGCTTCCCAGGCGACAGCGGCCTGTGTGTGTTTTTTTGTTAGGGGGAGGATAGTAGGTAGGAGTTGGGGGTGAGTGGTGGACGTGCCTTGCAGGTAATGGTCTGGAGACTGGGTCAGCTGGGCCGTTAGGAAAGTTGGAGTAGGATAGACGTACCTTTCCCGCAGTGTCTGAAGACATGGTAGATAGTCGTCAGATGTCGAAGTGGTCTGATGTGCGCACAGTGAATAGACAGTTCTATACCAGATCAATATGTCAATCAGTGAGCGATACAGTCCAGAGTCGCGTTACGCAGGTCCGAGGATAACAGCGTGCTTTGCGGGACAGACTCACAATATATATAGCAACTAAGGCTATACGAAGCTTCGCGGATGCGAACGGGTAATCGAAGTGGGATGTCAAGCAAAAAGTCAACAACAGAGACGTAAGAAACGGAGCTATGTCAGCGACCGAGCTCGGCTGGAGGGGATTTAATTCTGGTGGATGACCTGTCCGTGGGCCCTGGCTCAGTCTCTCTCCAGAAGTGGGGAATGGATGATGCTTGAAGGGAGGGGCAAATAAGTCGGGACTTGTGTGTGTCTGAGTGGGGCCATAGAGAGTGAGGGGCTACGGCAACGCCTGGCCTGGTAATGCGCGCCGCCGCAAAAACAACAAATCATTAGTAGATCACTTGTCATTGTTTTCCATCCGGTTAGGTTGCCTCGAGACAATCGCCGAGACAAGTTTGTAAGTAGCCCTGTGGTGATTGACAAGGTGATCGTAATATACGACTCAAGCTGTACAAACACTTCAGCTGCAATGCTCGAATCTCTAATACTTCGCATTCAGATTTGCATGTTCTAGATGATGACGTAGAACTTGCTCGGCGTCTGCCAGCGGCCCGGGGTGCAAGGCAACCTTGTAAAGGTAAGAAGGTCATGCGAAAGCTTCTGCTGGTTTGGGAAAGTCTCGCGAGCGTAAGATATTGCCGCTCCGAGAAGCCGGAAAATCAAGCACTGGATGCTGAATCCAGATATTGGATGCTACTGATGCATGACCTTCAAAGAAGGTTTCAACGGCCATAAGGAATGCAAACAGCTTGGTAGGCGGTTTCGAGAAGTTACTTGCGCAATATATGGCACTAGGAGAAAAGAGGAAGCGAATGTAGAAAGCATTAGTATGATGGGCTCCGAGCTACCGAATCACTGGATAACTATTACTCATTTGGAAAAAGGAGGCATGCGACAGAACTGGGGTATGACAAGCAGACGCTGAAAAAAAGACGTAACCTAGCTCGCTCATGCTTTCGCCGCAGGTGCTTGCTCTACCTTCGATGCCTCGCCCGTCGCATCGACTTGCTCACCTCCGACGGGATGCTCAACATCCACGTCGGCTGCAGAGCGTACTTCGGTCTCAGTTTTTGGTGCTTCCGACGCAGGCTCACCATGGACAACAGCAGGAGTCGTCTCTACCGGTGTCAACTCTTCAGCAGCACTAGACTGCTTCAAGGCGCTTCCCTGGGTCTCCTCTTTGGCTCCAGTCATACTTTTCGTCTTGCTCTCCGAGCTATTTCCCTCCTCTCCTTCTTTAGCAGGTCGTCCCAAGCTCGAGCCGCGTCGAGCAAAGTCCTTTAGTCCGCTACCCCAAGTCTTCTTGGGAGGTGGCTTAGCGGTACCGTCAAGTCCAAGTATACCCTTGATCTCTGGAATTCCAGCGTGGTCTCTCGTATTCCTCATACGGTGACACCAAGTTGCTTTGCCGTGCTCGAACATAAATTCGCCTCCCACCTGCTTGAAGCTGCCTCCATTTATGGCGTTCTTCCCAGACTTGAGCCCTTGCAGTATGCTACGGAGAGCACCACCTAACATGCCAGACTGGATGTACTCAGGCTTCTTGGGCCCTAGATCAAGTGTGCGAACCATACCCAAGGCGTCGTAGAGCTTGGTAGATGGGTCGGCATATACAGGAAATGGGCAGCCAGTAGTTTCGACATACATGTCAATGAGTTCTGGCTTGCCACACCCGATGACTGTTATGAAGGTAGGTTTTTCGAGACTGATTAGGTCTTCGGGGGTGATAGAGGAGCATAGGGTACGAAGGTATTCTTGGCAGTTCTGAATTATATTAGCAGGTCCACGTATATGAGTGTTTATCAGCACCTACACCACAGAAGAAGTGTCGGACAAAAATGATGAGCTGGCGAGGAGCCGTATTATCTGCCGTGTACAGGCTCTTGAAAGTGCGGGAGCTGCCCTTGTTGTCAAGAACGACGAGGTCTTCACACTTCTTCAGATCTTCTTCAGTAGGTAAAGCTGTCGAGACATTCAGGTCGCCTTTGAACTCTCCCTGGGTATCATCCGGCTTGGAAACGTCACTCTTCTCGGGAGCAACGTTCTCTTGTGGCGCTCCCGGGGTCGCGACCGGTTCGGAAGCCATTGTAGGTAACGGAGCTAGCAGTATGTGCTTCTCGAAACCTTCGAGTTGACTGTGCACAACTTGAGGTGCAAATAAAGTTAACAGACAAGCTGTACAGAGATGGCAATAATCCTGGAAATTGATTCTGAACCGCCTTGTGGGAGGATGTAATAGCGATGGCTTTGTATTGTAGTGTGCTGGTTAGTAACGAAGCCCAAGTCGTGTATCAGGTACAAGGATGAAGTACAAACTACGGCTTGGAATGGAAAGACGCCGCCCTGTAGATGCTTTGTGTTTCTTTGTAAGACGCTCGACAAAGAAGAGGAGGAGCTTGACGTGAAACTTGCAGCAGCAGCAGCAGATAGATTAGCAAGGTCGCAGGTGGATGGACCGGATGTAAGGGTCTTCCGGGGTTAGTTATCCATGGATCTTACCTGTTACATAGGTATTAGCGCCATGATCAACAAAGGTTGATGATCAACATGATGCAGGTGGGCTTGGTAGGTAATTATTACGAGAAACCCAGGTTGAACAAAAATTGGTTCACTTATTATTCGCAATTCTGTAGTCGATAAACATATTTATACGCGACACGTTCGTGTGCAACCTTGTACAAACGCTGCTGCAGGTGCATCGCATGCAGTCTCACGGTAGAACGTGGCTCATGGTAGAACGTGGCGCTGCCAGGGTCCAGAGTCATGCATGGTTATCCAAGGTAAATTTTCCGCTGCCTATGACGACAGTGACAGCTTCATGACACAACAGAAATCATAATAAGAACCACTGCGACATTCATGGCCTGGTCATATGTAAAGCCTTCCCATTCACCAGATACTGATGACTGACCTGATTTTTAGTATACACCCCCCACCTGTGTTTCCGCCGTCACCTATCCCATCCTCCTAAATTTGACCAGCACAGCCATGTGCCCCTTGTCAATACCACTCACTTCGCTTTGAGCCTGTTTAAAGTCTCTTGAACAGAGTCGTACTTCTCATGATCCTCCCCATACACATCTCTATACACTACCCTCGCATTCTCCGCCGCCTTCAACGCAAGAGACATATCACCATAGCGCTCCGCGGCGTACGAGATATCGTGATAGCTATACTTGATCAGTATAGCATAACTAGTAAAACAAGACTCGCTTACATTCTGCCAAGCTCTGCTACCTTGAGGTCCTCCTGGATGAGGAGCATGGCAGCCTCTGAAAGAGCATTAACAAGACGCATAAGATGGTCGGTGCTTGGGAAGAGCTTGTTGATATCGTCCGCTGTCTGATCGCTGATCTCCCTCAGTCGATACCGACGCTGGAAGCTCAAGTCAGTCTTAGATCCAAAGGGTTGATTCTCCCAGCACGCTTCGCACACGCAAGTGAACCCATAATGGCGCATATGCCAAGCCCGCTTCGCTGTATCATTAAACGGATCACAGTAGCAGATGGTAATCTCGTCGCCAGCCTTGATAGTTTTAATCGAATGGATGTTCTCTTTACCGGTGCGAGCGTTATAGCTAAAGAAAGCGTTCGGCATGCACGAATGGTTGATCCGAGCACATTTAAGGAATACTCCTGCGCCGCGTTCATCGATTCCCATACAATTGGTCTGGAAGATGGACACAAGGCTCTTTTCTGGAGCGATCCGGGCAGCATACTGTTCCTCCACTCTCTCCATAGCATTAGCCGATAGTGGCGCATTACGCTTGACCGGATCCCAGTACTGCGGATTCTGACCATGAGCGGAATGCAAGCTCATGTACGCAGCCTGATCGTCTGGGGATAGCTTGGAGAACTCCTTTTCGAGATCAGCCGTGAGCCACCTTGGATTCTCCATGACGATAAGCGGTGCTTCTGACATGATGCGAGTGCCTCGTGGGATGTCAACGAGAGCAAAAGTACCGTAGCCTTTCTCTGCTATGTGACGAACTTCGGACAGTGCTGGACCAGCGGTCATATTAGTGTTCATGGCGAGATCCTGCATTTCCCGTTCGGATGCTAGCCTTGGCTTTGCCTTTTCTCTTTCAGGCGTATCGACTTTTTCGAAAATATATCCGTCAAGTAGGCTTTGAGTAGAGGTAAGACCGTCAACACCAAATTTAGTATTGTCTGGTAAGTCCAATAGAGGCTGGAATGAGGTCGAAGTTGCAAGAGCCATAATGTGAGTTCTTTTCAATCCTGTGCACTGTACAATTGAGAAAGCGATCAGAAAATTTCATGCGTCTACCGTCTTCCGGCGGCCTACTGACGACTGCCGGGTAGGTAAGGTACAAACGATACACTTGCGTTGTGAGTACATACTGCAGGGCCTACCGGGCATTTTTGGTGGGATACCTGCAATGGTGAAGTCCTTGACATGTACACGTACCTAGTCTCCCATCTGAACAACACGAAGCTGTTATGTGTGGAACATTATCAGACAGTCCCTAAGTTTTTCAAGGCAAACCTGAGGCATATGGATATGTGTATAAGTGGAGTTGTTATTGCTCTGTCTTGCGCGCTAGGGAAACGAATTACCCGATCTATACTTGGTGAACCCTGTTATAAGAAAGGTTAGGGTCTTCTACATTCTGTCCCTGTGCTATCAACACTGCTAGGTGGTCGTACACGTTGTTAATAGGCTTGCGTGTGTGCACTACGCGTTCCCGGTTTGCTCATGTGGTGAATGTTAATCATTTTTGGACCATCGTGAAAAGTGACAGTCTACTTGCTATGGCTTTGCGAGTTGAAGTATCACCATCAACAGAAACCAGATTGTCCAGGCATCCATCACTTTAGCATCGGCGGTCGATCACGATGTTGACTCAGCGCAGAATTCAACTGATAGCTTTTTGCTTCACTGACGGACTTTCTCCTCTATATGCTCCTCATGTTTAAATTCCTGCTCAGACCTACCTTTGCTCCTACCTGATCTAGCCTATATTTGAATGCTGTTCCGTGACCGCCAAGTCAGATGAATGACAATTGACGCTTATGAAGTTTGAGACCAATATCACGAGAATCTGCAGACGCAGAATCGAATGTGTCCAATTATCAGGTACTTCGTCATACTTATGTCTGGTATTCACCTGTATATTGAGTTTGCGTAGCTTCACCCCTTATCTGGTCCTGGTCATCTCGTAAGTTATCCAACCGCTGTGTGCTATCAATTGCAGACTTTCCGACGATGCCTGTTACATGCGCGACCGTAACAGAAGCTTCTATCGTCGATTGTGACGCCATGATCTCTTGTCCCTGCCTGGTTACCACCTTATGCTTTTCGTGCTGTCTCGACTTTCTGTTCGACGGGTGTTTTCTCGCAGTTTTTGGCAGACTCGCAGTTGAAGACCTCACAGGTATATTTTGAACTTTGGATGCAATCGAACATTGGGTCATTTATTCAAAAACAGTAGTCGAGATTGAAGCTAACACTGATATTTCTTGTTGTAGTGCACTCCTTCTCTCGCGTGCGTTCCACTTCCTCTTCTGCTGACCTGACATTCTACTACATCCTGTGGGTGCATCTTGACCCTCGAATCTATTCGAATGTCCCGCGCCAGATGGCCCTGTAGAGCTATGATTGCGTTCTGAAGCTTCACCTCCTTCCCAATTAGTAGCCAGATCCAAGGAACTGGAAGGAGGCATTTCTTCTTCGGTTTGAGAATCCAGCTGACCGGCCGGGGTGTCCAAAAGCTCTTGAACACCAGGTAATATTTGTGTTGCAATCAGTCGGGCGATGATTCTGCACCCAATACAGGCGCAAGGCTCTGGGTAGTTACAAGCGTCGAGATACATCGGTGTCTCACCACTCAGACGAATGCATGTAGTACACTCGCAATGCAATGGATAAGTACACTCGGGGTCTTCGACGTCGTCTTCTGGCGCGGTTGGCTCATCGATCGCTTCATCGTCGATTGTCTGCTCATTATTTGACTGTTCCTTTTTAGCTTTCTCGTTATTTGTCTGCTCGTCATTTGTCTGCCCGTCATCTGTCTGCTTATCATTTCTCTCCTCGGCGTTTTTCTGCTCGTCCTTTTCTTCAGCTAGACCTAGTCTAGTATGAAGAACCATTGCCGATTTCAGGTTCGAGGGGGTGGTTTTTCCATCTTGAACACAATTTGCAGCGCGTTCATCGATGTCCAAAGGCCCTACTCCGCCTTCGGTTTCGTCCCGTCGTACATGTAGCCCATGCGCATCAACAGTGTCCATCTGAGTGAGATATTCGAATTTTGAGCTATCTGGAAGATCCATTCCCGTTGATGCGGTGACGGTGCTCAACGGAGCACTGAGTTGTTCGGCCATCGGAACCGTATCAGGAGACGACCTTTCGTCTGAATGTCGACAAATGTCTTTAACAAAACCGTACGGGCCGGGGTACATGCTCTTGGAACGCACATAGCACCATTGTGGCTCTATGTCTGCCATATAATGGTCAGCATCTACTAAGCGCGAAAGACCCCCTGTCGCATATACCACATTCCACTTGTAAGTTCAATGGTAGCCAATCTTGCTTAAGCAAGATGACTCTTTCGTCTTCAGCATGAAACACCTTCCTCCCACAGAACTCGCACGTAGGCATGCTGTCACTTGCGCTATCCCTTCGGTCATCGTTTGTAGTATATTGACAAGCTATCTGTTCTCGTAGAATGGCAGCATTCCTTTTCATAATCTTACACGTTGAAGCACTGAGGTCAACGGTATGAATTCGAGTTGATTCGTGGAACTTGAAGCGGTCAACGAGAAAACGATTGTCGAGCTTTGCCAGGAAGGGCTGATTATGCCGCTGGAGAATCGTGAAACAGTATGCACATTCGCTCCCTGCTGCGCAAAATTCGGAATGTGGAGGTAGAGGGAATTGAACGAAAGGTTCCGCCATCGTGAGCGAGAGTGAAAAGTAGTATATATAGTATGGAGGAGATACAAGATGTAACAATTTGACAATGATAAGGAAAGCGGAAATACAATGTTTGTAAAGGGATTGACCGAGCGATATGATGTTTTGGTAACAAGACAGGAGAAAGGTGGCCACCGTTGCTGGTCGAGCGTTGATGGTAGACATTGCTCTTTCCTTTCGACATCACTTCTGCCGGCTTGCCTGTGATCTTGTGCTTGGGGGCGCCGATGCCTCCAGAAGACTCCTAAATTAATAACTGAAAAATGATCTAGGTACCGTAGCGAATATCCTGACAAGAGCAGATTGAGGCTACCTTTCGAGAGTCAAAAGTGGCTGAGGAAGCGCATGATGAGACTTATCGGCTTCAGACACATTCGCAGGCGAAGCAAGAGCCACGTAAATCTTCAAACTCGCAGCCAGCTTTAGATATCCCAGGACTCGATGTACTGTCAGCGTGTGATGAAGCTACTGCTCTAGAAGTGCACAAAGTTTTCCACGTCAACTTGCTGAGTCAAGATCTCGCAGCTTGCTTTTCCTAATCCTAGTTCAACTGAAATAGCTGCGAACAACGAAGAAGCTGAAAGCCAACGTCCTCTGTCTGCCACCGCGCCCATGACATGCAGTCATGTTGTGTTCACTAGAGCTTGACCCAACATTCAGACGAGATGGCCATGGTCTCTCACAGACTGGTATGCAGCCATTCAGGAGTATCGATAGCTTCTTCACCTATTTTGACTTGATTCCATTAGCGATAAATTAAGGTGTGCAGTAAACGCTAGTTCCCTGCCTAGATGTGGCTTTCCATCGGCCGAAACCGCCAGACTTACTACTGTAAGGTAAGCTATTCACATCATATGAAGCTATGTGCCAGATTCGAACAGGGGCCAGGGACTAAAAATCTCACTCGCAGGCATGAAAAAGCGGAGATTCCACTATCATCCAGTTGAGTTTTCACGGCACGATCGAGACCGAGACAGGATGGAACTTCCCACAGCCAAGGATGTCCCCCCGCAAACTTATGCAGAGACCATTGTGTGCATGCATGCGAAAAGAAGCATTCATTGGCGACGGGCTTGATTGATTTTAAGCTTTGTGCACTAGATCGGGTGGGGTAAAGCCACGTTCTTCTGATTTGCGGGGTGAGTGGTAGGAATACGCGGAATGGTTAAGCTAGTGAAGATCATTCATCAGGCTGAACAATACGCCTCGGCATGTCCTTGCTTGAGGGCATTGAACAGATTCAAGCTGTCTGCAAGAATTGTGTATGAATAGGACCGGGCAGATGGCAGAGGCGCGAGTGCTTTGTTGGTTCTGCCCTCGACGATCGCAAGACTTACTCTTGAAGTTTCAGTCGAGATGTTGACATTGAACAATATTGTAGCATCCGCGCTCTTAGTTTCATCAGCCTGGGTATACGGCTCCCCTACTAACAATGCCAAGCGAGATAATGAGTTCGACTATGTTATTGTCGGCGCTGGGACAGCAGGCAATGTCATGGCTAACCGCCTATCTGAAGATCCAAATATTCAAGTGGCTCTAATTGAAGCCGGCACAACCTACGACATCACGAATCCTGTCCTTGGAGCTACTCCAGCAGGGGACGTACTCTTTTGTGGAGCTAGCCCCCTCAGCACAAATCCCGGTGTAGACTGGAACTTTATCACAGAACCGCAGACCGGAGCAGGCAATCGGAGGATCCATTACGCCAGAGGGAAATGTCTCGGTGGCGTAAGTCATGTTAAAGCCTTCTTATACAACAGTGACTGAGACATGCAGACATCTGCTCGCAACTTCATGATCTACCAGAGAGGAACCAGACAGTCATACCAGAAATGGGCTGACGAGGTCGGCGATGCCAGCTATACGTTCGACAACTTCTTGCCGTACTTCAAGAAGGGTATGCAGTTCACTCCGCCAAGCAGTAAGAGAGCACAGAACGCCAGTGCTGAGTATGTCGCGTCTGCTTTTACACCCGGGGAAGGCCCGCATCAGGTCTCGGTAAGAATTTGCCAATGATGTTGAAATTTGACCATGCTGACGTATTCGGAAGTACGCCAACTATGCTCAGACTTGGTCGAGCTACATGGAGGGTGGGTTCCAGGAGGTTGGGATGCCTATTGCCCAGGATTTCAACAGTGGCACACTCAGGGGCGGTCAGTACTGCAGCTCGACCATCATTCCAACTGATCAGCATCGTGGATCCAGTGACAAAACATATCTTGCTGCTGCGAGTGCACGTCCAAATCTCAAGGTGTTCCAGTTGACTATGGCGAAGCAAATTACGTTCAATGGTAATAAGAAGGCGACAGGTGTGCTGGTCGAGGCCGCTGGTCTCTTACCATTTGTCATTTCTGCTCGCAAGGAGGTCATTCTTAGTGCTGGAGCCTTCCATTCACCACAGCTCCTCATGGTCTCAGGTATCGGTCCCGCAGCCACTTTGAAGGAATTCAACATCCCAGTGCTCGTTAACAACCCTAATGTCGGCCAGAACATGTGGGATCATGTTTTCGCGGGTCCATCATATCGGGTTGCTCTCGAAACCTTCACACGTCTGGCCAATGACTTGGTGTATGTAGGAGAGCAATTCATCGCAAATTATACACTAGCGCAGGAGGGCCCATTGACGAACCCAGTGTCTGATTGGCTTGCGTGGGAACGTGTGCCAGCACGCTTCAAGAACAAGTTTTCGCTGGAAGCAAAAGCCCAGCTTGCATACTTCCCAGAAGATTGGCCAGAAATTGAGTACATCTCAGGCGCTGGATACGTAGGAGACTTTGCGGATCTGTTTACGAGCCAGCCGAAGGATGGCTACATGTATGCCACCATTTTGTCGACGATTGTGGCTCCAGTCTCTCGTGGGACGGTCACGATTGCGTCCGCGGACACAAACGTGCTCCCTGTCATCAATCCGAATTGGCTCGTGGCGAAAGCTGATCAGGAGGTTGCCGTTGCAGCGTATAAGCGGGCTCGTGAGGTTTTCAACTCGAAATTTGTCGGCCAGGTCAGGATTGGAGACGAGTACTTTCCTGGAAACAGTGTGCAGACCGACGAACAGATCCTGAAGGTCTACCAAGACACCGTAAGTCGACACTATCATACCATTGTTTGCGTAGAATGTTCTAACGGCAACTTGCAGCTGCTCACAGTCTGGCACGCGGCCTGCACATGCAAGATGGGCAGAGTCGGCGACCCCAAAGCTGTTGTAGATACCAAAGCCCGAGTCTTCGGCGTGCAGGGCTTGCGTGTGGTTGATGCTTCGGCTTTCGCGGTCTTACCCCCTGGACATCCTCAGTCCACCATTTACGCGCTGGCAGAGAAGATTGCGGCGGGGATCAAGACCGGCAATTGACAGGAAGCTTTGAAATTGAAGTGATGGGCTGGGCTGGGCTGACATTTGCTGTACATATTGCTGAATATCAATCATACGAATGCTATGTTGCCATGGCTTCTCGATGTGAATAGGCCACGGTTGACACTGTTGACGGAGCTAGCCGGAGAAGACTCCATTTGCCACCTTCATTTGTAGGCAGCATGAGACTAGTTCTGCTTAGGCTTAGATCGTCAAGATTAGCGTACTAGACTCAAGAGAGACTAGTCACAGCATATTAGTCATAGGCCGAAATCCCATGAAACCCCTGCATCGCATGCCCATCCTTGTCCAAGTCGGAATCCCACTCCGATTTGCCATTTTACAAACACGCAACGGAGCGGTCTCCGGCACTCGTCCGTCAGCCCCATGAACGGGCCAACATGTTAATCCCTGGTCCCAAGAAAGTCTTTTCTGTTTCGTCCATACCCTTCGACTTTGTCACTCTCTGGGCTCTCAAGTTTACGTCGTCTATGTGGCGGCTGTCGTGACCAACCTCGGGATGGAGTCGTCGGCGCGGCCCTTGTTTCCTGGAACCCCATGGAAGACTGGCGGGTCCGGTTCCTCTGATGGCCGTGACACACCACTGTGGGAACTTCCAAAAAAGCGAAAAGACCTTGCCCGCCTGGCATGCGACTCGTGTCGTAAGAAGAAGGTAAAATGCGATGCTCAGCTTCCGAAGTGTACGCTCTGTCAGACGCACAATCGAACATGTAACTACGCGGGCGATCCTGGAATCACACGAACAGAGTCTCTCAAACGCAAAAATGAATCATTACAACAACGCGTGGAGGTGCTGGAGAAGTTCATGCAATTTCTTCGGTCTCGTCCTGAACCTGAGGTGCTTGCTATACTGCAGCGAATGAAGACTTCTCCTGGGAATGTGGATCTCAGCACGCTCATGGACTTTGTGAGTTTCGGAGACCTCTTAGTTGGTTTGAACGGCAATGGAATTCCAGGCCACCAGACACCGAAAAGATCAGGCGCATCACCCACCTTGGCCGAATTGTACGTCTCAAAAAGAATCCGAAACGATATACAATGGAGCCACTGACATGAATCTAGAGCCTCGAAAATATCAAATCTGAGCGACACAGATCAAGCGCGGTTTTTGCAAGCTACGCACGAGAAGCTTGATACGATGACACATGGCTCCCCTTCACCAGCACCAGTGTCATCTGCCACTACCCGTAGATTTGACGCATTGGTCGCGGACCCCATCGTTGAATTTGACCCCAGTGCATATACCGCAGTTACGACAGACAGGCGGTTGGCATCCCATCTTGTGTCTCTATTTATCACGTGGGATCATACTTACAGCGTGTTGATCCCATTTCAGCTGTTCATACGTGATTTAAAGAATGGCCAGAGCTCGGCGTTCACGAACAAGTTCCTAGTCAATATGGTGCTGTCATGTGCATGTGTAAGTGATGACAGGGTCGGTTAAACGACATTTTATCACCTGGGAGAGTCCTAACCGTACGACAGCTCCATGCTTCCGCAGATTCAATGAAGATGGGGTCCGGAATTGACGACGCAAATGTACTAAGCGAATCTTTCTTTCAGGAGGCAAAGGCCCATTGGGATGCTGAGCTGGGGAGATCTAGCCTCGCAAACGTTCAAGCGCTGCATCTCATGCATCTGAGGTACGTCCTTGATTGTGTCATATGCCGAAGCCCCACCTGACTTGATAGATACGGGATTCTTGGGCAGGATAAGATGGGAAATCTTGTTACAAATCAGGTCATTGCCATGTCTCACAACTTAAATCTTCATAATGGAGCAGAACATGTTGGGATGTCGTTCGAAGAACGCCAAGGACGTCGAATAATTGCATGGGGACTCTTCAGCAGTAACGCGTATGTGATCGTTCAGACACCTCGATTTAAGCTAATGATGAAAGCACAACATATCTTGCGTACCTGAAGCGTTCGTCTCTACCGACCACAAAAGCTCTTCGCCCAGATCCTGTAGCGTTGCGAATCAGGCCTGAAGAATGGACCCCATATCCATCGATCTCGACTCCAATACCAGCGAATCGGCCGACGTACTTTGAAGCCCGTTGCGACCTCGGTGTACTGACCTGCGAAGCTCTCGAATTTATAAGTACGCGGAACGATGCATTGACTAAAGAGGATGCAAATACAGCTAAAAGTATATTTGATAAGCTGAGTTCCTGGAAATCCAACTTAGAAGAAGGCCTAAGGCCGGATAGCGACGCACCACCATATGTTTTCACATTACAGCAAGTCTTCCACCTACTTTGAAATACTTATCGCGAAGCTGATACATTATAGTATGCTTTACCATGTAGTCGAGCTGGTATTGTCCGGTATCTTTCGCACAGGTTCAACATCAGAGGATCAAAAGCAATCTGAATTGGTCTACCTCAAAGCAGCTACTAACTTTGGAACCCTAATTTCTCGACACCGCCGTTCATATGGATCTAAGAGAGGCTGCCCAGGGCTCCTATACTTCGCTTGCGTCTGCCTATCAGCCCTACTCAGCCTTGTTATTGAGCACAAAGACCTTGCCAACCTGATACATGAGGTACTACTAGTTGCCGTGAACCTCTCTCACCGTGTCAAAATTGGCAGGGGCATGCTTCGGGTCATGGCAGAACAAGTGGAAGCGTTTCCACCTGAAACAGTGAAACCGGAGACCTCTGCGCTGTTCAGAGACGTCAAGGTCAATATCTGGAAGCCGGGCGATCACCAGTCATACAGCAGCGCCTGGCAAGAGTTCTCAGGAGGCATGTCAGGACTTACGAGTAATCAAGACATGAAGGTGCATGAATTAACGAGTTTATTGGAGGCGCTTTCCGCTAAGGAATCCGAGGGCTCCCCTCGGTGATGCATAAGGTGATACCCGCTGTAGATGTCAGATGATAAGGATTGTAAAGGAGTCTATCATGATCCCACGAATAAATACGGAGGATTGTTGGAAACGCATGTGCAGACCTTAAGGCGATAGTAGCACCTCGAAACCTAATGGACCTGATCGCAAGCATCTGTGACATAAAATGCCGGTTCATGTTGTCTAGACGGGTGTCATGATCCTGTGCTTACATTCTTGCATGTCAGGTTTTGAAGATTCGGATCATGTCAGTCATCCGATCAGTCTTATGACCAGTCTAGTGTTCGGCTTCCATGTGCAGTCTCATATTATACCCGAGATCCATGACTTTGTAGCCGATGGCGCTAGGTACTTGTTACTGCAGCGTTGATCGCCAGCAATGCGTTCTTCACATCCATGACCTGATACATATAATGCCATAGATTTCTACCCAATTATGCATATAAAGTTGATAGAAATTCAGGTCAGTCATGTGGAAGTAATGTCTGAGCCCGGTTTGTTTCCCGAGCCCGTCCTTAGTCCGAGCGGCAAAGGGCAGTGGGCAGGGCAAAACTCGGGTTTCGTTAGTGAGGGAGGGCGGTAATAACGCCGACCGCAGACCAAGTCTTGGTGATGGATTAATTATTTCTAGAACCAATTTGCTCCGTTTCTTCACGCCGCATCTCTAAGTGTCGTGTCGCCAGCTGTACGTCGCTGTTGTGCATCAATTGTTTTGACACAGTACCCTCTTCGGCACATACTTCTTTACCACCTGATTCTGTGGTGTAAAATCGGTTGAGCTTTCCAGTCGCAATACCCCACGCCGGCTCAAACAAATTATGGCGTTTCCTACGTGGCTACCTTTTGTTGTAGCCATAGTGGCATTACTTGGCGCATATGTGGTCTTTAGTGGCAGTGGTATGCTATTCTCCCGGGTGCAGATCGAACGAAGCTGACAATCGGAACTGTAGCGGTAAAGAAGACTCCAGTGCTCAAGCCGACCGAGTTCCAGACTTTTGACCTGAAAGAGAAGACAGTCCTATCACACAACACGGCGATGTGCGTATCATAGACTCAAAACCATCACGTAGAGCCTTCTTGACTGATAATCGACGCCAGTTACCGCTTCGCGCTTCCCAACGAAACCGATATCCTTGGTCTCCCCATCGGCCAGCACATCTCGCTTGCAGCGACCATCGATGGCAAGGAGATCGTCCGCTCGTATACTCCCATCTCCTCCGATGAAGACTCCGGCTTCTTCGACCTCATCATCAAGGCATATCCAACCGGAAATATTAGCAAGCACATGGCGTCCTTGAAAGTTGGGCAATCGATGAAAGTTAGGGGACCAAAGGGGGCTATGGTATACACACCGAACCTGGTCAGACACTTTGGCATGATCGCCGGTGGAACTGGTATCACGCCGATGTTGCAGATCATCAAGGCCATTATCCGCGGGAGGCCAAGGAACGGCGGCAACGACAATACTGAAGTGGACCTGATATTCGCAAACGTCAACCCGGAAGACATTCTACTGAAGGAAGATTTGGACAAACTAGCTGCTGAGGATGATAAGTTCCGCGTACACTACGTTCTGAACAACCCACCCGAGAAGTGGGATGGTGGTACTGGATTCGTCACAGCTGATATGATAAAGGTATGTGACGTGATGCATCACACACGCCACCAAAACTAATCAGGCGTTGTAGGCCAAACTCCCGGCACCAGCGGGCGACATCAAGATTCTTCTTTGTGGTCCTCCACCAATGATCAGCGCCATGAAGAAGGCCACGCAAGAACTTGGCTACGATAAGCCTCGCCCTGTCAGCAAGCTCGAAGACCAAGTCTTCTGCTTCTAGATGTTGGAACGATCGACGAACAGCACAACCAAGCAAGCTGCTACCTTTGGCAAACAAGACTATGAATTGCTAAAATAGTAAAATAGGCTTAGCATCAATGTAGCGTTGCCATACCTTTGTGCTTGAATTATTCGGACTACCACTATGTACGCAATCGGTATAGAGTAACGTTAGATAACGACAGACTACATAGTCAGTAGAGAGAAATCTAGGCACAAGTATCGCATATCACCTGTTTATTCTACCATGGTGCTCGACCAAGACACAACCCGACCGCGTTGAAGGAAGCCTTACAGTTTGCTAATAAAGCCCAGAATTGCATCAACCACTTGTTTGGGCTGTTCCTGCTGCGGCCAATGTCCTGCACCCTTCAGGAACGTCACGCCTCTGAAATCCGAGCACGAGTTCGGCAGATTTTCGATGACACCCGGCTGCTGATAATTGCCCCAGTCCTTATCTCCTGAGACAAAGGTAGCAGGGCATTCAATCTTCTTGCCAGCAAAAAGATCCACATCTCTCATGTTTTCTGGATTCGTCTGCGCTCTGTACCAGTTCAAGCCGCCTTGAAAGCCTGTTCGACTCCATTCCTGCACATACACCGCCAAATCGTCATCTGACAGCCATCTCTTCGTCACACCCTCGTCTTCACCAGTCATGTTCGCGGCAACAACCTCAGGCATCGTGCTATCCAGCGGCAGCACATAGTACTCCGGCATCTTCCCTACCTCCTCCGCACTCCACGCTTTCAACGGCCGAGGCTCATTCCCTTTCCAATCCGCACTCTTCAAATGGATATACCCGCGCAGAAACTTCTGCAGCCCCTGTCGGGGATGCAACCAATCTCCCGCAGCGCTTGCTGTGCTATTGTACCACTTATAATGCTTTCGTGGTCGTGGTAAGCTTGCTAGATCTGCTGCAATATTCCTTCCCGCGCCGCCACCCTCAATCCCCCCCGGTCCTGCATCAGAGTGGGCATAATCGAACGGCAGTACGGACGAGCCCTTGAACGGATGGCTCATCAGCACCACACTGGTGAATAGATCGGGCCGCATCAGGGCACACATGGCCGCGCTCACCCCGCCGAAATCGTGCCCGACGACGCAACGCACGGAGGTATATCCGAGTGCGTGCACCAGCACGACCATGTCGCGCACTAGATTTGTGAGTTGGTAGGTTGAGAGATCGGTGGCGTGGAAGGGCGAGGCATCCCAGCCGGTGGTGCGACCGTAGCCGCGTTGGTCAGGGGCAACAACGTAGTAGCCGGCAGAGGAGAGCGTGGGCATGATGTGCCGCCAGGAGAAGGCGAGTTCCGGAAAACCATGGAGCAGGAGGATGAGAGGCCGGGTCTTGGAGTTGGAGTGGGAGTCCGGACCGGAGGGTAAGGCGTCGTGGCCGGCTTCGAGGACGTGAAATGTCAGGCCGGTGGTTGGGCAGGAGATGTAGTTTTCTGTTATACCGTCTGGTAGAGGAAGTGGTGGAAAAGGGGCAGGAGGCATGGTGATAATCTGGCGATAGATGTCTGGTGATAGTATTCTGGTGATAGACGTCTGGTGGTGTGGCTGATGCGTAATGCAGTGCAATTATGCACGTATGCTGTGGTAGATCTGCCTGATTGATAGATAATTTCGTGTCTCCCGGATGCTTGCTTATTTTGGACCCTGAAGTGAATAATATCCGCGCTTCGGGTCGGGAATGGATTGAGCAACTGTCTAGGCGTATCACGACGCAGGCATGAAGTTGGTAGGCAACATGTAGGATATATGGAAGATAACTCTACAACATTGTTGGATATGTATAAGACATGTCGTGTTCATAATCATTACTACTCCCATACCCTTGACGTAGTGCTGACGGTGCAGTTTGCGGCGTTCATCCGGTATGCAGCCTTAATCGTCAGGCATCCAGGCGATTCGGAGCAGGAGCAGTACGATCATGATTCGGAGCGATCAACGGACCGAATGAAGCAGCTCTGACGTCGATCCGTGCGTAGCTTCGTTGTTTCCCGTCGTTGGTCTCTGATTAGCGTCGATCGCCAACAAGGAAATCGCAAGAGGGAGAGAACTGTTGTTGCTGACTCCATCTTTCAACTGCTTCTCAACGACATATTCCTCCTTTTCATCCTCCGCCTTGTTTTTCTTCACCTTCATCCTACGTCTGACAATCTCACTTGAGCCATTTCTTTAACTCTTCTCACCATCACACGCCCTCCTACATACACGTTCTTTCTCTTTGTCTACTTCCGCATCCGTCATTGTCAAGATCGCTTGTGCCGCCCCGGTCGCAGTACCACGTTCCACGTCACCGCTGTCATTATTGACACCTCGCGCGTCAGTCCTCAGTCACTTGGTTAGCTCTGGGCCGCGCCATGTCAATCAACACCTATCACATTCCCTCATAAATATCTCCTCAGGTCCAGACGACATTCATTAATACTCCACGATGGTCTTCGGCTCCCGAAAGAGAGCGACCTCAAACCCAGTACGTCCAGCTCGCGACCCAAGCTATGCCCGTGGCTGGCTTCATGGGAATCAGTATCTACAGCAACTACTAACGCTCTATTGGTCTAGCCTCGACGCACTGGAGTCCCTACAACTCCCTCAAACCCTGCAACCCTCGCTGCTCTCCAAGGTGCGACTCGAGCTTTCGTCAAACCAGCATCGAATGGTCTCTCGTCTGCTGCGGCGGCTGCCGCACTGAAGGCGAACCCGACAGTCCCCACACAGCCTGGAGAGCTACAAACAAAACGCATGGTCAGAAGAGGGTCGAATTCATCAATGGCAAGTGCGCCTGGCAATCTCGCCCCGCGGCACAGCATCTCGCGTCAGAACAGTAATGCATCTATGAGCGAGCGGTCATTTCGCGCGCAGTCGCCAGACCCAAATCGGCACAACTCCTTGAGCATCTCGAATGGATTACACAAACATGCGCCACCTGTACCTGCCATACCCAAGAATCTACAAGAATCAGCATTTCGGAGATCCATGAGTATTGAGCCTCCACAACGAAACCACAGAGGCGTCAATGTGGACCGTGGCCTTGGCTCATCAATTCACAGCTCACCGGCAGATAGAACAATGAGCTTGACAGGTACCGATCGCGAGGAAGCACGACTATCAATCAATTTCTCACGACCAATGTCTCCGCCAATACCCCCTGTCATGTCAGACAGCCCTAGCAGCCACAAGGGTCATAGTGGTTGGTTCACCGAGCCTGTCACTATCAGCAGAAGCCCACGAAACGCTACGCATGCGGTGTTACCGAACTCCACCGCAACAGATTACGAGAATGCGCAGCAGTTGATTCGCAATGCAGCAGAGACACCCGTGACAAAGAAACAATACGCGTCAGCTACAGAAGGAACCCATTTAGCCAAAGGTGGGATGCAGGCGAAGCCTACAGGGACGGCTGTCCAAGTTCAAAAGCCTGCAAGCCCTACCACGCGCAGTCCTGCCACGAGCCAACCTGTTAATACTGTTGCGGACCAGCCACCAGTACATCTGGAAGGCGGCGTGCAGAGAACGACATCAGTCAGCCCTGCTCGATCCGCTCGGTTTCTTGATACCAGTGTCGAGACTGACGGTAAGAAACATCAACCTCCTCCACGATCCTTATCGCCCGCAAAATCTGCTCTGAAGCGTAGTGCGACTTCTCCTGGTCGTACAGCCTCTCCCGCCCAACGCTTCTCAAGTACCGTCAGTGAGGCTTCGGATGTCGGATCCGACGATGGCAGAGGTTCCGCCACTAAGAAGAAAAAGAACTTCAGAGTGAGCTTTGACGAAGGAACCGTTGATCACAGCGCAGAGTCCCCACCAGTTTCACCTACAAGAGGAGGTCTGCAGGCATCGAGATGGAGTGGTCAGACGGCAGTGGAGGACGATCTTGACCAAATCATGAAGCCACGGGCTGCTTTGCCCTCGTTCGGCAGCATTCGAGGACGACCGACCAGAGAAGATGATGGAGTTGCAGAGAAGGTCACCGAGACGGTGAACTCATCCATGACAAATTCTGTCAGCACGCTATCAGAACCGCAGGAAGCATCGAAAGATCACAATCTTGCCAACATCATCGCCCAAGATTTCGCGAAGAAGACCGTAGTTTCAGAACCACTGGCTCCAGAGGTCACGTCTGTAGAAGGCCAAGGATACCACTCTGATTCAGATATGGAAAGCGTCATCACGGACAACGGGACCACAGCTGAAAGACCTCCGACTCCGCCACGTTTAAAGACTGCAACGAGATCAGAGGCATCTCCTGATGAGGATGTAACCTCACCAGTCGTTATTGCAGTGCAGCCTCCTACGCCCAAAGTAGAGCAGGACGAAGAGGATCTGTTTGCTGTTCCAGGCAGCTGGGATGATTTCGAAGGTGGATCGTCAGCAAGGTCGTCTGCTGAACAACCACGCAAAGCTGAGCCAGTCGAGGAAAAGGTTGTCTCTTCTGCCCGGTCCCTGCCGAAACGGGAGCCTGTCACTGAGGCTGAGCAAGAACCGGAAGATACGCCTCGCGGCTACACTCAGTACGATAGTCCAGCTAGAGGCGACCCTGATGTTGGCCTTTCAATACTGGAAGAAGAGTCGGAGTCGGACGGTGGAAGCATTTATAGCGATGCTGAAGAAGACCTTTCTGATGGAGGTGGTTTTGCTTCTCTTGATGCCATCGTTGAGAGTCCTGTCGTATCGACTCCACAAAAGCACTTGCCAAGATTGTCTGTCGACACATCGCCATCTCCTCTTGCTGTGAAGGCATCACAACTTGCTGAGCCGGTGACCGAACAGAGCTTGCCAAGAACACACACGCGTAGCCCATCGGAGGATTGGGACGAAGCTAAGCAGTACTGGACTGGCCTGAGTGTAGAGAAACGGAAAGAGGTGGAACGCCAGGAGGCTATGAGAGCAGCTCAAGTTATAGTCACCGCACCTGAGAGTGCCCAACTAAAGCCGAGAACTAAGAAAAAGACTGCTCAACAGACCTCTCCTGTGTTGCAAGATGAATCGAGTGTACGCGGGATCAGCAACACTGCAGTCTCAGCAGCTCCATCTCGTTCAAACAGACAGCAGCCCGCCCCGCCGGCGAAGCCTGTCTTGAAGCCAACCATGCGTACTCCCCAGCAAGATCAGCCACCTTCTTTGCAGCCAAAGTCAAGTTTACGACAAAGCATGCGTGGACCTGCGCCTGCACCACGATCAACCCCGGCTCCTATGAGAAAGTCTATGCGAGGCGAGCAACCAAACAAATCAAATTCTGTCTTGAGGCCAGGCTTGGGCGCTTCCAAGTACAGTAGCGGCAGTGATGACAACCGTGAGCATCGTTCACGCACAGGAATTGCTATAGCGCCCTTGAAAGGTGTGCCACCTCCGCGTCCTCGGTCTACAGCTCGCATATCAGCCCAACCGCGTGCAATGTCCATGGATGATAATGACTCCGATGCGTCAGAGAGCAGTTTCCGTAGGTCTCGACAAAAGCCTGGTGGCGGTGGTATGATGACCATGAGGAGCACCATGAGAGGGGCGGCTCAGCCCGCTTCCTATGCAGCACCAGCACCACTGCAAAACAGAAGACCTGTGTCCATGATGAATCAAGGTAGACCTTCTTCCATGATGGGGTCAATGAGACGACCCACGTCTCCAGATAATGGCCCTCGGTCGTCTCGCTTCAGTGTTCGCTCCATGTCACCAACAGGATCTGTAACAGGATCCATGTTTGGCAGGTCTTTCCGCTCTGGGTCTGTTGGCCCGGATGCAGCCCCTTTCCGAGGAGAAAAGGAACGGCCGTCGTCGAAAGGGTCCATGTTTTCATTCGGAAGCAAGAAGGAGAAAGAAAACAAGAGGATTCGACCAATATCCTCGTCCTCCTTTGCGGTGCCAGCGCCTAAAGCTAGCAGTCAAAGTCGCTTCAGAAGTCGCTTCGCCGATTCCAGCGACGATGAAGATTACGATGAGCCTCATTCTATGCCAATCCCAGCTTTCAGAAGCCGGTATGCTGATTCTGACGACGATGAGGATGTTCCACCAGTCCCTCCCATGCCAAAAGATCTGACTCCTGTACGTGGCATCCCTCGCCGTCGAGGACAGGATGACGCAGATTCCACCGATCTTGAAGGCGAGGATAGCGACAGAGAGGAACCACAGACATCTGCCACCGTTACCAAGGGCACTCAAGGTAGCGCCCTCATATCAGGCTCCCTCCGCGATTCCAAGCACGCCCGTATCGCCCCCGATGTTCCTGAGCCTTCGGGCGCTGCCAGAGAAAAGAAGAAGCGTGGCTTCTTCGGTCTTGGACGCAAAAAACCAACTACCTCGAGCGCCCTCGCGACTATCAGTTTAGGCCGCCCGTCCACACCCGAAACACGTGAACATACGACCCAGCCCGTCGCTGCGAGCCCCCGAAGCCCGACCAGCCCGACAGCCGCTAGTCGTGGTAAGCTGCAACGTCGAAACACACCACAGCGCATGACGTCGGATTCGTGGCCACTGCCTATGCCACCCAAGATCACTGGCGATATGCCGCGGCCGGCGAGCTCGGATGGGCCTCTGTCGAATGGGCTTAGTGTGGGCAAGCGACCGCCGCTTGGAGAGCGCATCACAAGTACGGGTACGACAGCCACGGCGCCGATGGTCAGGAGTGATGTTACAGGGCATAGGGTCATTGTCGGAAGGAATGGAAAGAAGAAGAGGTTCCAGGGGCTAAGGAGGGCATTTGGGATGGAGGACTAAAGCGCGGTGGACCTATTCATTGCGCGCTGAGGGTATTTATTGTCAGCATGATTCTGCACGTCAGGCATTTCCTTGCGTGGACACTGGCAAGCAGTCATTCATATATACACTGCACGATCCTGGTATGTTTCGCTACGTTTTACTGGGGGATGGATGTAAGCAGGCGGTGAGATTGGTTGTGGATCTCGAAGTTCGCGATCTGAGGCTTTCCAACTTATTCAATTTTTATTCAACTTAAGAAAGGTTTAATCTATGATTACATCTGGGGACTATTCTGGGTGATGATCTTATCCTGGACGCGTTGTCTAGGGGAATTTGGAAGAGGGAGTGATCGATATGTATGTATGCATCAAAGTGTAGGAGAGGCAGAGAGAAGTAAAGGCGGAGTGGATTTGGGGAGGTAATATTTAATCTGTTGCCGACTGATTGTTACCTTGATACGCTGCCTGCAAGTGAGGGTGTTTGACGAGTGGTGCTTGTGTTATGTGTGTGATGCTTTCGATTAATTACCCAATGGAGCCTCTGTGCTCTGCTCTGAAGAGAGTGTGGTGGTTTCAAGGGGACACGATACATGCATATACATGCATATTTCCTTTCGTCATTATCGTCGTTGCTTTGAAATCTTGGGCTATAAAACCCAGTATATTAATTATGCTTCCACTTTTCCATCGACGGTATCATGCTGGGCATTTTTGGCGGTCTTTCCATCAATATGATCCTTCTTCCTTGTGTTTAGTTCCAATCTAGGTTCGTCCTTCTGTGTGCATGGTTCTGTTCTTGGAATTCTGGCTGTTTACGCTGCATATCCGTACATATCTAGAGTTGGTTGTTGTCTGTTGTTGACAACTACATCTCTGATAAATTAGGCTGTCCACGACGCCCAGTAGCTCTGTCTGACATTTAACATCGCGGATGACTGCATACCGCGAAACTAGGCGGAGCAGCAATCTCATGTCCATCACGTAGGTCGCTCATTGGTCTTTGCTGTTATACATGCATCTCTAAACTTCTCTAGCCTAGGAGAGACCAGAATATGCTACAAGACGATATAAGACGTATACCGTGACATGCCTCTCTATCTCATCCCAGAATTTGGCACAGACATAGAGCACACTTTCGAGTCCTGGCTATTTTACATGACAGATCAGTCGACCCGGGGGCTCCAGGACGTTGGCAGAACATATCACACGAGGTCTATACGTTGGAGAGTATTTGATCTAGCTTCTATTCGCACCCGGATATACTGAGTTCGGAGGCAGCTAATGGGTTCAGTAGAATTCACGATGGTGATCGGGTGAGCGACCCACGAGAGCGTATATCTGCGTATCACTGGAAGATGGAATCCTGGTGGAGCATCTGAGTATCAGAAGTTCAGAACATGACCCCTGATACAGCTCACACCATGTGTACACCTGGATGTCACAACATGGCGTCCTGGCGAAGATGTCTTCCATGTTACATGTTTTACATATGGGTATTATTCATGGAAATCAGCAAAACGCTAGTTACATCATAGAAAGTCTTGCAAGGTCCCACCTCACCTGAGACACATAAGGCACATTCACCAGTCAGCTTCACGCCCAAGAATCCCCCACCCAACTACCTGCCACACCTGCTGCCGGAACCAATCAGCCGTATGAGTCTCATATTCATGGGGAACAGTTGGAATTTTTGAACTAGGGAGTGGTTTATGCAAGCAATTATCCGCGGTTGTGCCTTCATTCGAACCAAATATACCATTGACAAGCGTCTGCTGAAGCAGCTCTTTCGCATGTGTATGCAGAAGAACTTTCGGCACAGATGTGGTCTTTGAAGCCGTTGACTGCTTCCCTCTCACTGCTGTCTTCGTGCGTTGCATAGACGTGATGACGGGCCCGAGAAGCTGCGGTGCAAGCGAAAAGGATTTTTCGAGGATGGAGATCAGGTATGGAGCTTCGTAGGCGAGAGACTTGGCTCCCTGCTCGTCTGAAGCACATCCTGAGCCGCCGAGACGGATGTCGTCGTCGACGCTTTGTCCGCGCTCGTGACTGAAAGTGCAACAATAGATTCGTCGACCGACACGCTCTAAGAGGACGTACATGAGAGCTTCGAAGATGTCTCTGTGACTGGACTGGGAAGGGTCCAAGGCAGACAAGCATGCATTCAGGAATTGCGTTATTGCTCTGCCTAGATCTTGGGCCTGTGGGGTGTTCTGTCGAGATTTGGGTTTTGTCTTGCCGAGCTGTGATCCTGTACCAGTAGTGTCAATGCTAGACCGCGCCGCTTTTGACTCTGCAGAATCTACTATGGCCTTAAGAGCTACCTGGAACATGCGGGCGCAGCAGTACACGACATGAGCCGTCGGGTCTTCGAAGGCAGCTTGTCTCGGGATATTCGACAGGCCTAAGAGTAAGGTCGAGAAGGCACAGGCAATAGCGCGAATGACATGCGCAATGTCGGATGCTGCTTTCCGTCTCGCTTTGACAGGCCCAGGTACACGAGCATTGCTTTCGACGTCTGTTTCCTGGTGGTGTCTTTGAATCACGACCTTGAGGACTCCGCCGATAGAAGACGCTATAGACGCCAAATGGAAGCTCAGGTTTGGAGCGTCCGGTTCAGAGCTCTTGCAGAGACATTGGACTTGCATGACGCTACGTAGAAGCGTGATGCCATCTGTGAACTGTTAGCTTTTTGCTACTTCCCTTCAAGCTCATACCGTCACCGAATGCAGCGATCGAATGCAAGGGCTCAAGGTGGGTCGTAATCGCAGTCTGTGAGGTAGGTCCACTGATGTCGCTGTTCAACTTCGGTTTCTTTGCTGGTCGAGTCGAGACCGATTGCTTCCGTTTGCAACTTTTCACTGAAGTGGTGTGTGCTGCGCCGCTCGGCGATTCTGGTGCATCAGTCGGGTCTTTGAGCAGCTTGATCTTCTGTTCTAGGTCTGTCACTCGGGCCTGCAATTCGCTTCTCGATTCCTCAGCAGCTTCATGTTGGGATTTCCAAAAAGCAACTTGATCCACTACCCACTGCGGCGATCGTTGTCGATAGAGTGGCCCTTCCTTTAGATGTCCTCTAAGTCTCATCATATATTCTGATTTCCGTAAGCTGGGTGGACATTGGGCTAACAATGCTCGTGATGACTGACTAACCTCTGACTGAGACGTCCGCAGGCTTGGACCGAACAATTGCTAAGGCAAAGGCTACTTGCAATCCGCTCGGCGTTATCGACTCATTGATGGCTTCTTTCGAAGCCGCGAATAAAGGCATCATGGAAGCTGCCTCGGTGCGGGTTGATTACGAGGAAAGTTCAAATAGCCAAATAGGGAGAAGTCCTGTGGTTGCCAAGACTTTGCATTCTATACAGTCTGCTGTATACGCTGAGCAGGACGGCATATTATACGATCCATCGGGATAATTTACAATTTTTTGGGGGGAATATTGTACAAAGGGAGAAATGTGTATACTTAAGTTTGTAATTGTGAGTGTATCTTTGCCACATTATCTGTATCGCTCCGAGTCCTTCTTTTTGTACGGCAGAGACAATGGTTTTTTCCTCTTCAATTCAACATCCCAACCAGGGATGCCTGCCTTCTGCATTACTGCCTTCATGTTTTCGTCCCATACGGTTCGGAACATGTTGAAGCCGATTGGTCGCAGATTGTACTTGTCAATAAATGCTCGCAATTTGAAGCCATCCCTTTTCAATTTCGACCACGCCTTCACCTGCTCCGGGACCAGTGGATTCTCAGGGTCCTGCTCTAGGACAAATATGGGCATCCGATGATAAGGAGTGCCTTTCTGGGCGTGAGGGACCAGCCATGGGAGGATCGTGTGCTCATCCTTGAGCATAGCTAGCGGAAGGGATCTTTTGGTAGGTGAGATAGAAATGTTCGAGGCGATGTAGTGACACCTGTAGTCGAACGAGTCCTTCTCTAGATCGGGTACGTCTGCATCAAGGCAAACAACAGTGATGAGACGTTCACCTTTGTCAAACACTTGCACCTCCAGCTTCGGGAGTTTCTCGGTGATCGATGAGTCGATGATGGAGCCAGTTTGGTATGTTTTGCGACCGTACATGAGTTTGACTTCTGCTGTTGGCTCCAGCTTTGGTAGAATATCTGGCACGATGTTGAACTGCTTGATACGCTGCTCTGTTACGAGATAACGATACTTCCTCCATTCCCTGTCAGCAAGAAACCTGTAGATAGGCTTATTCATATCGCCTACAAGCTGCTGTTAGTTTCCGACTCTGCACATCAGTACAATATACACGTACCATCTCCATCTTCAAACCTCTTCTTTACTAAGGGATCATTGTAATCTGCGTGAATCTTGAGATTCTCAAGCTCCTTGCGCATGCTAAGAACTTTGACCGTCTTGCGATTGTCTCCACCCAAGGCGTTCGCGTCCTGGGCTTCCAAATGTGCAAGCCTGGCTCTTTGCGTAGCGATTTTCTTCAACTTTTCTTCTCTGTCTTCTGCTAGAACTTTGCGGGCTTCCTGAAAGCACTGATACGGAAGTTGTTCAAAGGGTATTTGGACCGGTAGCAATGAAAGCGCTGCGCGACGTCGACGAGATCCAATGGGCACTCTCCCAGTTCGCAGTAAAGCTTGCTCGTGTCTACGTATTCGAACTTTATTCGGATCGAGCTCGTAATAGGGAATTCGGTCCGTTCGACGTCTTCGAACCTTTTGCACTGTTTCTTGCTCATCGAGGATGCGAGGGGTGGTCGAGAACGGGCGGCCGGACAGTGTACAAGATTGAACAGACCCAAAGACCAAGTAATTGCAGTACAACTTGTTCGATAGAGGCCGGATCGCCCGCGATGACGCTGCCATTGTCATGCTGAGCAGGCGAACGAGGTGATGTGATGATCTTCTTGCGCGCAGTTAAAGTTCTCCAGGGTCGACGCGCTAAAGCGCCGACCGGATTTTCCTCTCACCTCCGAACTGCGATCATCAAGTTCGCAGCGTCTCCTACAACCCTTGCTAAGACAGAGATGGCGGCCCCGAAGGGATTATGGAGGTCTATCAGTTGCATTCATACCTCGGGTTGGTCTACATCGATGAAGGTAATTGATTATGTCCCGACATTATACTGTGTCTAATATTGTATCAAGGTCAGTCCTATTGTGAGACGAAACATCACAACCGAACTACCTCTCGAACACTCTTACAAGGCACCTGCGGGAGGAAAATTCCCACTGCAAGTACCTGAGCATATTCGACAGCCCAACATCACCACAACAATATACTCTTTTCCCGAACTAGAGCCTCTCCGGTTCGAACAATTCCCTGCTGACCACCTTCACCTACCTCTCCGTAAGGATATCCTCCATCGCGCTGTGATATTTGAAGGCGACAACACGAGACTAGGGACAGCATCAACGAAGTGGCGGCGAGAGGTGCACGGCTCTACCAAGAAAGTACATCCTCAGAAAGGCATGGGAAAAGCCCGTGTTGGAGACAAGAAGAGTCCTATCCGGCGGGGTGGAGGTGTGGCCTTTGGTCCCAAACCAAGAGATTTCGGTACCGAGCTCCCGCAGAAGGTCTACGATCTTGCGTGGCGGACAGCTCTAAGTTACCGATATCGCAAGGGTGAATTGACAATTGTAGATGGCACTATTGAGGTTCCGCCCAATAGTGCTGAAGACACGGTCAGAAAGCTGTTTGGAGACGATTACCCGCTGAATCCTTCCCAGGGAGGGAATCTAGTGGTATCTTGTGTTGAGCCTGTCAATTTGGCGAAGGCGATGGAATACACGTCGAGATACGGTTTAGCGGTGTCGATGCTCGACGTCGATGTGAAAGATCTCTTGAAGCAAGGACGGATCGTTATTGAGCTACAGGCACTAAAAATTCTACTGGCGTCGCATGCAAGCGATCTACAACCAGCGAGAGCTAAATTATTGGTGGATCGGTAGTAAGAAACGCTCGACAAAATACGACACGAATCGAGTCGCGTCATGCCTACAGGGTCGAAGGGGGAATGACTATTCGACTTATGAACGGCTCATGTACATTTTGTGGCATATTTCCTCATCCATATTCCGATGTACAAGTACTGGGCTACCGTGCAGCTAATTCGAGGCATTGCTCGCTTTTATCGCTTTTGTCGGTCCCTGATAGAACAGCATGAGCTCCCTTCCAAGCGCTCCTTCCTGCGACTTGTATTCCTTCGTCCCCTCAATCTCAGCAGCAGTAGCTCGAACCGTGTCAAGAACATGTTGACAATACTCATGGTCAGGGACCTTCTTCCCCGCTTTCTTCAAAAGTACCACCTCGACTTTCTTTCCGGAAGACAGGAATTCTTTAAAATATTTCATTTTGGTATTGACTAGATCGTGATTGTCGGTGCCCCATCCTATCTCCAGCATTTTCCCTTTGTTGGCTTTTTCTTGCTTCTTGCGCAACTTCTCCAGCTCTTGCGCACGATGTTGGAGTTTTCTGAGCTCAGTTTTGGTCACGAGTTTACAAACAGGAAGGGAGTCTAGATTGTTCTTATCGGCTGGCTTCAGTAGGATGACATGCTCTTGTATACGTTCGGTCTTTCGCAAAAGTTTCGGGAGGTCGACTTCGCGCTCGAATGAGCCATCCGGTCGTACCAAATCGATATACCGCACTCCAATTTGGTCATCAACGACGTGTGCTGTTGGTGATGCTGCAGCTGTGTTTGAGCGTTTCGGTCCATATCTCTGTTTCTCCCATGGTGAGATACTGATACGGCGCGTTTGGGCGTGTGAAGGAGGAAGCGCTGGAGGCCTGCAAAGGTGCGGCGTCTGTTGTAAAGTAGCTGTCGGGCGGACAAAAACTCTAAATAGAGCTTGTGCTGTTGCTCTACAATCGCGCAGGGACATGTCAAGGACTGGAAACGGGTCTAAGAAATCGATGGTGTATGGTATGCAGTGCTGCAAAACTACAGAGCCTGGTCTTCGGAGGTCTTTACCTTCGCCGAAACTGCTAGGATAGGTGGTTCTAAGGAGGGTTCCTCAAGCGTCCAGCGTATTTTAGTGTTCTAAACGTTCGAAACAAAGCTTTACTAAGTAATCATGTAGTTAATAGTTTAGCCGAAGTAATCTCCGGTACCCTTCTATTCTTCTCTCTTTCTCTTTCTCTCTCCCTCTCTTCCTCCTCCCCTCTCTCTATAGTATATATAATTTTAACTAATTTTGACCTTATAGGTTTAAAATAACATATATATACGTGTTTTTGACTGATTTTGACCTCACAGGCTTCAAAACAACACTTATACACGTGTTTTTGACTGATTTTGACTGATTTTGACCTTGCAGGCTTCAAAACAACACTGATTACACGTGTGTTTGACTGATTTTGACTGATTTTGACCTTGCAGGCTTCAAAACAACACTGATTACACGTGCTTTTGACTGATTTTAACTGATTTTAACCTCACAAGCTTCAAAACAACACCAATTACACGTGTTTTTAACTGATTTAAACCTTATAGGCTACGGATATACACGTGCTTTAAGCTTATTCTATATTACTTAGTAAGACGGCTTAGATATTCCGTATAATAGCCGCCTCGTATAGTATACATAATATAGCTGGACGCTTGAGTAACCCTCGTTCTAAGAGCGTTGTTGGGACAGAAACCGTCACGTGCGGGTATAGGCGAGAAACTTATACAGTCCTACTAATTATAGACTTCTTAGTAGTCTATTATCTACTTCTATACCTTTATCACAGAGTCTAGTAGGGATTTAACTCTATAATTTTTCAGAGTAAGCTTCTAAGTCTTCTTATCTTCTAAACTCTATAAAAAAAGAATATCTTAATACTATTTCTCTATATTTCCATACTCTGCTGCTTATTTTACTACCATTTTAGTCAGACCTAGAAGCGTCTTCTTGCTTAATCAAATGTAGGCTGAGCTTACTATTATTCTAGCTGCCTACCGATACCGCGCACCCTCAAGCACCGGTAGTTCGTTACATCAGCTATACACCTCATACTATGTCTCTTGTTGATTCGAACTGCAATTTCAGGAACGAAGTTCAGCACCTGCGAGCAACGTATGAGCGTAAACGGAACTCAACGAACCTGTATCCACCGGTTGGACGCCCTGTGTATGGGATTGAAGTAAGAGCAGTGGACGACATCGACCAACACACGTTCTGGTACGAACTAGAAGATTCGAAAAACCTACAATGTATTAGACTTTACGACATACCTGGAACTCTTTCGGGTGATATCCTGCGACTAAATAAACAGCTGCCAACCATGTCGAACGAGAAGAATTACGAAATCCAAGGAGATAAAATTGTGCCGCTAGAAACTGTACCGACGCCGCGCAGATTTGAGTCAGACGCTGAAAACCTTACATCTGAGCTCTGTAAGCTTCCCGAGATTGCTGTTGACCCGGACAAGCATTTTGTCAAGCAAGGCAAATATCGTAGTGAGATCAGAAATCTTCTCACTTGCCAAGGCGGGTCTTGTCCTGGTGTACCAATCTCGCCTCATATCATCCAACTCTTGGGCAAATCTGCAGATGGACACTTAGTGTTTGAAAAACAAAACCCACGCTATATCCTAGCCTTTGTACATGATTTTTGCCGATACAGATCTTGGATTCTCCAAATCATTACTGGCCTGGCGGCTCTACACTCTGTCGGAATCGTGCACCGTGACTTGCGTATCGACAATCTTGTTTTCAGCACTGATGCCACTCGAGTCTGGATAATTGACCTCGAGGGTCGTTGGGGAAATTGGCGGGCGCCCGAAGTATCGGACGGAGCCGGCCTTGATGCAGGCTGGACGGAAATGTCTGATATTTACGATCTGGGCTCGCTCATCAAGGATATGATATATGGTAACGTTCCTCTTACCTTGCAGGTTGACTGGGACGCACCAACGCTGTTGAAGCCTGTTGTCGAAGCATGTACACGGGATTCACCCTCAGACCGGCCGTCCCTATCCCGGCTCCATGATATGGTAACAGGTATCGCGGCGTAATTATACATCTGGTCGTCAGAAGCAGTCCCCGAGCTCATAACAGTAAAGAAAGTGTATGGAGTGCTTAGATGTCGCGTCTGAAGTCATGTTAGCTCCTTTAGCAATAGCAATCTAATATGTTCTCTTATTCCGAGGTGAAGACTCATACATACAAACGCCAAGTACAACGACCAGAGGTCAATGAACATTTACAGTTTTTTTTTTCAATCTCTTATAGTCTCATGACTATTATCTCTTTCCTATAGTACGATAAAGATAATTAAGTTTGATAGATATAATTAAAGTATGTCTATAATAAATCACAAGGGTACGTAGGCAACTATTAACTCTTCAATCGCTAACGTGTCGCTATTACATAGAAACCAAATCTTCGAAGACGTAGAACCTTACATATACGATCGAGTGTGAGATAAATGGAAGTCATATTTGTCATAGTATTCAGATTTATACTGCGTTCTTAAGAGGAATAAAATTAGATATTTAATAGCTATCATAAGACGAGACGAGACGGGACGGGATGACATAATCGAAACCCCATAACGGACGGCCCATGCACTTATCATCCGGCCGGATCGTCATTTGGTATCACGTTTGAGTACCGCAGAAACCCTAGCATTCCTCATTCTCGACTACAGTACTGGATAATGCACAGGTGCATCGTAGTCTCCTGTGGTTAGAAAACGTATAGTCGGGCCATGACGAGCTGGCTTCGCGAATACAGTTCTGCTCTTGAGGCTCGAGATGCTCAAGAGCACGGTAACAGTCACATAATTCGTTCTTGTAAGCATAAAAAGCCTAGGTAACTCATGTCTGCTAAATTTTGCCCAGATACGAAGCTCGCTGATCGGGTGTGTGAGCTCGAGACTGCTGCCGCAACTGCAACTCCTCCGCTACCACCTATAAGCACATCACCCCCAAAAGGACGACAAGCGTCTGTGAAGGCACAATCACCTTCTCCCGGTCCACTGGACAAGGATGCTGTGTCCAGAATCCGATCAGACCTTCAAAATACCCAACGCGCCCGACAAACTTTACAGTCGCAGCTGTCTTCAGCTACCTCGACCGTCACATCATTGCGCTCGCAACTCGCAGCTCAGGGGTCACAGGTCGCTCAGCTCGCGCGGACGAAAGAGCTCCTTGAACGTAAAGTAAAAGATAGGAATGAAGAGATTAAGGGCAAGGGAAGGCTAGCTACAGAGGCCCAGGACGAAATGGTAGCGCTCCAGTTGCAACTAAACGTACTTGAGAAACAGAACGAAGATCTAAAGAAGGAGAACCAGATGCTTGTCCAACGATGGATGACGGAAATGGGGCAAAGAGCTGAAAAGATGAACTTGGACTCAAAGTGGGAGTAGGAGCGTCAATTAAGTTGCGAAAGCACGAATATACGACACAACAGTAAAGCCTCTGCGACATGCAGTTCGATCTATGCTGGCATACAATACGCCCCAACAACCCCATATGCTCTCAACACGGATCCAAACACCGACGACGCCGTAACAATGCAAGGCGAAAAGATTCTATCACTGCTGTGCACAGCCCGGGACTTCGTCTCCCTCACCATCGTCATCTTCCCAGTCGCCACCGGCCTGCTCTTCGACTTCTTCGAGATCCACCCCAACAAAGTCTCTCTCATCAACTTCATTATCGATTTTGATAGGCTGTGCGGGTTTCGGAAGAATATCTCGAAGGTGTTTGATAGACGCCTCGTCTTTGATCCATCCATCTTTGGGGAAGTCAATAGTGACATTTAAGAAAAGGTCGCCTTTGGCATCAGATCGCTTTATCGGCATTCCTTCCCCAGCAATTTTCAGCCATTGTCCCGGACTCAAGATTTTGCCCTTGGGTTGTGTGATACGCAGTTGTATCCCTCGGCCATCAAGATGTTTCAGAACGACGCGATCGAATCCTGTCAATGCTTCTGCGAGCGTGATATGCAATTCGGCTCTCAAATTATTTCCAACTCTCTCGAAGACCTCGTGGGGTTCCTGCTCCAGTGTCCAGACAATATCGCCAGGTTCTTGCCCAGGATACGCATCTGCTTCACCGGCAGAAATAATCTTTTCCCCATGCTGCGCGCCTGGCGGGATGTAAAGCTCGACCATATTCTTGGAATCGATGACTCCGGCACCCTTACATTTCTTGCATTTTTCCTTGTCCTTGAAGACCTGCCCCTGGCCCAAACAGTTCGTACACTCGGATATTTGTTCTGTGAGAAACTGGCCCTGTTGTAACAAACGCTTCACGGCTCCTGCACAACATCGTTAGCGGAACGGCTGGCTTTTTCGGTTGTCAAAGCCCCTACCTCTTCCACCACATACGCTACAGGAATGCGACTTCGCTTTGTCTTTTCCGCCCTTCCCATTGCACGTCGTGCAAGGAATCTTCTTGTCTAGCTTAAACCTCGACGTCTTGCCTTTGTACAGCTCTTCAAGAGTGACGGTGTAATTCTGCTCCGCATTTTTGCCTTTCTTCGGCCTCGGCGGTGGTCGACCCATGCCGCCCATTCCAGGAAATCCACCTTCAAAGCCAGGCATACCCCCCATTCCACCCATACCCCCTGAGGCAAACATATTGAAAAGGTCGTTCATATCCATTCCTTCGCCCATACCACCAGATCCTTGGCTCTTATCAAAGGCAGACATACCGTGCGTGTCGTACAAATGCCTCGAGTTGTCATCTGAGAGGATTTCATAGGCCTCTTGTACGGCTTTGAATTTGATTTCGGCGGCGGGTCGTTCATCCTCGGACACTTTGTCGGGATGACTTCGCAGTGCAGCCTATGGAAGGTCAGCAATACACGCAGTCATCTAGCACGCCGCGACTGACTTTGCGGTATGCCTTCCGTATCTCGTCTTTATCAGCGTTCTTCTGTATTTCTAACACCTCTACTGCAAATGAGCGGGAATATCTTTTAACGGATCGATCGTACCATAGAGATCTGCTTCTGCTGTTCCAGCCACTTCATATGAGGTCAGCGCATGTCTTGACAGTATTGTGCGTCATATACGTACTAGCTTTGAGGGATTGTGTAGAAGAAACTAGGGCGTGTCGGCGGGATTTATAGTGTTATAAAGACGGCGGAGGTGTGCGCTCGCGAAAGATCGGAAAATTAGATGTGATATAAAGTCGAGGGTAGAACTATCATGGGAGTACAGAGTTCTGTCGTAGATGCAAAGTATAATGCTGTAAATGACGAGAACGGAAAAATGTTGCATTGAGTCTCAAGATCGCGCTTGGCGTGACCTGCCGACAGGTGCCGGCTTTTGACCCAAACCCAGGTAGGTGGCAGGCATAATCCGACGCTAATTACTCAAGCGTACGTAGCGGCAGGGCGGGTGGGTCACCCATGGATGAGCAGTAGTCAAGCCAAGGCGGAACCCACCTATTAGTATTTGCGGACTAACTACCTAGGTAGCTAATAGCTAGCTAATCATCATTGATAAGTTGTCGTCGAGACTATTCAAGACAGGACACTGCATTTTGCTATGCGCATCAACATTCATGGAGCTCCTTGGAGCTTCTCCTCCCGCCCGATATGTCTGCCATGCCAAATTCGATCGCAAGTTCGCCAATTCTCCTCATCAAACAAGTATGCTTCTGACGAGATCCCGCCGCTGAGCTCGAATGCGCCTACAGAAATCACTCGACCTTTACCACCTATCAAACGCAAACGACCTACAAGGACCACGAGAGCGACACTTCCATCAGAGGGATCAAAAGTCAGAACGCGCTTTGCACCCTCACCCACGGGAAGCCTGCACCTTGGATCTGCTCGGACAGCTCTATTCAATTACTTGCTTGCCAAGCGATGTGGGGGCCAGTTCATACTGCGGATTGAAGATACGGATCAGAGACGGAGCTCAGAGGATTTCGAGAAACAGATCTATAAGGAGCTTGCATGGTTGGGATTGAAGTGGGATGAAGGGCCAGGTCCGCAAGGCACGCTTAGGAATTCCACGGGGCCCTACAAGCAGTCGCAAAGATTGCATTTCTATACAGAACATGTCCAGAGACTCTTAGATATAGGAAAGTCGTACCGCTGTTTCTGCTCGCCTGAAGCCCTCCAAGCCAAAGCACAACTTCGTGACTCAGCTGGTCTTATCGGGCGATACGATCGAACATGCGCGCATATACAGAAGGATGAATCGAGCAGGAGAGCCGCAGCCGGCGAGCCACACACTATTCGACTCCTGTCTGCGGAAACTGCACCGCTTGTTAAAGACCTAATATTTGGGGATATAAAACACCAGTCCAGTAGCAGCCAACAGGCTGACGGCTTCGATGACCCGATATTGATGAAGCGAGATGGCTGGCCGACATACCATTTGGCAAACGTGGTAGACGATCATCTCATGGACGTCACGCATGTGATTCGGGGGGTAGAATGGATACCCTCAACACCGATGCACTTGGAGTTGTACGATGCTTTCGGCTGGGTACCACCAAAATTTGCTCATGTGCCCCTGTTGACTGATGCCGATGGGGCCAAATTGAGTAAGAGAGATAGCGCTGCGACACTTGAACAGCTTAGAGACCTCGGTATATTTCCCGAGACAGTCGTTAACTTTGCGGCATTACTTGGATGGTCGCACCAAGAACGTTCGGACTTCATGACTCTCTCGGATCTGGAAAGGCTCTTCGACTTGAAGCTTACGAAAGGCAACACTGTTGTGTCTATGGGCAAAATGAGGTTTTTACAGAATGCTCACGCGGTTCAGATGACAAAAGGGACCGATGAGGCTTTCAGATACTTGGTAGATGACGTCGCAAAGATTGTTCAGGCTCGTTTCGGCGACGTCATAGATCCTATTCTTGGATCTAGGCCGCTGAAAGATTATGTATCAAGGCTGCTGAAAGCCGATGTCAAAAACTTCACCACTAGCGCCCGATTCGTCGAGGAGTCGAGATATCTTTTCATCCCAATAGACAAGATAATCAAAAGAGGATTCCGAGCAACGACCATCTCAGTGGACGAAATATACCCTAGCCTCCAAGACGATGAAGAGTACTTCAAGTCCGCGGAAACCACTACACTAGAGCCTCAAGTGAAGGAGACACTTGAAAGACTCAAAAATAGATTAGATAAGCTTAATTTAGAAGATTGGTCCGAAACTCCCCTTAAAGAAGTCATTGATGGGTTACTGACGGAAATGTTGGATGAGTGGAAAGGTCTCAACTCGGCTGACGATAGAGCGGCTTGGAAAGTTCGCAAAGAGCTAGCTGCGCCATTCTGGCATATGTTACGGGATGTAATTTCTTTTGGCAGGCCGGGTGTGGGTTTAGCTGTTGCCATGGAGCTGCTGGGACGAGATGAGTGTAGAAAGAGGTTCGAAGTGGCCATGAGAGGCAGTTTCGTATGAAATACAGCCTCTTCCCGGTCGGAATATAAAGCTGCTTTGTACATAGTCTTTCAACGCTGTACCTTGTAGGACAATTGGAGTGCGAGTGCTCCCAAGCACTGTTATTTCCTATCTCCCTCGCTACCTGTATCTCATGAGAATTCACCATTGACTTTCGTCTTAAGCTCGGGAATCCGCTCCATCGCGGCACCAGTTCTCGACACTCCATCCGTCAAATCAGCTACAGATACACCGCCAGTCGAAGCAGTCACTGACCTAATATGAACGTGCTTGTTAGGGAAACTATAAACTAGGTCTCTGCCATAAGCCTAGCCACAGTATAGCCCTTTTCCAGAGTAGTTTACAGTCTCACTTTGAGTTTGCTGGGCAGCATGAACGAATATACGTAATCCACTCGAAGCTAACTATCCTAAACAGCTCTAGCGCCAGCTTCAAAGCTAAGGTCCCCTCCACTCCCATCAGGCACGGCCAAAAGCAGCTTTCGTCCACTTCTACCATATCACAACCATGGCAAATTCGTTGAAGAACTGGGGTAAGCTGTGGTAATATGACACTTCCCAATGCGTACTAACAGAACTCTCCTCAGAGCTCCAGAACGCTGTCAAACTTATCGATCCTCATCGCGATGCTCTCTACGACTACGACGACAAAGCCGCGAAGGCCGTAAACGAATCAAAGCCATGGAAGTCAGACGCCAACTACTTCAAGAATATCCGCATCTCAGCAGTTGCATTATTGAAGATGGTCATGCATGCTCGATCAGGAGGCAGTATTGAGGTCATGGGCTTGATGCTAGGCTATATCGCAGGTGACACATTCATCGTAACGGACTCATTTCGACTACCAGTTGAGGGCACTGAAACGCGGGTGAATGCGCAGGAGGACGCCAACGAATATATCGTTAACTACCCCGAAGCTGCGCGCCAAGCAGGCCAGCTGGAGAATGCTGTTGGGTGGTACCATTCTCATCCTGGTTACGGCTGCTGGCTGTCTGGCATCGACGTTGGAACACAACACACCTGGCAGATGTTCCAAGATCCATTCTGCGCTGTAGTCATTGATCCAGATCGTACTATATCCGCCGGCAAAGTTGAGATCGGTGCTTTTCGAACCTACCCTGAGAACTATAAGCCGGCGAAGATGGGCGGTGGCGACGGATTTCAGACGATACCATTGGACAAGATGCAGGACTTTGGCGCTCACAGTGAGCGATACTACCCGTTAGAGGTGACCCACTTCAAGTCGCAGCTGGACGCAAAGATCCTAGAGGCGTTATGGAACAAGTACTGGGTTGGTACCTTGTCGCAGTCTCCACTCTTTACAAATCGTGACTACGGTACTTCACAGATGCAGGACCTGGCGCGGAAAATTATGCAGGTTGAACAAGGAGTGAAAAACCACTCCTACGGACCTCAGGTGCGGCCAAGTACGACAACATCAAAAGACAAGGAACTCGAAAAGCTAGTTAGAGCAGGGCACAAGCTGGCTACAGAAGAGAAAATCGGCCTTCTGGCGGCCGAGCTGAAAGATCGCGTTTTCAATGTCCAGCCAGAACTTACGCAGGTCCCGGACCTTGATATGAACGGATAGGACATTATACATACATCAAAAGTGATGAACAGAGTAGCGGGCGTGAAACTTTCGATCATTGCGAGGATGGTGTTCTATGCGTCATTGTCAGTACGATGAGAAGGTAGATTCATTTCGTTGAAGGACACAATGTCTCAGCGAGCATGAGCATCACGGAATACACGGAATATACGGGTCACACGGCATGTCTGAATCCACCGTATGGCTCGGATATAAAGCCCGGCGCGTATAGTCGCCTGATTTCACAGGTGACGTGTGCGTGACTTCGTTTATGTGACCATGGAAGAGCAATAGAGCCTTGCGGAGAAAAAGACGCGAGGGAAGGCTGCGGGGAGATGCTAGAGGCGCGACAGTCGGCCGTAAGAGATATATACCAACGGAGAAATAACAGTCGGCCGAATAGGTTATCGATCAAAGGGAAAGGCACATTCGGCCGGTTCCAAGAGTTGGGACTTCTATCAACGGAGGAAGAGAGCCGCGATACCCTGAGTATCTTGGTTACTCCATGTGCAGCGTTATTCTGATCGTAATTCAGGAAGTGTCTGTTGGTCTGCACCAGCTAGTCATTAATTTCCAGGCGTTACCGTCGTCGACCAGGCCATCCAGACAGCGTCTCATCTTGCCGCAAAACTCTGTAGGCCGAAATCAGTGTGGAGATAGTGTGCCCTTCCAGTGTCTCGTTCTCATTCTCATTCATATGTCATTCCCACATTCTGCGGAAGGAGCGGTTGAGCCTCCAGCTGCTCTGCGGCTCAGATGCTTACATTACTCACAGGACGACCAGGTAGAGGTACCTAAACTACCACACCCTCTACATCGCTGACCTCACACTGCGTTACTAACCAGGTATCTAAGTGGAGACTCGGCCAATCATATGACTTGAGTCAAAGATGTTTACTATTTCTTCAAAATCCTACACACATGCTGGAAGTGACCTATTACATGCGCTAAGCATTAGGTTATAATACCGAGAGTCGAGAGGCACTCGATAGGCGAGGGGTGCCACACCTGTAAAGGGGCAGTATGGACTATGGCTATATTTAGGGCTATAGCTATCAAGGCGAAGATTACAAATCTTAACTAAGGAGGAGAATAGCCTATGCCAAGGGTGAAATTTTATAGTGCTAGATGTAGTTCACAGAGGTGAGGAAGCCTGAAGACACCAAGAACGCCAAACCTTGATTAAGTTCAAAAACTCCCCCATTCTGTAGAAAGACGCGGTCATCGAATTCAGGTTATGTAGATCCTTAGTCTGATATGTGCTAATCCTCCGATACTAGTTCCGTAGGTTTATGGACGAATCATCTTCTCTGCGACATACAAAGAATGTATTCAAAAGTTGGATCCGCATGCTAAATGCTGCGGAGTCCGGTTATGATCGTGTCTTTTGGATCGCATCTGTTTGTCAGTCTACGCAGAAACTGATTTTGCGTTTTCAGTATAGATCCTCCAAGATCGTGTAAATGTGTTGTCAAAAAGCCTTATAAATAGACTCACGCAACCCACCAGAACAGAATGAAGATAACGCATTATATCTATATACCTTAGCAACATGGAAACTTCTCATCGAAACTTGTTGCCTCATATGAACGCCCTATCATTGTCACACTTGGATCTGCAGACAGCTCTGCGAGGCATATATCTTTCGCTAGCTCTCGTATGCTCTGAGTCTTTCGCTTGATTGTCAATTGTAATACTAATCACTCTTATAACATAGTTTGCTACCTACAGGATACTCTTAGCTGCATACAATGTCTACTTCAGTCCACTGAGGTTATGTTAGTACATTATCTTTTCGTAATACGGGGATACACACTAATTCAACATTGGACAGTTCCAGGACCAAAAATAGCTGCAGCCAGCTACCTTCCCTTCTACTACCGCAAGTTTTTCGGGACACTGAACCCCTGGTACTTGGAGCTTCACAGCCAATATGGAGAAGTCGTTCGATTCACGCCAAATGATTTAAGCTTTACGAATGAGCATGCTTACAAGGACATATATGGTGGAAAAACTGCAAATCACACTGCTAACCCGAAGTCTGGCTCTTTCTACACCAAGACTTACGGCAATACATGGACGATGCTGACAGAGCCGGACGACACGAGGCACGGACAGATCCGCAAAGTCTTCGCCAATGCATTCTCAGATCGTGCGTTAAAGCTGCAGGAGCCATTAATTCTGAAGTATGTAGACCAGCTAGTAAGCAATATCAGACGGAGTGTCGCAAGTAATCCCGTTAAGGAGGTGGATATGGTCAGGTAAGTCTTCAAAAACCTCTACGTGCCTCCAATTGACCCCAACAGACTTTACAACTTCGCCACGTTCGACATCATGGCCGATCTCACATTCAGTGAGCCCCTGGGTCTACTCCAAAGTAATCAATACACACCCTGGGTCAAAGCCATGTTCGCCAGCATCCGCAACAACCAGAAAACCAAAGTTTTCAAAGCTATCCCCGTGCTCCGAGCTCTCGCTTTTCTCTTTCTCCCCAGAAACTTCAAGAAAATAATGAAGGAGAACTACCGAAATTCTGTCGAGCGCGTCAACTACCGCATCGCTAATCCCCCTGCCGACTACGATATGTGGAAACTTGTTCTTGAGAAAGGCACAGATGTCCTCCAGCCTGCTGAGATGCATACTAATGCGGCAATATTCATGAAAGCAGGTACCGAGACAACGGCAACGGCATTGTCGGGCTTGACATATCATCTGCTGCGCAATCCGGACAAGCTGGCGAAGGTCGTCGCCGAAGTACGTGCTCAGCCCGACGAAGCATCCTTGAACCTGTTAACTTTACCCCGCTTGCGGTATCTGAATGCGTGCTTCGAAGAGGGGCTTCGTATATATCCACCCGTTGCTGAGGGCCTACCGCGTGAGGTGCCTGCAGGCGGAAATGTGATCTGTGGGCAATACATCCCTCCTAAGACGCGCATGTGGGTGCCACAGTACGTGAACAATCGCAACCCACGCAACTTCATGGATGCAGACAAGTTTATACCCGAGCGCTGGTTGGACGGGGAGGGTTACGACAGTGATAAGAAGCATGCGTTGCAGCCGTTCAGTACCGGGCCAAGGAACTGTATAGGAAAAAAGTAAGTCCTAAATGTCCTGGCGACTCTTCGTCATCATCTGAGCACGGGTGCTAATCTTTTGGGTAGTCTGGCTTACCATGAGATGCGGGTCATTCTTGCGAAGCTGCTTTGGCATTTTGATTTGAGATTGGCGGAGAGGAGCAGCAACTGGGCAGAACAGAAGACCTATATCCTGTGGGAAAAGCCAGAACTGTACGTCATTGCTGAACCGGTGCGCTGAAGGCTTTCTACATGAATTCTGAGATGTTGTTGTGCTGGGGTTTAATTCGGTCGATGTGTTGACATGACAACAACGTTCTCCACCTGAGGTAGGGCTATACATAGCACCTCATTCATCCAAATGCAGAATTATCCAAAGTCACATAAAGCAAGCCTTTACAAAGAAACTATCGAGCTGTTCGTAGAAAGTGCGATACCCTACGATTGATGTCAAAGCTTGCTGAACGCACCAATTAAACTCACTGATCGTATCGCCGTCGTCTGTGAACTGGGCTCGTTTCACTTACTGTTCGAAGAACAGGAAACTCTGTATAAGACTATGCACATCATCTTCGTTTGGTTCACACGAATTTAGTGTCTCGATGCGCTGTTTTGTGCAATGTTAAGTGTTCATGAATATAAAGCAGCAACGTCAAAGTGAACTGTCGGTGAACAAGTGAAAACAGCTTGAAGTAGGATTATTATTGACGAAGCCGCCGAAATTCTTCCCCTGCAAATCCTTGTTCTCTTTAAGATCTCGCTTGTAGCTCTGTTCACACCCTCGATGCTTAGACAACGATGAAGCTACTAAGCTCTTCACTTTGAGTATGCGATCTCACTCCGTAATCTTTCGAATTCGAACTGGCTTCCGAGACATCAAAAGGCGTTATACTGATCTGTACCGCGGTGCGCGCACTGGCTACACTTGCTGTCCTGGCTTTGTCATAAGACTTTTGCAATGCCTGCAGTACGACAGAATCTCATAGTAGAGACTATGGAAGCTCCAAGACATGACTCAAATTCTGATTCACAACGAACTTTGATGTCCTACCTGATCGAAAACAGTGATAACTTTGCAAAGCTTGAGAAACTCAAAAAAAAGGTAAGATCATTGTCGCTAAGGGCACTTCAACTCTGATTCTGGGGCAGGACTGGAAGAATCCCGCAGCATACACCCACTGGCAGAAACGCAACATGCAAGCAAATCCTGCAACGCAAGATGCAGTACAACAAGCGTTTCTATACAAGATGACCCAGCAAATTGTATCAGAGATGCACATGAAGACGGAGGCTCTGACCCCAGGAAAGCTCGGAGCTTCAAAGCTGCAGGTTTTAGATATCTGTATGGCCCCAGGGGGGTTTACCTGGGGTGCTTTGAAATACAACCCTAATGCAATATCGTATGGCATAACCCTTCCCGAGCAGAGAGGAGGTTACAAGAACAGATTCAGACTGCGATCTCAGAACGTTCGATTCATGGACGTTACCATGCTCGCTAGTGAGTGTGGCATCGATGTAATACCAGACTCACATCCGGACTTTGCTCGCTTCCTGCAGGAACGCCCCTTTCTAGATCTGTCCTTTCAGTTGATCTTCTGTGGGGGCGCCGTTCTAAGGTCCACTAGAGACTTCAACACCGACTACCCAAACCCATATGAGCGAACTCGCCTGACAACCTCACAACTAGTTCTGGCGATGCAGCGGATTATGCCTGGAGGAACAATGGTCGTCCTACTTGGGAAGCCGGAGCATCCCGACACAACAGCGATCCTCAGACACTTCGATCGGTTCGCAAGAATAGAGTTGTTCAAGTCGCGCAGGAAGCACACCCTTCGATCCACGTTCTATCTCGTGGCTAGAGACGTACAGTCCGAGTCACATGCAGCAAAAGCTGCGTTAGAAGACTGGAAAGCTCGCTGGTATCGCGCAACATTTGGCGGTGAGATTGGGACTGGAGAACTTGAGCCTGATATGGATACCGCATCCATGGCAAGCATGATTGACGAATTCGGTACGAGACTCATTGAGCTGGCGAGTCCGGTATGGGAAATTCAGGCAGCGGCGCTATTGAGACAGGACTTCAACGTCACTCACTGATCGACAATCTGGAGACGAGATAGTATCAAGTGACATGGCAAGGAGCTACCCCATTCTAAGCTATCACAAAGACCATGCTTGCTCAATGGCAGGAGAAATGGATGAAGACGTGTATCCGATGTATGGGCCTTGGCTATTTCTAGGTCTGAACTACGTCTATCTGTTGACCGCAAACATTCTTGGATATCTTGATGATTCAGCCGTAAATAAGACCTTGCAATGCAAGCACCAAAGAAAACATACTCCTATATTCATTGAACCATCCCCTCAGTCTCATTTAAAGACTCCCGAACCTTCTAGTTGAAGAGCGCACTATACTAGTACTGTCACACTAGACGTTTGAAACAAATATCTCGGGTCGAGTCGCGTTTCAGCTCTATATTCCTGCACAGTGTTATGAGTTGTATATCTCGTTATAGACGCTCACTGGCTCTAATAAACACTCATCATGAGTATAAGTAAACACAGGCATAGCTTGTTAAGGCACGATGTACATAGGCTCTGTATTTGTTGATTACGATACACAGACCACTCAGTAGACAGCCTTTTCCCTGTGGACAGCTACATTCGTCAAAAACGTACCTAACTTGGAATGCCCACAGGGTTATAGGACAAGCCTTCATATATCTCACCGCCAGGTGATATCATAAAACATGCAAGCCGAAGTGATAACTTCCGGTATAACAGGTGTGAGTCAGATTGCCTTGTTTTGCATTTCCTTGCTAGCAACACCATACGGAAACAAGTTGATCTGAAGATGATCCTTGTTTTGAAGATTCTCACGAGTAAGAAGACGAGAAGTTCGAAATCCAATAATTCGTCTGTGACTTTTATTGGCATAGAAGATGTATAATATTTATATCAATGCTACTTCTAATGATAACGATAGACCTTTGAAGCGAGAGAAGAAGTTCAGAGTTGGGTAACATAGAGAATTCTTTTTAGAGTCATCCTTTAGAACAAGAGATATATAGCGATTCGAGAAAGAAGTACATGCTTCCAAAAAATAGATATATGGTTGTTATATCATATAACGTTAAACCCACTTTTCTAGCTAATGACAGAGGTGACAAGGGTGACTCTTAATTGGCTTTGTAACTTCAAAGCACCATGCTAACGTCGCAATGTTGGTATGAGAATACGTCGCTTGTTCGAAATAGAATTCAGGGAGTATAGAGCAGTAAAAGGGCAATGAATGACTAAGCATATGCTAAGATTGATGGTCATTGTTGGTTCACTCCAGAGAGTATAGATGTTGAGTAGCTGGGTGGAACAGAGTTTGAGAAGTTTGAGCTCTACCGAAGACTAGGCTCCCATCTATTCCCACTCAAAAAGCACAAGGGGCGTGCTATACAGATTGTTTCCATCCTTATCCAAGTCGTTCTTCGTGTATGTAATATAGATAGCATTTGTAAGGTCGCTTGTCAGCCCAGGATGTGCCTGGATGGAGTACGAGGCCAAGAAGTAATTTCCATTGATACCTGTGTATAAGTGTATGGGTTCGATCCACGGTCCTGTTGGATCCGGAGCAGTCGTGACGTAGACTTCAGCGCTGACGCCTCTATCCCCGCCAATCCAGACGAATGAATTCCATGGCTTGGAGTAATAGTATGTCCCCTGCCCACCAGCGTTACAATTGGAGATATTGATACCATCAGAGTCGATTGTAGGCCTTTGGGACGTCCATGATCCATTGACCCAGTACTCGTAAGCGGATTTGGTTTCAATTTGCGAGGCAGGGACTCTGGCCAGGGAGGTCGAGCCATTCGCTTGTGCGTATAGATATGCGGTACCATCGTGAACAAAATTGCCATAGTCACCATATGGGATCTCGTCGATGTCCCAGAAGTCTGAGTCAACGGTAGTCACTTTTGGCAGGGACGTGGTATCTGACGAATCTGATTCGAAGTCGAGGCGATACAAGAGCGTAGCAGGATTCGGATACAGGACGCTTAGGTCAGGCTGGATGTGAAACTTTCTGATCCATGTATAAGCTGTAACCCTGTTGTCTTGGATCGATGTTACGAGTGGTGGCAGATCCGGCCCTAGTTCGCATTGTTAGATTCTGTAGGAGGTTGATCCCTACTAATAGCACTCACATAACGCATATCTACTCTCGTCTGGACACGAGCCAGCGGGTGCCGTACAGGACTCATTTGTAGTAGAATAAGGGAAATAGGGCTCGTTTTGATCCAGTGAGTTTCTGCCATATAACTCCAACACCGTGCTATGAAGCTCGTCACCCCCTGGAGGAAGAGGTGTCAGCAACGGTCCACCCTCCGGAATAAGATTTGACCAGCTAGCTGTGCTGGCGTATACAGGAAACTTTTGCAGATGTCCATCGGGATTGAAAAGCTGGGTATCCCTCGCCGTCCATAATGTCCGCCCTGCTACCGTCGTGGACCCCAGAGAGTCCCGATTCAACGACGGGTCGCTAACAAGTCCGAGGACTTTGGGTGTTGATTTGAGCTTGGGGACCACAGGTGACCGAACACTGAAAGGGTCTGAAGTCGATGTTTTGAATGCGTATACTTGGTCTCCGATAAAGGGCAGAAATATTGGTGACGAGAACAAGCTAAAAGCCCCAAAAATCGGAGCAGAGTCAAGAATACCGAACAGTATGACTAAGAAAAGAGACACCATGACGAACGAATGTGAATGAGCAGACTTGATACTGAAATAAGAACGGACGTGGATGGTTTCATTATGCTTTCTTTGGCTCTATAGTATCGTCGATCTGTTATCATGAGGCGTCTTCTACAGGTCATTGAGGCACATGTGATTTTCCAAATAGTTATGCTAACAGCACACTCCTGCCAGAAGGGTGATCTAATCAATACTGGGGCGGCCATAGAGTAGGTAGTGAGTACCAGCCGAACCGTAGTTGTGGAAGCTATGTAGATCCCAATAACAAGGGTTAGGAGAAGGAGTGATGAAAAGCACAAGTTATTACCCACTTGATCTAGTTGCGGCACCTTCCACCAAGTCCGCCCTACGTTAGTAAGCATAGGGTGTAAACACAGTCGTACCCTGGCCCCTGCTCTCAAGGCGGGCTGTGATGGGTAAAACGCTAGGCTATATTGGTACCACTTGATCACTAGGCTGTTTGAGGACTAGTCTAAACGCAACCCCACGATCCGGCTTGCGTCGGCCTTAACCTCAGCCAGGGTCCATGACTTCAACCCCAGGTTTCTCTTTAAGAGCTGGCGATGCGCGACATGCACTCAGTGGAAGACGTTCAAGAGGCCTATACTCTACGTTCGTCTATATGTAAAGATGCGAGCTGCACATCGTTCTAAAGGTTTCATACGCTCTGCTAATCTCAATGGTTCACGGTGGAATTCAACAGCGTCTACTGCACGGGTTGTCAGGCCGCTGACGTCAATTCTGATAGCAAACCGAGGCGAGATTGCTCTGTGAGTATATGAATATGCCGTAGGAAGCGTCTTCTGATACCTCGCTCAGTCGTGTAGGCCGAACCGCAGCAGAATATGGCATTCGCACAACCACAATCTACACCAATCCAGATGCTCACTCACAACACGCTCTGAGCTCCCCATTCGCCGTCAATCTAGGCGACGCATCTGCATACCTCGATGGTGATCGCATTATAGAAGCTGCGAAGCAGCATGGCTGTCAGGGTATACATCCAGGCTATGGCTTTCTCAGCGAGAATTCTGTTTTCGCAAAGAAATGCGCAGATGCAGGCATTACCTTCATAGGGCCGCCATATAAAGCGATCGAAGCGATGGGAAGCAAAAGCGAGTCTAAGAATATCATGAATGCGGCTGGAGTGCCATGTATTCCAGGCTATCATGGCAACAACCAAGATCCAGAGTATCTCAAGGCAGAGGCTGCGAAAATTGGGTATCCAGTACTATTAAAGGCTGTTAAAGGAGGGGGTGGAAAGGGGATGCGAATCGTGAAGACGCCTGAGGTGTTTCTGGAGCAGCTCGCGTCTGCAAAGTCTGAAGCAAAGAACTCCTTCGGCGACGAGGTCATGCTTGTGGAGAAATACATCACCACGCCTCGTCATATTGAAGTCCAAGTATTTGCCGATAAGCACGGAAACTGCGTAGCACTTGGCGAAAGAGATTGCAGTATTCAGCGACGACACCAGAAAATCCTCGAGGAGTCTCCAGCACCACATCTGAAAGAAGAGATTCGTCAGGACTTATGGGAGAAGGCTCGTGCGGCTGCTCTTGCCGTGGGCTATGAGGGTGCAGGAACGGTGGAGTTCATCTTCGACAACGAGACCGGACAGTTCTTCTTTATGGAAATGAATACACGACTACAGGTCGAGCACCCAGTGACAGAGATGGTTACTGGAGAAGATCTTGTTCGATGGCAGCTTATTGTTGCTGAAGGGGGCATGCTTCCTACTAGCCAAGCCGAGGTTGAAAGAAATATAGCTAAGCATGGCCACGCCATCGAAGCTAGAATTTACGCTGAGAATCCTGACAAGTGAGTATCTTAAGTTATCGCAAGGCATGATTTAGCTGAGAAACACAAGGAATTTCGTCCCGGATTCCGGCAAACTAATTCACGTGCGGACACCAAAAGCCACTGCCGACGTCCGCATCGATGGAGGCTTCGTAATGGGCGACGAAGTATCGTCACATTACGATCCAATGATCTCGAAATTGATCGTACGGGGTCCAACTCGAGAAGCTGCCCTGCAGAAGCTTCGGGCTGCTCTTGAAGAATATGAAGTGGCAGGGCCAATCACAAACATCGAGTTTTTGAAGCGATGTTGTGTAAGTCCGGCTTTCGTCGCTGGCGATGTAGAGACTGGATATATTGATAAGCATCGAGATGAGCTGTTCGCAAGGGCGGAAACTCAGCCTGAAGTATTATCTCAAGCGGCGTTAGGCCTGCTCCTACAGCAGGCGAAGGCCTTAAAAGTCGACTCTATCTTCGCCTCTGCTGGTGCTGCTGTTGGATTCAGCAGCGCATATCAAGAACGTGCGTATCATCTCACAGAAACTTCCGCGGACGGCAAAGGTGATCCCATCGTGTCTACTGTCAAGGTTCGACAGACTGCGCCAGAAGACTTTACTGTCACAATCAAGGATCAGATCTTCACTGGTGTGAAGAGTTCTATAGATCCGTTGACAAACATCATCACTACGTATTACCCACACACTCGTCTCGAAACTACATTCATACAGGATGAAGAGCGACTCTCTTTATTCCAACAGGGCAAGCTGTATCGCCTCCAACTGACGGTACCGAAATGGGCAGAGAAGGCACTCGGCATTAAGGATGTCGCGAACAGCGTTTTGACGCCAATGCCTTGCAAAATACTCAGAGTGGAAGTTCAAGAAGGTGACCAGGTTAAGAGAGACCAACCTCTCATTGTAATCGAGAGCATGAAAATGGAGACTGTTATCCGGAGTCCTCAGGATGGAATCATCGAGAAAGTTGTCCACAAAGCTGGCGTAAGTCAATTGTGCTTTTCGTGTCATGACTGACTGCACTACTAACAATGCATGCGTAGGACATTTGCAAAGCGAATACACCGCTGGTTGAGTTCGCTGAGCAAGAGCAAACACAATGATTATGGCACAGTACATGAATGCACAATGATATTTAAAAAGAGCATTTGTCGACAGTGTAGGCAATGTCCAGATCAGGTTATTTCGATTGGTAGCCATGTGGTATCTGTGGTAAAAAGTGACCCAGTGAAACACAGAGAACGCCGTGGAACAAGAGTCTGACGCGTCGCACGATGGATTAGTAAAATCTACACTCTATATTGCTTACAAGTATGCGGTACGTCTCACATAACGCGCATACATCTAGGGTGCTGCCGCATAACACGGTAACCTTAGCAGTTAAGCACGAGTCCTCACGTTCGCAGGCCGAGTAATAGCGTAGAGTATTACACAATGGTCTTAGACTTCTGAACGAAATCACATAATATTGTCGAAAGGAATGATGCTGTGTTCGTTGTTTATAGTTTGATTATCATACTGTCCAACGATGGTAGATCCATAAGGTAGGTAGGGGCCCCGCCGCATGGATTTCTAATCGAGAAGACGCTCTACTAGTAGCTCGGGGGCCCCGTAGAAGAGCTCTGCTGCACCAATAAGATCCCTCACACCATGTCGAACAGCTGTAGATGGTATCATTTTGACAGCATCATCAATAGTTACGTGGTAGTCACGTAATCTGCTTGCTAGGTTCCCTCGTCTTCCATGCATGGGTGCTGTGGCTTGCTATTGCTAATGCTAATATATCGCATCTGCCCCTCTATTGTGCCATCGGCTTGGAAATCATCCAGCACTATATAAACCACATGCTCCGTTCTCCTCTGCGCCGCTTGGAGCATACAACTCGTCTCTTTACTACCTCTTCTATCATTCCCACATACAGACGTTTCAACTCCGACATGGCTTCAGAACGACCCACTGGGACCATCGCTGACAAGGGCCTCGAGCTTCTCAGTCTTGCGACGCCTAATGGTGTCAAGGTTTCGATCCTGCTCGAGGAGCTGAAGGCAACTTATGGCCTGGATTACAAGTATCAGAACATTAATATCATGAGCAATGTACAAAAAGAGAAGTGGTTCACCGACCATGGACCAAATGGACGTATTCCAGTCTTGATGTAAGTTAGCCGAGACGTCATTGTAGACGGTGGGGTGAGCTCATCCAAGCCTCGCAGCGATCATGACCGCCAATACTCCCTCATGGAAGGCATTCCGATCCTCAGATACCTCGAAGACCACTACGACCCCAAGCACACCTTCGACTTCACCGACGAGACAGAACAAGCGGATGCGCTGCAATGGGCGTCATGGGGACATGGTGGTGTAGGGCCCATGCAAGGCCAGGCAAACCACTTCCTGTGCGACTCTACAACATCCCACCATCGCATCATCAAACTAATCTCTTGACAGCCGCTACGCAAAAGAGAAGATTCCCTACGGCATCCAACGATACGTCGGCGAGACCGAACGTCTCTATGGTGTTCTCAACACTCGCCTCACAGGCCGCGATTACGTCGCCGGTGCTGGTAAAGGCAAATATTCATGGGCTGACATTGCGCTCTTTGGCTGGGTTAACATCTCTTATTGGTCTGGTGTCGATATCAAGGAGCCACAGTTCTCAGAGGTGTACAGGTGGTGGAAGAGTATCGTCGAGCGACCGACCGTACAGAAGGGCATCAGCATCCCAAAGGGTCCAATGGACTCAACTAATCAAAGATACTTGGAGAGGCTAGAGACGGAGCCAGAGTTCAAGAAGGGTGAGGCTGAAGCGAAAGAATTAGTGAAGAAGGCAAAGGAGCAGTATGGTTATAAGTTCAACCCTGTATAAAGTATAAACAGACTGTAATTATTAAAACATCAATCTTGAAGCGGGTCACAAATGTGGTGTTGACATCATCACGCTAGGTTCTAGCTCATCACAGCCAGCGCCCCTATCATTAGTGGAGAGAACTTCTCAATGTTGAAGCTGATAATAATTATTACCATAAGCATTCAATTTCCGATTTTGATTCTATGATAACTCTCAACGTCCAGACCACCTCGAGACGTGACATTAATGAAAGAAAAAACTTGTTCCAGCTATGTGATTGGCATATGACGCCGCGACCCACCCCTTATCTCAGCCTTCTTCGGTCCAGGACCCAAGTTGAGGATATGCCAAGTAGGCTTATCATCTCCCTGCACATCTCACCACTCGCAACAGTTCTTGGCAGGAACTGCCTCACGTATCTTCTTGAACATGCGCATCTCGAGCCAACCAGGAACCTTGAGTTTCTGACGTACAGGCCTTCAATGGCTACGGTAGACAAGATATACGCCGTCTGACGCGCGGTAAACAATCATTCATTCAGATAGAGGCATGCCTCATTACATACAAAAGACGCATATTTCTTTGGTTCTACACACCCTTTGGAACAGTTATATCTAATCAACACTTCCGATATGAGTGCCTCACTTGACCATAAGGGCCCTCATGCCGACGAGGCCGCCATCGATTCTACCCCAAATGTTGCCGTAGGCACACTCGTAGATGACAAGCTCACCACAAACGAACTCCAACAATTCGGGCAAACAAAGCGCGGTCTCTCCCCTCGCCATGTCCAACTCATGGCCATCGGCGGCTCCATTGGCACTGGTCTTTTCGTCGGCATCGGCTCCTCGCTCAGCAACGCCGGACCGCTCTCCCTTCTTCTCGGATATCTGTTCTGGGGCATCCTATTCGTGTGGCCCTGTAACCTCTGCGTGGCGGAGATGTGTGCCTGGCTCCCTGTGCGTGGCACTATCTTTGAACTCGCCTCAAGGTACGTGGATCCTGCGATGGGGTTCGCTTTAGGATGGACGTACTTCTTTGCAGGGACGATGCTCATGTGTACGGAGTACAGCGCAGTGGCGACTGTCATAGGATATTGGGCGCCAGAAGTGAATCCAGCGGTGTGGGTGGCCATGGCGATGGTGGTGTGTATTACACTGAACGTGGTTGCTGTGAAGTGAGTTTCTATATCTATGGCCCCCAGGAAGCAGATTAGACTGACCAGTACAGATGGTACGGCGAATCTGAGTTTATTATGGCATCGACAAAGATTCTCCTCCTTGTCGGTCTCATTCTGCTCACTTTCATCACCATGCTTGGCGGTAATCCCAAAGGCGACCGGTATGGATTCCGCTCCTGGACAAACGGCAACGCAATGCACGCCTACTATACCTCTGGTGCAACAGGTCGCTTCCTTGGATTCTGGTCTGTCGTCCGATATGCAGCCTTCACGGTCGCCGGGCCAGACCTGATATCTCTTGCGGCTGGAGAAATTCGCAACCCACGGCGCACCATTCCCCGTGTCGCCCGCCTCGTCTTTTACCGCCTCGTCGGCTTCTACGTGATCGGCGTGCTTGCTGTCGGTATCATCTGCTCATCGCGTGACACGCGTCTGCTCAACGCCTTGGATGCTGGCACGTCAGGCTCTGCTGCATCGCCATGGGTCATCGGCATCGAAAACCTATCTATCAGCGGACTACCAGGCCTGATCAACGCGCTCATTCTACTGTCAGGCTGGTCATGTGGAAATGCATACTTATACAGTGCCAGCCGCACGCTGTACAGTCTAGCCAGAGACGCACAGGCGCCACGACTTTTCAAGAAGTGTACAGCAGCGGGTGTGCCCGTGTTTGCTGTGACTGCTGTATCTCTGCTCGCGTGCATGACGTTCTTGGTCGCAAGCGACAGCGCGATTACCGTGTTGTTCTGGTTCATCAACCTGACGACTATCGCGCTCATTCTCACCTACACGGGAATGCTGGTTACGTTTGTGTGCTGGCACCGTGCGCTGCGGGCTCAGAATATCTCGCGGTCTATTCTGCCATATCGAGCACCATTGGCGCCTTACTCAGCGTATCTCGCAATTGGTGTCGGGTGTACTGTAATGTTGTTCATTGGTTTCGATGTTTTTGAGCCATGGAGCACGCAGGGCTTCATCACGAGTTACTTTGGCCTAGCTTTTGGGGTTGTGATGTTTGTGGGATGGAAGGTGGTGAAATGTACGCACTTTGTGACAGCTCAGAAGGCGGATGTATGGAGTGGCAAGAAAGAGATCGATGAGGAGTGTCATGAATGGGAGGCGGGTGGGATTGAAGAGAATGAACGTCGTAGACTAGCTGGCATGACGTTCTTAATGAGAACATGGGAGAGCATGTGGTGAAGATCATAAAGATGAGATCAGTAGGTGATTAGCCGGATCTTTTTGTACAGCTTTTGTCGGTAGACACGGTGACAAGTTGCGCCCTTATACATAGGTTAGAATAGCTAGGGTGAAGCAGAACACCTCTAGTCGCAGTCTAGCACGATCTCTGTGCTCATCCCAGGAAAAAGAATAGCATACAAGGGTTCTATGAACCTTGGACCACAGTCGAAGACACCACTTGAAACAATTTGTTGCATCATGACTACCTACACATGTCTTACCATTGCCAAAGAGTGTCCCATCCTCAAGCATATCGTACACATACAGCTAGTCAGCTCCATAACCTAGGAAGCTTCCTCAAGCCCGAGCACAGTCTCTTCGTTGAAACACTCACTTCCCCCTTCCTCATGTTGCACAACACATGTAGTCTCAATCTCCCCCTCGCCATATCTCGTAGTCCTATGTTACCTTAGCCCACGTCCACGTCGTCTCGTACTTCGGAACTTACGTCTCACTCAAGCTATGCGCCAACTGTAAAAGATATTCATTGTTATCGCTACCAAATAGTCGGAACGAAAACCTCGCCACGTTGCCCCCTGGAATCGTGTCATCAGGGCCGGTGCACTTCACAAATGGACCCGTGCTGAGGACCGGGTTTGTAGCTGAGCAGTTCAGTTTGTACGGCTCAGGAGAGGAGGGTGTCGAGCTGATGGCAAAGTCGACACTCTTGATATCATGAGCAGAGCTGGCGCCACGAACAAGGTGGAAGTCGGTGATTTTGACTTCTTCAGCAGGGGCGGTGGGACTGGATTGAGGAAGGGCAGAGCAGAGTGCGACGAGCAGGATGGCGGTTGAAGTGAGGGAGTACATATTAGGGTGACAAAGTCTTTGGTACTGGATTGGAAGGTAATTCTGTTGGTGTAGAACGGATTGCTGTTGCTGACTGAATGGTGTCTATGCATATGGGCGTTGAGAGATTTTATATTCTTGACTTCTTGAGATTCCGGATATCCGCTTATCGGATTGACGGTTCGTACTCATCCCATGTTACTCGACGTCATACGCCTTTGTGTCTTTACGTTCGTTGACTACGGATACAGCCGCTGCAACGTCTACGGACGGACCGGGATACGACATTGCCATTTCAACTTTACCCAAAGAAGAATTGGGAAGATATAAAACATATTCAAGATGGGGGCTAATATCACCTAAAGTCGCCGATATATATGGCGCTGTCTGGATTATGCTGTCATATATTGGTCCGTGTTGACCAAAATTTACACTGCGAATAAAGCACAGCCCGGCAGCCAATGCAGGTTATCATGAAGAGATATAGACTCATTCATCTGGATTAAGAGGGCTATAGCAACCTGATCCGGCTTAGGGATCTTCGATGTTGATCATTTGCTGAATTGAGTAATATACTCGAATGGGGCCAAAAGCCAATTAAAGTTAGCATTTTGTAGGTCTTGCCATGTGCCGAACCAGCTATGAAGTCGCTGATTAAAGTATCTGGAAGTATATTCAGAGCATCGAACAAATATCTGGACACTAGATACATAATCTAGAAAGAGACCCTCGCGACGGCTAGTTTCGTGAAATATAGTTCTGACTATCGGTGAATTACGTATAGACCTGATGACGCAATGATTGGTCATAAGTTGAGTAGTCTTGAAAAAATGACCGTTGCTTCAAGTAAATACTACAATGGAACTCGCGAAGACTGGGGTAATCGCATAGCCAAAAAAGTATTTTGAGGGGCGCGTTGTTTAAAATAGCAACGTTGTTGGGGCCTTAGCAGACCGATGCTTCCAGCAATCTATGATCGACAATGGGATATCTTACACGGTATTTGCAAATTTTATATATGTGCCCAGCCATTGTCGGCGAGAACTTGCATCTCGTTAATGAGGCAAAATGCGCCTTTCTCCTCGTTGCCCTTTGAAAGTGACTTCCATGTGGCTACTCGGCGTGATATTCTCCAGTTCTGCATCCATGTAAATGTAGCACGACGCTTGATTCGGTTTATCCAAAGGCCAACCACAATGTCGAACGATGAGAGCCAATCGTCGCCACCGTTTCGGTGGACGGCTTTATATGCTGGTCCATTATAACCAACTCGTACTGCTGGATTCAGCCAGACACCTTTCGTTACCGAAAGCGGATTGTCCGCGTGGATTAAGCAGCATTCAGAGCCTTCGACATGAAAATTGGCCAAGGTGTCTGTAATTCCACGAAATCGGAGAGGATTGTTCGTCCTATAGAAAGGAGATGCATCCATTACCACTACGTACGCTTTAGTACCGACGCTGTAAGAAGACTCAAATTACCATACCGATGCCATTCCAACAGCTAGATACGGGCACTGGCACATTATGCTTTAGTGCATTACGAGACGCGGAAGATCGAAAGTAGGGCCACGTTTGCATTAAGGTCTCGTAGCCATCGGAATCCCGAAGAGCGAAAGTGTCATAAAAATTGGGTGGCTTTGAGAAGTCCAAGGCGCATGCAGCAGCGTACTCACCTCCATTAGTCTGCATGAGTCGGAAAATATCGTCGGTCTGTGGTCCTGCGTCAGCATAGCCCTCACGAGAGGTAAAAGTGCTTGACTCACGCTAAACACTACGTCGTTCATGTGTATTACAAGATCAAATTGCTCTCCAGTCTCCTCTGCTAGGTCGTACAGCGGCTGCAAAGCGCGATTGCGTTGTTCAGATAGGTACGGTATCCGTCTCAACCGTTGCTTTCCGGACGAGTCTTTGATCCAGCCTGACGAACCAGGCTTTTGCCTGTTTTCATCCTTATGTGTGGTGGCATTCATGACAATGGTGTGCCTGGCGCCTAAGTCATCCAAACGAGTTTCTAAATCTCTGAGAGCGCCTTTGGAGTCGTCCCAGCTGCCGCTCTCGTAGATAGAAATATACACGTTATCCACGCCAATCGCCTCAGTGAGATTCACTACAGCATTGTTCCAGTACTCTCTTAAAACCTTCTCATTATTCCAATGTATACTGGTGAGGAAGACCTTGCTGTTGGGGGTGGCTAAAGTGTGTGGTACCTCCTCGTGGTGTCGCACGAGGTTGCGATGGACGCGTATGAGGTCGAAAAAAGTCCAGAGGAAGAAAATCAAGAGGATCCCTCTTATCAGGCGAGCGCGTGATCGACGGTTGCCATAGTATGCTCGGCTCGAGAGCATGTTGTGGAGACCTGTTCACTGCGTCAGTTTCAGGAACTACAAAGGTCTGATAGGTAACTGCGTAGGGTTGTGCATACTTTATCTCGCTTCCATTCCTCCAACATCCGTGATAGCCGGATTATGGATGTTAAGATTGTTACGAATTAGGACTGAGACTAGAACGTTCCTGAAGATGTTCATGAGCCTCGGTGCTCCTCCGAGCCCTAGGTTTGATGGATCCATGGATGAAGCTTGGACCATCTGTTTTCCACTCATTAGAACGACCAACCGCGTAAGATCCAAAGACTTCCTCTGATGAACATGATATCATGATTCTCATATCCTATATCTGCTGTGTCATCATTGGGAGTTATGAGAGTAAGATCTCTTGTCATTTATCTACGCAAGACGATTAGTGCACCTCGACTGCGCTAACCTACTCATTCCAATGTCTGTCGAACAACAGTCATTACAGAGACATATAATGCTGCCCGTCGCGAACATACTAGGAACACGCTTATAGATTACCGTCTAGTTCCTGATGACTGGGACTGAGCCTTGTTCATCGCAAGACATAGGTCTTAAGAGTAGTCCCCGCAGCAGCTCAATCACGCAGGAAGTCAATGGAGAAGGTGGTACGAAGCTATACACCAGGGCTTCACAAACGAGACGTCTACAAACTAGCGCTTCGGTGGCCTCGCTAACAGTTTTAGACAATCTCTCCAGCTAGAAGCCATCAATTGTTCTGTATGACAGGGAATACTTATGCTGATATCCATCGTTTTACGAGAATCATACAACGAATATCTCCATTATCGGTAGCGATTGGACGTACACAGGGACTATCATCGCTCTCCGAGCTAGGATACTGGTAATCCCCTCCGCCTGTAATTGGTGTTACAAATGATCAGTCAGAATGCCGTGTAACTCCACAGGCTACCCTTGTACCGCGCTATTGTCGTCGCAATGACGTTCCATAGACACCATCCTGGTGTTACAAGCTTGTCGTACTATCATAATGATAAGATCACAAAATGTTATATATTCAAAAGGTTCTATCTTTTGGACCCATGCACTTCATTCTCTGCTCGTCCTTGGCCTAGATTTATATCCACGAAAATATGCAGGAACCGAAGCGAGGGGCTTCTGCTACTTTGCACGCTTCGATATTCCATAACAGTCCTGAGGATATCCTTCTTGACTTAAAGGACCATGGATGGGAAGCTGGTGATGCTCCTAGGAGGTTCAATGAAAGTGCAGCAGAACTGGCAACTCTGTTTGCCGAAGAACGAGAAGGATGGAAGGGCTACATAGAGTGGGAGCGCTACCCCGAGAAAAAGCGTAAAGCTGCCGAAATCCTCTCTAGATACAACTTCAAAGGGAACGATGAATTTCAACTTGTTCCTCTACCGAGTACCAACCCGATCCTCGAAGGCAAACGGTGGAAGCAATATCACAAAGCACTTGCTGGCACAATACAAGATATTCCTGCTATCAGCTGGAAGTACGTCACTAAGGAGAAGTCAGATGACATGATTCACGTCTTACAATTCCCCTACAATGGCGAGCCACCCCGTGACCGTCTCGTTCAGACCGAGTTCACGCCCAACGAGGATCACTTCGTCCGCAATCACGGTGGGATACCTGAAATCGAACCGGAAAAGTACTTTGTGGAAGTGGACGGGCTCGTCAAAGAGCCTCAAAGCTTATCCTTTGCTGACATCCAGGATGAAACGAAATTTCCTCACAAATCACTCGTGGTTACTCTACAGTGCTCTGGCACACGGCGCATCGAGCAAATCCACGAATACCCTGGTGACGGTGACGAGCTGATCAATGCCCCTTGGGGTGAGGGGGCAATTGGAAACGCGCGCTACACGGGTGTCAGCCTCAAGAAGATCATAAAGCACTGCGGCGGCCTCGTTGACGGTGCCGACAACATTGAATTCTATGGCTGTGACACATACTTCAAGAAAGGCCAGGTATACAACTACGTCGTCAGCGTCCCATGGCGCAAGGTAAAGGCCAATGAAGTTCTCCTTGCATGGGACATGAACGGTAAACCACTCCCTAAAATTCATGGCTATCCACTGCGCGTTGTAGTATGTGGTTATATCGGCGCCCGCAGCTGCAAATGGCTTTACCGCATCAAAGGCATCAGAGGACCAAGCATGGCACCCGTACAGATGAAGGAGTATCTCTACTACACGCCACAAGTTGGCAAGCAGAACGCCATGTACAGCAACGGCTTCTCGATTCAAGATATGCCGGTATCCAGTGCAATCGTAAGTTTTTCTCCATACTAAAGGCCTGCACTGATATGCAATCAGATGTCCCCAATCGACAAAAAAGTCATCGTGCATTCCGGTTCTATCTCCTTACGTGGCTGGGCCTATTCTGGCGGCGGCCATTGGCCAATCCGTGTCGAAGTGTCCGGCGATGGCGGGAGCATCTGGTACGAAGTGCCACCGGCTAATCTTTCAACAAAGTACTATCACGGTTGGCGACTCTGGTCTATTGACTTACCCGTTGACGCAGAAGGTTGGCTAGAACTCTGCGTGCGGTGCTGGGATAATGCGCTTAACACGCAACCGACCTTTGTGCGAAGCGCCTGGAACTGGGACTTGCATGTCACGAGTAGCTGTCATCGCATCAAGGTATATAGCGTGAACAAGAGCAGAAAGAGGACCAGTGAGAGGCTGGCAAAACTGGAGGAGCAAGGACTGGGGATCGAGCCGTTAACGATGCCATTAGAAGTGGATCTAGAAAGCGAGGAGGATTATATACAGCAGGTGATCAGCACGGGAGGCAGGGATCCGGTAGAGTGATGAACTGTTCAATGTCATGAACCTTTCGATGTCTGTGGCTATAAATATGCACAGTACAGAAACTCATCGTGAATGTCACATATGCATGGTACGTCTGATCAATTCCACAAAGTCTGCATCTATAGCAACCTAATATACGATGGTCAATCGTGCATGTGAGGCTCCGTAGCGCCTGATCTAACGTTGGGAAGCTTTGTCACAATATACATATATATATACGCATGAAATTGCGCTCTCGATTTTGTGTTCTTCTAGCCGTTAAGACTAAAAGAAGCTCGTCTCAACTCCAGGAAGAGCTGTCTCTAGAATACTAACAAGGCAAATTCTTACGTCGGAACTTGATAAGCTTTGTTATCCATAAGAAATTCGATTAGCCGGGTAGAAGAGATTGAGGCAATAGCACTTAGGTAACGTATCAGGATACATGACATATGCAACCACTATTGGTAGAGCTTCACAGGGGTAGGCGAGATCCAAGGCTAAGTGCTGTCCCGGACTAAACTGTATGGATGTGAATCTTCACAGCGCTTATACATACATGTATTACTAGACATTTAGGGCCTAAATGTATATGAGATCTAGCTAGCCGAGCTTCTCATTCAGCATGTCTATCTGGTGCTATATCTTATACATTCTCAACAAAAAGTACGTCTAATCATAAATACATTTGAGTATATGCTTAGATATTCTGATTGAATCTCTTTTTGTTGAAAAAATCTATGACAAGATCTAATGAATTGGCTAACTTCTGTACCTAATAGGTATGTGATTGGTTATAGGTGAGCGACAAGCGAAAACATCATACTAACGGCGATCTAAGCATTCTTCTAGGCATATTTAGCGAGAAGGCTTCGATCTAACACTTGACCTGCCTAACCCGATAAGGCAACTAGATATGGTAGAACAAGCTATTCAATTTCTCACGCAATGACTGACGTTAAATATCGACGAATAGCGAGATATAAGAAGAGCATGGAACGCTTGAAAGCCAATATCCGCTTCCTCAAGACACGACATCGAACCACCCTCAAATCGTCTCCTCGACTCATTCATTCCAACTTCTAATATGCATCTGACTGCTCCAGTCCTCACTATCTTCCTCCTCACCCTGGGTTCTTTCACAAACGCCCAAGCCAGCTGTACCATCGCCCGGTTCGCTGCTGGCGACTGCAAATCGAACCGCATAGCCCTTGGTACTCAGACAGGACCTGGCTCGAAATGCCTGACCTTCAAAAGAAACCGTGTAACATGCACCCAGCGACAGAACCCAACAACAGTTACAGGAGAGGGCCAGTGCACTTATACGATTTGGTCTGATGCAAATTGCAGTCAAGGTGGCGGGTATATCTACCGGACAGACTGCACAAATCCGGGGCAGTATATCGAGGCTGCACCGGGTGGTGGAAGTTTGAGTATTGACTGTGTGTAAAGAATAATCCGAGGAGGGGAATGGTCATTCTGCGATTTGGTATGTTCGGTTCCGGGCTAAAGATACTAGAGAACTATGAATGTAGTGCCAGGAGCCAGGATGGAGCGAAGTCATGATGTTCTCTGGTACTCGCTACATGGAGATCTGTTTTGCAGATAGACATTAGTTACTATCGCGTGGCGTACCAATAGGGACGGAGATCGAGCTTTACTGATAAAGGAAAGTCATATTAGTATCCATAAGTAATCTGATGTAGTACGAGGCAGATTCAATGCATGAATTCGAATACGCTAGTAGTGACAAGAAGACCCCAATTGTTGGAACGTATTCGAAGGATTTAACGAAGTCGATAGCGTCAGCTGAATATGTGCGAATGCGAGTCATTAGTCAGCGATCCATATTTTCGTTCCATTTGTTATGGATGTCCGCAATTGACTAGGCCATAGGTAATCTGATATGAATTGTCAAGTCACGCCAAGACACCGATCCGCTCGTTGCACGCTGCTGGCACATGAATAAAATCGACTCCATGCCCATTTTAAATTCACGTTGTTCTCTTATACTTGATCCTTCGAGCTTGACTTACCTGCCGATATATAGCCAATAATGCCAGCGTCACTCTATATCCACGCATTTTCCATCACGGGATCGATCTTCGCTTCGGGTACTACCAATTCCGACAGGTCTGTTCAGAGCTTACTGTTGACAGGCGCCTCCCAAGCCCTTAATTACTTTGCTCTCCCAGCTGTACTCCTCGCACCAACCCCCTCACTCAAAGCAAGACAATTCGTCGCAGCTCACTGGCTGGGTCACATCACAATTCCTCTGACATTCATCCCCTGCGGGCTTATGCACTTTTATCTCGCGTATAATGATGCTACAGCCAATAGTCGCCTCGAAACTATCGCTGGCGCAATCACAATCAGTATATTCCCGCTGAGTGTCGTGTTCATCGAGAAGTTGTACTTGTACATCTATACTTTGAGAGGGAAGAAGGACGAGGAGATTGAGGCGGACTTGAAGAACAAAGGTGAAGGGGACCTTGATACGTTGATCGTTCGGTGGCAGCGGTGGAATACGTTACGAGCAGCGCTGCCGTTTATAGGTGCGATGGTGAGCTGGTGGAATCTTTTGGAGGATGTGAGGCAGTGAGTGTTTGGTCGTTGCGAGGTCCAGTGCTGGAATGCGGCAGAAGCTAGATGACTAATTAAAACGACAACACCATCCATCGGAATTGGATAGATCTAAGCCTAATTCATTTTAGTCTGTTATCCACTTTCATTGGAACTTCGCCTCGCCTCACGTATTCATTTTCTGGAGATTTGACTCTACTAAAGATAGAGAAACATGTATAATCATGACATTGTATCATTTCTCATGCTCAAATACCATCGAAATTGACCATGGCCTGCATCTCCAAACGAAAGCGAGTACTCACCAGTTACTAAAGCAGCATGCATTCACATTGAAGGCACAAATGGAGAACAGTATCAAACCTCAATAGAAGCATGTACATGGGCTATTCCTTCAAATTTTCAATGATAGTCATGGTACGCCTATGGAGAAAGGAACCGTAAAGTGCTGCAGCCATGTCTCGCGCCAGCCACCAATGATGAAGAGTTCACTTCCGGCGACATCCTATGGAAGATCGCTCACCTCGCACGTAACAATTCATACATAACACTTCATACCCAACAGTACATCTTCTTTCTAGTCTGATCCGCAGTTCCATCTGATCACCTACAAATAGACATTTGATCCCCCACAAAGCAATAGTCATATTACCCCTGATATATGCTAGATCAGCACGATTACGACCGGATCACTGCGGCTACGACGAACCTTTATGCCGATTCTGATCGAGTGGCCCGATAGTTGGGTAACAGCTGACTCTTCCGGACACATGTCCTCCTTTAGAGAGCCCTCGATGGAAAGAGATAAGAGCGCGGGGAAGCTTTGTGAGCGAGAACTCTGTGATAGAATTTTGGCCAGAGATGAGTTCAAGCCCAAGCAGAGCTGGCTCAAGCGCGCAAAGACGGCGTTGAAGGAGCTCCCAATGCGAAGAACTAGCGAGGTTCCCAGCAGGACATTCCATTCAGACCGTGTAGCCACTTTTGTGGACAAAGACCGTCGGTATCCGTCTCAATTCGAACTCACTGAGACGTCTCCGCGTGCGTTCAAAGCGTTCCAGCATAATCAGAAGCGAAGCTTTCTTCACCGCTTTCCACCCGAGCTAATCGTCCGTGTTGCCGAATTCCTGCCAGCCGGCGGTGATCATGTACTCGCAAACACTTGCTCGACTCTGAAGCAGATACTGTCCGAGAAACGTTTTCCTCACACATCGCACACGCGGAGCTTGTCTCACCCGGCAATTTATGCCTCTGAGCCTACACCGTATGACCCCTCTTCCGTCTGGCTTCTGGAATGGGATAACTTTTGCTGGGATTGTCGAGTCAGTCGAGCGTCGAAGCGGTTTAAATCATTGAAGGGTTTCCATTGCCACGCTTGCGCAAAGAAACACCCAGCAATGCTGTTTTCGAAAGCGATGAAGGAAGGCATCTATCGCAGTTGCCTGGGTCGCCAAGGCCGCATAAAGCTCTGCGCACATAAAGAACTTACTTACGAACAGCTTCGGGCCTGCTACAAGCTCAAGAAGAACTGGCATGTGGAGGAGCGCTTTCTCACGTTTACGACTTGCAATCATGATGATCATAATCGTGAAAATTGGACAGGCGAAGTTTCAACCAACTTGTCGAACAGACCCAAGGTCACCAAATGGGCCGGCCCTGATCGCGTTTCTGCAGCAGTAAGAGCAAAGATGCAAGACCCGCTCGCCATAACGTCGCAAGAACTTGTGCTCACGATCCCGCGAAACGCAGAAGTCACAAAGGCTGCTCTTAAAGCCGCCCTGTCGAAAGTGAAGCACTACGTCTGTCCCCATGAATCCGATCTCACGATCCTCGTCACGCATTCCTTGCCCCATCTCAACTGCATCGCCGGACCCCTTGGCACAAAATGCACACGACACGACCACTCGCACGCAGACGAGTCCTCCAACAAACTCAGCATCCCATACCACGACTGCCAGCGCTGCCAAACAGCCATGCGGCTGTTCCGCTGGGAGCGCTCAACATCTCCATACGGTGGTGCAAAATCACCCGACGAGATCATCCTACTCGTTACCCGCGTGATCCATCATCTTGCAGACCCTGCCACACCGTTCTGGCTACACCACCTGGAGCCCTCAACCTACGACCTGAACCGCGATTTGACGGAATGCTACACATGGTGCCGGAAGGCAGGCTGCGCGACCTCCCAGCGGAGGTTCGCATATCTAGATGTGGCACTTTGGGAAGAGAGATACAAGTATGAGAAAAGTAAGTTGGGGTTATACCCTAACCTGACACTGTGGCATCAAAGGGCGCAGATTGCGCATCGGATGCGTACTAGACGTAGAGCCTGTATGCAGGGAAAGCCGTTGCCGACACCGCCGCATGAATATTTGAGGCGGTGGCCAGGGCATTATCGGCGGTGTTGGGGGATGTTAGGGTTTGAATACAGAACAAAGAAGCGGTTTGAGGGTTGGGTTGATAGTATCAGGTCAGTAGTTTCGTAGACAGCTCGCTGCGCGTCACCCATTCGATCGTTTACGAACTGATTTTAGCACAAAACTGGATTTTCCTGTAGCTGCTCGGTTTTGATTCATGGTTCACGACGATGACAAAATATAGCCTTTTGTTTGTGTCGACCGCAAGGTAAAAAGTCGCTCCATTAATGTTCTTTCACTGCTTTCCCAGCACATTGTGTAAATTACTCATAATTTAAACTGACTTCGACTACAAAGAATGTCTTACAGACTTACTAGACCATACTACAGCTCGATAGCTAAAAATTCACATAGCAAACACTCTACTAGGCTCAGTAGACCGGGACCGTCAGGTTCGTAACGAACAGCGTGACCAACTGTGCTCGCGTTGTACAACTGCATAATGGTTTAACAGTTCCCAGAATAATCTGTTTCACACTTACACACCCAAGTAAGAATGCTCGCAATCAACTGCTATCTGCATACAGGGCCAAGCAGTAGTGACCTTCTTTGAACCAACCAACATCTCAGAAGCAAATGTGAAATACTGCTCTGCCACGCATCCACATAGAGCATACGGTAAATCTTTCCAGTAATGAATATCTAAAGATAGCCTGTAACACTCCTATGAGTGTGTCTTGATAAGAGTCAATATTATTCGCCTCTTGCCAACCGTGTCACAAAGAGCGTCGTGGTGCTTATAAAGCCCTGTTTCATCATGCAAGGGATGGTTAACTCGGCGGCACAGCCATATTTTGCACTCTTAACATACGCCGGTATAGATACGATACCCTAGTAACCTAGTGCCATGGAATGTGACGCATCAGTGAATGGAACGTATGAGGTTGGTGTCACAGCAGACTGTACATCGATGAATATAAAGATGCCTCCCTTCACTCCGACGCAGTCCACTCAACCTCATTCGTGCCTATATCTCACAAACGACCAAGCCCTGGTAATACTTTGCCTCGACAACTTCACCATGCGCATTCTCAAACTGGTCATAGTGGCCATGGTCGCCATCCTCACACCTCCGATCTCAGCAACTCCACTCCCCACTACGCAAGATCAATACCTACCGCACCGCGCTCGTGACACATGCCCTTCGACAGGTGGCAATGCCATCGCTGTCAAAATCTGTACCGAACGCGCCTTCGCTGGATCTTGCCATTACCACAATCCAGGTCCCGAGGGGGACTCGCGGTGCTACAGCGTGACACAGGCTAGCAAGTTCCCTATCGAACTCACTGGCAAAGGCAACGTACAGTCGATCGAGCCAGACCCACAGACATTGTGTATCGTATATCGTGGGGAAGGATGTGGAGAGGACGACGCAGTCAAGGCGCAATATGAGGCGAAAGGAATCGTGGTTGATGGGAACATGATGTGTCCGGGACGGGCTGATATCAGAGAAGAGGATTTGAATGCTATCAGTTTTAGATGTACAGGAACGGCGGGCAGGGCAGAAGGAGAGACCAAGGATTGGTTGAGAAAGTGGAACCCCACTCAGTAGAAGTGACTGATGAGCTTGAGGAGGGCAAAGATGGGTAATGACTATGGCAAGTGAAATGATATATGTGAAGCTTATTCATTGGAAAATGGACATAGAGATCTGCATAGGCAAAGAAACCCTAATTTTGAAAAGCCAAACCTTATATTATTTCTGCGCAGTCTTCGATGCACCTGAATAGCAAGATTTCATAGCTATAAAAGCTGCATAGCGATAGAAGTTCCATAACAACCAAACATGATGCATTGAAAACTGTAGTACCACGCAATTACAGCCCTCATGACCGTATGTACCGATTTCCCGTAGACACATAACGGACCCATCCGCTACATAAACGCCCTGGACCTGATGATGCCCCTCAAGCGCCTGAAAGTATTCCTCCGCTGCAACTCCTCGTCGCTGTCATCACTATGGAAAACAAGCTGTTCATGATTACCGGCTTGTCCGCTCGCACCCCTCTCTAGCACTCTGCCTCTCTCTTCAGGCGCTGCTGAGCCCTGTGCATCGTCTACGTCAACTTCATCTTCTACGCGAGCGGCAAGCCTATTTACAAAAAACCCTTTGAACCACTAATCTTACGGAGCTCACGACGGATCGATCCAGCCATGATACTGCCTGGACCACCAGCGCTGCTCGATGGCCTATCACTACTTCCTGAGAGCCCTGGTAGAGCGCTCGCGTTGCTGACACGTCGGCTCCCTCCATCGCTGCCAGGTACACCCAGAGCACTTCTACGTTCGACGCGGAGACCTTTCCAGCCTTCGAGTTCGCGTTCGATGCGAGCCGACTTTTCGCGCTCCTCTTTAAGTTCACGTTCGGCGCGCTTAGCCATGAGTTGGGAAGTTGAATCGGCAGATTGCAACTCGTCAATGGTTTTCAAGAGGTTGCTGATCTTGTCGCGAGCCTTAGCAACATCATCCGCCAGGGTAGCATTTGCTTTTTCGCGACGTTCGAGTTGCGTTTGAAGATCTTTCACTGTTCGGTCCACATTGCGGACTGATTTCGATTCAGTGGCCCTGACGGACTCGACTGACTCGAGTTGTTTTTCGAGCTGTAAATGTGTTAGTGTCCTACGCAACAGATCATAGCCGATGTACTCACCTCCTGAATACGTCCGTGGAGGAACCGAACGTCTTGACTTGCACGACCTCCCTGTCCTCGAGTCTCAAGGTCGACGAGTTTGAGTTGCAAGTCCTTCATGCTCTTTTCAAGAGCAGCTTTCTCCTTGTGGAGTTGAACATTGAGGTCTCTTTCTGTTCCGATATCCTTTTGAAGTTCCTGAGCCAAGGCCTCGGACCTTCTCATCTTGCCGACAGCTGCAGCGACAATGTCTTCCTGCTGAGCAAGGTCCGACTTCAAACCTAACAATTCCTTATCAAAGGCTGCCGCATTGCGCAGAGAAGGCGATTCGCTTTTCGAAAGTTCGTCGAGACGTTGCGATGCGTCCGCGAGGCGTCTTTCCAGGGTTTTCTTCTCGGTGATAACGTTGTCTCTTTCTGCTAGAGCGTTGTCCATAGAGTTCCGAAGATGGTTCACCTGTGTCAACAGAGATACAATCTTTGTTTGGGCCTCATTATGCGCACTTGTGGCTTCGTCGCGGGAGTTGGACACATCCTGAAGGGTCATTTCGAGTCTGGCTTTTTCCTTAGCCCAGGTGGAGCTATTGAGGACCTCGTCGTCCCATTTGCCGCGCAACTCTTCGATCTCATCCCGAAGTCGTCCATTCTCCTCGCGAACATAGATGACATTTTCGCGCTCAAGTTCAAGCTCGTGAGTCAAGCTTGACAACTCATGCTGATAGGTCTTACGGGTATGTTCCATAGAAGTTTCATTATCTTCGATGTCTATCGCGCGTTGGCTGCGGTAGTCTTCGAGCTCGTTTTGCAATCGCTTCTTGGATTGGAGAGCTCCTTCTAGATCCGCAGACACATCCTCAAGTCGCTCCTCGGACTTTTGCGCCTGGCGCTGCAGGTCTTCGATTATGTCGTCCATCTGCTTGCGTTCAGCCATTATATTGGCACATGTCTCTTCTGCTTCTCGAGCTTGACCCTTGGCGAATTGCTCAGCACGTGTAGCTTTAAGGACCGAGATCTCGGCCTGTTCAAGCTTGTTAAAGTATTCGTCTGCACGCGACTTGTAAAGATTTAGACTTGACTCGACGTCGATAAGTTTAGAGGTCTCCGAATCCAGCCGAATTTGCAGGTCAGAAAACTCCTCAAGAAGTTGACTATGGCTCGCCGATTCTTGCTCTCTTTCGGAGCGTAGGCTTTCGAGATTTGAGAGCGTGTCGCGAAGTTCCAAATCGGCGGTCTGCTTTGCCTTTTTGAGCTCGTCGAACGTAGCCTTAGCATCCGCAAGCTCGGATCTCGCATTCGCGCAAGAGTGGGACAGCATTTGCCTGTTTTCTTCCTGAGATTGGATCAGGTCGTAGAGCTCCTCATGTGACTTCGTCTGAATTTCTTGGAAGCTGAGTTGGCCTGATCTGATACTGCGCTCAAGGGCTGAGATCTGAGCCGAAGAGTCGTCCAGAAGATTGTGTAATCGAGAGTTCTCTACCTCAAGTTTCTTCTGTCGTCGAAGAGAAGGGCTTTCCTCTCCCCATGTTTGTTTGACAGGCGATCGCTTCAATTCGTTCTCTAGATGTCGGTTCCGCATCTCACTCATCTGAAGTCTATTTTCAACCTCCTCGAGTTGCGTAGCCATATCCATGCGCTGATTGAAGATTGTTGAGTCAACAGTACGGTCTGATCGGCCCGAGTGGTTTGTCGCACTACTCTGGTGACGCTGGTGGAGCGGAGTAGTTGTTGCACTGAAAGGACGTCGGTTATCAGAGTCCTTCCGTTGATGCTCTGGGGACCGACGAGAGCTTGCTTGATTGACTTGGCTCGCGTTCATCTCCTCGAGCAAAGCTCTCCGAGAATTTGTATGTCGGCCCTCGATCTCTGAAATCTCACCCTCAAAGCGATCTCGTGCACCGTCGAGTTGAGTCTCGGCCCTTGTGGCCCGTTCGGTGGCTACTCGTAGGGACTGCTGAGCTGCCTCGAGCTGACGAGCCAGCTCCACGACGTTGGAGATGTCAGGTTTTGCAGCTTCGTAGGTAATAGAGAGATCCGCCTCGGGATCAAAGACTTTACGAAGAGTCATAAGCTGACCATGAGAATCTGAGAGTTCGCGATTCGCGTTGTCCAATGCCATCTGTACCGCTCGAGTGCTAGACTGCGCTTGATTGCGTAGCTGTCGTTCTGTCTCTAGCTTTCTATTTGCATCGGCAAGCTGTAGATTGACAGAAGATGAAACTTTCTCAGCGTTTCGGCTTGTTTTGTGCTCTCTCGTAATCTCGTGATTCAAATCCTCAAGGGCCAAGGAAAGTTTCTCCTTCTGTTTATCGAGTGAAGTGATGTTTATTTGCGCCTCTTGGAGCTGGCTCTGAAGATATAAGTTCTCCTTCTCTAGTTTGTCCTTCTGTGCTTGTAGTTGGGCCTTTGCAGCCTGAGTTCGCTGGCTGTCGCCCATTCGAGAATTGGAACGCGCGATATCCAGGTTCTTTTGCTGAATCTTGTTCAACAAAGTCTTGTTATCGTTTTCGGAGGCTGCAAGTCGACCTTTGACGGTCACAAGTTCGCGCTCAAGGCGTTGTCTGTTTTGGTCGTGCTGCGATCTAATAGCGTCTGCGGCAGCAACCTTTAGACGTTCCACATCATCGCTCAAACGCATGCACTCTTCCTCCAATTGCCTGATCTGGCGGTCTTTCGCGTCAAGCTGCTCTTTCAACCCAGCCGACCGTTCCATGGCCAAGCGCGAGGCGGTACGTTGTGCTTCCTGATCAGCATCGATTTTGGCTTCTTTCAATTCCAAGTACTCCTGGCGGAGATCATGCAGTTGGGTCTGAATCTCCCTGCGATCTTTGTCGGCCGAATTTTTGGCTTCTGTTGCTCGTCGTAGGATATCCTGTTGAACGTACATCTCCTTTTCAATGGTGATTTTGGACTCGTTGAGCGAGTCAAAATCTCGCTTTAGCTCCTTGTACTTTTCCTCTCCGATCATCTCCACATCGTCTCGAGATTGGCGTTCCCGCGCTAAAGAAGACTGGACTTGAAACAGCTCGGCGCGAAGATCATCAATCTGGCTCTCAAGCATCTTACGCCCCTGGCCAGCCTCTTCATCTTCTGACATCTTGTTTGCTAGAAGCGTCTTTGCATCGGCGGCTTCACGTTCGAGATGAGATGCTTGTGATCTCATGGCCTCCATTTCACCTTGCACTTCTCTTAATCGACTTTGAAGATCATCATGTTTCGATGCTAAGGTGCGTTTCTCGCTATCGAACAGTTTACGATCTGAGTCATAGTTTTTGAGATCAGTCCTCAGTATAGCGAGCTCGCTCTCTTTGCGTCGAATGAGATCTTCGTAGCTAGTTGACGTAGATGAAAGATCGTTCATCTGTTGTCGGATGGAGCGATTCTCTTCCAGGAGCTCTTTGACCTGCCTCTTTGTGTTGGAGAGATCTTTGGTTGAGGCGGCGAGTTTAATGTCGAGATCTTGATCTGTTTTTAGCAACTTCTCTTCTAGATCCTGGAGCTTACGGTCTTTGAGAGACAACTGAGACTGTAGCATTCGTAGCTCTCGTGTGAGACTTTCTTCAGCCTCACTGCGCTGCGATTGAGCGTGCTCCAGGTCAGTGAGCTGCTTATTGACTTCGGATATGCGATCGGTGAGAACTGACTTCTCTGCTTCCAGCCGGCTGATGATCTCGCCTGCGCTTTGAAGTTCCTTCCGCCACGCGTCTGCTTGGCTCTCAATCTGCTTTTTCGCATCAAGTATTTCGTCAATTTGATCCTCAAGTTTCTCCTGGTCATCTAGAGCCTCGGAGAGCTTCTCAGCCAGTTCGGTCTCGCGCAGTTGGAGGCGCTTGAATATCTCATCCTTGTCTAAAGCTAGAGCACGTTCACTCTCTAGCGTTTGCTGAATTCGCTGGATCTCTGTCTCGGCTCGTCGACGGTCTTCATCCAGTCGTTGGCGATCTCCGGCTTCATTCTGCATCCGTTGTTCAAGCGCTTTGATCATCTCGTCACGCTTTTGCACTTCCGCGGCTTGTCGAGTCGCGCCAAGCATTGGCCGCATCATCACATACAGCTTCCACCACGGGTTGGCTTGGAGTTTGAGATATACCTGGAAATTCTTTTGGATGATTCTGGTGGCTTCAGCTCGATAGAGGCGTTTATGTGCAATGCGTCTTTGGATAAATCCTCTAGCGACAGACTGAAAGCGAGACATGATTTCGCGAATGAGCTCATCTCGCTGTTCCTCCAGCTCTGCTAAGACACCAGCTCGGAAGAACACCTTTGTCAACCCAACACGGTAGAGCGAGCGGTCCAATTTTAGTTTGCCGAGCATGAGCTTGGCGATCTCACGCCCTTCGAGGGGATTAGTTGGCATGTCCTTGCAAAGAACTTCATACCGGGTGCGGAACTCTACGAAGGGTAGTCTGTTAGGGAAGCCTGTACGTGCAATTCGAATACCCTCGAGAACACCGTTGCATCGAAGTTGGTCCAGTACTAAGGGTGCACTGAATTGCTTCGGACGCTTCTTGTGATTTGGAATGATACATCTTACGAAGTGAGGATGAGTTGAATGTAGTTGTGTCATAAGAGTAGACAGCTGCTCCTTATGCCTTTGAGCGACGGTCCTAAACAAACCTTTCTTAACGCGACTTCGTGCTGCACCCTGTTCATCATCTGCCTCGACACAGTCAGAGAACAGGTGCGCGATGTGCTTGTCCGATGAGTCAGCGAGAAGTCTTGTGGCGTTGTCATTCATCGGGTCTTTATTCTTCTCTAACCAGCCTTCTGTCGAATACTCCACTTCTGCCGCATAGTGAGTAAGAATGAAGCCCTGATTCAAGATCGAACGTCGATACTTTGGTGTCTTTCGGTCCCAAAGTGAGTTCAGCTTCTCCGTGAAGGTTTTGTCGGTGGCCTTTGGCATAACGCAGTCCTCATCGAGGCACGAGAATATCCCGATCGGATTTGAAAGCTCGATCAGGTCGATCGTCGGTTGGAGATCTCTGCCGAAATCGATGAAATTCCACTCGATTTGCTCCCTCGCGTATTCCTCTTGCTCGAGAACGAACATGTGATGGTTGAAAAATTGCTGCAATTTCTCATTGGTGAAGTTGATGCAAAGCTGCTCGAAGCTATTTTCGTCGAAGATCTCAAAACCGGCGATATCAAGAACACCGATAAAGTGAGAATCATCTGCCCCACCACCACAATCCAATTGTCTGTTGATGCGATTCACGAGGTCTCCAAAACCTCGCTCATAGATTCCCTTTGCCAGTGCGTCAAGTGTGAGGTTGACCTGCTCCGGTGTTTGCACCTTTTCGACCCATTCTCGACCTGCCTTGACACGTGGGTGTAGCAAAGCCTTGATAAAAGGGTCCAAGGGAATTCCCAAAAGCTGACACACCTTAGCTGCGTGGGAGCGTGCATCCGTACCAAGAGCTGCCTGATCTGCGCGAATGCTTTCTTTTGTCGCTCTTATATTTCCCAAATGCAGGATTGCAGCCATCTTACGGAGTATAGATGTTTGATCTCTTTCCGAGAAACCCATGATATGAAAGGCTTCCACAAGTGAGTTCCACTCCTCTTGGTCCGAAACACCTGTGATCGTATCATTACCATGTTTCGTATATTCAAAATCTCCAATGTCAAGGCCGTCAAGAAGAAAATCGCGCTTCATTTTTGTACCAGCGCCTTGAAGCAGCTGGTAGAAAATGTGGTAGCTTCGTTCATTCGTGTTGATTCGGACCACGCGCGATTTTTCAAGAAGATACCAGTCTATGAAAGCTCCAGCTATTTGTCCAGCTCGCGTGAATTCAATCCTTATGAACTTCCCAAAGCGGGAGGAATTATTGTTTCGAACAGTCTGTGCATTGCCAAAAGCTTCAAGGATCGGATTGGCTCGTAGAATCTGCTCAGATAGATTTGATATATGTCGACCTCCTGATTTCGCCCGTGGTGTATCGGAAGTAGCAACAGCAGCAAGGTATTGAATGACCTTCTTGGTATTTTCTGTCTTGCCAGCTCCTGACTCGCCTCTGTCTTTCGATTAGCAAAGTTGAAAGAAGGCCATCACTTGAGCATACGCACGTCACTAATATGCTTTGATTTGCCCCCTCATCCACAAGATTGCGAAAGGCTTCGTCGGCCATGGCAAAAATATGAGGCTTTGTGTCCTCTCTCCCTCGTCCTTTGTACATGTTGATGTAATCTCTGGAGTATATGGGTAGAGGACAATACGGGTTTACGGTCACCAGGAACAAGCCCGAATAAGTCTATCCAGATGTCAGCGTCATATTTCAGAGCTAGATCTAAGATTACTTACGTATATGAGATCAGATTGGTACCTCATCTGTAGATTGTGGACGACTGATGGTTCATTCAAATGTGTAAGTTCAGCCATGTCATTTGCCTTGTCAAACTTTGCTGGATTAACCTTGTCCACTGCATCTGCGAGAACTTGCCGTTGCTGAGTATTTTATTAATATGCCACCTGTAGCGCTGTAAAGGGCTCGAGACGCTCGACTTACACTGCCATCTTCACACTGTACCAGCAGCATATCACCTTCAGACTCTTCTACTACCCATCCGCGAACAAAAGCAGTGCTGGGATCCTTCAGCCAGACGTATCTTTTCCCAGAAAAGTCGTTTTCCCCTTCAATACCACGGACACTTCCCGTCCCGGTTTCTGCGTCCTCTGTCTTTATAAATTGCGGTGCGAACGTGCCGCCCACGGGGGTTCCATTGCGCAAAGAATGTGACCGCTTGCGAGCACCATTGACTTCCGTGTTGCTGTCTGCATTTCCGGTTGGAGAGAATGATTGATTTCGCGCATGCGCTGGGACTTGAGTATTGGAGAGCGGAGAGGATAGCATGGTGGATTTAGGCCTGTTGCTGAGAGGCATAGGTCCAGGGGAGGGTGATACCCTGCCAAAGGGACTGGTCCTCCACCGTGGACCGTTCTGTGCTGGAGCGCTCATATCGAGGTGAGGCCGTCTGGCATTCGAAGAGTCTTTACAAGCTGAGGTTCATGATGCACACGCGTCGATGTGCAGCGGCAAACTGAATGGAATGGAAGAACGCGTTCCAGTGAGATTTGAAGTGACGGTAATAATCGCACGACCAGTTCAAGAAGATAGAGTAGCGTACATCAGCAATGACGGCGGGGTTGCGCTCGGGTGCGTTGAATGATTAGTCCTGCTATCTTGGAGGTAGTCCGTTTGGCAGCTATGCTTGTAAACAAAACCCGCTCCTTACCCAAGCAACCACAGCCGTTAGCGCGCTGCACCGTGTTGTAACCTGCTCTTCCCGCTTTAGACGGCTAAACCTCGCTAAAACCTCCCAGTACATGTCCGTGAGTCTCTTGGTCTCTTGACCGCGTACCTAGGTAGTTCTTCTCAACTAAGACTTCTCGTGTTCATTTTCAGTCTGTTCGCCGTCGCATCTAAAACCACTCTTTCCCCAGCCCTCTCATCCAGGAGCGCTAGTGCTATGATCTGACAAATGCGGTCTCGTCACCAGTCTCTTGTTTATCCTTTTGCCATATGTGACCATCATGGCAAACTTTCATAATCAGCCGCCGCAATCGGGCGTTCCCTTTGGCACCACCGTACCCTTTCCAGGACGTCACTTCATGACACAGACACAGACGCAGTCGTCTTCCGAGAATCCATGGAAACCTGGTGATGGACAGGTACTTCCACCATTTCAGTATCCAGGAAGCTTTGGGCCACCTATCCCTGACGCTGCCACAGCAGGCGTACCACAATTCCAGGCGTTTTGGAATCGTTTTCAGAGTGGTGCTTTCCCCCCTCCGCCCTTACTGGGTCCAAATGGACATCCTCTACCGCCTCCAATGCTGCCACCTGGACTGAATGCATCCACATCCACTTCATCCAAAGGCAAATCGCAGAGCGAGCTACCGCCACAGCAGCCTATACATATCCATCGGGAACCTATAGATAGAGTCGTTGAAATGCAAGAAGCCGACAAAGAGGAGGGAGAATTGAGCGAAAGCGATAGTCTCCCGTACGTGCCGCAGCTCTCAGAGGCGCAACCTCGCTCTACTCCGCAAACCTTACAACATAGAAATATGAAACTGGAATCGAGCTTGAATTCATCTAAGCCTCTGGCCGATACGAAAGCCATACCACTAAAGGGCAAGAAAGCCTCGCAGGCCCAGGGAAATCATCCCGCAGTGGCCACCCCTGCAATGGGTCCTTGGGCACCAAAAGGTATCGCTGACTCTGGTATAGAGCGCATGGATAAAGAGAGAGCGAAGCGTTTTCTTGTTGATCTCTCTCGGCATCATTATGGACTAAGTGATCTTACTCGAGAAGGTTTGAATCAAGCGATCCTGGTAGAACATTGGCAAGAAGCTGGTTTACCTCTACCTTCTACAACGGCAACTGGTCCTCCAAAGAACAGTGACGACCCCAAAGGTATCAGATCCACGTCTAATTTCACGACCGCGAGCCGCGTATTAGCAGATCATGTACCGACTGTATTCCCATCGCCTCAGGTGCAGCTTCCCAGTCCTACTCGGATAGACTCGCAGAATAAAACTGGTAGTCATGCGGTTGACCGAACTGCCGTCAGCAAAGACTCGGATCCAGTCCGCGGTGCAGATCGTACTGCCTACATTGCTCGTCTCATGGCCGCACGGTCGGGAAAGGTCAACGGTGCTGCTAAAGTCGAGAAGTCATCTGCGAAGCCCACGATTGTGGAAACTAAACCTGTAGAGAACAAGGCTGTTGACCCAGCAGTGGACGCAAAGTCCATAGGACAGACCAATGAATTACATTCAAAGTTGTCCCAAACGATTGGCACTCCTATGGCGAGGACAGTCACACCCGATCCCTTGCTAAGTATTTCCGAGGCTGAAAAGAAGAAGCGACAACAAAATGAATTGATCAGAAAAAAGATGGCTATGCTACAGGCCTCAAAAGCTGCAAAGTCAACTCCTTCATCATCTGCAACCACTGATTTAGATCAAAAAGTGACGACTGGAGCTGGCGAAGCGTTGCCTCAAAGATCAGAATCGCCGTTGTACGGCGATGAAATCGAAACTGCCGAACACCTAGTCGACAAAGCGTTATCATCGCCGCACCAACATGGCGAAAACAGCCACAAGACTCATGAGGAAATTGAATTTTCAGCCCAACAGAGACACGCAGTGGAATCTCAAGCTGCTACCACCTCTAGTCTCCCTCCAGCACGTGACAAGATTACTATCGGAGGTAGTCGCAAGAAGCGTCCTGTAGCCTCAGACTTTGACAGCGTTGCCCCGCCATCAGCATCAACTTCCAAACGCCCTTTTGGCCAGCCACGATGCTCACAGGGCGAAGAAGCAATGATCATCGAGGTCAGCGATGATGAAAGTACTGCCAGCGATATGGATATTGAAGACGATGATGACGGAAGGACATCACATAGCATGAGTCAGAGACAGCACACGAAGTCGTTTCGCAATATGCCAGCGCTGACAAGCTTCCCACACAAGACAAACCACACTGCATCGACTCCAAGCCTCACACCGTCGGGACTGAACACGCCACCCGCTATTGTAGCATCTGGAGTCAATCAAGGGAAAAGATATGTTGATCTCACGGAACATGAGAAGGAGATTGAAACCCTCCGAAGAAAAATAGCAGAGGCCGAGTACAGGAAGCGAGCCAAGAAACCACCACCCTCTCAAGTGTCAGAAAGCGTTGGACAAGCTACGAACCATACTTCAGAAAGCATACGCTCTAGAACACGAGACAATGTGACCGAAGAACTTCAACTGTCCAATTTTGCGTCGCCGAATCTGAGTGATTCGGAATGGAAGCGACGGAGACGCATTGAAATACAGTCAGGCCTCGAGCTTCAACAAAGCAGCGTGGCTCGGAACATGGCGCGACTAGATGAGCTCAAACGTGAGATGGAACGCCTGGAAGCAGAGAACCATATGCAGCTCCTAGAGAAGGAGAAGTTGGTGAACGAACTCGAAAGCCTTGGAATCGATACTGACGGCATGCCACTCGAGGTCTTACAGGCCACCAAGGATGAGATTGACCAACAACGAGAAGGTATACTTTCCGTAGAAGACGCTGAATCCGAGGTCTCTACGGGAGATTCTGGCACCCGGCGCAATTCAGACCAAAATCACGGCGCACTCGGTCACGAAAGCAGTCGCGGTGATGACGATAATGAAGACAATGATGATCTTTATGACGAAGACGAAGTCCCGACAGGTTTGGTTGAGGAACCGAAAGAGGTTGACGCTATGTCTATATCTAGCGATGAAATTGATGAAGCAGCGTCTGCAGACGAGCTCGACACTACTCAATCCGACCAAGATGACCTCTATGAAAGCCCTACCCATTTGGTCGCGCTGGAGGAAGTAGAACCAGATAGTGATGAAAGCCGAGAAGACGGGCAAGAAGAGAAAAGTGGCGCAGACATGACTGGGGATCTAGGCGATGACACTAGGATGGCCATGGTATCGGACGACGAAGGTGAGCCGGAGCAAGAACATGAAAATGGTTCTGATTACGACGATTCTGCGACAAAATCTGCACGACTTCAGATCGATAATCTAGCTATCGACTTGACCAACTCTGAGGTATCTGTCAAGGATGACGATGACGACGATTTTTATTCTCCAGATCCCCCTCCCGAGGCCATGCCGGAAGGTAAGCAGGACGAGACCACGGCCGAGGAACCATCGGACGACTACTTGAGAGAGCTATCTCCGTATTCACAAGAGGAGAAGTCGGACGAGAACGATTCCATGGCTTTGTCCAACGACCCGGACGCGCTGCCAGGAGCTGAGCACAACCCCAGTTCAGCAAGTGAAAACCGCGATAGTGCTCGTGAAGAAGATGATGACGAGTATGAACCAGGCCACATCGACATTGCCGACCCAATTGAGGGAGACTACGAGCCTGGCAACATTGTTATTCCCGACCCAGAGGGGGACGATTATGAACCTGGTGACCACGAGATGTCCGAGGCGGTCGCAGAAAGACCCGACTCGTCAGACGAATATTTAACACAGTCGCCGCCCTTACCTGATGATCTCGCTGAGAACCCTGCATACTCGTCTTCGTCGTCTTCGTCTTCTAGTGACGTATCTCTGGCTGAGTTGAAAGATTCAAATCAGGGAAATACTGATATTTTAGCTCCTAAAGAAAAGTCAAATCATGAGGATCTTGCTGGAACGTGTGAGCCAGACAGTAACAATGTAAGGGCGCCATTTGTACTGTCATGAGTTGGGCTCATGGTATTCTAGGCCCCTGTACAAGTCACAGCTCCCACAGTTGCTAAGCATTACCAACCCTATGAGAGTCCACTCCGTTTGTTCAAAGCGTATCGATATCACCCCCATTTTTCTCGTAAGGTGAGGGGTGGCGTTCGCTCTTTGACCTACAGTCATGATATAGATCCCCAGAATCCTATCTGCCCCTTCGAGGCATCAGGGGGGGCATGCAACGACGGCGGTTGCAGCTTCCAGCATTTCAAGAAGATGGGACTGACTGGTGCGTAGCCGGACCACGGATCTTGGTTCCCTTCAACTTTCCTCGATTGTCATCACAAGCTACCACATCCTTCCTTATTTCGTTTAGTCTTTCCATTTGAGGCTTCTACGTCATCACTCCCCTTTTTTTGTCCGAGCGTTTCCCCGTCCATTTGCTAATTCCGTCCCTCTAACGTGACAGACAATCTCATTCTTCTGCAACTTGGCACCACAAATCCAGGTCGCACTGACGAAGAGCAGAGCGAGTGGAAAGAAGGTCTGAAAGGAGTCCTGAAAACCCTGAAACAGAGCAAGACCCACGAACTGAATCTGATCGTCAACGCCATTGCCAATTATCGACGCGATTTCCTAAAAGATCCGACCAGGATTCTCAACCTATGAGTTTTCCAGGGTACTCCTATATCCTTGATAAAACAAGGCCCAATACCCTGATCTTCTCCTGTCTTGATTGACGTGATATAACACTCTTCTAGATCTTCTGGCTTTTGTCATCTTCTGCAATGATCTTCAAATCTTTACATCGGCACTTCCATGCCGTCATTCAGCATCACAGAGGCGAGACAATACGCGCTCGCATTCGTGTCAAATGCGTAAACATTATTGAGAGGCGTATCTGACGGCGTTATCAAATGATTAAGGGCGATACCCTTGCATTGTCTCGGCGTTTGTTCGCGAAATGGAGCAAATGCCTAATACGATGCGGTAAGGAGGATCGACATTGGACAATGTGGAAGAGCACCGGTATCCTTGCGCATCGCAACGAAAATGTGCCAGCAGTATATTTAGTTAGTTAATAATATATATCAGTATTCAGAACTCGATGCATATAGGTATGTGCTACGTAAAGTGAAAGGCCGCTTGAGAACCCAGATCGATTGGTATGCGAAAATGCGTACGTTCCTGAGCTTCAAGCCGGGTGTAGATTGCATGCCTGAGGCATAATACCAGACCTGGTCATTTTTTGCGATCTACTTATCTGACCACAAAACAAGTCGCCAATTTCTTTCTTTCTTTATCTCTCACACGCACTGGTACACCGTTCATTAGCCACGTCCTAGGACCACCGCACATGCTGGTTCCCCGAGGCCGGTTGTTCAAGGGTGTTTTCGCTTCGTTACAATCAACTTTCACCAACAGTCATCTGCGCTTGACTCATTCCCCGCCATTGACGGGCCGTACAAGTTCCGCACGTTCATATCAAACCACCAAAACACTTTACACTGGATACCATATTTTGAACTTTACGACAATGATGGAGGCCTCTCAAAATACCCCTGCGCAAAGCATTGACGAGCTCGCATCGATTCTCCAAGGAGTCGGCGTCTCGGAGGTGCCCAAGATGCCAAACACATATCCAGAGCTAAATCCGTTCGACGTTTATAGGGCGCACATTACTGAGCTGTTAGCGAGTATATGTGACGTGGAGAAGAGCATAATATTGGCGGCGATGCAGTGGACAACAACTCTCGAGAAAGGAGACCTGCAATTACCAGTCCCGGCCCTGAGGAAGAAGGGTGTGAAACCAGACGCGCTTGCCAAAGAGCTGGCAGAGAAGGTAATTCTTTTCACATTAGTCGACAAGGTTGTGACTGACACGTCCTGGCCTAGTTTCCTGAATCAGTCCTCGTAGAAAGGCCGACCGTAGTCGGTGTCTCACTCGCTTTCTTCTTCAAAACTTCACCCCTTACAAAACTCATCGTTCCTTTCGTTCTCAAGAATGGCGCCAAGTGTGGCTTCAATCCGAATTTCGGTCTTCGTGACCCCACCGATCCAAGCAAAGGCAAGAAGAAGATGATTGTGGAGTTCTCATCACCAAACATAGCAAAGCCTTTCCACGCGGGACATTTGAGGAGTACAATTATTGGTGGTTTCTTGGCAAATCTATATGAGGGTGCAGGATGGGACGTCACCAGGATGAATTACCTAGGAGACTGGGGAAAGCAATACGGTGTGCTCGCGGTCGGGTTTGACAAGTTCGGCAGCGAAGCAGAATTGGTAAAGAACCCTATCGGTCACTTGTACGAAGTATATGTCAAAATCTCAGCGATATCACGAGAAGAGAAGGAAGTCATGGATGCAAAGGAAGAAGAAATCAAGAAACTCCAGGAGGCAAAGGAGCCTACTGGAGAAAAAGAAGCGGAACTGCAGGCCTTAATTGACAAGGGTGTCGACGAGCAAGCCCGCAAATACTTCAAGCGCATGGTTGACGGCGACTCAGAAGCGCTCGGTGTCTGGAAACGATTCCGCGACCTGTCCATCGTCAAATACAAAGACACCTATGCGCGCCTCAACATCCGCTATGACGAATACTCTGGCGAGTCCCAAGTACAAGACGCCAGCATGGATGAAGCGGCCAAGATTCTCGAAGAAAAAGGCATTTCTCACGTCGACCGCGGCGCCGTTCTCGTGGATCTAAGCAAGCATCAAAAGAAGCTCGGCAAGTGCCTCGTCAAGAAAAAGGACGGTACTTCGCTCTACCTCACCCGCGACATCGGCGCTGCCACTGAGCGCTTCGAGAAATATCACTTCGACAAAATGATCTACGTTGTGGCAAACCAACAAGACCTACACCTAGCGCAGCTCTTCAAGATCATGGAACTCATGGGCCGCACCGACATCTCATCTCGCTGCGAACACATCAACTTCGGCATGGTGCTGGGCATGAGCACACGCAAGGGCACGGCGCGCTTTCTCGATGACATCCTGCGCGACGTCGGCGACAAGATGCACGAGGTGATGCGCGGCAATGCAGACAAATACGCCGAGGTGGAAGACCCGCACAAGACGGCCGATACCCTGGGCATCAGCGCTGTCATGGTGCAGGACATGAAGGGCAAGCGCGTCAACAACTACGAATTCAACATGGACCGGATGTGTTCGTTCGAAGGCGACACGGGCCCGTACCTGCAATACGCACATGCACGCATCACGAGCATCACGCGCAAGGCACCGCTGTCGCTCGAGGAACTTCTCAGCGCCGATCTGAGCCTACTTACGGAGCCTAAGGCAATGGATCTCGTTCGCACGCTGGCGTGTTGGCCTGATGTGTTTGTCAACACGGTCAAGACGCAGGAGCCGACGACGGTACTGACGTACCTGTTCAAGATGGTGCATACGCTGAGTAGCAGTTACGAGGTGCTCAAGGTCGTGGGCAGCGAGGAGGAGCTGAAGAAGGCGAGGGCGGCGCTGTTGGTTGCGGCGAAGCAGGTACTGGGCAATGGGATGAGGTTGCTGGGCTTGAGTCCCGTGGAGAGGATGTAAGCGGGGCGTGCAGGAAGGAATGCGTCATTATGGGATGGGATTAAGGGAAAAGTATTGCATTTGTGATGTATATTTCTAGATACCGCTTTGATTATCATGTGGGCGTGGTTTCACGGGACATGAATAAAGCTCGCGTTTCGATGGCATCGCGTAGTATAGTATATCCAAGATGACCTTCTTTGGCTACCTGACTGCCTACCGATACGCACAGACCGCGCGACTCAGAGACAAAAGCATTTCAATGGGCGCCCAAAAGCTGTTCGTCCGTGTTTTCACGATCTACCATACTGGCTAATAAGTCTGAACGTAAGACCTATGTGCATCGAAGCCTGATTGTGGGAAGTGTCTGGATCGGTCTGGTAGGTGGCCACCGGCCGCGGGGAGGCTTCTTATTACCGGCTGTGAGGTCGAGTTATAGTATGACTGCTTATATTATTATGAGGATGGGATGGATGGATGTTATTATTAGAAGATGGGTAAGTACAGTCAGGTAATAGCGCACGTAGCCGGGTCCCCCGTCGTCCCCGTGGCTCTGCGGGACGGGCCGACGTTGCTTGGTCGACTGGCTGGCTGGCCGGCTCCCCTGGGCATCATTCATTCGATGGCACATCAGTGTGGAGGACGAACGAGCTGTGCTGTAACTGATCATTAGTGATGCTAACAGTCATGTTTCCGCTCGTGATCGCTATTGCCACATGTATAGCTGTCTATACTGGGTCGAGTCGACGTGTACTTGTTATTATAAGTAGAAAGTAGACGTGATTGAGGTCATTGAATGTATTCTGTAATTGTGTATAGAGAACTAAGTTCTGGGAGACAGAGTCGAAGCTATTTAACCGTTTAGACACTAGTCCTGTTTAGGAAACAGTGTCCCTCACTCAAAGTGCCTTCCGACAACACTTGTGCAGCTCGTGTTTCATGTGTCGTTAGCAAGTCGACGTGGTTGTCTCCAGTGGACGGACGGATGGAGTAAGAGACAGACGCACGGAGAAAAGAAAATAAGCTGCGAGATGGTGAGTGCACGCCGTTGGACGGCTTGATTGATGGGATGGAGACGGAGAGACGTATGTACAGTACCTGCATTGTTGCATGTTAGGGTTGGGATTGCGGCTGACTGCTATGTGCGTTGTGTTGAGGTGCTGTGTGGTATGTAGGATGTGCTATGATGCTATTATCGGCGACGTGGCTGCGGCTCTGAGGGCGGTGGGATAGATGACTTGGACATTCAGATGACGGATGGCTAAATGGGTGGTACTAGATGAATGGATCCATTGATGACTTGGATATTGCACTTGGTCTGGCTTCCCGGGCCGCGTGGTACTAGCGAGACAAAGACTCTGTGACACTGACATTGACACTTGACAACCATTGACATTGACACTGACAACGTCAAAAGACGGTGGATTATCAAGCTTGTGCATGCCTTGCTGTTCATCGCTAATATTCTCGCCAGCTTCGACAGCTTTGTGCGACACCTGTCTGTGACTCTGAACGTCCACTCCACACACCCCTCAGCACGTTTGACCTCGGAACTTGGTTTAAGAGTCTATCAAAGGCTCCTCCGCATGCTGCGGATCCGACAGACCGGTGTCGAAGATGGATTGGGCGAGGTTGGAGCTGCACGCAGCCAGAATCATCAACCTGGAGGATAGATATATTAAAATGATGATGATGCACGAGAACGTTCCCGCACTGCCGCATCGGGATACGAGTAGGCAGGTTTATAAAAAACAGCCTCCATGGAGTAAACGACATGTACCGATACTTCCATTATTCTTCCATACATGACTGGTCGACACTAGGGACGATCAATGTTCGAGATCCAGAAAGAGCGGTGAGATTACTACTGTTCGTTATGTACGTATGCACACAACACACAACCATCATGGACGCGAATGGATGAGGAGGAGGGAGGGGGAGGGAGGGGAACGGCGAGGCGCAATGCTGGCCGGGCGTTCGGTGACGGAGGTCCCTTGCTCACTCACGGCGCAAACCACCAACGATAGACCAACATTTGACTTTCGGTGGCGAAGAGCGACGACAAATGCGAGACGTAGGGTAGGATATGCCGTTTGTTGGACTGCTGCTGGTGGAGGGAAAAGTGAGCAGATGGGCGCACGACGTCCAGTCATCCACACCACCACGATGCAAGCTGCGGCCAGTGACAGGCATGGCAGAAGTTTGAGAGTTTTTCGAGCGGGGTTGGAGTGTTTTGCATACAGTATCATACAAACAGATATGGTGCAGAACGCCTCTCAGCTCTGGCTAGCGGCTAGGCCCTTATCAGAGTCCAGTCATACTTTGTCTGGCCTTGGGAGTCAACCTTCAACCTTGGACGGTACTCTGAAGGCTCGATCTGGGATTGCATGGGGTTGGAGACGTCGTGGCTTGCATGCTGGGGCTTCCTGGTCTACTGTGGATTGTGTTGGATGGTATATTATGTACTATGTACTGCTGTGTCGCCGACTGTCAAGTCAAGCGTCGACTGTCAAGTGTCATCTGTCATCGGCCTCGCTTGACGACCAGAGACGGATGTCGATAGCGATACACCGAAACTGCCTCGACTCACATTAATTGCTTTTTCTCCTCCGTCTGCTGGCGGGCATGACGATGCTGTGTAAGCACTGCGTCGAATCGGGTGCGCGGGCGCTCCCTCACCAGCCGTACACGCAAATAATGGCACGACAACAAGCCGGGACGAAGCATTTTCAGTCTGGGGATGATAGGGCATGCCCACCACGCCTTCTTCGTGGTCCTATTGGTATGTATCAAGTGATGCAGCGCGTCTGTGGGAGACGCGCATGCAGCATGGATGGTTGAAAGGCTGTCTGCCTTGCTGCAGCCAACTTGAACACTCTGCATCAAAAGGAGCCCACATTGGGCAGAATCGCCTTGCGCGCATTCCCATCACTCGTCTCTCAGTCTCACTACCTCGCTACTAATATTAATTATTATTACTCGCCATCTTCGCGCATCGATACACACTGGACTGACACACTGGACTGGGTCACCGTTGCCTTGCTGTGTGCCAAGCTTCCTTTCCTATCTCTCTGTCCAGGTATAAGTACCGCAGCAAGCTTACAATACAATACACATCGGAAGCCGACGCCACGAGCCGGTCTATTCTACGACTGACGCCACGGCGACCGAACGTGTCTGGTGTAATACAGTTTGTATGAGGTATGAGGTATGATGGACGATGGATGATGTATCCCACTTGCACAGACTTGTCAGCTGCTTTTGCGCGCGTTGGCATGTCGTCCAATGTCGCGCAATAGAACTGGGGCGCTCCAGGATAGCCCTACATGTCTGGCTGCGCGGGCTTGAGTGCGCTGCGCTGGCTGGCTGGCCAAATGACTGTCTGCGTACTCTGGGCGAGAGAGAATGCGATGGTTGGGCTCACGTAGAAAAGCTCGATAGAGCCCTATTGGGTTGGAATGATGTTGTCGTCAGGCCGCGACAGAGGTGAATAGGTGAATGGGCTGCAGCTTGGTAATTAAAATCGTGTCTAGCTCTCTCTCTCTGCCACGCCGGCGCGCTGCAGGAAGAAGCAGAAAGAAAGGAAGAGAAAGGAAGAAAGGAAGAGGAAGGTAATAGAGAAAAAAAAGGAGAGCGAGAGACAGAGAGAGAGAGAATAAATTATGACTCTCAAATTCTGGCGATAAAGTGAATAGCGCGTCGAGGTGTGCAAGGATGCCGATGGGTGGGTGGATGGATAGCCCTCCTTGGCCTGCACCATCATCCCCCCCCCTCCCCCTCCCCGGCACCCTCGCTCTCCCACCTTTCTTCCCCTCCCTTCCATTTTGCCTCCTCGTCCAGCATCTCTCACCTCTCTTATCCCCCTCTGTTCCCCTCTCTGTTCCACCTCGCCGTCCCCCCTCTTCCACCACTCAAAAGAGTCAAACATCTCTTACCCACCTCTTCTGCAGCCAGCGTCCTTCGCATATCTCGTCTTCCATTTCTCTTACCGCGCCAATTGCTTCTGCCTGCTGCTACTGCTGCTGTTGCTGCTATTGCTGCTATTGCTGCGTCGTCGTCTGTCCTCTTCTGTCGTCACAGTCATCCATCTTGTTTCTCGACGCTCTCACTCCTCTCCTCATTCCTCCTCATCCTTCAACGCCAAAATCCTTCTCCCACCAACAAACCATGCTTACGACTCGACGACTATGCGCTCCATTCAACCTTAGTCCATTGCTTGTCTTCAATTCTGCCCTGTTCGACCACCTCGTCGATCGCTAGCATACTCTCCACATCTCTGTTTCTCCCGTCACCGCTCCCGCCTCGTCCCGTCAGTTAGCTGCACGCTTTGTGCTATTGCTGCAGGCATATTACTCCACATTGCCATTGCTCACCGCCTCGACAACTTCAATTCTCCTCAGACTACCTCCTATCTCCGCCATGCCTGCTGCTGCAGAATACAAGCAGCCCCATGTGGAGGACTACCACTCTGACGATGGTGGTACTCCACAGGCCAACGTCACCGCGAAACGATCCAAATCTTCAAACCTTCAAGAAACTGCTAAGGACGCTCCGGCGGATATCATATCTGACGCCGCGACCGACTCAGGGTATTCGAGCCGTACCGCTGCCACCGTGAGCTCCGCTGATTCTGGTGGAAGGTCCCAGCCGCCAAGCAGGTCGTCGAGAGCAGTCCCTCCGGCCGCTGCCGAGTCCACCGCAGCTGAGCCACCCCGCAAGAAATCATCCACGAAAGACAGATCAGATAAAAAGACAGAGAAAACTAAGCTCACGGAAAAGAAGTCGGAAAGGACAAAAGAGAAGTCGAGACCGGTCGTCGTCAATCAAACGCGACCTCGCACCGATTCTCGAGCTCGTAAAGTCGATCTACAACGAGCAGACGACTATCGTGAAGAAGGGAACCGACCGGTTCGACGGCAGCAGCCTGCGCCAATCCACACTAGCCATCAATCTTACTCACGACAGCCGTCCCCAGAGTCAGTTCGCTCTCCATATCACGTATACCATCCTCAATCTCCATCGTATTCTCGAACAAACTCTACCTACTCCGATCCCATGGTCCAGCCGGCCCACACCACTCACCGCAGGTCATCCTCCGTAAGTCGTCCTAGGCCTGCCAGCTACCACAGCGCGGACGGCCCGCTATACGGACAGTACGGTCGCCTACCTACCGTCGATCATCAACCTGCAGTACATGGTCCACCACCGTCAAGCTCGGCATACGCAAACGTTGCCCGTCCTCAATACATGCCAACATCTACATCTTACAGTCGGACACCGCATCACACAGGCTATTTTCCTCAGATGCAGCAGCCATCACATTTGTCCTATGCTTCGCAGCCTCCGGACAGCACTTACTCAACACGTGGGAATTCTAGACCAACTTCGATGTATACCCCCGCACTCATTTCACAGTCTATGACGCCCGGCCCTCCTACGCCTTACAGCCGTTCTCCCGCTCCGAGTGCTCGATATGGTCCCCTCGGTCCATCACCTCAAATTCAACCCAACCCGCCAGCTTACTCTTCCCGTGCACACCCTTCTACGTCTGATTACGAGGATGATGACGACGACGAAGACGACGACGACGTGGGCATGCAAGAATTGCAGACGCAGATGAGCCGGGTGCAAATGGATCGCATGCAAATGGACCGTGTTCAGATGCCCCCTCCAAGACGTCCCAGCATTCGCCAAAAACCAGAGCTGCCGGCTATAGATTACTACAGTAAATCGCCCGCCCCGCCTATTATGGAGGTGAGTGCGTCGTCGAGGCGGCGCCAATCTCAGTCTGCTTCAAGCCGCACGTATACAGACTCTACACGGTCGTCGAAAAGATACTATGACGAAGATCGGTACGCACCGCCACCGTCCCAGAAATATGATGGCAGACGTCGGAGCATTCCTGTCGAATTCTCTGACGAGGAGACGTTCCCATTTGAGGATGAACGGCGCCCTTCCGTACGTCGTCGCACGCGTACAGAGAATGACATGAGTCGCCTAGAAAGAGCGGCACGAGAGCACCAGAAAGATCCGGAGCGAGGCGAACAGGTGCACACGTCTGACGCTCTGCTTCGAGACAAGATCGCCAATAACAGCTCTCGTCGCATCGAACGCGCCCCCTCTGACGCCAAGTCACAAGTGTCGCGAAGATCCACCATGACCAAGGCCACCAATGGTATCAACCTCCACGTTGCTGGTAATGATGACTTCAATATCTCCATCACCGGCGACATGAACGGCCAGACCCTCCAAGTTGCGCCCAGTGCCGATGGTGGTGCTATGATCACTATTGGAGGAAAGCAATATCACGACACTGGACGATCGGAAAGGTCGAGTCGCAGTCGAGGTCTGTCGAGCGCCGGCAAGAGTAGCAGATCAAGCCAGAAGGAGTCAAGGGTTGGTCATACCAGTCGACGCGACCCAACTTGGTTCTAGGATATCCAGCTCTACTGGTCAGCGTGATCAGTGTGGGCGTAGCCGTTCCAGTGACAGCAATATATTACGACGCACCAGAAAAAAATTAACAGATGCACATTCCGGATACGAAGACGAGGCACGCGAAACGAGCTGATGACCTGGATGTTTAGCAGCGATTGGCAGCAATTTTGTTGGAGTTCCCTTATTTCCCCTTGATGTTCAAAACACCGCGCCTAGTCCCTTTCTGCATGAGATATCCCCTGTTTTCTTCCATCCCATGTATTCTCTCAACGTACGGGTCGGCATCTTGTTGGTCTGCTTTACCCTATTTGTCTCTACAAAAAGCTGGGTCAAAAGTTTGGATCATGTTTCTGGGTGCCTACTTTGTACAGGAAAGAAAAAGTTTTGCGAATACCACACCCCCTTTGTTTTTTTTTATCTGAGCGTCCGTCCCGCCAGCACACGATTCCTATACCACTATGTTATCTCTTTCAACTCGCTTTCTTTGCCTAGATAGCCTCTTTCTGCATGTGTTTCGTTCTTGATAGCCTCTTTTTTTCCCTTAAGCATAGCGTCATGTTGATCACGTTTCTGTATTGAGCATCAGGGTTGGCGGCAAGAGACGGGACATTTCGGCTCTTATTTATTTATATAGATTAGAGCTTCTTTTTTGGGACGCCGCAGGGCTTGCTTATTTGTATGTGGTGCGATGGGGTGGAGACTTGTCTTGTATTACACTTCCACGGCCCCGTCAGTCTGGCGGTGTCGCTGGGGTGTGGTCCCGCCTGTATGGTATGATGTTGTGTGGCATGGCATGGCATGATGTGGTGTGGCATGGTATGGTGTGGCATGGTGTGGTGTGGCATAGCATGGTATGGTATGGCATGATATGATGTGGCAAGGCATGGCATGGTATGGTGCGGTATGGTACAGTATGTAGCTGGATCTGTCTTGATCGCTTGTGTCAAATTCATTTGCTTTGCTTGCTTGCTTGCCTCGATATGCCGATCTTTGACGTGCTGAATTGTGACTTGCTGGCTGTGACTTCCTGATTCGTGACATTGCCGATTCGTGACGTTTTGTCCGTCTAATTTCTGTGATGGTGCCGTGTTCTTAGGAAAGAGGTACGTGGAGTTTTCTTCCCTACTTTTTGCCTTGGAGTAGGTATATCTTGATTGCATGATTGGTACCTAATTACGTCTACTGGGGGGGTTATGGTATAATTAATAGTTGGGCTTGGAGTGGTTGGTATACTTGGTACTAGCTATACTTTGCTATGCATTAGATCCTAGATTGATAATTGATACATCATTTTATAGCTGATATAGTCAAACGTCTATGTGACTATCTGTCTATCCTCAGGCCAGATTTATAGCCCCCCAATTAGGCTAGGCTTGGTTCTTCTTCGATGGATCCACCACCCCTGGTATACCAAACCATACCATACCAAATACAGCAAGCCCTTAAACCAACCTCCTCGGTATATATGCATATTCCGCGTATATACATTACCACATATGCCCTTTCCTATGTAGATGGTCCCTTCTCTTTTCTAAGAATTAAATAGAAAAGAGGAGGTTTATTCTCTTGCTTGTTTGTTTAGTTAGGTATTAGGCTATAGAGAGTGTTTAATTTAGTTAGGAGGAGTATAGTTTGGTTTAGCTAAAGCTAGGAAGTCTTTTGCGGTGTGGGCTTTTGGGGAAAGCGGATTTTGGTTTTTGAAGGAAGGATAGCTCTGGTTCATAGGTGGAGGTAGAGGTGACGGGGAAGGAGAAAGATGGTATGGTATTAAGGGTTTCATAAGAGTGATTGGTTGTCTATGCGGCGTCCATGGCTGTATCATTGTTGATCGAACTTGATATTGTTGTGGGATGGTACCGAAAAAATGTTGAACGACCGTAGATGAGTGCCTTTGGCCATCTCTGGCTGTCCATGCTCGATGTGTTGTGTTCGGTTCGAGTGAGTCTGCGCGACCGTTATTCGGTAGTCATGATATTTTAAGCTATGTTGTGTGATGATAATACTAGATGCCTTCAGTTCAGTGACTCTGAGGGTCGAAGGGTGATGTGATACGGACTCGCAACATGCTAGAGGGGAATGTTAGAGGGCTGAATAAGGCTACTAGAGTCTAGTGGCATGGAGAAGGAGGTTTATGTTTCTAAGATTTCTGCATTGGGCTGGCGTTTGCGCGGCCTTGTTTAGTAGTTCTACTGATAAAATGATGTGGCTGTGTGGAGAACTTTGAGAGGTGCGGAGGGTGTCAAGTTTCATGAGTGATGGATTCATCCATCGCGCTACTTCATCGCTATTTTTTCGCTTCTATGGCAGGTATTCAGGTTCTCTATTGATTTATGTAGAGGCTACGAGAAGTCTAGCGTATCCCCTTGCCCATCCCAGCCTGGGATCATTGATCATTGTATTGATATTGTGCAGCCAGTAATACGGTCCCACTAGCCTGGTGTAGCAACGGTCTGCTATATCACTTCGATTGAGCTGATATTCTATCAGTCATCATCTTCCTTCCATCCATTCCACTGCTGGCCTGTGTAGTTCGTACCGCATGATATACAATAGTAAGTACCTCCCATTTTTAGACGCTCGTAGTTCCCATCTATTGTCGTTACGTAGCCGCAGGGGCAGTTGTAGTGAGAGATCTTTTTCTCTGTGTAGTCCTCAACGAGGGGAGTCAGGGATTCTAGCATGCCCTCTCGAAAGCCTTGCAAGGACCCAATGAGATCCCGGAATTGAGAGTCTTCCACCAGTCTCACGTATTGTTCCGTCGCTACACAAATGACGATGTTCCGAAGTCTATCGAAAGAATCATTGGTACTCTCATACAGGTGTCGTATGATGTCAGAATAATCGCTCTCTGCCCAGATTCTATCGCCTAGAGACTCAAAGATCCGCGCAACCTCCTTTCTAAGCCCTGCAAGATCGTATTTTGCAGCTATTGCATACGTGTCAATCGCTCTCCGATACACCTGCTTACGTTCTTCTTCGCTTGCCGTGTCTGCCAAGGGACTGTTGAATTTTGCTGAGTAAAAGTATTCAATCATAGCCTTGACAGCTGCCGGAGGATCATCGTCAAGCGTAATGATGTTACTGGAAGCCTCCTGTAGCGCCAGATCAGTCCACAGTTTGAGATAAGATTTTCTGATGCATAAAAGTACCTGGAAACCACCCTCGCAAGCCTTCTGGAAGAATTCGCACTGACTGCAGAGGATACTCTTGTGGACTTTGTACGAGTCGTTACCGCATTTGATAGTGAGGTCCGAATAGCGGCCATCCTGGAGCAGGTCGGAAATCGGCATTCTGCATTCAGAGACGGAGCTGAGAGGTGGGAAGCGCGAAGTTGGTGGTTGCTGAAGCGTAGAAAGGTACGGAGGTAAGAGGCGGCTGGTAAGTCAAGCAGCTTTATAAGAGTGGGAAAAGTGAAGTGACATGAAAAGGCCTTGTTGCAACCCAAGTGAACCGGGCCCCGCTCCGAGAGACACACCATAAGTGAGAGACTGTTGTCTAAGAAAGGTCTAGTACATTTTGCTTAGAAATTATTGTATATCGCTATCGGCGCCACCTTTGGATATCTGCCTGAGTTTCATGGTGACAGGGATGGATCGTCTCAGCAACACAGTATTTTGAGCAATTGAGTTCAACTATTACTATATTCAAGCGAACTGACAAGAATACGCTGTATCGAACACCGGGCGGGTATGATCATATTGTTCGAGCGAACTGATCATTTCAGATAGGATTTAAAATACGAATGGGATTGACAATAGTCGTGCATTCAACATCTTGCCATGATGTTTACCAACGATATATTGTTATACGAGGAGCATCATTTCATGATAGGCATATGAAGTTAGTCGCAATAATAGTGCCTATCAAAACCAAGATCTTAAAGGGAAATATTTCAAAGAGTTGAAGTACAGGTTTACAATTTGAAAATAACTACCTGGAGTACACAAAATCTGTAGCAAATGCGGTCCTTGTGCAAGATTTGAGGCCATCTGAAAAGTCCCTGTCACGAGTTTAACCTTACTGTAATCGTATATCCCAGCAGTCAGAGTTTGTTGAAAGCGTATATATATTTATGGGATGATTGGAGCTTGCTTGAGACTTGATAATTTCCTGTTCTCCATACCATGGAGCCGCGCATCTCACCATTATAACATAGTGGCGAAAAGACGTATTGGGACCCACAAGGAACCATTTGAGTCTTTTCCGCAATCAGGGCACTTATATCCTGAATTGGGCTTGAGATCGATACCAATACCTTCTGCACACTTCGGGCACCTCCGTAGCCTCTGGTAGATATCTTTTCGAGATATATGCTTAAGCTGTGAATGTAGCAGAATATCTGTCGTGAACCGGCCTTGATCCCAGAGAAATCTCTCGAACCCATCCTTCGGAAGTAGTCTCTTTAACATCCGGTAAGCAGAGACGACAACAGACTGTTGGAGGTCAGCAGAAGAGCTGTTCGAGGATCCATAGATCTCTCTGATCTTATCGCGGTAGTCCATGGGAGGCCACCACATATTGTCTACGTGACACCTGAATGAAAATACAGCTACTTCGAGTAGCCCTGGTATATTATATTTCTTTGCGATTGCGCACACCTGGATGGCAGTATCGATTTGATGATCGTCGTTATGTGGGGAAAAACCTCTGCTCAATGTATTTCCATACTGTCCAGTGTACATATATTCGATCGTAGCCATGACAGCATTCACTGGGTCGTCATCGAGTCTGATAATCTTGTCAATGGTTCCCTGTAGTGTACACCATTAGCTCTTTGCGTCCGTAAAACCAATATATATATATATATATATATATATATATTGTTCAACAAACCTGGGATTCACCGCCACAAGCCTTCTTGAAAAACTCGCATTCCTTGCTAACAATCCCTTTATGGACATTAATTTTCACCTCGCCGCATGCGACTGTCAGATCAGGTGGTCCGTCACGTTTTACTTTTATTACGATAGCGATCCAATCGTAACGCTCGAGCGGCGCCATGAGCAAGGTCTTGAGGTGAAGAATCTTACGCAAGAGGAAAGAGATAACGGGCTACGAGCGCGGATAGTTCTTAAACTTCAAGAGGTCTACTCTCCAAGTGCTTTTGAAACTTGTCGATAAAAAGGGGTATAAGAATATATGGTGTAAGATATAAAATCGAGTAGCTGAGAACACACCTTGGTTTCCCACCAGCCCCTGATACGTGAGACGGATATTCCTCACAGCCTAATATCATGACATCTTGAATTCGCCAACCCCAATACATTCTCAACCTTGGAATTCATTGCGCAGCATGACTCCAGAGGCCAGGCTACTGGACGACTCCGAGACTACTGGCTGAAAACCTATGTCCTCATCACAGCGCCACATATATGCCACGAGATTACATGTACATCTCAAACTCGTGCTTGAGCATGCATGTCATTCATGATCTATACATATGGATCCTTCCACTCACCATACACCATGCCGCGCCCTCTTCCACACGACCAAGGTGACGGCCTGAGATCTGAGGTCTGGTGCGCATGTAAATACTGTCGATCAAGATATGAGGTATGCGCAGCGTGTAATACAGTGAGAGTCGTGCATGAAGTCATAAGGCTATGATAACAGACTCGGCGGTCATCATCCACCCCTGCAAACCCTAACCTGGCAACCTGCACCGCATCCTTGCATCTATCGCTGTCGCGATGACGTCGCTTGTAAAACCACCATACCACCATCACCTGGGAATATATCTACTCTGAAAACACGCTCCGTCCTGCACTACCCAGTAACACACCTCCTCCGCTCACGCACACTGTCACAAACACGCACACACGCACACATTCGCACGCACACACGCGCGCACATACCCAATCCAGCAACAATGCCCTTTCCACTCCTATTTACCCTATCAACCAGCACTCGGCACGAAATCATCAGCTTACGCGACTTCCCACCGAGCTTTTCAGAACTCAAAGCTACCATCGCGAGAACTATACCCACATCCCCTAACTGCGCCGAGTTCATGGCCAAGTACGCGAAGAAACCCGATGGCGGCGATGATGCCGACGTGGTGGGCGATATCAAGGTGCGCTGGAGCACGGTTGGGAGGGACAGCAGGATTTGGCCGGCGGCAACGCTAATGACAGAGGAGAATTGTGAAGCCTTGTTGAGGCTGATGGATAACGGGAAGGATGTTCTGGAGGTTGGTTATGGGGAGAAGAAGGAATAGGAGGAGAGTGGAAAACGACTTTGCAAAGCGGCGCAGTATTTGTACGGGTTTTGTTGATCTTTAAGCGTTCGGCTTGCGTGTAGTGGGATTGCAGGCTCCTTTCCTTCTCATACGAGCGAGTACAATTTGAACATCCAAGTGTCATTGGAGAATTTTAGTCGCTGGTATGGACCGTCATACCTTCGCCTAGACGTAGCATACATTGCAAAATACGCAAAACACCAACCAAATCTTCGGCGCTCTGTAGACCATACCCAGCTTGCCAACAGTGTCGTCAGATTTCGCAGACTCAGTCCCAGGTTTACTCAATCATGTCAATGTCGTCGGTGGCAGGTGCAGCCCCACCATTGGCAGGAGCGGAACCATTGGTGACCGGCTCGGTCTCGCCTTTTGAGCCCCAGTAATCTTCCATCTCGGCATCAAGCTGCTCCTGTGTCTTCCTCGGTCGGCCTTGCCTGGTAGCAGCACCGCCGTCCGTCCTTCGATTGCTATCATCTCTCCGCGCCCCAGGCCTGCGGCCACCACGGTCTGCGACTCCACGACGTGGGGGCGAACGACGTCGGTCACCTCCGTTTCTGCCACCTCCAGGCACGTAGCGATCGATGTTTCCAGGCGCAGGTCCACTGACGTCGCTGTGTCGGATAGGACTGACCGATCTGTCATCGCGACGTATTCTGCTTTCCAGAGGGCGCTCGATGCGATCGAACAAGCTCCGAGATGGAGCATTGCGAGCTGCTGCAGGCCTTGCACTCGTGCTTGGTAGCATCGTCAGATAGATTGTCTGTCCGTAGGCCTTTTGACCGTTGTACTCGTTCATCGCGGCAATCGCATCGTTGGCGTTGGTGTAAGTGACGAATCCAAGTCCTCGACTGCGGTCTTGACGATCGTACACCAGTGTGGCTTCGCGGACACGACCGATGCGGCTGAAAAGTTCCTAGTGATATTAGATCTAGCCGACCAGCATTTTCAATGCACACACCTTCAAGTCTTCTTCTGATATTTCGTAGTGAAGGTTCTCGACCTTGAGCTTGAAACTATTCTCGAATCTGCGAGTGAATCAATGATAAGCTCGCCATAAATCGTATCCACAACATCACGTACAGTTCTCCGCGGTCGTTCTGTCGTCGTTCTGGTCGGGAGCGGTGATTGTCGCGTGCTGGATGTGTTAGAGTCGGCCATAGGAAGGGTGCGCGCATATTCGACTGACAGTCATCATCTTCGTACTTGTCGTGGACCCAATCTCTAGTGTCACCATTCAGTATACTCTAAGAATGTGCATAATATTCGGCTTCCTACTGGTCTAGATTTCTTGGATAGTCTCTTTGAGAGGGCTGTGGCATCAGAGGAGTCAATATTAGCGAATCTCTTACAAGGGCCAGTGTAAAACAGTGACTGGTCGTCGCACAGGAACCGTATTCGACGTGTAGCTATATCGCTACGAATAGGAGGGCACCGAGGCGTGAGGGAGGAGGGAGGAATGATGATGCACCTAGACTGCCTGTGAGATGTTGACCCTTAGGTAGAGTAACCATTATATATCCTCACCTTTTTTACGCCATCTCGAGGAAAGTTTCCACGGCGGTTACGGCTTCGGTTGTTGTTCTGTCCGGAGGTTTAGCTCTGACGGTATACCAACAGCACGCATTCGATACCTTACCTGTCTACCGGAGACGATGTCGTCGAGGCTACGATCCATCTTGGAATACGAGGGAAGCAAAGGTTAGGGAAAGCTGTATGAAACAAGAAGGTCCAACAAGGGAGCTGAGACTGCTTCAAGGTTGGAGAGTGCGAATGGAGAGGACGATGGCGCAGGTCGAATAGACCGTCAATTGAGAGCACTCGATATGCAGCGCGGTCGTGGGATGAGACAACGAGGTGTTGCACAGAATGATGAGAGTGAACGCACACGGAATGTCGACCAACAGAGCGCTGTCAGCCTGTCAGAAAGTCGTGCTAGTTTCGCTGCCCAACCCGCTAGGCCGTGCAGGGTTCTTCCCTGCTGCGGAGTCTTTGTCACGGGCTTGTCGAGTGCTGCCTGATTTCCTTCATTCACGATAAATATTTAAGTGAACAGATGTCACAAGCACAATATAAACGAATTAGAAACCTGTTTCTTCGAATCACCAAAAAAATTATGCCCGATAATACCCCCCGTATAATCCTGCTTGGCGACTCGCTGACCCAAGGCGGTTTCCAACCCGACACAAAAGGCTATGGATGGGCCCTCCAGCGGTACTACTCAACCCGCGCCGTTGTTGTCAACAAAGGCATCAATGGTATCACAACTGAAAGCATACGCCATCACTTCAACTCTATTCTAACAGACATCACCGCCCCGAATGCTCCTCCAACAAAGCTGTTCTCCATCTTTCTGGGCGCAAATGATGGCTGTTTGCATCCATGGGGCGTACCATTACCAGAATTCGCTGCGAACATGACTGCCTTCGTTGAGAAACTGACAACCCACCCCGCGCTGACTGGTCTCAAAGTCGTGCTCATAGCCACACCGCCGATCAATGTTCGCGACGCCGATCGGGATACATCGCTTGGAAGTGTGGAGACTGCAAAAAAACGGGCCGGGTGGAGGAATTATGTGAGCAAGAAGACATACGCCGAGAAAGTCATGGAGATTGCGCAGGGGTTCGAGAATAGGGGTGTCGAAGTCGTTGGGGTGGATCTTTGGGGGGCGTTGGTGGACGCTGCGCTGGTGGACCAAGGCAGGGGGGATGAGGAGGGAGGAAGAGGAGATAGGAGGGGAAAATATGAAGAGGAGAGACTGCCAGGTTGTGGTTTACCAGATTCAAGGGAGTTTCCGGATGGCTATTTTTGTGATGCACTGCATTTTGAATGGAAGGTAAGTGCGGGTTGTGTTTGATATGTGACGATTGCTGGGTGCTGACGCGGTGTAGGCTTATGAGGTATTGACGAAGGTCTTTCAGGAGACTGTGTTCGCGAAGTGGCCTGAATTGCAAGCGGATCGGATATAAGCCAACCAGTCTTTTGATCGCTGATCATTCTTACGCATGCCAGCGCTCTACGTTTGCCGTGCTCTACTCCCTCAAATAGGTCAACCCTTTGACCCTACAAGCAATACCTAAAGTGCAGATTTTTCTTATCAGTGACATCCTGGAAGCCTTCTAAAATTGCCTGCTCGTCTACGGCGTCATCCGTCCTCGCCGCCGTTCTAATCTTCCTATCTTTGCTTCTATTCTCCCACCACATATACTGCCTCATGAATATGGCGATGACTATGATGCCAGCGTAGCAAGCTATCAGCCCTGCTAAAGCTGAGTAGTATCTTGGACTTTCGCGAGCAAAGAAGATATTTGCACCGGCTATGTTGCCGGCTGCATAGAACACGAACCACAGGCCGTTGGCGGTGGATCGCTTGGTGTGGCCAGCGATGTTGGATGTGAGCAGGTTCCAGCACAGAATGACAGGGGCCCCGACAAGGTATTGGAGCCAGGTACAGCCTGACCAACGTCAGGCGGATGTCAGAGAAGGTAATCGGTAATAGATATGTGCACGAGTATAAGGGAGAATGCAGCAAGAACGAAAGTACTTACCAACGAGTGTCCACCGGTGGTCAAGATCCGTCAATCTAATACCTAACAAGCCTCCAAGAGGCGGCAAGCAGATTACTGCGAGCACTGCACATCTGACGTCCTTAAAGTAGCTCGCTACTAGACCACAAAGAGGTACGAGGAAGAACTCGAATGCACCGGTGGGGAGTTGCAACAATGTTGCATATATTCCCGAGAATCCGTATCCGCGGATCAGCGCCGAGGCAAAATTTGAAACACCTCCATTGATAACACCGCACCCAAGACCGATCATGACTGCACAGTGCACTTTGATATCGAGCGCAGCTTCGAGAGCTTGCTTTGGCTGGAATTGCTTAGTCTTGACGCCGATCATGTTCTCGGCGATGCGGTGCACGGCAATGACCTTTTGCTTATGCGTCAAAAAGCGTGCAGTTGATGGCGAGTCTGGCATGACGAATAGCTATGTTGATCAGGATCGGTCACACTATCTCACAATCGGAACGGAGACTCACGAAAACCCACCCCCAAACGAAATTCAACAACCCAATAGTGAGAAATATCAGTTGCCAGCTCCGCAGTGCACTACTACCAGCGTGGCCCAAGCCATATCCGAGTAGAGCTCCAACCATCGTCGCCATGCCGTTGAAAGCAAGGAAGATGCACATGCGTAACGGCTGTTCGCTCCTCGTGTAGAACATGCTTACGATGGTCATGATGGCGGGGCTGATGCTGGCCTCGAACATCCCGAGAAGAAAGCGTAGGACAAGCATACCGGTGTAGTCCTTCGCAGCAACGTGACAGCATAGGAGGACGGACCAAATAAGAATCATGGTGCCGGTGTATTTGGCAACAGGTAGACGCTGAATAAGGTAATTTGCTGGAAGGGCCCAGAAGAGGTAACCACTGGTATAGCGTGAGCGACTGGAATTTTTCTATCTTATATTGACACAACAGTGTGACTCACAAGTTGAAGATGGCTGCAACCCACGAATATCGCTGGCCTTGCAGGCCCAGATCTGGGATGAGTGTATAAGCTGAGGCATAGTTGAGTGAGAGCTTGTCCAGGAATTGGATCATGTAAGTGAAGCAGATCTATTTGTGTCAGTAGCTCTCGCGTACTTGATCTACAAGTCAGGCTCACGATTGGCATGATTATCCAGTCAAGCTTCTTCAATACTACGACCCTTTCCCTCTCTAGCTCTTCAAGATCATATTGCCCTACCTCGAGATACAAGTCAGCGTCAATGTCTCTCATCTGCCTCTTCGCATCGTCCTGCATGTAGGCAATTGTGCCAGTTGCATTTTGTATTGAGTCTGAAGACTCGGAAGCCATTTTGTCTTAAGACTTGTACGCTCACACGACCTAACAGCGGTGGTTGTATAGGAGAATGCGTCGCTGTCAGTTCGAGTTATAGTGACGTTGAAGTGCAAGATATGCGTTATATACATCTAGGCCCGGACTTGCTGCTACACATCGGCCAAAGAGCATTCGGCGTCCTATTGGCGAATTTAAATGAGTGTTATCAAGATCAAGATAGATAACAGTGGGGCAGGCGCGGCCGACTATCATAAACTGGGGCTTTAGTGGAGCCCGGAGAAAGAACAGGTCCGGGTTAAGAATGAATGGTATCTGAGATTTGTGCTGGTGTCGTAGTCTGCTATATCTCTGCATGAAAACTATCGTGATATAACTTCAATACGCGCCTCACTGGGTATCAAGCGCCGAAGACTATATAGATCGTCATGACAATTGCGGGATTGATAGCATGATGTGACACCGTATAAGATCAGCCAAGCTGAAGTACACTCCGATATCTATCGCCAGAGTCCATATGGGCCTGTTGTAAACTTCCAGAGCTTAATGGTCCCGTCTTCGCTACCAGTTGCGTATAGTTTTCCGTCAGGAGAGAATCCGACAGACCACACAGGACCGTGATGGCCTTTGCCAGTTTCTAGTAACTTGTCAGTATTCCATATCGCAAAACTTCTGCGCATCATTACAACTCACCGAGCTCTTTTTCTTCGTCAAAATCCCAGATACGCACCCACGTGTCTCCAGCGCCACCAGTAATGAACTTGCGCTGTCCGCTATGGAGCGCAACACTGGCAACATCTTGTGGCATTTTGACGCTCTTGATGAGCTGTGCAGGCTGTGCACCGTCGAAAAAGTATGCCGTTTTACCTGATGCTACGCTCAGAACTCCTGGGCCGCTATTGCCAGCGTCTGATGTAGGGTTATCCAACTCGCAGGTACCAACAACACCGTCAACCTGATATTCTCCGATTGTAGACCGACTGCGCAAGTCCCACCACCGGATTTTTTTGTCTTCGCAGGCCGTGATCAAGATATTAGGGTCGTTGCCCCAGACGATCGACTTGATAGTACCACCATGCACACCTAAGCCAATTTCGTAGCTCGGAGTGGACGCAGCAGAAGACAATTCGTTGGCCGTGACGGGCGAAGAGGATGCGCTACGCGACAGATCAAAGATGCGCAACTTTTTCTCAACGCCCCCTGTCGCGAGGATTTGTGGTCGCGGCTGATTCGGAAAGGCCACTGCACGAACAACGTGGTTATGCTGCAGTGTATGAAGTGCCTCCCCGGTGCGCGTATCCCACACTCTTGCAGAAAAGTCAGCAGAGCCAGTCGCAGCAAGTGATGCGTCTGAGGACAGGCGTGCTTGCCACACGGCGCCCTTGTGGCCGATGAAGGTGCCAATCCAGTCTCCAGTCATGCCATCCCTGAGCATAGGATTATTGTCCTTGCAAGCAGATATGATGTAGTACTGGTCATCATCGGTGACCGAAGAGAAGCTGAGATGCGGGACTGGGCGAGAGTGGCCGTGGCAGGTAAGAGGCACGAATTTGGTGCTTTCTGGTTGGTGTTAGTGTTGAGGAAAGCCACAGAGTAGGACAAGCTGGACTGACCGCTCGCCATATTGCAATCGTAGACTAATTTGGTGGGGCAGGATTGTATGCGGAGCGAGATAGTCGTGCGCGTAGTATCCACTACTTCAATGCCAGGTACGTTGAACGAGCGTCTTTGGACCTCCTAAATGTGTCTAGGCACGTTTTAACATCGACTTAGCCTGTCAAAATGCTCTGTTCCCGAGTATATGTGCTAGTATGCGCTGTTGACAAGAGTGAAGAAAGTAGCTGTGGAGCAAGTCGTCTAAATTGAGCAATGAAATTCGTGAGTAGAGTTCGTAACGTCGTTAAAGTCGTAAGCGGAGCTGAGAATCATGGAAGAGGGCGGAGAGAAGGAGGCGAAGAATGTGGGTGTGATCTCCTTGCGCACAATACAAAGAGAGTGGAAAGACATTCAGAAGTCATGCTCCGGCGTTTCAACTTGTCCCGGCGCCAGCCGGAGAGGAAGTGCACGGCCCACCCAACTAGTCCGCCAAGCCGGACCCCTTTTTTAGAGAATCGCACCCATTCTCAAGGCATGTTTCCTGAACCGCGCATCGTTCTCTTGGCTTCCAGATATCATATAATGCATCTACATTGATTATATGTACTATCATTTTCGAAGAGGAGCCCAAACCATATACGGACCAATAGGGACTATATGATATAGCCCCATTAGATCATGCGCTGTGTGCAACTACACAAATCCGGCTGGCTATCATGCATGTGAGCTCCCTCGATGTCTGGCAGTGCTCGAAAAAATTTTGAGCATTTCGTCCTGCCCTCCCAGACTGTAATAGCCAGTTATCGTCCCCTCAGATGATGCAAAGTATTTCGTCTATATGTCAGGTCGCCCAGACACGCGTCTATGCTACAATGCCCCATCCGTGAGCAAAGTCACACGCAGTATGTTCATTACAACGTGACCAACCTCCAGATATTATCTGACAATGCGAAGACTGCCTTGTCCAGTCACCATGATCTTTCAACGTGTTGGAGACTCGGACAGATTTCTTACCAGAGGATATGAAAGAGTAGCTGCGGATTCAGGAACCCCCCAATACCGATAAGTCATATATATCGTCAAAATCCAAACAATGTATGGGTTGTGCCCACGATAGTCAATTGTTTTCTCACCGGTACTGCAGTCTATCTGAAAACCGTTCGTGCGTAGAAATGCAATGTAAAGATCATGCAACCACTACTGATAGGCTGGAAACGCAAAGGTGCAAAATTAAAGGCTTCACCAGCAATATTTTCTGGTATTTCAGGCTGGAGACGTCTGATCGGTGCGGAGAGAAATTAGAGCGATATCTGGTGGGTGAGGCGTTGCTTTTGTCTGATCCCAAGACACAACAACACATGATCACTCTCGCACGTGCTCCACTGTGATGAGGGTACGACCCATTTCTTATTCTAGGGTGCGCATTGACAAGCACGTATAACGCATCATTCTTTGCTGTTCAGGTGTAGTTGCATACCTAGATACATAATGTCTAGCACTTATCACCAAGAACTCGCTTTGAAATCTGAACGAAACCAGAACTGTTACGTTCGCTCAATGAGGGTTACAGGAAATGTTCGCAGAGCAAGTTAATCAGTACGTCACAGCCTTGGATTTGTTCTCGTCCAAGTATACTCTCACGAGCGACAGGACTTGGACCCTGTTGTTCGGGTAAGCAGCTGCAGATGAGCTCACGTTGTTCGCCTGAAAACAAACTAACGACACTACAGTTGCCCTTGTGCTATGAATCACAGCTCTTCGTGTAGAAATCAGGCCAAGACACAATCGCCTTCAAGCTGACTGGGAAAATCTTGTCCACTCATTACTGTACGCATTCTACAAGTACAATATCGATCACGATCACCTTGAGACCAAGAAATTTGGAATACAAGGCGTACGATACACTAGTACTTGGGTACGAGAACTCGTCCAAAACCGCTGACCGCAGACCCATTACTTACATGAGTATGCCTTTATGGAATATCAGCTCCTTGCAGAGTAATGTATAGCTCTTACGGATGACGATTAACTGGGCTAGACATGGGGACAGATAATCCGTAAACCTGCAGACCAGGTCAAAAATCTGGCGAGGTGGGTCTCTCTATACAGGAGCTGACAAGTCTTTACCTGTCTAAGCCCGGCGAAGGCTCGTGCCCCTAAGACATGGATCAGCACCTGTAAATCAACTATGCACTGCGCATATTAGCAGAATTGTAGCTTTGCGGAGTAGTTTTTCAAGCAAATGTGTCCTATGACCGGGCTGTGTTAACGGGACAGACAGTGGGCGAGATTGAAGGACAGCTTCTGCGTAGTTGAAGGTATCTTGAATCTCGGTGTCTTGGTTCATTACGCGCCAGTCAGATCTACCATAGTCGGATATGAAGTATATGCGTATAATGTATCGATAATATTGGTCATCATAATGAAATTGCAAGTTGGTATAGAAGAATATGTCGTCAATTTGGTCAAAGAAACACAATTTACGGTTCCAGCATCCCCAAGTAACTTCACATAGTCAGACGCTGGAACGAATGATGAAATCCAACCATGTATGTCTGCCTCAGTTTCGAAATTTCCCAAACGCAAAAACTATGAATAGATTTGTAAGACATATACTTCATGAGACAAAATCCGGAAATGATGAACCGACAGGCGATATCATCGCGTATCACGGGGAATGAAACGTAGACTCTGGATGTGTGGTTCGTAGGCCGTTCGTATATTCAAACAATCAAAGGAAAATATTTCTGTCTTGACGTTCAGGTAATGCAGCTTTGTCGCTAGAGTGTGGCTTGTAATTCGAAGTTTTCTGGCGTTGGTCAAATTTTGTTGAGATGCTATGATGCCGCATTTGTCGTCATCATATCTCATCTGCATCAGAAGATTTCCTGTTTCCCTAGTCTTATCTTGCTTCGTCCCCATATTGGGCGTAACCCTCTTCCTCTTCCTGTTCCTCTTCCTCTTCCTTTATTTTCTCTTTTTCTCTACGGCCAGCTGTTCCTCCTGCAATTATTCGCTCGGAAGGTAACTGGTCATTGCTAACATTCAATAGTGCGTGATTGAATTGCCAACGTAAGCTTGATAGCGAGCCATTATCGTCGACCACGCGGCCAAAGTCGTAAACCTTGACATTTGTCTCGACAGTGTATATTTTTTGGAAATTGATACGCGACATTGGATCCAGTTTATTGTCCGCATCTTTCACTTGTACGGCTATCGGGTGTCCCATTGGCTCCTCACCTGAGCCGTGAACGGGTATTTCCAAGGGGGTCGGAGCTGGGCAATCATCTCCCGTATAGATGATGGCGTGATATTTCTTTACTTCACCCAGTTTTCCAACTCCCTGGCCACTATAGGTTGAGATCGGTCTATAGTATGAATAAGTCCTGTGATCTGTCCCAGACCGGTAGGGTCACATACAAGCACCAACAACTGCCTTCGTTTACATTTACGACTACGAAGTATCGTATCTTTGCGTAGACTTTCTGGCCATAAACTTTCTGACTAACAAGGCTAACGCCTCCCTTACTCGAGTTTCCTTGCAGTTCTGGCCATAGAACTTTAAAGACCTGATGCTCATTAATGTGAAGCTGCGCAAGTGAGTGTCTGTTTACTTACTCGGCCAACTATGAAGTACTCTGGTTTTCTCCTCTTGAATTCTGCTTCCTTCAGTAAGGTATCGAGAAAGCGCGGTTTTCACATACGAGAAGCAATTCTCCGATCTTTATTCCCTATAGACCCTCTGGAATCCTTGACAATACGAGGGTGTCCAGCTTCTAGCTCGACAGCCACAGTTTCTCTGTTCGATATCAAGGGCATCGCCAAAGTATATTGCGCAGTAGCTTGTGGAGCACTATATGCACTGTACTGGGGATCATGTGGGGTTTGGGCCTGTGCACTGGGATACTGGGTCGGATACGATAGGCCACTTTGTGTATAAGGGTCATGAGGGGCACTTGATGTACGTGATAGCTGATAATTGGGAGTTTGATTCTGGTTCGATAATGCGTGCTGATATGAGTAGCCAGTGGTATAACTAGACTGAGATGACTGATAGGGATTGTGTGAGTAGGCGTTGCATTCACTCCCTGCTCCTGCGTGTGTGTGTCCTTCTTGATAATTTGATCCTCCAGGTCCGGGTGCAGGTTGATATGGGGAATACGTATAGATGGAACCACTACTAGGTGCCGGTGCATGGTGATAACCATGGTCCTGGTGAGCTATATACCGGTGGAATGTTAGCCACACGACGTATGCTTAAAGGTCGCAAGTGCGACCTCTAGTGAATCTCGACTTGGCAGACTAACATGCAGAGAGGGATAAGCTTTGGATTGCCTCGTCTAAAGTATTGGCAAAGCCGTAGTTCGCAGAAGCCTGGCTGTTCAGACTTCCTGTTCTTGTGTGTTGCGGTTGTACGTGAAACGCGAGCGACTCTCGTGGTACAGAGAGGTCTTCGCCGCGACCGGGCCTATATATCTAAGTGTCAGATGAATTATAGAACATGAAATCGGATAGCTACGTACACGCTCAAGTGGGTGCTCGCAGTATCTGCGGGTGATTGCCACTCTGACTGATAGATACGGCGCCCATTCATGCTGATGTACCACTCCTGTTTCTGGGCGTCCAATTTCCAGGGCGATGGCGATGCCATTGCTGGGTCCATGAAGCCGTCAGGCTGATGACTTACGACTACATGCTAATGAGACGAGCACTTATAAATTTGGGTCTAAGCAGATTCGAAAGACAAACGCAGAGCCGCATTACCCCCTCCTAATTACGACGGCGCACTAGGAATATGCACGCTATCTATATCGCATTGCGAACTCACTCGCCATGTGACGATGCTGAGGGTCTATTCGCCCATGTGAGCGTTCCACACTCACACAGCATATGAACCATAGTAATGTGGAACATATAGGGCTCCTATAGGCCGCCAGAAACTTTCGAGGCTTTAGGATACCAAGGCAACGGCACGGTAGCTGGCTGCTGGCACCACCCGACTACCCTTGACCTATTCGCGTATGAGTAGCTTGTTCTGGGCCACCTTCAGCCCAGTAAGCGAGGATGAGAAGAGGCGGGATGCTTGTGGATGATTGTTGGATGGGCGTAAAGGCAAATTAGAGACAGGGAAACAAGAGAGTGTGTGGTGAGGCACGGGAATGTTGCACCTTGTGCAAGTCCGGGCTGAGAGGGCCTAACCTCATTCGGCTGTAAGCGACGTCTTCGTGCTTTCAACCTGAGACCCGAGGACCAACAGCACGCATGCCCCGGTCACCATCGTTGCATTCCTGGTCGCGGGAATTTTGCTGCCTTGTTGTCCTCCTACACCAGGTATGAACGTCGGACATTCTGTACTGCACTTGTACCCCGTTCTTGATTCTTGAGACTCCATAGTCCGCCAGTGCACCAGGCTGATGAGCTATCGAAGCTGGTACATTATAAGAGCTTAGTGTGATGTTCATGAACGATAGCCCCTTTCAATCTTTTAGTACTGGATCGCTTCATTTCATTTCATAGATGTCGAGCAACAATGCTGCGTTGAGATCACCGTCACCACCTCTGACTCTCAGCCGGACACCGTCATTATTGCTTCCAAATCTTCAAGCACTACCAGTAGACCAGTCGGAATCAGAACTATACCAACATGGCACGCCGCCGCCTCCACCACCACCACCATTATTCTTCCTATCGCCTAAAGGTAGCGAATCCGTGCAATGGTATCCTGCTCCAGCATATGGAGTCCACCCACCTTCCCATGCCGTCTGGTCGCATAGATCTGGTCCATCCAAATCTGCTGAGAGTCCCACCGCTGGTAAAATTGCCAAAATCTTAATCCAATGGGACGAGGTCAAACTTCTTCGCGAAGAGGTCCTCAAAGAACGTGTTCGCGAAGGACAATATTTAGAGTCGATGGCACGCTTGCGCCGGCATGCACAGGATGCTAGAGCCGATTTGATGAAAATGTTAAATGCAGCAGCAGCTCAGGGCAATTTTGAGGCCTGTTCAAAGGCATTGAAAGAAGTCTCGGAAAGAGTGATGCGCGCCGAGGAAGCTCTCAATCTGCTAGAACAGGAACGGGCAGAGTTTAGCAAGATCAATTTTGGACTGCATGATAGGCTATATGAGAAAGACATGGTCTTGCAGAATTATCTGGATTCTATGCATCGCGACCAGTCCTCAGTTCCGGTACCCCACTCCGACGATTCTACAGCTTTTTCCAGCGAATCCGGATTCGTCATGCCAACTGAGAGCCTTCTTGTCCAGCTTTATGAATGTACCGCAGAATACAAGGTGATCAAAGCACGCATCGATCAACTACGCGACGACCACGAGGTCAATCTCGAATTTAGAAGAAGGCATGAGACGGCTGGTCAAATGCTCCAGATCTCAGATGGCGCGTTCTTCGATGAGTTCTTTACTAAGTACTCTACCTTGCGGAGAGAGCTTCACAGATTATGGAAGAAAATTCGTCGGATTCAAAGTCTGTGTGATCAAAAAGCATTTGTCTCTTTGGCTGAGAGCGTGAGCGAGTTATCTGCGGCTACGTCCTCTGTGCCATCAGATGATGGAGAAATAGTACTCGCGGACGACCTTATAGATGAGAAAAGGCAGGTCGAGGAACAATATCCTGGGCTCTTTCTAAAACCCGGAGACAAAATACTGTCAAATTTTCGGGGCAAAACGGACCGAATCAATCGATGGTTGATGCATGTTTTCCGGTTGTCCAGTATCGAAATATGGAGACATCGTTCGAGAACAAGCTTACCAGACCTGCCCTTAGAGACTGATGAAGCATGGTCTTCGAAGGTTTGGAGTACATGGTCCATTGCAAACTCTAGCGCGGAATCTATCGCCTCCGTGACAACGCAGATGTCGGAAAGTATTGTAAGTATCTAAAGATGGAGTCAATCTTGAGCTGCCTTTTCTTAGACAAGACCGCATGCGAGTATCAGTTCCCTTCGCATTCCTTTACTTTGGGTCATCTTCTATTTGGCCAAGTCATGTATGAGTGGCATTCCTACTTTGTTCGAGCGAGTATACCAGTCTTTCTATTAGTATATCTTTTACTGCATGCTTATTTCTGGTGTTCAAACAATGTGTGGTCGGTGGAACTGTATTATATAGACGAATTGTAACGAAAGGTCATAAGGCATAACCGATTCCGATCCATTCAACCACATATAAACAGCTAATTATCGTCACCTTCCATACGCTCAGTTTCTTCGAAGTATAATTAATCACTCATAACGACAACGACGATGGCGGTCCATTCGATGGTCTGATAGGCTACCATAAGTCAACAAGTAAACTGAACTCTCGAAGTTGATTGGTCTGCTGATCAAGAAAGCAACAAAGACCGTGGGGGTCCATTTCTTACTGAGCGGTCTCCGCAAATCCAATGATGAAGCCGTAGCGAAGTTGTGCCAAGTAATACGACCAGTCACAAGGCTATACAGTCATTCGCAATCTTGAGTCAGAGAGGGTATCCTGGCGCAGCCCTCCTATCAGATCCTGTGACTAGAAAGCCGGAGTGTAATGGAGGTGTGGGGGTCTGAACGAGCATATGCTAGGTGACCACTGACCAGCTTTTGTATGCCTTTACTTGTGCAAGGACTACGCGGTTCTCCAGACATCGGTGACCCCTCAAGCGCCTTACTATGCTGCCCGAGGATAAAGCAAAACACGAATCCTCCGGATGATGATCTCCTTGGAGTCAAGCCATTGCCATCGGGCAGCATCGAGGGAAATGGGTCGAATTATGCACACGTACGGCACAGGCAGGGCGGCCTGCCATGTCTGCTAACCTTATCTGTCGCAGTGGTCGTTCTACATATTGATAGGCGCGATCCATGACCTTTTTCGCTATGCCTGCAACACCAATTCCGCATAGTCAAAGGTATACAATAACCGCGGGCAACGCAGGAGAATGCAGAAGCTCTACACATTTCCACTCAGGTGTTGCGATATGCTTTAGTGGCGCCATGTCAGCGAGCGGATATAAAGCGCGGATGCGGTAAAGTCGGCAGAAAGCAGCAGGCTATACGTGTACAAATGCCTACGGCTTAGACGCGCCGGTGTGCAATATGTAGGGATGCTGCAAGGCATTGAACTGTGCACGGCATAATGGCATGATGTGAGGCGTCCTGTATGCGTATATTGATGGTTCTATGGGCTATGGGAAAGTGTATGAAATGGGAACCTGATGCCTGTTGTCGACAAGGATTTGATGACCTTGGTCCTTGGCTTTCTTCACGCTACTGCACCACCGGCACCGGCGGGTAGGAACGGCCCTATTTCCAACGACGGGAAGCGGGAAAATATTCTGCGAGTCAGCTACCATGCCGGGATTAAGAGAAGCTAGCTACACAGTCACCTAGTCTGACTATTCGACTGGAGGACTAATACTGGTAGCAAGAGTAGATCTACCAGACTCCGATTTCCTAGTATGCAAGCAATCAAATCATAGCCCAAAGTGCCTTTGATACAACCTACTTCCTTTCTATCCAATCTTGACATTCATTCAGGGGACCAACTGATCCCACCATGCTTGAAACGTGGGCCCACTCATCTTCGATGGACGGCAGCGCAAGTGGCTTTCGGAGAAGCCTGGGGACGTGCGGCATCTCCCGTGAAGAAACTATTATAGAAGTGTCTGCATTCTTGTATGGTACGATCAAAATGGCACGATCAGCATGGTCCGCCGTCGGTAGTGGCGGATAGGGATGGTGAACCATGGTTCTGGCATGATAGGCTGGCGCTAAAGGCAACCTCACTGCATATTTGCATGCAAGGCTGGTCTTTTAAGTGATGTCCGCAATGTCTTGAGAGAGCATAATGCGAATTGAGATGGTCATTTGATCGACTCTACTGAGCACAACGAACTGAATAATGATCCTCATGGTAGACTCGCCATCATGTCATTAACGCTATTCATGTCCTGGCCTGGATAGCACGGAATGACACTTTCATGCAACCTTGCCATATGTAGTTGTGTTATTGAACTGGCACGTAATGTAGAATGGGTCAGTCCGCGGTAAACACATTACACTTCAATTCCAGCAATAGTTCCGAGGCGTGTATGGAGGAACACCTAGCATATCAGATCGAGGAAGGCCTAGCATGACTGCCTCCCCCCTTTATTTGTTATCATACTATGTCCATTCGCAATTGCATATTTGTAGTATCTATCATAGGCCATTCTTGTATAAATAGCCCTACCATAGGTTGCAAATTCACGCGGTCGATCGTGCGTAAATTTATGGTGAGCTAGGATTTTTCTATAGTCGCATGCGGGTTGACAGTTGAATGTACGCAATGCTCATATAAGTTCCCTTGATTCCTAAACCAACTGAGCGGAGACTTGTGAGAGCACTCGTCAATAGTAATTCGAATATGAACACTCGGCGGTACAGATTTCTATACTTCATGGACATATGGCTAACCAGGTTCGAGCCTCTCCCTTCAACAAAATATGCAGCAACACAGTCTACCTCAACTGGCGCCACATGCGATTAGCTTTCGGGAGGTCATGGTATGTTGTTGACAGAAATGATCCACTCTGCATGCTCTTGTCAGCCGAGACTGCGTCGACTACGTCCCTTCACGTTCTGGAATCCAGTTCTTGGTGTACACATCATTCAGATCTCTTCCAGTGTTTCTCAGTGACTTCTGCGTTATAATTTCGTAGTGGATAGCGGCGCATAACAGCAGAATCGTTGGAAAATGGCGAGCTGAACACGGCGTCATAATCAAGGCATGTTGTCTCTCGTATGGTCTCTCTGGCGGCGCAGATACCGAGTCTTGAGCACTACACGGTGTAGCAAGGGGCAAGAGACTTGACAAAGTCTTGGGAATCGGGAGGCTAGCCTAAAAGAAGTCAGTTGTATGTAGAATCGGTCAACCCAAACTATGGGAATTGATTATAAGAGATGTGGCAGCACTGTAACTACCAAGGAATATGTCGAACGGTAAAAGGAACTCTCTAGCGGATGGTCTCTTTGTCTGTACATTACAATTGCTGACTGGCCTGACCGAGCTTTATGCAGCATAATTTCACATCTTGCACATTGTGGTGGGCCCCTCAAACCCAATCAACATCGACATAATTAACATCAGCCAATACGCATCCTCCATTCAATACAGCTCTAAACACACATATACCGTAAGCAGAGAGCGAGGATAGCCCAGTCTCGATGGCGATCATGATGTCGTTGAGCATCGTCACGGGGCTATGCATGCACATGCATCCTTCTATGAGGCACTGAGTACCACTATATCCGTCATAGTAGCCACTGGACTCACACTCAGGCTTTTCCCTTTACCAACAGGCTTATGTTAGGGGCTCGGCACGCCCGTATTCAATTTTGATTCCCTATTTCGATGTTCTATTGACCCATGGCTCACCAGGGCTAAAGCGCACTTGTTGCAGTATCTACATAATGGGATTCTGCAATATGGATGTCAGAACCGACCCAGTTCTAAGAGAGACGTTTCTGTTCGTGACGTGGCAGGGCGAGCAAAGGATATCGGGCGGGCCGGTCCTTATGCGACCCCTCTAGCACAAGTATCGCTGGTTCACGCTGTGACTTTCATGCATGCACAAAGGGGCTGTCATGTCAATGTTTGTTTCACCCCACTTGTTAAATGATTAGGTGCATCGAGTCAAAGGTGAAATCGTTGATTCTCGCAAATCCTGATGTTGTAAGCGTCTAGCAGCTTCGAACTTGTCGAAGAAGGCTTGAAGCCATAGCATTCCTGAAATTGATTGATGCAATAGCTACCAACATGCAGAGCGATATGCCCGAAAGCTAGCACGGTTATAGCAGCGTCCTTAGGCCAACTGAAACAAAGCCAATGTGGCGCTCTCGCGTGTCTAGATTTGGCATTCTATCTGGCTAAGTCGACGTGCTTTCTTTTGCGTAAACCTGCCGTATGCTACTCGATGCAATGCTATAGTTCCCTACGTGTATGCGCCAAGCACCATGCCACTAATGCCAGTCGCACTGGATATGGACTTCGGTTTGAATCCCGAAGCGTATGCCATAAACGTAACTCGTCACATTCGCCCGGCATACGGTGTCTAGAGATAGCCGTGTCCGATTCTGCACCTCAATAGATGATCGCAACTCTCGAGCCCATATCCCCCTTGTGAGCTATATCTTGTTCGCCAGTGTTCTGGTGTGGATTCTGTAGCTCTGACTGCTCGGCAAACCCCTGATATGTAACTGTTTTCACTATTCTCTCAGCGATTGGTAATTGAACTGGATATTGAAGGCCCTAAAAGTGGCGGTTATATTTCGAAATCTGAACGTCCTATCAGGCAACAGGCAGTGCTATTGTGAGCTGTGGAGATGCTTTGTAGAGGAGCTATTTCTGATCCTATGAGCCTTGGGGCTTTTGCCAAAAGGGACTTTGTATAGCTAGACCATCAAGCAGAGACTGTAGATAGGAGGCGATACTTGCTGTACGAGGCCGAAATTGCCAATGCCGTTCCTCGTATATACAGTGGGCGTATTGGGCATTGTTCGAAACAATTTGCATGCTAAACTAGTGATAGGACAGTCTTGGGTATGTCTTACTTTCGGTAGGTCCAGATGACTTGCAGATAGCGTAACATCGTGGAATGATTTTACAAAAGAAGGGCGGTGGACCAGAAGTCAGATTGGAGTTTTCACAGACTACACCTGCAAGGTAACACAACGCATGGCTCAGGGACTCCATTTGATGTCTATCATCTGTCAGAAATACCAATGCAGGCAGTTCTCATAGAGCCTTTCGATGGCATTCCAATCACCTAGCTGCAGCAAGATGGGGGCATGGATACGATGCGGGCGAGCCGAGCTCAGCCATTCAGGCGGGTTTTCAGCGCTTCAACAGTGAAAACGCGCCAGTGCAAAAACCTTGCCATAGTGTACTTACCGCTGCAGACTTAAGGCGCCTACTGTTCCATTATTCATGAGACGTTGCTTACTTATAAGGTGCGAATATCCAGGCCTTTACCTCACCTGTATGATGTAGAGAGCCTTACCAACAAACGATGTCTGATCCAAGCGCTACTAATCCGTATGCTACTGACTGGGTCTGGTCTGATGAAGCGCAATGCTATTGGAGAAATGAATACATTAATGGTCAGTTGTTGCATCAGAACTGGGATTCTGTTGGCTGCTTTCATTGGTTCCGTGAATGTTTGCTGATGTTAGGGGTTCCTTAGACCAGTGGCAGGTTGTTTACCATTCGTAAGTTTGGCTACACTCATCATCTCACATTCTAATGCTGAAACACGATTCATGACAGTTCTTCCTCTGCCACTGCCAGCACCGCCCAACCATCATCGATGTCCACGCCAAGTTATACGTCCTACTCCTACGGTAGAACCCCTGGTGCTGGCGCTCAGCCTGGAACTGTCCCTACACAAACCACGACTGGAACGGAAACATTGGACCCAAGTTTGTGGAAGACTTTCGCATCTGTTATCAACAGAAGCTGAACTGTGGCACTAGGCTACCAATTGAGAACGGATGCTAGGTCATTTTACATACGCGGACGAGTACGTTCGTGACCCGTTGGAGGCCTGAGCAGAGAGATGGGTACAAAGAATACGAGACTGATATACTCGTAGATGTTTGCAACGCTTCACATTGAAGCTTACGGAGGTACAGCTACTGGCGCTGACGCCGAGAATGTCTTCACCGTAAAGTACGGAGAGAAAGCATACTGTCAGATTCGACGATTTGTCGTGGTAAAGGACGACCGCGGCTACTGCCTGGCGTGGTGAGTGAAAGCCACACCGAAATATCGGACCACACTGATGATCAAAAGTCCAGTTGCAACGTACCGCGGTCGAGGAACGACGAAACGTGGTGTGAACCCCAAACAACACGCTGTCATATTCACAACCAACAGTGGGCCAAATTGGATGCAAGGCGAGACAGAAATGGACAAAGACCCTATTGGAGTTGATGCGGCTGATCCGTCTATAAGACTTGGACCAGCCTCTCGTATAAACTTTGGCCAAGTGAGCAAGAGTACGCCTTCGTTATCTAGGGCTGATCCCCTCTAGGTCCACTGTATACAACATAATGTCAAAGTCAAAGACCTCGGAGTGGTTCGTTTGGAAGACTTACCGAAGCTAGTTGCATACTGGCGAGCGGAAATGCAAAACTGAACAGCCAATCGGCGTAGGAGCTACTACTTTCCGTGTTGCCGGGAAGTCTGTCGCGGGATGAAGCATACGCCGAGACTATCATCAAATTTTCTTGGCCTGTTGACCATTTTACAAGCATCTGCTGCAGGCAGCAGGCTTTACATGACGTTCCATGGAACAGCAATATGGCGAAGTAATTGGAAATGCAGCGGTCGGCTCAGGCTGTCTTTATTGTACGGATGCGATGCAGCATGTTCATAAGTCAAAATGTTTTGGCTTGATTCTATCATCGATTTCCAGATCCAAGTTGGAAAATGTGTCGCTCAGGAGATCGCCAGTATCGTCTTAGCAGTGGTTGGTGTCCGAGGGCCGTTTCAAAGATGTGGACAAGAAGTGCATTCAGCCATTTACGCTCCCGCTCCGCCGAGGAAGGGAAGCCTCTTTGGCATATTCATGAAATGTGTGTGTGAGAGGACTGACATATAGACTGAAGCCACACTCACTATCCATGCGGACTAGACCGCGTACTTCTCTCAAAGCCGCGATAGCCGCTGTATTTGAACAGTGATACACGTTTTCTGACTTACTCCACAGTGCAAACGCGATTATAATCATACCGATACTAACTACTACGATTACCAATTCGTCTATGTAAGCATCGTAACAGTCTTAAGAATCGAAAGTATGGGTGGGCCTGGTAACCAATTGCTAGTAATTAAAGACAGCATAGGCGTTACCTTTGTCCATAAAAGGCTAGCGCCATCGATGGGAGATCATCGGCAGAAAGAAAAAGTTCTTAGGATTCGAGTTTAGATTTAAGGTCTTTCACAAGACAGTACTGACTATATGCGCCATGTCAAAGCGCAATTTGAAGCGCAAGCTGAACGAAAGCAATGTTCCAGAAGAGGCTGTGTCCTCTGGTTCTAAGAACCCCGCGAACCAGTCCTTCTCTGACTTCGGTTTGGATGCGCGAATCTTGAAAGGGATTCAGGGCCAGCATCCGGCATGGTCAAAGCCAACTCAGGTTCAAAGTACAGTGATACCACTTGCTCTTGAGGGAAAGAATATTCTGGGTTGGTTGGATTTCTACGTACGCCAATTGTTGCTAATGATTTCGTAGCACGTTCCGGTACCGGCACAGGGAAAACCGCAGCATACGTTCTTCCTCTCATGCAAGCAATCTTGAAACGCAAGACCGCCTCTCGTGCAACGAAATGTACCTCAGCAGTAATCCTAGTACCATCATTTGAGCTTGCCTCACAGGTCACGAAAGTCATTAGCACATTAGCGGCAGGCTGTGGCGCCGACATACGAGTGGAGAACATTGGTAGGAAAGAGGTGGACAAAGTGCAAAGAGTGCGACTGGCAGATTTGCCTGACATAGTAGTGGCGACACCCAGCAGAATTATTTCGAGTCTGGAAAGTTCTGCACTTTCCCTTTCCGACGTCAGTCATGTAGTCATTGATGAGACCGACACGATCATGGCATATGAGCAAGGAGAATATCTTAAAGGGATTTCCACGAATCTTCCGCAAGGCGTTCAAACAATCCTTATGAGTGCTACGTTGGAAACAGGTGTTGATCAGGTCAGGGATATGTTCTGTCAGAACCCTACTGTGGTAGAACTCGACAACTCCGAAGAAAGCGCCGACCGCGTCTTCCAATACGTTGCAAAATGTGCAGAGGATGAGAAGTTTCTCATTGCCTATGTTCTATTCAAACTCAATCTAGTGAAGGGCAAGTGTATTGTGTTTGTCGCAGACATCGATCGCTGCTACAGGCTCAAATTATTTCTCGAGCAATTTCAGATCAAGAGCTGTATCCTGAATTCCGAACTTCCCGTCAACTCTAGGCTTCATGTCGTGGACGAGTTCAACAAGGGAATTTACAACATCATTTTGGCGACGGACGAGCATGATATTGTAGGCGATGAGACTAAGAAGCAACCGAAGACGGAGGAAAGGCCTGATGGCGAGGGTGAGACGCATATCGGGGAGCCGATATCTGGGGAGAAGGAATCTGATCATCCAAAGAAGAAGACAAAGACCACGAAAAGGGACAAAGAGTACGGAGTCGCTCGGGGTATAGATTTCAAGGACGTCGGATGGGTTATAAACTTTGATCTACCAATTACGTCAAAGTCCTATACTCACAGAATAGGGCGGACTGCGCGTGCAGGCAAGGCTGGCACTGCACTTTCATTCGCCATCCCGAAAGATCAATATCGGAAACACAAATCTACGTGGATACCATCCACCGAACATGACGAGGAAGTTTTGGACAAGATCACACGACAGCAGACCAAGAAAGGGTTCGAAATTAAGCCCTTCAATTTGAACATGTCTCAATTAGACCCGTTTCGGTACCGTTTTCAAAGTGCTCTACGGGCCGTTACCAGGACGGCCATTCGCGAAGCACGAACACGAGAGCTCAAGCAAGAGCTACTAAAAAGCGAGAAATTGAAGAGACATTTCGAGGAGAATCCTGAGGACATGCAACACCTTCGGCACGATAGTGACCTGAAAGCAGCGAGAGTGCAACCACACCTGAAACACGTACCCGATTACCTGCTCCCTCCAGCTGCCAGAAAAGCTCTCACTTCAGGCGACATTGGCTTTGTGGGATTCAACAAGGATGAGAAGCGTCTCCGAAGCTCGAACATCGGCAACAAGAGGTTCGGCCGCAGATCAGGCTTCAAGAAGAAAGCAGACCCACTGAAATCGTTTGGCGGAAAAGGTAGAAGGTAGATAGTTCTGACGCTGGGGTGATTCTACTATTTCATAATTACTCAAGCTTTTCGCTGGACGTTGCGCTAAATGCTTGTCGATGATTTTGCAGAAAACGGTATCCTCAATCGTGCAATTTGCAATGCGATTACAAAATGATGGCTGTCTATCTATTTTTCTTTGGTCTAAATATACTGAACCCGTCTCTTGACTCCAAGTCGCTAAAGCATTCCATCTTCTACTCGTGATCACATGCACGTCCATATTCACGTCTGACTGACTCCCGAATCATTGTCCCCCAGCACATCCTGAAGAGCAACCCATCTCCGCTCTCACCTGGGTCATCTGATAAGTCCCATTGTCTTCCACGGAGTCTCAGTGATTCGACTTGATAAACCCTACGTATGATTGACCATGCACACTGCTTGCATCTTCGCTTCCATCCAGTCATTTTCCCTGCAATAATACACATGTTCCCAAGAGCTATTATCAACAATTCGATACCCTCACGTATTGATCTCCCTTGCGCTACCAGACGCACCCTGCGTATCCACGCCATTGACCAGGCATGCGTGGCGCGGCGACAGCCCCTGTCAGTCGGTCGACAGCCAGTAGCAAGAAAATTTCCCAGGCCCAGGACAGTGCGATGTAAAGTATCTGCGTCCACAGGATAGCATTCGTGCTGACCTGACCAGGACTGCGCTTCGACACAATGATACAATCAGATGCCATATCGAGCCATGCAGAAGCAATTGGGTGTCACGAATCGGTGGATGGGAGGCGCCTGTAGCAGGCTCGAAGAAGAGAGATGCGAGGGCCGCTGGTATTGCAGGATGGCGTTTCTAAGGCGTGCGTGATATCTTCTGTTGCGGACTGTTTCAGCTAGGCTGAGGCGTACCCCTTCGCATGCCTGTATAGTTCCTAGGTGTGAGATAGGGCGCGACGTGGTTTTGATCTGGCTGGACATCTGAGGCTGTGCCGCTGACGATATGCTTTTGAACAGGTATTTGGGTCTGGCGAGTATGGAGTATGTATAGCACTATCTGTGTGTGGTTCAGACGGGTCAGGCACTCATGGCGCCTCGTACTGGTGGATGGCGCTGAGTGTGTACGTTACTCGGGGGCTCGTTTGTCGGGCGTAGAGACTTTGGCCTTGATAATCGGACACGTCATGGGAGTAGTCCTGTCTCGATTTTGGATTCGATGTGCTTGATTGGCAATGTTTTGGCGGGTGATCGGATGAACGAAAGGTGTGTTTGTCGATTGGTGCTGAAGCGGCGAGGAATAGGAAAGGGCTGTTGGATACGTCGGGCATCGTCATTGTAGCGGTGACAAGGACCCTGAGCTGTTCTGATGGTGCAGTCAGATTCGATATAGGTGTATTGATGCAGGTTGACATAGTCTTACCCAGGGGCCTTGACTTTTGAGATCCGTGGGTGCAGCAGATACACGGATCACCAAGGGCAGATAAGACGGGTGTTCGTACACTATCAGTTGATCATCACCGGTCTTGCAACTGTGTTAAGCTTCAATCAATGTGATTACACAATAGTAGAAATACTGATCTTGGGTACTTCAAAGTGTTACGGCCGCCTAAATGGCTAGTCGTCGGCGCAAGTTTACATCTTAGATCTTATTCTAGAGGGTTTGACCGTAGGTATATATCATTGTTTGGTCATCTAGACAGTCTATGGCTCTATGACTTGGATTTACCCTACGCGTGTGATGATCATGAGATCGATCGTATGTATGGAGTGGCAGCACTATATCAGGGGCTGGCCTCCCAAGAAACTGCCTCCTCGTCCGTCACGGTATTGGACTTTTCAGAGTCTTCCTCCTGCTCTTCCAAGTCTTCCTCCTGCTCTTGAGCTTCCGCCACACTCTCCAAGTCTTCGTCCAGAGCTTCTGCGTCCTGGAATATCATCACCTCTCCTCCGGGTACGAGTCCAATGCCTTCGCAAGAACCATTGTCATCAAAAACGACACCCAACATTTTCTTAGTGATCCAGTGTGCTGTCTTCGCATGGAGACTCGGCTCCACAGGTCCGTTCTCGTCTTCTCCTGCATAGACACTCGAGCGTCCGTCGGCCAAGGCCTGGAACACCACCAGCTGATCACGTAGATGCTTGTCAACAACTCCGCCATGCGCGATGGTTGGCTCAAATGCTGCCAAAACCCTCTTGATGAGTATTTCCACTCCCTTAACGAACATTCCCTGCGGGGGTTTTATTTCCAGCAGCCTGTCACAGCCAAGTTTGTGGCCGTTCTCAGTTGTAGCTACGAGCAGGAGGTACCATCGGTACATGCTGCGACTATCCTGGAAGGTCAGTCCTCGAAACGGGATTCCGGGTATCCTTTTGGCAAACATCGCGGGGAGCATCGATTCGAACGTCGACTTGACGGATGCAGGCGCAACTGCAATCGCATGTACACGTGAGATCATGCCACGTTCTGAGAGCTCGAAGGCTGGGAGCGGCATGCCTCGTGGCAGAGGCGGGATGGTGAATTTCACAGTGCCCATCTTCATACGTCCAAGTGTCCAACCGCGCTCGGGGCAGTGCACCATGATTTGGGGAAGACCGATGAGTTCGAGAGTCGGAAGCAGGACTTGGTCAACATAGTCGATGGAGGGACTGTTCGAGACATTGGTCCCACCCGTGATAATGAGTTCCATCGGGCCCTGCAGGCCAGAGAACAGGAGAAAGGGGAGGACGGCCTGGAAGATGAGACTGATGGATCCGGGGCTTTTCTGCGTGATCTTCATGTAGAGATTTTTTTGTATATCTCCTGGGGTGAAAGTCAAGGTTTGGCTGAAAAGCTCGGCACCAGTAAGATCAGCATTGCACGCTTCAGCAAGCCAATTGACGCAATTGAGGTGTTGTCCCCTCAGACCTCCACCTTCGTCTCGGTTGCCTCGAATCTGCTCAAACTGGACTGCAATTCCTGTGAGTGCAGAAACACCCAGAGCGATTCGAAGGAGTTGACCGCCACCTTCAAGTGTGGTCCCATCGATGGTGATGAGATTAGCCATGTTAAGAATGTTGGAGTGGAGACAGTCCAATATCTGGTTGATTTTGTTGCAGAAGTTGTGTGTGCAGTGACTCAAATACGCAGTGTAGCCACCTACCAAAAGTCGAAGTAAAGTGTGCCGACACTAACTCAGCAGAGACTGAGCACTTTACTCACATATTCTTCCAGCTGTGTCCGTGTCTTGCCGGTGTAAACAGTTCCCTCGCCGAAGTGACTACAAGGTGTAGTGCAGTCGTGAGATTGGCTGCTTGCTTGTTGAGCTGTATGTATGTGATCCTTTCACATTCGCCGTAGACCCTGAAACCCCAGCAAACGAGATGACCAAATCCTGTGTGACAGACTGTAAGATGATTGAACAACAAAGTATAATGCCGGTCCGTGTTTTCCCATCCAAGGGGTCATGTTTCAACAACAAGTCCTACACCAAACAGTACCATGTCCAAATTCGATCTAGCGTCGACAGTCGTGCATCAGCGAACATCTGTTCGCATGGCCTTAACATAACCTTAGGCTCTTTTTGGATACATTGGCGTTTACTTGATATTAGAGGCCGCTTGAAGACGGGTGGGTTGCTCCAGTCCTGCAAAGTTCTCGGACGGATCGAGGGCATATTGCTGACTGGCACAAAATAGGCTGTCTATGAACATCAACTTCCCGGCGACGTGTCGTATACGAGTAGCAGATCTATATCATGATTATGTCGCTCTCGAACTCTCTATAATTACCATCCTGTGGTCGTATGAGGCTGCACGCAACGCTACTCACGGCTTCATCTACTCATCGGCGCATCGCCCGAGCCCCTTTTCGTCCTCAAAAGGCCTCCTATCTCAATTTACATTCGAACGGCGTCTCGCCGCTCTTGAAAACATTACCAGAGGAGCATCGACGAGGTCTGAGACTGTCAGTCTGTGTCATGGTCCCGAAGTAAGTTGTCAAGACACCTGCTCTCCGAGAACTACAAGCACTGTCAGCGTCTGACTGACCGGTAATGTCAGAGTCAAGGAAAACCAAACTGTCGTTTAGCACAGTCCAATTTGAAGGAGGTACGATAGTGGCAGAGATATCAAGAGCCAGTGGAGGTATTGGCCGGCGATTGGAGCTATCCAGGTCTATAGTCATGATGAGGGTGCCCGTTATCACACCTAAAGTGGTGACCAGTCTCCATTGGCGGCCACTCCACGGCAGCTGCGGTATATTCTTTAAATTCGCATCTCTCTCCTCTGCTTGAGTCTTTGCTCGAGATCCGTCCTTTGTGCCGCAGCATGATGGGCGCTAGAGGGGGAGGGTCGCTCCCTTATACCATATGGTTCAAGAGGTCTGCAAAACATGAACCACACAGTCGCACTCAACAATCAATGGCCGGCCAGAGTCCGCAGTACGGGGAATCGTCCGTTAAGATTGATTACAAGTGTCGAGCATATCTCTGCTTCCGGGCCGCACGTGTCGTGTTCTCCCCTTCAGTTCCAAGTCCACAGGCTTCGACACCTTCCGTGATTTGGGGTCTCGCCAGCACTATACAAGCCTTACAATCAAGGATCTCTACATCGATGATGACTCGTGGGATCAAAACAGCACTGCTGGAGCATCTAGTGACTGCATGATTGTACGTTGCTCTGTAATATCGATCAGTCCAAGAGCTTGGGATATGCCGCAGATGCAATGGCTTAAGTCCAAAACCACTCTGATATATTAGTGTAGACGGACGCCTCCTCAGAACACGACAAGGAAAACATGATCAGAAGCGATTGAAGGCCATGGAAAGATCATCCCGATACACACACAAGAATGCTTCGGAGCTGTAGACGATGGACTGTGGAAAGAAGGTGGACTGACTATGTGCGCATAACAACCGCCCGACCGCCTGCCCTATGCACCTCGGGGGCACGGTTTCGGCTTGTTATTACCGCTAATCTAAATTATGGCATCAGGAATTCTCTTTCGAGGACGTGGCAAAGCAGTGTATGAGGCAAGCCTGCTATATCAAAACTGTTAGGGCTGGTATCGTCTAAACAGGCTCACACTGAGTAATTGCACCATCGTCAAAAGCCACTTTAATGTACATTACCAATACTACATCAACCACCCAAGACGTCGAATCAGCGGCCTCCGACGTGTCTAGTTTGACAGCTGATATGTTTGGATATTTCATGGCATCCAAAAGACAGCTAGCAACAATGTGATCATACCGCCTTGTTCACATGCTCATCAACGCGGCGAAAGTATGATGACAGATACGATCAACACCGGTATATCACCACTTACAGCGGTCTCAGACTTATGGCTTCTGCAGGCGCCTCGGACGAAATACTCGGTCAGAAGAGCGCAAGTGCAGCCGACCACCAACAACACGTGAGCGTGCTCATCTCCAGCGAGCCGTCTCACGGACGTTCAAGATGCGGGACTTACGCATCATGCTGCACGGCAACGGATGTCAGTTGTGTCCTTGGCTCTCCCACAAGCATTGGCACTCACCGGTCCACCAACACGATTGGTGAGCCTCCAGTAGCACTGCTATTGAACACAGCACAATGCTTTTCCCAGCCCCTTTTCTTGGTGTCTCGGGCACAAACATGGTTGCGTCAGAAAAGTCTGGCACCGCATACCGCAATGTTCGTACGCCACATCTGCCCATCATTCCTCGAAACCCTAACCTCACCCACGGAAGCGACCGCCATGCTTGATCGGTGTGTGTGTGACGAGGAACCCGTCCCATAATCACTCGCTCATAACAGCCAGCGTAGAGGCTCTGCGCCGTAAGACACCGCGATTCCGCGGATCTTCGACTGATACGGCTGCCTTGTCGCTTGCCGACTTGGTCACAAACAATGATGCACAGCGATGGAGACGCCTTCCCTTTGCCAGGGCAATGCTTGTCGCTCGGCCCATGCCATAGGCCGCGCCGGTGATTAGATTGCCTTGGCAGAGCGGAAGCATCGCGCCATGAGCCCGAGTCGAATTGAGTGATTTGAACGTGTGATAGGCGTGCTTAGAGTGTGTAGACTGGAGACTGGCGCGCTCTCTGAACCTCCTGGACGGGAGAGCCCCATGAAGGTTTTGATATGGGCCTCGATGTCTGGACAGAGGCCTGAACATTCAGTAATCATAACGCTTCCGTAGCCTTCGCATACAAAATGCATATCGTCGTCGATGACTGCAGCTACTTGATATCACATGGCGATACGTAGCTTCGTCGAGGCCAAGCCGAAAGAATGAGCAGTACATATCAGAGAATCAAGCTTGTATTATTGAGGTCTGCGTCTACATAGTTATATGGTGTAGTGTGGCGTGGATGTCGACATCACCACGGACCACTGTACATGTGGTTCTACTCCACTGGGCTCCGGCAACCTTGACGACAGTACATCCGTTTGTCCATAGTTACATGGGAAAGCTTGGCGCCCGATGCACGTCTGTGCCACCAACACGCGTTTTTATATATAATTAACATTTTACGGCATTATCGCCGTACCACGCGTATATAGAGTCTATAACTATATAATATAGTATATAAGAGTTAGTATATATAATATTTAGTATTTTTAACTTACTAACGCGTGTATATATAGTGCCCCGGGGCGTTATCTATTCCGATTCTATATACGGACGAATCGACTTCCTCCTATAACATGATATACCTATTAATAAGATTATCGCTATTACTAAAGTTAGTAAGAATATAGTATATAGGACGAGGTTTAACCTTAAGATATATAGATAGAGAAATAAACCGTAGTTAACATGTCGTGGTCCACCTCGTCGACTAAGTAATTATATAATATAATAACTACTTAAGAGACTACTTCGTAAGGGCTAGCTATACCTTAATAAGATAGCTAGATAGATATATAAAGAGTTTAATCTTACTATATCTAAATAGCTTCTATCTAAAGAGTTATCCGAGTAAGGGTAGAATTATAAGCTATTAAAATATATTAGTAGTACACGCTTAGAGATAGCGCGTACTTTATACCTTAAGGATATTATAGAGCTACTAGTAGACTTATACGTCTTCTTAGATAAGATTATTTTTAATAAGAAAATTAGATAGAGGCGTTAAGCTAGAGTACTAAAAGAATAGACTCTAACTAAGATTAGTACTCTTAATTAAGGACCTACGTATAGCGTATGTAGAGCTATTACGGCTAATAGTTTTATCTACTATTAGATAAAGGAAGGTTATTTCTTAACGGATGAGTTCTATACCTAGCTATAAGTATACCTATTACCTTGTTAGGCACGTGAGGAGCACGTGGCCTGCCAGTTAATTCTACATGTATGTAGTAGTCGTATATAAGCAGTGTACTCCACCCTTGAAGCAGTAGCTTTAAGATTCGGTCCTTTTGGTGTAGTTGGTTAGTACGTGGAGCCCGCCTCCTTATATACCTACCCTTAAGGTAAAATACCCCGGGCGTACAATAATAATTATTATAGATAATCTCGCACTTTATATAAACTAATAGATTAAGCTACTTATACTTAGCGCTAGCTATATTATATAGTATACGCTACTATACTTACCTAACTTTAATTCTATTAAGCTTATATAGGCGGTAATAAAGGTATAGATTTATAGGTAGTATACCTAGATACGTTAGTAATCTCGAACTTTTAAGGACTTCCTCTATATTATATTTATATATAGCTATACTAATTAATAGACTCTACGCTTCTTTAAATATACTATAGATAGGTACTATATTAACGAGATGCTCCGGTAGAAGGTAGTTACTAATTTAGAGAGGTTTAGATAAGGTAGAGATAGTAGAGAGATTACTAAAGTTAAGGAGATTAGGAGACTTTTTTATAAACTTATTAAGTAACTTACTCGTTACTAACTCGCTAATAAGTAAGTCGCTTAGCTAGCTAATAATAGTCTATATATATATCCGTTTTAGGTACTATTCGTTAAGTATATAGTCTTAATATATAAATATATACTCCTAAATATACTCTAAGAAACACTATACTATCCCTATCTAAATACTAGTTATACTAGTTATAGTAAACGCCTAGAGCGAGGACGCCGCCTTACTTACCTTAAGTTACTTCTTATACTTATAAAGGTATAGACGTGCGTCTAGTAGAATACTAAGTAGAATACCTACTATCTTCGCGGCTTTATAATAAGTAGTTCTAGACCGAGTTATCTCCTTAATATAGCGGTAAGTATAGTAGTTATTATCTATATATAGTCTTAATTCGTGTATTCTAGCCCTCGTCTTATCGTGAGTCTCTATCTCCTTATACTATTTAAGAGCTAATAGTACTATATCCGCCTAGTAACGCCCTAGTTATACTAGACTACTAAAGGTTTCTATAACTCGTGTCTAAGGGGGTGTTTTATAATAAGTCTTATAAGTTGGCGAATAATTTAAACTATAAGTAGATAGAGAGTAAGGTTAAGGTTAAGATTAAGGAAACGTAGGTATCTATATAGGTATTATAGAATTAAATCTATAACGCTATAATTCTATCTAACGAAGTAGTTAAGTATATATAAGCTTATCTTTATTATCTCGATAACGTCTTACCGCCGCCTCCTTACGCTTAATTATCGCCTATCTTATCTACTTATCTTAAAGCCTCGTATTCCGCTTCTTACGATCTAACTTAGCCTTCTTATATTATAATCTCTTTATTTTAAGGCGCTTAAGTATAGAAGTAGCACTTCTATTAATAGCGGTTAATAAGGTACTAGTTCTACTACTAGTTTAAGACTTCCTTAGGTACGGTCGAGCGATAATCTTATAGAATAAGTCTATTAACGGCTTATCCTTAGTTACGCCTTAAATACCGTTAATAATATTATTAGTCTATAGCTCTAAGATAGTCTTATCTACCTTATAGTAGAGTATTCTATTAGGTAATATAATCTTATAGTACTAACCTTAGTAGTTTATATATATCGCCTTACTACACTAGAGCTTACTCTAAATATTATTAATAATAACTCCTTAGTTACGGCCTCGCTATCTTCGCTCCTCCTATAATTTAAATAGCTATTTTAAGTATCCCTTAAGGTTCGGATCTATAGGTAATAATACTAGACTAGTAGAAACTATACTAGTAAGTAGTAATAGCGTGGGAGACTTCGGATTAGATACTATAGCCTTCTTATATTCTAGTAGCTAATAAGACTTATAGATAATAGTATTCTCAAAGATAAGGAATATAGCCTCTAGTAGATCCTTTCTTACTAGGCTATAGATCTTATTAAGGAAGGTAAGAAGCTTATCCTAGTTATCTAGACTCTAGTCTAGAAGTATTAACTATTTCCTAGTATAACTAGATATTCCGAGCTTTATAGTAAAGCCTTAAGTCTTAAATAGCTAGTTATTAGTACCGAGAGTCTTATTAATTAACTACTAAATCTCCTCCTTATATAACTTCTTCTTAAACTTATACTAGGCTTCCGTCTTTAGTAATATAGTCTTAATAATCTTTCTAAAACTATCTACTCTAAGTTACTAATTTATATAAATAGACTATATTATCTTATTAAGAGCCGCGTTATTATTCTATAGGTTCTTCTTCTCCTCCTTCTTAACTATATCTCCGTAAACTAAAGTAGAGTTATTAGTATTATTAGATATATCGCCTAGTAAGGCTAGAGGATCGCTTAATAAGAGTACGTTAGAGAGCGCTAGCGGTATATTTTTACGCCTCGCCGCTATCTTCGTAGCCCTTAATACCTTATCTATACTATACTAGAGCGCCTTTAATATAGATATACGTAGCTATAGTCTAGAAGATAGTAGTAGAGGTTCTATTAAGTTATTCTATCCGAATTAAATACCTTTATACTACTTAGGAGGTATAATAGATAGCGTAAAATAGTTAAAAAAATACTAATATATAGCTAATATCGTATAATACTAATATATAATAGGTATTTTAATAGGTATATGAGTATTCGTTAACGATGCTGTAAAATGTTAATTATATATAAAAACGCGTGTTGGTGGCACAGACGTGCATCGGGCGCCAAGCTTTCCCATGTAACTATGGACAAACGGATACGGCAGATCAGCAATGCAACTGGTGCGGGGACACGGCTCCAGGGAGCGAAGGAGCCAGTCCACACTCCACAATGAACGTTCGACTGTTGAACGTTGCCAAGCGCGGTGTCTGATTGGGCGGCACGCAGTGAACCATATATCTGAGCTAACTGTCTGCCTTATACTGGTAATGGTGTCGCGTGCCTGACAAAGCTGATCAATTACGAATCAGCGTGTCTGTACACTCGTTGCTCAGGAATTTAGGGCAGTGACAGGCCACAAGTGACAAGGCCAATCAGCGCCCAGCTAGCAAACAGCGGTATATCAACCGCCTTATCTATGAATCGTCGGAGTAATGGTTGAGCAATATAAAGCAGGCGGACTCTTCTCTTCCGCATTTGCAGAATGCATGACACATGGCAGATGACAGCGACTCAGAGTACTGTGTTCTATGTACACGAGCAGGAGAAGAAAGGAAAGCTCCGAGGGATTTGCAGGGTTCAGTTGGAATCAGCGGATGAATTGGAGCGCCTGACGAGTAACGTATACACAGCATCGAGTAGGGGAGCGCAAGGGAGCTTGCGTTTGAGCTCGTGCATCAGAAGCATACTGGCCAATGAGAGGAACATAGTGGATAGGACCCGTCTCCGATGCGCAAGTTCCCCGGATACCAAATACAGAACGCTTGACAGAAGGAGTAGAACTTCAACAAAGGCTTCATCGGTTCATGATACAAACGGGCCGAGATAGTGAAGAGCCGAGTAGAACGGCAAGGAAAGGATGATAGGCAAAAGAGTCGGTATATCCGCGAGCGAGGAGAACAATACACGAGTCGCTCTTTCGCAAGAGCAGTGCCACCGACCCAGATTCTTGGGGTGGTCAAAGAGAGCTTGTATTATGCAGCGAGTGACAGGGCAAGACCGCTGTGGGATGCCGGGGAAGAGGGAGATGGTGGTTTGTAGGTGGGTTGTTGTAGGTGGGTTGTTGTAGGTGGGTTGTTGTAGGTGGGTTGTTGTAGGTGGGTGTAGGGGTGGTGTGGACTCTGTGGAGAGACGGGGAGACAAGGCACAGCAGAACTAAAGCTTAGTTAGTGCTGGCCAGGTGCATTCATGGCAGGCATTGCAGGGACCATCTGCCCTGACATCCCTGTAGACCTTCGCTCGCCTGTGGCAATCCCTGTCTACCGGGTTAACGTTGTGGCCCGGGCCATCATCAAGCGGTGACGGTGCAGTGCTCTCTCGAGATTCTCGCATAATTATCCCCAGGCGGCCCTCGGGCCCCAGCAGGTATTAACTTAGGGACACAAGGCTGGCGCGCCCTTGCAGACCACACACCACGGTTCATGGTCCACGGTCCACTTGTTGACTGCCCATCAGTTCGTGTGGAAGAAGACGATCCTGCAGACCCACCTGCAGCGCCCTAAGCTTACTCTTACCGTGTCTAGCAAAACGCGCTCCCAAAGTCCTCTTTCAAGGATCGGTTGTCTCCATCCTCGGGCTGTTTCAGACCTGTCACCCTGTCAGGCTCCAGCTTTTGTCCAGCGTAGACGATAAGCCAGTAACAGCGGGATACTGTGAGAATAAATGTAATTATTTGCCGATACTAACTTTGCTTCCGGGGCTTCTGTGACAAGACCTGCAGTCGGACGGACCTGATATCATATGTATGTGCTGGACGTAGGAAGCAAGCAAGGAGCGCTGTGTACCTGTGCTATCTCCAACACGGCAGATCAGCTCGCCTAGCGGGATCCAACGATTCGTGTCATGGTGTTACAGCAGTGGCAGCGGGGGAGAGTTCAGGTGTGCGCGGGTGGTCTGGACATGTTGGGTGCATAGCTAAACCGGACGAGTACTGACTGCATGGTTTAGCAGAGGAGTACGAGATGTATGTAGCTGCTCACAAGTAGCTGCTAATACTCATTGCCTGTTGGCTTGCTTGCTTGGTGACTGCTGCAGAGATGGAGACGGCATTCCAGCATTCCAGCATTCCAGCATTCCAGCACCCCAGGAGCTCAGTTCACTGCTCTAGTAAGCACTTTGACAGCTTGAGAGCGATTCCGCGTGAGGCAGAGGTCAATGTGTGAAAGTGTGAAGGTGTGAAGGTGTAAATGTGAGAATGTGAGAATGTGTGTGTGCATGTGGTATGTAATTATGGGTGTGTGTGCGTGAGTGAGTGAGGGAGGGTGTGTACGAGTAGGAGCCTAAAAAGGGTTGCGGGATGACCGTTAGTTGATGGGCGGCGGAAGGGCTGCAAGACGGGCTGCGCTGCGGGCGGAGGCTACCAGCAAACCTGCCCAACTGGTTAAGCTGATTAGGCTGGTTCCAAAGGCTGGTTAGGCGGGTTAATTAGCAGGTTAGCCACCTACTCCCGACCTACCTACCTACCTACCGACCTACCTACCCACCACCTCCAGTACTCAGCTCACACTACGGGTACGCCAAGTTTCCTTTCTCTCTACTCTCCACCCGTCCTGAACACTCTCCAGCTTCCACTTCCCTCGATACCACCACATCCTCAATCGAAAGCTCCTCTTCCTTCACGCAACTCATACGTTTCGCTCACACAGCCCTCTGCATCTGCGACTGGTCTATCCTCCAAATCATCGCCATATACTCACCACATTGCATTACCTCCATGCCACCACCGCGACGAGAGCCGTGAAGCTATCACCTCAACCGAAATCGTTCGCGTCTCCGCCGCTATTCACTTACGCCGCAAACTCATAACAGCTTTCCACGTCCCGTCTGGTTCTCTGCGCCATCACGCCTATATCGCCGCATACGCTGGCTTTTCGCTCATTCTCCTCGAGTTTACGCCCTATCTTATCGTTGCTGGGGCATTTCAGCACTTCGCGCTGCTGGAACCGTCTTCCATCGTGTGCCGTCGCGACCACTGTCCATTTGATCCGCCCACTACCGGCCTTTTCCAGTGATCAAAATAAAGAAGACTCAGTCAAGCCGACCGCTCGCATCCTTTCCTCTCGCATACTACTCACTCAGGCTATTGCGCATTTCAAACTGCGAAGATACTGCGACTACTGAGAGCTGGGTGTCTAGCTTTGCGTCTTATATTCTACCACTGCTCGTGCGAGGACTTGTGCGCAGGACTCTTTCCAAGACGCGCCCATCAAAACGTCTACGACGCGTTGTGTCAAGCCTCTGACATCTTCACCTTTGTCCGATCACAACAGCCGTAGTTGTGGACCACCGCGGCATCGATAAATTTACAGCATATTATGCCCTCAAGCCGACCTTCTCCCAGCAACAGCTCGAGCTCTCCGCACAACTCCATCAGTCCATTCATGCCCGCCTCATTCAGTTCGGGCTCGTCGACTCAGACGACCATGAACAATGACGTGTGGCGGTCTCCCGTGGACCGCAGACCGGTCGAAAATGCACCTGCGAACAATCTGAACGCCATTGACCAGAATTCGACTGCTATATACATCCATAAACTACCTAAAGCGACCAAAGAAGATTCCTTGAGAAGCATGCTGCTCTTTGCCAAAGATCTCATCGACGTATCGTTCGCCAACCCTCGATATCCTGACGAAAAAGGCTTTCAGACAGCCCTCGCTCACTTTAAGACGCTCGCTGGTGCTAAAGAAGCCCAAGAGATTCTTAATGGCAAACCAAACCAGACCAAAGAGGCGAATCTCATCGTCGAGGTAGTCGAACATCCTGGAACAATCGGCTCGAGAAGGAATACGGTCGACGGAGGATTACGCCAGAATGGACAGGGTAGATCACGCTACAATGGCACCTTTCAGTCGATGGAAAGAGTGTCTCCTCCGAACGCAACTCCTGCTTTGGGCAATGGCAACGAATTCCCCGTGCCTCATTCGAGCGCTCCGATGCAAAGTCTCTTCTCCCCAACATCTCCAGTAACCGGTGCTTTCCCGCACCGAAGCCTAGGCAAGACTCTTATCACCAATGGGGATGGCGATGATGATTCTGATGGTCTCCTTCAAGAATCCATTGGTATTGGAACAGGACATCCGGCTTCAACATCCCGCCGCACTACCAACCCTTCTATTCCGATATCTCGGTTCTCGAACCTGTCCCTAAATACATCAAATAATGCTAATGGACTGTCGTCTCCGCCATTGAGCAGCTTCGCCTCCCCAAGATCGAATGCTCCGCTGCAGTCACCAAACGCCGGCCTGCATACAATGTCCCCCCACCCAACAGGCAACACGGGCCATAGTTCGGGATTTGCACCGTTTAACAATCAACACTTCAGCCGCACCAATCTACCACCAGTGAATCCAGCTGACCAGAATCCGCCGTGCAATACTTTGTACGTTGGTAATCTGCCACTTGACACATCTGAAGACGAATTGAAGGCCATGTTTTCGAAACAGCGAGGCTACAAGCGACTCTGCTTTCGTACAAAGCAGAATGGCCCCATGTGCTTTGTGGAGTTCGAAGATGTTTCCTTTGCTACAAAGGCCTTGAACGACCTTTATGGATATCCTCTCCATAATAGCGTCAAGGGCGGCATCAGGCTTAGCTTCTCGAAGAATCCCCTAGGCGTTCGGACTGGGCAGAACAACAACATGGGACCGCCGACTCCTATGACGCCTCAAGCTACCATGCCTGGTATGCCAAATGGTATGGGAATACCACCTGGGTTTTCGACTGCTACTGGACCTCCGCCAGGGTTAGCAGCCCCTCCTGGCTTCCATAATAATGGTGCTGCAAACGGGGTTTCCAACTTCATGTTTCCCAACAATACTTTTACTGCGAACGACATTGGCAACCAGCTGCGTCCCCAATCTGTCACTGGCGCTTCTACTCCTGTCAGCAACAATAACTATAATGGTATGGTTGGCAACGGCGCCCCGATGTCCGGTAATGGGTTTCACCTCCATGCATCTGGTTATCAAAACTATATGATGGGTCGCATGAATTGAGCGCTCGACGTCTAAAGCGCGCCATGTCTCAATTTTTGACTTTCATCTTTGTTCATGAATCATGAGCCCCGGAGAGTCGCCGGTGCGTCCGTCCGGTATATGTTGCCATCATTTACATTGTCTGCTCCTACACCTGTCGTCGCCATTTCCACTCACCTCGGTATCCAATCAAACTTCTTTCTTTTTCTTGGGGACGACGATATATATTGGTGTACTTTTGGCTGGGTTTTGCCGTTTTCCTTTGGGAAAGCGGCTTCGTTCAAACATAAAGCGATGATATCCCCCTTACGTTTTCCCTACATCACCTTTTATCGGATCATTGTATGGAGCTTAGGCGCATCTCATTCTGTCATCTGCGATCAGAGCTATGTCTGTAAGGTATTTTCATCTTCCAGCGGCACTGCATGATCTGCCTGACAAAATCCTTGGGCACTTGCTCGTTCTGCAGGAATGGGAAAAGCATCTGGGGGCATACTGCATGAAAGTTGGGCATAGTCTGACCGTCGCGTCGTTGTTTTACTCAGCATGTCAACAATTCTGCATTCCGCGCGTTACTGTTATTGATTCTGTTCACGTTTCTGTCTACCATCGCACGCATATCGTTAGTTTCTACGAGACTTCCGAGGTTCGTTCTCAAGGGAAGGCATTCTTGTTCCTGGATGTGCATTTTTTGGTTCCGTATGCTTGACTGAGCTGCGTCGCAATTGCGTTGGGAGAGCATGTTTTATGACAACCGTCCGCTGCATCGGCAGGAAGTTGGAGGGGCACTGGTTTGGCATCACTAGAGGGTTACACAGGGGCGTCTTATTCTTGACACGGAGTCTCTCAAGGGGCCTGTCACTACCATACGGATTCTTGGGCGCATCATCTCACTTGCTTTGGGTGTTTATCTTCATCTTCATGTTTGGCCTGGAGTACATCAATTTCATCAGAGCGGAAATACTTCATAGACTAATAACAAGCAGACAATCTCCATACAATAACTCCTGATAGTACTACTGTGAAACCGCTGACAGACGTACCATGGTAATACTTATCCTTTACTCATGGTGCTTGCTAAGAGAAAGGTCAGTCATTACTCTCTAGGTTGGTGAATAAGCCACCTGCTACTTTGCAGCAGTCCATCCATAAATCTTGGCAGCATGACTCAGCATAAAAGCTCTAATTTTCCACTTGATCGCGCAGTTGGTCGCCATACTCTATTCTCATCAACATTGTGAAGTCCTTTCCGCTGCCACTCATTGCCGCTTGCGGCCCCTTCCCTTCATGATAGATCTGGATATACAATGCCCGCTCGAATACGCGTTGCTGCCTTCTCTCGCACACCCTTAATATATTCGTCCTCAACCGCCTTCCAACATGAACTTCGCTCTAGTTCACGCTATACTCGCCACTTCTCCCAGTCCTTAAGGAGCAGCACTGTACTGCGTGATCAGTTCTATGCATGGCTCTCCGGTCCTGGACAGAACTTTGAGAAACCACTCCCAGGCTCAACAAATTACCTTTCGGCTTACACAAGCGACGGGGTACTAAGACGACAGAAGGAGGAAACAAAAGTTGACGAGAAAGAAAAAAGCCAAGAATCATCAGCAGCGAAAGTAGCAAATGATGGCGCCAGTATAGACGGACAGAATGCAGACGATCCTGCGACCGCCATGGATAATCCCGACAATACTACGGACACACCAGAGGAGCCTGAAGAACTCAAAGAAGAAGAGCTAGAGAATGACCAATTGAAGAAGGAATCACTCCGTGATTTACGCCCGTTTCCTATGAATCAACAATTCGTCAGCGAGAGCGTTCTCAGTGAATCCGTCCGCGAGGACATCTACAATCAAGTCGTAAATAAAGGCACACACGTCGTCAAGGCGTCCGCCGACGCAAACATCAGTATAGAGCGCGTCGCTGCTGTTGTGCGTCTAAAACAGATAGAAAAGAACTGGCTGAAAGATGTATGTTTTCCCCCCTTCCTCCTTGCATGTTCGTCCTGCATGATGATTTTACAACAATTCGATTAGTCTTGAAGACACCTACATGGTTAACATTTTTTTAATCACTGACACGCATCTTTACAATGCCCCTTCACTCCAACACTATTCCCAAAAGCCTACTGATATAATTTATCCAGGGCAAACCCCTCGCAAGAGCCTACTCTCGGGCTGTACTGAGCATGCTCCCGCAGACTACATCTATCGCACAAGCGCACGAGTCCATCACAGATATCCCAATTCTGCCGTCGACTACACGTCAGGTCTTCCATCCTGTCCCAGAATCGCGCCATTTTACTCGTGCCGACGCAGCAAAGGCTTTCTCGGACAATCTCAAGCCCGCCGACGAGCGCATGCCGCATCAGGAACTCATCCTGACCAGAAAGCTACAGCTGCAGGGCGAGAGGCAGCATGCAATTCGGATCAAAGTGGCGCAGTTTGCAGCTCAACAGGAGAAGGAACGAATCGGAAAGCGTGAGGCGCTGAAGAGGAGGGAGGAGAAGAGAACGACGGTGGTGGCGGGACGGAGGTGGGATTTCCAGATTAAGGAGATCAAGGCTGAGGATGTTGGGTACAAGGGGAAGAATCCCAAGGGTACAGGATGGAGGTATGGAATGCCGCATGAGGACCGAAAGAGGGCGCTCATCAAGATCCCCGAACGTGTGGAGGCATAGATGTGTGTATACCATAGGTCAATGGAGTAGTGTATATATGTTGTTAGAATAATCTTGTATTATATGTGTAATACTGACATATCTACACAACACAACCTCTCTGAATGCACTGCTCCTCGATGATGTAGATCTAATCAACCGTTTCCCAACCCATTGTGCCAAGTCGTCTAGCTCCTAACGCCCCTTGTACTGCATGGATATATATAACTGTGCGCAAGCAATATTTCAAGAACATGTCCCCCCGACTGAGCGAAATCACCATACACTACTGCCCCCCCCCTCCAATCATTCCCTCATCATTGTCTTCTCGCCTCCTCCACATCCCTATCGCACACACTTCTTTGCACAAGCAACATCATGAATTGCCCCCAACCGCCATACCCTTAAATGTATCAAACCCACTAGCCACCGCCTGCGCCTTCTTCTTCTTCTCCTCCCCAGCCTGCCTCTCCCCCGACCTGCCCGTCAGCCTCACCTGCTCTTCGTACAAGCGATGCAGCTCCGCCAGCATCGCATCCCGCACCTTCACCACCAACGAATCCACATCCTCTGCCGTCAAGCCCTTTGTCTTGACCGGCTCCAGCACGACGACGGGGATGACACCGCCCTTGAAGATCTTCCTCTTCGAATCGAGGATATGCGCGTAGTTTGCGACGACGACGGGCACGATGGGCACCTGGGCTTGCACGGCGAGGTGGAAGGCGCCCTTTTTGAAGGGGAGCAGGGTGGGTGTTGAGGCGTAGGAGCGGGTGCCTTCGGGGAAGATGTAGACGGATTGGCGGGTGGAGCGCATGGTGGTGGCGGCGGAGTTGAAGGTTGCGCGGGCGGAGGTGGAGTTTGCGCGGTCGATGAAGACTGTTTTGGAGAGGGCCACTGAGGGGGATGGTTAGCGCTCTTGCTAGATAGTAGGGAAGGGGCCTCCCGGTGTGGGGATTCTTGGGGGATGGGGAGGAAGGCGTACTGAACCAGCCCAGGAAGGGCACGAGTTTAAGAGACTTCTTTGCGGTGACGGAGCAGTATTTCGGGAAGATGCAGCCGAGCATGAGGACGTCTAGAGATCTGCATTTGAGCGTTAGACTTCGTCTGCCCACCACCCAGCAAGGCTTTCTTTGCGCAAGACAGGTACGACCCCCTCCAAACTCACGTCTGATGATTTCCCAAGATAACCCTGCTCTTCCTCCCGACTTTTCTATCCTCCTCATCATCCAAATCGTACTTCTCACTCAGATACTCTTCGCCCCGCACAACCTCAAACGTCACCCCGGTCACCAGCCACATCGTCCACTTCATCGCTCGCGCCGTCGTCCACTGGCTTAGCCCGCCAAAGCCGACAAGTCTTAGCACAATACTGGCAAGTATACCGTAGCATGCGCATACTCCCAGGGCAAGCCATGACGTTATGCCGCGGGCCGCAAACGAGGCGTACTTGCCCATCACGGGCGGAAGAAAAAATGTGGAGGCGTGGAGGACGACGATGGCCAACGTGATGCCAATAGCGAGAGACTGCCACATGGCAGCTATGATATGTAAGAGAGCTGGGGAGGCTCGTCGAAGACAGGGACAAAACGGCTGGAGTTTTTCTCGTATGCGTATGAAGCGGTGAGAGAATGATTCGTGTGTTGCGGGGAGGACAGAGCTCGGAGGTGTCTCGAACTTGGGCAGACTATGTGAGGTCAGTATACATGGAACCATATGTCAGTTGGGAGAGATGTGTATACATGTGGCTCAGGCACTTATGCCACAAGGAAGATACTGTGCAGTGTAGTGGGAGCAGTTCGTTTTCGCGGGTGTGAATTCGGTGGGCAGGATCATGGAGGAACCTTAGCAGCAAAATTACTGCGGGCCGATCCGGCGACGTCACATGGACGCTCAGGAATTCCCCGGACGTTGCTGCGAACCCCCGCTTGGCTCAATCATGTCAATGCTGAGGTTCGCGAGGCAATACATTGTAGAGCAAATGAAATCATGACTGTAAAAAGATACGAAATAGCAGAAGTCATAAATTCTTGATGCCTAGGCTCTACGATAAGGTTTGAACCAAGCATTCTTTGTATAATGGGATGTGCTAGTTTTAGGGCCCCCTGGGTCGGGAGACAACCTTGCATATCCATAGTAAGCAGAACGAGCGCACAAGAATACCATATCAACACCATCTTGCGAGCTTCATGAGACATTAACTACTGTGTCATTAAGAGTGAGTAAATCATGCCCCACTTTTTTCGAAAGACTGTACAATCAGACGCTATGCCTCGTTCGTGTTGCGCTTGCTGTGTGACACTCCATAAGTCAACCAAGCTGCCCTGTGCGGTTTCCAGAGTGTATAGACAATCCACAATCACGATCCAAACTCCCTTCTCCTTGACAAAGCTCGTGGTATCCAGTTCAACGCCATGTTCAAAATGCTGTCCCATGCTGTCTCCAAAAACAACAATTCGCTCGCTGGTCGTCAAGATGGCAATGCTATTAATGATGAATCCACTGTCTTCATCCCCGTCGAGTTTCCAAACACAGCCTATCACAGGCACGCAACCACTAGATGTCGTTATGATCATCGTCGTACGCGTCGTCGTCATCGTCATCGTCATCGTCCAGAGTCTCCATAGTCTCTTTTATATATTGCGCAGCCTGAGTGAGAGTTGTTATTAGCTGTCAATGTTGTGAGATTGTGAGAATCAACATACCTTGGGATCGAGATTCAAAGCAATTGTGAAGTGCCTGATCGCAGATCCTTTGTCTTTCAGCATCTTGTACACCTTTCCTAGTGAGAAATGAACATTGGCCTCGTCTGGTGCGAGGTCCTTCAAAACTTCAAGTTCTGCTAAAGCCTCATTAAGTCGCCGTAGTTTCATCAGCGCGTGCGCCTTCTTGAATCTTGACAGTGCAGATCTTGGATCCAAGTCGCAGGCGTGTGTGAATTGTGCCAATGCTGCTTGCGTCTTCTTCATCTTCTCTAAGACCACACCGATGCGGACTATCAGGACTGCGTTTGTTGGGTTGATCTGTGCCGCTGCTTTGTAGTGCTTTTCTGCGATATCGTATTTACCCATCTTCTCATACACCTTGCCCAACCCATACCATCCGTTGTAGTGACGGTGCTCGGCAGAGATAGCGCATCGGTAAGCATATAGTGCCTTGTCATATTCCTCGTTTGCAACGTGCTCATGCCCCTGGAGAGTATAACCATACGCGAACTTCGGGTCTAACTGGGTTGCTCTTTTGAAACACTTCACAGCTGAATCGTGCTCTCGCTGGAGAGAGAATGAGTTTCCAATTGAGCACCATGCCTCGGGGCACAAACGATCTGCCTCAATGAGCTCATGCGCAAGGTAGGCCAATTCTGTCTCTTTTCGCATATGCCACAGGACCGTAGAGTAGATCTCCATGTCCTCCATCCGAGACGGACTCATCTTCTTGACTCTTCTGAACATCTCTTCCGCTTCTGAGTAACGCTGGCCTTCATAATTCGCCTTTGCCATTTGCACCAACACCCAGGGCGTCTCTCGTTGCTGCATTGGAACTGTCTCAAATGCTCTGAGCGCCTCGGCACATTGATACCGACTCAAGTGGAAATATCCGGCCCCTATCTTTGATAAAAGATCAAGGAGAATTTGCAACGCCTCGATCTCTCGGGCTCCATCGTTCGGATGTGCTTTGCTTTGTGGGGCGTTCACCACTGTGCTCGTGGTAGTCCTCGAGCCCCGGGAATCACGAATGTCCCTGGTATTAGTATCTGTCATCTCTGTCGGCTTTCTGTCGCCAGATACGACTCTCGCAACAGTGGAAGTGGTCCCGGTCCGACTTCGCACACCTGTCGCGCGTACTGTTTTCCTAATTTCCCTCATTTCCTTCAATTCCGGATCCCTGTTCGATGAGGATGACATTTTGCTATCCGGTCGAGTTGGCTTGCTAGCAGTATTTGCGTTTTGCAGCCGTACGCTTCGCCTTGTGGTCGCATTTGGATCTTGTCGTGTGGAGCCGCTAGCCTGAGAGACCTGCCCTGACACAGTCCGCTTGTGGTTAATTTGACCGATAGGTTGAGATAATTCGCTAACTTCGGGGCCTTCCGAGCCGCCTTTTGATCGAGAATCTACTGGTAGTGGCTTCATCTTCGGGATTCTCATCCCAGAGTCTGCGCTGAATGATTGAAGATTCTTCTTACGAATTGGGGCGCGAGGTGCAGCTAGAGCGGGAATACCTCCAGTGTCTCCTACGCTATTATCCTCGTAAGGACCCAGATTAGCTATGGGTGTCTCCGCTTCGTTGAATACCTCGACCCCCTCGTTCAATCGAGAGAAAAGGTTAGAGCCGCCAAAGTTGAGGCCCGGATCAGCCCCATTACGAGTGGACGGATTGAACGGGTCGTGGCCAGGCGTTGCTGCATGTGAGACACTTCTGTTAGCAACTGTTGGAGCTCGCAGAGGGTGTGATTCAGCTGCACCATGTGAAGCTGCGGCTGCAGCATGCAGCATATATGACTGCATTTCTGGTGTAAGTCGAAACAAATTTGACGTCCGCACTTCAGCACCTTTGCAAAGTCAGTTTAAACTTTAATGGCTGCTCATGGCCGCCATAATTCATACCTGTATCGCAGAGGTCCAGAAAAGCATCCCACATGAACGGGTTCAGCTTTAGTGCTTCGACATAGCACACCACAGCTTTCTTCACTTCTCCTGAGGCTTTCCATAGCTTCCCGAGGAGACAATTAACTGCTGCTGCATCGGGGAGATGTCGTCTCGAGATCTCCGAATGTTTATCTGTTAGAAGTAATCAGTGAACGCGATCAGATGGGCCTTCATCATCACTGACTCCAATAATTTCTGCCAGCCCAGAGTCCCCGGGCTCTTTCCAAAGCTTGTATGCCCTCTTGATAAGTTTCCAGTCCCAGGCAAGTCTGCGCGAATACATATACACATCCTAAGTGCTGGCCCCGCCAAGCTTTCTCTTTACTGTAATCATAAGCAGTTTTTAGCCGCCCTAGTCGCAGGTTGCATAATGCTAGCAAGTGCGCAGCATCCGGGTTTCGAGGCTCTTGGCCATGTAGCCGACCAGCAAGAAATAGCGCATTAGGTACGAGGTCGTTGTCGAGATTGTAGTATATAAGCTGGCGCAGCTGAGTCGCGACGAAGGGATTGGGTGACATTTTTGGTGGGGTGGCCTTTGTTTACAGTTCGCGAGGAGACGGCTCGAGGAGTCTGGTCGAGGGGAAATGATGACCACGCAGATGTCCTGGGCACGCTGCAGGGTACATACTCTGTCCGCAGGAAAGGCAGTCAGGATTGTATCGAAGTGGTACACCCAGGGAAGAAGTTAATTGGCGGTATAGCGCGTGAAGGGAGCGATGTATGCTGAGACTCAGGTTTCAAGGTGACCCGTAGATAGTTAAGTTAGACATTAGGCAGTCCTGAGGTCGCGTGAGGGGATGTGAGGAGCGTGATGGTGAAGTGAATGGATTGTTATGTTCCTAACAAGCGCGACGACGAACACAGCCAGCAAGATCGCAGATGCGCAAACGCCAAGTAAAAGCGGCACGGACGCTGCTCGCTCCTTCTAGTAGTGCCTCAGGCACCAAGCGCACATAGCTCCAAGAGTTCGACACAACATCTAATTACTCCGGTGAAGACTTCTACCTCTTTCAGTAAAGTTACCACCGTTGTCCAGCGCCTATACTTACTGATCGGATCACTCGGCTCCGATTGACCACATAGTCCAGCCACGCGACTCCTGAACCTCGATACCCAAAGGTGTTTGCTTCGCACGTGCTCAGACTTTCGTCAGTCATGGCTCAAGTAAGGACTCTGGCATCTAAACGAGGGCTTGACCAAGGCTGCTATATATCTCATGCTGACAATTGTGTAGAAGGCAGCGAAGACGCTTGCAACCCGCAATGCAGCACGATTGAACTACACTCTCTACATCACACTAGGCGTGCATCTCGTTTACGTCCTCCTCCGCCTACTCATCTTCCGATCATCGTTCCAGCGCAGCTCCCTCATCATGTATATCTTGTTCTCCCTGCCGTCGGTCGTCATCGAGTTCTGGTTTGAAAGTATTGCTCGTCCGACGTACACCACCAGCCCTTCCGGCGCACCGGAGCTAAAGCGCAGCGGCGAGGACCTGGAAGCGAAAGGACTGACAGAGTACATGTGGGATGTCTTGTACTGGACATGGATTAATATTATTCTTGTAGCTGTAGTCGGTGACTATGCTTGGTGGCTGTATGCTGTCGTGCCAGCATACTCGGCCTGGCTAGCTTGGACAACATTAATGGGCTACAAGCAGGGCATGAGTGGAATGGTTGGCGCTGGGAGCGAAGGCGCTGTTGGTACACAGAGCAAGAGACAGCAAAAGATGGAGAAGAGAGGTGGCCATAAAATGGTGTATCGGTGATGCTGTAGCTTTTGTTGTTCAACGCTGGACACGAAGTATTGAGTATGTCACCAATGGCACCTACAAGAGCACAATGCGGACGATTCGTGGCCTCCATAGCGACAGCTGAGACCTCACATATCAATCTCCTCCAGTATGGAGTTTGTCCAAGGTCGACGACATTTGTACTCGTACCATCTCGAGTGCAATATGTACTCGAACAATTTACGACGCAAGAGCTAGACACTATGTGTAGATACCCAGGAATGCAATGGAACGTGGGCATGTGGCATAGCTGCTACCTCGCATGCGATTTGAGTACCTTTGCCGCACACGTGTACCTCTCATACCGGAAGCTCCACCACTCAGACGTATCCCGTCTTACTAGAGCTCTCTCCAGCATTCCAATCTCTACAATCTCCCATTCGCCCTGGCAACAATGCCTTCAACGCCATCGTCCGATACCATTAATACCTCCAAAGCGCACCAAGTTACCCACGAACTGCCTGATGTCTGTCCCCGTCCTCTGCCCGGCGAATCCGTTCAGACATGGTCCTTCCTCGTAGACTCCGTCGCAACCAACGCCATCGGTGATCTGCGCCGCACACCTTCGCAGCTCTCACAATACAACGATTGGGCAGCGCGCATACGGAAAACATACGGATCTGTCGGTGCCTTTGTGATACAACGACGCTTACAATGGGTTCCGCGCAAACACGATGCAGACGGTACACCGCTTTTCGAGACCGTGTGCGGCGAAGACGGGAATCCGCTGGCGGATAGCAGAGACTACAAAGTTCTCCGTAACGACTGGCCGTATGGGATCGAGGACGGCATCACGCATCTTTGCGTGTGGATGAAGGGCAGGTTAGGCTCTGGGGACGAGGTCCTTGCAAACGGAGAGACGGGCAGGAGAGGCCAATTGACGAAGCAAGGTAGGGCGTGTGTCGACCAATACGTGTACGAGACTTTCACGAAGCCGTTAAGGGAAAAAGCCAATATACAGGGCGAGGAAGTGGTGTTCAATTGGGCAGGGAGTAGTAATGGTGGCGGTGACGGTGTGCATGTGTTGTGGTTCAAGAACTGGATTGAGCTGCAGAGTGTCAGGGGCATTGATCATATCCATGTGCTGCTAAGGGGTGCGACCGAGGGCATGGTCGAGGCTTGGCTGGATGGTTAAATGGGCCGCGACTGAGCGGTATATAGAACGTGATGAACGACGCATAGAGAATACTGAGGTACCCCTTGTAGAGTCAGTGGAACTACTAGACGTTCTCTCGGTCAATTAGACTTGGGACTAGATATAGAAATTCAAGATATATACGCCTTACAACAGAAACAGTAATTGATCATAGGAGCACACATTACCTTTATGAAGTTCTCAATTCGATATCATATCCTTGCTGCAGTTGAACAGTACGCTTTCTTTTCTCTCTAGGATCTCAGACACTAACCTCGGACACTATTCTTCTCATTATACCAGATAGTGCGAACAAAGGCAGAGCGGGAGAGCATATACAAGTATATGTATATGTAGAGTTCTAACTTCAGACCAGCTCTATGCTTTAGTAGTACTGTAATTTCTTTAGTCTATGACTGTAGTCCGCTTTCATATCTACAACGCATCTGCCCCTCACGCAAACATAACATCATCTCTCATCTCATCATGCTACATATACAACAAGACCGCCTCCAACCCATGCATCTGTCACAACCATCTTAACTCCCAATCCCGGCTCCAACCGGACAGTCCGGCACATGTGCCTGCCACATCTGCTTCGCGAATACAGGCAGATAACTATTCGTCGTAAACGTCTTGGGCAAGTAATAGCTTACATCTGCCGCCGCATACGTTCCTCCGACTTTATTCAGTGCATCAATCACATAGCTCTGTATGAAGTCTAGAAACACGACGTCCACCGTCTCCGGCTCCGTGCCATCGGCGGGGAACGAGGCATTCGCTTGCAAGTCGTTTGGCTGCGCGTAAAACGGGATCCGGGCGTGCATTGTGTCGTCGCCGTCAGAGCCGAAATCGTCGGTGGTAGTGTAGCCTGGCGACGGCGTGCTACGGCGGATCGTGCGGCCGGAGCGCTTGTGTAGGCTCGGCGATGTGGTGGGTGGGTCGACACATGTGTCGCCATCGAGGAGGATATATGGCTGGAATGCAAAGTCTCGCGTCTCAAACCCACGTTCTGGCGGAGCTGGAGTAGAGCGCTTCTGGAATGCGCCTGCGTTGAGGATGCCGAGGACTTGCTTTGCTTGTGCGTATGGCACATCGGGGATGAATTGGAAGGCGTCGGCGAAGGGACTGACGATGAAGCTATCGTCGTAGGTGAAGGGGCCTTTTGCGAGGTCGAAGCGGATGCTACCGGTGTTTATGATGATGATTCGGGGTGTAGTTGCACGAGTGCTGTTCACGACGACCGTGGAGAGTGCAGTGCTTAGCAGGCTGAAGATGTTGCCGGCGCTCATGAACGGCGCGCAGGTTTGGCACCATGTCTGTGGCGCGCAGCCGTAGAGTGATGTGAGGTTGAGTTTTGTGCGCTCGGTGGTGATGTCGGCGGTTACGGATTTCCCGGCTTGTGTGTCAAGCGGGCGGACTGTATGGGCCTGTGAACCAGAGGCGTGGTAGGCGAAGGTCAGACGGTTCCAGTCCAGGTAGCGGCGAGCATAACGGAGGGAAGAGGACGTGTTCGAGTGCGGCAAAGTAATGTTTGAGATGATCTTTGCTTCGCGCGACGGATGGGGGACATCCTTAGGGGACTTGGGACCGCATGATAGGCCATCGATTGCGACCCAGCCAAGGGTTTCACAATATCTGCCGGATTCGAGGGCAGTGGCTTTATTGTCGTAGACAAAGAAGTCGCGTATGTGCGTGTGGCCACCGAAACCTTGGATTGGAACATCTGGTCTAGCTTTCCGGATGGCAGAGTACACTGTTGCGAATGTGCCCGTGTCTCCGGCTTTGCCTGTTGGGCGGACCGGGTTATGCCCAATCAGAAGAAACATGTCGATCGGCTTGTGGTAATTCACCGCATCGAGAAACCATTGCTCCTTGACCATGTCAGCCCCCTTCGTAATCTTCGACACATTTGAGTTGCCCGTAAAATCGAAGAGAACGCCGAATGACATGATCCGGATTCCTGTGCGGCACGTCAACTTCAGCTCCCTGGATACGAGATGACAACGTCTTACCGTGTTCTGTCTTGAAGTATCTGTACCTCTGTCCGATATATTCGAATGCGCTCGTACTTGGATTGTATATTTGCACATTACTTGTCAAATACCGATCGCCATAGAACTTCGAGAATTGCGAAAATGTTTCATAGGCAATCTCCGAGACGTACAGCTCATGATTCCCAATCGTAAGTAGATCATAATCAAGCTTCTCGAATATCACATTCGAGACGGCTCCATTCGGCGACGTAGCATCACTCAATCCGGCACCATCGTGGAGATCTCCTGTGTCAACCACTAGCAGATCGACTCCTAGCTCTTTCGACTTCCTTCTCATCCCCTTGACGAAGCTGACATAGTCACCCCAGTCTGCGCCATAGTTCTGCTCCTTCAAATGTCCCTCAAGCCAGCCATGCGTGTCTGTAGTATGCAGGAAGTTGATTTGACCCCACTCTAGCTGCGACTTGGGGCCATTGGTCGCATTCTGCGATTCGGGCTGCATACGTCGCACGGAGCGTGTCTGAACGATGTCGTGCGCCGGTGCGCCATAACAGTCGTCACACGCACGAGCGAAATTTATGAGGCCTGACAGGACCCCAGATAATGAGAGGAAGCAGCGCATCGTGATTTGTGGTGCTATAAAGTTCCAGAGTGGACGCAGCGCATATGTCATCCACCTGCGGCCTGTGTAGTGAGAAATCACGTCAAAATGACCTTGTCAGCGGCGTCGAGCATAGTATACTTGAAGGCGCATCCAAGGATCTTTGTGCAAGATTCAAGCTACCGGGATTAGCCTTACGTTGGAGATGGATCTGCATCGCATTGCTTAGCGATGAGTAGATGCCGGCGCCATCTCAAGACGGATTTGGAAGGCCATTGATTGACGGCTGGGGCGGTGGATATGGTGGCTCCATGTCAATTGACGTCTAGGGGTCGTACGCCCATTCTTTAGAAAGTGGCGACTAGGCAAGATGTGGGAACGTTTGCAAGTGGTAAGGCGTGAACGAGCGCCGTTGAAGCGAGGGAAGCTTATGTGGGCACAAGCTTCTGGTGCATTTGGCGGCCGATTGCCCAATTGTCCGGGCCCCGGGGCTGCTGCGAGCGTCTGATTCGTCCAAGCCACGGAGTACATATGCATCTCCGTTCTGGAAACCGGGAAATGGATTGGGGATACGTGCCGGGTGGTGAGTGTGGAGACGACTGGGGCCATAGATAGGGACTCGCCTACACCATAACTGTGGATATGCTCTCGATTGATAACCTCGCCTTTGACGCACGTGAACAGCACGTGCTGAGGACCTGTTAGAGGTTATTTGACGGACTCACATATGCCTATCGTTCTCTATGAATAGACGTTTAGACGATATTTGGATTGGTTTCTGGCCTCTTTGGTGGCTCATTATGCTATGTGTTTTGGTTTCTCCTGAAACGCGACAAGGCCGCAGAGAGGACCTCAGAGTTTGATCTCCTGCTCGAACTTCTTCTGCCACTCTAACACTTGTGGATGCTCGATGCTGCCGGGCTTCACCTTGGTCCATTCCTTCTCGTATCCTTCCTCTATGTGCGGATATGGTCCTAAAGGCGTGATTGCCAGTGGATTTATATCCGCGTGGCTCTTCGTGTACTGCGAGCTGTAAGCACATCTCTGCCCACTCGTCAAAGTCATTCCAATCGAACACTTACATTCTCTTTGATATGTTTCCAATCCGTGCTCTCTCTGAAACCTTTCACACCCCAGTACAACCCCTTCAACCAATTGTTCAGCATGGGATAACTACCCCTGATCGATCCCAAGTCGCACTTGAAGTGTTGCACATATACCACGTCGAACCGGACGATCGTCGCATACAGCCTGATGTCCAGCTCCGTCAACTCCTTTCCAAGCACATATGGTCCTCCGTTGCGAGCGACCAGCTGCTCAACGAAGTTCAGCGCGCCAAATAGCGGCGGGATAGCTTCGTTGTATGCATCTTGCGTCTTTGCAAACCCGGCCTTGTATACGCCTGCATTAATATAGCTCTGTATAAATGGCGTTAGAACATCGATGGTACCCTTGTGCTTCTCTGGGTAGAAGTCGAGGCCAGCCTTCTCTGGTTCAAGCAAGCCATTGAATGCATTTGGCAGCCAGCGCAGAATCTCTGCAGACTCGTTCGACACGGCAGTATTCAGCTTGATGTCCCAGATCAGAGGAACTGAATATCGACCTGTATACGCAGGATCGGCCTGGAAGTAGACCGCTGAGAGATGAGTTGAGTGAAAGAGAGCGTCAACGGTGGCATTAGGGTAGGATGTGTCGTCGGTGGGAAATTGCCAGGGCTTAGGGTACGGCAGGACTGTGCTGATGGGGAGAATCGATGTAAGTCCCTTGAGGTGACGCACAAGGTTTACGCGATGAGCGAAGGGACAGAAGAGACCTGGAGTGATTAGATCCAACGGCCTGGAGCTTGAGATGAAAGCAGGTTTGAAGGCTCACCGATATATAAATGATATCGATCCTTCTCTGGCTCAAATTTCCCCCCTTTCTCGATGACTGCATGCCACCCATCGTCTGTGCCAGCTTTATGTATGTCGCCCATGCTTGCTCGACTCTCCGCTGGCGGCTTATTCAGATCTAGTCCAGGCCTGAGAAGACTTAGTGATGATGTGAATGAAGTCAGTGGTGAAAACCTGACATTGAAGCAATGAAGATATGTCCAACTTGTTACGCAAGGCGGGGCATGTAAGATAGAATTGCCGTCACACACTTATCAACTCAAAGAAGTCGTGGAATACGTTCCAATTAGGTCCCTGCGAATTATTCTGCTTTGATTGAATCTCAGAAATGTGGTTAACACTCACAAGGCAAAAATTGTGAGATTCGTTTGGAAGTACAGGATCGTGGTGGTATTAGCTTACCAAGGTACTCGTGGATAGACGGTACCTAGAGCTCCACACGCTTGCCTCGGCGGCCAACTGCATTCACTCCAGGCACGCTCCTGAGACATTCTATCTAAGCTTTATTGCCAACAATGTTTCTCCAGACAAAGTATTACTGTCAACATGTTTACAATGCTCAAAATGCTTTTTGTCTAACATGCAATATGTTACATATATGCCCATCTCATGACCTTTTTTCAGTCAGCTCAATCATACAAATTCCCTGCAAAGTACGAACTGATCTACTGGTTCTTCTTCACACTCTTCTCCGTTGGCGCCGAGTATAGCCAGAGTGCAACGAACGCTAACCAACCAGCAATTGTGATCCAGATACCCGAAATCCATACCCACGCTCCGCTGATGGCATAGCTCCTCGGCCATTCGTCGTGTGCAAAATGCCGCACCGTCACTTGTCTCTTCTCGTCTACATTCGTCAGGAACGGGCGCTTGTAGTTGACACGGAAGTTAAATATGCCGTGCTGATCGGGAGTCTTGAAGTGTACTCCGTAGATAGTGCTCTCCGGTGTTTGGGAGACAGGAGAGAGGTTGAGACGGTGGAATGGTGACAGCATTGAAAACTCGAGCTGGACTTTGTCGCCTACTGCTGGGGTGAAAGGTGTCCAGCGATCCTCGACCCATTCCGAGAGCTCGATCATATATGTCTGGGGACGTTAGTGAGGATCAGGAGCTCAAGCCTAGAATTGTCACTTACGACGTCGCTCTTGATGCGATATATTGTAGGATTGTCCTCCGGTACATTCACAGAAGTGACGTTGTAGCTCGGCTTGCCCTTGCTGGAGTCGAAATCATCTGCATAATGCTGCAAGCGGCCAACTTTGAGCACGCCCGTCTCTTTGAAAGTCCAGCCGGCTACTTTCTTCGAGAAATCACGGTTGACAGTCTTGACCTCTTTGTCATTGTGCTTAACTTTAGCATCGAACCATTTGTTTTGTAGCATCTCCGACGATCCGAGCACGGTGAAGCGCGCATTATTGCGCGCCTGCATAGTAGTGATCAGAGATAATTGCTCTCCAACGGCGAATGGATCTTCGAGTACGTCCGCCTCTTCTTTCGGATTGTAGCTGTAGGCAGTGCTCGGGGCACGAAGGACTGGCGAGAGGAGAGGGCTGGTGTTTCCTAAGGTTTGGCCAACAGCTCTCGGGACCGCAATGAGGCCATCTCCAGAGAAGTAAGTCTTTACACCTGGTCGCAGAGGAGTAGGGGGCGGTAAAAGAAGTACATCGTGCTTATCGGCTGCCGAGGCAGAGTCATAGTTGAAATGGTCGACCACTATCGAGTTACGGTCGGAGGGAAGATGGATGTCCAGTTCAAGGAGTAGCGAGACGATTGACGTCGGCGTGGTAGATTCGCCCGAGAGAGCAAGGAGGATGTTGCCTTCTTTGCTGGCAAACTCAAGAATCTTGTGTGGCGTGAGTTCAGGTCCGAGACCTTTGGCCTTGCCGGGGAAGAGCAGGACATGGTCGTATGCTCGTTCGCCATGCCGGAACAGCGATATACCTGATGATTTGGGCGTCGAATAGTCTATCGAGAAGCCTCGCGCTATTCACATTAGCAATGCTTCATATATTAGACTCTAAGCTCCAAACCTTGCAGGTCTGATAGGAACTGTGAATATTTGTCTCTATCAGCCAGTTCTTCCACCAACACCAATAATCTGTTCCCGCTCGAACTAGCAGCCTGCACCGCACCTAGCAGTGCAAGCAGAAGAAACGATAATAGCCACTTCATCGTGCGGCGTCGTGTGATGAAGCTCTATTACGAACGTGAGCTTTTGTCGCATTACAAGTTCCACGTATGCCCTCGAGTCTTGGCGTCGCCAACTGGAACTACATTTCGCCGAGCAACGTTCGACCTCCAGTCCGCATAGCTACTGATATCGACACAATACCTTGAAACCTGCCATTGGGGTCATATACTCAGTCAAACGCTCTGTCTGCGACCTGTCTATTGATCGCATTCCTCTAAACACCCGCCATGTCTGCTGCTCCGCACTTCTTCAGCACGCCCTTCCGTTACATACGATATGCCTCTCACCAATACCCAGCCTACTTTTGGTCGATCGTTGTCGGAGTTGCAGGCCCTGCATCCTTCTTTTATGCGCCCCCGATAAGAAGAGCGTTTGGAGATAACATCAACCCGAAGCCTATCCCTCTCACATACCCAGGTATGTATCTTTCTTGCTGGAGTGAGGCGCATCAAGCTGACCTGGTTGCTAGTTCCCAAGGGACCGCGAAACATTCCCACGGGCTTCGACGACGAGTAAGCATGAGCTATACCGTAGATGGAACTGTAAATATAGGTCTGAAAGGCGATAGGGCGTTGAACAAAGAAAGAATATGAGCCTGGGGCAGCAAGACGATTATGCAATAAGTAACACAAGGATTACAATGCAGAGCATTCACTCCAATTCAATCGCATTTTGGTTGTGTAATAGTATGATTCCATTTCATGTCACACCCATCATCCACTCTGTATGACCTTGAGTAAACGCCATACGCAAGAATGTCAACTGCTCCGGAAACCGAATGTGCATGACAGCGAAGGATTAACGAACTAGTGAAATGAAAATAGGGAGGGGCAAGGAATTCCTGCAGCGGCCACAACAAGCGTTATACCAAGCCGAATACCAAATGAACCAAGAAGCGTAAAATCACCACGACTACAGCAAGACGCCTATGAAAACGACCACTTCAACTCGATATCACCGCATTCTTCGTCCTTTGTCGCAATGTGCGAGACCGACAGTCTTGTCGATCCTGGCAAGCGGGTCTTTCAGGATGCGTACAAACACCTTCATTCCTTACGAGAGCGCTTGTGAGATGCGTCGCTATTTTTCGTGTCCACTTCTACTCCACCCATAGTTTCGTCATCGTCATCGGACCCATCTTCCTTTTCAGGTTCACCAAACATTGTATTCTCAATGACTTCTTCCATGTCCACCTCCGAGGAAGCTCTAGATGGGGCTGAACGCTTGCGAGTTGGGATCGGGTCTTGGTCTTGATCAATATTATCACCAGCGGTAGGAAGCGCCCACGGAATATCCTTCTCGTTGTCGAACTTGCAACTGGTCAAGTGGTCAACAGGGTGTTTAGCAAGATCCAACAAGCTCTCGTTGCTCAGGAGTTCAGCCTCGACAAGCGATTGTCGCACAAGCTCTTTTATCTCCAGGACATGGTTCTCGACAACTTGCGACGCCTTCTTGGACATGTTGAACCTGTTGTGGAAGACATTCAGGACCGTGCGGTCGAGGTAGGCGCTGGGACCTGCTTGCGCGAGGTCGGTGTAGAACTGAAATCCGCCGTCCGGGGCGCGGTAGCTTTTGTCGTTGACGATGGCCTGGCCAAACCAATGGCGGAAGAAACCAAGAGCTACCCAGAACATCACGTCGGCGGAGTAGGCCTGGCGCTGACTATTGTCACCGGCCCTTCTCTGGATTTGGCGAGGGTACAGTGAGATGATTCTTGCTTCGAGGACCTTGCCACGCATGTTCAGGCGGTCGCGTTTTCTCTCGATGACAGCCATGCACTCTGGGAAGATGATCGACTTTGTAGCATCGGTCAGACTGTTATATTTGCCCACGGTATGGATCACAGCCTCTCTGAAGATGAGTACGCTCTTCATCCGATAAGCCGCGTTGAGCCAGACTGTTGGTTGTCTAGAGATGATGCGGAAGAGTTCTTGGCCAAATGCCATGAACACATTCTCGAGTGCTTTCGAAACAATCGGCAGAATGTCCAGGTACTCAGCAATATCGAGGTGAGGGAACGCCTCCATCATGATGTGCTGGAGGTTCTTACCCTGGATGTCGAGTGGCTTGTTGTACATGGCTGCGAAGCAGTTCTTGTACTGCTTGTAAATGTTCTCATCAACCTTAGGAGTCAATCCTGAATTCTTTGCGTATGCAACGCTGGGCGGGTTAGTAGGTGCCAGCATCCCCTTGTCGGTCAGTTCCTAGGACATAATAGTCAGTATGAGTATCTCAGACCTAACATATACGCCTTGAAGTCTCCATGAAAGGAGCTGATGATATGCTAAACTTGATTACGAATAAGCAAGCCACGTATAGGAGGACAGGAGGCTCGACAAAGTTCAAGACATATAGACCATGTATGCGGTATTGATTCAAGGAGCCCAAAGGAACTTCGAAAAGCTCAACTTGGAGTGACAGGAAAACAGATAGGCAGCTTACCAAACGGGCCAAAATTCCACTCTTGAATTGTTCACTCGGTGGCTGAATGAGCTCGATGTGGTAGAGTGGTCGACCCTGACGCTTAGCCGTGGGTCCCAAAGGAGCCTCAGACTTCTTGGAGACCAGATCCGCAAAGAAGCCAGGCGAGGACTCGCGAAGTACCTGCGAATGGACCTTGAATTGAAGATCTTCACGTGGGCCAAGGATGACCTGGACATCGCCGTCTTCGGAGGTCGAGAATCTACCCGCCATGCTTGTCGTACACGGGCAGATCTACGTAAAGAGGTTAATGTGAGTCTTGAAAGTCAATTGGATTAATCGAAGATCACAGAAACAGATCTTGGGAAGGCTGAGTGTCAAGTGTTGCAAGAAGGAAGGATTATTCGACAAGTAGAGATAGAGTCACTCCGGTGACTACAGAATCTGCGACTGTTCCTGGGATGACCATTTATGCCTGTTCTGTCATCAACCGCACGACTTTTCACTTACTGCCTAGTAGGCTAGCGTACGAGTCAGTATGGTGAACGACATTTGCTGCAGTTGAAGTCGAGTTCAGCGTCATCGCTTAAAGTAGTAAACAAGGGATATCAGGTTTCGAGTCACAGCCAACGTAGCCAACGTGTAACAGGAGAAGTACCTGTTCTACAAGCGTAGGAGAACAACCGTTTCATCACCGCCCTTGCTCAGGATAACGCGGATCTCTCTGAATTGTGGACCCTGGATCGAGTATACTTTTCAGGTTTTGGTAGTTCTGCTCAGTTTCAGCGATCGAACTACGCATGTCTCCTCGAGTTTCTGCGGCTCGTCCACACTTTCTGATTCTCTACGTATTTTTGAGCACTTCCTGCTCTCTTCTTTGCAATGTTCTGATATTCTGATTATATTAATTTGAGCTTCTCAAAGTCCCTTCTTGTTTTCTGTCTATCTAGATCTATGTATGTCTTTATCAGCGGCTACCCCTGATATGACGTAAGTTCACTTCATCTTTCAGGTGGGGCTTTACCACTCAATACGCACCGCCCTAGCGACCGTGGTGCGTCACCGCTGTCCTTATAAGCTCATCTTACCACGGCCCTTGCTTCTCCTGCTTTTCACCTTGAACCAACCTCTCCACACACCTCAATTTTGTGGTCAGGTCGTGCCCTGGTAAGATCGTTGCAAGATGTCACTGTCACTCCAGAACCCAGGCTTACAAGGCAGCAATTCCAACACATCTTTCACCTTGCCATACCGGCCAAAAGTTTAGGTAAACAGAATTCATACCTCCTAGAGCACCTGGAAATTTTTCACCCAGTTGCACTTTTAGCAAATCCAACGAACTAACATCTTCTGCAGCCCGACACCAAAGCCAGCTCCACAGCATTCGACGCTGAGCCGCGTGACGCAGCCATCATGGCCCCTTACACATCCGCGTTTTCCTCAACCAAGTAAGCTCCCTCCCACAGCTATCCAGCCTCCACTAACACGATTTCACCCCAGCCCACCACCCCAATCCAACCCCTCCAAAAGCAGGCAAAGGAGGATACGCAGGCGCCTCCAGCAGGCCGCCACCTACGGCAAACCCTCCCGCAAAGTCCGCGCCCAGATCCGCCAAGCAAAGACCGAAAGATCCCTCGAGCAAAACACCCACATCGTCTACGCAACCAACGACCCGGACAACGACGCCACACCTCCCACTCCAAGCCCACCACCCAACTCCCTCCCCTCACACTCCCCCTTCCCCTTCCTCGCCGCCCCCCGCGAGATCCGCCAACAAATCCTCTACCGCACCATCTCCTTCGCCGACCTCGCACAGCACAGCGTCCTGGAAATCGCCAAAGCAGTACAGGAATTGAGTACCGTGCACCCGTGCATAGCTGCGGATATGGAGTATGTGGCTGAATTGTGGGCCAAGGAGCGCGAGGAGAGCGTGCGGCTGCGGGATCTGGAGCGCGCGGATGTGCAGCGGCTTTTGGACTCGAACGATGAGTTTTTGAGGCGTGAGCTTGGGGTTGTTGGGGATGTAGCTGCGCGGAGGCGGAGGAGGAGGGAGGAAGTGCCGGTTGTTGTTGGTGGTGGTGGTGGTGGTGCTGCCAGGATGTTCAAGAGGGTTAGAAGGCCGCGGAAGTGCTGGAAGTGTGGGGAGAGGCATTTTGGGATTACGGTGAGGTGTCCGCGGGAGCTGAGAGAGAAGGCGCCGTGGTATGCGCTGAATATCAAGAAGTAGCGAGGAAGAAATTGGAAGGGGTAGGGAAGGGGTTATATGAATCGCAAGATTGACTCTGCGAGGAATTTCTAGTAGAGAATATCAAGACTTGGTCGTGCTACTGGAGCATTCTATAACCAATACGTCTTGTCAAATGCATCAATCAAGACATAGGCCGCAAAATACTTCAACTAAGCCAGGTCATACCAAAACCCCCATTCTCAGCTCTACAAGCATCACACAAACCACCCATCCGCACACCCCTCCGAAGCAGTGACGCAGTTCTTAACAACCATCCTCCCAAGCAAGTTACTACACAAATCTTGAGATCTTCCAAGCACCTACCCAGCTTCCCCTCTCTCTCAAAAAACCCACTAAATCCCTCCTATCCCAGAAGTTCCACTTCCCCGTATCTCAAACAATGACAACGGAAAAAATCGCAGATTCACACCAAATAACGAGAGGCGCAAAGCCCAGTCAATTGGAATTTTCACCAGGGGGGGCAGTGTAGTTTGGCTGGAGAGTTGATGAAGACCTGGAGCTGTGCTACAGTATGTTGAATGATATTAGATTTTTTTTTCTCGCAGGCCGTGGGACTATACGTCTATCTGTGTTAGGCGTGAGCTTTTACTTTGTTTCTTTTCGCTATTAGATCGTGGTTTGAATAGTTCTCTGCCAGCCTGTTGGATGGATGTATGTGGCCTGTGCCATGTGCCGGGGGAAGAATTTGCCGATGGTTGTTGATGACGTTTATGCGTGTATAGACTAGACCGTAGAGTGGCTCAAATTCTTGGGTAGATTGTCACTATTTTTAAGGTATGGGCTTTCTAGAGCGATTAGGCTCGGCTTTAGGTTCAGGTCTCCTTTTGATTGATAGGCATTGACCAAGATTTCGCTAGATCAGAGAAGAGTGAGCGAACATTTGACCAATCTGCGAGGATATTAGACTTCTCCAAGAAGACGAATGAATAGTATCGTGCTGGTCACGCACTGTTCTGCTGTACTTGTCTAGTCCGTGGTTGACAGATTTGACAGGTACCGAGAAAATTGGAATTGAAGAGTTCATTTTCAACCAGCAAGGCCATCTTCCGTCTCGGTATTTAGGTCTATGACATCTATTGGTATCATTCGAAACGTAGCTGTCGGGGTCTGAACGTCAATGTGATCTCCCATGCTTACACGGAAGCCCGCCGATTCCTGTCGCAGTCTTCTTCGATGTAGTCTCCGAAGCGTAGGATCAGGATCGGAGCCGGAGTATAATTGCACCCATTCCGAGGGAGAAACCCCAATCTGTAATGTTATCTTTGTGTTGTCATTGTTGATAAAATGTACGGTGAATGAACTACATGAGTCCGGTGTGCCATTCATGGAGCCTGTTAACGGGTGTTGACTATTCTTCTGAGGATTCAGGAAAAGAGACTGATCGATTGCAAAGATATTGTGGCCATTCTCTGGTAGTATGAAAGATCTCAAATCTTCATCCCACAGATGTTTCGGCTCAACTGCTTCGATCGATAATGAGGGAGGCAATGTGCGAAATACGGCGCCTCGTATCTCGGAGTTGAAAAATGATCGTACTCTCCTAAATGATGCATCTCTAGAAATGAAAACTGTTCGCAGTTTACACGCTTGTAGGTCATTTCGATGGATGAAGCGAACTATGGGTCGTGCTCGACCATAAAGACCCGGCCCAATGTAGTGGAGGGGGATTGTGGCCAGTTTATGAAGAGCAAACCGGGAGCGACAGGCGAGAACAGCCCAAACTTCGCGTGCAGGTTCACTAATTAGAAGGTCGACTTGCACCCCTCTATTCGTGAGAATGGATGGTGCTTTGACTGTCGACAATTCATCCGGCACAATATTTCCAGAGTCGCGGAATTCCGACGGATCAGAGGCGAATGCTGGTCTGCTGAACTCGCCCGAATCTGGAGCATAGAGCCCAAATGTAAAGTCATCATTGAAGTGAAAAACTCGTCCCCAGGCAAGCATTGACTGGTCATCCGAGATTCTCATGATTTCTTCTTGCAGTCTGCCAAAAGCTCGATTCCCTTCACCATACAACAAAGGCATGTTCACCTGGAAAATCCCAAGCAGGCTGTAGGCATTATCTTCAATACGAGTGGTGGTTCGATCCGAAGCCCAGGACATCTTGTAAGCAACACTGGCCTTTTTGAGATTTTGTCGAACGTCTGCAGGATTTATACCCGGGCCCTCTCTATTCAAAAATTCGACTCCGATCTTGGTCCTAGATGAAACCTCCTCGGCACGGTCATACCGTGATCCCAGTTTTCGCCACTTCCTGCTATAGAACATCAAGTTATTTGGGGCGATCAGTTCCTGTAGAGTCCAGCCACGCGTAAACCAACGACTTTCTGAAATTCCTGCGTCGCCCTCAATATCGGAGAGGTAAGCATAGCAAAGAGTGCTGCATCGATACCAGTCAAACATCGAGTTGATGGCCTCCGAGAGCTCAGCACTGCTTTTTTTATCAATACAACACGTATCGACCCAAACCCAGTCAAGTCCATCACACAAGGCCTGTTTACACGTGAGCTCGATCTTCTTAAAACCGGGCTTTCGAGACGCAATCCTCAGGTCGGCCATATCCTCAAAGAGCACCTCACCATCTGGCAGCCAAGTATGGGACAGGATGGCGTACTCAGGCACCATGGTGCCAACGAACTCTCGAAGAGTGTGGGTCGTGGCATTCATGAGCCTTATGTTTGAGGTCACATGGCGTGAAGGTTTGAGCTCTCTTTGACCTTCTTCTGTTGATTTTACCAAGTTAGCTGAGTAGTCACTTTCACAATCAGGCAAATCTGCGTCGGCAGCGCTATCGACCATCGCGGAGATGTTGATAAGCGAGGGAGAGATATCAGAGCTACTCGTAGAGTCTGTCTAGCCTCGAATGGACGAGCTCATCCGGGGGATTTGAAGCGTTGACTTGTGCTACTGCTGAAAGCGGATACACTTGATGCGGACGAGGTCGAAGCTGAAGACGCCGGTCGTAACCTTTGAAAGTTGAGATAGTACCCTCGTACCTACCTACCTAGGTCGTTAAGCGAGTACTGACTAAGCTGACCGCCTTCAGAAAACATCATTCTCCCACCTCTGTCATGAGCATCAGAAAGATGAGAGGTATTAGTAGATTGTGTAAATAGTCGATATCCAAATCCAGATAGCGAGCGCTGAGATTTTTAAGCCCAGAGCATCAATGTCCATTAACAAACAAAATCCCTCCCTAGGCATCGCTCTAATCTAGATGATGGCATATACAGAGGTGCATCGGGGTATATACCCAAGCTGATATAAAACGATTGAGTTAAACGCCGATTCACACAGTAGACTCCACCCAAGTACTATGAGATGCCGATCCCAAGTTATGCTGTACATTCGTAAAACGTGTCTTTAGAGATTCGCTGTGTTTAGCTTTTGTGACGTTGTAGCGAAAATCAGGAATTATTCGGTAAGTCTCGGCCAGGTTTTAGACACTTTCCACCGCGCCCTACGTTTTGACGTAGGGAATCGAGTTGCTTTTTGTTGCCGTCGGCAAAGGCGAAATGTCCATGCCAGAAGCCGCAGCCAATGTTTGACGTCTCACCACGCTGAGTGACTTGATCGGCACCTGCCATATCGACTGGTGGGATACCAACCTTGTTGCCTTTCTTTGCTTCTTCATTGGCGATCTCACTATCACCAGGCATGTGATGGAAGAATTCCGGGTTGACCGTGTAGCATTTCAGTCCCTCAGCGCCGACCTTGTCCACTGATGACGAATAACCACGCATGCAGGACTGAAGAATGCCAACATCGTAAGCGCGTGGTGCATCTCTGGTGTCTGGTGGTGGTTCTTTAGCCGGAGCCAACACGTTCATGATCTTCCAGGCTGCAGGCCGAGTTACAGCGTATGCGAAGGTGCAGAGCGGAAATCGGGATCTATGGAAGAGGCGATTCTGTTCAGGTACTTCGAGTGCTTTAAGTAAGTCCGCAGTGAATGGATGCAGATTTTCGTTTGTTGGCAGAGAATGGTCAAGCCACATCTCATGCGGCATGTCCTGGAGGTCTGCCGGGGACTGATGGCCCACCCCAACGCCTTGGTCAAGACCTTGAAAGTAGTCTCCGCAGTGACCAATGTAAAGCAGGTCCCAGGTGTTCGGATCACCCCAGTAGTAATTCATCCCTCTAGAGGTAGACGCTGGCGCAAGAAGAGACCGAGCCGCGTGGGCAGCAAGTGGGACTTGAAGGGAACGCAGGTGTATATCCCAATCCACATCGTCTTCTATGATCAAAGCGGTCTCGAGTCCGGAGTCCAGAAACCTGTATAGCAGATTAGCGTGAGTGTGGCTTATCAGGCCATACGTACCACTTCAAGGCATTGTGGTGACCAAGCCAGGCCAAGATAGAGCCAGGGCCCATAGTAGACTCTGGGCCATATTTGAACTTCTCGATGTCTGCATCGCCATACTTTGGTTGGCGTGGTATTGTTATGTCAATCTCGGTCACGTTGGCGGCTTGCATAAGAGCGTGGCGTCGAGGAGACCCATCTCTTGATACAGCTAGGATAGCACCAAAACCCAGAGTGGTATTTGCCCTTGCATGAGTATTCAGATCGTCCTGATCAGTATGCGCCGACGGGCCTGGCGAAGGTGCGGGCGCAAAGGAGGCGTGGTCGCGAGCGCGATAAGAGTAGAATACCAGGGCAGCGATGGCGAAGAAGAGGAGCAGTTGGATCGGACGCGCTCGGAGAGCGGGCATTGCTGTTATAAGGGTACAGGATGGCGCATTGCCTTTGAAGACACTGCGCAGGCGACAATGTGAGGCCTGAGGTAGAGGGTAGAGGAGGGAGAGGAGGAGGAGCTGGTAGTTGCGTCAGTGGTGTTCGTGGCGGTGATGGTGATGGTGATGGTGATGGTGATGGTGATGGTGATGGTGATGGTGATGGTGATGGTGATGGTGATGATGATGTGGTGGAGAGACGCGGAGTTGGGCGGGTGAAGTCTCACTCACTCACTCGCTCACCACCAGCAGAACGCAGGAAGGTAAGATGACGGACAAGGATGAGAGTTGGGTACAGGTATCTTCCAGGTTGTTGCTTGCAGATGAGGATGCAGATTCAGCGCATGCAAGCCCGGGACTCGCGTGAGGAAGTTCGAGCAGGGAAATCTGGGGAGTTCTGCCGCAGCCGGTTCATCCAGTTAGCGAAAGCCCACTAATTAACGATACCAAAGATGGACAGGTGGACAGGTGGGCAAGTGGGCAGGTGGGCAGCCTCCAGTAATTAGCCCCTTTGTGTGGCGGGTCGAGGTTCTACAGTATAATCACTATTAGGTACTAATTAGTAGGTAGTAGACGATATTCCCACTCCAGGTATGATGATGACATCCATGCTCGTTCCATTCTGCTTGCCCGAGGTCCACACAACACCAAACTTGATAATGCGCCCACTCGACGTGTCAGACCATCCATCTGTGTGTTATTGATGTCGGAGATCCTTGAAACTTTGACGAAAGGAGAGCCTCCACCAGCTAACGCCCTGGCTGCTCTGTTTCGAGTTTGACATTAGCATTGACAGCTAGCTGATTGTGACCACTCTCTGTGCCTCTGTATGTCATCGCCATCGGCATTTTACAAGACATTCTGTCATGCTCAATGATGCACGGCCATGTCCATATATAGAATAGATATAGCATCATGCTGCTGGACCAGAGTAATTAGATAGTCATATTCACATTATAGTATAATGCATTACTTTGAAGAAAAGATAATAAGTAGGCTTCGAATTTTATTATATTGCTATAAATATAATTTGTTAGTAACTGGAAGAGACTAGTGATAGATACAATACATTACTGATGACTAAACCTCTCCTAAGCTTCCAGTGCCCTGCATTAAGTTCTATTATTACCTGGTGTGTTTCACGTCTACTAATTAGGCTATGCCATACATGGAGCCTTTCTGTAGCATAATTCTGTCCTTCTACGCTTTTGCAGGTTAACCGTATCAAGTTCTCTACCTATCAAACTTTATACGTGAGCCTATGGACTATCCTATTATAGAATACATGGATAGTTACCCCATTCTTCTGCGGTTGAACTTACTGCTTACTTAGAGTCGCCTCGAACTATTCTTCATCTTACAAGATAGCTCTCTATTATATTAGCTAGAACTCTACTATGCAAGCGAGACTAAGAGGCTTGATATAAGGAAAGACACTGGCCGGAATACTATACCTAGCTTACTTAGTAGATTGTACTCGTATTACTATAAAGTACTAATTCGAAGACTCCTTAGTAACTGCTCCTAATAAACCATCTAAGCTATTCCGTGACCTCATGTTTGAAGATGCGCAGGCTGCGATACTTACGCCTCTCTTCATACCAACACTCCTACACAGCGTCTCCTCTTTCAAACAGCTGCCACCTTGTTTCCATCAACTAGCCAGTATCGACGAAAGATCGCCGACATCGATTCGACCATGCAACCTCGAAGCTATTGCTCGTAATAGTGTCGCCGCCCCCTAGATTCTTCGCTCTTTGACTCGTCCGTCCGAATTCGTACAACCGCGATTCGCGACCGACTCATATTTTTCGCGTAACGGTGACCATCCAGCCTCCATGTGTTCAGTCTTGTAGTCAATACTGGCCTGAGACTCCCTCTCGACATGGCAACACTGGGGTCACCCTCACCTCCGGCTTCTCCGTCATCTCGCCGCCGTCGAAACTTCGCACGCAAATGCGAGCGCTTTTGTTGTAATATCATCCTGTATTTCCCTCTCTCTTTCGTCTATGGCTTGACAACATGGGCTGTTTGGGTGGCGGTAAATATTGGCTTGACCCCGAGCAAGGCCTGGACAGGTACGCTGGCTTGAACTCAAATATAAAGAAGACATGTTGACGCGGGTCAGGTCACTCTTCCAACGCTCTTGCGATCTCCCTCTACCTCCTGTTGAACTGGAGTTATACCACCTCCGTATTCACGAATCCTGGCTCTCCGTCTGACCTCAAATCTGGCTATAGCCAACTCCCCACTACCGAAACGCCCGCTTATAGTTCCTTCACCGTCAAGTCCAACGGTGACATACGATTCTGTAAGAAGTGCCAAACGAAGAAGCCTGACAGATCACATCATTGCTCAACCTGCAATAGATGTGTATTGAAAATGGACCACCATTGCCCATGGTTGGCTACTTGCGTCGGCCTACGAAACTACAAAGCGTTCCTTCTGTTCTTAATATATGTCTCGCTGTTCTGCTGGGCTTGCTTTGCAGTCTCAATGACTTGGCTATACAGTGAAATTTTCTCTGGTGGGCAATACATGGAGTCACTTATGCCTGTCAATTTTATCCTCTTGGCAGTGCTGTCAGGCATAATCGGGCTGGTCATTACTGGTTTCTCTGCCTGGCACATATATTTGGCAGTGACAAATTACACTACCATCGAGAAACTAGAGAGGACGCGCTACCTGTCACCGCTCCGCAAATCCATGCAATACCACCCACCTGATCGTAATTACATCCACGCAAACGGTGGTCGTCAGACCATCGGCGACCAGATCCATGAGATACACGCCAATGCGCTACCTGGGATTCTTCGTCCAGAAGAAGGCCAAGACTCAAGATCTGTATCGCCGGCAATGAATGGCGGCTCTCCAGCTCAACAATCACTGCGCAGAAATTACCATCACAACTCAGAACAACAAAGAGAAGTAGACCGGTATGAGGAATACTTGAACGAGCAAGACATGGAGAGCTTACCACACGCCTTTGACCTGGGCTGGAGGCGGAATTTGGCTCATGTCTTCGGCGACAATGCACTACTATGGCCCGTGCCGATTTCTACAACTATCGGGGATGGATGGTCGTGGGAGCCCAGCCCCAAATGGACGAGAGCACGCGATCAAATACGACGGCATCGCGAAGCTCAAACTCGAGCTCAGAAAGAGCGGGAACGAGCCGCGGGATGGGGCCATGAGAGTGACACAGATGGCCTAAATATCCCAAAACCGAACTGGTACGGCTACTCCGCAGGCAGCCAGGATGATGGCGAGGATGGCAGGTACTTGACGACCAGCAGTGGGGTTACCACCGTAAGAGGTGCTGGCCGTCGCTCGCCTGGGAAGGCAGACAGCATATTAGGCCGCCTGCCCGGCACGTATATCGAAGATGGCCAGGGCACGCCAATGCAAGACCTCGGTCGGCGAAGGGGCAGGCACGACGACGCCGATCTATTCGAGGATGAAAACTACGACACAAGCAGTGACGAAGACCACGCGAAGCGGAAGTCAGTGCCACCCCCAAAAGCGTACCCGATAGCTAAAGCCAGCTCTACCACGTCGAATTGGAATGACGTGCCTGATGAGTACCTGAATGGAGAGAGCAGGGGTCGGACAGGCACGTCCTCGCGCAGCCGTGACCGGCGGACACGAAACGAGCAGGACTGGGATAGTTGGAGCCCGCGGTGAAGAAGGAGTGTTTGTTCCCTGAATGTTTTTCAATGTTTTGTCTACCAAATGCATTTCTGATAGCGTATTTTGGATGCATTTTTTGGGGGCTAGCGTGATTAATCAGAATCATCATTACTCAAAGAAGAAATCCGTTGCTATATCCTTCCGCTTCCTTTTATAGGTCGCGGGGTAGCTTTGTTCCCTTGACTATTTTGCACACACCAAAGACCTTTTTGAATCCTCTGCCGCTGGTGAATTATGTTCACCACTAGGGTCATAAAAGGCCATCCATCATGGCCCGGCACAGACGATGTGAAGAGTAAGAATAGCTCAGCTTTGTAAGACTCTATAAAGCCTTTTGCTTCCAAGAGACTTTTGGATGGGTCAATATGGGTGATTATCCTCAATTTGAGAGGAAATTTAACAGAAACCAAAGATTTGAATATAATTAGCGATAAAGATGCCCGAACACTTCCAAATTCGCAGGCATAGCGAAGACCAACGTGAAGTCCTCAGTAGGCATAGCTACGTCGACACCCCAAAGATCGAGCACCGAAAGAGTATCCAAGCTGGAGGTTACTCTATTTTATTCGTACCTATCTACCTACGTAGCTACCGATGTGTGATCCCGCGGCATGCATGCATAGATAGGTGGGTAATGTAAACATAGGATCCGCATTCTTCATCTTCCTACGATATCCATCTGCAGAAAGGTTCAAAGCCCATATTGTCGATGTGTAATGTAGCGATTGCCGCAGCAGCATGATATTGGAAGTTACATGATTCGAGACACTTAGCTATCTGAGCTGGAATCTATCTTATTTGTCGCGACATGCCCCGGTCCCTCTTTCTTCTCAAGCTGACTATATGGTTGGGACGAGATGACGATCTTTGAGGGGGGTTATATTGTTGGGAGTCGGGACTGCGTTTCGCAACCCTAGATGGTTATATATATATACGGGATCACGAGCTTTGTGGTGGGAGGATTCATATACATCTATACCTATTTACCGGATTCGGTTCTTCCCACGCTCAAGATTCTGGGAAGACTCAGCGCCATCCTCGGCTTCTGGTTCCGGTCTATGGGGACTGTGTTATGAACTCTTGGGATTGAAGGGGGCTGGTGGACTAGGGGTTTGTGACATGAGCAGCGCTCTTCGCTCTTTCGGGGGCCCTGAACGGTCTAATGGCAATATATCTTAGCAATAATAAGGGTTAGTGATGCATTCTTCTCGTGTTATTGAAGGGGTATTTAGGTTCGAGACGAGGTGGCTTGAGACGTGTGCTGAAGGTAAGTGGCAGACGGAGACACTGGGAGAGCTGGGATACAAGTTCTAAGTGGCAATATGGTGTGTGTGACTGGTTTGGCGTTTCTTGGTAGGTTATCTTCGTCAAGGATAGACTCGAGATTCTGCGATGTGTGACTTTCCTTCATGCGTAAGCTGTCTCAAAGCCCTGACTTCATGATATATGGAATGGAAATGATTCTATACATGGAGTGAGATATGAGAAGACAGGACTAAAACAATGTACTTTAATAAGGATGAAAAATATTAGACCATGTCCTCTTTGACGACTATGGTCATGGATCTCGAAAGATCAGAAGGTCAATACCATAATACATCCACTGTGTGGAACAATCATGGATACTCTACAGATCCATCTGGTTTCAGTATAGGAATCTAGTGATATCCGTTGCTCGTCCCTTTCACCATGGACAGAGGCCTGCAATGGTAAGATATCCTATGCAAACTACAGGCTTTATGGGATAGTCGATGCTGGTTACGTCCTGGTTGCTCCCATGAGATCTAATTGCGAATGTATTAATGCTCGTTCTGGGCAATTTCCAGCTATGAATAGAAGAAGATAGAGAAAATAGGTATTGTCTCGTTTGTGCAACCGTGATGTAGACAGCAGTGACAATAGCACGAAAGTAAGCCTGGGCATCTACTTCTAGATGTGTTTCCCAGTGCATAGGTATGTAATATCATCTCTTGATATTGTCCAGGTCAGGTCTATCATCTATCAATGCAGCAGCATGTTGACCATGTACTACCGCCGTGAGGGTCTCATTTGTGATATCCCAATAGTCACCATGTGCGTGGAGTAAACATGCATGTCCGCGAAGTAACTGGAGCGGGACGACTTTGCACGATAATACTGCTTCTCATCCCAAGCGTCGCAACAGGTAATGCACAGGCGGTCTAATATCGTAGTCAAGAGCCATGCACCCCACAACGTATCAGTACGGTGTTGCAAAGGTGTTTCATAGAGGAAGTGGCATTGGAAAGGCCGTGAAGGTTTAGCTATGAGCTTTTTAGTCACGACGATACAGGGGCTACTATTAGGGGTGGAAGTATCATGGAAAGTACTCTACAAGAAACACAGTACGTATGACCTTTGATCCTTGTTAGATGACAGTTCATGTTGATCGATGTGTGGTTGGTGCTGTCGAATGCAAGAACTACATCTTGGCGCTAGTACGTGAACGACCGATCGCAAGTCAAAGCTACAGTTTAAGTTTAAACTCGACCTCTCTCAGTTTCAGCTTTGTCTCATCTAACATAACACAACAACCTGCCAACTTCAACCTTTCGCACATAGCACCTGAGATCGTTAGATGGACGCGTCGAAGCAGCCACTTTAATTAGTGGCTTCGCGATCTCCCGATCTCGAACGGTCGGACATCTGCAAGCTCAAACCCCGGCCGAGTTTTCCGGTCGCGGCGAGGGATACATTCTAGAATCTACGCGAAAATCAAGGCTACTTTGACGTCGTCTACACTACCGCGAGGCGAGATATGGGCCCCACTCTGGAGACCTAGTCATGATCTCGTTCCGACTCTGGAATGCCTAGGATTGCATCATGGCAATGTGCGTGACCTCAGGGCAAAACTCAAGATAATTAGCACCTCGGCGGACAGCACTGAACCAAGCTTTCTGCCACTGGATAACCTATTGAGTGGTACCCATGAGCATTCCATGTCCGCTATATACAATCGGCAGATGCGAAAGCACCCAGACTCCCCATCGCCAAAAGCCCACATCTCCGCTTCGCAGTTTCGATCGGTCGAATGCCCCGACGAACCAATAAATTCTACATACGGTAGTAGTTATTAGCACCCTTGATAACGCTGCAACTCTACCCTTGAGGGGGGGGAGGGGCCGGGCCCTGAGCGCGGCGACGCCCCGCAAAGCCACCGACGTAGAGGGAAAGACACGGGTCCGATCTCCCGCTGTCTAGAGATCGCGACAAAGCTGCGATCGCCATGCCTTGCCGACTTAGCGCCATTCGTTCTCAGGGCAGCAGGGGTGGAGGGGGCAAGGTGAAGAAAGAATCGCAGTGCCGACCGCTTCGGACAAGTATGGGAAATGAGAAAAGAATGGCACGATCCGAGGAGAGGTCACGGGGGGGGGAGCCGTGGGATGCATCCATCCATCCATCGCATCCTGCAATAACTGGTACTGGTCACGATCCGTGTCTGGCCTTCGATTGCTGAAGGATGAGGTGTGTTGTATTGGAAAGAACCCACCCCCATCGACGCGACCCAGACGCCCGATCGGACGTTGAAGGTGAGATGTCTGAGGCAGACAGGGCTACTAGTTGCAGAGCAGCGAGACGATTGCATGATGCGGATGCGGTCTCTCGCCATGTCTTGCTTTTGCACGCACCTCACATAGCGAATCCCGGTACATGCTGCTGACATCCATCTCTTCAAAGGATTATCAGGCTGCAAACCAGTGCGATCGAGTAGAGACATCGCCGCGTACCGCCATTCTCCTCCTGAAATGTTGTATTTCCCGGGAGGAGGTGTCTGATGCACGATGGACGAGAAGAGGAAGGTGTACGCCTGGTATAATTATCCTTTCGCGGTTGGGTTGGTATATTTCGCTCATACCGGTATACTCAAGCCCAGCATACCCAAATCTACGTCCAAAACTGAATCTCCTTTCTCCCAAGTAATTAAAACATGCCACATTAAATCTATTTCCAACACCGCGTCCTGACAGCCTCAAAAGCCAAATTTCCAAGTATGTCCAGCCATCCTCGCTCACCGTGTGTCAGACTGATATCAAGCCCCTCCCCTCAAGCCTTGCCAGAAAAACAGTCACCCAAAATAAATCCCGTTGTGTCAAGGAAGAAGACCCCTTCCGGACTTAAACCACATTAGGCCCATATGGCTTTCATCTTCCCCATGAATCGACGATCAAAAACATCCTCATTTTCCCCTCGCTGGAGTCTTTTGTACCTTGCAAGTAATCAGATGGCTTGAAACTGAAACCGCCTCTGCCTGGCCGGCCGGCCGGCCGTGTGCGTGTTTGCATGTGCGGCGCCGCCGGGTCTAGAACAGGTGTTCTCAGCATCTTCAGACTACATGCATGCAAAATACATAACCTGCATACATACATTCCAACATACATACATACATACATACATACATACCTCACACATACATACATATATAACCTACCCGTCCCGTATCGACGATGCCACACTATCCAGCCTCGCAAAACGCCCCCCGTCGGACCTGATAGACGGCCCGTTAATTACAGCACACTCCTCCTTCAAACCCAGGAGGAGGAATCACCATATGGATGTGCTAATAATTAATCACTGATTCGCAATGTCCCCTCTGTTCTGCACGCACGCCACCTGTGTGTATGTATCGGGTGATCATGCGATTGAAGAAGGGGGGTTTAGGCCCAGGACGCGGGGGATGATGGCGTGCTCTTTTGAGTCATTTGATCGTGGAGTGCATTTGCTCTGTTTTGCTGTGCTCTGGTCTGGTTTGGTCTGGTCTGGTCTGCTCTGCGCTAGTCTGGTATGGTGTGGTATGGGCTAGTATATTGTATGGTGAGGAGAAGAGCGCGATTGAGGAGGAGGTATTGGTGATGGTGATGGTGAGTGAGGATGCTGGATGGATGCCCGGTGTGGGGATCCTGGAGATGCTCGGGCACCTGTACATCGCATGGCATGGCGTGGCATAACATAGCATAGCATAGCCCACGATCGAGGGGTTTAGTTGGTTAGGTAGTTAGTTTGGTCGTTGGTTGGTAAATGGTAGTGTGGTTTCGCGGCTGCATCCATCCATCCATCCATCCATCCGTCCATCATGTCAGGACACATACACACCACACACACACACACAATAATAGACACAAAACCCACAGAAGTCGACACAGAAACGGAGCAATAACATCAGGCTCGACGCGGTGTCGCTCGCCATCACATGCATGCATGCATGCAGCTCTGCACACCACCTCTCTAGACTCCAAACAAGCCCCGGTTGCTTATCCCATTCCATTCCCATTTCCCATTCCACTCCATCTCACCAACGGAACAAGCCATATTGCTTTCCCAAGCAAGCAAAAGCGTCAGAGACAAACCTAAAAAAAAACAATCCTAGTTTTCTGGTCTCTCGCTCTTTCGCTAGTGCAGTTAGTTTAGTAGTGGGATGCGATAACAACGCTATTGTGTGAATTAAGTAGCACCCCCCAAAAAAAAACAGGTCCAGTGCATTGCTGATGACCGAGCGAGCGAGCGAGCAGGTAAGCAAGCAAGCATCAGATCGTATATTCGCCACCAGATCGTGCTTATACATGCGATGAGAATTATAATACACATGTACAGACACAGACACAGACACAGACACAGACACACACATGAACTCGTATGCAGTAAACAACAAATCTGAATGTGAATTGGATGAATAAATGGAATATGATGAAAATCCATCGCTCAAAATGCTACACGACAACGCCCGATAACACCGCGCTTTTGTGCTTGCTATACCGAAAACAGTCCCATGTCAAATACAGTAGAACAACATAATGAATCCTTCCCTCCATCCATCCATCCAATAATCGCCGTGCAGCAACATCGCATCGCAGCACATCACTATCACATCGGCCCATTGGGCAGGCAGCATATCATGAGACCACCCACCCACACATACAGACACGCGCACGCACCTTCCATCCCATCCCATCCCTCGCAAAACCCGATGTTACAGAAGATGGGGAATTTCGTGTCCGACATCGACGATGTGAAATGCCTTGCTATCGGCGATGGAAGAAAACGCGTGCTTGTGTGCGGCGGTAGGTGGCGCGCGTGGTGTGTTTGGGTGGACGCGGGAATTGGATATGTGCGCGGCATCGAGAAGTATGTTGTGCATCGACGTTTTCCCCTGCCCCGCTCTTTCCGGCCGCGTTGCCGTTGAAGTAAAGTGGTCGGCACGTGTCGCGTGTCCTTCACGCCTGGAACAATCGAGGGTTTTGCGGGCGGGATGAGGTGTGCGGGGGGCTGTGCTGGAGGCTTCGCAGAGCACCATCCGCGGTACGAGTGCGAGTGCGAGTGCGAGGGCGAGGACGTTCTAGGAGATAATGGGTTGTGTGGGTGTGTTTGTGTATGAGGGGTCAAAGGTGTGTAGTTATTGACGACACATTTTGGTCGTTGCATGGTTTTGGTGGTGGGTTCAGGTTGCTCGTTTCGGGCTGCCGGATAGTTGGCCTAGCGATGCAAAGGAGTTTGTCAGTGCAGAGTAGGACGAGGCTTCTCTGCTGCTGATTGAGTCGATGGAACTGGTTGACGAGGACCGAGATTGTGAGTTGGTTGATGCTGCTTGGAGGTTGAGAGTGACACATGATTCACAACGTCCGCTTGCCATGTTGCACCGGCCTCTGCAGCCACGTTCGTAGTTGACGCAGGAAAACATTGTGGATGAGTGTTGTGTGAGTAGGTTGAAAGTAAGTGTGTTTGTGTGCGTGTGTGTGGTGTATGTATGTGTGTGTTGTGTGAGTATGGTCGATGATAGTGTAAGACGGACTTTTTATATTATGACCGAGTCGAGGTGTTCAAACTTTGTGGCTTGTAGAATCTCAAGGAATCAAACTGGAACGAAGGGGAAAAGCCAAATGGTATATATAAACACGCGTACCGGTTTTGCACCGCCAGGGGTCGGACGGATCTACCTGGATGCTCGATGATGTCTTTTTCTCGATCCCTGGGCCATGTCTCTCAACTCGGGCTCCCGTCACAAGGCGCCAAGTCCTGGAGGCTTTACCAAATCCGTGCGGTCTACATGGCGGCCCTTGGCGTTAGCGCTGAGCCTTGAGCAGGATTGTTTCCTATCACCGTGCGATTGGTCATGATGTTACTGACGCCCGTATCATTCCAGAGCATCGGGCCTTCTGGCCCTCCTCCAGACCTGTCACCTACGAGCCCGATACTGTATCTGCCACTTTCTTAATTTTCTTTGACAGCTCAGGAGCCCACTCTTTGCTTGACTTTCGTATAAATGCACGTGTTGCAACCTGAGTGTGGGTCTAATGACTTTTTTTGACTGCGTCGGTGTACCGTGTATCCACACCCTGTGCACTCTTCAGACATACCAGGGTCAAGGGATCGAGACAGTCCCTGCCCATCACGGCTCCTTTTTTCATGCTTGATTTTTCCACTGTTGGCTGGCTGCGTGTACGTGGCCTCTCCTGCCTCTGTCTTGTGGCTTTTTCTCCACAGCAACGGTTGTCGTCGTCCAAGGACTCGTACAACGTTGTGTTTAGGCAGGCAGACTTACATATCGCTGAGTCAACACCATGACGCCATTGCGCACAATATGCAGAAAGGCGACGCCGTACAACTATCGCTACCTAGTAACAAAGTGCGGAGAGACCAACCATGTCTCGCCGGGATCGGCCGCAATGCTTCACGAACCCGAGATAGCCGGTGTCCATCACTGTTATTTTATGTGGACTTCTAAGCATTCGTGTGTGAAAGATTGGGAGATTTTCGGGCACCATGGGAATGAAGGCATGCATCACCCCAACCTGACAAAGGCCCTTCTTATTTTCTTTTCGTGTTGCATGGAACCCCAGTCAACTTGATGCACCTCTAGCCAGGACACAGCCTCAGCCCCACTTTGGATTTTGTTGCAGAATTCATATGTTGTTGTTACATGAATAGTTCATTTTGTTTCGAATTGTTCCACGCTTTGGTCCTCGGACGCGTCTACTTGTTCCAGACTCTCTGATCAGCGCCCCGTGCTTTCTCAGACAGGCGAGCGAATTCATAGCGACAGCGCTAGAATTGCCGAAGAAGCCTGTGGCGTGCGAGCTTTGACATCGCTACTTGTTTCATTGTCGAGCAGGCCCCGCCTTGTTTTACGAAAACGCGCCCAAGATGAGGCTATTACCAACGTCTATCTCATGCTGTTCTTATTTACGGAGTGTGTAAAAATTTGCGTAGAGAATCAAAATTTCGCCGTCAACGCCGTGCCTCGGCGCATCTTGAACGTCGTAAGCGAGCGTGCGCTAGGCAAGTTTTCAAAGGGGTTTCTTCTGTAATAAGTCCTTGAGACTGATTGCTCCACCGCCAACAAGATAAAGACGGTCCAGCTTAGCGGAATGTATCGCGACATGTACGCTTTGATTGCCTATGTCGTCGGCAACAGCGTCATGGCAAGACTAGCCAGCATGCCACAGAGGAGAGGAGGGTGATGAAGTCGAGAACAAGAAACGTGGGTACGCTTGGGTAGATTAGAAAGCCTAACAAGACCGAACGACTTAGCTGAATGCAGTGAAAGCTAAATACGAGTAGACAGACGGTCGGACTGTAACGTGATGGTCTTGACTGCCGACGTTAGATGCAGTCTGTAACTTTTCAGAGAACGCGGAGCCTGTGATATGTGGGCAGCAAAGATGTTCCTATAGCCTGAGCATCGTAGAAGCGGTTCCCAGTGATAGGCAAGATATTACTATCCTAGCCGCGTTATTCAACCATGATCTCGCCGCGGCCTCTTGGACTCTCGATCCTCCGATGCCAGTGACCGTTTCCGCTCACCGAGTGCAGCAGAATTGGCACCTGTGGCACCAGGTCTGTCTGGTCTGAATCTATCATCGCTGTTGTTGTATGAACCGCCGTTCTTTCGGTCGTACCCATAGTCTGCCCATCTACCGGTATCTTCTGACTTGAGATCCTTGTAACGTGTACGTCCTTTCTTTCCCAGTTTCGTCATGTCCCTGATACGCATGTACTCTGGCAGCGTCTCTTTATTCGTCTCGTCCACGAACTTGGCGCCCATGATGTCGCGATCCAGAAGACCCTGAGCAGCCAATTCATCTGTGAAGAAGGCGCCTTTGTGGAAGTATTTCTGCATGTATCCAGCCTGCGGCTTGTCGGAGCGGTCCTCCTTGTCGCGTGCTATTCTCTCCGCATCCTCGGCCTCACGTTCTGCTGCAGTCATGTTGCGTCTTCGCTCGCGCTCGGCCAGCTCAGCCTCGTATTCTTCAATTCTGGCGCGATCCCTTCGTATCCTAGATAGTTCCCGCAATTTCCACGCTGCATATTCGGCCTCTACGTCTCGATCGTCGGTATCGTCCACGGCTTCTTGCTCCTCGAGGTCACGGTCCTCGTCGTCCCAATACTTCTTGCCCGCTGCTTTCTCCGCCGCAGCTCTCTCAATCTGCTCCTGTATAAGCTCATCCGCTTCAGCTTTCCGCCGCGCTTCTTCCTCTTCGGCCTTTTCCTCTTCTGACTTCTCCGGCACGGTACCTCCGTTTCTTTGTGCCTTCTTGATGAAGACAGGTCTGATAAACTTGCGTCGAGTATCCTCCTCCTCCTCACTGCTGCTTTCTTCTGATGATGATTCTTCTCCGCTTTCACTCCCGCTCTCGTTCTCATCCTCTTCATCCTCTTCGTTCTCCGTCTCAAACTCGTCCTCCTCCGCTTTCTTCTTAGCGGCGGCTGCTGCCTGAGCTTGCTGATCTCTTCGCGTCTGTGTGTTGAGATCGACAGCCTTGAGGGTGGTTGCTATCTTGGAAGTATCCTTGGGAAAGGATGTAGCTTTGGGGGGTGGCGCATCTTGACGTGATGTTTCTTGCTCTTCGGGATCGTCGTCCTCAGATGAATCTGATTCATTGGGTGCAGCAGCAAGCGCTTTTCCAGGGCGATGTCGCGCAGGCCGCACCGGATTCGCGGTCATTCGTTTTGGTGGCATGGTGGTGGAACAGTAGCTTTGTAGCTTTGGTAGAAGCTGTCGAAAACGCGTATCTGGTGGGAGGAGGGTATGGAGGGCTCGTCAATTATACTGTTACCGTTTTGGGATACCTAGAGAAGAGGAAGAAGACCTCAGTGGAATGTTTCGGGACGAGTTCCTGCCTTAGACAGTGCAAAAGGTGTATGTGAGTTAATGTTCGTAGAAGTCGCGCTCGCGTTGTCCACTACTTTTTCCGAGAGCTCCATCTGACGCATGGAGAACCTCTCCCGGAAAGGACCCTGCAGCGCTAAGCCTAACAAGGAAAGTCCGCACAATCACGTCCAGTCCAATTCCAATATAAAATGGGGAAACGCCCTATAGCTCCACTCATGACCTGGTAGCAGACTCTAAGAACAAAATGCAAAAGAAGATGCATCGACCGGGAATCGAACCCGGGTCGAGTCGATTCCAATGTGACTGGCAACGACTCAGTATACCACTAACCCACCAATGCTGTGATGTAGGCAAATGGCAAATCTTGATATATGTATTTTGATGATGCCTCCTGTACTTGACACAGTTATACTTGGTTCCACTATGTGACATTCTTGCTCAGATCTTCTCCGGAAAGGCTATATACAGGAAAGGAGCTCTATGGCACGTCTAGCGCCAATTTGCTGTAACTCAAGACGCAGATATACTTGTCACATCACGTGAATCCAGTACAACTCATTCTATACAAGAATCAAACTTTGACGACGCACAGGAGACGAACGAGAAGACGAGAGCCCCGAGCATGCAGAACCGGTGAGCGAATGATATCAATCTTCGAATACATCCGTCTCTCAAGATGGTAAACGCTTGGGTCCATCTTATCTTGGAGAGACGGGGGAGGAGATATTATCGAGGTTTGTGCGAGGCTGATAGGCTTACAGGCCTTGCAGAGTTACATATCAGAGAAGGATGAGTAGTTGAGGACAGGGACATGAAGTGACAAGACACATGCAGACACGGCGTACGAAGAGGAGACACTGGGAATGAGCGATTTTGAGCAGAACGTTTATTAAATCGTGGACGTCTGAGTCCGGGTATATTTTATTTTCATCGTCCCTCATGTACCAGTAATAGGCTTCTGACCGTATACGACGTAACTGTAAGTGGTTGGTGAGCATGGTACTACTAAAATCAGTCTTTGAGCGAACGACTTACATTGGCCAGTAAGCATGGATCCTCGGATTTTGGATCTCTTTCCTACATCCCATAAGGAGAAGTTCAAGTTCTTCTGGGGACATGCCCAAGACTTGGGTACACAAGCGTGCAGAGAAGCCGTGAAGACCATCTAGAGTGTTGATCATGTTCCATTCCCCGAGTTGCTTGAGCTCCTTGTCCTTTGGCCAACGATTTTGCGGCCATTTGTAGACGATTTCCGTCACATTTTGAAATCCTGCTTCGATCATGAACTCCTTATACCGCTCCGCCCAGCTTCCATCTCGTTTCAGCGCTTTGAGAGCATCACAAAGGTACTTGTTGAGTCTTTCGAAGTGGGTACCATCCATTGTGCCGTCGTCGGCCCGTACTGGAAAGGCAAAATCTTGGAGCTCGTACCAGCCACCCGGCTTCAGAGAGTCGTAGACCCGTGAGAACAGTGCTGTAGGGTTACCAAGTGAGCCAGCTAGCATTCGACCGTGAATATAGTCAAACTTTTGAGGGAACGTCCATTCTTGGTCAAAATCATCAACTTCGAATTTGCAGTTTGGTGGGACATATGGAGGTTGTATGGCACTGAGATCGGTACCAATTACATTGGCCTGAGGGAATTCGTCTGCAAAGTCCATGGCCCATATTCCGGTACCAGTGCCAATGTCGAGGGCGTTAAAATCGTCTGTACAGTCGAGAGGGGCATGGTAGAGCTGACGGTGCATAGTCTTCAGGAAGATCTCATGCTGAAGGTCCAGCCTCTCCTGCTCCTGGTCGTCTTCCGGGATGAAGTATAGGCCATCTTGGTATTTGTGGTAGCCACGGCCATTCTCCTCGACGCTTTCCAGTATGCTTGACCTCAGACTTTCGGTATATGTGGTGGAGACGTCGTCACCCAGAGCAGAGTCGGATTCGAAAGAGTCGGCGTCGAGTGGATCTGGATTGCCCTCGTGAGGAGCGTGCAGGTGTTGAGGGTCGGACTCAGCGGGAAGCTGGATAGCGTCCGCCATAAGGGCCGACGAGGAAACGCGCGGATGCGGCAAAGGGTGGAGTAGTAGTGGTGTAACAGGCTTAAGATAGATCAGTGGGTGTGCGACATAAGGGCGTTTAGGATTGAAGCGGTATGACACACGTGAAGACGGGGGTCACAAACGCAGCCTTCCAGAGGGCGAGGACGGCTCGTATAGTGATTGGGGGGCGCAGGTGAAAGAGAAATGGGCTACGCCGCGCGAAGGTCCAGAAGAGAAAAGAAGAGCAGTGGCATTCTTAACAGAGATGGGTGAGGTGCCTGAAGTTCGGTCAGGTAAGTGGATGGGAATGGTCCGGAGTGTGTGGGCATGATGGGAAGTGACATGGGATGGAGCGTGGGCATTTGAACATGGAAGCTAACTTAGACTCATGTACTATCGACGAACGTAGGCAAGAGCGAGCGGGTCGAGCGCCGGGCCTTCCCAGTCGGGGCGCCTTAGACTCCCCGGTGCCGTTGACGACGGACTGCTTGATGGCTGGAGCGTATGAGACTATGAGTAGTATAGAGGTGCGGGTGTGTGCATGTGCGCAGAAGAGGAATGGCGGAGAATGGTGATAATTACGGTCGTTGATGATTGAGGAGGGGATGAGGGAATATGCAGTGTGCAAGCTGTGTCAATGTGCAATATGCAACAATATGCAAGACTGTACGTGATATGGGTCTATGAGCGGGTTGGCGGTCAGGAACAGGGAACTGGCAGTGGGGAGAGAGCACGCAGGAAACTGGGGCAGTTTGGGGCAGTTTGGGGCAGTTTGGGGCAGTTTGGGGCAGTTCGGGGCGGTTCGGGGGGCAGTTTGGGCGAGTTTGGCAGTCTGCGGCGGCCGGTGGAGCTGCAGCACTGCATCTGGGTGTGGATAATGGCAGCTAATCATGTTTGCTGTTTGCCTGCTCTTCTGGGCTGTTTGCAACGGTTTATCTGCCGACTATGGCCCTGACAACAGTGCATGCATGTACTGTATTAGCCATTTCCGAGTATGATTGCATACCGTATGAAAATACAATAGGATATCGAGCGGCACAGTACTACTCTTGAAAGCTCTCTCGCAAGCATCAGGGTACAATGGTACATCCATCTCGCCATCTTGGACCTCGACCAAGCACGCTAAGCCTTGTATGCCTTCTTCACACACACAGTGACAAACACACACACATACACACCACACATCTATGGAGACATCAAGGTCTATTTCATCTGCAGCGGACGTGTAATGAACCTGACTTATTAACGTAGGTCTAAAAGCCTCTCCGATGTAGCGTCGTTCGGTCGCCCGTCGGCCGTAAGAATGACAGCAACCACTAATAATGACCCTGACAGTGACGGTCGACAACAGACGGTGACAGTGCATACTCGAGTCAGTGTCCATGTCAACTACAGACGAGCAGACTGACTACGCAAACTGCTCACACAAAGAAATGTTTCGAGGCCAAAATCAAACGGCGCAAATGCCAGACAGTGACAAGTTGAGCGGTGATGATTCGAAAGGCTATATCAATGCAGCTAAAGCTCCTACAGCAGCCACAGAGCCACAACTCCTCTAGTCTCTCTCCGCTCTTCAGCTCCCCAACTTGGCTCTCCCTTACTAACCAGGGCTGTAAGTGAAGTCGTGTCGCTTACGGCATGGCGACCCTTTTTCCCTCCACACTCAACCCATGCCATGCCACTGCAGTGTCCACCGTTCGCCATAGCGGCACATCCATACTCTTCTTTCGGGAAACCTCTCTCAGCAGCATGCCGTGAGTTGTCAGTCATCAGCCAGCAAACAACAAAAGTCATAAATCTTCACTCGCCCAGGACCGCGCTCAGGACTATCCTCGTGAGGCAGAGTCGTCGTACACGTATTGTCACATCGCCAGTCATCTGCATTAGCATCTGACTCGCATGCCATGCAAGAAGAGCTGTGCGTTTGGTAAAGAGCTATCAAGGTCTCTAATCTCACGCCCATCGCCCATGGCACGCCGAAACGATGAAAAGACACGATGGATCCAGGAATGGAGGATGAAAGGGCCCGGGGTCTGCTGCTAGGGATCCTCGACATCGCTCAACCACTCGCAACACCACACTGTCCCATTCCACATGTCACGGACACTGACCCGCTTGCAAAAACAAGCTTCTGTTGTATCGTTGCTCCTGCTCGAAACACACCGTATTGAATCTACGTATAAACTTACTAAAGTCACCGGTCTCGCCTGGTTCTCGGCGACTAGTCCTTTCCCTCTCAAGTGACAAGCCGTCCTTTTCACCCATGCAAAACTCACACAACAAGCCCTTGCAAATTGGTGATAATGTTATCTAGTCCATCAGACCCCCGCTACTTGCTTGCTCTCTTGTGTTTTGTATCTTGAATCCTGATGTCACTGCGAGTCCAACATCTATCAATCTCCACAGCCACACCGTCTTCCTCGCCTGTCCGTCATCCAACATGTCTTCATTGCACACGTCTCTTGCAGCTGCGCTTGTGGCCTGGCTCTTCTACCTCCTAGTCTTGACCGTCTACCGACTCTTCTTCCATCCGTTGGCAAGGTTTCCTGGTCCTGCTTACGCTGCTGTTAGTCGCTGGCACGAATGGTACTATGATGTTTACCTCGGAGGAAAGCTCATCTTCTGGATTGAGCATCTCCACAAGGTCTACGGTAGAGAATATTCACCAAAGTCCCGACTTTATAGCAACGCTAAATACTCGTCTGACAGGCCCAATCGTGCGCATTACCCCAGACGAGGTCCACATCCTAGACGCAGACCTCTGGGAGACGCTTTACACGAAAGCAGGGCGGGTCGACAAGTACCAGTATATGTCACCTCGCTTTGGAAATGAGAATTCCGTCTTAACCACTGCCCCGGACGCTCTTCACAGGATTCGAAGGAATGCCTTGAATCCTTTCTTTTCTCGTCAACGAATCGTTGACCTTCAGACCATCATCAAGGGGAAGCTCGACATTCTCATTCGCAAAGTCCAGACTGCGAAGACGAACGGGCAACCCATTGTCATCAGCCGTGGTTTTCAGGCCTTTGCCGAAGATGTGATCATGAACTATACATTTGCTCATGACTATGATTCCCTCAACAAGCAAGACTGGAAGCCCATCTTACATGATTCTTTCCAAGCTGTCAGTATCAGCGGAAACATGGCTCTCCAGTTCCCTTGGATTCCAAAGATACTCAATGCGTTGCCAAAGAAGTGGTTGGCGAAGATTGAACCTTTATATGATCTGATCTTCCGCATGCAAGCGGTAAGTGTTGCACAGCCGGTCGCTCCAATATACCTGTGTAACTTACATCCACTTATACTGCAATAGGACTTCGCCGACCAGATCAAAGCTCTAAAGTCTGGCATGAGTGACGAGCGCATTGCAAAGGCTGGTCATACAACTATTCTGTCCGAGTTGTTAAGAGGCGACCTGCCTGCGGAAGAGCTTTCGAATCTACGCCTCCAAGATGAAGCCCAGCTCATAATTGGCGCTGGCCTTGCGACGACTGGGTGGACTTTGAGCTTGGGCATATATTATATTCTCTCGAATCCAAATGTGCTGCACACTCTACGCAAAGAGCTGAACGATGCCATACCAGAAGCAAACCTCCGCAGTCCAAGTCAACACCTCGACTGGACTAAGCTTGAACGTTTGCCATACCTCATGGGATGTGTCCGTGAGGCAGTGCGCTTGTCCTACTCTACTACATCACGTAATGCGCGCATTTTCAAGACACCCATCCAATTCGGGGACTGGAGCATTCCTGCTGGCACACCTATCTCAATGACGATCCCTTTCCTCAACCACAATGAGGAGATATTCCCAAACTCATATGCCTTTGTACCAGAGCGATGGATAGGTAATCCGAAAGCACCGAATGGTTCAAGCCTGGAAAGATACTTTGTTGGTTTCGGCAAAGGCTCAAGGTCTTGTTTGGGCATCAAGTAAGTAGCATCCATCTGTTGTGCGATGGTGTTGTATTACTTGCAACCGTGTACTGCGGCTCGATACTAACTGGCTGCATTCTAGCCTTGCTCAAGCTGAGCTATACCTCACATTCGCCGCAATGATCCGTTATTTTGACCTCGAGCTTTTCGACACAGACAAGACTGATGTGGACATGGCACATGACTTCTTCCTGCCATTTCCCAAGCTCGACAGCAAAGGTATCAGAGTTCTTGTCAAAGACGACAAGCTGTACCAATGACGATCGACTACAAATGAGACCTATGTAATCGACGTTCTAAAGGCTGCTGCATGGCCAATGCAACACCAACACGTCCCCTAGGTTTAATAATATCGAATGTATAGTTTCTAATACATTCGCTCTACCTACACTCTCTAAGGTCGAGAAGTAAGGGTGCTCCCAATGCAACACAGATTGAGTCACGTCATCGTAACTTGACAAGATGTTCCCTGTCAAGACCACTTATCGCCATCTCGTGTGCAAACTGCGCCGCATATTGACCATCACACGACTTCTCGTAGGAGCCCTATCCAGACACCACGACTTCACCGCCGCTCGTCTGCCCTCGAATCGGCGTCAACACCCACCATCACACGCCTCACGATGCTCCTGGTTCCCTACTACCACAGGCTGCCACATGCTGTACACACCCGGATACAAACTGCTTTAGCCAGGGAAAGCAAGGGCAGAGGACGTACTACGCCCTAATGTAAGCATCCCATGTCACCAAGAGTGTATGACTTTCCAGAATAGGCGAAGTGCATAGGCGCTTGTTGAACATGTCGTTGGAGCTAAATCGTGATATATATTCAAGATGAGGATGTCCAGTGAGGGGGTGGGTAGGTAGGTAGGCAGAATAGAGTAATGATTTCGATTGGGAAGGGTCCATGTATCCAGGTCGAGATACAAACTATCTAATGAGAAGCCGGTATTTCTTCCTTGTTTAAGTCATGACTTCTGCGCGCAAGCAAGGGGAAGATGGAGGATATGATAATTGGTGTCGTTTTTTAGAGGGGGGGTTGAATATTACGAGTCGGCTTGAGGCACGAATTCAGCCTTACAACTGACTACATCCATGTTTACCTAGGTTTTTAGGTAATGAAGCCAACACTAGGCTAAACACGATATATGTATAGTCTAATTTTTTTAATAGCCTTGCCTCTGATGGTATATAATTCAAATCAAGTCAAACTGATTTCCGGCAAAATACATGAAAACAGATGGAAGGGGGGTTTTTTTTGGTATTTTTATTATTCTACTGTTATGATTGACCGTGTGTGGACGACTGGAGATGAGTTGATTATTTTTCGCTTCCGTTTTGTTACTATAATGGTATAGAAAAGGGAGTAACGAGTTCTTTATAGAAGAAGTGGAACTAGGCTTGTTCTGCGACTTACCATCTTGAGTATTGGTAGTAGTTGTATATTGTATTATGACATAATACATATGGAATGGGTTGATAGCTTGGTGGGCAGTGGGCGTGCGCTGAAGATAAGGAATGCTTAGGATTGTATTACGATTACTATACTGGATATACATACATACATACATGTATATGCGCACACGGGCATTTCTTGAAGAATCTCCCATGGTCTAGATTCTCTTTCTCTTGACTCTTCTCTAATTATCTAAAGTCCATACGCAAATCCACACACAAATCAAACACCACCAACGCCGCCGCTGCAGACCGAAGCCTCAGGCCGCACAATCACCTACTTAACCTAACCAACCCTCCCAATCACCCGATTTATAAACACCAAAACTCCCAATATCCCCTTCCAAACCACAGAAAACCAAGGGAAAAAAAAAAGAACCAAAGCCAACGATCAAGCTTGAAACCTAATTAACCTGTGCGTGAAACGCCCGGAAATATGCAAGATGTGCAAAGGTTTGCATTAGTACCCATTCATTGCGGTATGCATGACGGTATGTATGTATGCATGCATGCATACTTTTTTTATGCATGCAGAGGTTGCTGGACGTCCGGGTTACGCCTAGGCGTCGCGGGTGCTCGATGGGATGGGATGAGCTCGATGGATTGGATGACGCGGCTTGGGCTGGTTTGCGCGCTAATTAATTAGGTAGAGTTCCTGTGAGACTGGAACTGGGTTTTGAACCATTGTGATGGATGGATAAGATGGATAAGATGGGGTGGAGGGTTGGATTGATCGCCTGCGCGCTTGCTCGGCCTGTTGCCTGTGTGTGTGCATGGATGGGGCATATGGATGGCGTATTGCATGTGGATGCGTATGGATACATGTGTGCGTCGCCTAGTATGTATGTATGAGGCAGTGAGGCTGCATAGGTAGGATAGGCACGTAGATCGATTTGTCCAGACGAGTCTGATAATTCTTCGATCTACATTACATACAGTACACGCGTCATTGGGACGGGGGACATACACTATGACTTTCTAGATACTGTAGTTGGATAAGATATGTGATCACCCATTCATTCATTCATTCGTTCGTTTGTTTTGGGAGTTGGTTTTTCTTTGTTTTTTGTTTTTTTTTCTCGGGTCAGGGTTTGGGTGTGCCTGGCATTATCCTTGCTTGTTGTCTTATCTAGCCTTGCCCTATGTTGCCTTGCCTGTCCCTGCCTGTGAGTGATGGCCTCGCCAGCCCAGCACCGACCATCTGGAATGTTGGCTTTGGAAACGGAACGGGAGCAGGATAGGCTGGTAAGAAGGAGTTTTGTTTGACAGGGGCGGGGGTGGTTCGCAGGCATTGTGTTGCTATTTTGCGTGCTGATCCATGGCGCTTAGTTTTGCTTGTTTGAGGCGTCTGGGGCTTGGCTTGGGACTGGCAGCAAAGTGCGGTGCGGGAGCCTGGAGAGATCTGGGGATGGGACTTGGCTGGTACCGGCTACGTAGTGGTTGGGTTGGGTATTTGGCGCGTATACTGCTTGGGATGATGGTTTCGCTGGCTCAGAGAGATGGGGTTCGAGATGACTGTTGCTGTTGTTTATGTTGATGTTGCTTGCTGTCACCGTCGCTGTGCTATTGTGCGATGTTGAATTTTTTTGCGTCTGAAAGGTGTAGCAATGCGCCGGCTTCGTGTCGTGCGCGCCGTTAGGTCCAGCTCGGAGATCCATTACTTGCCTAGAACCCAAACAACTTAGCATTCAAGATATCATATGCCTATACGAATCGAGGTATGGAAGATGATGTGCGCATAAGCGATGAACGCTTCAAATCGTTATATGAGACTAGCTTCCGATCATGGGCGTCACTCTACTCTCGTGCAAAGGAGAACCTCCACCTACCGACCAACCTTTTCAATGAGCACACATTCTCTCAGCATCCGTACTTTCCTGAAAACTTACGACTCAAGCATGAGGGAAGCGAGGTCCTTGTGTCGGGTCACTCAGTCTGGAGCTCAACGGCGGTAGCATGCGAGAACCCTACCGGACCATTCCAGCAGCTCCTGCAATTCGTGGTCACTTCAAATGACCCTATCCTGCTTTCGATCGTGGATTCGACTCAGGGTAACTCAAATTATGCGCAGTACTTTGATAACGAAGGTGACTTTCTTGCTGTCCTTGTTCTAGCATGGGCATACATCTTGTCGGCTCGCTGGGCTGAGATGATGCCCGAGTCTTGCTCCATTAGATACACGGAATGCCGGGCGATCATGTGTGATACATCAGAACCCGGGATAGATCCGAATACCATCTCTGTTGACATTGGACCAGCAAGCTCAGAAGAACGTCGATGGTGGACCGCTGTTCTGGCACCAGATCAGGGCTGGCAAGCTACAATGAAGCTAGAGCAAGAAACATTCTTATCACCATGGTCAGTCCGATTACAGTCGGACTTGCATTTCTCCATACAGCAGAAGCCTTCCTCTCCGCGATGTCTCAGCCCATCCTCCTCCGAAGCCTTAGGGTATCTCGACAAGTTCTGTACTCGTCACAACATCGTGGACCAGAGCTATGCTGCGCTAGCCGCTGCACTTCTACTTCCATCAATGGGTAGAATGAATGCCATCCGACTACACGCGCCTAGGGCCAATCCCTACAAACATTGCGTCAGTTCCGAGAGAAATCTGCAACATAGTCGAATATGCGAAGACCACTACCTAGATAGGCTCCTTACAATGAGCTGTAATCCCAAAGGGATACGCTCAATGTTGCTCAGCGCCTTCTTCGAGCCGAGCATCGAGTGCAACGCAGTCACTCCATGGCTACAAGGGGCTCTGTGTGCCATTGAGACACTGACTAGAGACACCCCGTTTATACTAGGGCGTATGTGTATGGAACGAGCACCTAGGCTCGCAATCCTTTGGTTGGGAAGCACCATTTTAGGCCTCAACGTCAGACTTCTACAGGATGTACGGACAGGCATGATACCGATAGACCTACACAGCGCCGTCTGGTCAGACACAGTCCAGTCGTTCATACAGCTACCTACATCCAATCCCGTTGAAAGAGGTGGATTTGTGACTCGCGCAGACGAGTGTCGACTGCTCTTGCTCTCCCAGCAGGGCTATCACGCTCGAGTCCCATTTTGTCAGTGGAAACCGTTTGGCGAGACCGCTCTTGATGACGTCGACATCGAGGTCCGTCTCCACGCAAAATGTGGCAGTCACGGGTTACAATACCAGAGTTTTGTCTGGGAATGCACTGACGAGAACTTGTCCTGTAAATCATCTAGACAAACAGATGTTCCTCCTCCAGCAGACCTGCCTGGCTTAGACATCTGCAGCACGAATGATATATCTATTTCTTACAATGCGCTGGATCGAGACAAAGAGTTTGTCTCGGAGAACGAAACACGGAAAATATTTACCTGGTTGCGCAGCGAGGGTTACACGCGGTCTGAAAAGGGGATATGGGAGCATGAATGGCTTGCGGAATCAGACGATGAGGACACGAGTGTTTTAGAAGATGAGAATGGGAGTTGCGCTAAATATAGAGATAAGTCTATGTCACGCGTGGAATCTTGGTCAGCAGATTGTGAAGACCAGATAAATTAGATATTTCATGACCTGTATTCGGTTCGTTACAAAGCTTCTACCTCGATGCATGAATCAATCAAAAGGTATTGGTTAAATCTTGTGTAGTGCCATAGTAACCGGCTGAGAAGTTGGAATGATATCGTAGTCACTAATGTAAAGCTCCAATGAGTATACAAATCAAGAACTTCAAGATCCAGCCTTGAGTGTATGCTCTTGTGTCTCTATAATCTATCTAAATTTATATATATTGCTGGTATTGTAAGGACGAACATTCTTTTACTGTCATCGCCATATGAAACATAATGAAAGCAGCGCCACACTGCAAAGTCCTGCGGCCATGACGAGGCCGATCCTAAACGCCAACGCTAATCCAGTTCATTCAAATCCTCCTTAATCAAAGTTCTTGCTCAGTCAAAGACAAAGTTGGGATGTTCCCGCCGCGGCCGCGACGGTTCCCGACCTCGTCGGCCCCGCCGATCTCCAACTCGAGAGTATTGTCTCCCCGTCATGGTATTACTCCTTGTACTTGCAACTGTAGGTCGAGACACCGATCGACCACCGGAGCGAGTCGTGGACCTCGATCTTCTTCCCTCCTCATTCATTGTGATCATCGACACAGTGTCGGTCTCGCTATATCGTAACGAATTCGCACGAGAAGTCGTACGGCTGGTACTCCTCGAGAGATATGGTGTGGACTTATGCGCAGCGATAGCCTCCAGGTCCAAGCCGTGCTTTTCGACCATTTGCTCCTGGTGTTTCAGCATGTGGACGGGTCCTCGGATGAACGTCGAGAGGATATCGGCAATGTTGAGCGCCTCGCCCATTGCAACCAGTCCGAATCTCCCACCTCGATACTCTCTTGGATCGTCATCCTCGGTGATTCTGTAGGGCGCGATGCGGAATGTCCACAGGAAGAGTAGGGCGAATAGAGGCATCTCGCAACAGATGACTAGGTTTGGCAGTCCGTACACAACGTCATCCCAGGTCATGTATTCGCTCGGCTGGATTGCCTGGTATCCGGCAAGTGCGGTAATGATGGTAAGCTGCAAGGCATTTACCACAACGATAGACTTGAAGGCAATCATCTTTCTCCAGGCACCATGCGGGCGCAGCTGATCAGATTGTTTCACGTGGAAGTATATTTCTCCCGCTACAGCGAGGACAATGGAAATGTTTTCGATCCAAGCAATCTGGGGCACATGTCAGTAAGTCTTCCATATCGATGCGGGAACACTTACCCATGACTTGGAGAATGCGAAGCTGTTCGATGTATTACAGTACCACCCAGTAGCTTTGGATACGACGGTGATTATAAAGACGATGATACTGACAGGAATCAGTTGTATCGCCAGGTACCAACATAGTTTCAACCATGTGGGACCGGAGTAGTTCTCTTCTCGCATGTGCGAATAGCGCCGTTCCATATGTCGAAGGTGATGTAGATGGTCGTATTTGGTGACTCTGAACATCCGTTCAAAGCCGTCCTCGTTCGATAGGACGCAATTGCATAGGAAGAGAAGGAAGGCGGCCACGGTAAATGATTCGCCAATAAGAAGAAGTGGTTTCAGGTAAGGGGCGGCCTCTTCAAAGATAACACCCAAGAACGACACGAAGACGAACCACTGGATAAGGTATGCGACACGCATGATTCTGCACAACATGTTAACAGCGTTGCAGATGATGTGGCGGTGATACTGACTGTTTCTGCTCTCCGGGAGCACAATAATGGGTCGCATGTCGAGCAATGAGAACCCACGACAAGACACAAGCGACGAAGCCTGCCGAGGCGGAGAGCACAATGGCGAGATCGTGAAACTTGAGGTTTCCGACAATAGGAAGTATTTCTGTCACTGTCAACAACAAAGACTTTCGAGCTGCAAGAAGGTTGCACTTACCATGGTCTTCCACAAATGCTGGCTTCTTAGGACAAACATTCCAGTTTTCATAGATTGTCTCAATCTCTCCTCCTTCCACGTCCCCACCTTCATCTTCCCCCTCCATCAAACGACGCACCAGAGAGAACGCTGCCGAGGAAAGCGACATTGTGGAGTCGTTGCACCAGAAAATGGAAATGTAAAGAACAACAAATGAGAGCTGCGCTGGCCATGCAAGCAGTGAGTGTTAAGAGACAGGAAAAATCAACGACCGGAGTGGCACGAACGACAAGTACAACACAATACAAAGCGGACATTTCGTCCATATCTACCTGCCAACGTCCGGACATCACTGTGGTCGTAGAGTCGAGCTTGGCTGGGGCCACCAGTAGTCGCTAGAGTGATCAGGGGCTTGCGATCCGCTCCCGTCACGCCACATCATGTCCGCCAGTGCCTTCTGCAGGGGCCATGCAGCCCAACGCCAACAGGCTGCGGCTCTTCAAGTGAGGCTGGCATCACTATCAACCACCCATTTCTTAGACGCAGATCATCCTAAAACAGCCATTATTATGATTCAGGCGTCCTGTTGCAAGGCTGATGGCGCACGGCCCGGTATTGTGGCTGCCGCTGGTCCCAGCCGGCGGGTATCAGTCAGCGCCTGCCCCTTTTCAAGGCAACGGGTGTCGTCAGCATTGCCGGAAGAAGATCTAGCGCGTGGGTTTTGAGTACGGTAGTCTGTGCGGATATGCATAAAGTTGTTTTGTGCTATTTCTGGTAAACACGAACCAACGCTGACAATAACATATAACAAGCTATAAAGTCCCTATGCGACTAATAATCAGTCTCAAAAGTAATTAGCATCGCACACAGCTTTGTTCTTAATATTGATCTTACCTTGGCAACGAAGCTAAATACTCCAGCCACTGCAAGGTGATCAGTAGTCCCGTTAGGCATAGCGATAGATAGCAAAAAAGCAGGCTACGTAGTCGTTGCTAGTCCATGCGAAGCTAGAAGATCATTATTTACAACGTTGGCTAACACGTTAGGAACCATCTTAAGGCGTTAGCCAAGGCAACCAATTTACTTCTTCGCACTAAGCAAGAGGAGCCACACGCGGCGCCTGTTAGCATCTTACCTGCGCCCTTCGCAGATAGCAATTCCCTATCTCCTCTCTACTTCTGAATCTTAGCTTGCATACTCAGAAACCTGCTGCTGTTTACTTTCACGGCGATAGCAAAACTCATGGGATTTCAGGCGCTCGAAGCTTACTCTTAGGCATTTGTCACTTTTAGCCTCAATGCTGTAACCACATACGCTTTTCAATGCAAGACATAGTTCACGAAAAGACGAACACAGGTCATGTGTAACCCCACTGTTCGAACTTGATAGAAATAATACAGATTCTGCCATTGTCAGGATCCTACCTCTATTGGGCTCCCAGGATGAGCTATCCGCTGCACTACTAACAGGGGTAATGGTCTTCTTTATATGGCTTTGCATATTCGTCCTCGACATTCTCACAGAGTCGCATGCGTCGAATGCTGGTCGTCCATCATGGTGAAGCCAAACCACGGTCAATTCTCTCGTCCGGGGAAGTCCAAGCCAGGATGACTGACAAAAGAGCGCTCGGCGCAATTCCATACTCTTGAGTCTTGACGCAGCGCCTATTCAACCAATTGAGGTACGGAACATTTGCCTTGAATCCTGGATGTAAAGTAGCCACGAAGAGCTGCGTAAGCCACTCCCCCGTATATCACGCACTTCTCCAATCTGACAGGTACTGGATACATTGCATGAATGAAGCTGAGGTATTTAACCCCGGACGCACTGTCATTCGGGCCGGTTAAGCTTTCACACAGAGCCCGCGATCGTGCTAAGCTATTTCATCAGATCCCCCCAGCTTCTTAGCATTACACGCATGAGTGATTTTCAGGAGCGCTTGCGTGGCTTGAGAGCTCTGTAGAAACGTGAAAAGACGCGTGCTAATCAATTATGTGCAGTCTACGGAGATACTCACCACAGTCCGCACTCCCGCTGAAGGCTTCCTGGAAATACTGGGTCCTCTCGAGACTGGAACTTTCTATCTTGCACGCGATATGGCTCAATATAAAGGACTGGGTTTTCGTGCGTTTGCATCACACTGCGTTTGGCTTAAAATAGTTCCGAGCGAGATTTGAAACCGCATCAGCTCTGCGCGGTCTTTTCAAATTCCATATTATTCCCTGATCTGCGGAAAAGAAAAATTAGCCAGGGTGGGCAACCAAGGAATGGAGCATCATTGATTAAGTATACGCAAGCCCCCTACTAGGCCTCTAAGAGGACTGGATACTGTCACTGGCCTAGATCCATTGTTCGTTGTATCAGGTCAGTTGACAAAGGATGGATGGCTGGACATATATACATATAGAGTACCCACTATATCTATAAACACCAAAATTCGGCAAAACCACGAAAGAACTGAATCGTTATGTTGGTTGAATTGGAAGAGTATCCCAAAAGGGCAGACTAGGTCTGAGATGTAGTTATGGATATGCAAATACTCTAGGCGGAAGGATACTATACGGGCATGTATCATCAATCAGCCATGATACGCGAACCCTAAGATGTCAAAGTGAAATAAGATTTCCACAATCATCTAACCTAAGACCTGAAGCTGAGGGGCATTCTTGTATACGACGACGGGCAGATCTCTAGCATTGTGGATTAGGGAATGTGCGGACTTGGTCTGGTGATCTGAATATTGCAAATACACCAAGATACATTTTAGCTATTGTTATATCAAGAGGTATATTGTGGATGTTATTGATCAGGTTTCCAATGACTGTCATGATGAGGTAGATGTCGAAGACATGCTAGTAAGCATCGCCCCCCCTTGGTAGTACATTATAATCCAGTAGTCGATCATATTGACTTACATGCTGTTACAGCATATCTGGCACGATAGTTATCACATTTGGCCTCTGGATCGATACTTGGAAGAGAAAATTCAAATTTGGATTTGATTGGCCATTTGTCTGGCTCCCTTATATCGCAAAAGGCTCAGCAATGCTACGTGCTCACGTACGCGTATTAGAATATCCCTGTGTCGAGGCTCACGATGTCATAGCTGTGAGACAATTTCAGGGCTCCAATATTGGTGTCCTAATACTGGTGTCCTGATACTGGTGTCCTGATACTGGTGTCCTAGTACTTGTGTCCTAATACTGGTGTCCTAACATTAGTATGCTACCTCGATAAAATTGACTGTTAACATTCTAGGTCCCAGGTGCATGTTGAAATGATTCCCACCTCCTTGACTAGTGGCAACTCGCCACTTTACCACGTCTCTGACTTCATAAGCAGGATGCTCGTTTACACCTTTTTACCTGGTTCTACATTCCGGACTACTGCGAATCCCACAATGTGTCCTACTTAAGCGCTCTTACTAGAGGCAGCTGCATGTATTGATATGCAATGGTGCCTGCTGTGTGCGGATGAGAAAGAAGTGTATCTGCTCATGAGAATATGACAGGATTATGATGAATAGGATCTTTACGTCAAATGCGATGTATGTATGTAGGGTGCCCATGGCACATATAGTAACAACAAATGATATGAAGCGCTCGAGTGTATGATTGCGTTGTTCACAACTCTCGCTATGCTACATCGTGCCAGTAATAAGAACTCTCACGATGCTGTTAGACTGGCTGGTCGCATCTCGCGGATCTGGACAAAATAGTTGGGATGACGACCCAAGAGAATCTGTTATAGGCCCATGTTTCTGAAAGATACAGTCTCTCCTCAATCCACTTAGTGACCTACTCGTAACGCCCTCGCATTTGACCATTTGTAAGTCTATGATAGACATCCAGGGAAAGACCAAGCGATTATTGGAACTTTTTAGAATTAGACATGATAAGGTTCATTAACAAAACTATCTAGTCCAGCTACGGTATATGCATGAATAGCGAGCTTAAGTGGCCTTATTAGTGAGGCTTACATCAATAGAGCTCTCACAGCATCTACAGACTAATCCATGTACTGTGGAGCGATCATGCTTTTGACCTGGCCTCGCAGGCTAGTTGTTCCTACAGTGGCAGTAATCATATGAGTTCATCCAGTTTCAAGTAAGTTTTTCCAACATTCTGTTCCGAAATGGCAAGGGTTGTAGACAGGCAAGTCACGGTCTGCTGCGTGTTTGCAGGGAAATACATCAGCCCAAGAACTCCTTCTTGAAGTTCATGGAGGGCTGTCGTGTACACATTAGTTAATGTTTTTCTATATAAATTAAAAAGTCTGTATAAGCCTTCTGGAAACTTTTGCTATTCCAAATATTTTATGTAAAACACAGCTTGACGAATCACTTCACTGCCTCAGTTGCCCCGCCTTGATTGAAGCCCAGCATCGCAAATACAAACCTCCCGGTGTATCTATTATATTATTCCGCTAGTCACGGAAAACTGCCTTAGCTGAGATATGGTAAAACTTGTCTGCCAAAGAAGTGTTGCAGCTCAAAGCCTCTAGGTCGGTAAGATGAACCTAGTCACGATACGACACGCCGACAAGTAATGCTAAGTACACGGAAATAGTTGGAACTGCAGAAGGAGAAGGCTTCGCACTGATGCAGTCGTCAGACGGTCAGACTTGTATATTCTACGGAATGTCCCACCGTTCTCTATGTCCAGTCCCGGGTATGAGGCATAGCTTTAAATCTCGTCTCCTTTGTTCTTTCCAAGGTATGTGCTACGAGGCCCTGGCACATTTCACTCGATATCTCAATGAAAGGAGACTCCTGATGGTCTCCAGGTATGTGAATCATAAAAGTCGTGTCGTTTTCACCACTGTGCGGGAGCGCCTGGAGGAAGGAGAGAAGATCACTAAGGCTCAGTGTTGCGCACAGGGATGGAGAGCCTCCCTACGAGTTAGCAAAACCGATGTACATACTCACTCTAACCTACTAGCTGATCTCTCTCCTCTTTCGGTGTCCTCATTGTCGCTCAAACTCGGGAGGTAATGCTGGAGGGTTTTGATGAGATCGTTGAGTCCACTGGGATGATGGACATCATCCCACCAGCGAAACAATACCTGTAGGTAGTCTGAGGCTTTCAACTCGCCCAAGGTGCTTGGACTGGTAGCTATGGCACAAAGAACAAATATTTCAGGACTATTAGCCCAGAGTTCGCGCAAAATAGTGCGTGCTCGCTTCTTTGGAGTATTTCGTTGCACTGCGACCTCTCCAACCATGGCTACTTCCGACGCACGCTTGAGAGACTGAAGCTGTTTTGTCGACAAAGGAACACACTGGTCGGTGAAGCGTGCTCTCTCTGCTTCCAATAGTTCGCGGAGCTGATCGCTGGTAGCTAGTTGTTTCTGCGGCATGGATTCTGAGGACTTCAGCGAGATGGTTCGAGGTCAAGTGAGAAGATATGAGATAAACGCCGGTCATATGAAATAAGATCTACGTTCCAGAGTAGAGGTGCGTGAACAATATCTATATTGGACAAGACAAATAGGGCTTGATCGAGAATGAACAAGGTATGCCTGAATTGTTCGAGTTCAAACGACATGTGCATAGCTTGTTCGAGATCGCTTGAGCTCATTTGAGCTTTGTCAGTGTCTTAAGAGCTGTCTCAAGTGATCTTGATCTTTACTTCAACTAATTAGAGCACATTCCATGAAGCAACGTCGTGTCAAGGACTGTACATTCCAAAGCAAGTGGCGGTTGATTTAGACACTACAGCTAAGAGTCACAGGTATAAAATAGACTCCTAGATCTTTGTATGGGTAGAAGCATCTTTAACTCGGAAGTCACAAAGACAAATCTACATCAACCAAACAAAGTTAGGCCTGCAGTGCCGTTTTTCTCCTTGTCTAATCCAATGACATGTTAGATGTGCGGAAATGCCCGGAACAAGTTCAATTGCTCCCCAAAACACGTGGAAGGAGGCGATGATGAATTGAGATTCAAGCACATTACGATGTGTCTGCCTGTGTCAATCAGACTGATGACTACGATGCGGGTCTCGATGAACTGGATGAAGACTGCCCCCGTGTGCAAAGGGGAGACCCCACCTGAGTCACCATAGGAATGGGTCTCGCATGGTGTTGATGACTACTGGCTCGCTGTATACAGGTATACAGATAATCGCTGTTAATGCATTCGCTTGGTTACTCAATGAGGAAACGGTTACCACTGACTAACACCAAAGCGGTTAGCTTGTTGAATGCAGCCCCCTCCTTTATTAGACTTCCCAATTTGCTACACCAATGCTCCGTCTTCGTATCGATCCTCTCTCTCTGTCTCTTGAATATGAGCGACCACTCACCAGTTCGTGTCATCATTGCAGTTTGTGTGACTAATATCCCGGGAGAAATAGGTTACAGGGTTACGAAGCTTGGCGAAATGTTCTCTAGATCTGTGTTGAACCGGCCTCTTCAGCGAGAGATGTCTGCCACGGTCCGCTTTGATTATGCGCATTTTTTGGAAGGCTTTGACTCGGAAGAACCGGTGACGAAACATTTTGTTTACGATTTTAATGTCAATGGCGCTATCACACGGTCTTCGCTCAAGGATATACCTCATCCATACTACATCGCCACATGGGAGGCTGGAGATACCGTGTAGGTATTGAAATACGGATTTCTGTCGCTCTGTTGACAGTTTCAGTTGCTTCATCAAACGGAAGTCTGTAAGCAATTCACCTGGCGTCATAGACCGCACCAGTTTTCTACCTTGGGGTGGGCCAGGCTATTGCGCGTTCCTCGCTGAGCATGAAACTCTTTTGACTTCCATTTGAAAAAGCTGGAACTGAAGTACTAGACAGCTTTGTCGTCTAAAAGTACCTAGCAGAAGGGCGACACCAGGTGAGGCGATATGAGCACAATGGTTCCTTTGGATATAGTCATGAGAGGACCCATGAAACAGTGTTGTAGTTTTGATGGTCTTCCGAAGACAGTATTGGAGTCCACCGAGTGCATACCGAGGAGATTCTTCAAGGCCCGTTGACGAACACAGGTCAGAATAGACCTTCGAGACATGGTTGAACCATTCATTCTCTTTTCTGGTATGAGTTACTTGAAAGCTTGTGACATGGTAAATCAAGGGTTTCTAGGCGTCAAGGTCGGAGGTATCGTTTGCGACGGCGGTTGGAAGGCTCTAAAACCGAGCTATAGTATAAACGAGTAATAGGATATAAATGCCAAGGATATAACGATTAACCTCATGATAAACTAATAGTAGTAGCTGAGAAGATGAGTGATTTGAAGAGTAATAATCATAAGAGTCAAAAGATTCAAGGACATTTACTATATAGACTAAGCGTTTTATAGCTTAAGTACTATACATCTATCTCCAAGCCGTAGACTACTCTCGCGTAAAAGCATTCGAGCCTTCGCGACCTGAACAACGATAGTACGGGCGCCGTCACGTTGCGTAACACATATAACGCACCACCTGGTGGCACTATCGATGGCTTGTTGGAAAAAGCTCTTTATCATTCGTTCCCGACGAAGATCTCGTGTGCCAGGGAACACTGATGACACGGGCGCGGTAATTTGACATTGGGCGCCATGTAGCGGTGATTGCAAGCTTCTTACTTGTTGCCATATGCTACGCAGGAGCATTAGGTCAATGAAGTCCCCTTGGTGGCTTCTTCTCTCGCACATTTGTGTCCTTAGTCTCTGTAACTTCCTGATGTGGGAGGGAGGAGGTTTGGTAGTACCTAACGAGCGACCGACATAAAGAGTGGATATCGGTAGGATCGTTCTAGAGCAGATGTCAGCTATTGAAAGGGGCTAGAACATAAATATAGGCCTCGATATGCTCGTGACAGTTGTTGCCATTGTGCTCCAAAGTAACTTGCCAGTCCTTTAGTCATTTGTAGACATCTCCTGCTCTTCCTCAACCCACCGCACCAGGCCACGGAGTTGATGAAAAGTAGAAGGATGAGGATGGAGGAACAAGAGAACAGGCGCAAGAAGCTGCTCCAGCGCACTCTTAAAAAGAATCCGGGAGGAACTGCTTGCGCCAGTCCTCTTGTTCCGCCATCCTGAGGGTAAATTGAAGTGACGATGTCGGCAACCTGTGTAGGTGACTTGGATTTAGCGAAAGGCTAGGCGAACTCCTGGCGCCTGCCAACCTTACTTACAAGGCAACAAGGCTATACTCTTTCACAACTACCCTGCCCTCGGATATTTGGTATCCATTCCCAACAGGCAGCAGCGCGTATTTATTCTGCCGCTGTTGATCCGGCAAGTGTGCACGGGCCACTCCAAAAATCTATATAATCAGCTCACTCCCCTCCGTTCCTCCAACTTTTCTTCTTCATACTTACCTTCCTGACTGGGTCGTTGCTCACGAATAACCTCCTGGTATGGGACCTGCCTGCATTGCACATCGCGGAGTAGGACCTATATGAATCTCCTTCGGGGGCTTCATTGGGGCAATTTTTGCTGGCTTCATAATTCTTTTCATCACGTCGTGGCCTTTGTGCTCCGATGAGAGGAAGAGGATCATATATCATTCATCATCCTTGGCTATTGAGATAACTTCCTAACCAGTTAAAAGAGCATCACAATGATATACTGACGGTCATGCTGCTGATCTCAGTTCAGTTCCACGACAAACGCAACTGACAAGCGAGCTTTCGTGGGCCAAGGACCTGGGAAAGCCTTCGCCAGTACACATGGGATTCCACACTGAAGCTTTTGAAGATGTGAAAATGCTGACATGCTTCGATAGTTCTATTTCTGACGGCTTGATCTGTGATGGCTTTGATCTTTAAAAGAAAAATTTAGTCAGGTTTCAGATTTTCCACGCTTGAGGCATGCACGACGCACGCCACTCATGGCCACCAACCACAAAGCCATAAGATAGAAATATCTCACACATCTCACTCAAACAGAAAGGACCCTTCAACAGGCCGTCTTCGCATCCTCGCTGCCTATATACACCACGATCATCGCGCGCAACCAGAGAACACATCATCACAAAGCACAGGTGGGTCTCGTACAAGAGTCTTGATCATGCCTACGAAAGAAATCTGGCAATGATGGAGGTGGTGGAACATACACAGAAGAGTACGGAAAGATGCCCATGATGACATGCCTCCTGTTCTGGATTTTCAGGAAGATCGAGAGCTGCTCCACGCTTTACGGCCCGAGGCTGTCCTAATCCTTCCGCAATACGAGAAGCAAATCTACGATATCAGCCATATTTAAGGTAAAGATCAGCACTATTGACGAGGATCTGACAAGGCAAGATGGTTACTTTGGGTTCCTTGTGGCATTTACTTATCTAATAGTTTTCAGAAACGAACCCAAACAGAGCCATCTGGGACCCCCTCGCCCTCAAAACAGATCAGTTTCGGAACACTTTAGATAATGATTAGCAAATCTATAAAGCCTCAAGAGCAAGTACTATCTGAGGATCTTCGTTTGTCGAGTCAGGAATAACATGAAAATTCGGGAAAGAAACCACGCTTTGGACATGGAAGTCTGGGAGCCTCGAATGAGAAGACGTGTTCTTTGAGACACTGAAGAATGTAAAACACTGGTGTATGGAATATCTAATATAACACCATCCGGCATGCGACAGTGAAAGAAGTCGGCATCACAGGTAATCTGACGAGAGAAACATACACTTGAAGAAGAGCACATGAAAATTCTCGATTTAAACATGGATGTTCATACTGACAAGGTCCCCGACAACCATGCAGGCACTGTGTACATAGCCAATTTCGTTTCATTTTCAGGTCCACAGAGAGAATATGCCATTTAGATATGAGAGGTTTATTCAGCGTAGTTCATATGGCCTACAACATACTAAGCGGCGCACCAGGGGATATTCTAGCATGCCGAAAAGGGCAGCTCGCGATATACTCTGACGTCATCATTCAAGCTGAATATCTACAGTGATCTATCTGTTATATACAACTCGACGCATTTATAAGTTAGCATGCCTCTGTGCATTCTTCTCATTGACAAGCACATATCGGTAGCGAGCCTTGCCATCTGCAAGATCAACAATGGCTTGGTTCGCATCCTTCAACGAGCGCTCCTGTATCCATGGGTGGACCTTCTTGTCCGCCGCAAGCTGCAGCATTTCCGCAATCTCGGCAGGTGATCCAATCGCAGAACCACCAACCTTGATACCATTGCCAATGAGAGTGAATGCATTAATCGGAGGAAGATTACCGCCGTCAGGGGCACCAACCTGGATGAAGGTGCCCTTCACCTTCAACAGCCCGAGGTAGTGTGTCAACGGCATCTTCTCGCTGGACACCGTGCAGACAATGAGATCAAGTGTGCGCTTGTGCTTCTTCTCCCAGCCTTTATCTTCGCCCGTCGCTATGTATTCGTCCGCGCCGAGCTTCAGCACGTCGTCTCTCTTGTCGCCCTTTCTTGATATACCAACCACACGGTCTGCACCAAGTGCTTTTGCGAAAAGGACACCGAAATGTCCTAGTCCTCCGACACCAACGATACCTACTGTCTTGCCAGGTCCACAGCCATTCTGTTTCAGTGGTGAGAAGACAGTGATGCCTCCGCACAGCATGGGTGCGGCTTCAGCACTGCTCAGGGCCTTTGGAATAGGAAGTACGAAGTGTCCGTTTGTGCGGTTGTAATCGGCGTATCCGCCGTATGACTTGCCCTCGCCATTCGGATACACGGAGCCATATGTATTGACAAGCGCCACACCGCAGTGCGACTCATGTCCGCTCGAGCACTCGGCACAGGAGCTTTGCATACAGCTCCGCGCCTGGGCACCCACACCGACGCGGTCGCCAACCTTGACGTGCTTGACGTTCTTGCCGACCTTGACTGCCCTCCCGATGATCTCGTGTCCTACAACACAGGCTGGGAAGAAATGAGATTAGGATGATGTTGTGGATATATGTAGGAACTCGCAATTACTTACGATATGGTGTTGGTCCCCAACCGGAGCTGAGCTGATGCAGATCAGAACCACAGATGCCGCAGTGTGAGATTTCGATGTCGACGTCGTCTTCTTCCCATTTCTTGGGCTCGAATTTGCCCCATTTCATGTGGCCCTGGACGGATTTCTCGTCCTCGCCGAGCCAGCCTTGGAATTCGTAGTCGGTCATGTTTTAAGGATGTGAATAGAAACGCTAGTACTTGACAGGTGTAAGGAATAATTTGATTAACTGAATAAGGAGGAGAAGTATGGCGAGTCTATATAACCGCCGAAATGACGAAATGTGACGTGTGTAGGTAGCCGTAGTAGTGCAACATATTTCCCCTACCGTCTCCAGTCTAAAATGCCACCACTTATCTCCAGTTCGACTTGCCAAAGACCGCTTATTGCCGTGCAAAGTCCATACAAGTGGAGCTTTTGAACGATCCGATATAAGTCGGCTATGCCTTGCTTTCATAATCTAGACAGTCTAGACATGCCGTCTAACCTAGCAGCACGGAACTCTCTACTGTTCGCGGCAAGCTCAACGACTGTTCCATTCATTTCCTCGTCTTTCGCAAGACGGAACCGTACGCGAAACTACTTCGAAGTCCTCGCCTCCTCGGCAATTGAGTAAGGGTTTTTCTGTCTTCACAGACTAGTGTGGCGGCGGGGGTGGTCGATGACGACAAGCGTGGAATCTGGCCGACCATGCCGAGATCTCGAGATCGTGTCGACGGCAATGCAGATATACCCTTCAATGGCACAGAATACTATATCTCTTGCTCCGCGTATTTTACTTCCTCAATCATGGTCGTTTTCATGTTCTCGAACCGTGCTGCCGTATGTGAGTGAATAGTCTGGCAAGACGACCTTCGTCATCCATGGAAAGACGAGGGGTTCGCTGTGTAGCGGACAACAAGAGTCTAGGACTTGGAAGAAGCGTCACACAAAACGGGCATTTGCACGGCTTTATATACGCTGTTCCCGCCATCACAGTGCTCAGATGTCAGCCTCCTGAGCCGCACGTCTGTAACAAGCCATGTCAGCACTAGTAGTCTGATTACGTCGGGTGTTTCACAACACAAACAGTACGGTAAGCCATGACATGCCAACATTGAATGTATTCATGGTGAGTTTGTATTTCAAGGGTTTGAATACTTATTGAGTAGATATAGATATGCCTAGCCGGACAGATCTGTGATTTCGTTCACAGCGGCATCGCGGCTAGCATCGATTAGAACGAAATGCAAACGGACATATCTGTTTCCAAAACGAAACTCTAATCCAGAAATGCTAGGAACTATGGCATAGGCTATTCAAAAAAAATTGATATTCGCAACACCGGGACTTGCTATGGCAGTGTCCTCCTTGCACATTTACGTTACGAAACCAATGCGCTCGGCAATCAAAGTTCACTGTTGCATAGATGTTAACGTCACCTCCGCAAAATAACATGATACAAGTACCAAAAGTATAATTTATTCATTCAATAAAGCCAAGAACAAAAGTAAACTCGTCATTTATACAAGCCCATCATCCACTCAAGTCAGACACCCCCACAAAGTATCCAAAGGCGCATAATATACACTCCATCCCTTCACCCCTGACACCACCAACCCACCCATCTCAAAAAGCAACTCTACTCCTCCCAGTACTCATCACCCTGGTTACGGCACGTGCCAACAACACAATAGTACCCACCACCGGAGTTATTGTTGTTGGGGCTCTTAATAATCGAAGTGCCCCCTGATGGACTGAAGCCAGTGCACGAGTTATACGCCCCGTTCTGCACCGTGTAGGCCGTGTGGGCAATCTTCTGGAACACACAGACGGTGTCGCCGGGCCCGCCGTTGCAGGTGTACGAGTTGCCCGTGGTCCAGGATGTGCTGACGTCGAAGCCGCCGCTGATCCACTCGGCTGGGGAGCCCGTGATTGAGAAGCCGATGGTGTAGGAGCGTGTCTCGGTTTGGCCGGTGCTGCAGCCGTTTTCTTGGTCGCAGGTGATGGTTTGCTGGGTGGGTTTGTGTTAGTTTTTGGGAGGGGGCTATGTGTTGGGGGGAGTGGGTGCGTACGGAGAGTTGCTTGTGGAGGTAGTTCTGGTGGGGGTCGCCGTTGCCGACGAGTTGGGTGGAGGAGGACCATTGGCTGCAGGCGCCGTACTGGCGGTCTTCGAGGGTGTTCTTTGCGGCTTCGGATATGTCTGCTGCAGGGACGGCGACGGCGGAGGTTGCGCTGAAGAAAGCCGCGAGGGCAGTGAGGAAGGTGATGGATTGCATGGCGGCGGTGGAGGTGGTGGTTGGCTACTGGAGTAGAGATGGAGGCTGACTTGAGGTTCTTGAAGTGGATGATTGAGCTGTGGATGATGTTCGAAATGGCGGCAATCTGTCGTCTCTTTATACTTCGAGATGTTGTATACTCGAGGCCCGGAAACATTACTCTCTACCCACAAATCTGCCCATGATCATCGTTTCAAAGTGATCACCAGTGTCCTAATCCAGCATGCCATGAGCCATGACGATGCTCGTGTTCCTCGTACCACACACTATCAAAAATTGAAGCCTGAAGGATCAGCCTCCTCGTCATGCGTACTAGGTTACAGGCAGAGCCTCAAGGTCGTAGCCAGCCAGTCGTATGTGACAATTCATATGCAGGGACATCGACTAGAACCTGAAACGGCTTTTTGGCGTTTCCATGTTTCCATTTATATCCCACAATCCCTGGAGAACATTCTACCCCAGATCCACTTTGAACGCCACACTTGAGCCTCTAGGTTTGGGGGCTAGTTATATGTATGGATGTTTGTGCTGCTGGGCGCATGTCGCTCCACTTACTCTGCAAGCAACGTGAAATTCCAACATCTCCACGTTTGACGATCCTTTGCAAAGCTTGCAACTCCGGCACGTTTAGTATGATTCTTCTCGTTGCGCAAGGATGTGACCTCAATTGCCTTCTGTGTCGGAACCTACGTGTTTGTGCGAAAGATGTAGTAGACATTCTTCACACGTAGGTTGCAAAGTATGTTCAGCTGGTATCAATGCCCAAGAGACATCCCACAAAGTATCACAGACAGTGAGCCATTACGCCTCGGTTGTAGTCAAGACATCATTTCGAAATCCGGACAAGCCCCTAAAAGAGCCACTTCGGGCTTGGCGTCTGTTGGACCCTTCCTAAGTCTTATTTTGACATTCCCCGCCTCAAAGACTACCAGCGTCGATCTCCACGCGACGTTTGCACGCTATAACTAATGTAGCAGACGCCGACGTGTAATTAGCTCACGCCTGGGGCTAACCAATTTGAACAAATCCCCGTTGCTGCTGTTTCTACGTAGATCTTGCTACATCGTGGGGAACGCCATGATCAAGTGGCTTGCGTTTCGAAACCGTAGACCCGGCCTCTGGGTTGCAGGTGTGGGGATCGACAGTTGGATGTCTGCTGTCAGACCGTTTGACAGGGAAGTCAACGTAAATGTGTGTTTGGGTGGTGGTGCAAAGAGTGTGGGGATCGAGATGGGGTATGACGATTAGTTTTTGATGGCTATATGAGTCTGTGTTTGTGCTTTGGGTCGTATGCCTTGTCGCGTAATTGTGTTGATGGTTCACGACGTCTAAGCGATTCATGAATTGCCGATCATGTGCTAAAAAGGATAAAGAAGAGATGCTGTCCAATGATGATAATATCTTGGAATAAGTATAGTGAACATGGATGCAAAGAATGCCTTGGAGAAACTCCCCAGGATGCCTCGCTTAAGCTGACTGGCCCCCAAAGTCCGCCACAAGCTCAGACCCTCTTAAGGAAACACCACGCTTATTCATAAGCGGATAAGCGCTCATGGATCTAATTATCTTCTGAGCCTTTCTAGTCTTCTAAGTCTTTCTAAAGACTAGGCTAATAGAAGCTCCATACCAGAGATCTAGCTTACTTATTAAATCTTTCCTTGAAGAGGGTTTAAGACTGTTTAGTTACTGTTTAAATACAATTATATTACTTCTTGCTAATAACTATACTTTCGTTGCATTTCTTGTTTGATTCTTGAGCGAGATGGTCGTAGACAATGTAGGTAACGAGGCGCCGTGCGAACGGTTGACAGGTTGATTCACGTTGAAACACAGACTAAGCTTTCATACGTGGAGAGGAGGTTGTTGAAAGATTGAGTGCCAAGGGTCTGAAGCTTATTCTAATCTGGAAGGGCAATGGGCTGTACAGTATAGGGGAATTGATTGGATGAGGCCATGCTACGCCGCAGTCTGGGACAAAAACTTCAACTAATTACCTGACACTTCTATTTGATAACAACCTTGGCAATTTATATTCCCACCTCTCAACGTTCCACACCATGCCGCCTCCATGGAACGTAATTTCCCTGCTAACGCATCAACTCGACTGCAATGCACGTCTCACAGTATTGTGCCGAGGCAGGCGTGTCTACATCTCTATCCGTAGAAGTAACCTGAACAGCTCACCAACACTCCAAAGGCAACTCGCCCACTTTCTAAAGGCTGTTGCGGAAGAAGAAGACGACAATGTCATAACTGAGGACTTCTACGACTGGCTCCTCGAGCCCTGCAAGAAACTCCTGGGCGACCTCTGCTTTCCATCTCACCTGACACGGCCGACCTACGCCGATTATCTCGCGCTGGAGACTTTGCACTTTGAACTACATTCTAGCGATGGTCATGTTGTTCCTGTCCGATCGGCACGTGACGATATTATGATGCCGCCAGGCATTCGCTTACACTGTGACCTTTTCTCGGTTTGGCCGGTACTTGGACCCGAAGACCTCCAGATCCGTCTCGATTCTGCAGGGACAGACCTGAGAGCAGACTCCGTTGAGGAGTCACTATTACATGAACCTAGCAAGGTGTATGTAATGGACCACCCGTACTTCTTTAAAGCCGCTACCCAAGATAATCGCAGTCAGTGCGAAAGAGAACTCCAGGTCTTCAAGGAGATTGAACAAGCTGGTTTGAAATCTTTGAATATTACTCATCTTTCCGCCGTCGTTTGCGACTCGGATGGAGTCTTCTACGGCTTCTTACTCCCGTATATCAACACATATGGGAACACGCTCACGTGGGCTATGGTAACACGTGCTACAGCGTCAGAACGAGCACGCTGGGCCGAACAAGTGACACACATTGTAGAGCGTCTACATGCCGCAGGAATCGTATGGGGGGACGTAAAGGCTGATAACGTGCTCGTCGACACCGAGCGAAATGCCTGGGTGGTGGACTTTGGAGGCGGTCACACGATAGGATGGGGGGAGAGCAGCACGGCAGGGACAATAGAGGGCGATCGAATCGGCTTGCAGAAGATCCTAGAGTTCATCAGATCTCCCAAAGTTGTTCGAGAATGACTGGTGCAAGTGACCTTTTCACCCCTTGCAGTACCTTGCTACTTACTCCCTGGAATCCTAATTCTAGAGATATTAAAAACAATATAAGATTTCAAGGATATCGCGTGCGACACGTGCCAATCACGGACGGACGCGACGGTCTAAGCTTGCTGAGATAGCATTAACCTGGTCGATGTCATGTACAAAGTAAGGCTGGTGCTAAGCGTACCGCTCCAAGACTTCACCCGGTATAGACAGACGCCAAACTTTTAGTAAGAGCATTCAAAAAATGCTGGCCCTCGTGCAATCCTCTCAGACTCCTTGCATATGCCGAGCAGTCCTAGTTTGATGCCCAGAAATGTTGGTGGTGCATGGATGCTAGTACACATCCGGTACTGTAACAGATCCAGATCCTCTAAGCCACCTTGCAGCCACATACGTATTACGTGTTGTGTTAGCACCTGTGTCCGATGGGGTTTATCCTATGTCAAAATGTAACCATATGCATGGGTGGGCGTCAGGAGCTTCAATATCGCCGATAATGCCATATGTGTGTTGGAGTTACAAAGATTTTAGTACGCAGACGGCTTGAGGCCGAGTAAGCAGGGATACAGTGCCATCTTACAGAAGAGCCCCTTGGGCTAACAGCGAGCATTTGGCCGCTGTGTTAATTAACCTGGGTATTTCCAGGATTAAAGAAAGCCGTGATAGACGTTCCCGAAGTGCCTCAAACACCCTCTATGAAACACAACAGATGGCGGGATGAAACCAACACTCGTACTCAAAACGGCACAGGCGCAAGATCAAACCCCCAGTCTTCAAACATCCAATTCTCGAAATCGCCCGTGCATGGGATGTCTGCAAAGTCCATGTCTGGGAAGGCGTCGTGTGCGCCGTTCGAGGCCGTGTTGGCGTCAGACGACGGGCCTGGTACTTCATCCTGTGTTGTCACTGGGAGGAGCCGTCTTTCTTTCGAAGGTGCTTCGTCGATCCGTTGCTTCGCGCTGATCAGCAGGTCTACTGCGTCCTTCAAGAAAAGCTGCCTTTTCTCTGCGGACTTGTCTGCCTTCATGAGTCCTTGTGCTACTCCGATCAGCCAGAGATGTCTCTCGTCGCCTTCGGAATTTATGACTTTTTCATTGACCATCTGGAGGGCATCTGTTACTACTGACATTGCGTGCTCTTCGATGGCGGCGTTCAATATGCTGTCTGCTGTTGGGTCCACGAAGTACACGAGGCAAGCAGATAGCGCTGCTCGCACGTGGTCGTGCATCATCAGCTCGACGATGTAATCACCTTTGAGCACGACTGCTTTGTGGCAGTCCATGACCTTCCTAGCAGCATCTATCATGACATGCCGCGAAGTCATGACTGCCATCGGAGAAGCGCGATGCTTCAACTGCTGCTCATGTACAACGAGCATGTATTGATACAATTGTATGGATAGCAGTGCATGTATACGAACGGAAGAAGATGGAATAGCACGAATATGCGCTTGCAACTCCTCCGTAACTTGCCTTGCCTGGTCATAATCGTTCTCATGGTGGATGTCGTTCAGCAAAGTTCCCAAGCGATGCCGAAGGCTTAAACTCTCTCCTGCTATTGCCAAATAAGATGACTTGGTGTATACCTCTCGAGGACGTCGGAGCTCATCATCACTATTATTGCTCGGAGCTGAAACGTCACTTTGGCCAGTCCATGGGATCGGCGACATCCCATGCTCAAACGCAGCTTGAAGCTCAAACTCCGCGGCCGCTGCCCATATGCGACGACGCATTTCCATCTCGACCGTGGACTCACTTTCCGCGAGACGACTAGGATCGCGATGCAGACCTGCGCACATGCAGATTCGAAGAAACCTCCCGGCATTGGCCCACGTGCGCTTGCATTTCCTGCCGTGCAGTTGCTGGGCCCAGAGGAGGAGAAAGCCGATCTGGAAGTCGTTCATGGTCACAAACCTAGAGCTTCTGGCTTGAACCCATCTTTCGCAAGCCTCTAGTATCGTCGCGGCTTCTGTACGAGCAGGTTTTGTGGTGTGGTCCGACCCATTTGTTGCAGAGACTCTCAAATGCTTTGCAATTGCGATTATGATTAATGTGGTGACGACGACCTGTATCCCAGCTTCCTGCTCGGTTTGCCATAGAGTCGCATATTCCGACTCGAAAGTTGGTAGGTGTATGACATGATATACGTGGTCGAATGTATCGAGGTACGACTGTACTAGCCGGTCAGTCTCGTCTTTTTTTGGTAGCAAGGCTCTGAGATCCAAACTAGCAACAGACGAATGCATGTTGTGGTCGTATTGCGCCAGCGCATTCAAAGATAGAGCATCTCGCCGCACATGATCGAGGACCGGAAATGCCTTGAAAGCGTCTCGGGCGAAGGCAAGAAGGCCTGGTATAGACTCAACCATGCATCCAGAATGCGTTCGACCATAGAATCGAGTTCGAAAAGAGGAGCCGCGGAAGATGGTGTTGTGGCGGTTCACACATAATGTCTGCGATGCATCCCTATCATCAATACCGAATTCCGGAACAACCTTATTGGTCGGATGTATATCGAGTGGCTTTCTTTGTGCCTCTTTGGTGGCACCATTTTCAACAGCGCCGAGTCTGGGGAGGATGCTGTTTGTACCATTGCTAGGTGCTTCTTGGCTGGATCGGACGTTTGGTACTCGAGCTAGCCAATCTAATTCGCTGTCTCCAGGTGCGGATGCAGATACAGTTTTCCGAGGTGCCTCCTCAACGTAAAGACATTTGTCTGGTCGCCCGGTCTTGATGCAGCGGCCACATACCGGTTGCTTACGGTCGCAGGAGAGCTTTTGCTTACGACATTGTGAACAAGACCAGATTTTCCTTCGTCTCTTCCTCGAAGGTTGATCTTCCATCATGGCCGCGGATCGAGTGACAATACGAAGACCCCATGTACCGTTGGCCCTTGAAGGCACGTTAATAAAGGATCCTTCATAATACGTCTTCTCACATGGCAGGATTTCATGACAGAGTGGTTAAGCCGACGCAAATCGGAGATCCGAATTCTATAACCGACGCTATCGACAAGCACTAACCTAAACAGGCATCCCAGGATGTCAGCTTCGACATTTCTTCTCACTTTACCAAAGCCAAAATGTACCCATCTACCACATTTCGACTGCCCAATGCCGAAAGTAATGTAGCAGTGACTCGGCTGTCACCCTTGACCTGCTCAATAAGAGATTGGGGATCAGGATCCTTTCTCTCCACGCCCTCGGTGATCTTCCGGACCACATTGTCCACATAAATACAACCTCCCTTCCTCGTCATCTTCACAGCCCAATCAAAATACAGATGCTGATTTTCCCAATCAGCATCAATCAAGACAAAGTCAAATACGGCCCCTGAGGCCTGCAAGTCTGGCAAGATATCAAGGGCCGAGCCTAGGCGGAGATCGACGTTGTCCAGGCCGCGGAGATTGACTTCGGCGATACTGCGATGCTTCGGATTGTGGTCGATGGATGTGACCTTGATGCCTGGGACAGACTCCGCGAGCCAGATTGTGGAGTAGCCGGCGAGGGTGCCTATTTCAAGGACGGATTTGGCTTGCATGAGCTGGCAGAGGATGGAGAGCTGGCGCCCGTGAGCAGGTGAAACTTGTATGGCAGGGATGCCTTCAGTCTCGGCTCGAGAGATGGCATTTCGGAGCCGCTCGTTGTCCTGCACGACCGCATCCTGGGCTGCGAAGGCCACTTTGTTGTGTGTAAGGAGATTTTGGTAAGGAGAATCCATCGTGATAGCAAGATCTGAACTCAGATGAAGAGATAATGAGCAATATTCAACGTCGTCTATGAGCATTTATATATCTCAAAAGACCCTTGAAGCCCCCTTTCATATTCGGACTACAAAGTCCGATCCGATCCGGCGATCCGAATGCTGGTCCGAAATGGATGTGCATTGGAGTGATTCGACCAATGGCAGAACTCTAGAACACGTGCGTATGCCCAAACGTGAAGATATTTCTTCAGGGTGCGACACAGACTTGAATGTTGCGATCGATCTGGTCACTTGACTCATGCCATTGTACGTGGTACGTATAGTATCGTATATTCATAATATCATCCTACATGTGCGTGCATCCCAAAACGCCGGTGTGAAAATTCCGCGGCAAATGCAACAAAATGAGATTGGCTCGATCGCCTTTCGACTCTTCATCAAATCCCTCCATAAGTCCCGCTTCTACTCTCCGTGCTCAGAAGCCCCTGTCTATCCTCTTGTACCTCTGATGTCGAATTATTCCGCACTAGCATGCCAACTGCACCGACACTAGGGACCCAGCCCCGCATGTAGCCGCTGACTCTGCGCCATTTCCATTTCAAACCTTCGTTTTGACTTCGGCTGGAGGGTGAACTTCGGCCCTGGTCATTCGGATCAGGTACAACCACCACTAATACCTCTTCGCGAGTCTTGCTCCTCTTGGACTTGTACATGTAGAACTGGCATGCAACAGCCGCATCCATGATAAGAACGCCTGCGGCACCAAGAAAGAATGGCAGAGCTGCTAGTGTCCATCTGGTTCGGTCGTTGCCCTCGGGACCGACCCACCCGCGACTCGGATTGTCAGATCCACTGGTTGCAGGAGCAAAATCGTACCAAAAACAGGGGTTGGTGATCATGGAACTGGAGTAGAAAAGATTTCCAAAGAAGGCAGCAGCGAATAGCGTTAGGGAAAGGCCAGATGTGCTCTTCCTCGTGTAATTCTTGTATAGCTGAGGCAGGCGCGATCCTAGGTAGAGGAATGTGGACATCCAAGAACACAAGGTACCGATGGCGACGCTGACAGAAATCTGTTTTGCCTCTTCGATTGTGATGGAGGAAGTGTCGACAGGAGAAGCGCGAGCAACAACAGCCAATAAGAGCGAGACGTAAAGAGCGGTTCTTGGAGAGGGCATGGGTGAATTCGAGCTTGCCAGGCGCGTGATATGGCGGTTGTTGGTAGGCGTACTCTGTGAGCTCGATACGTCCAATACCGACGGCGACCCAGAGAATTGTGGAGTGTGGAACAAGTCTTCCGATTTCTGAGCACGGGACCGCTCGATTGGCCTCGGGGAACTGGCGCGAGAATCGCACTCGCTCCTAGAGCCTTTTGCTGATGCGATGGATAGGGCATCCGAGTCGCTCGAGCTATCGTCTGTGTTGTCCCTCCATCTCCCCCAGACACTTTTCAAGGGGCGACCATGTTTTAGGTGCTCGTACCATAGCCATTGCCCCACTAAGCAGCAGTCAACGAAGCAGTAATAGAATGCTATGATAATCTGCCATAGAGCTTGGCCGGTAAGTAATGAGCCTGTGAGGTTTGTTGCGTCCCCAAGTAACCACTCCCCTAGGAATATGATACTCAGTCCTGACGTTGACTTTATTCTGTAATTCTTGACGACTTGAGGCAGTTGTGCGAAGAGCCAGGCCGTTATGCTAAGTGTACCGAGGAGCGAAGACACAAAGGCGAGCTTGGTCGGCACGCACGCACCAAAGGTTGCAGAGAAGTGAGAGAGGAAGTCATTCTCTGGATTGCAGAGAGCTGGCAGCTCGGCCGTTCCAAGCAGGGAGGCCATGCTCGATGAAGTCATGTCGTGCTTGAGGACGACGATGGTGTGATTGACACCAAGTTATATAAGTAGTAGCGAGCTTCGATGGAGCCCTTCAGGTCGCGATGCCACGAATTCCTGTCCTTTAAGGATCTTGTGGTATTCCAGCACGCGATGCTCGCTTGTGTGTCCACGAAACTATGTCTCGCGTGACTCCTCACTACGGTCGTTCGATGTCTCAGCGCATGGACGGCATCCGGGGGCAAAGAACGTAGAATGACCAGGACTAGAACAAATTGATCAGGAGGAACTGAGGGTGACTCGCATGATCGAGAGTCTCTATGTTCGAAGCTTGTGAGGTAGCGAGGTAGGTAGTGTGAATGTTGAGGTTGAGGGTAACGGTGAAATAGCCTGCGACGACGGATCGCGCCGAGGGGGCAAGGGCGTCTTTGGCTGGAGGATCGCCTGTGATGATGAGACTGGCGCTCCCAGATCGGCGACTAGAAAAGGAAACATTTCTAAAAAGTAACAAAGCGCCGAGTGGGTGCGGTGTGGGTGTGTGTGGCAGAATTGCCAATGTGCCAATGTGGTGCGAAAAGCCTCCAGCAGCGGCCGATAAGACAGTCCAGAGTCGCAGGTGGGGAGCGTGGCTGGCTGATAAGGAGAGACTAAAGCTTCATTAGGTAATATCTCTATAGTCCGTAATCTCCGAAAGCTCTCGTTGTTGCTGATGCTGGCGCTGACACTTTGGAGTCTAATATGTGATCAAAACAACAATATCCCTGTCTTGCATATATAATTAATCAGATCAATCGTGACCCTTGTACGAAGCCTCAGGCGGAAGAATTAGAGTGGTGTATGGGAGATGATGTTCTCGTCACGTGATGATGACCCTCGGAGCACGCTTGGCCTCATCCAGTTAGTATAATTATACCCTTTTCGGCCTACGCGTCTAACTGGACGTGACGTGACTTGTCCGTGCACTTGATTGATACATCCACTGTCGCGCTGAACACGCTCCCCACCACGCACTTTGACCGTTTAAGCCGGTAAATCGACATCATATTATCAGGATGGCCGCTGCCGTGCAGAGAACCCCAATGAAACGTGCTCTCGCCGAGACCACGCAGACACGTCAGAATATACAGCCGTCTCCGCATTCGAACAAGAAACTCAAGGTCAATGGCGGCTTCACGAGCTCCCAGACCTCGAACAGGGGCAGAAATGGGCCCCCAGGCTCGTCGCAACCGAAGAGCCAATTTGAAGAGGAGGTGTTGCAGAAGATGACTCAAGGCATTAACACCTTGAAGAACACGAACAGCGAGAAAGATCAGCAATGGAAGCGTCCGCCCTTGGACGACTGGAAAGAGGGTCGAGACAACATTTGTTTTCAGCAAATCGAAGCTGAAGAAGGGACCATCTATGGGGGACGCAAGACTATCCAGCTATTCGGTGTGACAGAGGTAGATACGCGTGCCTGACTTGGAGGATGTCTGAGCCCTTGCTAATGTTTGCAGACTGGCCATTCGGTACTATTACACGTCTCAGGCTTCCTGCACTATCTTTACGTTGCTGCCCCTATCAACTTCGCACGCACCGACTGTGAATCGTACAAAGCATATCTTGAGTCTCAGCTAGCACAACATCAGCCCGCCATACATTCTGTACACATGGTCATGCGAGAGAACATGTATGGCTTCCAAGGAAATCAGAAGAGTCCGTACATCAAAATTACTGTCACCGATCCCAGATTCATAGCCAGGCTTCGGTCGACCATAGAGTCGGGGTCTGCCAACTTCCGAGGACTGTGGGGGCGCATCGACGGGGGCATCATGACGTACGATAGCATCCAGTATGTGCTGCGGTTCATGATTGACGTCAAGGTGTGTAACATGTTCTGGGCATGATATTAGCGGGACTGACAGGTCTAGATACACGGCATGTCATGGGTCGAGGTGCCTGCTGGGAAATACGACATGATACCCAGCCATGAGAGGCAGTCCACTTGCCAGATTGAGGCACATGTACAATACAGAGATCTGATTGCGCATCCTATTGATGGAGAGTGGGCAAAGATGGCCCCGCTGAGGATACTGTCTTTTGACATCGAATGCGCGGGACGTAAGGGCATATTCCCAGAGGCAGACCAGGACCCGGTCATCCAGATCGCCAACGTAGTGACGCGGTATGGTGAAGAGAAGCCGTTTGTCCGCAACGTTTTCTGTCTGGACACTACGAATCCCATCGTCAACACGCAGATTCTGAGTTTTCAAGACGAAGGCAAGATGTTGATGGAATGGCAAAAGTTCCTGCAGGAGGTGGACCCGGACGTCATAATTGGCTACAACATTGCCAACTTTGATTTCCCCTATCTGCTGGACCGCGCTGAACACTTGAAGCAAAAGAACTTTCCATACTGGACTCGCCTCAAGACGATGAAGTCGCACGCCCAGAAGACCAACTTCTCAAGCAAGCAGATGGGCAACCGCGATACAAAGGCGACAAACACAAACGGACGACTCCAACTTGACTTGCTTCAGCTGGTGCAGCGCGATCATCAACTGCGAAGCTATACTCTCAACTCCGTCTGTGCACATTTCCTGAACGAGCAGAAGGAAGACGTGCACCACACTATGATTACGGAACTTTTCAACGGAGACGCGGACTCGCGCCGAAGATTGGCGGTGTATTGTCTGAAGGACGCATATCTACCGCAACGACTGATGGACAAGCTGATGTGTTTGGTCAACTACACTGAGATGGCAAGAGTCACGGGCGTGCCATTCAACTACTTGCTGTCGAGAGGGCAACAGGTCAAGTTCATCAGTCAGCTGTTCCGTAAAGCCCTGGACGAAAACCTTGTCGTTCCCAACATGAGCTCTCAGGCATCGGAGGATCAGTATGAAGGAGCGACAGTCATTGAGCCTACGCGCGGCTACTACGACGTCCCTGTGGCCACACTGGATTTTGCCTCGCTGTATCCCAGTATCATGCAAGCGCACAACCTGTGCTACACCACACTACTCGACAAGAAAGCCGTGGAGAACCACAAGCTGCAGAAAGATGTCGACTACATTGTCACCCCGAACGGGGATATGTTTGTAACGGCCAAAGTACGGAAAGGGCTTCTGTCACAGATTCTGGAGGAGCTTCTGTCGGCGCGTAAGCGCGCCAAGAAAGAGCTGGCTGTCGAAACAGACGCTTTCAAAAAGGCCGTGCTCAACGGTCGACAATTGGCGCTGAAGATTAGTGCCAACAGTGTTTACGGTCTTACGGGTGCCACGGTTGGCAAGCTTCCATGCCTGCCTGTGGCGAGTAGTACGACAAGCTACGGACGACAGATGATTGAGAAGACGAGAGACGAGGTGATGAAGAAGTACACGATTGCAAACGGGTACGAGCACGACGCGCAGGTCATCTACGGCGACACGGACTCGGTCATGGTCAAGTTTGGCACCAAAGACCTGGCAAAGGCCATGGAGCTCGGGCAGGAAGCGGCCGAGTACGTGTCGTCCAAGTTCGTCAAGCCGATCAAGCTCGAGTTCGAGAAGGTCTACTTCCCATACCTGCTCATCAACAAGAAGCGCTACGCCGGCCTGTACTGGACCAAGACGGAGAAGTGGGACAAGATGGACACAAAGGGCATCGAGACTGTCCGGCGAGACAACTGCCGCCTCGTGCAGACCGTCATCGAAACCTCCCTCCGCATGCTGCTAATCGACCGCGACGTGAGCGGCGCCTCCGAGTAAGTCCTCCCTCAACCTATACCCAACAACCCACTAACACACTCTCCCCCCCTAGCTTCGTCAAAGAAACAATCTCCGACCTCCTCCAAAACAAAATCGACATGTCCAACCTCGTCATCACAAAAGCCCTCTCCAAAGAAACCTACGACGGCAAACAAGCCCACGTCGAACTGGCAAAGCGCATGAAGGACCGCGACTCGGGCTCCGCCCCGGCCCTCGGCGACCGCGTCGCCTACGTCATAATAAAGGGCCCGGCCGGCGCAAAGAATTTCGAGAAATCAGAAGACCCAATCTACGTCCTCGAGAACAACCTGCCCATCGACACAAAGTACTACCTCGACAACCAGCTCTCCAAACCGCTTATTCGTATCTTCGAGCCCATCCTCGGCGAAAAAAAAGCCGGCCAGTTGCTCACGGGCGCACATACACGCGCCATCGCCGTCGCCGCCCCCTCATCCCTCTCCTCCTCCTCATCCTCCTCCGCAAACGCAAACCGCGGCGGCCTCATGCGCTTCGCCCAAAAAACACAAACCTGCATGGGCTGCAAATCGCCCCTGACTTCCACCGCCGAAAAGCACGGCGCGGTCTGCGTAAACTGCCGGCCCCGTTTCGCAGAATTATACCAAAAGACGCTCTCCAAAGCGGCGGAGCTGGAGGTGCGTTTTGCCAGGCTCTGGACGCAGTGTCAGCGCTGTCAGGGGTCGGTGCATAATGAGGTTATTTGCTCGTCGAGGGATTGTCCGATTTTTTATATGCGCATGAAGGCGAAGAAGGATGTTGGGGATGCGGGGAGGGAGTTGGGGAGGTTTGATCGGGATGGGGCGCTGTGGTAGGGGGATGGGGAGGTGTGGCTTGTGTGGTGTGGAGAGGGGGTATGTGTATAGGTAATTAGGGGCAGTTTGGTTTTGATGATCAATTAGGTGGAAGGCGGAAAGGGAGTGCGGTTTTGTTCAATTAGGGTAGGTAGGGAGAGTAGGGTTGGTGTATTGTATTGTATTAGCACGGCATGGTCATGGTTGTCAGGTCAGAGGTGGCTTGATGTGTGTGTATGAGTTGATATGGTCTATCAGATGCGTGGCTAGCACAGCTAGCTTAGCATGGCATGGCATGGCATGGCATGTAAAACAAACAGTCTATACCCGTATCTCCACACCCAAAAAGTCATTTCCAATCCCCTCAAATCCAATCCACAATCCACAATCCACCCACCGACCCAATCCCTTACACCTTCCCCACAGCCGCACTCTCAAGCCTCTCCGGACTACTCTCCACCCCATCCCCATGCCCATCCCCGCCCACCTTCCCCAACTTCTCCAACTTCGCCGCCGCCCTTCCACTATGCCCACCCTTGAGCCCAACCCCCGTCTTCCACGCCGGCACACCCTCAAGAAACATCTCCTCGACCTCCTCAAGCGGCTTGCCGGCCGTCTCGGGGAACAAAAAGAAAACATGCACAAACATCGCAACACAAAACACGCCAAAGACAAGATACGTCTTCCACTGAATATTCACAAACGCGGGCGGGACAAAGTATCCAAGTGCGAAATTGAACGCCCAATTCGCGGACGTCGCGAGCGCAACTGCCTTGCCGCGGACGCGCAGGGGGAAGAGTTCGGGCGGGTAGATCCACGAGACGGGGCCCCAGGTAGGGGCAAAGGAGGCGACGAAGAGGTATGTGCATGCGATGACTGCTTTGGAGGGCGGGCCTGCGATTTGCCAGCTTGCTTCGGGGATGCCGTCTACGCCGCCTGGCGGGGCGGGGTGGCCGTAGGAGGCGAGGAGGCCCGCATTTGCGAATTGCCAGGTTGCCATTAGGAGGGCGCCGGCGAGGAGGACGGGGCGGCGGCCGAGGCGGTCGACGAAGAGGAGGGCGGGGATGGTCATGAGGACGTTGATGATGTATTGGATGGAGGAGGAGATGAGGAGGTTGTTGCCGGTTAGGCCGGCCATGGTGAAGACGTAGGTTATGTAGTCTGTGAGGGGGAGGGGGTGTTAGTTTGGGGGGAGGGAGGGGAAAGGGGGGAAAGACGTACACATCATGACGTTCATGCCGGTGAGCTGCGACCAGATCTGGGTGAAGACGCCGATGTGGGTGCGGTTGAGCATGCCGGGCCGGAAGAGCTCCATCCAGGAGACGTCTGCGTTCTGGCGCTCAAACTCGCAGTAGGCCTGGATCTCGGCGTATTCTTCCGCGACAAGCGAGCTGTGGGGATCGCCTTTGCCCAGCACGAGGACGAGCACGCTCTTGCACTCTTCCCAGCGGTCCTTGCGGGCGAGCCAGCGCGGGGACTCGGGCAGGAAGAGCATGCCGACGAGGAGGATGACGGCGGGGATGGCCTGGAGGCCCCAGGGGATGCGGAAGGCGGCGTTGCCCTTGAGGAAGCTGCAGCCGTAGGAGATGTAGAACATGATGAGGATGCCCCAGGTGATGGCCCATTGCTGGGCGCCGACGAGGCGGCCTCGGAGTCGGGGCGGGCACAGCTCGGAGATGTAGACGGGGACTTGGGCGGAGCAGATGCCGACGCAGAAGCCGTTGATGACGCGGCCGACGATGAGCATGGCGATGTTTTGGGAGGCGGCGGAGATGACGGAGCCGATGATCCTGGCGCGTGTTAGTGGGTGTGTAATTGGTTGTTGTGTGTGTCTGGGAAGACAGGTTGTAAATACCAGATGATGGAGCCGATCATGATGGCCTTCTTACGGCCGACCTTGTCGGTCAGAATACCAGAGACGAGGGCACCAAGCCACGAGCCACCAGCCATACTGGCAGTGATTCCGCCCTGGACATCAGAGCGCGGACCGAGACAGTTGCCTCTAGCATCACGGCCCTGCTGGTTGAAGTAGCATCGGTACGGCTGGATAGGGAGACTGGGGATAGAAATATCAGCACAAGAAATTCCAAAGATCATCAGGGCAAGCAGACGTACATGGCAGACATGGAACTGATGTCGAAGCCAAACAGACCACCGCCAATAACGGCGATGGCGGAGATGAGGTAGATGTTGCCAATGGCCATGATGGGAGGGAGGCAGCAGACACACACAACTTGGCAGTCAGTCAGTCAGTCAATTGAAGGAGGACGTCAACAGACGCAGGAAGCGGGCGGTAGACGGAAACTTATAGGGCAAGCAAAAGTCGGAGAACGCAAGTATGCATGGATGGGGCGAAAAGGTGGATAATAGGGCGGAGATGGGAGGGAGAGAGGGAGAGGATATTCGGGACCGCGGGGGTGCGCGTGCGAGGGTGTGTGTGGTGTGCGCGTGATGGGTTGCAGCGAGCAAGAAGACGAAGTGAATGGCAGGGGGCATGCAACATCAACAACAACGGCGATGATTGGATGGTTGGGCTGCAGGGCTGCGGGATTCGAGTCAAATGGGAGTGAGTAGTAATAGCAATAACAATGACTGACTTGACGACGATGAGAGAGGTGAGCCGAATATGGAGATATCTCCATGATTCATCTCAACCGTCCAAGCATCCAAACCATAATCCAAGTCCAGTATATGCGACCGAGACGAAGGAACAATACAGTAAGACGGCCGTGTCCCAATATTATCTCCAATTCCCCAATTCCCCGATCCCCCATCTTCCAACCCCAAACATGTTCCCCATTCCCCGCATTCCGCCATGGCCTGGAGGAATACAGTATGAGCCATATAACAAAAAAGATGACAGTGCAGCAACGTGGCCGTCCTGGAGCACGAACGCAGCAATTGTCTCATGTAGAGAGTCTCCTGGTTATTCGCTCACTGCCTGTCTGTCTGTCTGTCTGTATACGACGCTCACTTACAACCATCGGTGGTAGTAATTAAGTAATAGTAAGTGAGTAGTGAATGTATCCATACAACAGTCGAGCAAGCTGAGACATCCCCCGGGGTTGTAGGGTAACATTATCCCGGTAGCGCAGCCGCAGTACCAGGTGGCGTATTACCTGGCACGTGCTCCCCTTTTCCCGCCGCCGCTGACGGAGATGGCTGCGGCCCTCTATTCTGCACAACAATCAACAATCAACATCAACAATCCCCGAACTATCACTTATTCACTATACCATTACTCACTGGACCATTACTCAACAGCAACATCTCTTCAACAAAACTGACACGAAACACACAACTGACACAAGACACGAAACACGCGACTGACACGTGCACCCAGTCTTGGCTGACGTAGCCCCCACAAACAGCTGGGGCCGGGGCTGCCACGATCCAGCCCTGCCCGGCCGGACACACGATCAAGGAACGCGAAATGTGACGAACGATACATGCTACATGATACATAACACATACATCATACATCATCCTACACATCCATACTCCGGTACACAACTTACCAGCACCAGCAACCAGTCCCAGTACCAACAACAGCCGGAATGTAACTCATCCACCCATCCATCCATCCAGCAAACACGCTAACGATCACACACATATGTACATGTAACCACCAGGCCCAGCCAGCCCCACTCGGTCGGGGACAGCCCTACAGTCCGAGCTCCCGCGTCTCGTGACATCGCTCTCTTTTCTCTCGTCTGGCTGGGTGACCTCTCTATTAGTTAGTTCGTTAATTAGTGGCGGCCGTTCCGGTACTTTGTTCTTAGTCAAAGACTCAAAGGCTTTGATTTGAGAAGAGGAGGAAGGGAGGGAGGGAAGGGAGGGTGTAGGTAGTATATTCCAATGATAGTCATAATACTCATGATATATACATCCATACGCTCAGTACAGAACAGCCAATGGCCAACGCCTGGCTGCCCTTTGCCACACAACAACATACACACACCATTTGCCACAACCTATACCGCTCACTAATTACCTGCCCATGAGAACAATCGATATATATCCCAATGCACACCAAGAACAATTAAAATTGAAACAAAACAAACCAAATGCAAAAAAGCTTCCTACGTCCTGACATCTCCGCCTCGCAGACCCGCTATCACACTAACTAGCTCGTAAACTAAGTACATACATACATACATATTACCCCTTTCGTCACGGAGGGCAAGAACCACCCTATGCCATGCTCATGCTCGTGCCGCATTAGTAGCTCTTTCCTAATCTACTCTCTTCCCTCCCTCTGCCGGCCGGGCCGTAGCTCCTTCTAGAAGTCGTAGAAGTTCTAGAAGACAATGACAATAATAACAGCAACGTTGGATTATAGTTTGGTGTGTGTGTGTGTGTGTGTGTGTGTGTGTGTGTGTGTGTGTGTGTTGTGTGAGCGGCACGTGACTGACTGCTTGCACTGAATGCACACACACCATAATTACTACACTGGGCCAACAACAACAACAACACCTGTATTTGAGGTGCACAAACACACACACACGTACACGCACACACACGCAGGCACAGCAGACGGCTAAATGCCAGCTAACGGTGGAACGGTTAGGCGATTGAGCTTCCTTGCGAACAATCACGTGACTGTCCCTGGACATACACATGACACATATACACAACATCAGTAAGACCCGGGATAATACTTTTAAAATATTCAGTTTCTTGCCAGCTATCAATGAATGTTCTATCCGCCCCTCACACCGTGTACGCTTTTCGAGTTCACCACCCACTCTACTCTCGTCCCGATCGATCCAATCCATTCCCAGCGCCATACCGTGCCGTGCCATGCCATGCTGTACCAGCCCCAAAGAATAGGATAAAATAACCACCAACACCCACCCAGTCGCTATGCAAAAAACTTCCCAGTCTCACCATCTTCACACCTCTAACTACTCCCATTCAACGTCCACCACCTGCCGCCCCGTCCTCCTGCCTGGCTACATACTCCACCTTGACAACCCAGTCACTGCCAAACGCAACACCGCGCCCGTTTGAAATCCCCGCCTTCTTCCATGGCCTGTTAAGTCCAATGTCCACGACCCAGAGAACCCACTCTGCGCCGCTGACGCCATTGTCGAGTGCGCGCAGGATCCCCGTGCGAGGCGCGCCGAGGCAGACGACGTGCTTGGCGCGAAGTTCGAGGGGTTCGCCTTCTAGAATGGAGATTTCGCCTGTGAGAAACGACATGTTAGTTGTGGATTCCATCAATATACAGCATCGCTGAAGCCTTACCGGTGCTTGCGGCTACTCCGCTGGGCCCTTCGATGGCCAGGACCCCGGCGCGGCTCTTGTTTGCCCAGCCAATCATCTGCAGCACCTCCTTCCGGTCTGCGTCGGCGAGTGCGTCAAACTCGAGATGTCGGCCCAGGACCGCGTCTACAATGAGCTCGGGTGGTGCTTGCAGCTTCTTCAGCGCAAGCTCGAGATCCGTCCAGCCTCTGACTGATCCCCCGTACGCTTGGAACAGGTCAATCTGACGCCGCAGGTGCGTGTCGCGGTCGTTTGGGTCGCGATTGAAACCAACAACAGTCACCATAACGCGTACGCCTCGCATGTGCACATGTCTGGCCGCTGCCACCGCACGAGCCCCAGACCGATGGTTGCCCACGAGCACCACAATCACCGGCTTCGAGTTTAGTGCAACATTCTCGCGAGCAAGCCGTCGTCCGCCTGGATTGATGGTCGCAAGTGCTATTTCCGCAACCCCTCGACCCGCATTCTCAGCCATGATGTCCTCCGATAGTCCAAACTCGACCTCGGCTGTCTCTTCCACCGCAGCCATACTGCCTGGCGACAGTGTATGACAAGTCCGGCCCGATGTCACAATCCGTAGACAAGCCGATCGACTATTGCCCTGCGGCATAGGGGACGGCAATGGAGACTCTGGAGGCGTCGCACGGCCAGACGGTTTTGGGGAGCCTGTTGCGTGTGACGAGGCATATGCAGGACCAGCGTATGCTTTGTTACGCACGAGGAGGTTTGGCACTGTCGAGTGAGGAGGCAGGCCATCCGGGATAACCCCACTGCCAGATCTTTGAGGGTTCCGTCTGCTCGACGCTCGTGACATGTTGCGTCTGGAAGCCCGCTCACTCTCGACCTCGGACTCGCTCGAAGATAGGCTCTGGCTCTGTGTGCGATGTTTCGTTCCGCCCAGAACATTCTCAGTAGGATGTATGTTCTTGCCACCGTATGTGCCCGGTCTATGCTGTACTCGGTTGAAGCTGACAAGTCGATCCTCGTCCGCCGTCGTGTCCTCGTTACGGATTTGTCCAAACACAGTCGGCTTGTCGAACTTGGCGAGATTGCTCGCAAAGTCAAACTCCGGCAACTCTTGTATATCAGTTGCATCCTCCGTAGCCCAACCGTTCTGAGATCTTTCGAGCGCCTTCTGCCTCTTCTCCTTTTTATTCAGCGCTGACAGAGCAGCGATTCCAACTTTGCCACTGATGACTCCAGGCACTTTCGGGCCAGGTGGGGCCTCCTCTTTCAGCAACGGTGTCTGTCGCCAGCCTTTACCCTTGATGGTGCCGCCCGACTTCTTCACTACCTCCGGTGATGCGTCCAATCCAACTGTGTTCTGCGCTGCACTCGAGACTGGCTTCTTCTTGCGATTACCCTTCCCACCCCTTCTGGTGCGCTTCCAATCCTCCTCGTTTTTAGCACTCTCCATAGGCTTGCCAGTTCTCGTTTTCGTGAGACTTACTCTTCTGACTGGCTCGCCCTTCGGTCCATCAGTGTCAACTTCTTCCTGCTCGTCCCCGATTGCCATGCCTGAGAATGGCTGCGTCAAAGTCGCTGCAACGTTCTCCTTGGTGTGATTCACTGGCAACGGGCGCTTTGGTTTGGCGACAGCTTGTGTAAACTGCGTTGAAACTGGCGCAGCAGCTTCTACTGGCGGCTTCATCGGGGTGGCTGGAGCTTCCTGAATGGACCCTCGCAGTGTTTGATTGACGTTTAAACCCAACTCTGGTGCTGGAGCCGAAGGAGGTTTGGCCATGCTAAGTATGGCAGGGTCGACAAAGGACTGTTTGGCAGGGGCAGTAGGGCCAACAGGCATTTGTCTTGCTGCCCCTGCAATTGGACTCTGTGTTGGGTGACTCGAGAAGGACCCACGAGGCATCGCGAAGTTATGCGGCATGCCAGGGTGTTGGTACTGCGGCCATTGTTGGCGTTGTCCATTCTGACTCTGGAACTGCTGAGTCGGTTGCGGGTGGCTTTGTTGCCGTTGGGGAGGTTGAAATGGTGGGGCCTGCCACTGAGGCTGAGGAACTACGGTCGGCAGAGGGACTGGCTGTGAAGCGGGTACGGAAGGAGGTGGTTGTGCATTCTCTTGTTGAATTTTGATATCGGCTATGAAGCGGCCTTCGACGGTGCAGCTAGCTCTACGCTCTCCAGTGGCGGGATAGAAGACTACACGAGGTCAGTGATGGATACTACAAGATCGCGGAAACCTTCTATATACCATTCTGAAGAGCAAGCGTTGACGTTCGCTCGTCTACATGGGCCACGCGGCCTACAATGACCGAGTTTGGAGGCTGGACCAGGGTAACTGCAACTAGTAGGCCGACAAATTGAGAAGCCATTGTCGAGAGTTAAGGAACCTAGTCAATAGCGAGCATGACAGATCGACAAGAAGCTACCGGTAAGTTCAAGAGGCTTCGAGGTGAAGTTGGAGGTAGTCAGAGGATCCAGTCGTGATGCGCTGCCTTTACGCGTTTGCCAAAAAAAATTAATGGAGCAAGACTACTCAACGCGACCGACGTGCTTGGCATCGGATGTAGTGTCACGTGTCTCACGTGTCTCACATTCCGTCCACCGGAACAAACTCCATCAAATTCTTGTCACATCACACTTGATATGACTGGAATGACTCGATGGATCGTGCTACGGCCTGCGAACGAATGGGTCAACTCCCAAGAGTCTTCATTGTCGAGATGCATGCATGGAATGACAACATTACACCGACAACCCCGACGTGTCTCTCCACTTGACCTAATAGCAGATGAAGTTGCTACTATTCTCTCGGAGTAATGGAATGGATCTCAACTCGAGCAGCCTAGTGAGTATCCCTTGAATTCTATGGTAAGTATTCTAGATATTAGATGTCTTTTCGAAGTTTAACCCGTCAAAGCTGCTGCCGGGCCTGTTGCATATGGGCACATGGATATCCTCGCGCCCAACGATAACCGGGATCGCCTGATGTTTCCCGACAGCAACTACCATCAGTCATGCCCTCATAGCTCAGTGACCTTCGTCCCTATGTCGAGGATTTCTCACAAATCTTCGATAAGAAGTTTTTGGAAACACTATACATAGATGGCTCCATAAAGTCACTTCTTGGCACAATCGCGGACTGAGATGTCACGAACCGGCAGATGCAACAGATACTACGCGTAATGCCGGGATGACGCTACAAATGCAGGGCGATCAATGTAGGAAACCGGCGGGGCGAATCGGCAGTGACCGCTTCACCGTTAACCTGCCAGTATAGAGAATCTGTATATAAGGCTCTGGTTGCCAAAACGGTATGACCTATGGTGGCTTCTTTACACCTCTCCATGAGCAGTACTACTCATCCACAATAGCTGTGGATACCAGGTGCATCTCGAGCTGCACATCGACGTCTTCAGTCAAGAAGGGCAGAGAAAGTTCGACCAAGTCCAGTATACGCTTACCACCCCGCGCTCAGTTTCCCTCCAGCTTCTTTTCCATCCCCATATCCAGCTCTACGATAGCCATATTGATCGTCGTTGCACTGTTGCGGTGAAACAAGATGGTGTCGTGGTATTCGCTCAGTATTGCCTGCTTCGCAGCAATCGGCACCTTTCTGTTCGGTTTCGACACCGGAATAATCACCACAACAATAGCCCATGAAAGCTGGGTCGACTACATGAACCATCCATCTAAGGGTCTTACCGGTGCCGTTGTCGCTGTATATATTGCCGGCGAGGCTGTTGGAGGCGTCATGCAGACCCTGACAGGCGATCGACTGGGACGTCTTCGTTTTATGGAGATGATGTGTGTTGTTGTTACGATAGGGACCGTGATACAAACGGCTTCAGTAAACTTTGGAATGTTCTTGGCAGGTCGCATCATTGCTGGCTTCGCAGTTGGGTGAGTCTGCATCCTTGCACGTTGTGCGCTGCTAAACCCAGCAGAGGCATGGTCGCAACTGTTCCGATCTATCTCAGTGAAATCTCACCACCAGAATCGAGAGGTCTGATCGGAGGTATTTCAGGCTGTGGCATATCATTTGGCACCATGTCATCAAATTTTGTAGGTTTCGCCTCGGGCTACGCTCCGTACGGACAGATTCAATGGCGTCTTCCCTTGGCTCTCCAGATCCCATGGGGAATCATCTTGTTTTGCGGCCTAATAACGTTCATGCCCAACTCTCCCCGTCAATTGATACGACGTGGAAAGCCTGAAGAGGCGCGAGCTGAGTTCGTCAAAATCCGCAGAACTTCAGCGTCAGCGGCCGACGTACAGCAGGAATTTGCTCTCATGCAAAGGCAGATCGAGTTTGAGATGCAAAGAGAAGTCAAGTCTTACAAAGACATCTTTCGCCTATATCGGCACCGAGCATTTGCATCGATAGCCGTACAAACGATGACATCACTGACTGGCGTGAACGTGAGTCGACATCTGCCTCATCCCTTGTGAGTGATGCTGAATCACCTCAGGTAATACAATACTATCAAACGATCCTCTATCGGTCCATGGGCCTCGCGCCTCGCACAATTCTCATCCTTGTCGCCATATACGGAACGGTCTGCTTCAGCGCCAACTGCGCCACGTCCTACTTTCTCACAGACCAATGGGGACGGCGCAAAATGATCCTCGCTGGGCTGTCCTCCATCATCCTGATCGAGATCTATGCTGCGGTCATGCAACGATTCTTCCAAGACAGCACAAACGAAATTGGCAAAGGCTTCGCAATCCTCGGTATCTACCTATTCGCTCTGGCCTACTATGGCCTTCTGAACAGCACAACCTGGCTGTATGGAGCAGAGATCCTGCCGATGCCACTGCGCAGTAAAATCATGGGGCTCGCTGCCACCAGCCATTTTGTCGTCAACGTGGCCGTGACGCAGGCAGGGCCCAGTGCGTTTGCGACGATCCGGGAGAATTATTATTATCTGTTTGTCGCATGCTCGGCGTTCTTCTTGGGTGTGGCATATCTTTACTTTCCGGAGAGTCGACGGAGGACGCTGGAGGAGATTGCGGCCGCATTCGGTGACAACGTGGTTGGTATCGTGGATGTAGACGTCCTGCATCCCTCAACTACGGACGATGATCTCGAAACAGAGGGAAAGTCATCGGATAAACATGTCGAGCGCGCAGGAGATGCCGAGTGTACGAGCTATGTAGGTGAACCGAATGGAGCGACTTCTCGGATGGTTTGATGGATTAAGACCAACGCCTTCCGAGGTTTGATAAGTAGTTCTTCAACAAGAGCTATAAACTGACGGATACTCTACTGTCATCAGCGTATCGATGCCATAAAAAGCCTCAGCGACCATATCTCAATGCGGGGAAATGCGGGGAGCAGCCGCTTACGACTAAGAGCAAATGTACGGAGCTTACTCCGCGAAGCTTATAACAATCAACAATCACCTTCATTCAACTATCGCTACGAGAAACGTAAAAATAATTCACAGAGCGTACAGCCTACGATTAGACGTCCTACCTTGTCTAGACTACCCTGACTGACACACCACAAGTATAATTAAACGCAAAGAAATACACTCCAACATCAGCCCATTACCTCCTCTCTACTTTGCATATACCCCGCTCTCCTTCCATTCGACCCTTTCCATTGCCCCGTAGAAGCTGATGCTTGCACAATTACCTCACTGACCCCTATAAAGATGTCCTTATCCCACACCCATGCCCATTCCGCTCACTCAATAATCCCATCCTCAAGCCACACTCAACCCATACCCTAAATCTCAAGCCAAACCAGCATTCCAACTCCAACCCACAACCAAAACACACAAACAATGCCCCCAACCCAACCCACCCTCCGCGACATCCAAGCGCCCCTAAAAGCACAATACAAAGACGACCCCGCCAGCGCCCTCATCACCCTCAAATCACACGGCACCCTCGACAACAACACCATAACCTGCAAACTCTCCTCCTCCTCCTCACCCGCCCTCCAATCCGCACACCGCATCGCCGGCCTCCACGCCAAAGCCGGCGGCGGCGACATCTCCGCCGGCGAACTCTGCTCAGGAGACATGCTCCTCGACGCCCTCGTCGCCTGCGCCGGCGTGACGCTCAAGGCCGTCGCCACCGCACTCGGACTCCCCCTGCTCAGCGGCGTCGTGAGTGCCGAGGGGGACATGGATTTCCGGGGCACGCTCGGGGTGGATCGCGGGGCGCCGGTGGGGATGACGGCGATTCGGCTGGGGTTTGAATTGGTGTTTGGGGCGGGGGAGGTGGGGGAGGGGGATGTGGAGAGGCTGGGTAGGTTGACGGAGAGGTATTGTGTTGTGCTGCAGACGATTGCGCGGAAGCCGGAGGTTAGTGTTAGGGTTGTTGGGAGGGGTGGGGTAGGAGGGGTGGAGGAGGGGGTTGATAGGAGTGTTGTTTGGGGGACGAAGGTTTGATATTGGGGGGAGGAAGGGAACTTTTGTGATAAGCGTATATGATAGCGCAAGGCTCAGCCCCTCGTTGGGGGCAAGGTGGTCGTTCCTAAACATCCATATCAGAACACTTGAATTCCCACTCGTGGGAACGCGCGACTTCGTCGGTGATTTCCTCCCATGCCCATCCACCTGGTCTCAGCCGGTCTAGGACGCTTGCACTGTCTGGGAAGATTGTCCTCGATCCAAGCAAGCCATGCCAGATGCCAGCCCGGTTATCCACAACGCTGGTCTGCGATGCAGGCGACACGGCCGACATATGTTCCGGAGTCGGAACGACACGTCGCTTGACAATGCTGCCGTGGCACCAGAGATATACAAGAGAGGTGAATATATCAGCCTCGTCCCCCATACTGAGGAGATACAGGTCATGGCGTCCCAGCGGGTGTGATTGTCCTGCGTCCAGTCGGCCCTGATACATTGCCCAGACGTTGGTGAGGTACCAGTATACTCGTGGAGTCAGGCCCGTGAAGATGATCTTCTTTGCAGCTGGACGCACACAGCAGATTGCAACGTAAAGAGCGACGAATGGCATGAGACGGATCGTATCTTCGCCCTCCGGACGGGAGGTCATATTGATTGTTCCAAAGGAAGTTACGCTCGAACATCCACTCGTCGATGTTCTGGAGGTTGAGTGTCAGGGTGTCCATGAAATGGCCATCGGAATTGTTGAGTCCCTGTAGGTAGTGCCGCATGTCGTGCTCCATAAATAGAAAGTCTGTATCTATGTGTATCATGTCACGACGCCAATCCGAGTCTTTCATGAAGAGGAAAGACTCTTGTGTGGCTGCGTATATGTCTCCGTGCGTGCTCGGGCCGGGAATGAAAGGGGCTCCAGGAAAAGCGAGAAATGGCAGCAAGAAAATCAATTCTGCTTTGAGGCGGTGCGCATTGAAAGATGGGACACACCAACCAAAGTCTCCGTGATTGCATTGATCAATGCCGTGATACGTATCCATACGCTGAAGCTTTTGGACGAGTGGGACGTCAATCTGGAGATGGCGAAGCCACGGTCGCAGAGCTCTTCCGTAAGGATACGCCGACACCATCTCGTCTGGCAGCAGCTCTGCAAACCTGCTAGCAACAGGTATCTTGAACCTGTTTTGTCCGTAGTAGCCCTCGCCTTCCTTGGTTAACTGTTTACATACCATCATGATACCCGGTGCGTTGTATGTAAAGGTGCCAAAATCTTCCTGCGTAACGTCGATTGCCTCACCCGGTTCGTCTTCCACCAACACCATCTCCATGATATCGTTCCGAATCTCGGCAGGAAGGTCGAGAAACCTGAAGACTCCAGGCCCTATCCATTTCCCCGGTAGCATCATAGTTTTCATAGGCTCGCATCCAGGAGTGTATAGTCACTACATCCTGATCCGAGAATTGGATGTAGCGTTCAGAAACCTGCAGTGCTCGTTGCTGAACAGAGACGAGACACAATTCGCGGTCCATTCTCGAAAAGATCCGAGGCGCCGTGAGCCTGTCGAGAATCACAAGTGGTCAGATACGTCCAGTGGTCTCTTACCGTGAAACCGGCAAGTCTGGCGAGTGGTTTTTGACAAAATTAGAGTCAGCTGCGTGGAGTTGTCACGAATCTGGACGCGAGGAAAAGGAATTTCGAGGGACGGACAGGGCCATGAACGCGAACCAAAACTGACAACACGACGACGAGACGCGAACGTGAACAGTGTCGCCGCAGGAACGCGTCAATACGCGACCGACGTCATGCCCAAGCTCGCGTATGGATGAAACCAATACCGTCATAACAACTTTTTACCCCCTTTATATTCCGTCCCAATCCTAGGAATTTCATCCAGCGACCTACACTTCTGGCCCACTAGTCTAGTGGTAGTCAACAACGTGGTTAAAGAAATCTCAATACCCCAACATGATAGAGCCCGGGTTCGATCTGCGCGATACGAGTTTCTTTTGTATTTTTTTACGCGAGATTCCGGCTTTTGAACAGTGTCGTTGGAGGCTTGGCATTGTATTTTTATGACCTTTTTTGCGTCTTCTTCGGATGTATACAGCGTAGTATCAGGGTTAAGGAAGCTTGTTTCATGTGTAAAGTCACATCAAATTGGGTATTCATTGCTTTGTAAACATTTTTCATGTCCTCAAGATGTTTTGGCATCTCCTAGGACAGCAAATCGCTTATCTTGAACAACCGCAAAGACGCATCGTCGCTAGCTACGACAAATTGCAATTCTACCCCTGTGGAGCTCTCGCTACCAGGCATGGTCTCTCCTCTAATCTTGCGCCACGACAGTTCATTGACCGTCTTCGTGGGTGCAATCGCACGATCCATCGTATCGGCCGAAGCAACACTCAAGTCACCACACCTAATGCGTACAATGCCAACCGCCCCATCTTCAAGCCCAAACGCCAACACATAGCTCTCATGTACAACGTCAGGCGCAAAAGCGACAGCAGTGACTGACGTCGAAGCAGCAAGTGTCTGCACCACCGTAGCCTCCTTGCCCTCAAGTTTCCAGATCTTGACGGCTTTGTCTCGGCCAGCAGTTGCAAAGAGTCGAGGGCCAGCACCCGGTGCCCATGCGCCATCGAGGATCATTCGCGAATGGCCCTTGGGATTGCACGCTGCGAGCTTGTATTCGTTCTCGTTCTCGCTATTGCGTTGAAACACTGCCCATTGTCTGTCGCGACTCACGCTGAGCAGATACTCATCATCGTGTGAGAATGCTAGGCCAGTGACTGTCAAGGTGTGTGCGGTGAGTGCCGGCTTGACCTCTCTCCATTCCTTTGTCTCGTATAGTCTGATGACGGCATGATCGATCGAGCTTGCTTTGCAGGCTGTTGCTACAACTTTCCCATTATGAGATGCAGCGACTGCGGATATTTCATAGCCGTGCCCGTACAGCTTTTCTGTTTCGGGCCAGAGTAGGTGTCGGGCGAGATGGTCTTCATGTGGAGGGTGGCGGATATCTAGCGTCGACTTGAGAACGACGGAAGCTGGGTCGATGGGTATGCGTTCATCGTCCTGGTCATCTACATCCGCATTGTCTTCGACAGCTTGTATGGCTTTGTTGGATAAGCCAAGGACTGGGATGTTGGCAGCGTCGGGGAGCTTCCCCTCAGTGTGTGTTTTTATTCCGCATAGACGTTCCAGTAAGTTGGCAACTGCTGATGGTTCATCAAAAACTCGGAGGAGCTTCTCATCTGCGCCCGACACGAATCGGCCCGGCCCTATAGAACTTACGCAATTTAGATCGTAACCGTGGATCTGGGGTCGGCAGAATTCGTGCCACGATCTGTTACCGTTTCCCGTCCACTCTGCAAATAACCGCGTCGTCTGGTCAGATCCGGTGGAGATGACATAAGTGTGGTCGGCAGCCCAACATGCACTCTTCACCTCTTTCGTATGCCCTGTGATAGCAACATCCTGCATCCACATATCCTTCGTCTTGTCGTAATTCCACAAACGCCAACTCCCTGTCCGACCAAGACTCACAACGGAGTCTCCAGCACGAGACCACAGGCCGATCCAGAAGCCACCCGTACTGCCCGTTGCTGACGTCGAACCTTTCTGAGCACTGATCTCGCCAAGTCTCGTCGTGCAAATCCACACCCCAGACGCCGGATCAGCTTCCCATATCGAGAGGGAATTATCTGCAGATGCCGACAAAAGTCTAAGGTTAGGACCTTGACGGTGCCAATTCGCAGTAAATATCCAATCCTCATGTCCAAGAAGAAGCGCTTCAAAGGTAAGCGAATAGAAATTCTCCTGAGTATCGAATCTATGCGCTTTGTTCGACAGCGACTTCCCCAATACGCCCAGGGACGGATCATTAGCAGCCCTCGAGCTCGGCGGAAGTTCCTGTCCGGCGTGGATGCGCCATAATCGGATGTACTTGTCCTGGCTCGCGGATGCCAGGAGCAGGTCGGAGTTTGCGTCAGACGTTTCTCGTGTGAAAGACAAGGATCTGATCCATGCTTCATGTCCCGTTAATGTTGCCTCAAGTGAGTACCCGTAGTCCGCAAAGATGTAGACCTGGATCGCTGTCCTGGTGCCCGCGATTGCTAATACCATGGTCTCCGAGTCCAACTGAGCCACGGCTAGACACAATGGAAAATGCCGGGGGATCAAGGTAATACTATGTACTAGATCTGCTTTCACGAACGACCCAGCGTCGTCGAAGACGCTGCGCCATATCTTCACAGTGCCGTCTGCAGCGCCGGTGGTGAAAGTGGTACTACCAGGCACCGTTGCGATGGAATGGATCGATGCTGAGTGGTCAGTCAGGACTTGGGAACAGATAAAACCATTCGGCGAGGATGGATCAGGACTCCATATGCGCAATGTCTTGTCTGCGGCGCCGCTGATAAAGAGGGGTGTTGAGTTAGGAGTGTAGAGAAACATGATGGCGCTGACGGTATCGGTGTGGCCAGGCAGAAGGGCATGGATGCCATGATATGATGTGTCCTAGAGTATGTCATTATATGAGACGCCTCTATGAGTTTCAACGAAGCTCAATCTCTGATGAACTTACTAGTGGACTCCACACTGCAACATTGTTGCTGGCTCCAAACACCAGCAAGTCTGAGTTCTGATCCCAGTCCGCCGCCGAAGGGTGCCGATTCCCACCTGCAGCGAGGAAGTCTGCTTTGATCTCGACCATCCTTATAACTATCTATTCATGACGCCCCCCAAAAAAACGTGCATGGGTATCGAAAACGTGACCTCTCCATGACTGAATGAAATTTATGCCGCTAGGAACCACGCCAAGACTCGCTAGGGATTTCCCTTACCCAGAAAGTCCCTGCGGCTCCAAACATCACACGTTCTATCAACACATTCCATCATGTCAGACACAGGAACAATACCAATCCGCCTCTCTTTTGGCGGTGGTCTAGAAGCCTACTTTTCAAACAAACGCACTCAAACCGTCCAAGTGCCAAGTAAAGACGAATCCGGCGCCCCGTCAAACGCCGCTTTCCTGATCCGATATCTGCACGAGAATATCATGCAATACCATGGCGAGGCCAAAAACAATCCATTCGTAACACCTGAGGGTGACGTGTATGTTTGAGCTTCACATTCTACAGTCCCTATCAGGCATGAATGAATGAGGGCAAGGTGTGACATACTGACATGCGAACAGGAGACCGGGCATTCTCGTGTTGATTGGAGATCCGGATGAGATTGATGGCGAGTTGGCAGACTGGGAGCTGGAGGGTGAGGGTGCATATGTGTTGAAGCCAAACACGCTGGTGTCGTTCATTTCGTCGTTGCATGGAGGGTGAAAGCTTGGATTGAAGCATAGACATGGGGGCGTGAAGCATAGACGATACTACTGTTCTGATCTGTGGAGGAGGAACATGCAACCATGTCATGGGCGACGCGAGCCTTGGGTGTGCACAGTGGAAATGAGAGGAAAGTACTCATGGCAGGTCACGTGGCATCACACTACGAGCAAATAGCATATGATGAGCTTGTAAGTGGAGAATGGCTTTCTACGAGGATAGTATGCTATTCTATGGTAAAGACCGATCAGGCCTCGCGGGGAACGCCGGGACATGCAGGGCTCATGAGATACTGAGAGGTGGGTATCACAACTTCAACTCTCCTTCGAAACCATCGACATGCATGAAGTTTGCTCGGAGGGGCGTTACGCTAGGACATTATTAGTTTGATCAGAACTCTACTGGAGATTGAGGACTCACCTGATGTCCTTCTCTTTCACCACCCATCCATCACTACCAGGTCCACCTCTTTCTACGCTCTCGTATACGTCGGTGATCTTCGGAGCCCACTTGAAGTGCTTATGTTTATATCTAAAGGCCTTTGGTTTCTTCCCGTTCATACTTGTGGGCGCCTCGCCTTCCTCGCTTTCCCTAATCTCCACCTCCGCTTTGTCTGCGTCTTCCGCGACTTTCTCGCCCTCATCGGGCACCTCAACTTCTTGGAAACAGCTTCCGCTCGTCCATGTATTCTGCAACATCCGAGTCCATAGCACCTTCTTTTGCTCGACTCCTTCTACAAGCGGCACGTTGACGGTATAGACGTGTACATCAGGCTTCCAGTTCGCGGCCAGGTTTTCGATAATCTTGACACTGATGCGACTTGCGCCAGCCACGATTTCCGGATCATGATTCTTGTCGAAAAACGCGTATGAGAGTGCAATGGCGCGCTTACCACAGACAGCAGCTTCCATAGCACCGCCCAGTGTCCCACTAGACAGCGAGAAGCACGCCGTGGTATTGCGCCCGTAGTTCGGCCCAGAGACAACGAGGTCGATTGGACCACGCGACTCGAAGAAGTGGTGCAGACCAATTTGTACGCATGATGCTGGCGTGCTGTCTATCAACACCCACTCGTCCTGGTGTGGCTCGTCGTCGCCCTCTTCGCCTTCTCTTATCGTGCCTGCAAGCGGTGTTTTGCTCGTTGTGCCTTGGTTGTTCAGCGCGCCAGTGCTATCACGTCTTACAGCGCCTGGTCGGTAGTATGTTGGCGTAATGGCTTGGCCTACCATATGGGCCTTTCCGATCCATGAGCGCTGGACATGCGGCAGGACGACGGAGACAGTGTGGCCGGCGGACTGCAATTGGGAGATGAGAGTGTGAACATAGGGCGAAGATTGGTTCGAGGGTGGACCGTCATCGTTTGTTACCTGGGCAATTATCAGAATTGAATCTCTTCCCAAGTAGCGAGGAAGGTTAGGATAACAATGAGGCCAGGGACAGACTGCGGGGAAGACGTACGAGGATATGCATGGTTGCGCCGGTGGAATGGATGTACGAATCGGATCAGTCGAAATTATATGTACCGAAGTTGGACAACGCGAAGAGTGAATTGAGGCGTTAGTGAGTGTACAGTCCTAACCGGCGCAATGTTCTCCTTCATTGACGACATGTGGGCGAAATTGCCCCCGCCACACCTTCCTGTCCACCGTAGTGGGGCTTTCTTCATTGGGCAACTACAGGCGGCCCGCTGTCAGATGCCGAGCCCTATTTGCCCTGATCCAGACGACGACAACAATAACATCACCAACAACACGCCCGTGGACACTTCATAGTTGATTGACCTCGTCAGAACGGCGTGTCAGGAATACCAAGACGATGTGATGCCGATGATCATGGATGGTGAAAACTTTCCGCCCACAGCACAGCCAAATGACTTGAATCCCCGTGAAGTTTCCATTCACAACGCGTCGAAACGGTGGTTTCGACCTCACGCAGTGCCATTGAGATGGCTCGGTACGGCCGATATGACCTCGCGAAGCCTTTTTCACAGACCTTCTCGGCCTTGTTTGAGACGCGAGCGCGAGGTTACGAGGTTACGAATGGGTAGGGTATAAGTTTCTTCGGATCCCCGCAAGGCCCGGAGAATCGAGAGTATATATGCACGTCGGACGCAGCTGCATGTAGGTTTCTGGCAGAAGAAATTCTACCTCAGGGGAAAAACAGCGCTTGCATCTACTGGCATCCGCTTCTCACCACTGTTACTCTTCATCCTCACTACGTCTTTCTATCCAGAACATATCTCAGAATCGTGCTCCCATTCGTCGCGTTCAAAAAACTCCCTACCTCGCATAAAAATGGTTGTCGCAGTACCATCAGCCTCTCTTGAGGGCAAAGTTGCTCTCATCACAGGTGCTGGCCGTGGCATCGGCCGTGGAGTCGCCCTCGAGCTGGGCAAGCGCGGCGCCTCGGTCGTGGTCAACTATGTGTCCTCCAAGACCGCCGCGCAAGAAGTAGTCGACACGATACACAGCTACGAGAATGGCGCCAAAGCCGTGGCCGTGCAAGCCGACGTCTCCAAGGTATCAGAGATCACTCGGCTGTTCGCCGAGGCCAAGCAGGCCATGGGCAAGATCGACATCGTGATGAGCAATTCCGGCGTCGAGAGCTGGGACAAGACGGAGGAGATCTCGGAGGAGAAGTTCGACCATGTGTTCAATCTGAATGCGCGCGCGCAGTTCTTCGTCGGACAGGCCGCGTACAAGAACATCGAGGACAACGGACGCGTCATTCTCATGTCGTCGATTGCGGCGGGTCTGCTTGGTGTCAAGGACCATGCTCTGTACAATGCATCGAAGATGGCGGTTATTGGGATGGTCAAGAGCTTTGCGACAGACTTTGGGAAGCGCGGTATCACTGTCAACGGTGTTGCGCCAGGTGGCATTATGAGCGACATGTTTACGCAGAACGCGTGGCATTACATTCCTGGCGGCACGCCTGATATGCCGGGCGAGAACGTCGAACAGCTCATGAAAGACAGCTGTCCACTGGGACGAGTCGCCCACCCTGAGGATGTCGCGAGGGTAGTCGCCTTCCTTGCAAGTGAAGACGGCGGTTGGGTTAACGGTGAGTGCATTCCCAGAAACCGATAATTATCGAATGTCAGCTAACGTCTTGCAGGCCAGATCATGACCATTAGTGGGGGCAGTTCTCAGTGAAACGAATCATTGTCAATCATGGATTCTACATCACTGTCACGGAGGATTTCGGTAGCGGTCAAGCATTTCGGCGGGTCAAGCGGCATTGCATTTGTACAACTCGGGGAGCATTGTGAGTACAATGGTTCACGGGTGTTATGATATCACGAGCAACGGTAGCACACGGGTTGATACAGTGCGATTGTCGGTTTGTAAGAAAAGAAAAGTTATAAAGTCTCTATTCCACCCAGATTCATAAGTCATATCCGATCCTTGAGGAAAACGCTAGTTCTATAGTAGTACACTGTTGAAATATTCCTTTTTAAAGCTGTCTCACAAGCAACCAGGCTCGGAGTCCGAACGTAACGATACCCAACTCCCGATTCGGAAATTAGATTTCCGACTTCGCTCCATTCGACAACAATCACAAATCGGCCATGGATGGCCAGCACAACGTCAACTGCAACCCTAGCCAATACTCGCTATCACCGAATCCTTGCGATCCACTAACGGCGCCACCTGCCTCTTCTTCAGCAACACCTTGATCTGCGGATTGGGCATGTACCCGCCCGCGCTCTTGATCCGCTTCGGCTTAACCTGATCCTCATCCCTGAACTTCAACTCGTAATTCTCAATCAAGTGCATGATGATCAACTTGACCTGCTCCACAGCATAGTGACGCCCAGGACACGCATGCGACCCATGCCCAAAAGACAGCGAATCCGGACCCGTAGCCACAAAATGATGCTTCGTGTCCTGCCCTGGCTGCTCGCGCAGCTTGCTCCAGCGGAACCCGTCGAAGCTATCCACGTCCTCCCACGGCGTAGGGTCCGTGGCAATGGCCACGTGCGTGCCCGCGGGAATCAGCGTGCCGTCCTTGAGCACGATGTCCTGCATCGCCTTGCGGCGAAAGTGGATGATGAGGATCGGGTGGATGCGCTGGCCCTCCTTGAGGAAGCTGTCGAGCTTCTTCATGCGCGCTACGCTCGCCTTGGTGGGCTTCAGCTCTTCGTCGCCGATCTCCGGGACTTCGACGAGGTCGCCGGCTTCCTCCTTTGCGGCGGCGGCTTCGGCGCGCAGCGGCTCCGCGTACCAGGGCCGTTCGGCGAGGTCGTAGATGGCGTTTGTGGTGACGGTGGAGGTGGTGTGTAGGGCGGCGAGCGAGAGGACGAGCAGGGTGTGGGCGTGGATGTCGAGGTTTGCGCGGTACTTTGCGTCGGGGGCGTTGCGCAGGTTGAAGACGGACAGCGAGGGGGTGGTGGACTTGTCTTCGTAGCAGGCCATGTTCTTCTCCAGGACCGGCTTGACGAGGCGCTTCATGGTCTCGAGGGCGGTGTTGACGTTCTGGATCTCCTTGAGGAAGTACTGTGCAAAGGGCCGGAGTAGCGGGTGGTAGGCGCGGATGGCGCCCATGGCGGTGAAGGTGTCCTTGGTGAAGGACATGGTGGTGCGGATGTATTCGGGGTCGCGGTTGAGCGGGTTGCCGACGAAGACGCGGCCGACGGCCAGGGCGACGATTTTGAAGATCTTGGACATGATCTCGACTTCGGTCCAGTCTTCGCACGTCGGCATGAGTTTGGAAAAGGCGATTTCGATTTCCTCGTTGACGTCGGGCTCGAGCTTCTGGAGGTTGCGGGTGAGGTCGCGTTTGACACTCGCGCGGCCGACTTCGACGTTGCCGCCCACGGCGCTGACGGAGCCTAGGCTGTAATGGGGGAGGAAGCGTTCGTCTTGGTCTTCCATTGCGCTGAGCTTGCTGTCTGGGAGCGACTTTAGCTCGTCGAGCTTGTTGATGGGGAGGATGACTGTGTCCGCGTGGACTTGGGGGATCTTGTAGTATGTAGATTCGGATCCATACTGTGCGTGGTGTCAGTATAGATGGTCAAGATCAGGCATGATAGTAGACTCTTACCTTCTTGTATCCTTCTTGGATGAGCTCGTGTATTTGTGCTGGTTGCGGGCCGGAGAATTCATCTGCTATGTTTGGTGCCTTGAAGTCTTTTGTGTGATACTTTTGATATAGGTAAAAGGCAGCTGAGAGGAGGCCTAAAGCTACAGCGGCAACTAGTAGCTCAGGATGGGACTGGACAAGGGGTTTTAATTGGGTCAACATCTCGGGATGTGGAATTCACTCATACGAAAACGGCAATCCGAAAAAAAGTGTAAACGAAAAAAGACCTGAAATGACTTGGGGGATGGTCAATTGTGTCTCTGTCTTAGCCTTGGCTTTACCGGGACTTGAGGATATTATATCGAGCCCCAGCCTCGACTCTCAGTCGACCAGATCCCATCGGATCTGACTATGATGTCCATGTTTGGAGCAAGTCGGGCGTTGCAACACCGGCTTCTGCGTCATACCTGTGGCACTCCAGACGTGGTAGTCGGAGCATCGGAGGTTGGTATGTGCATTGCAAAAACCTCGATCTCCTTGAGATTTCGGGATGACCACGCGTTCGACCTAACCCGGGTGGGCAGATATTATAACTGCATGTTGCGTGAGAAGGGGCCCACACGTGATGTGAGTATTTTCGTATTCCGTATTCATGAAACAAGGGTTCTGGCGATCTTGCCAAGTGTAGCCAAGATATCCCAAGCAAAGCCAAGTTTGCGGCCGCTAGTGATGTTGCGGTTAGCCGGCCCGCCGCCTGGAAACGCCGCTTCGGTAGCTCTTCCGCGATTGCGCTCCGCAACCACTGCTGTAAACACTGTTCAGTTGCGGCATGTTGGCGCCGAAGCTTGATCCTGTGTTTCAGATTTCACATGAACGTCATATCTGCCTGCGTACCTGACGATCATGATCCTCGTCCGTTCAAGCATGCGTTTCGACATGCCTCGCGTGTAGACTTCCGTTAATCTCTCCGTGAACGTGTCTCCACGCACTGCTCTGGCTCCAAGCAGCAGTAAGTATTCGTCGGGATACCTGGGCGCAACACAGGACGCCTCAATAGCATCATGCTCGCCTTTTCAACTGCCGGGCGAGACACAGCACCCCTGCTTCCCTAGAATCATCAAAGACATACACGAGCGTACACATATCATGGACCGGCACTCTCAAATCACAATTCCGCACATCACACATCCTCACAGCACCCTCACGCATATACTCCCACGGAAAGCGAACAAAACACACGCAATCCCACAGCTACGCCCCGGTACCGCTTACCCACCCGCCCCAAATAGCCGCCCAGAACACACTCTTACGGCCGTTAAAAACGCTGCCGAATATTTCAAGCATGACCCTCCGCATCGAGATCGAGACTCACCGCAAAAGGAAGCAAAGCAGAACGCGTCAGCGTGAGATGTACGCAGATACTTGTCCAGAAGGAGGGGATGGAGGGGGCGTAAAGTCTCCGCTTGCCGTCGGAGATATGATGATGATGGATGTTGGCCATGGGGAAGGGATCACGATATGGATATTGGGAAAGTGCATACTAGACGTGTTGGGATTGGCGTATTCGCTTGTAAGTTCGTCGGTAATGCGGACCTGCAGATTGCCTAAGACGGTATTGTGCATTTTGTTACGACTATGCGCATGCACATGCATACGCATACGCATACGCACACGTCCAACTCCCGGTCTCTATCTCACCACATCGCAAGATGTTCAAGTATCGAATCACTGCATGTAAAGCACGGTGCCTTCTCGCCTCTGCAGCCTCCAGTGTAGACACCAGCGCGACGGAGACATTTCCTCCTCTCTGGCGGTAGCAGTAGGCGCTACCACCCCTGTCCACAAACCACGCCATATCCTCATCCAACATCCATCTCAACGCCAGATCACATCCAGCCTTCAACCTATTATGAAGAAATCAAAGATATACCATCCCACAGAGCGGTCGTGTATGTAGTCCCACACGTAGTCTCGCAGCCACGAAAGCAGCCCCTCATGCAGTCTCACGATATAATACGATGCATGCAACACGGCACATGCATACGCATCCATACACGCACCCAATTCGTGCATGACACACAGTATTTCTTACTTCCCCATCTCAATTTACCCTTTACTTCACCCTTCACTTCACCTCCTCCCCGCCGATTCGATTCGATCTGATCCGATCCGATCAGTTCAGTTCAGTTCCCTCAGTGCACGCAATTTCCTCATTCGCACAGTTTCCGGCAATATGATATGAAGGAGTATGGTAGGATAAGCTTACTCGCACCCCTCCGCGCCATCACTGCACCAACCCTCTGCACAGATAGCGGGCGTCAAAGGATAGGGTAGCGAAAGTAGGGGAGGAGTAGGGGAGTAGGTGAATAAAACTCCGTTGTTGGCGGAGGGTATGTGATGTGTGATATGCCAGTCTGTGATAGGGCAGTATGTAAGCATGTGATATACCAACGTACGTATATGCCAGTACGCAAGTATCAGCTATCTACACGACCAAAGAGAGGGATTCTGGAGATTCTATGGTATGTTATACTGTGCTGTGCTATGCTGTGCTGTGCTATGCTGTGCTGTGCCAGCTGTGCTGAGATAGACAAGTGAGTAGGTGAGTGCTGTGCATACAGTACGAATAGGTATGTGTGAAGGGGACGGAAAGGGGGAATCGGGCAGAGGGATATGTATAAAGTGTATAAGTGTACAAAGTCCAGAATATGCAGAGAACCCAGCGACACCACAGCAGTCCTACTTTAACCGAGATCGAACGAGATCAAGGCTGCACTTTCTTTCGAAGTTCGAATATATGTCTTTCGAATGTATTATATGTCCTTGCGAGTAAACGGACATGATGAGTGAGTGCTTTGAAAAGTGTTTGGTGCTGCAAGTTATGGCTGCGTGGTGCTTTTCGGACGGGCTGCTAGAACGTGCTGTGCTATCAGGGGCTGAGGGGGAGGTAGAGACAGAGAGATTGTGTGAAGTGTGGTTAACAACGGAGAGTCCTGTCTTTGCTTCGCTTTTCGTGTTTGGAGTGAGGTGTGAAGTGTGAAGTGTGAAGTGTGAAGTGTGAAGTGTGAAGTAGGTGTGGAGCGCCGCAGTCGTGAGCTGATTAGTACTTCTTCCATGTCTGTATAATCTTTATGAGTCCACGGTCTCGTGGAAGCCATAATGCCATGCTTCCATAATGCCATGGTTCCATAATGCCATGGTTCCATAATGCCATGCTTCCATAATGCCATGCTTCCACAATGTCATGCTTCCATAATGCCATGGTTTCATAATACCACGAGTCCATAGTTCCGTAACAGAAGTCCACAGCACAAACCTACAACACCCTTACCCCTCCTTTCTTCGCTAAACCAAGCAGTGCCCCCCCTTCTCCGCGGAAGTATCCACACACCACGACACCAAACAAAAAATACAAACAAGCAGTGCAGAGAAGCAAGCACGTAGTATGAACATAGTGAAGAATTGTATTTGATGTATCCATCCCATCCCATCCCATTCTCATTCCCACTCAATCCCGTTCCTGCTCCTTTCTGCCGATAGTCAAGCAGATAAAACACACGATAGTAATACAAAAGCAACAACCCCATCCATCACTCCCCATCGCTACCCACACACACCCCCAAAGCATCATGATTCGAAAAAAACACCCCCATATACGCCATCGCCATGCAAATCATTTCAACCCAGTCACAACCCTGCACTCCACTCCAACATCTACCCCACCTTCCGAATAACAACCTCCACATCCTCGCCCTCCAACGGCGGCAAAATCCCCACCGAAACCGCCTTCGTATCCACCATCCGCGCCAACCTCTCCCAACTCCGCTCCACCCCCTCCGGCAACCGCACATCAAACCGCGTAAACGCAATCCCGACAAACGTCAACACCGCCTTCAGCGCAATCGCCCGGCCAGGGCAATACGTGCTCCCGCCGCCAAACGGGCGGAATTCCTTGCCCTTGGTGAGATCCTTCTGCGCGGAGGTCCAGCGGGCGGGGTCGAAGGTGTCGGCCTGCGGGCCCCAGAGGGAGGCGTCGTGGTGCATGGGGCGGTAAGGCATGGTGACGATGCCGTCTTTGCGGAGGAGTTTCCCGGCGATTTCGGTGTCGGCGGCGACGCTGCGGACGGAGAGGGAGGAGGTGATGTGGCGGAGGGATTCGTTGTAGACGGCCATGAGGGAGGGGCAGAGCTCGAGGGCGGCGGGGAGGTCGAGGTGTGGGTTTGCTGCGATGGAGGCTTTGATTTCGTGTTTGATGGTTGAGTGGAGGTGTTCGTCGTGCAGGATGTGGGCGAGGACCCAGAAGGCTTGCTTGTAGGCGTTTGAGTTTGTGACCCACATTGGGACGACGAACATGGTTGCCAGGTCGTCGGGGCCGAGGCCGAAGGCGCGGATCTTGTCCTCGAGGGCGGTGACCATGTAGGCTGCGTCGGCGCGGTCGGGCTGGGGGATGGCGAAGTAGGTGCGGAAGGTGGACTTGAGCTCGGCGAGGGCGTTGTGGACTTCCTTGGCCATGACGGGCGGGAGCTGGTAGATGAGCTGCCAGGAGTAGTCGTCGAAGTCGGAGATGATCTGGACCATGTTTGGCTGCAGGTCGGTGAGGGTCTTGTTGAAGAGGGCGAGGTTGAGGGAGTCGATGAGGACGGCGCGGGTGAAGGTCCAGAGGGACATGGTCATTTGGGTCTTGCCCTCGGAGCGGATGGCGTCGCGGGGCACGTTGTCCCAGGTCAGGGCCTTGTCCATGTGGTGGGACATGGAGGTCCAGATGGAGGTGAGGTTGGGCCCGGGGTTGAATTGCTTGCGGAAGATGTCGACGGCGTGCTCCGAGAGGGGCTTCTCGGCTGGGTTGCCCCAGCCCTTCTTCATGCCGTCGGCGCTGACTCCGAGCGACTTCATCATGTCCTTTGCGAACTTTTCGGTGCTGAGCGTCTTGGTGTTGCGGTAGACGGTGTTGATGTCCTGGGGCGCGGTGACAAAGTACATGCGCTGCCCGGCAACACGCATCATGTAGGGAATGCTGCTATTGTTGAAGTACTCCCGGCCGAGGCGGGCGGCCTTTTCACCGTCGCGGAAGAAGTCGATGGCGTGGCCGAGGAACGGGACCGTGTAGGGAACCTCCTTGGGCTCGCGTGGGTGAAGCAGCGGGTAGACTGTAAACGAGTACACCCGCCACACAATCCAGGCGAGACCCAAGCCGATGATCGTCAGGGTGGGCCATGAAAGCTCCGAGAGCTTGAACGTGGCATTGGAGGATTGCTCGACTACCTTTTCAAAAGCGAGGGCAAAGGAGACGAAGCCAAGGAGATGGTGTTTCACCGAGGAATCGTTCAGGGCGAGGCTGTTGGACTCCTGGTTGCGGACCTCTAGTGTCGCCATGATGTATTGTGTATGTGTGCGTGTATGGCAGAGATAATGAAGTGCTGGTGGTTGAAGTAGAAGAAGATCTAGCCAGCTAGGAAGGATATATATTCTAGGTTGAAATAAGGGATAGCAGAAAGTGTGTGAAGTGGGGAGGGGGGAGGTGAGTGTTTGAGTTAAGGAAGAGTGTATTCAATCAGTATTACATGCTCTTATATATCTCCTGGGGTTTGTGTGTTACAGCAGTCTCCATCATCCCTAGATCCTGCGAGACAGTATTCACCGTGCCCTTGTTGAAACGGACTATTTTCACACCATTGGCTGGGAGGGTATTTCGAACACGCACAGGAGACGGTTGACGTAGCCCAACTAGGAGCACAATCCTACAGTGCCGGCGTAACACCATCAATGCTCAAGCCTCTGACGAGTTCGCAGCACGATAAGCATGACAAGCATTGATAGATCACCTTCTAGAAAAGGCACGGTGGCGGACATGGCAGGAGGCCGTGGACCCTGAACAGGGAGCTAGCACATGGTGATGCCTTTGTTTTGGATCGAGATGTGGGGCGTATGCAAGATAGTGTTGTTGATATGAGTGGACTCCCAGGCTATCTGCAGATCCAGGATGATGATCCTCCAGAAATAGCTGCATAGACCCTGATGACGACGGGTATAGATGTCTCTCACCATGTGTGAATGTGGGGCTGAGCATTGATCCACAGGCGGGCGGGTATTTTAGATGATCTTCAAAATGCATGGGGATTGGAGCCTTGAATGGTTGACATGTCTGTTCAGCTCCAGAGGTGAATATGCATCACATGTAGGAGACACTGCATGGCACCAGCGCCCAACAACATGGATGAAATGTATGTTCATACGCGTGGTGACTGAGATGGCATATTGGAGGCAGAGTAAGATTCCAGAACAACCTCATCACAGAACCACACCAGTAGACTGGCCTTGCTCTTTCTGGTAGATCAAAGTGAAATACACGACGAGAGGGGGCCGGGATCTTTCCTGGACGAGAATCTAGCCCCCGAGCACGAGGTGGACGTCGGCGTCTGAGACAGTTCCACTTCTGCAGCCAGAAACATTGAGTCCCAAACTTGAGGCTCAAGAAGATGATGGTGGGACCCGATTGGCGTATGACGTCGTACGGTAAGATTGAACGCCGCGGGCCAAGCCTATGGTAGGATGCCAAATTCAGATAAGCAGAATGTAGGAATATTGTGCCAGAGGAACTTTGGACGCGCAGTAGGCATAGGATGGATCGACGGCAAGCAGATGTTCTTCGCGTGGTGTGTTAATCTTCTACTGGCTCGACATTATGTGACTATAGGACAGTAGTGGACATGCTCCCACGTGTCGGCGTCCGAATGTGTGATGGAGGGCTAGTATAACGATGATAGGTATGGTTTAGGATCTCTTGTGAATGCTTAGACTCAAGCATGTCATGCAGGACAAAGCCATAGTGGACTGCAGGGCGGTCTGTGTGGCTCAAAGAGCGCGGCTGATGGTTCATCTGGGGCCGAAAGCGGTTTAGTGTAAACAGATTAAGCGGAAGCTTAGCATGTTTCGGAGAAATGCTCCGTCCAGAGGAGCCGCTTGCCGGTGTGCGAAATATAGCACAAGTCTCCGTCTACGCACGGGGTTCGTGATGCTGCCAAATTCTCCGAGTAGACTGTTTGCCGGAACAGGTATAGAGATGTCTGGATCTGCCCGGCTATTGGTCCGTTGATGCCATGATAATAGAGTCTGTTTTTTTCAAACCCGGCAGTGAAGATCCCTCGCGTCAGAAATTCCTGTACTTGTGCCACGCTGATATCTCGTGGTCAAGATCGTGATACTGTGGATTTGCATTCTCCATATAGAGCAATTGTTCAAGCTGCCGGTAGATGAACTTGTCGCATACGAAGTACGAAATTATGGTCCCTTGACGAACACCTGTGGCTGGTGAAGGGATCAGTTCTCGCACACTGCTTGGCATCCATCGCGTGTTCAACACCTACCCACCCCCTGCTGGGGCTTGTGTTTAACGGATACTTTCGTTATTTTTATCACGCCTCCCTCTGAATCCTCATGAACCTCGCACTAATCCGCTTTGTCTGGTCTCTGATTTGCAGGCCCGTTTAAAGCAGAGCCGCATGCGTCATGGTCTCCATTTGCCCAAAGGAATCGGGATCCGAGCAGTCACGTTACTCGCTGCTCATGATGGATTCGACTGATTGTCCGAGCAATAAACCAAGCGGGATTCACATAAACCAAGCGGGATTCACATAAACCAAGCGGGATTCACATAAACCAAGCGGGATTCACATAAACCAAGCGGGATTCACCCCTGGTTCCTTTCCTCTTGGTTCCCTCAATCTCAATTCAACACCATCGTAATGCAAATTTTATTACCTATCATCTTCGTGATAGCGATATCCATCGCGACTGTCGTGCAAAAATGGTACTCGAACAGAACAAAATTACGAGGCTTGGTGAGTCCCTCATGTGCGATGAAGATGAAGTGATCTGACCGTCTTAGCCTCAACCACCTCACTCAATGCTCTGGGGGCATCTCAAGGTCATGGGTCAAGTCCAGATGTCCAACCCGCCACGAGCTGCGGCACAGACTCTATTCTACGCGCTTCGTGAGAAATATAACCTTCCAGACGTATTCTACCTGGACCTATGGCCGATCACCGTGTCGTACATGGTCATCATCAACCCACAGGTCATGAACCAGGCCTTTGGCGTGAGCAAAGGCTCGCAAAGTCTACCGAAGCACTTCATGGTGAAGCGATTTATGGAGCAAGTCGGTGGATACGAGGGTAATCTGGTCTCCAGTGAAGGCATTCAATGGAAGAAGTGGCGGGCAGCTTTCAACCCTGGATTCAGCTTGACACAGGTCATGAGCTTGGTTCCACAGATTACCGAAGACGTTGTGCGATTCCGCGATATTCTGCTTGAGAAGGCGAAGAACAAGGAGCTGTTCCGTCTTGAGCATGATACCACTCTCATGGTTGTAAACATCATCGGCAAGCTCGCCATGGACCACGATTTTGACTGCCAACGAAAGTCAAACAAGTTTATCGATGCTCTGCACAATCAAGTGCAATGGATCAAGATTGGTGTCCGGACACGACCGTCGGAGGCGTTTGATCCTCGGAGACCGTACATGTTCTGGAAGAACAACCGGACCATGGACAAATACATAGGCGACATCCTCGAGGACAGATTTGTGCAGTACAAGTCTAAAGGAAAGCAGAAGAAGATTGCCATTGACTTGGCGCTGGAGGCGTACATGAAGGAGGAGAAGGGCAAGACGATGGAGCAAACGACCAAGCTGGACAAACAGTTCAAGGCAGAAGCGATTGAACACATCAAGGCATTCGTGTTTGCCGGGCATGACACGACCAGCTCGACGATCTGCTACGCGTTCTACAAGACGATGCAGAATCCAGAGATTGCAGCCAAAGTGCGAGCTGAGCATGACGCAGTGCTGGGACCGGATGTGTGGGATGCGCCGAACGTCATCGCCGCTGAACCGCACATCCTGAACAAGCTAGACTACACATTGGCGGTGATCAAGGAGACTCTTCGCCTCTACCCGGCAGCCAACAACCTTCGCGAAGGAATCGAGGGACAGAATCTGAAGGATCCGGCGACCGGGCAGGAATACCCCATGTTCAAGCACATGGTGGTATGGCCAGTCAACGTGTCGATGCATCGTGAAGAGCGATTTTTCGGACCGCGGGCGAATGAGTTTCTTCCCGAGAGGTGAGTTGGCATGGGAGCGTCGCAGTGGCACAGTTTCAGGCTGACGTAGATGGCAGATGGCTGCACCCAGAGCGGGCAGAGTTTGAGATGGACAAGGAAGCGTTTTTCCCGTTTTCCAAGGGCCCCAGGAATTGTATCGGGCAGGAGCTGGCGATGCAAGAGATGAAGATCATCATGGCAGTGTGTATGCGGGTGCTCGATGTCGAGATGGCTTATGACGAGCTGCACAAGCTGGCAGATGATGGCAGCGGATACCCAGGCGACACGAAGGGCGAGCAGTTTGGAGACGAAGCGTATCAGGTGCAGGTTGCGACAGCAAAGCCCCGCGAAGGCATGCCGGTACGAATCAAGGCGAGGGTATGAGAGCGAAGTGACTGTGATTAGAATGATGAGATGCTGATAGAATAAGGGCGTGGAGTGGGATGGAAACGGAAAAGTGTAGGCATAATAGTGTAGAACAGCATGACTTGTATCGCGAATTGCACTGGAAAGCGTTTGGCATGGATGTAGCCCCGCCTTTTTTACAGCATGGGATGGAGTTTAACGGTAGCAGCGGTAGCAAGGGTGATAGAAAGTCAAACTCAGGACAAGATTCCAGTCTCTAGTCTCGAGTGAATATTCTGTTGACGGCACAGAGAAGCGAAGATTACTTAGTCAGTACTGTACCGCAATCATCGATCGATCGATCGACATCACGTGCAAGCATGACCAGTCACGGGCTTCTACAATCCGATGCGGTTGGCGACTAATTTGTACAATGCGATCTGCACTCGGCGTTCGCTTTCTCCACCAATCAGAGGCCTGCGGGTCATGAACTTCCAAGCTTTCTTGGCGAGATTGTCCCTTGGAAGCTTGGTTGGTGATCCATGCTACTGTAATTATGTGTCCATTGCTTGAGCTCGTTCGTAGGGCTGCAGCAGCATCGGGCCGTCTTTGCATGACGACGATGATGCCGTTTATTGTATACAATATTGGAAGTAAACATTCTGGCATTTGAACGTCTATTCAGCCACCTATCGCTGTGACTGTGACATGTACCTGGATGCGTGCAAGCGAGGGCAGCGACAGATATATAGAGAAATCCGGTGGAACTCGGGCACCATTGAATGGGGAGTTGGAGGTGTAAGTGTCCGGAAAACTGGGGTTTGGGGGCGCTAGATACGAAAAACGAGAAATGCACCGCATCTGAACGGGCGCCTGCTCTTCGTGACCAATCAGCGTCCTGCATTTGGCACCGTATGACGCACCTCCTTCTGCACTACCCGACAACTCAAACAACAAAGGAGGAAAGACAATGTATGTTGATGCGACAAGTTAAGCCTCCATGTCTGCGCTTGGGGGGGGGCGGTTATCCTGATGACGCATCTCTCCCCTGTCTGTCTCCAATCCTCCTTCAACTACTGCAACTTTTCACCCTCTCTAACTTCCGCTTAAGCTTCATACTTGCCCTTGACAAAACGTTCTTGTCCTGGTCAGAGCTTAAGCTTGTTTCTCTGTACCTAAGCCACTCCACTACATACACACCTAGCGCCCCGGCTACAACTACATACACTACAGATCAAGCAGCCCCAACCAGATCCCTTCATTCTCTCCACCCTGGGTAACGTACCCTGTTTGTCGTATAAGCACTGCCTCGTCCCGAAATCTCCTACTCCCTTTTGACGCGTCCTCCATACTCGCTTCCGTTTCATATATCAGTCCTCCTTCTTCGCTTGCCTTCACTACTCACCTTACTCTCTTCAGTCCACTCAACCTCACCTCACCTCCAAGCCACTCAAAGATACCCACACTACAATATCACGACTGTTCAGCATCATGATTGAGACTCCCTCACAACGACTGGCCGTCGCCGAATTGGCCATCTACGCTCTTTTCTCCCTTCTCGGCATCTTCAACTTCATCAAGCATGGCAGGCACGGTTGGCTCGGCTGGTTTTTCTTCCTGGCCTTCTGTCTGCTTCGTCTCACCGGCCAGGGCATGTCAATCAACAGCAGCAGCTCGTCGGCTGCAATTGTCAGTTCCATTGGTATTTCAGCTTTGATTTTGGCTGTGCTTGGCATCACACACGAATGGTTTGTGTTTTTATCCACCCACCAAAGAATGCGCTAACAGCTTGCAGCTCCAAGTACACCAAGAACTACAAGAAGCAGGTTGAGTGGGCTGTCATCATCTTCCTTCACGTCGTCGTCTCTACTGGTATCATCCTCGTTGCCATTGGCGGCTCGCATCTCTCCGATCCAGCCGAGGATCCAAAGAAGTCGCAAAACCTAATGGAAGGTGGTTACATCCTCGTCCTGCTCGGTCTGCTTCTGGTCACTGGCTACATCATTGCAACATGGCGCATACTCCCATCTGCGCACCAAGCCGGCGGCGCCCACGCTTCATCTGCGCAAGCCAAGACCATGGCTCTCGCCGTTATCTGCACACTGCCCTTCATCTACGCCCGCGTCATCTTTGGCGTCGTCTCTGCCTTTAAGATTCTCACCGACCCGTCGCTCAGCCCATTCAACGGCAGCTTCGTCGTCAAGCTCGTGCCCATGTCGCTGATGCAGATCTTTGCTGCTCTCATTCTCGTGGTCGGTGGCTTGTTGACACGCAACATTGCGTCCAAGAAAGCCTATGAGCCGGAAAGGGTATGTTGAACCAAATCCCTCCATTCTAGCACGTCTGAGAGCAAGTCATCTGACGAGAATAGAAAATCAGCCAGAACTCCTACTAAGTCATTTCTGATGCAGCAAATCAGGGACACGGAGGCGCGCGAGCACAAGGCCTGTGTCTACCCACGACCAGGCTCAGCCGAGATGGGCGGGAGCTTAAGCGTGCTTTGGGTGCAGAATGAATGATGGTCGTGGAAAATGGTTGTACGATTAGCGCTTGCAGAAGTAAAGTAGTGCGTCATTTCTTGGCATCGGCGTTTGACTCTTTCCATATGGGGATGATCGGATCCAGCGCCGGGCAGATATGGGGGGAAGTCTTTGAACAACATGCATAGACCGTGTGTAGCACATCTAATGAATTTCATTGACCTCTTGATATTTCCACTATGCTCATGCTGATTGATTGATTTCTTGGCGTCGCATACTGCTGAACAGTTCGTCGTCGTATCAAGTCACGTGCGCGCCCTCATTCCTTTTCCTGATGTGGGCACACAAATCGTGACAAGACACCTGGATCTAAGATAGTCATCCCATGGCAGACTCGACTATGCTCAACAAGTTTCATCTTTCTTTCTTTCTGTTGAAATGTGCGATCCTGAAACTGCCAGGGCGAGACACCGTCCCCTCTTCCTTGTGGCACATAGTCTCTTAGTAGGATCGTGTCCGTCTTCTGTGATGTTTGCACGAGCCAGGCTGTCTCTTGCACATTCGTGGTAGCGGGAACCATGTCTAAGGCTTCATTGTGCATCTTACTAACTGTAGAAATGGCTGGCTTATGACGGAGCTTTCTCGTATGAGCCTCTATGCAGTACGTTCCGCGGTGCGATTGGGTGAGTCATACGAAATGAGGTCGCATCTCCCAGCATCCTCTTCACTCCGTTACCAACAGATGCAAACCAACAGTATTCCACAGAGCGACTTCTCCAGGAAAGATCATAGCATTTTCATTACATACTAATACTAAAGTCAAAGGTTGCGATATACTCGAGACCTCATCTATGGAGACGCCAAAGCAATCAGATGCCGCAGAAGCAACCGGCACAGCTGTTCAAGCCAAAGACGTTGCGCACGCAAGCCAAGATGTAAATCCCTGGAGTGTCAGTGGCGCCGTTGTCGACGGCAAAATCCAGGCAATTGACTACAATAACCTTGTGGACTCTTTCGGGACTCAACTCATCACAGGCGATTTGCTTCAACGCTTCAAAGATGTGACTGGGCACGAACCGCATATTTACATGAGGAGAGGGCTTTTCTTTAGCCATAGAGATCTCAACCTCATACTGGACCTTCATGCAGCGGGCAAGCCGTTCTTCCTGTATACGGGAAGAGGCCCGAGTAGTGCCAATATGCACCTGGGCCACATGATACCCTTCACGTTTACCAAGTGAGCCCTTCTTTTGTCCTTCTGAGCTGGGGTACCACACGGTCTCTGACTTTCACCCTTCGTGCAGATGGCTTCAAGATGTATTCGACGTTCCGCTTGTGATCATGATGACCGACGACGAGAAGGTCATCTTCCAGAAGATCAATCTCGACAGGAAAGACAGTTGTTCTCCTTACACGGACGAGGAGATGGACGGCTTCGTCAAACAGAACGCGCTCGACATCTTATCTGTCGGCTTCGATCTCAAGAAGACATTCCTCTTCAGCGATTTCGAATTCATGGGCGGCGCGTTCTACAGAAATGTCGTCAAAATCTCCCGTCTCATCACTTTGAACCAAAGCAAAGCCGTATTCGGTTTCAATGACAGGTAAGGTCGTCGTTGTCGTAAAGAAGTTCTCAGATACCAATATAACACGTTCTGGCAGTGATTCGGTGGGGAAAGCCCATTTCGTGTCCGTCCAGACAGCAACCGCATTCGCAACCTCGTTTCCTCACATCTTCGGCACGAACACGGAAGAAGTCGCAAAGATCCCCGCGCTCATCCCGTGCGCCATCGACCAGGATCCGTACTTTCGCGTCTGCAGAGACGTGGCCCATCGTCTCAAGTACCAGAAACCTGCTCTGATCCATGCCAAATTCTTCCCCGCTCTCCAGGGTCCGGGCTCAAAGATGAGCGCATCCGATGCAAACAGTGCAATTTTCATGTCGGATGATATGAACACAATGTAAAGAAACCCCCCCCCTCCTAACCCCCCCTCCTTGTTCTCCCAGTCGTCCCTAACTGAAACAAAAAATCACAGCAAGAAGAAGATCAACAAACATGCCTTTTCCGGCGGCGCAGCAACGGCCGAAGAGCAGAGGCAATTCGGAGGGAATCCAGACGTAGATGTCGCGTTCCAGTATCTCAGATTCTTCCTCGAGGACGACAAGGAGTTGAAGCGTATTGAAGATGCTTATCGGAAGGGAGAGCTGCTGACTGGGGAACTGAAGAAGATCTGTATCCAGCAGCTTCAAGCTTTTGTTGGTGATTTCCAGAAACGTAGGGCGCTTCTCGATAGTAGTGGTGGTGGTGGTGGTGAGGACGGCAGGAAAAAGAAAGGGATCAGTGAGCAGGGTGCTCAAGTGGTGAGAGACTTCATGCAAGTACGTCCGTTGATCTGGAGAGGCAAGGAGGTGGATGCTGCGGGGGGAGAGGAGGGAGAGACGCGTGAAGTTACCCTGTAAGGATCTATTCTAGGCCGGCACGCATAAAATTTATAGGGCAGCTTAGGGTCTTTCGTGAGTGGAAATTCTAGCGCTTAAAGACTTGCGGACGGATGTCTCCTCGTTGGTTTGATTTCTGATTGTTGGCGTAGTGGAATGTGTTGCTCTTGCATGAGTAGGTTGATTGATGCCTTACAAAGCTAGTGCCAAGATGTTTCTGCCTCAGTCACTAATTACCTATTATGCCGTGACGTTCCTACGTTTGGGTTCGCGGATAAAGCTTCCTACATCACAAAGCCTTCTGCCCGAGGGTCTAGGTTTCTGTTACGCTTATCGGTCAATATCACGCTGTGGCTCGTATAATCCCGGTTTGTTGCACGAGTTGCACCCGTACCCGCAGCCTGAATGCTTCGTCACACTCAGCTCTCACTCGCAACTCTTGAGGACAAGGTAGCCTGTTGGCTCCCTTATCATCAGCTTCCATACATACTAACTCTGCAGCAGGATGTAAATATATGCACGAATCCTCCTTCACAGACCGAAAAGAAGTCCAGATATGTGAACACCAGTAAGGTATTGATGCCTTCTTGATCTAGAAGCTTTTGCTTGTCGGTGGCTTGCATCCCGCTGCATCTATTTTGAAAAGTCATGGTCTCGCTCCTGCAGCTCATGGGGTGTGTTGAATCCCTTGCCCGTTACGACCAATGGTAATTGTCGATACGCGCCAAACATGGAAATTGAACTCAGCTGCTTAGCGGATTTTCCCACATGAACTGTACGCGAACGCTTCAGATGAATGAATCCTAGTGTCACGATTGCTTGGAGCAACTACTCACCGATCAGATCGTCAGCCGCATGCTTCCAATTCTTACCAAAAAAAGCGCTGCTATTTTGTTTTGGGCTATACTTGCCAGGCTCGTCGTAGGTACATTCAATCATGTTGTAGCATGCAAGCTCAAATCCTCGGGCCTCGCAAGGCTGGGGATTGTTTGAAATACAGCATACGCCTGCCTCCATCTTGCGTTACCTGGACTGGCCTTTTGGCTTATATGTCTACTCACTCAACGAACTAACCATAACTTATCATTCGCAATGGACCATTCACACCCACGTCGACTTCCAGAACGAACAACCTCCCCCTTCTCAACCTCTCCATTCCCGCATAACATGTCTCCTAACCCAGCTGCAATCCCAGTCAACCGCGTGACTTCATCGGTCATCAATGCGCGGCCAGTGCTTCGCCGAGGGTCTAGCGGGAGCCGGGTGATTAACCAGACGCTGACCTTGGGTAATGGAGCAGCCTCTACGGCATTCGACACCTCATCTGGACCGAACTCACCGAAACGACCACAGCCAGAGTTAAAACCGAAACCCTGTGAGAACTGTGACGCTGCTAATGTGCAGACATGGCACTGTTCTTACTGTGACATGCTCTTCTGTGACCCTTGTTGGGTCAAGCAAGGCCCACATAAGTCAGGAAAGACCGGTCCCGATGGTTTACCACATGAGAAAGCAGATCTTCGTATTGTGAAGAGGCTGAAAGATATATTGACACCGTCTTCAGACCCTACCGAACAAGCTGGTCTTCATATCGATGATGAAGACACGACGTGGTTTGGCATTGATCGGGACAATAACCATCAACCGGTCTTCTACGACTACGGTAGATACGCTACAATCATCGCGAACAGTACCACTCCCGAATCAAAAGTTCGATACCCACAACTCGTCTCCTTCATTGGTCAGACGGGGGCGGGCAAAAGTACGCTCGTGAAGATGCTCATTGACCAGCAGGAAAGGCAATCGAGTGGTTATCCTCGCGGGCCGTTCCCATCGCCAGTCGTTGGATCGAGCCGCAATGACAATGTGCCTACATCAGGCGATGTTCATCTCTATGGGGATCCCAGGACATACAACAGCCAATATCCAGTCCTGTATGCTGATTGTGAGGGCCTAGAAGGCGGAGAGAACACACCGATGAGCGTCCAATTCAAGGAGAAGTCGTCTAAACATAGCAACAGGAAACGCTCAGATTCCAATCCGGACCATCGCAAGCGAACCAAGATCACACGAGTGGCGAGGGGTACACAGCGTCACATGACATGGGCCAACTCTCCTGAGACTCAGAAAAGACAGTACGCTGTAACGGAGCTGTATCCACGGCTGCTGTACACATTTTCTGATGTCATTGTTTTTGTACTGCGGAATCCAAAGTAAGCGACCATCTACCCGTCAATCTACTACGCTACGGGTTCGACCCTAATATTATGATAGAACATTCGAGTCATCCGTGTTGTCAAAGTTGTTGGGTTGGGCTTCTGCTTCCATGGAAAAGTCGCTTAATCAACCTACACTCCCACATGCAATCATCGCGCTGAACGCGACTGATATGGAAGTCGACCCTAGAGAATGGGAGCCAGAATTTGCTACTCGGACGCTGATGGCCAACGTTGCAGGAGCAATCCACCGAGATTCGGGCTACAGGCAGCTTGCAGACTATTGGTCTAGCCAGGAAGGCAGGCGAATCAACACAACTAAAGATCTACTGGAATGCTACTATTCTTCTGTGACAGTTGTTCGCATCCCAGTCAAGGGTAGGTATATGAAAATTGACGAGCAGATCAACAAACTTCATACCACCATCACCGAAAGGTCTGCACAGTCTTTCCGGGCCAAGCGAAGCTCACGCATGCTGTCGAACTCCGAGGAGCTGAATATATACTTGCAATCAGCATTCGATCATTTCTCAAACGACCTCGATACGCCATTCAACTTTATGGATGTCGCGTTCAAAATCAACCCGATACCTCTCGACTTTGGCGGAAACATTCTCAAGCTAGCAGTTGCGATGCGGAATTCGGGCAAATTTGAGGATCCCCGCCAACTCTTCAAAGACCTTAGCTTCATGGTCGCATCTTGTATATTGCTAGATTGCAGCCGACAGAACCTCAAAGGTATCGTCCGTCCAACCTCCTGACAAACAATGCCCCTACTCCCTATTCTGTTGTGTATTACCGTGACATATCTGACCAGGCACACAGGTCCGGCAGACCGAATCCTTGAACGGGGATACCTCGACTACTGCGACAATGCACTGGAAGACTACTGTGCAATATTCCTGCCGTGTCAGTATGAGAACAGACGTGGCCGATGCGTGAACGTCCGCGAGGGACATATCAAAGGCCATCAGAATGAGCGCGGAGCAGTTATAGGCAAAGGCGCCTATGAATCAACGTTTACCTGGGAGTCATTCGAGGATGACTGGGAACAGCACCTGCAAAACCATCTCCTAGAAATGCAAGAGGACTTGAACAGGGACATGCAGGAAAGACCTAACCTCCCAGAAATCACTCTGAGCTCGAGGCTACACCTCAGAAATGTCAATCACTTCTACCGGCACCTCGGAGGGGCCAAATACTTTGTCAGTCATTCGGCGTGTTTCTGCTGCCTCAGAGAAATGGCAGAACATCCTTTACCGTGTGGGCACGTCCTCTGCAAGGCATGCATCAAAGCATACGGAGATGAACAACAGCAACAGGTCAGCTTGGCAGCCTGTCCTTTACATAACCGAAGCATGATCTTCAGTACACCTTGGCGCATACCTATCAAGGCAGAGCTGGCGGGCGTGCGTATACTGTCTTTGGATGGGTAAGCTAGAAGCACCAGACGTGCACATCTAACTCGCTCTAATGAACTACACAGAGGCGGCATTCGCGGAATCGTGGAGCTGGAAGTCCTGCGACAGATCGAGATTGCGCTTGGAGGTTGTATCCCGATCCAGGAATTCTTTGATCTCATAGTAGGAACCAGGTTCGTCAACAAGGTCCGGCCATGTCATGTACGTACACGCTAACACGTATCACAGTACCGGTGGTATTATAGCGATAGCATTAGGTATTGAGAACTGGTCGATCCAAAAATGTATAACTATGTTCCTGAAGCTATGCGATAAAGCATTCCAGCCCAAGTTGGGCGGACTTCGACTTGGATCGAGCAAGTATCGCACGCGCCCGCTGGAGGAAGTTTTGCAGAACCACTTTAAACCGGAGCGCATATTTGGTGGATTTCATGAGGCTTCAGCAAGTTACAGGCGCAAGGTTGCCATCACATCTGCAACAGAGACTGGTGAACATGCCGTCATCTTCACTAATTACAACCGCGCCGAGGATGGATCCGGTAAGACTGTTATCCTTATGAACAATGGCCGAGCTGACTGTTGATAGTCAATTATCGAATGGAAAGACCAGACGAACCGAGAAACGAATTGTTACTATGGGAAGTGTAAGTCTACGTGCAACTCCTACATTATACGACCTGCCATCTCACATATTTGTGTTCAGAGCCAGAGCGACCAGCGCCGCACCAACATTCTTTCGCCCATTGGTCAACTCGCGGACCAAAGAGGGCTATCTGGACGGCGCAATCTACCACAATAACCCGGTTCGCATTGCCAACTACGAAAGCAAGCTTCTCTGGCCAGACGCGCAGGACTATCATCCTGATATCCTGCTCTCGATCGGCACGGGTCATAACGGACAAGACACGGGTGGCTCTATCGATATGACGCGACAAGAGAGTCGCCGGTATCGGCTCCGGAAGTTTGCAAAATCGCACGGCAAGGCTGTCGAGACGAAGCCTGCGGCAGCAGCGTGGAACATGCAATGGATGAATTGGCTGAATGTCTTGTTCAAGCGAGTCGACAACATCCTTGATTCGGAGCAGATATGGAAGGGTTTCAAACAGGATGTGCAAGCTAGCTCGTCGTACTTGGACTTCGGACGCTACCAGCGGTTCAACGTGCGAGTGGGTTTCAGGCCGCCAAAAATGGATGAGAAGAATGAGATTGGAAGACTCCATGAAGCGGTCAGGCACAAACTTGGTCTCACTAATTACCAGCAACGTTTGACTCGCACGGCTAGAAGACTTTTTGCTGGCTGTTTCTACTTTCAGAAGACAGCTCCTGTACGAGACACGGAGGATCATTTCGATGTTCAAGGTATCGAACGAACTGTCGTCAGCCCTCGTCAGATTCATGCTGACTAGTGATAGGTGAAATCTGCTGCCGTTTTACGCCTGGTACTGGCTACCTGCGACACATGGGCCACTGGCTCCGAAAACATCAGCTCCAATTTTTCCAGCCTTACTTCCGAGTCTTCGAGGTCAATAATGAGAATATGGCCCAGAAATTGATCATCACGGGCAACGTCATTGCAAAGATGGTCGAGCAGGACCACTTTGACATGGGCTCAATCGTCATTCCCGTCTCCCTCCAGATGGGAGTCGTCTCGATACAGCTACATGTCGACAGCGACAAGCACTATCTATACCCTATCAGCGGTATGCCGCGAGTCCTGACTGGTATAGAACCACCAAAACCTCCATGTAAGTCGCCCATGACCACCCAAATCCCCATCACCGCAGAAAACAAAGCGCTAATCACAACACCCACCAGCATCGCCAACCCCGTCCGCAGAACACTCCCGCGCCACCACCCGCCGAAAATCCCTTCGCAAACGCCGCACCCCGCCTCGCCATCAACCCGCCCTCTCCCCTCCCGCCACCATCTCGGAAGAGGTCCCCCCTTCCTATGACACCTCCGAAGACACAGCCGCTTTCCCCGACTCCCCCGAGCACGTCAACGACTGGGCCGAGCGACGCGCGGCGGCAGCCATCCCGCGGCCCAACTCCCCGCGGAACATGCAGATGCCAGACATGGCGGAGCTGGATGGCACAGGCGTCTTCGACGGGCGAGCCGACGTGTTAGATGAGGAGGAGGACGAGGAGCTGGCAAAGGCGCTGGAGCAGAGTCTTGTTGAGCAGGGCGTCGAGTATGATCCGGACGAGCTTGCGCGCGCGCTGGAGCAGAGCCGGATTTTCATGTGAGAGGGGAGTGGGAAGGGTGAAGGGGGGCTGTGGTTTCTGGCTCGGCTGTCTGGCGTATGCGGCCTTGTTTGGTTAGTGTATATGTATATGTATATCCGTGACATGCTTATCGTCTGCTCTGCTTCGTCGTCGGTATCCGTGTGCACTCGGTCCACTATGCAAAGCGCAATTGTTTACATGCACGAAAACACAATCATACATCTTCATCATATATCGTGTTGCTGTATGTATTTCAAAACAACTGCACACTCCCGCTTTCTGGCACCATTGTATTTTCATTCTACGGACTCCTGAACGATCCCACACACATATATATCTTCGCTAGAAGAAAGATTAAGAAACCACCACATCTCCATAAATGAATAGAATAAGATAAAAATAAAATAAATGGAGACAAAGAAAAGAAAAGAAAAGAAAAGAAAAGAAAAGAAAAGAAAAGAAAAGCTGGGACGGCAAAAGTGGTATGTATACAAGGCTCTCTCTCTCTCTCTCTCTCTCTCTCTCTTTCTCTCTCTCTCTCTCTCTGCTCTGCTCTGCTCTGCTCTGCTCTGCTCTGCTCTGTGAGACAGTGAGAGACACTATCCATTCATATATGTGCACTAGAGCGGTTTGGTCAATTACAGTGTAGAAAGAAGATTGCCTACACGTGCCTCGTGTTGGAATCTGCTTACATTGCGCGCTTCGGCTTGCTTGCTTGCTTGCCTGCTTGCTTGCTTACTGTGTGTATGGCTCTCCAGTATGTAGTCCAGTAATCCAGCAGGTCCGTCCGTCCGCCACACGCGCAATTTTATAGATGCGGGTTCTGCTTTGGGGTGCAAGCCTTGCATGAGATGAGGGGCAGGGGTTGTCCGATGTATGCATGCATGCATACATATATAGATCTATCAATTATAAGCATGACATTTCGCCCACAAAAGTGCTTGTTGGTTGGGGTTTGAGGTAAATTGATTTATGGGTGTGAGACGTGCGGCCTTGTGGTATTGGTGGTGATAGTTGGTGGTGGTGGTATTGGTGGTGGTGGTATTGGTGGTGGTGCTGCGCCACGATAGGGGCTTGTGGGTGATATATTAGCCGGCTTACCGCTTTGGGAAGGGGCTAAGAATAGATTGGGAATAGGATATGTTGTCGGATATGCGGAGGCTGGCGGGACTGGATGGACTGGATGGACTATTGGATTTGTCGGCGCGCAGCAGGTTAGACTGTACTGACTCACTCTGACACGAGCGGCGAGATCTTTTCTGAGGGGGATCTGGTGCGTCGGTGTGGTTATTGGAGGCGTTGCAGCGATGGAGAAGGGAGATGGGACGTTGGAGTTGTAGCCTTGTGTGTGGGTATGGATTGTCGTCGTCGTCGTCGTCGTCGTTTGCCGTCTGTTGGTCTAACAGGGGTGAGTGTGGTAGTAGCGGGATGACATGCCTGCTGATCGTGCTTATGTTCCGGGCGAGTGGCAGGTCACGGCAGCACAGCACAGGAGCGGTGGGAGACTATTGAATATGATTGCGGTGTTGATAGGATCTATGTAGATTGTAGTGATAGATGAGATGTGGAAGGACAAAAGGAAGAAGAGATATTAGAAGTGAAGAGGAGGAAAGGAGTCTTGGCAGATCGTCATCACGAGGCTGGTTGCTCCGGGCAAGGTGGCGCCAACAAACCACTCAATCAGGAATTCAGGCTGGAACCGACGCTTTCTTCTTCCCACGTTTCACTCTTTGACACTCTTGACACTTACAACCCTCCCTTCTTCTCACCACCCACACTACTACTACATCCTCCAGCTTCTGTCCATCTCGCAATCTCACCAATCCCCAATCCCCAATCCAGGAGCGGACTTGCGCGTCGCCGTCTGCTGCAGCAATTGTTCCTATCGCTCCCGAGCCGTGCATCGCCCCGCAAACTCACTCGGCTGTGCATGACGGACTCGCATCACTCTGATCACACCTCTACCACCTCTCCGGAGCGCTCTCTTCATGATGCCTTACGACGAGCGCAATTATTCATACTACCCGCAAGACCACACAAACGACAATCATCAACAACAAGCCGCGCAAGATCCGCCAAACGTCTCACCCATCGACGAGCGCTCCCATTTCCCTCCCTCCGCCAGCCTTCCTCCGCCTCCTCCTCCACCGCCAGCACATCGTCACCCTAGTCTCAGTCCTGGAAACTCATACATGCAACATCAGAATGAAAGGCAGTACGGCATCCCGGTGAACCAACGACGAGAGTCGCTCGTGACGCCAGGCATGGACAATGTCGGCGAGCGAGCCGTTGGGGGCGGTGTCACCGGCCTTGCATATGGTGTAGCCAGCAACGCAAACGAGCGGGACAATGCGCCTCAGGCTCTGAGAGACATTGACAATTGGGGTCGTTCAGGTAACAGTGCCTCGGGTCGGCGGTACGACGCCTCTGATCAGCCATATCCCTCCCGTGATGTGCCTGCCTCTTTATCCGGCACTCCGCAACTCCACTCGCAAGCCTCAAGATACTCCTCAAACTCCTCTGGTGGTCCCTTTTCAGACGCTGCTTACGCAATGTCTACAGGTTCCCCAGCTACCCGCTCCGAACGAAGCCTGCCATGGGACCAGAATCAGAACGCGTCGCAAGATCGGTTTAATGCCAGCCATCCGTACGCGCAGAATCCTTACAATCGGTGGTCTGATAGTCACTCGCAGCTGGCGGCCGGGGCTCACATAGACCCAAACACGATCGAGGATGATGGGGAGGACTTTCCACCCGAGACAAGTTCCAGGCAAAGACGATCCATGCTTCCGTTTGCTCACCGCAGCACTAGTCAAAATGGTCTTGGTACAGCAGCGGCGGCTGGAGCAGTCGGAGGTGTGGCTGCTGGCGGTGCTGCGCTGAGCGCGTCTCATGACGCTGGTGGACGTTATGCTCCCGTAGGAGTGCTCGATGGGGCTTATCCGAATGAAAAGTCAGAGTGGCTGGAGAAAGAGGCCCATGGCCGCAAGCGCATGAAGTGGCTGGTCGGCATTGCCATTGGATTCATCATTATCGGTGCTATCGTCGGAGGAATCCTCGGAGGCGTTGTCTTCAAGGGCAAGAGCGCGAATACATCCACCAGCAATGGACAGTCGGCAGCTGATGACGCAGCACAGAACGGCGATCTTGACAAGAACTCCAAGGAGATTCAGGCACTGATGAACAATTCCGAGCTGAAGAAGGTCTTTCCTGGTATGGACTACACCCCCATCAACAGTCAATACCCAGAGTGCATCAAGAATCCGCCTTCCCAGAATAATGTCACTCGCGACGTCGCCGTTCTTTCGCAGCTCACAAATGCCATCCGTCTCTACGGCACTGACTGCAACCAAACTGAAATGGTGCTGCATGCCCTCGATCGTCTCTCTCTGCCAGATGTCAAGGTCTGGCTGGGCGTGCACCTTGACAGCAACAGCACCACCAACGAACGTCAAGTAAGCCAGATGTGGTCCATCCTAGACACCTACGGCGACGACCGGTTCAAGGGCATCATCGTCGGCAACGAAGTGCTCTACCGCAAAGACCTGACAATCACACAATTCGCCGCCAACCTGTCCGAGATCCGCACCAACATGACCAAGCACGGCATCAACCTGCCCCTAGCAGCGGCCGACCTCGGCGACAACTGGACCGCCGAGCTCGCCGCAGACGTCGACATTGTAATGAGCAACATCCACCCCTTCTTCGCCGGCGTCACCGCCGAGGCGGCCTCGGGCTGGACGTGGAGCTTCTGGAACGAAAAGGACCTCCCGCTCACCGCGGGCAACTCGAGCAAGAAGCAGATTGTCAGCGAGGTTGGCTGGCCGAGCGCCGGCGGCAACAGCTGCGGCTCTGCCACGTGCACGAGCGAGACGCAGGGCAGCATTGCGGGCATTGACGAGATGAATACGTTTATGGAGAATTACGTGTGCCAGAGCCTGGCTAACGGGACTGAGTTTTTCTGGTGAGTCTCTCCTGATGATAGTGATGCTGGTGATGAGGATAAGGGGCATTTTGAGCTAATCGACTTTTTTTTTGCTGCGCAGGTTCGAAGCCTTTGACGAGCCCTGGAAGATCCAGTTCAACGAGCCGGACAAGGGCAGGGAGTGGGAGGATAAGTGGGGGCTTATGGACGTGAATCGGAATCTGAAGAAGGGCGTTAGGATTCCGGATTGTGCGGGGCAGAGCATTTAGGCTTTGCTTGGATTGAGTTTTTTTTAATTTTTCCTTTTCAATGAGGTGGGTGTTTTCTTGGGCTCTTCTTTGTGAGATGGCATTCGATTAAGAGCAATGATGCGATGCATGATGCATGATGGATGCATGAGGGATGCATGAGGCATGGTTTTCTGTACAATTCTTTTTTTCTGGGTTGTTGTTGGGGGGGGACAGGGGGCTTTATATCTTTACTTTTGGCGTTGTTGGGGTTTCTGGGGGGTTTGAGAGGGGGTAGATTATGGGAGATAGGGAAGGGTGGTAAGGGATGATGGGAGGATAAGGAGATGATGGGAAGTGGGATAGGGGCAGAAGGGGAAGAAGAAAGGAGAGGAGGATGGACAGGTGGAAGGTGGAAAGTGGCATATCATCTCTCTGTGTGTTCTTGTTGTTGTTGTTGTTGTTGTTGTTGTTGTTGTTGTTGCTGTTTTTGTTGTTGAAGGCATTTTTCTTTCCCTTCCTTTCGTTCCGGGCTGTTTGCCGGGCATGTGTTGCGTGCTTGTGGCTTGCATGGTTCGGATGGGATGGGATGAGTGGATGGGCTGGCTTAGGATGGGGTGAAGGGCTGGCTTAGGATGGAATGAGTGGATGAAAGGGGCGAGGAGGGGCTGTAGCGACTACATGGAGATGAAAGATGAAAGATGGAGATGGAGATGGAGATGGAGAAAGATGACATGACATGGCATGCGGATAAGCATCCATGTAGACGGACTAGACTAGACTAGACTAGACTAGCACATCACATCACATTCAATGAGAACAGGACGAGAGATGAAATCGAAACGAAGCGAGCGAGTGAGAGAGATGAATCGAAATGAAGCGAGTGAGAGAAAGCATGAATGATGCTTGCTGCTCATTTCAGCCATGTCAGCCATCCGCCAGTCCAGCCATGCCAGTCACAGACAATGGTCACGCACGCACGGAACTTGGCAGTAGACGACGAGCACGCAGGACTTGAGTACGTAGAAGTAGCATGACAGGAGAAGATAAGCTGCTATGGATGGACGAGTGGTGGTGGTAGTAGTAGTGCTATGATGAAGCAAGTGACCGGATAAGCAATACAACAGGCAGCGAGCGCACTTGAACTATCAAGTAATGGGCTATGAGTTATGAGCAATGAGCAACGAGTAATGAATAATGGATGGGTAGGCCAGTGAGCAATGAGCAATGAGCAATGAGCAACGAGCAATGAGCAACGAGCAATGAGCAATGAACAATGGATGGGTAGGCCAGTGAGCAATATGAGCAACAAGTATCGACCAAGGAAGAAACAAAACAATGGAGCCATCAAGCAACAGCCAGGAAGAGAGAGAGAGAGAGAGAGAGAGACGGACATGCGATGAGAAAGCAACGGAGTATTGAGCAATGAGATGTAGAAGAAGGATGTACAAGCATGACAAGCGTTCATGGTATGGTATGCCATACGACGCGTCTTGTCTACTCATATACAGAAACTCACTCCCAACTACTCACTTACTCACTCACTCACTCCCAACTACTCACTCCCAACTACTCACACCCAACTACCCACTCACTCACAAAAACAAAACTATATTTCAATCCCACGTCATCTCTCACTTCCGTTTCCATTCTACTTCGTTTTATTTCATTTCATTTCCGTTTTCGACTTGTTTTCATACCCCCCGCCCGACAAGCAATGATACAATATCTCTCTCTCACTCACTCACTCACTCTCTTCAATCCCACAATCCCACGAACCGTCTCCAATACCACAAACCCTCTCTCCAAACCTCCCCAAACCTCCAAACCTCCCCAAGCTCACATAAAAACGCCTCGCTATGTTCCCAATCACACACATATCCACACACAGATCACATACACCATCGGGCCATTTGCCCCTGTCCCCCTCTCCCCTTTCCCTCTCCCCTTTCCCCCTCCCCTAATTCCCCCGATTCCCCAAAAAAGACCACCAGCCCCCCCCTTCCTAGTCTAGTAGTATAACTTTTTTTTGTTTCGGGAACGATAGAGGGTATACCAAAATATAACAAGTAGAGCCGCCGCCGCCATCATCACCACCACCACCACCGAGATGTGAAGGCACGAATGTAGACCGACAGGAAAGAGAAAAAAAAATGGCATATATGTATGAACAGGCGCGCGAATAAGGTGTATATGTACAGCCAACCTTTCAAGCCCGGCGCAAAGTGTCGTAGTAGTGAGATGTCGGTAAAAAAAAATATCCGACAACGAATATTACCAAGTTTCCTGCATACACATGTCAGTTACCATCTCATGACCACCAGCCGATCCCCAAGATAGACTCACAGCAATGTATTGCGCGCCCGACTTCTTGGCCTCCCAAAACGCCCTCGCACTCTCCTCGCTCAGGTTGCCCTTCTCCATCGCGATATCGACGAGCGCCTGCTCGACGCCCTCGCCCATGCCCTTGCTGCTACCGCACACAAAGATGCGGCCGTCAAGCGCATTGATCACGAACCAGACGAGGTCTGCCCGATGGCGCACCTCGTCCTGCACGTAGCGTGACGCGCCCTGGATGCCCTTGAACTTGCGGCTCTGCACGACCCGCTTAATCTCCTTTTCGTGGTCGCCCAGCTCGCCAGAGTAGATCTCGTCGAGCATCGAGTCGCGCACGCCCTGCACGAGCCAGATCTTGTTTGCGCAGTTGGCGTTCTTCAGTCTGTTGAGGATGAAGCCGCGGAAAGGCGCCATGCCGACGCCGGCGCCGATGAGCATCATAGGGCCATCGCCACCGAATTCACGTGACAGCGGGTTAGCCATAAGACCACGGAAAAGTGGCACGCGGAGGTCGAGCACGGATTTCGGGTCTATGCCAGAGGCTTCGGCCTCGATAAACTTGTGCGCCAGACGCTCGAGGAAACCACTGCCAACGCCGGTGCGTTTCGAGTTCTCGCTGTGCCAATCGGAGGTTTCGTGGACCGAAACGGCAATTTCGATAAGCCGGCGACCACCCTCACGCTCACTTGAAATATGAGGGTCGTTGGAAAGGGAGTAGAACCGGGGCATTAATGGACTGAGAACGGAAAGCAGGCTGGCCAAAGGTGGCTGTGACGAGGGAAAGGCGCGTAGTAGTTGAGGAAGCGTGAAATGTGACGATGTGCGTAGGTCACAGAAGGCGCCTTGACCCTCCGCTGACGACAGATACAGGAGCAGCTGCTTCTCGTTCGGCGCGGACGCATGTTCAGCCATCAGCCGGAGCAATGGCTTTGTCGGTGGCTGACTCTGAATGTCAGAGCACCAGGTTAGGAGCTCTCGTCGCGTTGTCACAAGCTGGCGAGGCTGCTCCTCGCCCCAGATCGTAGGCCAGCGACCACCAGACGTATTCAGAGTGACCGGTTTGTCCCTAACAAACTTCGGAATACCTAAGCAATCAAACACTTCATCTACCAGCTCAGTCGCGTTTGGCGGGCACACACCGATAGCACCACCAACTTTGAAGTCAATACCGCTCTCATCTGGGTAGTCTGTGACGTCCAGATCAAAATGGAACGTTCGCTTCTCAGCACCAGGCTTTGTCAATTCACGGGCATGGTAGATTGGCGCTGAAAACACGTCGTAGGGTGGATGCGGCTGCACAAAGGTCGGTGGGTGCTTGTGGACCAGGGTAGTGTGCTTCGGCTGGTCTTGAGCGACGGGATCGAAAGATACGGTAGTCTCGGACAGTTCAGGGATCTTTGAAAGTGTTGTGTCCAGACTCAATGGCCCTAGTTTGAGGCCAAGGCTTCGGAAAGCCTGGTTGTCGGGTAGGACGACAGGTGTAAAGTTTGGATCAGTAGTGTCAGGGGGCAGTGTCTTGACGAAACAGCATCCACCGCCGCAGCACTTTTCAATCAGTCGCGTAGCAGCATTTCCTTCCCCAAGAAGCCTGCGCAGTTCCGGGGGATTGTCTGAAATCAGGGTGGTCGACGCGCGTCTTCGCTTAGGGGTCGCATCTTGGTCTTCTGCGCTAGGACTCAAGGAGAGCTCTTTGATTGCGTCTGTGGCCTCATCTACAGGTTCTGTGTTTGGGGTTGAGGGTGCTTCCGACTCCTCGCTTGAGTCGAACGGCTCAAAGCGTTCGAGCAAGCCAGACGACTCCGAAGTGACGGATGCGTTACTATCGTGCCTCGGCGCAAGTTCGAACTTGTCAACAGCTTGACTGGGAGGATGTGGGATAGGATCGTTTGGGTGTGAGGTTTCGGTGGTGGGTATCCTCGGGCCCTTCGGGTGTGGTGTAGCTGGTGAGATCATGGTGCGGGTGGGGTGGCGAAGTCGACGAGACACGGTCCCCGAGAAGTAATAGGAATGGCCTGTAGATGAGGCATTGGAGTCAGCAGGAGGTCAATGCAACTTGCAATGTCCACGACGGCAGCAAACATTGTTCCTGGGTATGTCATGGCTGATCAAGCAGACAAGCAGCAATTGTTCAGCAGAAGTCTGGGGAGGAAATGCAAAGGTGGTGGGTGGGGCGAAGAGAGACAGACTTACGGGAAGGTGTTATCAGATCCGAGAAACTACGAGTAGGAAAGGTCAAGGGGTGGCGGAGGAAGCGCGTGAAGCGAGCAATATGTAGGAGAGACAGTTTGGCGAACAGAAAGCAGAATGAACATTGGGGTAGGGAGGATATATAATATTAATAGCAAAGCCAAAGGGAGTGAAGGATGTAAAAAGGAACATGGAAGGGAACGGCGATGCGATGTAGGAGCGAGAGAGAGAGACTGAGAGAGAGCAAAGCCGAGAAAGATTAGATCCGTCGGTCTTATTGGCTGCTCGGGCCCCACTTTCGTCACCAGTTCACGGCTGAGGATGAAAGCGAGAGTCATTGCCAAGCCTTTTCCCTCTCCTCTCTTCACGCCTCATGAGGATGAGGTCAGATGTCTGCACACATGAGGTTTAACTAATTAATTGGTCAATTACATATTACTGATGCTCCTGACGATGCTGATGTCGTCGCATCTCAACAATTTGTCTCTTGGAATTGGAGTGGGAGTGGGTTGTTATCCAGTCTGTGACATACTGGCCGTCCATCGACCCAACGCCCAAGTGGGTCGTGGTAGTCAAAGGAATGACTGACTGATTGATAAGATTGATCTAATCTTATCCATCACCGCAGCATGCACACAACGGCCCGAGGACTGGAAATGTCTCTCTGCTCTGTAATTAATTGATCACCAACAAACTCTCCGCGCTGACTGCTTACTACTATGGCCTGCTCATCACTCAGCTGATTCTGACTGTTACCCTCCTTTTCGCATTCCCTTCCTTGCCTTTGATAATTACATCCCGAACCTCCCCACCGTCAAGTCGCTGGAAAAAATGCAGGGGAGAAAAACCAGGAAGAAACGCCGATTTCCACCGTCTTTCTGGCCCTGATCGGCGGCCCAATCAGTCCCCCGCACTGCCCCTACCGACATGCTCACATGTATAGTAATTACAGTATGTACATATGTATCTATACGAGGCATCCCTACCTACCACTCCTGCAGCCCATCCTCTATTCGAGAAACAATGCTGAACTTCGGACTTTCACGCTTTCTCTCAAATAGTCATTTCGTGCAGTCTGCATCTCATCGATGTTCTGCTCGTGACACGTTGTCGAGGAGCGGCCGGCCGTCGTGTTCGGGAGACGAGCGGCGCAGCATGTACGTACGTTACACACATACACACACACACACACACACTCATCATTGCGTCAACCCGTCAACCCCTCCAACGTATATCTCGGGTTGGTTTATTAGAGGAGGTCGGGTATCGAGAGCATTCCATAGGGCAGGGCAGGGCAGGTCATGGATGGATGATAGGTAATTATTCATTGCCGGGACAAGGGGGGCTGCTGGTCCATTAGCTTCCCGAGTCCTCTGCCCGACGAGACCCCGCCTGCAGACGGAGACGCGCAGACGCAGGACGCAGACGTATAGTAGACGCTGCTCAAAGACCCTGGACCTGTTCACGTTTCTTGACACTACCTACATACACACGTGGGACCGATATTTCGGGAGCAGACGTCATGAGCAGCCATCGTATGAATGGTTGGTAGGTAGTGGTATGCTGTATCGTATTCGGCATGTCGTCATCACGTAGCTTCAGTGGCTGTGTTGATCCATACATACCTCTACAGCTACACGTGCGTGCCATGAACATCTCTCTCGCTTTTTACCTTCGTTTCCCGCGTTCTACACGCCATTACACGACCTTTACGACGGTGGCGCGGCCTCAAGAGTCTCCTCGTCTGCCATCCCGGGCATCTTGCGATTCTTCTCAATCTCTTCCACCGTCTTCCGTCCTTCCTCCGTCGTCGCGTCAATCACCCCCTCCTCCACACTCAGCATACCGCCTTCGCCAAGCTGTCCGACTACCTCCTCGGCCTCTTCCACGCTCATCTTGCCCAGAACCTTGTTGACTTCATCCAACTTTCCACTCTCGAGCGCACGTCGCAGTCCGGGTGGGAACGTTTCGAAGAGCTGCCGTGACTTGACAATTTCAGGGTCTTCAGAGTCTGCTGGAGGCACCGCAATGTTGATCTGTGTGTTCGGGTCTACTGCGTGCAGTTGAATCTGTTCGACTCCTGCTTCCGGCTCCGGATTTGCCTCGCGCTCCTTCTTGATCTCCGCTGCTCGCGTGTGGATTCGTCCATATGTATCGCGCACATCATCCGTGAACAGCTTTTGCGCTTGGTGTCCTTGGGTCGTGACTCTAGATTGATCATCAGTTGGGTTATATGCATGCTGCCAGACCTTACTCACCGCTTGAAGAACAAAGCAACGCCGTCGCGGCCTAAAGAGCGACAGTACTGCAGTAGCAGAGCTTGGTGCACGCATTGCCTGGCATGCTTTGTTTTCCCTTCAAGCTCACTGTTGAAAGCCTCGACAAGTAGACCATCCGTCTCTTTTTCCTTCAAGATCTGGGTGTTTTTCGAGATGAAATCGTGTGATGCTCGATAATCAGTCATAGGAATCTTTGCAAACTCTTTCGCGATCGGACTAGCTTCGACACTGTCGTCGTCCACATCGTCGCCTGTCGCATCCTCAACATCCGCTTCGGCCCCTGACGACAGTCCAGCATCCGTCCGCGCTAATGGGTCGCCCTTCAGTGCTCCAGGATTGAGTAATTCTGGCTCCGTAGACTTCGATGATGCCGGTCCAGGCTCAGCTGTCGCTACCTAGTCGTCTGTCAGTCGCTATGATTGTCGTACATTCATTATGCCTGCACCTTTGAATAATTGAAACCCTCTGTCAGGTGTTCACTGGTTATATGCCTCTTCTCTTCCGTCTCTAGCTCTGCCAGCTTCTTATGGAGCTCGGCCTGTAAGTCATCCACCTTGACTTTGTGCTTGTCTATCTCTGTAAGGTACGCTTCCAGTCTGTTGTCTCCGCTCGCTTGATCCACCTCTTTCTTTACTTGATCGATCAATGACGCCATCATCTTGGAGTACGCAGGCTGCTCGCCTACATTCTTGTGGACGTCTGCAGGTGGCGCTGGGGGTTTGTCCTCGGCCGGGTCCCCCGCTGACTCCATTAGCGACTGAAATACCAGCTCATCTGCACTTCGCTCTGACGTTTTATGCGACTTGAGAGCTGTGAGGAGGTTGTTGATACGTCTCAAAAGTCCGTCGTTGATGATGCGCTCGTATTTCAGAGTCGCTATCTGGTGTTTACGGTGGTCGCGTTCTTGGTGTATTTGTGCTTGTTTTGCGCGAATGAATGATCGCTTGTCGACATTAGGGTGTACCTCAATGTCAGAGTCATCGCTGAGCTCGATAGCATCCTAGAAGCTGCGGTTAGAGAAATTAATTCCAGTGGCTCAACTCTTCTGGCGCACCCATTTGCTATAGTTGATTACCATATTGGCGAGGCTGTCTAGGTGGGGTGAGAGTCGTCGGTATATACTCTGATTCGAGCTTCGTGGGAGGTGCGATGCCGGTGTAGACAGAGGGAGGAGTTCGCTTGTAGCTTATATGTAGAATATGGCGAGTCACAGCGTTAATGTATGATTGCGGCCTCTCGAGTCAAGCTGTCTGCAGGTGCATTCTACTATGTTCCACCGATGGATTGCCGCCCCGCTGAGTTTCTGCCTGAGCCCTAAGGCACACGTAAGGGAAAAGTGGGGCATACTACCCCAAGCTTCGCTCTCATATGTCAAGAGCTGGATGCCGAATATCGCCGTCATCCTCCTGACTAGAGAGATCGCATTTCCTCGCATCTGAGCTTTCATTTGATCATGAGTGCTAGCTTTTCTATTCCATTGCATTTGTTTGAACTCGTTCATATCATCGCATCAAGCAGTTACTTTGTTTCCTCGTAATTGTTTCTGCTACGACGTCACCTCTGAATCTCCCGGTACCCTCAACCAAACACGCGCAGAGCCATGCGCGGCTCACTCGGTCTCGCGCAGCGAGCATGGTCTAGCACAGGGAACGGAGCTCTCTTTTCCAAGATATCCTCAGTTCGACCTCTTCCATCGAGAACACAGCAGATCATCTCCTTACCAAGTCTTAAACCGCAAAGAAGTCCACATACGACAGGGCTTCGCGCAAGATCCTTAATAGACCGCGAACCATCAGTCAATTCAATACAGAAACGCGTCTTTTCATTATCGCGAGCATTGAGTGAGGAGGGAAAGGCGCCACCGCCTCCACGTCACCGGCCTTTATCGTATAAAGAGGAGCTAGAACAGGAAGGCAAGACAAACCCCGAGGATGCAGAGGACAACCGAGACGGACTAGACCAGGACTTTCAGAAATCTGAGAAGGCATCGCAAGCAGCAAAAGTTGATCTCACCGCTAGACTGAGCAAAGATGGAAGCAAAGGTGGACAAAGCCAGTTATGGCGATTGATAAAAGTTGCTAGACCGGAAGCGAAGACTCTTGGATGGGCATTCCTTTTTCTACTCATATCTTCTGGAGTATCCATGTCGGTCCCCTTCTCAATTGGAAAGATTCTCGACATTGCTACCGGCCAAGGAGAAGACGGCAAGACACTACCTTTCGGTCTCGATATGACCACTTTCTACCTAGGCCTCGGTGCTGTACTTGCCTGCGGTGCTGCTTCAAACTACATGCGTATCATCATACTGCGAATTGTCGGAGAGAGAATCGTAGCACGTCTTCGTTCTCGCCTCTATCGCAAGACCTTTGTTCAGAATGCCGAGTTCTTTGACGCAAATCGTGTCGGTGACCTGATATCTCGCCTAGGTTCTGATACCGTCATCGTTGGGAAGAGTATCACTCAGAACCTTTCCGACGGACTGCGCTCAATAGTCAGTGGAACGGCTGGTTTTGTCATGATGGGATGGGTCAGCTTGAAGTTGACAGGAGTCCTTGCTCTGATTGCTCCTCCAGTGGGCATAATCGCATTCTTAGCTGGAAGGAGGTTGCGTGAGCTAAGTCGGAGGATTCAGAAGAGCCTTGGTACTTTGACAAAGATTGCAGAGGAGCGGCTAGGCAACGTGCGTACTAGCCAAGCTTTCGTCGGAGAGATTGAAGAAGTCGGGCGGTATAACAAGCAAGTGAAGAAGATCTTCGAGCTTGGCAAGAAAGAAGCCCAAGTTGCCGCAGGCTTCTACGGCAGCACTGGTCTGATGGGCAATCTTACCATCTTGGCTATTCTGTCGATCGGAGGTGGAATGGTCAAGAGTGGATCAATCACCATCGGAGAGCTGACATCGTTCTTGATGTACACGGTCTACGCGGGCAGCAGTATGGTGGGTCTTTCGGGCTTCTATGGCGAGCTTATGAAGGGTGTTGGAGCCGCAAGTCGACTATTCGAGCTCCAGGACAGGAATCCCACATTGTCACCGACAACCGGACTCCCAGTCAAATCGGCAAAAGGAGACATTGTGTTCAAGAACGTTTCATTCAGCTATCCAACCAGACCCGCTGTAACCATCTTCAAGGACCTTGACTTCACGATCAAGGAAGGCACCAACATTGCCATTGTGGCCCCAAGTGGCGCCGGAAAATCGACCGTAGCAAGCTTGCTTCTGCGCTTCTACACACCAAACACCGGAACCATCGAGATCGATGGGAAGGATATTACAAGTCTCAACGCAAAACAGCTCAGAAGAAGGATCGGCTACGTAGGACAGGAACCAGTTCTCTTCTCCGGCACCATCGCAGACAACATCTCCTACGGCAAGCCCCACGCCACCCGTGCCCAGATCGTATCCGCCGCTCGCAGGGCCAATTGCCAATTCATCAGCGACTTTGTAAGCTCCCTTACTACCACATTTGTACACACCCGCTAACATGTGCAGCCCGACGGCCTAGAAACCCACGTCGGCGCCCGCGGCACCCAGCTCTCAGGCGGCCAAAAGCAGCGCATCGCCATCGCGCGTGCCCTCATCAAGGAGCCCGACATCCTCATCCTCGACGAGGCAACCTCTGCCCTCGACGCCGAGTCCGAGACGCTCGTCAATCAGGCCCTCGCCCGTCTGATTCGCGGCCACAACACGACCATTAGTATTGCGCACAGGCTGTCCACGATTCAGCGCTCGGACGTGATTATCTGTCTTGGTGCGGACGGCCAGGTTGCGGAGCAGGGCAGCTATAGGGAGCTGACTGCGAATCCGGACGGGGCGTTTAGTAAGTTGATGGAGTGGCAGCGCACGGGTGGTGAGCAGGCGCAGACGACGACGACGACGACGACGCCGAAGCCGAGTGAGGAGGAGGAGATTGAGGAGGATCTGCATGAGCGGGAGGAGGCGGAGGAGGAGGAGGAGGAAGTTGTTGAAGAGAAGCGGCGATGAGGCCCCATGGCATCATGACTGTCTCGATGGCTTTGGCAGTCAGCCTCTAACGGCGTAAGGGGCGTTGAATAAATTGGTCCGCATGGCTGGACTGTAAGACCAAAATCCCCGTCCACATTAAGACGCGGCCTGGCAGGACCGAGAGTCTCAAAGCTTTCGTGTGTATGTGTGTATATATTATCATCATCACACTCTACAAAAACCCCACATATCCCACAAATCTACCATCACTCTCCTCCTCCTCTCCCTCTCACACTACATACATGCTTCCCCCTTCACACCTTCTAACAATTCACTCACTCAACAGACTCCGCACCCACAAACACACCCACCCCAACCCTCTGCTCAAACACACTCCCTTCCGCATCCACCAAGCTCATCAAGATCCAATCAACCGCTGAAGACCCCGCGAGTAATGCCGCTTTATACACCGCGTCACCCCCATCCAAACGCACCTCCCCTTTCCCCTCGCGCACCATCGACACGCTATACACCACCGGCTCCACAAACCCCTCACTCAACCCCCGCAACCCAATCCGCCCTTCCCGCCCCAATCCCACGAATAAATGCGGCCCGCTCATAAACTGCAAATACCCGTCTAGCGCATCCCATCCCGGCGTATCGCCACCATCATCATCATGATCATCATCAACCCACCAATCCGGAACGCCGTCGTTGTCTGCGTCCCATGAGGCGGGTCGTGTGGTGGTGGGGAAGTGTTCGAGGCCGCCGACGTCGGATACCGCGTCGATGATGCCCCGGAGCCCGGTGACGGAACCGGTGTATGTGGTTGTGTTGTGGAGGGTCTCGTTGAGGATGCGGGTGTCGTGGAGATCGAGGGTGGGTGCGCGGGCGCCGGCGCGGGAGAGGACGTGTTTGTAGGCTTCGGTGGAAGAGTGGGTTGTTGTGGATGGGTTGAAGAAGCTGTGTGTGTGTGTGGTGTGGTCAGTTAAAGGGGGGGGGATATGGGGAGGAGGAGGAGGGGTCTTACGGCTTGGGGAAGAATTTCTGGTATGTTGGCGCGGGCGAGAAGGAGATGCTTGCCCAGCAGGCGCCTGTGACGGACGCCGGGGATGCATTGCCGGGGACATTTACGACTTGGACGGCGTCCTGGGCGAAGAAGGGCGGCATGGAGTTGCCGGCGCAGTGGTAGGTTTGGGAGCCGGGCATGTTGTCCTCGTAGGTGGCGCGGAGGTCGAAGCGGCGGGAGCTGGCGGGGCCGGGCTTGTAGTAGTTTCCGACAAAGTTGACCTGGTGGGCGCCGCCGTCGGTGACGCGGTCGCCGAAGTTGTACACGACGTTGTTGCGGATGTCGAGACGGCCGGCAAAGGCGCCGGCGGGATCGACGCCGCCGGCCATGCTCCAGCTGCGGCCCCAGGCGTGGGCGATGAGATTGTGGTGGAAGGAGCCGACGTCGCCGCCGATGGAGGCGGCGTAGCCGTGTGCTGTTCCGACGGGGTAGTTTTTGTGGCCGGCGACGTTGAGGGGCTCGGAGATGATGCTGTTTTGGAGGGTGATGTTGTATGCCGAGCGCGAGGAGAAGGATTCGTCGATGGACCAGCCTACGGAGCAGTGGTCGAAGATGGCGTTGTTGGATCCTTGCATGCCGATGCCGTCGATTGTTTCGCCGGAGATGTTTCCGGGTCGGACGCGGATGTGCTGCATTATGATGTCGGATGCTCCTGATAGGCCGAGGGGCCAGCCTTGGATGGCGATGCCTTTGCCTGGTGCGGTCTGGCCGGCCAGAGTAATGTAATTGCCGCTGATGGTGAGGCGAGAAGTAAGTGTGATTACACCTCCGATGTCGAATATGATCGTCCTTGGTCCGGTTTCTACTGTGAGAGCATAGCGTAGGGTGCCGGCCTTTGGTGTGGCTGTCGTAGCATAATCGTCCAGACTCGTGACCTTTACCACCCTTCCTCCTCTGCCACCGCGGGCGAATCGGCTGGTTGTTCTCGTTACTCGACTCTTCTCACTCTGGTCATGACGCAACTTACCCCCAGCCCTCAGCACCGGCAAAAGCCAATTGACGTGGTCGGAACATCCACGTTCGTCCTGGGGTGGTGTGACCGTCTGAGATGATATCGACTCGCCAATAGTAGGTCTCGAGCGAAGACACATCTACAGAGTATTAATCCTATCCCTTGAAGGAAAGAGTTACTGCGCACTAGTAAAGGTTACTGTCGCTTGAGCCTGATCCGATGCGACGATTTGCATGTTCTCAGGAGACCCGGGCCCAAAATAGACGTTATACTTTGAGCTTGACGCGGTTTTAGGTGCCTTCCAAGTTGCCACGATTCTACCGGAATCTCCATCGACGTGCTCGTCCGAATGGCTTGGGTAAGGATAGGAAGCCTGTAACTTGACGTTAGGAGCATCTATCTCAAACCCATTCATAAAAACTCGTTTGTCCCCGGAGCCAGACGAAACCACAGGCGTGTACTTGATCTCAACCATGGCGTTCGCTTCTACGGTAAAGGTGACGTAGGATGAGGCAGAGTCCCATATATTGTCCACCCGAACGCTTTGAACTCGATTCTACCAGTTGCTTAGCTGGGTAAATGGCACATGAGTGTTGGAAAATTGCTCGTACCTTAATGACTGGAGTACCATTCACAGAGACGGATATATTAGCAGTACCAGCGAGAGCATCCCAGGCGTTGTGATAGGTTAGTAGAGAATGTTCGCCGGCGGCGAGACCGTCGATGGTTAAAGATATAGGTACGCCTGTAGTGAGATCTGTCGAGACTCCCTCGCCAACTATACGCTCGCCAAGGAAGGCTAGAAATCTGGTGAAGATAAGTTTGTACGAGCTGCCCTTGAGGGTGCTGCCATCTCCAGCCGACAGTGTCAAGGTTAGGTTCCTGAACGTCGCGGTAGAAGAGCCGTTCTCGGAGATAGTCCACGTCTCGTAATCGGACTCCTGTTGATAGCCATTGATCTTGATACCTACCGGATTAAGCTTGATTCTCACAGGAGCAGCGAGTATCGTGTTGAGCGACTGGAGGAGTAATAACAAGAACACGGAAATCATTTCGAAGCTACTGTTTGACATTACTGGAATTGACGTCTTGACAAGCCTTTAAGCAGAGCTACCATATCCCCGCTACACTCGTTGATCATGACATAATAATGGTTCAACGGACTGAAAGCCTGCGGACATCGTCTGAAACAATTGATTGGAATTGCATAGTGCTCAGGGATCAATATTAATGGTGATGTCTGCATTTCCACGAATGAAATCCTTGTATAGCAAACACAACTGGCAGTCTGCCCTGACGAGCGGATAAAAGCATCGTGGGCATTCACGGACCTTCTAAGAGACAGATAAAGTCAACAACGATAGGGGAGCGATGTTATGATGAGAAGAAACGCTTGATGACCTGGGAGTGAAGCGTCCGAGGGGTCCACGCGAACGGGAAGCTTTGGCCACTCGCACGTGCACTAAAGCAACCAAAGCCCCTCGGCCTGCTGGCGTGCCCTCCAATGGGCTCCCGGCGCGCATACGAGCAATCGCCAAGGACGATGATCTCATGCGGACAGTTCGTGGTTGTGTTCAACCTCGGGGTAATATCTCACAACATGGCGTGACGCTCTTTACTTCATCCTATGCAGTGTGCATCTGAAGAGAGCATCATCAATCAAAGCACGCCTTAAACTCTCGTTGACTCAGCTTCGCAGTATAGCAATGGCGGCCTTTGTATACAACAGCCAGCTGGTGAGAGCATCATGGATGGAGCTCAGCTGTAGGATATGAACCTGACCATAAGATAGGATGCGTTTGCTCTGTACCACCAGATCCAGGCAGAGTCTCCCACCAAGAAGCTAGGGGGTCCTGATCTCCCTGCACTCGGCCATGCTCTCTCGGGAGCCACAGCAACCGCTGTCGCGAACGTTCTAATATATCCCCTTGAACTTGTCATCACGCGCCTTAAAGTCCAGAACCAGCCAGACAAGACCCAGGGATCTGAAGAGAAGACATATGACGGTATACTAGATGCTGTGCAGAAGATATATACAGAAGACGGGGGCCTTTCGGCTTTCTACAGTGGATGTCTATACGACACAGGAAAGAGCATCGCCGATTCTTTTCTCTTCTTCCTTGCATATAACTTCCTACGCACGCGCCGCCAGAATGCTCACAAAGACCTGAAATCTCTACCTGTCAGTGAGGAACTCATGGTCGGAATGGCAGCGGGAGCGTTCGGGAAGTTCTTCACAACACCAATTCAGCAGGTCGTCACTCGGAAACAGACCGCTGCGCCAGGTTCAAAAGCATCTCTAGCCCAGATCATATCGAAAACCAAAGCCGAAAAGGGCATCGCAGGATTTTGGTCGGGCTACTCTGCGACGCTTATATTAACGCTCAATCCATCATTGACATTTCTGTTCCATGAACTGTTTCTGAAAATGACAGTACCGAGGTCGAAACGGGAAAATCCAGGTCCTTGGCTGACCTTTCTGCTCGCTGCTGCGAGCAAAAGTCTTGCATCTACAATTACATACCCCTTCTCGCTGGCTAAAACACGGGCGCAAGTCTCGCCTGTAGCAACAGAGAAGCTGCAAGACACCAAAGGACATGAAAAAGTCACAGAAAAGCTGAGCAAAGTCGCCGCGCACCAATTGACCCTTTTCAGCTCCCTTGTCCGAATTGCACACGAGGATGGGATCCTTGCGCTATATCAGGGAGTAGGAGGGGAAGTACTAAAAGGGTTCTTCTCTCATGGTCTGACCATGCTCATGAAGGAACGCATACATCTCGCAATCATACAGCTGTACTATCTGATTCTAAAGGCATTGAAGAAATATCCCACCCCAGAACAAATGGCTGAATCGGCGAAAGAAGGTGCTCAAGCTGCTGCAACGAAGGGTCAAGAAATACTCCAGCAAGCGTCAGAGTCGACGCAGGAAGCGCTTTCGAAAGGGAAAAAAGAAGTCGAGAATTTGTATGTTGAGAGCAAGGAGACTACGAAGAGTCTTTTGTGGGGCGTTGTTGATGACGATGAATAATAAAATGGACAGGGATGGCTAAGGGATAATATTGGGTGTTCGGGAGTTAAAGAAATGTGATGGGAAGCTTCATGCGACAAATTCGCAGATATTTCGTTTGAGATACCAAAATGCAACCATTTGAGATTCAATAAATATGTTGCCTATTGCTGAGAAGTATTGAACACGAGGGTGACACGACTTATTGTTGACTGCCTGATCACATGCGGCTTAAACTTAAATCCCTTGCCCTGACAACGCATGGACCAGGATCGTTAGTTTACGCCCAGCCCCCCTCGCCTCCCACCACAATATACGGAACAAGACTGAATCACGTCAAGCACTCCTACTCACCACACCACCAGGCAGGATACTAACAGCAGCAGTTACGACCACCGGACCGGACTTGGACATCAGGAAAACACGACCCACGACGCACCGCACGCCAGCAACACCCCCAGGACTCTATACAGATCGCGCCAGGACCCGCAACCCTCACCGACACATACAGTTAATCCCACAACACGCTGCGCCGAGGGCCTTTCCCAATCGATAGGATATTAATTCAATCACGACTCTGGACATACTTCACCAAAGAGTCGCAAGCCCCTATACCACCACTGTGCGGAGCCCTGGGAGCCCGCGCACTTGAACGGCCGCCATGACCTCTACCGAGGAGCCACCGTCTTCGCCTGCGTTGCATAGTGGCTCATCACTAGAGGAAGAACTAGCATACTACAAGTCACAGTACGAACAGCTTGAGCTAGAGCTCCAAGACTTCCAGGCCAGCAGTAAGGATCTTGAGGCGGAACTGGAAAAAGATGTGGAGGCAAGCGAGAAAAGAGAGCGGCAGCTCAAGGAAAAGGTGGAGAGCTTGGGCTACGAGGTTGACGAGTGGAAGGCAAGTAATTTGGAATAATCCTGTCATGTCAGACTGTAAATCTAACGAGTAGTGCAGACAAAGCACAAACAGTCCAAAGCTGAGGCGAATTCGGCACAGAACACGTTGCAGAAGGAGATCACAGCATTACGCGACAGCCAACGCACACTTCAGTTAAAGCTAAGAGATGTTGAAGTCGTGAATGACGACTTCGAGCGCCAAGCCAGGAACACTAGCTCATCGTTGGAAGATGTAGAACAGAAGTACAATCAGGCTATAGAGCGTGGTGTGATGATGGAAGAGGAGCTCAAAGTCATGGAGCAGGAGCGTGAACAATTGCGCATAGAGACTCAACGGCTGCGCGATGAGCTCTCGGACTTGAGAATCGAAGCGGAAATCACCCACGAGAAGCTTCGGCACGCAGAGGAAACAATTCAAAGACACCATGAGTCCAGATCGATTTTGCATTCGACGGATACCTTACGCCCGCCCTCTCCGATGTCCGAGGCATCGACCTCTGCCACCACGCTTTCTTCTCCCACAAATTCTACACCACCCTCGAAACTAGGGGCATCGATAAATGCACCCACGCCTCCTTCACCGCCTCTATCAGACGCCGCTCCTGTAGCCCATAAGCGCACTCCGACAACACCTGCGCCGATTCGAAAGCAGACCGTGGTCGATGCAAATGCAACACCAAGACCTGGATACTATAGCTCACGTGCCCCACGTCACTCAAGAGGGCCTTCAATACCTGTTAGTGCGTCCGGACGCACAACGCCGTCAGTACCAGCATCAGTACCTCGACGAACAACAACATCAAGACCTAGCATGAGTCTACAGCCTGAACTCCCACGCTCTGGCTCCCTCATGCAGATTCGTGGGCTAACGGCAAGACTTCAGAAACTTGAGGAGCGTGTTCACACAACGAGATCCAAGCTTCCTGCACCAGTCAACACGCCGCCACGTGCATCGCCTCGCAATGGTTCGGCATTGGGGCATCACATCCCAACGACGGTCACTGTACGTAGTAACAGGAAACGTGCAAGTGGCAGTACAACGTCGTCTGTGGTGATAGGTGGTAATGGAGATACAGGCAGCCGGCAGTCCGTCTCGCGGCTCTCCTTTGGGATGCCTCAACGACCGCCGTCGGCGATGGACAGGACTACCGCGAGCAGCAGACCAAGCAGTCGGGCGAGCATCGGCGGCAGCCAACAACATGTCCGACCAAGTAGCAGGAGCAGCATGTCTGGCGCGAGGACACCACTCGGGCACTATCCATCAAGGCCCCGGTCAAGCATGTCATTAACAGCCGAAGACAAGGATATGGACAGCGGCATTCCTACGCCAGTCGTACGTCGGACCACACTTGACAAGAATTCTACCGGTATTCCTACTCCCTCCGGACTCCCACGTCGGCAGAGCGGTGGCTTTCCTCCGGCTCGGCGGACCAGTGCTGCAGGGATCGAAGGCGATATGCCACCACCAGCAAGTCGCCATCGGAAACTGAGTGATCTTGGAGAGACTTACTGATGGTGTTTGGAATTGTTGATGTTGAAAGGCTTACGAACTGGTATATTAATGAACGGCTTACGAGCGTTTGGGGAAGATGGATAGATGGGGCGAGTGGGAGTTTGGGTTGAGGACCAGATCAAAACATCTGCAACTCACTCCACGAACTTGTTTTACGTGTGAGGCGCTTCGCAACGAATTGATACCACTGAACGGAGACTCATCCAATCCGCTTTCATATGACATGACCTTTTATTTGTTGAACAACGAGATTTAGTCAGCGTCTGATGTGACATATCGCGCACGCTCCTTTGGACGAACCTATCCGGGTCTGGGGTGGAGTACAAGGCTGACTGACCATGGAGGATGACAAGGCCCGACAGGGTTGCGGTTCAAGTAGGGAACGGGGACGGGTGAATAGTGGAGCTAGAATTCCCGTGACATGACCCAACATTGAGTGGTAGCAAATTAGCAAGCGTAAAAACGTATTAGACCTATCCACTTCATCAGAGATGAGAGTAAATCAGCAAGCTCTCAAGTCGAATGATACCTATACACCTCATCAGAGGTAATTAGCCATGTTGGAACAAGCATACAAATCTCGATCTCCGCCCGTCCCAACCAGACCTGCCTTCGAGCTTAAGCATCGCCAGGTGGCCAGACACCCTCACTGCCAGCTCTGGGCCTTGAGAATTTATCCAACTATGCCGATGTTAGGCACCACCATCGCACCTTTCAGTGTCGGAGATGTCTCATTATCACTCGGCATCGGGGAGCGGACTCCGCAATATGCCTTGGAGAGCCGACACCGTGTCCGACGTCTCGGGGTAGGTGTAAGGCGGAGTAAAACTGTAGTGACACCCGACAGCGATTATTGACTGCTGGACTCGGCACCACAGACAAGACAAGGGACACTCGTAACTCGTGTTCTCCAATCTCTCTCTATCGAGGGGATCGATTGCTGCTAGCTGGTAGCATCGAAGAGTAGACGGGCGATCGGCGTAGCCTGCCGCTGGCTAATGCGACGTCATATTTAGCAGGGAGTCAATGTCAAGCAGACAGCCTTAACGAGACGGCGGGCCCCCAACGCTCGCCAGCGGCAGGTGTTGATCTTTGCTACCGTCGTCCCATCAAGTGTATTGTGTACTCTGTCCAACACCAGCACCGCTTCATCTTCGCGACGGTGTATAGCGTGTCGTCATGGCGACTCACTTGCGGAGGATTCTAAAGACGAAATTAGTCGCGTAGATATGAATGGAGTGGCTCAGTCAGGGCGCTCTGCTATGCTGAGTATACTCGGTGCCAGAGGAGCATCAACAAAGTTGGGACACAGCAGGGACCTGTGACGCCAACCGGGAAATATTTTGGGGTAAATTTCAGGGCTCTGCAGTTCTTTCGAGTCGTCCGGGTACTGCACTGGCCACTCTGGGGAGCTAGCGTGCTAGTCTAGCCTCTTTGGGCATCGCAAGACCCACCCACGCTCAACAGCTCCATGCTGAGGAAGCTCTGTGTTTCTCCCAAAGATTCTATTCATAATAATAATAATCTTTTCTCGCGCTCCTCCGCAACCTTCAACTGTCTCGCTCTACATCCTCATCCTACTCTCCATACTCTGCCTCATATCTCACCTCTCGTCCTGTCGATTAATCGCACCTCCCAGCCTCTCCTCTACAAAGAAACTACGTCTCGGCGTTAGCAAAAGGATCCCCGGCCTTTTCTGCGCTACCGGACACTCCTGCGATTTTTTGGGGATAAAGTGTTGTCTTCTTCACAACCTCACTCCGAACTTTTTAGAGATCCCGTCCCGAGGATCCCTTTGTATCTCATACTATACTACGCTATAGGCGCACTTTACAATTCTTGTAATCGCCTGTACAGAGTCTGTCAGACGCCTCATCTGATCATAATCGGGTCCCAGCTCTCCGCCCGGCCCCCGTAACTCAACAAATCACGCCTCCCTCGAACTTCTTTTCTTTCACTTTCTCAGTCAGCGAGCTCTCTACATCACAATGGCGCAAGCCAACGGACACTCGAATGGCTATCCCAGTGCTAATGCCGCAAGATACGACCTCCCCGCTCACTTCATCGGCGGCAGCCATCTTGGTGTCGCCAGACCGAGCAAAGTCAGAGAATTCGTGGCTGCGAACGGCGGCCACACTGTCATCACAAATGTGAGTAGCAGAACGGATCCGAGGTTTCCCACGAGACCGAAACAATGGTTGTGCTGTGGATGTTAACGAATGTTCTAGGTACTAATCGCAAATAACGGTATTGCGGCGGTCAAAGAAATCCGCAGTGTCAGAAAATGGGCATACGAGACATTTGGCGACGAGCGAGCTATTCAATTCACAGTTATGGCTACACCAGAAGATTTACAAGCCAATGCAGACTACATTCGCATGGCTGACCAATATGTTGAAGTAGGTCGAAAATGCAGCAAAGCACAGAGCATTACCAGACATGCGCAGAGTGGATGACTGACATTGAGCTCTAGGTTCCTGGTGGGACCAACAACAACAACTACGCCAATGTCGACTTGATTGTCGATGTTGCTGAACGCATGGGTGTACACGCCGTGTGGGCTGGATGGTGAGTTTTTGTCGATATTTGTGCCTGTAGCATCACTGATGGAAACTCTAGGGGTCACGCATCTGAAAATCCGAAACTTCCTGAATCTCTCGCCGCATCGCCAAACAAGATTGTGTTCATCGGTCCTCCGGGATCAGCGATGCGATCTCTGGGTGACAAGATCTCGTCCACTATAGTTGCACAGCACGCCGGTGTGCCGTGTATACCCTGGTCGGGCGAAGGCGTCAAGGAGGTCGAGATCGACGACAAGAACATCGTCACGGTCCCAGATCACGTTTACGACAAGGGTTGCACACATTCTCCCGAAGAAGGTTTGGCAATGGCTAAGAAGATCGGCTTCCCGGTCATGGTCAAGGCTTCAGAAGGAGGTGGTGGCAAGGGTATCCGCAAGGTCGAGGACGAAAAGTCTTTCCATGAGCTGTACCGTGCAGCCGCAAGCGAAATCCCCGGTTCACCCATATTCATCATGAAACTCGCTGGAAACGCGAGACATTTGGAAGTGCAATTGTTGGCCGACCAGTACGGAAACAACATTTCTTTGTTCGGTCGAGACTGCTCGGTGCAACGACGTCACCAAAAAATTATCGAGGAGGCCCCGGTCACAATTGCTGGCCCCGAAACTTTCCAGGCTATGGAGCGTGCCGCTGTCTCGCTCGGAAAACTGGTCGGCTATGTCTCTGCTGGAACCGTCGAATACCTGTATTCCCACTCCGATGACAAATTCTACTTCCTAGAACTTAACCCGCGTCTTCAAGTCGAGCATCCGACAACAGAGATGGTTAGCGGTGTCAACCTACCCGCGGCTCAGCTACAGATTGCCATGGGTCTGCCACTTCATAGAATCAGGGACATCCGAACACTCTACGGCGTGGATCCACACGCTGATACTGAGATCGACTTTGATTTCAGCAAGGAAGGTAGTGAGGTGAACTACCGCAGACCAAAGCCAAAGGGTCACACGACAGCTTGTCGTATCACATCCGAGGACCCCGGTGAAGGTTTCAAGCCATCCAGCGGCACTATGCACGAACTAAACTTCAGGAGTAGTTCTAATGTTTGGGGCTACTTCTCTGTCAGTTCGGCGAGTAGTATCCACAGCTTCTCGGACAGTCAATTTGGTCACATTTTCGCTTATGGTGAGAACCGAACAGCCTCGCGAAAACACATGGTCATCGCGCTGAAAGAATTGAGCATTCGCGGTGACTTCAGGACGACCGTCGAATACCTAATTAAGCTTCTTGAGACTCCGGCTTTCGAGGACAACACTATTACGACGGGCTGGTTGGATGAACTCATCACCAAAAGACTTACTGCAGAACGCCCAGATCCTATGGTGGCCGTCATTTGTGGTGCTGTAACGAAAGCTCATGTTGCAAGTGACGCGTGTATGTCAGACTACCGTGCCAGCCTAGAGAAAGGTCAGGTTCCACCCAAGGACTTCTTGAAGACTGTATTCCCGGTCGACTTCATTTACGAAGGCAACCGCTACAAATTTACTGTTACTAAATCCAGCGCGGACAGCTACACGCTTTTCATCAACGGCTCGAAGGCGCAAGTCGGTGTGCGAGCTTTGGCAGATGGCGGTCTTCTGATTCTGCTGAGCGGCAAGAGTCACAATGTATACTGGAAGGAAGAAGTCGGCGCTACGCGTATTAGTGTGGACAGCAAGACCTGCTTGCTCGAGCAAGAAAACGATCCAACCCAACTCCGCACTCCTAGCCCTGGTAAGCTAGTCAAGTTCACCGTGGACAACGGTGCACATGTGAGCAAAGGTTCGGCCTTCGCCGAAGTTGAGGTCATGAAGATGTACATGCCTCTCATTGCTCAAGAGGATGGTGTTGTGAATCTTATCAAGCAGCCGGGAGCAACGCTCGAAGCTGGAGATATTCTCGGTATACTCGCTCTGGATGACCCAAGCAAAGTCAAATCCGCACAGCCCTTCTTGGGCCACCTTCCCGATCTCGGTCCACCACAAGTCATGGGTAGCAAACCTCCCCAACGATTCGTATACCTTTTCGGAGTATTGCAACACATCCTAGAAGGATTCGATAACCAGGTCATCATGAAAGATTCTTTAGAAGAGCTGATCGAAGTGCTCCGCAACCCAGAGCTCCCATACGGAGAATGGAATTCGCAAGCTTCTGCTCTGCATGCTCGTATGCCGCAGAAGCTTGACCAGTCCCTGGCTCAGATTGTCGAGCGTGCGCACCAAAGAGGTCTCGAGTTTCCGGCTAAGGCCCTCACGAAATGTTTCAACAAGTTCCTAGAAGAGAGTGTCTCCTCAGGTGATCGCGACATCCTGCGATCCGCTTTGGCTCCCTTGGTTGAAGTGATGAAGAACTACACCGAGGGTCTCAAGCACCACGAGCACGACGTGATGATAAGTCTTCTCATGCACTACTACAATGTTGAGAAGCAATTCTCATCCCGTGACTCTCGCGATGAAGAGGTCGTCCTAGCACTTAGAGATTCCAACAGGGATAATCTGGGTATGGTTGTGCAAACTATCTTATCGCATACTCGATGCTCCGCGAAGAACAATCTCATAGTTGCCATCCTCGATGTTTACCGACCTAACAGGCCTAATGTTGGCAACGTCGCAAAGAACTTCAAGAGCACGTTGCAGAAACTCACTGAGCTTGATTCCAAGCCCACTTCTAGAGTATCTCTCAAGGCCCGCGAGCTGCTTATCCAGTGCGCTATGCCTTCGCTCGAGGAGCGCACGTCGCAGATGGAGCACATTCTCCGGTCTTCGGTTATCGAATCGAAGTATGGTGAAAGCGGCTGGGATCATCGCGAGCCCATGTTCGAAATCCTCAAAGAAGTTGTCGATTCCAGATTTACGGTATTCGATGTCCTACCTCAGTTCTTCGCGCATAAGGACCCATGGGTTGCCTTGGCGGCTCTGGAGGTCTACACCCGCCGAGCATATCGTGCCTACCAGCTGAGAGCTATCCACTACAAGACGGAAGGAGAAGCACCCTTCATTCTATCCTGGGACTTCGCTTTGCGCAAGGTTGGCGAGTCTGACTTCGGCTTACCAGTCGAATCATCACACCCGTCGACACCTAGTACTCCACTAGGAAATGATGGGTTCAAGCGTATGTCATCGTTTAGCGATCTTAGCTACATGAATCGTCGCGGCGAAGAGGAACCCAGCCGCAAGGGTGCCGTGGTCCCGGTCGAGTTCCTAGACGATGCTGAGGAGTACCTCGCCCGCGCTCTTGAAGTCTTCCCTTCCGTCCGGACACGAAAACCAAGTGGACCTGCTGCTCCCCTCACTGACCCTGCCAAAGCGCGTCGGCCTGCTCCAACTCCTCAGATTGATACATCAACTGACGAGCTAACGAACGTTTGTAATGTCGCTGTCCGTGATGCCGAGAGCTACGACGACAAGGAGATACTGGCTCGTATCACATCCATTGTCAATGACTACAAGGAAGAACTCCTCGCTCGTCGCATTCGACGTCTCACATTCATCTGCGGTCACAAGGATGGTACTTACCCTGGATACTACACATTCAGAGGCCCCAGATACGAGGAGGATGCCAGTATCCGTCACATCGAGCCTGCCTTGGCCTTCCAGCTCGAACTCGGACGTCTTTCCAAGTTCAACATCAAGCCGGTATTCACCGAGAACAGAAATATTCACATTTACGAGGCTATCGGCAAAGGTGTAGAGAACGACAAGAGGTACTTCACCAGAGCTGTCGTACGATCTGGTCGGCTTCGAGAAGACATTCCACCGTTGGAATACATGGGATCCGAGGCCGACAGATTGATGAGCGACATTCTCGATGCCATGGAAATTATTGGCAACAACAACTCGGACATGAACCATATCTTCATCAACTTTTCTACCATACTTCCAATCGAGCCTAGCCAACTAGAGGAGGCTCTGGCAGGATTTTTGGAGCGCTTCGGTCGACGACTGTGGAGACTTCGCATTACGGGTGCCGAGCTCCGCATTGTCTGCCAAGATGCAAACACAGGAGAAGCCTACCCGATCCGTGTCATTATCAGCAACACCTCCGGTTACATTGTCCAGGTCGAGCTATACGCAGAGCGCAAGTCTGACAAAGGAAAGCAATGGCTATTCTACAGCATCAACGCTGCTAAGCCCGGATCCATGCATCTATTACCCGTGGCTACTCCATATCCTACGAAGGGAGCTTTGCAACCCAAGCGTTACAAGGCCCACGTCATGGGTACGCAGTACGTCTACGATTTCCCCGAGCTGTTCCGCCAAGCCGTTGAGAATAGCTGGAATCAAGTCGTCGCCAAACACCCCGGTCTCAAGTCAAGCCAGCCAAAGAAGGGAGAGTGTATCGAGTACAATGAGCTTGTTCTGGACGACACTGATAACCTTGCTGAAGTCAGTCGCGATCCAGGCACCAACTCCATTGGTATGGTCGGATGGATGGTGACTGCGAGGACTCCGGAGTACCCTCGTGGCCGCAAGTTCATTATCATTGCCAATGACATCACCTTTAAGATTGGTTCGTTTGGTCCTTTAGAGGACAAGTTCTTCCACAAGTGCTCAGAGCTTGCCAGAAAACTAGGAATACCGCGAATCTATCTTTCTGCAAATTCTGGTGCACGTCTTGGAATGGCCGAGGAGCTCATTCCCCACTTCTCTGTGGCTTGGAACGACCCTGAAAACCCGCAAGCTGGGTTCAAGTACCTCTATCTGACACCCGAAAAGAAGGCGCACTTCGAGGAGGCTAAGAGAAATGTTGTCATCACCGAGAAAGTGGTCGAAGACGGTGAAGTACGCCACAAGATCACCACTATCGTCGGAGCTGAGAGCGGTCTTGGTGTCGAGTGCTTGAGTGGATCCGGTCTCATCGCTGGTGCTACTTCTCGCGCTTACGAGGACATCTTCACAGTCTCCCTCGTTACTTGCAGATCCGTAGGTATTGGCGCATACCTCGTCCGCCTTGGACAGCGTGCTGTCCAAATCGAGGGCCAGCCCATCATCCTCACTGGTGCTCAAGCCATCAACAAACTCCTTGGCCGACCAGTGTATACGTCGAACTTACAACTTGGTGGAACACAGATTATGTACAAGAACGGTGTCTCTCATCTCACAGCTGCGGATGACTTCGAGGGTGTGTCGAAGATTGTTCACTGGATGTCGTTCGTACCGGACAAGAAGGGCAATCCGGTACCAATCTCGCCATCCATTGACAACTGGGACCGTGACATCACCTTTTTCCCGCCACAAAAGCAACCTTACGATGTGAGACATCTGATCGCCGGCAAGCCAGATGATGAAGGTTTCCTTTCAGGCCTCTTCGACAAGGACTCCTTCGAGGAGACTCTAGGTGGATGGGCCCGCACTGTCGTCGTTGGTCGCGCTCGTCTTGGTGGCATTCCGATGGGTGTCATTGCTGTTGAGACACGTTCTGTTGAGAACGTAACGCCAGCTGACCCTGCCAACCCTGACTCCATCGAGCAAGTCGCTTCTGAGGCCGGTGGTGTCTGGTACCCCAACTCCGCTTTCAAAACCGCTCAAGCACTCAAGGACTTCAACAACGGAGAACAACTCCCATTGATGATTCTGGCCAACTGGAGAGGTTTCTCTGGTGGTCAGCGTGATATGTACAACGAGGTCTTGAAATATGGTTCCTACATTGTCGATGGTCTCGTGAAGTACGAGCAACCAGTTTTCATCTATATTCCACCATTCGGTGAACTTCGTGGAGGCTCATGGGTCGTGGTTGATCCTACGATCAATCCACAGATGATGGAGATGTATGCCGACGAGGATTCCCGAGGTGGTGTCCTTGAACCAGAAGGTATCGTCGGCATTAAGTACCGTAAGGACCGACAACTGGAGACGATGGCTCGTCTTGACCCTATATACGGCGAATTGAGAGAGAAGCTCACCAAAAACAACCTCCCTCAGGAAGAAGCCGCGAAGCTCAAGGCCAAGATGACCCAGCGTGAAGAACTCCTTCTTCCAGTCTACGGTCAGATCAGTATTCAGTTCGCCGACTTGCACGATCGCGCCGGCCGCATGCATGCCGTCGGTGCGATCCGCCAACCGCTGCGCTGGCAGAACGCTCGCCGCTTCTTCTACTGGCGTTGTCGACGTCGTCTCAATGAGGAATATATCCTCAAGCGGATGGCCGCAGCTGCACCGGCCGACCTTACCAGTCGTGGCAACAACCTCGCACACCTCAAGGCGTGGTCTGCCGTGGCGGACTTTGACAACGACGATATGTCGGTCGCGATCTGGTACGAGGAGAACCGCAAGGAAGTTAATGCTAAGGTGGATAGCATCAAGAAGGATGGTGTAGCGAATGAGGTGTCGGCGCTGTTGCGCAAGGACAAAGACAGTGCGCTGAAGGGTGTTGCACAAGCTTTGAGTGTGTTGCCAACAGCAGAAAAGGAGGAATTGTTGAAGATGCTACAAAAAGCATAGACAAGACGATGAAAATCCAACTCTGAAGTGTTGTTGCGGCTAGCGAAGTTGATAGGATTCGGGACCCTAGAGACGGACCTGGACACAAGGCGCTGAGACATGGTATCATGTGTAATTAGTAGATCTTTTTATTCTGCATTCCTGTTGCGTTTGGACGGATGTCAAGGGACTTATGAGGATACGTCCTGGAATCTGACTTATGTTTGTATTTAGCATGTAATTCTTCTCATTTTCAATGCTTGTTTTATTCGAATCTATATTTGATATTCGCATAGACTATAAAGCTTCTCGTCTACATCCGTTAGGCTACTACAATACCTGCTCTCCCTAATTGCACAAGTTTTCTTAAACTACGCCATGCATGGCTACTACCGTATCACAGCTGGTTCTTGCTTGTACTTCCAACTTCCAAGAGTTCCGAGTCTGGATGTGGTGCATAGTCATATCCGTGACATTCTAGAACTGAGGTTGGGCGAATGACCAAACGCTCAAGCTTAACCTCAACTCTCTTTTTCTTGTTGGGGTTCAGTACAACTCCATCCCCCTCCTTCCCATATTCCAATGTCACTTACATACATCAAACCGCGCGGGGGCAGCCAAGCTGTCCATCGTGGCAAGGAGACCCTCCTTCCATCACCGGAGTCGAGTCAACCCAGATCCCCTGAGGTGTCGGCGAGAAGATATACATTCGATCACTACACCCAGTCTTCTTAGGAAGTCCAGTAGGTGGAAACTTTTTGCTAATGTAGTCATGATTTATAGCAAGTATGGATGCTGATGATTGTGCTGGTGTATTTGAGGTTTAAGGTGGGGAGTTCTGGTTTGTACCCTTTGGGAGGTGTGGGGGGGAGGATTTGTGGATACGGAGATGGGGGTGCTGTGGTATGATGAGTTCTGCTATGGGTGTACGTGGATGTACTCTCCGCTCAGTTGCGTTTTTGACGCCGTGTAATGCTGCAGAGTTGTCATGGCTACTGGTGCTTTGATGGGCGAGTGTAGCATCTCTGGCATACTCTACTTTTCTGGATAGTAGTTGTGTATGAGGGTTTTTGAAGTGGATGGATGTGTTTGTTCACTGGTCCCCTATTGTGTACTGATACTAAAGCAACATGAGGAGACTTTTTCTTGGTTGTTAGACCTGTTCATATACCAAATGGCTGACTGACCTGGCACAGAGGACAGAGTGAGGAGTATCAGCTTGATTCTGCAGAACACACCTCGCCTCTTTTTATTTATATCATGCTTCCTTCTATGAATGACGGCTATATGTACGTCGAATTATGCTGTGTCTTTCGAACAGATTATCGTCCTAGGCCCGGAGATGGTTCATGGTGTTTTGGGGGATATGCTCAGGAGTACAGATATTGATTGTCTGTTTGTTGGCCTACTCGCCTAAAGCTCTACTGCACTACTCGAGGAATCCAAGTCAGGCCGTGAACAAATACGCTTAGGGGTCTCTACTAGCCAGTGTTGACTACGACGCCTATTCCTTATGTGGTAGTAAAGGCGGAGTTTACAAGGGAAATATAGATAGTAACACGAGGTCGTGAGATAACAAAGATCGACTGGCGAGATCAGTGAAATATGAGCATTACTACAATCTTGGAGTCGGTTATAGCGACGACGAGTGGGCTTGATAATGTAAATCTGCGCTGAACTGTTCATCGATGTCGTACCCATAGCAAAAATTTATGGGAATCCGATCCGCAATTCCGGTGGAGAGCTTACTCTCAATGGCAATGGTAGTTGCTGCTTGTGCTTGCGAATCAACATCGTCTCTCTGAACGGATATGATTAAGTCCTCTGTCCTACTGAAGGCTAGGGAAGTAGTTGATGGTAAACTTCTGCAGGGCGGACACCACACCTGTGTCTGAACCATTGCAATTTGGGCCAGAATGGAGTCCCGTACTTTGGGAAAGGTAGACTTGGGGGAAATTTGGCCTTCAGGCAACTGATATTGGTCATATACGAGTCGACCACAGCTCTTGTCGAGTTTGGCTCGAGTTGGTAGTACAGTAGGAGCCATTCTACATCGACTGTAATTATTCCTACTGGTCTATAAAGAGCATACCTCTATCATACTGTAGATATTTGAACAATATCAACATCTGAGAAAAGCGGTCATTATAGAGGCTGTAACCGAGCTCAGTGTTTCTCCTCCTTGTGCCCAATTTTCGATATGTTTTGTAGCAGCAATATACTACATATCAATCACACAAAACTTGGAATATCCCGCATCTGGTAGCTTTAATTATGCCCCAGACTCTTGATATATGGAAAAGTCCATCCAAGTAACGTAGCGCGACTTGCCCCGGGACCTACGATCATTTGATGGCTGAAGGATCACAAACGAAACCCAATGGGCTGGAGTAGACTTATCAAAAGCTTCTGTACTACTTCTTACATGCTTGAGTATATGGTTATATCTCCATTGAAAGAAATACGGTCTTTCATCTTTGGCGCATGTCACCATTGCGCTTGACACCCGTTGTATGGGCTGAAGTGCTTCGTTTTTGTGCAATGTTTTGGCGTGTATATCGTTGGTCGGTTGTCTCACTTATTCCGATGGCACAGCACATAGAAATGTAAATGTTTTCTCTATTGCTTAGCTTGGCGGCATTACACAGGATCAGCTCCGTATTGGAGTGCGGCGCGCAGCTTCTACCTACTAGGTTCGCTTGTCGATCCATGCTGACTAAACATCGGAGCTTGCAACTTTCGCACACAACGTTGAAGTCGCAAGTATTCACAATCGACGAGCTGCAACCCGTGCTGCATGATAGTCCTCTTACCTATTACGATATTCTCCAGATCTACGCTATCACAGAGTCTCTTTGAGCAATGAACGGCGGTACCGTAGCAGCACGAGATCGGGAACACGCGCTCAGGCCAACCTGAATCTATGCCTGAGGCATTGAATATGACGGGAGCAAAACCGCCGGCCGGCATCCTATGGGTGAAAGTGCCTATTAGCAGGTGGAGTGGACTCGACTTGATTCCGGCCTTGATCCTACTACTGCTACTGTTACCTTTCACCCGACTCAATCCTACACAACCTCCACTCGAGTTACTTCTACACGATTGAACACAGCCATCACAATGCTCAGTCCATATTCGAATCTGACTTCCGAACTCACCTTCACTCCCTCCACACTTTAAAGCTCTAAAGAGCTTTTGGCCGCCTCGTCCCTACGCGAATCTACGCTCTGTTCCACAACCATACCACGCCCGCACTTCTTGCCAATTGGCAGCTGTACGAAAAATTCCTGATCACATCCTAGCGCATGAGAAACTTTGCTCACCGTTTTCGAGATCTCTTCCAGTCATGTCACAGCGTCAACGGTCGCGTACCTCACAACCGCTGCCCAGTGGCACTGCGCATAGCAATTCCTCCTCCTCGACATCTTCTACACGCGCAGACCGCGTGACACGATCCATAAATAGACACCAATCCTCCAACAAATCCTCTACGCCTCATTCGTTGTCTTCTGAAGACGGTGACGAGCCGCTGGCGCTTGCCCAGCACAGCGAGCCTCCACAAACTAGACGCCGAACACGAGCACAAGACGTCGTTGACGATAATACGAAACTAGAAGATGAAACCGGCGAAGATGCCGGTGAAGAAGACGAGATCACTCGTTGTATTTGTGGTAACCAGGACTATCCTGGTCCACCAATTGATTTGACCAAGCCGATCGAGGGCCAGCTTGGGGCCGCAGTTGGTGGTGACCCTTCGACTGAGGGAGACTGGTTTCTAGCCTGCGATAAATGTTCTGTCTGGCAGCACGCTGGCTGTGCGGGCATGATGGTTGAGGCCTCCGAAAATCCTCCACAGTATTTCTGTGAATTATGCAGACCTGATCTTCACAGAGTCGCGCAAAATTCAAGCGGGTATGTCGTATTCTACAATCCTTCGTATTTGCTACCGTCGTAGGGGTCATCTGAGATTGGTATCCTTGTATGACGGCAATCATGTCACATTATATCCTTGAGAGCTATGCAACACAGGCTGACACTGCAATAGACAACGCTACTCTCTATACATCACAGTGCAAAAAAGGGTCCTGCCCAAACCTCCAGTGCGCAAGAGTTCAGTGCCAAAGGAGGCAGAAGATAAAGCAAGTCGTGAGCGGGCAGCGCGTGAAGCGCTACAAAAGAGACGGTCAACCATGAACAGTCGGGCCGCCGAAGACGAAGAAGAAGTGCTTCGCAAAGTCATGGAGGAGAGTAAAACGGACGTGGACACTGTTGGGGCAGAAGAAGGTGCCAGTCGCAAAGGCAAGAGGAGCCGCGATGAGAGTGAAGAGTACGTGGTCCGCTCCCATTCCCTGACAGTGCGATCGCTAATAGTCTGAAGAATACAGCCGGAGCTGAAACGAGCCCGGACCGGATCACATTCAATCGCGTCTTCCCCTGTTCTAGACTCTGATGACGATACCCCTCTAGCAAAACAGAACGGAAAGAACAGGCCGCGTGGAGCGGCAGCTAAGAGTCAGAAAGAGAAGGAGTTAAGAGACAAGGAACGTGAGAAAGAGAAGGCTGAGGCAGCCAACAAACGAAGAGGTCGTCTAGAAAGACGGCATGCAGACAGTATGTGTTACGGGTTCCTCCTGCATGCGTAGGCTAAAACAAGCAGATCCGGATCTTATAGAAGAGACACCTGTCAATGAGGATACGCCCGTCCCAGGGGATATTCCGGAGCCCCAGCCTCTCGAGCATGCGCCAGCGAGCGGGCAGACCGCCCCAGCAAAGAAACCACCCCGACCAGCCCCAAAACGGACTAACAGAACAGGGAGAAATCAATATACTCGCGATAATCCCACGCCGAACGCTGCGGTATCACCATCACATCTAGACCAATCGCCAAAGTCTCCGCAGACACGCACAAATGGTCAAGACACTGGGACTGGAAGCGATGCTGTCAGTAGCAAGCAAAGACCTAAAAACTCCAGGCTAGAGAAGACAACCTGGCATGAAATCCGCAAGCCAGCCAGCGCGATGCTACAATACATTCAACAGCGTCAATTAGAGATGGCAGACAAGGGCAATTCGGTGGCATCTACTACTCTTGGTCGGACAGCAACAACTCTGAATGGCAAAAAGGAAACCAAAAACATTGATGGAGAGGATACAGATGTCGCGGCAGAGGACTCTTTGGCAAGGTTTAAGAAGCTGAGTCCGTTGGAAATGATGGACCACTTGTCACGAGATCTTGAGTTGTGGCAGCAAGCTATGAAAGACTATTGATAAATGACTGGGGTGGGATTCGTATGCAATTCAAGCATTGCGGAGGCGTATACGGGGAGGGGTGTGGATGCATGAGTCTCTATGGGAGATGCGTATTTCTCAAATTCCAATCTGAGGGATCATTATATGGCGTCAGTGAAGCAGGTCTGGCTCGACAGTTCACAAAACGATTTTAGGGTATTCTGGCAAGGATCGTATGCAGTAAGGATTATTGTAGTGGCTGTCTACCGCAGGCGTTGGTCAGACAAGCGTGAAGTCGTCATTGAAACCATTGTACATATAGCAATTGCCCAACACGACACAGTGGAGCAGGATGGTCGGATTTCCAGAGCAGAGATGGGTCCACGGCATTAACATGTGGACGGGAGCTCATGCAGTAAACCTAAGGCATTTACTACTACTGGAAAGGGGATGGTGGGGACATGCAATTCCTCACACGCATTGGGCAGTTAGTGGGCTCCTAAGCGTCAACGTCGCACTTGATCTCCGTACCTATTCTCGACAAACTCCTTTAAGTTCATCTATCTACCGTTCACATATCCAAACCATCTTGTTAGTCTTGCCGTACTCCCTGTGTGGGTCTGCCCTCCTTACTGATGGTTGGATTGCAGTTGCTCTTCGGCTCCAATTTCTAAGCAGTGACTACGTGGACATTGTCCGAGAGCGACCCATTCACCACGTCAGGTACCTAGCATCCTCGCACCACTCTTGTGCTCTGGAATCCAACTCATACATTCTGAGAGTCTCTAGGTTCGATATCTCCAACGCTTTGGCTACCATTCGTCCTCTGTACATCTGTCCTCCGCAGACGGACTATCCGCCACACAAACAGCTACTTGAAACCGCCGCTAGAGCTTCAGGATAGCACAGTGGCATTGCTGAACTCGAAGAGACGACGGTAAAGGATCTGAGCAAGCGAAAGACGTCAGAAAATTCAAGAAGAACGGTCTGCAATCAGGGTCGAAATACCCAGCATGGCAGCTGTTACGGCGGGTGAGTGAAGCCCAACCAGGATTTCTTCCAAGTCTATGCCGACCAACACTTCATTTCTATTCCTTCACTTATCACTGCCACACAACACATGACGGTGTTTTCATATTCACTTTGCAATAACATTGCTAATTTGACATCGCTCGCTACAGGGTATGACTGGCCCCGTTCATCGCCTATGCAACATTCATCTTCAGACACAGCTTCACCGGTTTTCCCAGAAAGACCAATACGGCCCCTACCAAAACGTCGTCTTAGAAATCGACTGTCTCCCGAGCAAGCTGACTCCATCGTTTTTCCACCTGCACCTCCAAGCTCAGCTCAGTTATTTAGCTTTCCGTACAGTTCGGTAGACAGAGGGAACAGTGCATCTTTTAGACCTCCACGAGCGAGCCAGCATCAACATACCTGCAACTGTGGCCATCATAATTCAGATATAGAAAGCGAGTACGAGGAAGATCATCCAATATCCTACGATTCGTCTCCCACAGCGGACAGAAGCTTTCTGAGCGCCCGATCTAATAACAAAGGCCCGGCTATCACCAAGGCTCTCTCGACGACGTCTTCAGCGGATGGGTACGAGTCGTTCGAGAATACGAATAACAAGAAAAAACGCAAGATACCAAATACAAGCAGCAGTAGTAGCCAGCAGACAAATCTGTCGGCAGAGATGGCTGGTATGGGTCTTTCACCTAATGGTCGACATGCTGTCGATGATCTTGAAGATGGCCATGTACGTGCATCACCCTCCGCAGCAGCAGCGACTACTCGAGTGGACATGTCTGGTGCTGGAAGGGGAAGAAATAAAGGCCGTCCACATGGCCAGCGTGTTTCGGGTGCAAATACAGTCAGTATGGGTAGCGGTTCCAATGGTGCGATGATGCATGGCCAACGTCAGGCGGCCAATGACCCAGGTATGCACGTTCATTGATCCGTATAAACAATATTAACAGCATAGATTCACGATCGCAAGGAGGCATCATCTCGACCGCAATTGCTAATGCACAAGCCCAACCGCCTCTAGCTGAAGACGGCATCGGGATCGGGAGCACCAGCCTACTCCAGAAGCAGGCGTCACGATCATCCCCGAACGCCGGTCAATTCACCTTCACGGTCGAGTCGGAATCTGCGAATCGGATGGTATGGCCAGGACAGGCTGGTGCATACCCTCCTGGAGTTGACACTCCTGAGGCTAGACGATTGTATGATGCGAACAGGCAGACTACAGGCAGATCTGCTGTTGACGCTGGCAAACGACCCGTTCATGAGGGCTCTCATCGCAACATGACCGCACATGGAACTCAAAGTGGCCCTGCTGTCAACGGTGCCTATGGGGCAAAGCAGCAATACGCCGAGCACCCGCCACCTCATGGTGCAGCTCCCAACCAGCAGGCTCCCTCGCCTAGAAAACCACGTCGTAGCCCTGCTAAACAGTATGAGATCGCCGCGCGTCAGCGGAAGATTCAACAAGACTTTACCAATTGGCATCATCCACCTCGGAGGGAAGACATGTGGATATGCGAGTTTTGCGAATACGAGGCGATTTTTGGCAGGCCACCTCGAGCTCTCATATACCAGTATGAGAAGAAAGACAAGCAAGAAAGAAAGAGACTTGCGGAAAAACGGAGGCTTTTGGAGAAGGCTCGGATGAAGGGCAAGAGGGGTAAGAAGGGAAGCAAGAACTCAAAGGCCAACAACGGCCAACAGACGAATGCAACCAATGCTCATCACACTCAGGTCGGCGATGAGAATATGCGTACACACCCCGATGATCCCTCACAACAAATGACCCAGGAAGAATACTACTCTGATGAATTGGACGACGGAGGTATAGAAAGGCATGATCTTGACTCAGTCGGACATCCGCACCACAAAGGACATCGGCCTGCTCCCAACACTGGCCAAGCTCCTGGACCGCCTATAGTAGGTCCTGGGAAAGGGATAGCAAATGGGGCATGATGGTTACAAGGGTTGGCTGTTGTTGTAGGCTTGCGTGGAACACTCTTCGTTTGGATGTTCCTCCGCTACTGGTTGACTATAGCTTACAACTGGTCGAAGCAGTTGTTCTCACTAGACATGGTCCCCTCCAGCTCATTTCCCGGCACCTAAGAAACTGAGCTGTGAGTATACTGGCTTATGGCCATCGGGTCCTCCAGTCAGCACGCGAGCCGACAGCCTGGCCACCCTGATATAGTAGCCTATTTCCTGTACGTCCCTTTCTTATTCATCTGCGTCCTAGTAGTCCTCGTCCTTTGCATTCTTGGTTAGGTAGTTCTCGTCATATCCTCATATCACTTCTCCACTCTCTTTAGACTCGTTGCATTGCGTGATGAGCTGGCTGCGCCGTATTCGTCTCGCCCCCTGGCATGCCACCCATTGCAACACTATGCTTCGGCTCCCAGGCAACCAACCCATGTCACAGTTGAACCAGACATACGACTGACAAGTGAAATACACGTGATTGACGGAAGTCAGGTAATGTCGGGATAAGTGCTGTTTGATTCTTCGATCCTTCGATTCTTCGATCAAAAGAGCTGCTTGATACTTCGAAATTCGAATTGAAAGAGCAAACACGATGGTTCAGGGTTCGTGCAATGGAACAGAAAAGCACCCCAAGCATTGATCAGGGCATTTGAACACGTGGAAGGCCGGAAATCTATATCTCCCTCCCCTTTCCCCGGTTGAGCAGCTCCGCACGCTGAGCTAGTCAGTCAGTCAGTCAGTCAGTCAGTCAGTCAGTCAGTCAGTCAGTCAGTCAGTCAGTCAGTCAGTCAGTCAGTCAGTCAGTCAGTCAGTCAGT